AGGCTAACGTGGCCACCCGGGAGGGAAGAAGGTGACGAATTTGGTCGGGATTCTCGACTAATTGAAGAGATGATAATTTCGCGGGGAAGTTCTGCTTCCGGGATATAGCGTTCTGTAATAAATTATTAAAAACTGGTAGAGATTTTTTAGAAAAAAATACTCGAATTATTCGCGTAGGTTCTTTTGCAATAATTGTTTTGCCATAAGGGCGTAAGCATTTGCATTGCAAGAAAATAAATATTTGCGAAAATGTGAAGAATTACCATAAGAATTGTTTGCATAGCAACGCTCCGATTGTGGGTTGAGCTCGTGAATCCATAATCGATCAAGTCATCAAAGCTCTTAATGGGTGACTTTAATACGGTGATCGAGGATAAAATGCAGGACGAGTAAACGAACTGGACCGTCATTCCGAGTAAGCCTCCCGTAATGAAGCAGATCTTTAAGGTGAGAGGTAAAACTTGCAGGTCGTGCGGGTCTAAATTTAAAAAAAAAATCAGTAAGTAAACCGAGATTAAAGTTAAGTGAGAATTGCATAAATCTTTAAATGGAATATGGCAAAAAATGCAAATTAACATATGTTTACACCGTTGATATCACAAATTTTATGCTCCAACACATTGGTAACATTTTGACACCGAACGGTAAAAATCCTTGTCGGGGAACTGAGCTTTGTTGGAAGCCCTGTTTCCAGGGCGATAGAAACTTCGTGTTTTTATCGGACGGTATCAAATCGTTACCACTGACAATTACAAGTTAGGTTTTCATCTTATTTGGGTCACTTACTTTTCCCCGTCATGAAAGAAATTATCCACCAGATCGGCATGAACTGTACGATACCAGCTTCATATGAAAGCTTGACAGTGTGCTTGACCAATGTGATAAATAGTCCAAAAATAAACCACGTCAAGAAATAGTAGCCCCACGTTACCTTCTTAAACGGGTGGAAGTGTACGTTTCTAACGGAATTGAGACTAGGTTTCTTAAAGAACATGGCGTACCTGAAAAAAATACAAATTACAAGTAACTTTTTAGCCTAACTGAGGGCTTACGTATTAATAGTGTAAATATTTTGAAGTTATATGCATGCAGGTCTTCATGGAATTATTTCATGAATTGCCTCATTGTTTTTGCATTGTTACCTAGCTTTCTGTATCGGTTGAAGTAAAGTGAATACGCGAAGTCTTTGTATTGTTTGCCCACGAAAGAATATTCCAATGTCGGCCGTAATGGAGGTTTCGGAATTATTTCCAGGAAGTTGGAAGAGACGGGAATCAGCGTCTCCGTTTACGTTTTCCGTGAAGACATATCTGACAAAATTTAGGAAAATTCATAAAATGATCCTCAATATCATACATATTTACATGACCATTCAGTCCGAATTGAAATCGAGAAATACGATTGTTGACGTTCGTACGCCCAATGTATGAAATTGTTATAGATTTTGTTGGCTTACGAAAAACCGAAAATTCTTTGTAAGTCGAGAAAACAGTCTTCGACGAAGGGTACAATATCTGCAAAAAGTGGATTTGGCCCATCTGTATGTGGTCCTTGTTCTCTTGGAATTACGGGCGGATCAAGAGGATTGTGCTGAGCAACAAGGAGTATGAATTTAAATGTATAATTCTAAATACTTAGTTGGGATATTCACGTCAACTTCGATAAAGACGGAAACGTTGCTTCGCAACACATCTTCATCACTTTTGGATATTTGACACAAAAAGCAATCTATTATCGTCCTAAACTATTTTGCACAAACTTGTTGTCAAATGAATTTATATTTCTCCTGTAATTTTCAGTTAAGCATTTTCATTTAGATTAGGTCCTTCACGACACTGATTTTGCAAACCCCATGAAGTTGAGAAGACGTGTTGCGAAGCGACTTTTAGACTTTTTTGAGCGTGAATATCCCCAGTGTTTGTGGCAATATGGGCAAATGTAAACTCACAAATGTGACGCCATGTACCGTAACATCGGTCAAGTCTTTCCTCCTGCTCACTTTTTCAAACAGGATGAGTTCCATGACTTTGTAAATGTCAAATGACCAAATTTCAAGATTACTTGAAATCTTATTCTTAAAAAGTTTCGATTTGACATAGTATCCGTCCCAAAGTTGTATCGAGCCGTTACGGAAAGTAATCCAGGCAACGTTATAATTTAATTGGATTTGAGGGCACAATTTCACTGAAATGTCGTCAATCGGTCGCAAAGTGAATATTATTACGAGAGGAGATCCGTGTAACTTCTTTGTGTCGACAAAGTGGTGATTTTCAGGGTGAGAGTTAAAATCCTAAATTATTTAAATTCGTATCCACTAAATCATTCTGATTAGTATATTTATGTAAATTCACTTACGAATGAGCATAATTTCAGAGAAAATTGATAAACCGAAATGTAAAAGTGTGGCTGATCTAATATATTCTTAAGTAAGATTTCGGATGCAGGGCTTCCTATTTTTTTAATTGAAAAATTATTTATTAATCTACATATTCCTTTGAAAAAATTGTATATTTGACACTTTACCCGTAATTTCGTTATCCAATAGATAAACGATATTTGTCGTTATGCAGTGAAAATTGCAAAAATACGTTAATGTAAGGAAGACTAATGTTTTCAAATTTAATTTCCTCATGCTTTCTTCGCTGGTTAGACAAGGACAAGTAGAAACGTAGCTATGGTCCATTAGATAATTTAAGAAATTGATTGTTGCGGCAAGGCGACGACAGCTTATTGACATTTGTTTGGAGGAGTGACGCTCATTAATTAATTTAGGTACGTTCAATGGGAGTGATTATGTAAATGGAACGGTTACACATGTGACGCTTTGCACAATATTTCGGCATGTTTGGTGAAGGTGAAAGTTGGATTGAGTATGTCGACCACAAAATAGTTTTAACAAGTGTCTTACCTAATTGGAAAGTGGTTCACTATTACATAACGGAAAATATGTAATGTTACAAGGTAAAAATTGGTAGAGTTTTCCTATTTCTTAGGAGTTCAGCCTTCAGCCTGTTTTGCTTAACATTCACAGTACTACGATTATCTGAATCTCATAGAAATATTGTACTAGATAATCTAAACGGTCATCCCTCAGATAGATGCAATTAAGAATATATACATATATATTTTTTTAATTTTGGAATTAAAATTCAATTAAAATCTAGATGCATATGTCAAACTCGACGATGTCATATGCTCCTGTTCTAATTAGAAAAATATTAAATTACCTATTTTGAGTAAATAGGTAAGGTGGATATTAGAAAGTACTTATTGTTAGCATTATATTCTTATCGCTATATACTTACTTAATATGCATTAAGTTTATGAAAAAATATATAGTAAGATTATAAGATAAGATAATTTAGAATGGAAAATGTAATCGCCAGCTGTAAAAACCGATAAAGGAATGACCGATTTATGTGGCTCTGACCCTTTTGTGAAAGTTATAACACTAAATTTTGTGTTTTTCACCTTTCACCTAAGAATAACTTGCGGTAGGAGAATATACTTATGTATGTATGTAAGTAGTAATGCTTCTCAAGTAAAGCTGTCATTTTGTAACCTATTTCTACACAGCATCAGAGGATGGATACTTTCAACTTAATGTCAAGCTTCCAATGCGGCATCACTAAACATGTCATTTCATGAAATGCGAGGTGAAGTGGAAGTGCTGTTGCCAATATACAAAAGGCGTTAGGACATGGTTTTGACGAATTCATGCCTTAATTGCGGGATGGATTTTAGTCGTAGAGATTTCTAACTTTTTTTATCTGAAAGCCCATGTATCAAACTATCGGTAAGCATATCTGGCTTCCGATTTTGTGTACTCTGCGAAATGAGGCAAGGTCAAATTTGGAGAGGTGTCCTTTTTTAGTTTTCCAAACCAGTGTTCTTATAAAATGGCGTTGAACAAAATATTTTTTTCTGAGGTCCTGATGCAAAAATAGTTTTTGCGACTATTTTTAAGGGACTTAGCATGCTTTTCACTATATAAAACCACTTTTGCCTCATGCTTATCTTTTAAGTCCGTTTTACAGTCTAATTTCATACTTGTCCTAATGAAATGCGCTCTTTAACGCAACTCTTCCACTTTTAAGGCCCCCACATTTTACGACTTTGATGCTAAAAATCCCTAACGTGGTTTTTATCCAAGGTACATATAGTATATTGCACTTGAAGTACTTTTGACAAAATTTTGATAAGTGGTTACACCCCACGGACTGAGTTTTCATCAGACCTTATAAACTTTTTGGAAAAGTTCCCGTCGTTTTCGATGTCGAACTTCAGAAATAATTTAACTAACCAAAACGCAATAATTTTATTATTTTGTCACTTGTACCTTGTAGATAAAATAGTTCTGCAGCAGGGGACACCAAAAGATTATTAAAATTTATTTTCGAAAAAATTTGACCATTAATTTTCCAAATAAGTTCACGAGTTTTTTAGGATTCTGCGACAGCTGATTAGCTCGGGTCCTTCTATAAAACTGTTTACACAAAATCTTGACTGTTTGTTTTAATATTACTTAGGACACTTCCAGCTTTACCCTCAAGCTGCATTTGACCCGGTGGGTCAACTTTCAAGGTCAGCAGGTTAATTTTTCCGCGCACGGTCTGATTTATCATTTTTTGGGCAAACTATCCGCGATGATGGGAGGCCCACGTTGTGTGATTCATTACGGATTCTTTTATTATTACATGCAATGATTATCTAGGGTTATTATATTAACAATCATTCACCTCTGACCTCTTTGGTTATCATGCTATGTAAGCAATTAAGTTTGGAAAGTGTTTTTTTGGCTTCTACCAACTCCGGGGGCACTGTAGGGTGCATTTGTGAAGCTATCACCCTAAAATTTTAAAGATATCTTTTTGAGAGTATTATCTTGCAACCTACCAAAAATCAGTCCAAAATTCAACTCCCCGCCAAAGATATTCACCCGAGAATTCGTCAAAACCATCACCTAACGCCTTTTGTAGTTTAGTTTTGCAACAGTTTTACCAGTTTACTTATGTTTTTATTACTTCAAGAAACCAATCGTGAGTTGTCAGTTTAAAAATTAGGACATCATTACTTACTCTTAATCGGCAAGGAATCCATAGCTCCAATTTCGTTACACACATTGATCAATTTTTCTAATTAACACAAATTAAATTTTCCAATTCCAACTCCAAATTCGCTAATTTATTATTGGTCAATTTATCATCAAATTTTCGTACAACAATTTTTGGTCAAGTACCTGGAAGTCGACGTACTACTTAATTTTTTCATCTTTAAGATTCTCTATCAATGAGACGATTAAATAATCACTTCTCGACTTTACAGTACAAAAATTTAAGCTAAGTTGCGACCAAACAGAGGAAAATTATAGATCTGTTAGTATACATATATTTAATTCAAAACTTATTTACTGTATCTATGCTAAATTAAGAGGTTAATGCATATTATTTTCGTACATGTGTAAACATATTTTTTGGTAATACTGCTTGAAATTGTTACCAAGTTATTAATAGTTTTGCATTCTAAAGAATAAAATACGTAACAAAAGATTTGACATAATTCTACTGTATCGTTGTAATTGGTCGCCATGCCGTTACCGTCAAGTGACCAATTTTTACCAGCTTACATACTTATTTAATTAGGGCGGGTTCTTCATATCCGGCAATGCCAGGTGGGGCAGGGGTGCCGTATCTGTACCCCTCGTCCCCATTGCTCCGTAGAAAGAAGACGTTAGGCTTCGAAGTTACGACAGCGCCAGGATTGTATTCGCTGGTAATCGAGTGGGACGACTTTTGTGGAAGGACGTAGATTTTCGTACGAGGAGCAATTCCTGTTCCTCCTTGGACGGCGATATTGTGCTTGTAGGTTACTAAAATAAATCATAGTTATTTTTTAGCATTAATTTCAAATTATGTGTATTTAGGATATTTCTTATTCTGCTCACCGGGTGGGGGTTGCACGAACACGACGGAGTCAGGAATTACTGCTGCTGGAGCCTCCACGTTATGATTGATAACCTCTAAATTTTCTCCTGGGCCGAACTGCGTAAGGAAAAAATTAATATTTAATTTACTCTTAATTTTTAAAAGTATGCATACATTTACATAAATTTTTTTATCAAATCATAATTATGACAGGTTTATCATAGTTTTATTGATGATGAAGCAATTCACGCAGTTATTGATAACTATTAAAATCGATAAGTTGTGTAAAAATAATTTTACAAACTTTTTAAAAAATTGAAAGACATCTTTGATCTGAATAAGTTTACAAAAATGTTAAGTTAATTTTGCGAATATTTTTTGCAAAAAATATTTGCAAAGCTTTGCAAAAGTTTTTGAGTTTACAGAATTTATGGATTTTGTAATGTTACCAACGCTTACGTGAATTTCTTCAGTTTGAAATACTTTGTAACAAATTTATAATAGTTTTGTAGTAATTTATCGTATAATTAATATTTAATTATTTCACAATCAGTTCAAGAAATAGTCACCTTGCACCACACCCTGGCCCCACCCCAATCTCCGCCTTCGGATCCAGATCCACAAAATTTTGCGAAAAGTTCCCAAGCGTCTGCTTCCTCCGGTGGGGAGAGAATCCCAACACCGGCATTTACTACGCTAAAGTAGCTAAAACCGATAATCTGGAATTTGAAATAAATTTCAGTACACAATTTTCGTCCCCTAAGAATAAGTCCTGGGTTTAATAAATTATAAAATACATAGTTCTTCCTAGAAACTTACCAGTACGGCTATCTTCATCTTGACAAAAATTTTACAAAATACTAAATACTTATTGCACACTGACCAAAGATTTGTCCAACTTCGACTGAGACAAGCTTGCAAATTGGTTTACTTTATCTAGCTTAGCAAACAATCTTAAAAATGGAGCGACACCTAAAATAACTAAAATTGATCCATATCAATACATGTCGGTAAATAATAGGTAGGCCATTTAATCGCCTCCCCTTTGATTAAGTGGATAATATGTAAGTATGTAAATTTGAGTGTGTTCCCTTTCACAATTCGACTAGTACATACATATTTAGTGTAAATACGATGACAAAATATATACATATTTTTAGGTGTGCATGTATGTATGTATGTATGCAACACCCAAGGAGTCGGTTTCTCAGAAAATCATGATATCGTCACATTTTACTTAGAAATACATGTAATTAAGATTAATAAAATGGGACGCAACATGTCAAATTGGTATGCCAAGTTTAGATGCTAACCAATTAAGCAATATGAGAAATTGATGGGGGAAAATTTATTAACTGCAAGATCAAGACTTGATCATCACACTAAATAATCTGTTAATAGGTGAATTAACTTTAACTCTGATAATTTCCATACTTGGTAATTTGCAACAGGTTTAGTAAATAATGCATGTATTTTGCATGGACAGGTGAAATTATTTAACATATCATTTACATATCAGTACGCACACCGGATTTATGTAATATGTACATAGGTTCATACATTAGTTTCCATTTTTAACGGTAATCCAATGCTTTGGATAAACGATACTCGGATTAGGAATGAGAAAAAAACCTGTTTTTGACACCTCAGCTAACGCAATGCATCAAATTTTTACGATATCATTTAGAGTGTATTTGGACGAGGCGTGTCCATTACCAAGAAATCGTCGTAAACTTGAACAAGATCTTGCTTACTGGTGTCACACTACAAATGTGATAAAAGGCGAATTTCAACACAATGAAATTGCAAATGTTATATCTTCAATTAATGGAGTGACATGTTTATGTTTACATATGCATGTACAAATGCATATATGCATGCATACATGTCCATATCAGTATTTGTCGGTATTCATACGCATATTCATACGCATATAAATTTATGTACATATATATGCATACTTATTACTGACTGTTAATGATACTCCATTCCATGTTCCGTATCTATTACCCCATGCTTAGGCAGTATATTAAATGTATTTTTGTACTTACATTTTTACATACATACATACATACGTAAATGAGTATGTATGTACATACATCATACTGTCTCGTAAATATATGTCTCATAAATAGATAAGTACTTATGTATCACCGAGATTTAAAAATATTTCGTAAGTACCAGAAGTTACCTTGCAATATAAGGAATAAAACGGTCATGTATGTATGTACATACATATGTACGTAAGCAGCTATCGGGAATACCCTCATTAAATAATCAACGAATTACTGATCAACATTTCTCATATTGTACATAAAACATAATTTTGATGCTTGCTTATTTCGACATGATTTTAATTTATTAATCCAAATCGAATGACAACAGTTTACACAAAACGGTTGTGAAAATTATTAAACCAAAAGAAAATGGTGATACTGCATCCACACCCGCCGTACACACAAATGCATCAATTTCCTCCTCCCATTCGGATATAAAACCTCTATCGCACCGACAAGACTTAGGCGAATCCGGTCCGGGTGCATTAAAATTGGTACAAGTTGCATTTGAAATACAAGGAAATGGATCCGCACTTGTCTCTCCACATGCTTCATAAAGTTTTAAAAAACAACCACTTCGTTCGTTATTGTCCTCGTATAAATAGTTGGACAAGCATTGACAGGTATTTTCTGTGCAGGTAAATTTTTGTTCCGGGTGGCATGTCAGATTGACATACGTGTATCTAGGTTTACAGGGCATATTTTTTTGCGGGTAACACCCTTCCGAACGACTCTTGTTGGTCCAGCGAAATCCACCTGTGACCAGGATATCGTTAATATGCAGACTTTGTTAAATACTTATTTCAACAGTTCAAAATATCTAGATTGGTTACAAAATCGTCACCGCGTTGGTAAAGATATGCTACTGAAAGGTCACATTAATTGAAGTACAGTTGTTTCACAAGCGTGGCGAGACAGTGACAATTCCCCCACGGTTGTCCGGATCATGTGTCCATGTTACATATACGTATATAAACCCCTCTTTTCCCTATCCTACAATGTCAATGTCCCCACGAATGTGGTCCGTCACGGCTTCCGCGGCCACTGTTTCCATGAAATTCAGAGTTGCTACCATATTTTTCCTTCAATCTCTAATCAGAAAAGGTCCAATTTGAGTTATGCAGAAATTTTTGTAACCATTCGGGTTCAAGTCTTTACCAACATGATAATAATTACTACACATACGGTGGCAACTCCGTTGTCTAATTATTTTAAGTGGATTAAGTAAACGTGTACCTTCTGGACATTGGCAAGTGCCATTTACACAAAATAAGTTCCAAGATTTCGGACAAAACTCGAGATAATTCCACTCTTGGCAGGCCGCACCGTGCGGTAACTGGGTTGCGCTGTAAGTGTAGTAACACCTCCTTTCATCCTCGGAAGGTTTGTAGCTATGCTCGCACCAACAACGTGTGATGTCCCCATCAGTTTTGCGACAGATGGAAGTTTCTGGACACGAAATTTTGTCTGGACTCGGGTCACACTCTTGACCAACTCGTAGTTGACACGTTTTTAGAACTCGATCGTAAAATTGGCTAAGGGGTGAATCGCACCTGAAATAGATTACAAATTAGCTAAAAAACTAGATATATTGAAATTGCAAGAGATGCTTTAAACTAAAATCGTCGCAGCGATATTAGTTGGAAATTGGCCAATGAAAAAATGGGGCTGGTTGATACTAGCTAAAATTTCGATGACTGCATCTATGAAAAATGCGGTGATTTCAAAATCCAATTGTCTTACCCACACGTAGAATTTTCCCCAATTTGATGACATTTCAAATACGCTTCTTCATTGCAGGTCAAGTTAATTGGAGAATTTGGTAAATTTTCGCAAGGTGCTTCAAACCCAGCTGGGCATTCGCCCTTTGAATTGATGAGAAACGGTTTTTCGCAATCGCACGAGCAGGTGAAATTTTTGTTAGGACAGGAGCACACATTATCCTTGGCGTAATTACAGACTTCCACGAGATTTTCGGGATCGCAGAGTTCTCCAGGGGCTAGGATTCTTTCAACGGGGTCTTGCACACATTCAGTTCCGTCAGGAGAGGGGTGATGGTATTTATTACAGGTGCAAATTCTGCCCAAACCTGTCAAAACATTGAGGGTATTCATAATTGTCTCCTTAGTATCATAAAATAGTATACGAACAAACATGAAAGGGACGCTTTTATGAAAGCTTCATAAAAATCGTAAGCTTAATTAGTAACGTGATTTTCGATGAGAAAATCTTACGACGCTTACAAAATCTCGTAAGCGTCCTAAGTGATTTTACGACACTAAGCATACGAAGGCATCATGAATACCCTTAATAAAAACATTACGGTTGAAATTAATTTTTAAGCTAAATACAACTTTCGACTAACCGTTTGGTCCGGTTCTACAACTCGCTTTCTCAATGCATTCGTAATGATGGAAATCATCATGTTCACACGTTGCCCCAGCTTTAGTTAGACAAATTTTTGTATTTTCATGCCAAATGTGATCTGTTCCGCGGGAGCACTCGCACCGTTCAGTTTCCGGATTACATTTGAGCAAATTATTACTTCTACATGTTTCTATGGGTAATTCGCTACCAACTTTGCAAGTGCTGTTAAATCCCGCCATGCAGACGGTACCATTAACGAGCCACCCCGATTCACATGTACATTGGGTACCAGAACATATTAAGCGATCTGTGGTACTGCAGGTCACGTAATGTTGGGTGCAATATTCTCCCACGTTGTGGGCCAGGTGAATACAGTATTCCCCATTCGGCGATGGTTCATCGGGTGATACGCATGTGCAAATTCCTTGCTGCAGATGACCGTCAGATTCTGAAAGGTAATGTTGAATTAAAGATCGCAAATAATTGTTCCAAAATACTCAAGGTTCTCATATCAACCTTAGCATAGCACGAAAATATAATTAATTGACCATAAGGCCTCGCAGCGTGTGCATGAATGCTCACAGATTTTGACAAAATTTGTGTTAACCGATCATAAATTTAATCAACTAAATTTGGCAAAAGAGACTATCTCTCTTTTGCCACTATCTGCCATTCTGCTAATGGTCATGTTTGGCGGTGATACATATTTGCATCCAGAGAGGAGAAAATACGCCGTAAAGTTGACAAGTTTAACACATCCCAAAGTTGTCGCGCGTTTTCCCCTCTTCGAATGCAAATATTTATCTACGCCAAACCTGAGATAGTGTGTTTTGCAAATTGCATATTAATTAAATTTGTGATCGATTGACACTAATGTCGTTAAAAGCTGACGCTAGGAGACCTCCATTATTAATTCGTGAAATTCGCTATACTTCAAATAAATTTTTGCAGCAAAACCATTACTTGAATTTTTGTTCCTAAATGTGCATATCTAGTAATTAGGCTCCTTGAATTTCATGGTAAGATTATTTCTCAAAGTATTTTCTAAAATTACGATGGGAAATATGACAACATGGTGGTTAGTACCTTTACAGACCGCCGTTCCATAGCAGAAGGGACCCCGGAATGATGGATAAATTGGGCAAACCTGACCCAGCTTTAAACCGCATCGTTCCACATTCTTTACATCCCAGACCATTGTTCCATTGCAGAGACACGTGTTATCTATACACTTGAGGAATTTGGACGGGTCGCAGACGTTCTCTGTATCACTGGGACTGCATGGCGCTTCATAATCGAGGTAGGCCCAGCTAACCACAGCGTTTAGCACGGATAGGATTAGCAAGACTAAACATTGCGCCTTTATTATTTGATTCATATTTGCAAATCAGATGATATTTAGTGTGCTCTCTATAAGGGTCAGACTCGAATAATGTGGACCCGTTATTTTGTGGGTGACTAGAGTAAAATCTGTATTCTGTAACACTTTTCTATTATCTACCCAATTATTAACAATATCAATTATGTATGTAAATATGTGCCAAATTTATGTATAAGTTTCTGTCGAGATATGCTTATGCTTATCAATTGGTTGTCATGTCTGCAGATGCTGCGGAGTTTTCGGTAACTGATAAACTTGGATGGTCAACAGGTACATAATTTCATAACATGCTTGTCCAAGTCAGGAAGAACTGATATCGATGTCCTGGATGGAATTGACGTCAATGTCAAACCGTTAAAAACATGTTTGGAGATTATGTACATACACATGTACGTAAAAGTGTACCTAAGTACAGAGTTGAATCGATTGTGTGGATAATCTGCGTCCTTTCCACACTAATAATTGAATATTGACACCTGTACCTGTATGTATGTGCGTAGTTTATATATTGCGAAAAATTTGGCAATTTGTTTGATCACCAAAGTTGTAGATAACCTAAATTGGTAGGAAATTGGATGCAACAAATTAATACTCATGTCAAGTTATCTTATTACGCAAGAGAAATTGTATTGTTCCAAAAATTTCCACTTAATGAGGTTACATAAATTTTTACCTGAAATACAAAGCACTTGATGCAATTAAAACTAGCAAAATGGTTGAAATGTAATTATGCAATGCATTAGCGGAATTTTCCTGCGTGCTTGTGCTAGGCTTTGGAGTGCTGGGGGTTTCATATTCTGGTATGCAAATTGCATACTCGTCTCCATCGCCAGGTCTGTAGCCCTCTTTGCATTGGCATGACCCTGAAGTAGCGTCGGGATTGATGGAATAGCAGAAGGCATTCGCAACGCAGAGGTCTGGTTTCATGTCGCAAGTACTATTTAATTTGAAGAAACATGCTTCACGTCCAATTTCCGGTTCGTAGACAAAGCTCGATCTACAAATGCAAGTATCTCTGGTTGGAGAGCATTCCAGAAATCTTCTGTAATTGCATGTGTCTTTAGGAAGTGTGGAAGATGTGTTGCAAGCTGTTCCATAGTCTGCGTAACAGTACACCCCGTCAAAACTGTAACCACCTGTGGATATAATGACGGGATTAATTAAAAGTTGTTTTTTGAGAACTTAAATTTTTCAATGTTTTAATTTTTCAAAATTCAAAAAATTAAAGAAAGAGGGTTTAAATGTGGTTAAAAATTGAAACTGTCTACATGTTTGAAAATTCATACACGTAGATAATTCTACGTATATGTATGTATTTTTGCGAGTTTTTAAATCGGTGAGGTCTAAAAAGTTGTAACGTTTTAAAAATCTGTGATTTTTATTCGAAGCTCGCTATTCTTAAAATTCTGCCTAAGCAGCCAATTTCATAGATACTTTAAGAAAAATTCAAAAATACGAGCTTTATTATTTTTGTTCTTAAAAGCAAATTTCTCCAGTATTATTAGTGGTATTCACAGTAACCGATTATAATCGTGAGGACGATTATAATCACAATCGATTATAATCATATACCATGAACGCACCAGATTATTGTTGTATTTTGATAATTTCGCCTAAAATATCCAGCAGGATTCATTAAATAGTATCATAGCAACGGCTACTTTTTCGGACGCTTTAAAAAAATTGCATTTGGATCAAGGATTATAATCCAAATAATCGTCCTGGGAGAGGATTATTTTTTTGACGATTATAATCACATTGGTTTATTTTTCCCCATAGAGAATTTTTGGGTGATTATAATCGATAATGATTATAATCGCAATAATCGGTTACTGTGAATACCACTATTGATGCGAGAAAATTTAATTACCTTCCGGACATTGACAGGTGCTGTTAACACAGAACAAATTATTAAAATATTCTGGGCAGTATCGCTTATAATCCCAGTCATTGCAGGCGTCTCCGTGGGTTAGCTTAGTCCCCACAGAGCTGCTTTGACACGATGTCAAATCTCCAGTCGGGAAATATGTCTGCATACACCAGCACAGGTGTCGGTCTTGGATTTGTCTACAGGTCGAGGTTGCTGGACACTGAATATAACGTGGATCACCAACTCCTGCAGGGTCACACTCTTCTGTCACTTTAAGGACGCATTTTTGTTTCCGATAATCATAGAATTGCGCCGAATTGTCCTGGCAGCTAAGAAAATACTCTTGTAATTATTTAGTACAAATATTTAAATTTTTGACATGCAAATAAATGTTTCTTGCTGGTAAGCATTTTTGTGTCCTCGATTCTTTAACGAAATTTGAAACTTACGTTAAAAAGACTATTATTAGTTATGTAAGGTTTTCTACATACAGTTAGATATTTGCGCTAAATAGTCGCCTCATTGAAACCCCATATCGCCGAAAATGGGCATAGTGAGAATTATGCAAGTGAGGGACACGCACAAATAATTCCTCACGCACAATAATTCCCAGAAACATTGTTGTCCTAAAAACACTTGGTTATTTAGTCAAAATTTGAAACTTGCCCGCATTTTCCATGTCGCACGTCACACTTTAAGAACGCTTCATCAAGACATGTCAAGTGATCCTCGGCTTCATCTCCAATCTTACAAGGTGATTCAAATCCTGCGTGACACACTCCCGCAGCGCTCGGGCTCAACCCAGTCCCGCACGCACAATTACAATGTGTGTCACCGCACAAACAACGCAGATTTTTGTCTCGATTGCAAGCGTGGGTATTTCCTCGTATCGTACAATTCTCTCCATATTCTAGTACCACTTCGGGCACACACTTCAATCTGTCGAGCGATGGAATCCAACCAGGCGGGCAGACACAGATTGGAGAAGGTGCGTCTATTTACAAAATTTTTTCTTCGAATTATAATTAATGCCCACTCTGATGACAAATTTCATTTAAATGTGACAAAGATTTTCCAATGAAACTATTACTTAAATATTCCTTCATAACCTTAGTATCATAAAATAGTTTGAAGAAAAAATAAGGGGTCAAGCATCAAATCGAAAGCTTAGTAGCGTAATTTTGAATGACGAAATCTTTTGACGCTTAAAAAATCTAGTAAGTTATTTTACGATACGAAGAACACTAAAGATGCGAAGGAAAACTTGAACAAAAGTTTCACGAAATGATTGAGTCGAGGAAGAACGGAAACATAAATACAGATTATTGGAGTATACTAAACTAACAAGCTTGTCCGCAATTTCTCAATTTCCGTAATTATTTCTAAAATACAAGATCAAACCTCACCTTCACTCGGTTTTTTGCATAAAGCCGTATTTACACAGTGTAGGTCAAAAAATTCGTCGAGAGAGTCGTTGCACACTGCTCCAACTTTCCTTTGGCATAGGAAGAATCCAAAGTCATTAAATTCCCCCCAAACTTCATCCTCTGGTAGCCCACATTCGCACCTACCCGTCTCCTCACTACATTCAAGACCAAACGCGTCGAAGCAATTTTCATGTGGAATCACACTTCCGGAAACACACGTCGTATTAAAACTGGCATAACAATTGCCTCTATAATCTTCCCAACCCGGATTACATAAGCAGCTTGAACCACGGCATGCTAGTTGTTTTTCGGCGTTGCACGACACCCCAAGATTTCGGCAGTTTGATCCTGCCGTGTCGACAAGATGGATGCAAAACTCCCCATTTTCTGCCGGGTAATCTGGGGCTACGCAGGTACAGACGGGATTACCCGAGTTTTCTGAAAAAAAAAATATTTGCAAAAATTAGGCAAAAATTCGGGTTTGCCAGTTTATGCAAAATCTTACCTTGGCAAACTGCCGTTCCATAACATGGTGGATCTCCCTCGTTCGGTGCAAGAACACAAGCTTGTCCCACATTAATGCCGCACTTGTTCTGGATCCGGTCCCAGTTCATGGTCGAATTACAATTGCACGAGTAATCAATGCATTCTAGAAATTTATCGGTATCACAAAACGAAATTGTGTTTGTTGGTATGCAGTTGGACTCGTAATTTAATCCGGAAGTAGGTTGGGTAAAATATAGTGTACACAGGAGGACGATACTCCACACGGTGAAAATCGTATTAGACATTTGTATCAAGTAAAATATAAAATAATTACACATGCGGATAATAGCACTTATTGGTTCGAAACCAAAGATTAACTAAAGCATGAACACCCTTGATAGGATGATATAGCAAACAGAGCGGAGTTGGGGATGACACTAACATGATAAGTGATAAAGTGATAGTGTAACACTATTTGCATATGTCCAAGTGAGATTGATAATCATGTACAGGTGCTTATGCAAATAGGTACATATACCTATGTAATTAAAGGTTAAGAATCAGTTTATTATAAGTGAAGAAAGCATATTACAAATTAGTGAGCTATGTAATTTTATAGGATATTTTATAAGATATGTGTGTATGTAAATGTAAGTAAATACATATTTTGAAATACTACTTAGGGGCTGATGATTATAAAGCCTAAATCTCATGCGGCTTCAACAGTTTAATATTTGACATACAAAGACTACAGCATATCAAATAAAGCTAAAGTCATCTGTAAAAGATGCAATTCGGGTAATTTGTTGCACTTTCATGTTGTGTTAATAGTGTCCATCGTACCACCAACAGTCAAATTTAGCATGACCGTACTTGCAAATAGATATACATGGTTTGCTTCATATGTAAATAAATCATTCTACCCTAATTAAATTTCATTATTCTCGGACAAACACACTGCTTAAATACAACCATCCTATATACACTCCCTCCATAAACTGTACAATTTATCGATATTATCTTGTCCTTCAAATTCCTCACAACTTTGCAGATGCTCGCAAAAAAATTCGATATCCAAATTTTCTCCTCAAACAAGAAAGCAACCAAACTAGAAATTCCCAACACTCCACAAATTGTATAAACATATTTTATAACTTTCAACGAAACCGGTCTGGCTTCTGGGAAAGTGTGCATTTCAGTCCCTTTATTTGCCATAAATTTCGCAAATATTTTCTTATACGTTGCATTCCCCAATTGGCGCATGACCATTAATCTGTTATGCATATCAAAGACGTCATCCCATCTTGCCTGGATCCCCGAATCGATCAAATAATTGAACGACTTATGGATCAACGGGTACAAAAAGTTTTTCATGCAGGTCGCAAAAACAATGGAATGAAAGGGTGTCTCCTCCCTATTTTCGACCACGTACCGTTTCCCCGTAACTTTTAAATATTCCGAAAATATTACCAGTCTCGTTTTTACGTCTAAAATTGCGAAGGACTCCTTTCTAGGAATACGGACTGTTTTCTTACCCTCCCCGGAAATCGGGGTTGAACTGCTAATAGCGTCGGCCCAGTTGGACAGACCGAATTTCAAGGGGTGGATGAATACCAGGTTTGAGTCTAACTGAGAAATTACGTGTCTTAAATTACTATTGTTACCCAATTTTGACATAATTTCGGGAATAATTCCGTCCTTCAGGAGCGAATGGTACGATAAGGTCGAATAATTCAAGGTGTACGAATAGTGCGACGTGGTGACGATTAAGTAGCCCGATTCTGCTAATGCCCTCAGCGTCTCGGGAACAATTGGGGGTACTGAAACCGTTAAAAAGGAGAAAATCGACCCTTGATATAAATTCGTCATGAGAATGTAACACCCAAACAACCAGACGGGAAAGACTGTCCTGCTGACCCTAGTGGATTTGTAACTATGTAAAAGATTCCCGCCAATTTGACCCAGTAAGATGGCTGCGACGCGAATAAATTCGAAAATGGGGGGCACTCTGATTTCCTTATCGGACGTGTCAAATTGTAGGACGATCGTGATTATCACACAACTTAGAACTATCAACATCCACGTGGTTTTGTCGAACGGGGAGAGAAAAACGTTAAAGTTGTCGATCGAGGAGGGAAATTGAGTTACGATTTCAAATCCAAAATTGACCCATGAGCTCGATAAGAATCCATCTTTCGAGTCGATAAAGGTTCTCATGGTGCTGTTATTGAGGACAATTTGAAAAGCGAGCAATCCAACGTAATAGGTTTCAGGCTGTCCAAGAACCAAGGTAGAATCCGGACCGGGTCGAATTGTGAAATTGTATTGTTTTCCGATTGACCATATTGCACAATATGCGACGTCGTACTCGCCCTCAAATCGGGATAAGGATGGACCACACCGCGTTTTGTATATGTCGTATCGACTCACCGTCCAATCTTGGACGATGCGATGCTGCATATTCGAATTACGCGCGATCCAAATTTTATCCAGGTCTTGTAGCGTGGTAGTATCCTGAGTACTGTGAGATTTTGCATTGCCGTGACATGCTACGCAAGGAATCCATATAACGGCGGGAGCATTAAAATTGTATAAAATAAGTTTTGAATTTCCCCGCCATATGGGGTATAACGTGTAGTACTTTCTTGAACTGGGTTCATCCAAATGTGCAATAATGTAGGTGGGATTTTCTCTCCGTAATAGTTCGAATATTAAAATGGTGCTGTGATACTGTCCATTCTCAAATTTCCCCGAGTTCAGAGTGACGAATGTTGTTAAAGAACGCGTAGATTTTAGCCAGGATTGCGTCCTGACAGGAAATAGAGATGAATTGTTGCGCTCTAAAAATGAATCGGTACCGGGAATAATTGTGTTTAAAAGTAATGGCGTATTCAAATTTGGCTTCGTCCAGCGATGCAGGTCAGTTGTGACATCAAAGTTCCCGAATTTGTTGTTTGCGACAAAAACAAACTGAAATGTACAGTCTGCAAATAAGTTCGAGATTGTCCACAAGCTCCTGCTGCCAGATATTAATCTGATTAAATAGATTAACGTAATACGTATGAAAGCGTCTCTTGGATTTGAAAGTTTGATCATGTCGATATTATCCGAAAAGTATAGGACTTGAAACTTATTACGGCTTTACATATGAATACGTACGAAAATAGAAATTTATGGATGTTTATCATGTCGTTTTTTTAATGTACAGTTTGACGATGGGGTAGATGAGAACTAGCAAACGTACACACCTCGTTCTACAGGTTGCAAAAACTAATGGTCCGAAATGATCGTAGTTTCTTTCCCTTCGTTTCGTTTGGCTTGGTTTTCCTTCGCAAAGCCTAGAAATTAAATGTGTGTCACTTAATTGTCACTTGTCACACAGTTTAAACAAACATAAATATGTAGGTTGGCATGAATGTGTAAATATTTACAATGTGAGGAATTTGTGTGTATGTATCGTAGTATGGGTAATAATATATACCAGTAAATGTAATTATTTGCCTCTGTCACTATATTGGTGTAGTTTTTTAAATACTAAAGTGTAGATTCACACGATCGAAATTGCATACATGCATACGTATGTACGCACATAATTTATATCGAGCAGTACTTGGAGTGCCAAATTTGCGACTGGGCCAGTGCATGCGGCGAGAACGAAAGAGCGAATATTTACAAAGGGAAGATTTGCCATTTCTTTCTGCATGTCTTTGGATGAATGTAAAGGTCAGTAGGCTTGCAACCTGAGAAACATGTACTTGGAACAAGCACTTCATATTCATAATAATGCATTTAGATAAATGTACTTATATTTCACTATGCTTCGAAATTCAATGACCCCCATTTAAATATATGTATACATGAATATATGCTCGTACATACTCAATGAAGGTATTCATGACGAGTCCGCATCGTTAGCAAAAAACCAAAGTTCGCAAAAAAATTGGCTTGAAAATCCATTTGCGAACGCGCATCCAAAGCTATCATTTTGTTCGCAAATTTTTTGTAAAAATTATGTTGCGATGCGAACATGCGTAAGGAATCCCCCAAAATATATACTAATATAAATATGTGGAACTTCATAATCTTAAGTTACGGCAAGTATTTAAGTGTCACAAATTTCGACCAATCGAATCGAACACTAAATATAAACACTAACTACTTGGCATATTTTCTCTACAAGTACGTAGCACGGGCAAGACAAGTGCATTGGCAACAAAACATCTTGGTTCCGTTATTTTCTTGTACCCAGGAAATTAAATACTTACGTATTCACTCCTTTGCACCTGATAATAAATAAGTATCACAACATTTCGTGAGGATAATCCACTATACAATATAGTAAGTTTGTTTTTAATGGCACACTTACTTAACTGAAGTATTTTTTGGTTTCTACGATGGGTTGTGAGGCATGATGTTTTTTTGTGTTGAAATTGATTACATATATGTACATAAACTCTTGTATAGTCAGTTTTTCGACATACACACATATTCCTTGTACAATGATAATCGTACGAACTGTGTGATATATTGGTTTACTGTGCAAAAATAATATACATACTTTCATGGATGGGCAACTTATGTAGGTACAGTTAAGTTCTGATATCCATTTTTCCAGTGGTTTGGATTTTCAGTGCCCCTACAGCTACAAAAAGTCGAAATCTACATGAAGAATACAAGGGTCGTGCGAAATTACAGGTTTTGTGAAGAAATTGGCTTTTCATCGGTGTTCAATTATTTTATTTTAGAAAATCGTGAAACAATGTGATTGGACACTAATACAAAGTTAATTTTTTCATAAAATCTGTGATTTCGTGTGACCGTTGTATTCTCCGTGTAGATTGCAATTTTGGAGTGTTTTATCTGTATGTCTGTCAAAGCTTGCATAATCTCCAGGTTAGCAACTAGTCTTGTATGCGGATTTGAATTTTCGTCTCAATTTTCCCTTCCTCCACGTATTCAATTTGCGATTTTTAAACCTCTTCATCTATGTAAATATAAGTAATTTGCGATGCATTGCATTTTGACACTATTTATTTTCCCGTAAAGTAAATCAGCACATACAGATATACGCACATAGGTACTTGATTATCGATAAAAATTCCCACTAGTTTTCCTGTAATTGAATAACTATCCTCCTTAGAATTTCTTCCATCGCGACGACCATGTCCCACCTTGGATCGAAATGACCACTTTGATCACAACAACGTACCGCAGCATCAAATCCTTCCCGCCATTCGCCCTCCTCCACTAGAGCTATAACCTGTTCGAAATCCTCTTCAAAATGAGCCGCCTTTTGTAGCAAGTCACCCTGGAAAACTAGCTCAGACTGCATATCCTTTTCTTCCCATCCTTTTTGACAAGCGGCGCATGCGCAATCAAATTTGTAATGGGTAAGAAGCCACGCCCTCCTATCATGGATGGATTCCCGACTCCAGTGGCTCTTGTAACAGAGCAAGATCTCCTCCCCTTTCGAAATTCTGCGACAGCTGACTAAAAGTCCGACGGGAGAGCGAGAGTTTTTGTAAAGTAAGGCGTTCGGGTGGCACGAGCTGTTGGCGAGGGCGATCCTACTGAATACTCCGGTCGCATAGGGACCTCCTCCCGCCGGACTTGTGGGCGGGGTGGACAAGGTGACGACGTTGTAGGGAAGCGATTCCAACAAGTGGAGAAGGAGGGCGGGATCCGGGTAGAAGAGGGGAGAGCTGAGATTTGTAGTGAGTTCGGCGGCAAGCTGGGAAACGAATAGGGCGGTAAATTCGGGCGGGACAGAGTTAGAAGAATCGAATTTCCAGGGGATCGACTTGTGTTGAATGAGGTTAAAGATGGAGGTGTGTGATCGAGAGGGGTCCGAGTGGACAGAGCTTTGGGTGGGAGTTTGAGTTCGGGATAGTTTGTAGAGGACGGTAAGTGGGAGGAGGGCCTGATGTAGAGAGGGGCAGGCCTGAATGTAAGATAGAATTGTTGCCGGAAGTGCGGCGGGTTTCGATAAGCAGTCGGCCGAACAGTAGGTCGCCTGTAATTTAATAGATTATCAATTGGTAACGTAAAACATGAAATGTTTTTAATGCTGACTTACAAAAGGCGATAGTGGATCAGGCACACCACCGAGAATTGGTTGGGCGCAGGTGGAACAACGGGAAGTGTTCCAACCTAAAATATTTTCGGGTAGGATAACATACGGCTCATCGTAGAGGAGGGGTGATCCTGTTGTTACAAAAAATAGGGGTATTTAAATAATGCAGGTTTTACATTTAGTTTACGCCATTGACAGCATTATTCAACCGTGTAGTATATGGATCATGCACTATTAGAAATTTAATTTAGTCACGCCGGTACTTATTCTCGGTGTTAAAGTTCTTACCGCCTGATCTTAAAATTATACCGGTCCGTAAAAAAATACTACCGATATGGTGAAACTTTAACACGGAGCTACATATCCATTACTAAACGGTATTACTTGCCAATACCACTTTGGTAGTGCAATATAAATACCACTTGCTATCATTTTAATACTTGACTCTTAAGAGTATGATTATTTAGCAAAATATGCACCATTTATTTTTTACCTGCTGGAAAATCTCGTGTCGCGACTAATTTCCTCCCAGCAATGGGATCAACTTTGAGCTCAACTCCACTTGTTGCGCCATGTAATAAATTGTCAGAATTTGGACTTCTCCTTATCATCGCGACCATATCTTCGCATAGAACTTTCCCCAGTGTTAAATTTCCTGTGATGCTTGCTCCGTTCGCATTATTTTTCGCCCTCTCCTCAATTTGGTGTCTAATGGTGTCATCAAGGTCAGAAAAGGATGCACAGCATTTAGCCAGATGTGCATCTCTTTGAGCAAGCTTGAATTCCGAGATTCGCTGAAATAATGCAGACCTGGCCGCATATGAAAGAGCTTCTTGGACAGAATTGGGCGGAGCGAAGGAGAGGGAGAGGTTGTACGCACGTAACGAGTGGGTGTGGTCGTTTTCTTCGCCCCCTTGGAGGCGCAAGGCGTTCGATAGCGCGGCAGACTTTTGCCAGCCTATCCTTCCTGTAATGTGCATAATTTTTAATATTGATTGAAATATTTGTTGGTGCAAAGCTGTACATCGAAATTACATTAAGCTAGGCGTACTACATAGCTATAATTTTCGCAACTATTTCAAATTGAACATATTAAGTTTTTCGAAATTTGTGAGATTTGACAAAACTTTTGCTGGATAAATAGCGAGCTTTTGTTTGCAAAATTGTACAGAAAAACGTTACATGAACGAATTATTTATTTCACAAACTCTTTGCTAAGTATACGCCTATTGTAAATTCTGAGCTTAACCTAAATCATCAAAATATAACGAGTTCATAAAATTTCTGTATTATTCTGAATACCTGATAGAAATTCTGTTGGAACTGAAGTCCAATTAAAGTAGGGTCTAAAAAGATCAATCCTCTCCTGATTTGTGGCACATTTGTGATATTTTTCTAAAAATTCATGCTTTTTTCCATCATCATGGAAAGATTTGAGGAAAGAATCCCTCACAGAGTTGTAATGGGTCGAGTTAATGGCACAATTTCCAAGATAAATTGACGCGGCTGCGGTAACAGTTGTGTACGACAAATTGTCAAAATCGTCCATTATAAAATACTTCTTAATGCAGAGTAATTTTTAAAAAAATTGAAAAATTTTACCAACCGGTACTAAATAATTAAGGTAATTATGTAGCAATACTATTTAAAATTGTGCTGTACAAGTTCTGTGTGTGAACGAACAGGAAGAGATGTAGACTAATCTTAAGATTCGAAAAAAGACCATGCGAATGTGAATACGCAATGTACAGAGACACATATGTACATATGAATGTACCTTTGTATGTATTGAATGAGGTCTATTTTTAACTGGGTAAATGTATGCTAACTAGATTTGATCCTCTGCAAGACAGGCTGGAGAACAAAATAGAGACAACAGAGATATTTTCGCTGCACATAGTGAGCACATTAAAATTACTGATATTTACTTACCATATGAAAAACTTAAAATAAATATATGTATCGATACATGTGTATATTGATGTATGTTTGTGATACAAACAAGTCATTACACAAATCGTATTATTGAGTTTGCCTGGTTCAGGACTTGGACATGTACATATGTACATATGTATTTACATATGTCCCAGAATTCATATGTACATACATATGTATATGCATAGAAAGTAAAAAGAAAGAGTAAGAAAAGTAAGAAATTTGCAAATCTAGTTAAACCAAGATCAAGCTAACTAGTGAACTGTGGCATGATGTCAAGAAATGATTAATGGATGCAATTAACCCTTTTGCATTAAAGGGCGTTATGTAAATTTGTATACATAGTTCCGAAATTCAATAAACACATCGCCAGAGTAATAAAAAATCAGGTAAAAATTCTTTATTTTCTGAAATCATACACTTATTTACATTCATTGTGTCTTTTATAAGTCTTGAAAACCTTATCATTTATGTGACCGTGAAACAGACCATGTTATTATTTTGCTGGCCAAGATTCGTTGCAACAGTGACATTTGATGCAAATTTTGCACCCGCATGTTTCGCACCGACGAATGGATTGCTCGTGTAAACGGTGAATTCTGCATTGCCACATTTGCTCTTGTATGAAACGCAGCATTCCGTGCACCCCGTCATAAATCCGCGACTTTGACACCCGAAGAGGACGGACCGTTTAGGATTGATGTCTGAAACGGGTAGCATCTCTTCAGTCCACACGCCGGAGGATTTCGACTCCGAGGTCAATCTGTTAACAAAGGAGGTAACATTTTAGTCAGATATTTTTTTGGAGGAGGAACATTTTTTTTAGGTATTGTAATCTCTCGGTCGCCGAGTTCACGAAAATTTCTGAAAATTGTACAAGCTTTGTAAAATTGTGTTACAGAATATTTTCAAATACAAAAAAATACCTGATAAGTTTACAGTAAATTTGTAACTAGATTTTCATTTGTACTTATATTTGTAATATGCAAAACGTTTATAGGTTTACTAAGTTTACTGCATTACAAGCTACCAAGTAAATTTTCCGAATATAAAATATCATGATTGAAAACATCGTCATTGTCTTACTTAAAATGGAATTTGGTCTTATTCACGATGACGACATCGCTAGAACGAGCTGCTCGCGATTTCCATAATCCTTTATTTTTTGGATGACAATTTTCCATAAATTTTGCGCCATGGTTGTCCGCCTTAGTTATGAGTTGATCCACTTCACTGATACTTAACGACTACATAAATACGTTTATTTACTGAAGAAATAAGATTTTTGTAGTTAAATTGATGACTTACCATGGTTTATAAATTTGGTAAAATTATGGACAAATATTCAATTTTTTGGACGATTCAAGTTCCGTGGAGTACGACAATATGTGTAAACGATCGAATGGAACAGTAACATGAACGTATTGAGCTGATTATCTTATCGCAAAAAAATTCGACGGTAATGCAGAAATAAGATAACTGCAATTATTGTATACATGTTAACCTTTATATGATATGTACATGGTTATGTACATATATGGTGAGTCACCGGGTCGATGTGGTAATGTATTAAAACATATTTTTTTTACTACGTACATTATTTAGCCAGGGTCTGAACCTTGGATTGGGGTACACTGTTAGAAATCTGGTATAGTTACGCAGGTATTGATTTCTCGGTGTTAAAATTGGTATTAAAATTATATCAATCCGTAGAAATTTCCTACTGATGTGGTGAATCTATACACAATATCGAGCCATTACTACAGGATATTTATCAACATGACTCTGATCTAAATGCATACATTTAATTTAACTAAATCGTAGTTGAAAAGGAATCGGAACAAGAAATTTAAAAATTGTCCTGGAATATCTTCGGTCACATGGATGACAACGATTGCATCATGCCATGATGATCGTGTACATTCAATTGTAATATAAGTATTCATATTTATACAAACCAAATTTCATTATAGCATCATCTAAATAGAAACACTGCACTTGTTAAATTTGCATGATCCAAGGTCTTATGTATTTATCAAAATTTTTAGAACATAATGGAACGCGAGCTTTCATCTCGTTTGAGAAAGGGAGAAATATGAGAGGGCAGCTTTTCGACGAGTTTCTCCTCCGTGCAGTCAGTTTCCCAAACCAACATTTGGATCCCAAGTTGACGTGGACACGCTTTGTTCTCGTCAACCCACTCCACTCAACTTTCCTCGACTGAACACTTCATGAAATGAAACCACAACTTCCCTACTCGCGATTTTCACGTGCATCTCCCAAATAAATGCTGAACATGATCTCTGCATGCATAAAAGTCATAATTAACCCTGAACCTGCATAGTTGCATGTAGAGGTGAGCTGGATCGTCATTTTTTGAGATCCAATCCATCCAAATCCATTTGGCCCAAAAAATTTCAGATCCAATCCATCCAAATCCATTTGGCCCAAAAAATTTCAGATCCAATCCATCCAAATCCATTTAGCCCAAAAAATTTCAGATCCAATCCATCCAAATCCATTTGGCCCAAAAAATATCAGATCCAATTCATCCAAATCCAGTTGGATCGGATCAGGGCATGGATTATCCAAAGAATTATATATATAAACTCATGGTTAGTGTTCGGGATAAATCTTATTGGACTGTATGTGTCACAGTGTGTTCCATGCAACAAAAGTATGGCCCAGTTAATGTTAAGATGAGATCGGAGTGTTAAAAAGAACACTTCCTGATATTCTTTATGGTGACGAAATTTATCCAATTCGACAATCCACCCAGATCCTGTTCATCCAAATCCATTTCACCCTAAAAATTTGAAATCCAATCCATCCAAATCCAATTCACCCAAAATTTTTCAGATCCAATCCATCCAAATCCATTTGGCCCAAAAAATTTCAGATCCAATCCATCCAAATCCATTTGGCCCAAAAAATTTCAGATCCAATCCATCCAAATCCAGTTGGATTGGATCGGGCCATGCATTATCCAAAAAAATGGATATCCAGCTCACCTCTAGTTGTATGCAAGACCCTGTCCAATTCTCCATAAACAAAATTGTAATGCATAGAAGTTGTTGAGTAGTCTAAAGTATAAAGATGTATTTCACACATATTTAATTGCACAAGACTTTGTTCTAGCAGATCAAGTAAATACCGAGCAAGTGCACGCATAAACAAATACATAAATATTGAGAGTGACGATGATTCTTGGTCATTTAAATGTATTCAATTTATTTTATACATTGCATTTCTATCACATTTATCTACTCTAATAAAGTGTTAGTATGATCCCTGGGTCCCTGGGTCCGTCTTCGCAATGCAAATTGCCCCATACAGTAGACAAAGAAGGAAGCGGAGCAACCACTGCATGCATGCACTGCACTGCATGAATAAATGAATACATGAACATGTACACCCCACATACATACATCACTCATCAATAGTGGTTATCATGATAAGTGATCGTGATAAACACTATTAATTAATTATTTTAGTTTGAGAAACTCTACCCACAGCGAGTGGCATGTCAATTCGAATGTATTTTTGACGCTGAATCCAACGCCGTCAATGGTTTTGACCTGCGAGGCCCCCGTGACCTCGCCGTGACCGTGGTGTCCAAATCTGGCTTATTCGTGATGTCGCATATCAATTCGAATGTATTTTTGACGCTGAATCCGAATCCGTCAATAGCTTGGCGTTAATTGTAGAAGTTAACGGGGTTTATGGAACTTAACGGGAGCATGAAGCGTGGGAATTTAAATAGTTAGCTATGCAGTTACTCCCACGCGACGGGAATTTAAGTAATTAGCTAATTCAACTACTCCCACAGGGGGCAATCAAATTTTACTGTGACCAGGTTAATTAAAATGCAGTATGACTTGGGCAAACCCTCAGTCTGATGTATGTATGTAGTATGACAAAGTCTCCACTGGGAATTATTTAAAATATAGTATGACGGATTTTTCGCTTTGGGCACACCCCCCACTGGAACTCTAGAACCCGGCCTTGGGCGGGCTATACGCTAGTTTTTAATAAAGGATGAAAAATTCGCCCAGAAACATGCAGTTACCCTAGTCAAGTAAATATTTGTTGATGGTCGTATATAAGCTTTTCTCTCTGGACAATTAAGTTGCTTTGGAACATTTTATTTTGCCTCTTACTACATAAATAATTTCTAGACGTAAAATGTTTGTATTATTCCACCTCAGTAATGTTTCCAAAAATAAAATACAAACTTTCTTTCTTGTACATAGCTTCAGACCAATGTAATGCCCTTCCGAAGAAAATGTACAACTTAACAATTTAACGAATTCGTTGTGGATTCGATCTAACATATTTATTTAATTTTATTGATTTTTGTCCTCATAAACCGGTTTATATTTATTGAGATACGAAACAATTTAAAGACATATGGCAAAACTTACGAGGGGAATTAACTCAATCATTTGAGATAAGCCAATTGTAAGCGATGTTATTTTTGTAGATTGTTTACGCATTGCTGAAAAACGACATACTAATAATTTATTTAAAATTTAGGATTCCATGCTTTGCTTCTGAAAATTGCAAACTGAAAATTGCAAATTTTCAAATTTCAAACGATAACGGTAAACTCCACATAATTTAAAAAACCAAGTCTTTTAACTTATATAGGTAATCTCAACTGGACTAAAGCAGCAGTGCATTTGCCGTAAACTCCACAATATTACTGAGAAACTCTCCTTTCATTATTGTATCAACCTTCATGAATCTCACCCTATGAAATCCCAACAACAGCTTGATTTCTCTCAAGGATTTCATTTCACGCAGAAAAAGCTTCCTTTTCACTATCGGTATGACTAAGCGTGTAAACCGGTTTCGAATTCTGTCAGATCTTTGACAAATTTGAGTTGCGAAATTGAGGGCAATCTGAGATCCTGACACTCCTACCACTATGCAGAGAATCATCGTACCAAGCAGCCACCACGGGAGGATATCGTGTTTCGAAATTAGTATGTAATTTGCATACGAACACAACCCAATTGACCCCATGACGTAAACGTATCCAATAAAACAAATGCAGTTGTCGCATATTCGCTCAATAATTTCGAAGGTGCGGTAAAACTTGAGATGAGAATGGGTTAGACGTCGTGTGGAGGAATCGTTGACCAATTGTTGTATCTGATTGACCAATTTTTGCAAGACTTGAGGACAAATTAAAGAATATGCTACAAGGAAGAGATGAAGTCGAAACGCTTCGGCAAAAAAGAACCAAGTTGTTAGGGAACGGAGTAGAAATTCGAAAATTCGATAAAGTATTTGATAAGGCAATATGTTTAAGGTTACGTTCCCGAGGAAGTGTCTCAAAATCTGAGTTATAAAATCATACTCGGCGTAAACATCAAAAATTATAAGGATTGGAAAACCATAGTAACGAAATACTATTTGGCGGTGTATCCGTTTATTGAGCCAGTCGTCGGTTTCAAGGGTCGGCTTGACGGGTTGTTTTGGAGCGGCTAAAAGTTATTATTTTTCGTGGATTTAAAATTTCTATAATTTTCATGGACGTATTCCCGACAACGTCTAATTTCGCAGCGTACTAAAACTTCTTTTAGTAACTAATTTAGCAAATATTTTGCGAAATACTGTTTCGAAAAAACTAGGCCCATTTGATAGGTAAATTTGAGGACCAACAACACGATTTTCCAGCAAAATGTTTCATAAAATATCGCAAACTTCGCAAGTTATGTTAATATCTAATACATATGCTTACTTTGCAGGTTGTCATGAGTACGCCAATTGTTAAAGTATAATTAACCTACCATTTTTGAGTAATTTTGAAAAACTAGCTGCTTGATTAAGTCCGTATGCTAGTTCGTCGCCATGCCGACCAATGAGGATGGATTGATACGACAAAATTTGGATAACCAGCAGAACCGAAATAATGTAAATGATCCAGATGGAGATGGATTTCAAGAAATCATCACGTGGGTTCAAAGTGATGAAAATGTTGGTGAGAAATCCGCCCAGGATGAAGAATGCATTTAATAATGGCCACACCTCAAAGAACGCCTGCAGTTTTTTGTATTTACAGCAATGAAGGTAGTAGGGCATCCAGAATCGGAAAATTTTCAGAAACCAGTTTTCGATTTTTCCGATTTTGGCAAACTTTCGTAAAACCGGTTTTCGATTTTACCGGTTTTTGAAATTTTCGTAAAACCGGTTTTCGGTTTTCCCCAAAACCGGTTTTAAACCGGTTTTCAAAATCGGTTTTCTACCAAATTTTTAAAATTTGTTAAATATAATATTGTAAAATTTAAAGCTGAACAAATTTTGGGCATTAAATTGACAAATAATATTTCAGAACAATTAATTTTTGCATGAAAAACAAGATATGACAAATATTTAGTGGTTTTGAAACAAATTTTGTCCAAAATCGAAAACCGGTTTTCGAGTGTGATAAAACCGGTTTTTGACAAAACCGTTTTTTTAAAAAATTGTAAAACCGGTTTTCGGGTAACTCGAAAACCGGTTTTTAACCGGTTTTACAAAATCGGAAAAACCGATTCTGGATGCCCTAGAAGGTAGACCTTTGATTGAGCGGAATTCCACCGAAATAGAAATGGATAGCCGAACGGGTACTTTTTGTTGTAGTAAATTTCAAAATATTTGAAGGAGAGGAGAATGTTGACCACCATGATGTCTGATTTGGTGCAGATTTTGAAATAGTTTTTGAATTAGGTCTGACTTGCTGAAGAAAGGGCATTAAAATAACATCAAAATGGCAAATAAGTATGACAGCGTTGTTTTTCTGTACCTTAATTTAAAATCAATAAGCTAATTCAGGAATAAACTTATTAGATTATTTTTTTTTTCGTTGTACTCCGACATGAAGGGTTTTATGGTCTAGTTGACGTCATGTTAAGGCAAAAATAAATTATTCTAAAGTTTATACTTTTTCAGAAGGGTTGCCAAATATGACAAGCTACATATTAAATAATCCAAACCTTTAAAAATCTTTAATGGTTGATCCTGTAAACGATGACATTGATTGAATGTCTTTTTGTTGAAATGAATTTTTGAAGGCTGTTAAAATTTATAGCGGAGGGTAATCTACGTATTTATTTATGTATTAAAGTGACATATTTATATACATAGTTCGTCCGATGGATAAAAGTATTATGCAATTTATTACAATTGTATAGCTTATCTTCTACTAGCTTATTTTATAGTGCAACCTTTGTAATGCTGTTGCATAAGCAACTTTGCATTCCAAAGGTCAAGGGATTCAAACTACATAGATTTAGTTTGCATGTAAGGGTCGTATGGATTCTCATCCATCACTCCATAATGAGAGTAAGAGTGGAAAACCATAATTTTGTATTCACTTTCCATATCTACCAGTTAAGTTAGTAAAGTAGATTTTTCACATTGATTATACTTCATAATGTGGACAACATTAATTGTGAAGTAATTAATCAATATGATCAATGGGTAGGTATGGAAATTGAAAAACAGAGAGAAACATATTTAATATAAGTAGTGACTCGCCATTCATGGTTAACCAAACCGTAACCTTGAATGCACTTGAGTGCAGGCAGAGCTCACTACATTACGAGCATAGGATAATAGATATATACGGTAAGGAGAGAGAAGAACGGGGAGTGTAGTTTTAGGCACGGGATCAGCAGGTTTAGCTTTTCATCCATCAAGGTTGTTTAAGTATTTAAGATTCGTTAGTTAAAATAGAATAAGTTCACAATTTAAGTAATTTTAGGAAATATAAATATAACATCAGCTCTCCCACATATTTAATAATATAAGCATTTTGGTTAATCAATATTTTTCAGTCGGTATTGATATAAATAAGCATATATATAAATTTCCTTTAGAAAGTGAACTTCATCTCCAAGTTTATTGCACTAAAATCACAAAATAAGGGACACCCACGAAAGTGGGTGTGGATCGGGACACGCAGACCCCATAGTAGAACAGGGGGCGTTACAATAGGTTATAAAATCTGGCTACTTTACACAAAGATGTGCTACCATGTGTACAGATATATTATTACATTATTGCGGCCTACTTAAGACATTGGAAACATGTGTTGATTACGAGTTCGCATCGTTAACATGTGTAGAAACGTTTGAAAAAGAACAAAGTCCGTAAAAAATTGGTTTTGTAAATCATTTGCGAACTTACATACGCATCTCTCAAGTACTTAGTTCGAAATTTTGTTTTCAAAATTATGTTGCATTGAAAACATGCAAATTCGTAATGGCTCACATGATATGATTTGTTTTGCTTAAATTAGATTGTATGAAAATAAAACTCCAACGAAATACCGATAACACAAAGTAAATAACTCATGCACACAACCACAAATAAGATTGTCATCTGCTTCACCCCGATTGATTCAGGTCCTGACTTTCCTGTTCGAAGGACCAAACACTGATTCCTCCTCTTGAACCCGTTACTCTCATCAGACGAGCAATTTCTCAGGGACAAATTAGGCTCAAGATTTAACGAATCTTGTGTAATTTCGTTCTCAAATGCTATATTTTCTTCCGCGATGTACTTTTGAGTTATGCCCGCACTTAAAAATCGATTCATCAAAATAATAGATTCCTCCTGAAACTGATCATTCGATACAAGAATGTACTCCCTAATTTTGAGAAATTCCTTGGAAATTGGAATTTTATGAGGAAAACTTTTTTGTAGCCCGTTCAGCTGGAAACGATTTCCGACAAAGATCTCTTTCCGCTCGGACATTCTTTTTCGTACGTCGGAGTAATCGATCTCCATAGAAAAACAGGTATTAAGAGCTTGTAAGATTGTGTTAAATTCTGGATTTGAATTCCCCCTGAATTTGACCTCGTCCCGAAAAATTGTTAAGATACCACTCGTAAAAGTGCAGTTATCAGGCGACGCTTTCTGCAAAGTTCCCGCCATTGCAAAGTATGGGATGTCTGAGGTTATCAAATTTTTGAAGGTTTCGGGAACTTGAGATAACTCTGCTTTAACCAGACTTTGGAGTAATCCGGTCTTGTAGGCTTCTGTTAATACGAAGCTGAGAACTAGCCATGTTACGAACAGAACAGTTATTCCGGTGATATTTTCAATTTTCGCGGGAATAGGTTCACTTTCGTCAAGCAATGGCCTAATTAATAGTTCCACGATCTTTTGTAGAGATATGGTTTTGGTTTCCGGGGAAAATTTCAAAATGAACCAAAAAATTGTAGAAACAACGCCGAGGGTTATACCCGTTAGAAGGTATAGTTCCCATGGTAACGGGTTAACGATGGAATTCCACCCCGTCACAATTTCTGCAGGTGTGATCCACCCGGTTTGGTGATCTCGGCCGAAATAAAATAACTGTCCGGAACGATTTCTAAGCGCGGTTATCCCAAAGGTAAGTGATGGATGGATTTCAGAGGAATCAGCATACGTGTAAAATCCCGAAACGTTGAAACGTTTTGTTAATTCTACGGCTAAAAAGATTCTGGTTTCGTTTTCAAATGGTGATAGAACTGGAGAGAACCAGGATTCGGTTATTGGAAATGTTCCAACTTTAAGGAGCACGTTCCAAAAGTATATTTTGTCTAGTCGACTTGGGGTTAAAATGGTGTACTTGATTGGAATTAGAGGATGGTCACATTTTGAAATTTCGGAAAAACTAGTTTTTGTACGCAAATGATTTTCTAAGGGGAAGTCAAACTTGTTGGGTAATAAAATAAAATCGTGCCTTCGTGACATCAAATTTTCCACAAAATCTGGTACTTGTAAGTGACCAGGCACAACAAAAATTCGTGATTTGACTACTGCAAATTTATGTGAGCTTTTAACTTCATAAAAGTGACTGAAATTTGAAAATATTTGAACTAAGAGTAGGCATTGATTATAATATTGTAAGATATACATTACAGTATATGACTTTAGAGTCTGCTTCACTTGTGCATGAAATACTTAGGTACGTCACGTTTTCAGCTTTGACTCCAGAAACAATATCTCCAAAATCTGGAGACATACATAGTTAAAAATAATTGTTGAAAATGACATGAACGGTTTTACTGTCGGCGTTGTTGTGTATTGCAAGAAACCAAACTTTATAAGTAATTTCGTGGTATTTCTCTTTTGAAAGAGATATGTATGTTTTTTGACATGCACTAATGTCACCCTGGTTTATCAATAGGTAGACTTGGTAAATATTAAATATTTATGTACATATGTAGTCAGAGTTTAGACAAGTACATCTTAAATATAAAATGGTTAAAATTCAAATAAACTACGTAAATATGTCAAGCTGTCAAGTTAAACGCTAGGTTGATTTTTAAAATTATGCGTACTTGTTGTACATGAAGAAATTTATATGTATGATACGCAATAAATAATAACTTAGGAATAGGGACGATTGCGTGTAACTTGTTTGCTATTGATAATTTATTATTCAAAACTACTTCCCACTTGAACAAGTCACACTAGACCAAAATTTGCAAGTACATAAATCGTAAGTATCAATGTGTATGTACGCAACGCATATTAAATAATTCATGTACATACGTTGATGCTAAAATCAAAGTGGTCAATAAATGTCATGTGTTGAATAAAAAATGTAAAATAATAACTCAAGTCCAAAATTTGATAAAAACAAGTCATGTCGTTTTGAGGTGCATGTAAAATTAGAGGAATTACGACATATTGGAAATTTCTAAAGAAGTTGTAAATTTATGTAATGGATGCGTGTTTTACTATACGAACAATTTTAGCTCGGTTGTCTTCTCTTCCCAGCTCACGCTGAGACGTATCCTCTGAATCTACCCATGGACATCACCTCGAAGAATTTATCTGGCTCGTAACTGACCCTTGAATAGTGCAAGGTCAAGTCCACGTTGGGATATGCTTCACGTAAAATGGCATCCGTAATTGAAAAGTACACCTCCTTTGGTTTGGGTTTGTGCAAGTACCACATCGCATTCCAAAGATTAGCAACGTGCTCCATATTCTACGGATTAAATGATGCAGAATTAGCATTGAGATTATTATTAGGACGTATTCTAAATTTATTTTCACCTTGTCCTTCTCTTGTTGCACTGCTGCTTGAAAAAGTCTACCGGCGAGTGCGTCCTCTTTACGGCTAGCACTTCGAATTTCGCCCGTTTCAATCCATCTCTTCTCAAACACTCCGACATAAACCCAAAGGAAGGTCAGGGCCTCGATCGCACAGAGTGACTTGTTTCTGCTCATCTTATCCAACATGTCATAAATGTTTTCGCTTGCCTCCTTGGCAGCAGAATAATTACAAACTTCCACCATCTCTCTGATCAGTTCGGATACGTTGGATATAGGGGTCAAATTGCATACATATGTCAATTTGACATGAAATTTAACCGCGAATTCAATGATGACCTCCGTTTTGACCTCAAAGGTCACGAAAGATCACTTAGAGGTCACTGAAAGATCACTAAACGTTATATATGATACATGTCAATTTTAATTGAAATTTAACCCCGAATTCAAGGGTGACCTTCATTTTTACCTCAAAGAACATGAAATTGTTAAATGACTGTTTGTTAACTGTTAACTGACACCAAATGTTAAATTTGATACATATGTCACCTCACAAATGTTATAAAGTTCTCGGTTTCACCCCTTCGTTACATGCGTTTAACGGTTTATTTACCATACGACCCTCGACGTCACCACTGCAATGCTATTAGTAATGAGAGGGATGACGTCGAGGATCGTATGGTAAAAAAATAGGAGTAAAACAAATATCAATAATATTTTTTAGGTCCATATTAGGCGGTATTGGTCCTTATTATGAAATTCCAGTCGAATAAGATTATAACACACCTGTAACATCACAGGACGAATTGTCTACGCCAAGGTGAAATCCGTCCAGACAGGAGCACTCAAAGCTGCCTCTCTTATTTTTACAAATTTGCGAACAGCTTCCAAACACTTTGCATTCATCTTTATCCATGCATTTGCCCGATGAGCTGATTTCATATCCATCGAAACAATAACATGTTTCGCTGAAGTTTTTCGCCGGATCGGGAACACAACCATTAGTACAAGTCGAGTTGTTACAGACAAGTCCTTTAAATCAGATCAACTCGTTACCTTAATTTTATACTAATTGATTACTTAATTAGTCACCACATCCATCGAACTCGTCCGAGCCGTCTCTGCAGTGGGGTATTCCATCACATACTTTGTCAGCTTCGAGGCACATTTCATTTAACCCACACAGAAATTTTCCACTCTTCGCACGACATTTTTGAGGATCTGAATTAAAGATCGTGTAAATTTTCCGATTGGCATGAAGCCTAGCAATATATTGTGCTCGTACCTATGCACGCCTCGTCTGAGTAACCGTCCAAGCAGTCGATGTAACCGTCACACTTCTTGGACAGGTGTATACACTCGAACGAAGCACATTGAAACGAGCCTGGTTTGCATCCCTGATGAGTACATATTTACTATTAAATTATGCCTTGAAACCTCATATGATATGCATATCTTAATGTACATACTGCGGTCATCGACTTCGACAATACAAAAAAAATATGAATACACTTTTTTATAAATTAATTATTACGCACTTTAGCTTTTCCACAATCTGTCGGAATTTCGTCTGACCCATCAATACAATCTATCAAGTCGTTACACAAGTACGATATTGGGATGCAGTTATTCCCTTTGTGACATCGAAAGTAGTCTGAGCGTGCACAAATGCGCTGAAATTTACACAATCCACAGTACATACATAAATCAATTTGTGAGAATATTAGCGTATGTTGCCTAATTTATACATATTATATCGTTGTATTTGGTAAAATAAATTTCGAATTAATAACGGAATATTCGTATTTATCGGTGGAAATTTCGCAGCGAACTTATATAAATACTTATCCACGTAGAATACTTGGGTTTTGTCCATATACGAGGATGAACAGTTGACTTCGTCTGAATGATCAGTTCCTGGGTCCGGTCGATTGCAGTCTTTGTAATCATTGTGTGAGGAGAGAGTATTATTATTATTTTATTTATGGAAAAAGTTGTTTTCGGGGTAATGTGAGTTGCCATGAGAATGCTCTTGGCTCGTAGCATAAAACTGCGAGCTCGAAGAAAAATCAGTCAGTTCGTCGCTGGAGTTCGTCGAGGGAGGAACTACGACGATCAAGCTGCTGCCGTGTTGGAGAGGAAATTCCAGCAACAGTAATAATTAAGAAGAAGGAGTGAAAAGTCAAAAGGGTATGTTTTAGGACACCGCAAAAGGTCATCCTCTGCGGTAATGTGTTGAGCGAGTCATCTCTCCAACACCGTAAAGTTTCTTATTTGGTCACGAGAAGTGACAATGTATGTATTTGGTCAAGTTAGTTATTTTCCTCTCTCCCTCCAAGTTATTGAAGTCTAGTGGGAATAAATACTTGGGGAATTTATTAATTGTAAATCTGTATCGCGGTGTCATATTTATTGTAGTGTAAAGAGTTGTGGGTGATTATCTCATCATAAAATAGCAGTAGAACCCGGGTAGTGCATTTGATATGCAAATAGTGTCGTAATTAAGGTCGGGAAGGCATAATTCGTCACAATTGTCGCACACATAATTACTTGGAATACATTTTCCGGTGGAGCACAAGAACAAGTTATTCGAAGTCGTACAATTTCCAGACAGAAGAGTTAGAACAAATTGAGAGGGTTGAACTGAACAATATGAAAAACAATGTAGTATTTATTAGCAATAATAATAATAATATTGTGTACGAAAAAAATTGCTCTTATGTATCTATTATATTATTATGCGAATTCATTTGCATGCATACGTCATTATCAACGTTAGAGAGAAATTAGATTTTTTAACCACCCAGTGACAAATTACGTCTGCATAACTGGTTGGCCAAATATGGTATAATTCTGCTTATGTCAAACTATCTACTGCGCATTATAATGCTTGCAGAAATATCTCTGTCTACTATTAAAAATTACTTGACTTACGTATGAAAATTACCGTTAGATAACAAATTTGGATTAAAATTGTGTTATCCATTTTTTAACTACATATATACCTAGGTCTAAATACTTATTCTTCTGGCGGAATAATTTTTATATATGTAAAGTACTTAATTTGCTTGCCAGGTTAATCGCAATGTTAGAGGAGCAAATGAATACCGAGAAAATTTTCAGAGACAAAATACTTAATACAAAATGCAATTTCCTGTTAGTTATCATGCTTCATATTTCCTGTAGCTGATTTTGTGTACTTGACTTGAATCTTGGACGATATATGTAGAGTGTGTTAAGTTTAAGTACGAGGAATTTTTGCAAGACTTGAGATATCATTTAGGGTCAATTTTTGCACAAGCAACTTTCAACATCTTTATGGTTGGTTCCTCATATAAATCGAAAATATTTATTGTTAAGATAGTGTGCAAATATGTACATATGTACGTATGTACATACCAATGTATTTATTATTTATAAATACATTGTGAGATATGACAAAACTATCAGAATCAGAAGGGAGAAGACAACTCTGCGTTCTGAAACTGACCACAATTCTAAATGGTTAAGAGCTGACAACCATCTTGCGACGTAGTGTAATTGTTTTTTATTATTTTGCAGTTCTTTTTTGTTTGCATGCAAAAAAGCGTGCCATGATTACTGGTGTGTGATATGGAATTTTGAACACGCAGATGGGTAACATCGTAACATGCATGTACATATGTCACATGTATGCATATGTATACACGTTTAAGTTTATTGAATTTATTCGCGTTTGCTATATATGTATAATTAATTATGAGTGTGTAGACTTTATAAGTTACCATGTAGTAAGTACACATTCATTCATACATAAAATTTGTTGAAGTTTTCATTAATGGTGTCGTACGAGCGCGTCAGCACGAGTACTGGTTTTCAGCCATACCGGACACCGGAAAATATTTGTAACTGATTTTATCATGTAATTTGCAAAAGTTTTTTTCTAAATTCCACTCAATTATTTGCTTGTGCAATGTAAATTGGTCTAAATTATGCATACACAGCTCGATACACAAACTTTTGTTGCCAGAAGTGTATTAATTTGCAAATCCGGATATGAAATTGCACTTTACAAATCTTATTCAATTCACGTGTCATTGGTTAATACAATCAAAACAAAACGTGGTCAATATATGACTTAACCGCCTTGGTTACAAATGTGATTCCGAGTAGTAATGAATTTTTTCCGTTCGGTCATAACATTATAACTATCGGTATCAAAATCATCAAAACTCGGATTCAACATTGTAACCAAGGCGGTTAAGAGTTGACTATATTTTATGTTAAACGAATCCTCATAAATCACATAGTGGCGAAACTGATGAACTCGGTGGGGTAAAAAGTTCATAAGTTTTGGTGGGAATTTTGATTTTTTGCAAAAAACTGTAAATATCATTAGGAGTTGTTTACATTTTTAGTGGTTTCCAGTGGGAAGAGTATGTGTAGTTGGAGCTTGCCACCACACATACTCTATGACGAGGTGAGACGAGTCACAAAAAGTGGTAACAATTTGATGTTATTTTCACTTTGCGAGTTTCAAAGTGCACGCAAAAGTTTGAAATTTTCACAATATAATTATTAATAGTTTTGCAACAAATTACCTTGGGCCGATAAGCAATTGTGATGGTAGATTTATTTATATTAATCAATATCTGCAAATTTGAGATTATTGATTAATATAAATAAATCTACCATCACAATTGCTTATCGGCCCAAGGTAATTTGTTGCAAAACTATTAATAATTATATTGTAAAAATTTCAAACTTTTGCGTGCACTTTGAAACTCGCAAAGTTAAAAATCACGTCAGATTTCTGGACCCATGCGTAGCATGGAGAGGAAATGCAGAGCGAGAGCTCTTCTCGCTCAATAGAGCGAGGAGAAAAAAATATAACGCCGGCTTAAGTCATATATTGACACCGGCGGTGTTGATTCGTCAAATTTTTATTTTCAGTGTAAATATTTACCTATGTACTTTACCCATATGAGTAAATATTAATGGCGACCCTAAGTGACTGAATGAGTTACCCTAAAAAATAAACCCTACGGGGGACTGAATGGCCTTCCCTAACTTGCCAATAACCATCCTTATTTATCCTAAACTTTACTCTAAGGTCCCAATATATTTTATTTAACTAAATTATACATACTAAACAAAAATAAACCGTTGCACACGAAATGTAGCAAAGGGGTGAAAACACACGTCTTTGTGACACGGCAATTTTTAATAATTTTTGATAGCATATTATAAGACTCTGCACATCAATTGAACGTCCTAAATAATTTTATGATAAATAAGATTAATCATAGATTATCTGGGAACTTGTTTTGCCCCGATTCCTTGGCACTAAATAGTAGAATCAATTAATTAAGAATTTACCCGGCAAGTTTGAATTTGCGGGGCAATGTGAGACATGGTTCCAGCAATTTTTCATAAATTTTGATTGCATATTATAAGACTTCGACTAACAATTGAACGTTCTAGTTAATTTTATGAAAAACTAGATTAATTATAGATTATCTGGGAATTTTTGTTGCCCCGATTCCTTGTAACTAATTTTTGGAATGATTTAATTTTGAATATTAGGGGCATTGTGAGACATGGTTGCAACAATTTTGTATCAATTTTTGATCGCATATTATAAGCTTCCTAATGAAAATTCAACGTTCTAGTTAATTTTCCTAGAAAATAGAGTAATTATGGATTATCTGGGAATTTTTTTCCCCGATTCCTTGTCACTAATTAGTAGAATCAATTAATTAAAAATTTACTATCATAACTAGGAGTGGCAAGTTTGAATTTGCGGGGCAGAGTGAGACATGGTTCCAGCAATTTTTAATAATTTTTGATCACATATTATAAGACTCTGACTAAGAATTGAACATTCTGGTTAATTCTAAGCTAAACTAGAGTAATTCTAGAACATGTGGGAATTTTTTTTGCCCCGATTCCTTGTCCCTAATTAGCAGAATGAATTAATTCAGGATATACAATCTTTACTTGGAGCGGCAAGTTTGAATTTCGCGTGCATTGTGGGACATGGGTCCATCAATTTCTCATCAATTTTTATACGAATATTATAACACTTTGACTAAAAATTGAACGAATTTCAAAATGAATTTTTGAGTAAATTTTCTAGTGAATTTTCTAGCGAATTTTCCGAGAAACTATTCTAACGCTCCCACCAGAATCGCCGAATCGCTGAAACCCCAAAAAAACGTTTCCAGAATCGCCGAAACGCCAATAGGATGGTACCAGAAGGGCGAAACGAAAAAAACACGTTCCCCCCAGAATCGCTGAAACGCCGAAAGGACGGTCCCAGAATCGCCGAAACGCCAAAAGGACGGTCCTCGTAGCAGCAATGTGTATTCGCATATTATAAAGCTCTAATTAATAACTCAACGTTCTGGTAATTTTTATAGTAAACTACCATTAATATAGAACATGTGGGAATTTATTTTGTCTCGATTCCATGATCCCAATCAGAGAAATTTACTAATCAAAAATTTACCTTCATCCGCTATAGCGGGAGGTTTAAAGTTATGGGGCAATCAGATATACGATCCATCAATTTTTCATAAATCTTTGATCGCATATTATAAGCTTCCTAATGACAATTGAACGTTCTAGTAATTTTTACAGGAAACTAGAATGGTTATAGATTATCTGGGAATTTTTTTTAAATCCGTAGGTACAGACAAAAGGACAAGAATTAAATTAGTTGATTTCTCTATGTAATTGTCAAATATTTAAAAAACAATGTTTGTGGGCATTTGACCAGACTAGCATACATCTACAGAGATTTTAATATCCCTGATACTTGCAAAAATGTATTTCTTGGGTTAAAATGTAAACCAGGGAACCCAAAGAAATGCAAGCGAGCCCGTGTTGATGATTTTTTATTAATTTAAGAATCAATTCTGAGAAATGGTCTTAATAAATGATAATCGAGATGTAGTTACCTAAAAAATTATGTAAATTAACGATTTTTAACTATCAGAACTTTATGGTCGAGATTCAGTTATTAGCTATTTTTTTCGACCTCTTAGGGTAGGCCATTCAGTCCACCGTAGGTTTATTTCTTAGGGTATCCCATTCAGTCGTTTAGGGTCGCCATTAAATGCGACCCTTAAATTAATAAGTACTTGCGACAACTTCGAGTTGAAAACATTGAGGTCCTCCTGACACTGTGTCTTGCAGAGAAAGTGCCTGAGTGCTAGCCGAACCCTATAACTCATGCTGATTTGAGTGGAACTCAAAATAATTGCTGATAACAAATGGATTAATAAGAAATAATGCGATTAAATGTAAGGATGATGGATTTTTATTGAAATCAAAAAGGAATAAAATAATCCAAATAATGGTATACAAATAGTCTATGCATAAGTCAAAAGAAAACAAATATTATTCATTAGAAGTAAGAATGTATAATAAATTACTCGAACATATACTCATTTAAGAATGAAGTTGAGAAAATGTCGGGCAATTGTTCAACAAGTTGGTCAAGGATTTGAAATGTTGAAGTTGGTTTGTAGAAAAGAACTGCTTGTTCCAGACGACAAAGAGAAATTCCTGAGCTCTCGACAAGGCCACATTAATACGGTTGATATTCGTCAAAAATCCAACGTTTCTTTTTGGAGACTTGTTGCCGCACAGAGTTATCCAAGGGGGCGGGCAAGGGTATCCTTTGTGGTCATACGCATGGTGCCTATCAAGATAAGAGGTGTAATGTCTTGCACGTTTAATTAATTGCTCTTTATCATTTTAAAATTTAAAAACATACCCTTCATCCACCCCTGGCAGCATGTCGATGAATGACAGTCCAAGACCTGCGGCTGAAGCGGCTTGTGACGTGATTGTGAAAGACAGCTGCATGGGGTCGTCAGCAAAGATGACACGAGCTGGGTTCAAGTTTAACATATGAATGGTTTGGGGCTGACTGAGTTGGCTCGCTTCATCCAGCATCACTGTGGTAATGTCCCCATTTTTGGCCATGCACGAAAATCGCTGGTCCCCGACACATCCCACAGTTGCGATAAAAACGTCGAATTTCTGGAGCACTTCGTTCTCGACACTGGAGATGTGGGCTTCCAACGCTGAAGATTGTGCTTGTGTCAGCAGAAACTCGGTCTTATTGTCGATATCTGTATAAAGAAAATAAAATTGATTTTGTGTTACACGCTTATCCATAATTATTTTTATAATCAATTTTACTATATAATTATTACGATGTTGTTTGTGTTACGCGTTTGTCTATAATTATCTTTATATTCAATTTTAATATATAATTAATTATAATTATTACGATGTTTTATGATGTCCAGATCCTCCATATTATCATCGTTCATCCAGAGTGGAGATTTCCGAACCTCCTCATGGAGCACAGGAAACTGATCCGCCTTTGATGCGTCTAATTGAAAGGAAGGAAACAATTGGACGACTGAATACAAAATATAATACAAGCTCTATAATACTCACCGTTATCCAAAAAATGCCTGCCCTTGGTTCTGGATAGGACGCGTACAATTCGGCATTTAATGCCACTATCATTAAGAGTGGCACTTAATGCAAGGGCTAATACATCGGCTGCATAATTAGATGGGGCGCAGAGAAACACGGCTCCTTCTTCTTTTACTGCCAAAATCGTTGCAATCATCGCCAAGGTGTACGTTTTCCCTGTTCCTCACGGACCTTGGATGACACTTACTCGGAAGTCTTCCGCTCGTGATAATGCCCGTTTCTGAAACGTTTAATGAGATTTATTACACGAATACATAAAGAATGTACAAATTTAATCATTTGCATATTTTTTTCCAGACCTGTTCAATGTTCAAGCTCTGTTGTAATTTTCCAAGTTTAACAATGTTTCGTGAAGCCACAAACGATTATTTGGTTTTTCTCGATTTTCAAATCTCCAGCATGCAGATGGGCATTTGCCAGGATCCAGTAAAAGTCCAAGTAATTTGTATGCATCCAAGGGGCTGCTCACCCAGTTATCAATTGCATTTTTCATGGATGAATAGTCGCTCTTATTTGGCGTGGGAATGACTTGCACTACATTATCATTGTTGACCAGATATCTACAGGAAGCCAGTGTTTTCAGCGTGACGATGACATGGAGTTTTCCGTCCGTGTGGAGCTTCATCATGTGGATTTTGGCTTTAGCTTCCTGACCCTGCATGAATTTGACAAATAATTGCAACGTAAGTACAATAGTTACAGAGTGAACCAGCCGACCCTGGTGATCGGCCGGTGCAAAGTGTCGACAACTACTAAATACACGGGTATGATTTTAAATTTATTTTACCTTCCAGCTCAGTGTACATTTGGTGATACAAGATGTGTTGTCCTTATTCCATGCGTGCTTCGGGGAAATGCTGATTTTTGCGGCGGTCACAATGAACTTCTTTCCTCCTTCATGTATGGTTTCCACTAGGGCCGTTTGAATAATCACCCCCCGCGTCTTGTTGGTGTCGCTAAAGTTTTTTGTAGAATGGTTCCACTCTTCTTCAAGTAAAGGACCAATTATGTTTTGGTACTCGGATGGATCCTTGTAAAATTGTTTCACTGGGTAGTGGCTAATCATGAGCTCGCTGTGGATCCCGTTGACGCGTCGTTCACCAATCAGTCGGGTAAAGTCTTCATCTGGCCAATGATAGGCAAATCCTGGTCTACACAAAATAAGAGCAAATTAAAATATAAACGATTAACGTGTACTATAATAATTAGTATAATAATTAGTTACCCTGCCCTCTCATAACTGCACGAGCATCGGCCTGCAATCGAGACCAATTGAAGGTTGAGGCCAAGCAATTCAAACGGTTGTCTGCAGCGCCAACAATGGCTGCTAAGTCCATCCAGAAAGTTTTTATTCAACAATTCTTGGTTGAAACAACAAAATGGAATATATCCCATTTGGGAGGACAGATCCTTGACTGGGATTATGGCTCCGTCAACGCCAAGGCCCTGTTTAGTGCAGATGGTGGCCCTCAGGGACTTATCTCGAGATTCAAATGTCGGAGGCAAGTCGAAAGGACACATTAGGATGACCAGGTTGTCATTCCATTGAGCTAATTAAAAAATATATGTATGCAAATAAATAAATAAATACAATTCTACGCGTATAAATAAAGTGCCAAGTAATGTCAACAAAAATGCCAAATATGCTCACCAATACTTTGAACTTGTTCCAATGTCGAATGAAAAACGATTGGAGTAGAATGGGTTCCCGGTCTGATGGTTTTAATGTAATTCACGTCACTCGTTTTTGTCACGAAATGGCAATTTAAACGTGTCTAGAACAACAAAAATGTTACATGTAGGATATACTTTTAAACTTGTAACAAACTACTACTAAAAAAACCTGCACCAACAAACTAGTACTAGATGCAAATATAACATTATCGAGTTAACTACACGTCTAAAATAACTATATTGTCAACGAACTAATAAGACTTACCGAGTTAACATATACAACTTTGTCCTCTTGATAAGTTTGATAATCGTCATCATTTCCTTGCACGGTGGTAAAGTTTGTGTTTATCGTGTCCCAGAAACGGGGCTCAAACACTTCGATTAATTTATGGTGGGAAACACCGACACGATTAATAAACTCCCTTTTGGCAACCGCAACTTTAGCTAGTTTGAACTTTCCGTCCGGTCTTCTCTCATCCCCTGCATCCTACAATAGACAAGAAATAATCATAATATATTTTGTAATTTTTATTATACAATAGAATGGTCATATACAGGGTGTTAATAAAGTCCGATCCCATTTTTCCTGTAAAAAAGTGAAGGCTAGTATAAAAAAAAACTACCCGTGATACTTACAAAAAATGTTCGACATATTTACCTTAGTATTTGGTCTTGTTACCATTTACTTTAACCATGCCCTCAACTCTTTGTTTAAGGCTCTGTGCTAATTTTTCCAATGTGCCTCTGGAAATCGAATTCCATACATCTTGAACTTTTTTTTACTAGCTCTTCCCTCGTCCGGGGTTGTGGCTCTTTGTATACATTTTCCTTAAGTATGGACCACTGGTTCTTCAGGGGATTCAAATCTGGGCCGTTAGCGGCCCACACCCCCTTGCTCCAGACCGTTGAAACTTGCGTCTTGATGAGACTCAAACTCGCTTTTGCTGTATGGGCTATAGCACCATCCTGCATGAAAACTATTTTTCTTTCATTCGGAAATATTTCCTTGTTCCCCATGCTATCGAAATAGATAGGTAATATTTTTTCCATATAATGCTTTGCATTGACTGATTTGCCTTTTGGTATGATATGTAGAGGGGTCACGCAACGTGCACAAAATCCACCCGCTACCATAACTTTAAGCCCGAATTTTGGGATCGCTCTTGATGGTACATCCGATTTGTTTTCTGTTCTGTAACGAACATTTTGTTGGTTCAATTTTGGATATAGTTCAATAATAGATTCGTCAGTCCAAAGGATGTGACTGCGCAATTCTTCACCAAGTCTTTTTTCACTCAAATGGGCACTTTTCTGAAGGAGTTCTTCAAATTTCAGACGGTCATCGATATATTTTTGTGACATGAGAGGTTTTTTTGGTTAGTTTGTAAGCTGTGTGACCCCACTTCGTAGTTTTCACAAATTTTTGCACGGTCACACAGTTAATTTGCTTCTTCTTCTCTTTATAGCGTTTTGAGTCATTTAACTCCCTTGCTCAATTACGTAATGAACTACCGGTTTTCTTGCAAAGTCTGTTTTTAATCATTCTTTTTGTGGTAGGTGACACCTTTCTGGGTCGCCCTGGTCGCTTTTTGTCGTGGACAAAATTTTTATTCTTCCATTTCCAAACCGTTCTGCGGCTGCAGCCCAATTTTTGCACAATTTCTGTAGGTTTAAGCCCCTGCTGATGCAATGTTTGTATCTCAACTCTAAGATGCTCATGACTTACACGTTTAGTTGTTCCTCCCATGGTAAAAATTTGAAATAAATAACTTCACTGGTTCAAAAGTTCCAGCTGAATTTGTAACAACCACGCTCCAAAAAATGCATGGGATCGGACTTTATTAACACCCTTTATTATACTTGCCGGCTTAATGATGACGGTCCTCTTGTTGTTGCCCTCATGAGAAATTTTCAATCCGCGAGTCTGCAGTATCAATTTTTCAAAATTGAAGTCGATTCCTTTGACAACTGCGACAGAGAGACCAGGTGCTCCATCTGTGTACACTTGGACGTCGATTGATGTTTCTGGGTAAGGCGAAACGAAAACTGCAAAACACGAATAAATAATTGTTTTAGTACACGTTTATAATAATAGTTATAAATAAATTCAACTCACTGTTGGGATGCAAGTACTGGAGTTGATATTTTAGATCTTCTCTTGTTATGCCGTTGGGCAGATTAGTAAGAAAAATGGCAGTAACTGACATTTTTGCTAATTTTGTATACGTGTACTTTTGTTTTTGAGTAGTACACGTATATTTATCAAGTAATTAATTTAGTATTTTAAATTATTTACTATACGAATAAAAAAAGAAGCAAAATGGAGTTTGTCCAGCTGCAGCAGTGAGAAAATGCAGCTCATCTCTCTCCGAGCAGGCACGAATGAATGCGGAGAGAGGAGACTCAACAGCGATCTCGCGGCGACTCATAGATGGTATTGTTAAGTTAGTGAGATCTGAAGGCTGTTATTAATAAACAATGAACAAATCGACAAAAGTATAAGCAATAATCGTGTAGTAGTAATAATTATGACCCTAAAAGTTGCACGTCTAGCATCTCAAATTTCATGAAGAAACAAAGTACAAAGTACAAAAATGGACTGGCCGAACAATGAATGATCGCTGGTTACACGAGTACAAAATATTGGCCACCATAGACTGCCCCCGATTCATGGAGATCGGCGGTTACAAAAATACAAAATAAGATGGTGTTTTAAAATTTGTTTGCCCAGTAGTTATTAAGGGGTGAAAACCCCTTTATGGAAATGTCTTAGATGTCTGTCCGTCCGTCCGCCCGTATCCACGATAACTTTAGAACGGATTCGAATTTCTACATCCGGTTTACGCCAACAAGTTTTTAATTTTTGGGGACGGGATAATCCCGAAGATGAGCATTGCAATTTATAAGGTCACGGCGTCACAGTGATGACGCCAACGTCGAACATTGTAGAATTTTTGGTTTTTACAGGGTTAGTAGTTTTGGGCAGGGATTTCAGAAATTACCATCTTTCGACGTGCGACGACCCCATGACCGTGTAGACGACCCTAAAGTCGAAAATTGTCGAATCTTTTGGTTTCCACAGTTTTAGACGGGTAGTTTTGGGCGGGTATTTCAGAGATCGACATGGTTTAGACTTATGCTGACCCCCTCGCGGTGTGGGTCTCATTGCATAAAAATCAGAACCAAGAATTGTGCAGTGGTGTGTGTTACCAGTTGAACTTGGCGCTTGATTACACACGTGTCTCACATTGTCCAAGCTAATGTCACCTAGCGGCAGGTGGGGCACTATGTTACATTCTTCGTTTCTAGAGGGCGTTTTTCGCTAAAGTGTCAAAACGTGTCCAAAACGTTGACGAACACGATAACAACGAAACACACCCTTTAGATCTGCCGAGACTTGATCAAATGAACGGGCACACCCCCTAAACTTGACATTTGACCTGTGACCTGGGCACACCCACCAGACTTCACATTTGACCTGTGACCTTGGCACACCCACTAGATTTGACATTTGACCTGTGACCTTGGCACACTCACTAGATTTGACATTTGACCTGTGACCTTGGCACACACCCCTGGACTTGACATTTGACCTGCGACCTGTGTACAACCCATAAAGTTGACACTTTACAGAGTTGACACTTGACCTGTGACCTGGGCACACCCATTACACTTGACCTGTGACGTCGGCACACCCGCTACACTTGACCTGTGACCTGGGCACACCCGCTACACTTGACCTGTGACCTCGGCACACCCGCTACACTTGACCTGTGACCTGGGCACACCCACTAGATTTGACATTTCACCTGTGACCTGGGCACATCCACTATACTTGACCTGTGACCTCTGTGCCCCACGGTAAAGTTGACACTTGACCTGTGCCTTACTAATTTTAATTACCTACCAGCGCCACCTATCGGATGTTGGCTGTTTTTCAGCGCTAGAGGGCGGGCTTTTGGTTTAAGTGCCTAAACGTACTTAAAACGTTAGAACAATGCCATACTTCAGAGTTGTGACCTAACGTTTTTCGTGGTAACCCCCTTTAGAGTCGTGACCTAACGTGTTTCGAGGTCACCCCCTTTAGAGTCGTGACCTAACATTTTTCGTGGACGCCCCCTTTAGAATCGTAACTGAACGTTTTTCGTGGTCACCCCCTTTAGAGTCGTGACCTAACGTTTTTCGTGGTCACCCCTTTTAGAGTCGTGACCTAACGTTTTTCGTGGTCACCCCCTTTAGAGTCGTGACCTAACGTTTTTCGAGGTCATCCCCTTTAGAGTCGTGACTGAACGTTTTTCGTGGCCACCCCCTTTAGAGTCGTGACCTAATGTTTTTCGTGGTCAACCCATAGAGTCGTGACCGGACGTTTTTCGTGGTTACCCCGTTTAGAGTCGTAACTAAACGAATTTCGTGGTCACACCCATAGAGTCGTCACTGAACGTTTTTCGTGGTGAACTCATAGAGTCGTGACCGGACGTTTTTCGTGGTCACCCCCTTTAGAGTCGTAACTAAACGAATTTAGTTGTCACACCGATAGAGTCGTGACTGAACGTTTTTCGTGGCCACCCCCTTTAGAGTCGTAACTGAACGTTTTTCGTGGCCACCCCCTTTAGAGTCGTGACTGAACGTTTTTCGTGGCCACCCCCTTTAGAGTCGTGAAGAACGTTTTTCGTGGCCACCCCCTTTAGAGTCGTGAAGAACGTTTTTCGTGGCCACCCCCTTTAGAGTCGTGACTGAACGTTTTTCGTGGCCACCCCCTTTAGAGTCGTGACTGAACGTTTTTCGTGGCCACCCCCTTTAGAGTCGTAACTGAACGTTATTCGTGGCCACCCCCTTTAGAGTCGTGACTGAACGTTTTTCGTGGCCACCCCCTTTAGAGTCGTGAAGAACGTTTTTCGTGGCCACCCCCTTTAGAGTCGTGAAGAACGTTTTTCGTGGCCACCCCCTTTAGAGTCGTGACTGAACGTTTTTCGTGGCCACCCCCTTTAGAGTCGTGACTAAACGTTTTTCGTGGTCACACTCAATTACAGTCGTGACAACGTTTTTCGTGGACACACCCAATTAGAGTCGTGACGGCACGTTTTTCCGTGGTCACACCCTTTAGAGTCGTGACAACGTTTTTCGTGGTCACGCCCATGGGGTCGTGAGTTAACGTTTTTCGTAATAAAATAATAAAATCGTTTTGCTTAGAGCCCGCACTACGGGCTTAAGAGACTAGTTAATAAGAAATTGATGGGCACCGTCGCACACTGCCCCGGAAATTCGAAATTCCCGCTTCAGCGGAGAAAAGTAATTAATTCGATTCTACTAATTAGGGACAAGCAATCGTTACAAAAAAATTCCAAACTAATGTATAATTAGTCTACTTTATTGTAAAATTAACTAGAGCGTTCAATTGTTAGTCAGAACCTTATAATATGGGTTTCAAAATTGATGAAAAATTGATGGAGCCATGTCTCACATTTCCCCCAACATTCAAAGTTCCCGCTATAGTGGATCAAGCTAAATCCTTAGTTACATCATTCTGCTAATTAGGGTAAAAAAATCGGGGCAAAAAAATTCCAAACTAATCTATAATTAGTCTACTTTATTGTAAAATTAACTAGAACGTTCAATTGTTAGTCAGAACCTTATAATATGGGTTTCAAACTTGGAATATGCGTCCTGACATATCTATACCCCTGCGTACCTCCGTTTCTTGGATACGTTACAACCATCTTCAAGTCATGTGGGGAAAATGATTGCTGGATTTCCCGAAAAAATGACATCAGTTCTTGGCTGGTAAAATTTGGACTGGCCGTTTTTCAATGGGCTTTGTGGAATTGGGCAGGCACAAATTTATTGTTTTTTGGATATCACTTATACGTCTCGATAATCGCGGCTCTTTTGAATTCTCTCCAATCACTTGATGCGTAATAGAATTAGTATTTCTAATTTTGGATACTCTGCTAAAAAATTTTTATGAATTTCTTGCAGATCGGTTTCAGCTAGAATTGTCGGAAAGTTTATACAATTCCACATTTCTTACGTGCATCAGAAATTGATGGAGTGTCAAATCAACGGATTAATGGGACAGTATTATCTGTCAATCATGCTTATGGATCTCGTATTTATCAATATCCTTAGTTCCTCTTTAACGATCCTGCTTGGATTTGGGGTCACGAAAAATTTGGCTTTTCTCATGATTCCCCTTCTTGGTTTGGACACGGTGCTTGTGATGAGCGTTTATGCCTATGTTGGAGGGAAGATTACTGAAACATCGGTATCAGTGAGGCAAAGAATGATAGGGAGGTTGGTGCATGGCAAAGATGTAAAAATTATACGACTACAAATTGAGACAATGCATCCGGTGAGGATGAAATTTGGAACTAATTTTGTTGAAATGCAGACCTTGTTGAATTTACTGAATTTTTGTATGGCTAATACCATCAGTGTGCTACTTCTTCGTGGTCATTAATGCGTTATAAGGCATAGATTTTTTCCAAGTCGATTTTTTGTAGGATCATTTGTATAAATCTCACATTCTTTTCTATTCGTCTCATCTGTAGCAATAATTGGGTCTTAAAATTACAAATTTAGTGTCACATAAATACCTACCTAGGTAAATAAATATGCTCGCATGTTTGTTAATTCTATATGTATTCTATGAGATTCCTCGTAAAAAATATTTTAAGCAGGGTACGAGTACTTGCATATTTATAATTAGTGTTACTTCACGTAAAAAACTTAATTAGTGATGTTTTACTATGGAGTATGTATAAGGTGATAAATATTAAAAATAAATAGGTACATAAGCAGTCTATCGTCACTTAAGTTTCCTGTCACAGCATGGCAAATTAAGTATCTATTTATTTACGTTGATATTTATGGTCTTGACGCTGGGTTTCCAACTTGGTACTATTCGGGCATGTGGTATATGTAGAAGACCTTAAACGTAAATACTGCTACACATAAATAATTTATTAACGCACACATACATTTGCTGGGCGGAAATTACGGTGTGAATGTAGTGTAAAATCTGCAACGGCACATGTGAGAAAAGAAACTTTGTATTGCAAAGTTTTATGTACAATTGTAAATGCTTTGTTAGAAAGATAATACTTCACTTTTGCGAGGAAAGAGATGGAAGCTTTTTGAAAAAAAAAATCAAGGACACGATACACGATACAATTAAGTGCAAAATTAAGAGTTGTTGTATGTACACCAAAATGAAGTTAATTACGAAAATGAGCATACATATCTCTAAAAAGTTTATACTTTAAATTTCATGTTTTAATTAAGCATAGTCTAAAACTCCCGAATGGATGATTTCTTATTTAAAACCATTAGTGCTGGCATAATTTAAACGGAGCTTTCTACATACATACATACATAATCAATACATATTGAAGAATTATGTTTTCTAGTTAGCATGAAATGTTTAAAATTACTGCCTTCGCAAAGTTAACATCGTGTTAACTTTGAATGAATAAATATCATTTGATATTTATTCATAATTGAGTCAGAATAGAATTTCCGAAATTTGCATAGTGCTAAGAGAAAGTGGTGTTTGAATTACCTAAATCTAAACATGACCCAGACCTAATATTTAATCATCTAAATATGCTTCCATATTTTACCAGCGAATGTTGCTTTTCTAGCCAATCAAACAATATGTTCGCTTCGACGAAAATATTATTGTCTGTCTTTGAATATATAACAATGCTTCATCAATTCTAGGAAATTTGACATTACCATGAAAACAATTCCATGTAAATAAATAAATGTTTGTCCAAAGTGATATTAACCAGTGGAGTGTTGCTCTGTTTTAGATTTTACATAAATTATATTAATGACGCTTTGGCCAGGGTTCCTAACATTGAGTATTTCTCATCTCGGTGATGAATACACTACTCTTCGTCCAGTATTATTAGTCGCAAACAATTCTGAAAGGTTACCTGGCAGATTATTTATTTTTCAATTAGCAACCAAATAACCTCTCAGAAAATTTTCCAAGAAATTGCGACTATTAATATTGGATCAACAGTAGTAGATATCCATTATTAAAATAATACCAAGCGGTATTCTAATACAACTGTACCAAAGTGGCATTGATAAGTAACACCATGTAAGTAGTAAGCAATAGCTCGGTATTAAAGTTGTGCCATATCGGTAGCAGGTTTTTACCGACCCGTATAATTGTAATACCAGGGGGTAGAACTTTAATACCGAGTAATCAATATCTGGATGACTATACGGATTTCTAACAGTGTATAGATTAATAAATGTATGTAAGCATGATCTCCTGATTTACAAGTTTAACAAAAAAATACATATTCCTCAAAATAAATTTCTTCAAAAATCCACTACATACTTACTTTAGCAACCCTGACCTGGGAAGCACAAATACAAATACAACCAACAGGTTTTTGGACTTGACATTCCAGGGCGTCAGCTTTGAATTGAAATGAAGACACGAATTTAAATTGAGATAAAATAAACCATTTTCACTAGGCTATGTAAATATATTAGCGATTTATTTAATTTACCTGGAACAAAATGAACAAGTCCTGATCACATTAATCTGAATACCGAGTTTGCTTTTGGTGTTCGCAAATGTATATCGCGAACGTAATTAATGCGTCAAACTCGACCTTTGATTTTGGCGCTTCCTTCAACGGATAGGTATCTTTACACAGTTAAATAGAAATATTAATTTACGATGTTCAAATGTCTTAGGTAAATAATATAGTTATGCAAATAGTTTCTACCAGCCAAATATCTACTGATACACTACGGTTCTCTGGAAAAGATAAGGCATAATTATTTCTATTTCAAACGATTTAAACAGTAGTTCTTGAGCCTCCGCACGAATATTATCTTTGCACAACAAATAAATTGGAACTCATTTCTCCTAAATTTCACTATGTATTCGACCCAATTTTTTCCCATGTTGGTCCGTCATCTCGGTCACTGTCGCCTTCTTAAAGCAGTTCCGTTCGAGTTTGATGAATATTTCAAGAAACTTGTGCCAATAAAAAACTCCAGCGATATAAAAATCTTCCGGTGCCAATGCTTAATCATGCTCTTATACGTGGTCGCCATGTTTCTCAATCTTTGCGTCGGACCACTCACGGTCCAGCGGAAGTTTCAGGGCTTCAGCTTCTTCGCAATCTATGTGATCCTACTGCTTGGCAAATGGAATTATGAGCTGGATATCGCACCGATACAAGTGATCAATTCGTGCATGCAGTTTGAGACAGAGTTGGTAAAAGGTGGGTAAGGTTTTGTTCATGCAAATTAAAAATTTGTCACTAATGCTAATAGGATGTGCTAAATATGAGGTGTTTCTAGATATTTATGCATATACCGATATTTACATATGCATGTACATACATAAATAAATGTGGTCGATATGTTTCAGACTGTGAAATTAAGAAAAAAATATGTTTTTCTATTAAGCAAAACGTGCTTATGTCATGATTCTTAAGACAATTTAAATCTTGAAATTTTCCCACAGACGAGGAAAACCTGACAATTTCCACCCCAGCTAAAATGATGACCTACTTCATGTTCTTCAATACTCGGTCATCGCCTTTGCGGTCGGCGTCTTCTGCCTCCTCCTCTTCGACCCATGCTTCCCACCCTTTCTCCTCTCAATGTCGACCCATTGCTCGAGCATAAACTGGATGAATTTCGGTCCGGAAATTCTCATCATCGTATTCGAAACATGGATGGCCGCACAAGCCATCTACTCCGGATCCATGTGGGGCTTCTACATCCTCTTCGTTGGGATTATTTGTATTCTAAATTACCTACAAATTCTCCGCAGGTAAGGGAACTTCAGTGGCAGCCGAAGCCAGGTGCAATGTCCTCGACATGTTTCGATGTCCCATCAGAGTTGAGTCGAATGAACGTTTTCAGAAACCCGAACCGGTTTTTGGACAAAAAAATATCTGATCCGACCCGACCAATCGGATCGGGACACGGAGATAAAAAAACGGATATCCGATTCCACTCTGGTCCAGGTCCATATATTATATAGACCTCTCCCTCCCCTATCCTACAATGTTAATGTCCCCAGAAGCCCCTTGGCTTCCGCGGTCACGTGTAACTTTATGTGGGCAAGATACATATATATGTGCATATACTGAACCATAACCTGCCTGTGTTTTACTTAATTAGCAAAATGGAACATGCAAAGAAATTTCTGGAGCATACACTATGCATTCAATCGTACCGACAGGTGCACATTTTGGAGAAAATGTTGAATGATTTCCTCATGACGAAAATCTCCCCAGCCGTAGTCATATTCATACCAGCGGTTCAAATTGTATCTCAATTTGTGTCTGTAATGATGCATGACAAAATTGCGATGCCGGGATTTCTCATATTTCCGCTCTTCTTGGTGGACGGATTTGTGGCTAATGTGCTCGTCTTCACGTTGGCATCATGGGTCAATTCCACGCCGCATGACATGCTGGTAAAATATGGTCGGAGGCTGGATAATATCTCGGTGGGAGGTTCCTACTTGAGGAAGGAGGTGAAGGCACTGAATTCGATGAAGATTAAGTTCTGGTCGAACTATATCGATCGAGGAACGCCGCTGATGATTCAGAATTTCTGCTTGGCTCAAACCATGTCACTGATTATGATAAGGTCATCGAGTTAAGTATGTGTTTGTAGATGTACATATTCATAATTAGGTGGGTTGTGTATGTGCCCAGTTGAATGTACACTTTGGCGTAAATTTACTGATCCTTGTGTGTAAATATATCATAACTTGGACCTCACAATTAAAAATGCAGGGTGATTTATTTAACAGAAATATTCTCTTAGCGTTGCGTTCAACTTTGAAAATAAATAATTAGTATACATAAGTGTATTATCCTTCTGTTTATAATTAAGGATTTGTAATTAATTAAATTTTTGATTAATCCTAATCCTGAGTGTGATACTGTACAAAATAATAACCGTAGACATGCATAAATAAGTGTGTATGTAAATATGTTTATAAATTTGCGCTTAATTAATGTTGTTTAATTAAGTATAAAGTTTCAAATATAGATGAAAAAATTTTCTGGTCTATTGCTGAATATTAAACAAAACAGTTACACCCGTCACAAACAGTTTATTTGACAAAGCAAGATATTATTTTACAGATGCGTTAAGCTGGGTACATAATTCGTGATTCGTTGATGATTTGTTTTTACAATAAGCGTACATATATAATATACATATGTTCATACATATAGTATATCCGTCCATACTCGACAATTTTAAAACAATACACAAACTTTATTCCGATTTTCTGATGGGTTTATTTTGTAATGAGGATATGTTAATTTATACGTTGTACATAATTACTTATCAACCGTGAAATCATGACCACAAATCATGAATCACGGACTATGGATCCAGCTTTATTATTTTCATGCTGGTGACCAGAGCCTTAACTATTGTCTTTTTAAATCTTTGTTTTTAAATCTTGTAATGTTTAGTCATTTTAAAACTAGCAGGTTTAGACTTTATTGGTAAATATTAACCATTTCAGATGGTTTCCCTATTCTCAGGGTAATAATTAAAATCGGGTTCAAAACTTTTAAAAGAAAAGTATGCATTTTTTACGTGGTTATATATGCTTTCACCTGACACATATAATAAAAATAATTTCATTACTAGTTGAGACCATATTTAAATGCATGCAAGTTCTACCGATATGATTTACTGAGAAGCATTTTTTTAACTATGGAGTTACTCAAATATACTATACCCAATGTACATACGTATATAATTTACTGTTGACTGTGATACATTATAATTAATTACATATCTGTGCACATAAGCACCATTGAGAATCTTTGCATACGTAGTCAGCGACTGATGGACCAAGGTCGGTCCATCAGCCTGATGTACATAGCTACATACATGCTTGTATCACTGTACAATGAGTAGGTATAAATTATTATCGTTGTCATGTACGCATGTTTCCATGACAACAGCTTGAAGTGGTCTGTCAGTATGATCACATCACTTTAATAAACTTTAGCTAAATACAAACACATTGAGTTTCACAAAACCTAAATATTAAATCTAATTAAAAAAACAGAAGATAAACAGAAATTGCTAAACTTAAAAAATTGTATTAATAAAATTAATTTAATTTTAATTTAAAATACCATGGGGAAAAAAGTGATCCAGACGACTGGTGGTGATAGAAATAAATCTGGTCAGCGTTACTCTAAAAAGCCGAGGAGTAAATGCGTCTATGATATGGTAAATATTTTATTTACATTGAGGCAATTCACGCAGGTTTTTGATAATATTGTAAAATCTGTAAATTCTGTAAACGTACAAAATTTTACAAATATTTCTTAGGATAATTAGGTTACAAATTTTTTTAAACTTCCTCAGATCAAGAACGTCTTTGTATTTTGTAAAACTTTGTAAAATTATTTTACAAAACTTACGGATTTTACAAATTACAAATGACCTCGTGAATTGTCTCATTATCTTTGAGGCCGTATTTAATTTTGAAAAAAATCTCTTTCAGCCATGCAATGTTTGCGGGGACAAAGCCAGATCACATAATTACGGAGGGATTTCATGTAATTGTTGCAGGTCTTTCTTCCAGCACTTTATTCTACACAGTGCAAAGAACTATGAGAACATGAGTTTAATTAAGAATTGCAAATTTGAAGGAAATTGCATAATTGACAAAGCCTCCAGAAAAAAGTGCAAGACTTGTAGATTTCTTAAATGTGTCCAAATTGGAATGGATCCAAAATGGGTGTTATCAGATCATGAAAGGAGTCAGAAACTTAAACAAGGACAAAATAATAATAACGCTACTATAAAGCCAACTGCTTCCTCAGTCTGTAAAATGACAGACGAAGAATTCAAAATAATTACAAATCTTACAAAATACTTTAAAAAAGCCTGCGAACAAATCCCGTATAATTTTCCGTCCAGAGAAAAGGACGAAGTCTTATCGTCTACAAAGTTACAACTTTTGCTGATTGGTGCCATGTCAATCGCAATTCGGAGGTGGATACGATGAATAATTTATTTTTTTAATACAAATTTATTAATTTTTTTTATTATTTCAGGTTCGTCTGCTTTGCGAGTATGATTCCAGAATTTAAGGAACTTTCACTACACGATAGAACCAATTTATTGAGACGATCGGTCGTTGAAATGATAATTCTTCGCGATGTGGTCACCTATGATTTCGATAAACGAACGTGGAATTATACAGATCACGAGTCTGAAAAATATCCAGAAGTTTGTGTATGTACTTAAATACAAATATGTAATTTGAATAATTAGGTAGGAATGTGTTACCGGTCGGTAACTTACCGACCAGTGTGATTGGTAATATTCGTTCATATTTACATAGTTATTACTATGCATGGAAATATTTAATTTTTAATCAATGGACGAAAAATTACGGCGACAATCTAAGAATATGTACATGTATAATTATTTACACACATTTTACATGCATACATAAAATTTTATGTACATTGGGGTACTCACAACAACTTTCGTATCGCAAACCTCGTAAATTGAGAATAAGTGGAATGGCTTATTAAGATGTGTGAAATTTGCGAGATTGTCCAAATATTTTTTTCGGAAAATTTTGCTCGAAAATTATGGGTTTTTTTTCGCCAACCAGCAAATGTTTCCAGTGTGTTTTAATTAATTTCACGCATTATTTCGCAAACTATTTGTTCAATGAGTTCCGATGCGAAATTTACGTTGTGACATAAACACTGCAATTTTGAAATCCTGAATTTAATTTATGATTCCATAATTTGATAATTTAGCTTAATACATTCCACAGTTGGACGAATTGACAAGCATCTGGACAGAAGAGCTGATAGAAATGTGTAACGAAATTTATGCCAGAATTGCACGCCACTCTCCGGACGAGTCGAGTGTCATGTTATTAATTGCCGTGGTTTTATTCTCCGATTTCGGAGGAGGTGAAGCATGCACGGAGTATGAAGATTATTCCACAATAAATGCCGCCCAAGAACATTATACCGCATTACTGGAAAAATACTTAAAATTTTTACACGGTGAGACCAAAGGACGCCAAGTATTTCCCAGGGTGAGTTGAAAATCTTTTAGGTAACTAAATTTTAAATTTCAATCCCATAAATTTGACTAATTTTACTCAGCTCCTCTGCCAATTAATGGACGTTACCCAGGTAGGTCAGCTCACCTTAAAAATTATGAACTATTAATGTGGTCATGTTAACATCACGTCGTGAAATTAAGGCCAGTCACCTCCACCAAGGCGTCCCCCTCGACTTGACGGACAGCCAAGTGGATAAGATGCACCTGCATTTGCTAAAACTGCAGAAGGTGGCGAATCCTGCATCAGTTGTGCCTGACAATATTACGCAGCCCACACCACGAGAGGACGTTAACGGAGAAAAGGACTGCTGCAGGAAACGAGCAATGTTTGAAAAACTAAAGACTTCAAATTTTCCACCGACCGAAAATCCCGGTTTACCCGCATTGATTCATAACTTTGTCCGTAATCCTGGCGAATATGGGATTAAGCCGTATTACTTTGAAAGGGGTCCCCACACGGGCGTGGAAAAAGCCTTCATGCGACGGATGCCAACATTAGTGACTAATCCGTTAGATTCCCTGGTCGCGGATGTGTCGAGGTTGTCGATTTCTGCGGACTCTGGTCGAAAGCGGATGAGTTTGTGATGATAGGTGAATAAGTATTGATGGTGTGAATTGTCACTAGAGCCTGCATACTAAATACAACTATATATGTAAATTCTTTGAGATATTCTATATTACTTAATACTAAAAAGTGTTTAATTTATATGCAAAACTTTATTTTTATGCGTCTTCGAAATAAATGAGTAAAGTATCGTAATTTTTTATGCAAAATGCGTTATGCAAAGTAAAGTGACAGAAGACCTTCAAGACAAGACAATTATTATTTACAATTCCATCTCTTTCAACTAATTATGTAGGTCAAAATGCATGAAATAGATTTATTTAATTAAATAACCCAAAAAGATTAATAAAGTCAAAGCGTGCATACATACATAAATATGTTATGTACATACAGCAAGCTTGGTACGACGTCCCTCGACTACAATTTCTCATTCCATGAAATTCTTTAAGCATACATTTTAAATTAAATTTTCTAGCTCTATCTTAATTAAATCTTTAAATAAGTCGACAGATTTAACAACTTTTATGACATTGATGGATATTTCTCTTTTATCGTGCCTTTACTTTGTCGCAAGCAAAAATGACACGGTTTGGTTCAAACAAAATTCCTGCACGACCAGCGGTGTGAGAACTTCGACAAAATTGTTGCCAAACTCCAACCTAAGTGGTCTCAAAGACCTGTGAAATTTTCTTGAGCATTTATTCTTCTCAGTCCCTTTACAATCCGTTATCCACTTTTGGCTCACACCGTAAAGTTTCGCAGCTGCGGAAAATGCTAACAAAGTGAAACCCAACGCCATTACGTATACCCACATCAACGCCACCGCCAACCAATTATGCCCTAAGTGCAGAACCTTAATCGCCACGAAGGAAATTATTATCTGAGTCGCAGGCATGATGAGGGCTGCCGTCAAGAAAATCTGCTTGTGTGTGCAGGCGTTCAATAATTTTTCGAGAACTTGAACCTTTCTGTACTCGATCTGATTTGCAATTCCTAATTTGTGCAACTTGACAAAATTTCCACACTCGATCAAAAGAAAGGTGACCCCTGTTAACAGAACCGTTATGAGATAGTATGCCCCGCCGATACTGCATTGCAAGGATATCAAAAATTCCAATGCCGCCCAGAATAATTTTACAGTGCCCAAATTTTGTAAACCGTTATTCCAGGAGATAGAACTGATAAGTCCTGGTTGGCAAGGGAGAAGCATCACCAGTAACCCGTGCAATGTGGGAACTGTGTAGTAACTAAATTCGACCATGTCAATAAACAGGATAAGATATGTAAGAAGAGGTAACGGTTTTCCATTGTTTTTTGTCGTCGCATCTGTGAAAAATAATAGAATTTTATGTATTTATAAAGTAAAGACGAAAATACCTATGTTTAAAAAGCTTTTGTAAACCTCCTTTTGGCAGCAATAGATAGTTGAGGAATTGCAATTGGACATGGTCGGCGGAGGTGTGGCATCGTAGCAGAAATGGAGCAATGGATATGGCGAGTATACCAATTCCGAGGAAGTTTTCCGTAAGACTTGTCACCCTTGCGTTGATCGACCATATTTTAGCGAGGATGACGAGAAATTGCAACACGGTGAATGCAACTACGATTCTTTCTTTTCTTTTGGAAATTATGGTTATTTTATCAGAAGTCTTGTCCAATTTTACGAATAGGCATTGAAACTTGTTCCCTAATATTAAATGACGTTTCACTCGGCCGAAAATTAGAATGTTACTCATTTTAAAAAAATCTATCTAATACAACCTGGGTTCATATGTATTTATCGTACGAAAACTGCTTGATGACTGTAATAAATTACAGTCATTATAGTCTAAACTTCATAAATATATGAATTTTAGAGGGAAGAAAACTAATAGAAATTTAACTTGGTGTGGATTAGAACCGGACGCCATAAGTGTCGCTAAATAAATATTGGTTCATGTTTCCATTATCATTAAAATTTTAAAGCAGTAAGCTCATACGAAATTGTCGACGTGTTCTTTTAGAAAACATTTGTACAACTAGAATTAAGAGCAATCTACTGTAAAGTAGTATCTTTAAAAACTTGGGACTTAATTTATAAAATCCATTACCGCATGTTAAGGCTAAACGTTTCAGTGCTCAGTTAACTCGCTTAACTTTTGGATACATTGGAAAATAGTTACCTACCGATGATGTATAATTAACCAGTTCGGCAGGCCAGTTGTGAATTTCCTGCAAAATATTTACATTTTTGCACGAGCTCGCTTTACTGCTGAATCGTTAATGAGAAACGTGAAATACTTAATATTTGCTTGATGTCGCCCATGAAACTCTTTACATATATACATCTTGTCCTTTGTGTCCAATGCAGAGGTCGACGCCGACAAATTTTCGGCGGCGGCGGCGCCAGTTTTTGGTGATTTTTCGGCGGCGTCGGCGGCGCGGCGCGGCGTCGCAATGTTAAAGGAATAGGAAATCAAATTTTTCGGCGGCGGCGGCGCGTAAAATGCATCGGCGTATGGCGGCTCGAGATCGGCGGCGTCGACCTCTGGTCCAATGCATGGAAAAAGCTCATTTTAACTTTTTCTACTGCCGTGGATAAATCCTCTGGGCACTTTCCGAATTATAGTGGCTTTTCATTCATATTACATGAATATGGATAGAAGTGGAGGATAGATTTATCAAAGGTAGATCATGTAGTAATTCATCTATGCATACAAAATTTAACAGTAATGCAGAGAGTTTACAGATTTAGATAAGATAGATACATAATAGATATTGTCGATTTAAATACTGCAAAGTCGGATGTATGAAATTTGTATTATTGTTGCCACACAAGTACATATGAACAGAAAATTTAATGCTAAATCTGCATTTGTCCTTCATTTTAAATGAAAAAGATTCCACATCTCAATAACGACCCATTAAGTCATGAAGATTAGCATCAGTTTCATGAGGCTTTATCCGAGTCATGGTCAGCAAGCAGGAGCCTTACTTGATCCAAACTTCTCTTCATGCTTTTTATTTTGACACTAGCAGAAATGACATGGTCTGTCTAAACCAAAATTCCTTAACGACCAGGGCCTCCGCGTGCAGGTGGTAGGTGGTGACGCGCACCAGGGCCGGGCCCCGAAGGGGCCCGGCCTGCGTCATAGGAAATTCTGGATTTCATAAGATTCTCCCACAAATTTAATTTTTAAATTCTAATGCAAGTTGAGAATACGAGAGGTTCTTTTTCAAAGTATAGTGTACTGTATTTAGGCTTAGGAAGTAGGGTTGCAGGCGGTAGCGAAAATAAGATCCGCTACCCGAAGTCCAACAAAATCAACCAACGACCAAATTGAAATCGATTCAATTAAATATTTGTTATTTTTCGTCGATAACTACTTTGAGATAATTCTATGAAAGTAGTGCATGGCAAATTAGCTTGACTTACTTAATTAAAATTAAAATTACGCACTGTTAACGACCAACGGTATTTCCACAAAATTATTGCCAAACTTCAACCCCAGTGGTCTCAAAGATTGTGAAATTTCCAGGCCTATTTCTAAAATTTTATTTAGACATGATCCCGTAATTTTTAAACTTCCAAACTCATAAAGGTAAAACGTATCTGCGTACAATTTTATCGTTTTTGCTAATTTTAAGGTCACTGTAGATAAAAATTCAAAAATCTTTTTATGGAAAATATAAGCAATCGAAAAAAAACCTCCTGTGATTTTGTATGCACATTACAATATTTCTTATTGGACGCAACATGAGGTTTCTCTGTAATCCAGGATTTATTATTTTGTCACAAGCAGAAATGACACCGTCTGCCTCAAGCAAAATTCCTGCACGACCAGTGGCGTTAGTAGTTCGACAAAGTTATTGCCAAACTCCAACCTCAGAGGTCTCAGAGATCTGTGAAATTTCCTAGCGCAAATCTCTTTGTCAGCCCCTTTACACTCCGTTATCCACTTTTGGCTAACCCCGTAAACCTTCACCGCTGCGGAGAATGTTAGCAGAGTGAAACTCAACGCCACTAAATATACACATAGACATACAAATGCTATACCAATCAAATCATGACCCGAATGAAGTATCTTAATCGCTGAGAAAGATGTCATGATTTGAAATGTCGGCAGAAGGAGGGCCGCCTTCGAGAAAATCTGCTCACGGGTGCAGGCATTCAATAGTTTTTCGAGTACCTTCCTGTACTCAATTTGGCTGGATGTTCCACTTTTATATCGCTTTATGAAGGTTCCACACTCCTTCCAGAGAAAGGTCACCCCAGTCAGGAGGATAATTACGATGTAGTACGATCCACCTACACCGCTTTGCATGGACACGAGAAACTCCAACCCTGCAAAAACTAATTTTACAATTGCACCATTTTGAAAACCATTATCTCCCGAGCAAAGAATGGAACTGGACAGTCCAGGCTGACAAGGAAGCAGCATCACCGAAAACCAATGGACGATGGGTAAACTGTAGTAACAAAATTCGACCATGTAAAAGAATAGGACGAGGTAAGTGAGAAACTTGTCCCGATTAGCATCATTTTTGGCATCTGTTAAAGCAAAAGTCAGAATGAAATCTTAAAATATATGATCTTTGTATTTGTATTTGTTTGGAAGGACACCTCTTGATAAGAATATGTAATTAAGGAATTGCGCTTGGACATAGTCGGGGGAGTAGCTTCGCAGCAAGAATGCGGTAGTGGACAATGACGCGATCGCAATGCCGAGGATGTTTTCCGTAAAACTGGACACTCTTCCAGTGACCGACCACATTTTAGCGATTATGACAAGGAATTGCAATATCATGAAGGCTACTACGGTTCTTTCCTTGTTTTTTGAAGTTGAGGTCATTTTGTCAGAAATCTTGTTAAATTTTACGAACACGCAGCGAACTTTGTTCGCCAACTTTAAGTGGCTTTTCACTCGGCGGAAGACGAGAATTTTGCTCATTTTGATAACATAAATACATATATTCGTATATTATTGTGCAAAACCCAGTTGGCGACTGTCGGAATAATTTTCATGCTCAAAGTGTTAATGTATGTAAGTTTTTGAAATGGTGTATCAAAGTCTTGATAACTATTAACTGGGCATGTATTTATGATGTATTTGGTTACTGGAGCTACATAAGAAAATATTTGTTGAATATGTTCTGCTGGGTATTTATTCTCATTAAAAATTTAGGTCGATTTCACATTAAATAATGCAGACAAAACTTTTGTCAATTTTACGCAACCTTAAATACCTAATTTGAGAAATTTTTGAGCGACTGGTCCTGAGAAGTATATCTTGATTAATTTTTAGAACGGGGAGATAACAAGATGAAATATTTCTGGATTGTCCTTTGAATATAGCCTTAAACTATAGTTAGTCTGCCAAACAATTTACCAATGCAACAACTTTGCATATAAATTTCCTACAAAAATATTTACACTTTCACACGAGCTGCATACATACCTTTACTCCTTAATTGTTAATGAGAAGTGGTAGAATTCTATTTACATATTGAATTATTAATGAAATCTTCCACATCCTGTTCATCCATGCAAGAAATCAATCATTGGTAAGCTTAGTTTAGCTTTTTCACCTATTCCGGCAAATTCCTTTGGACACAGTAAGAATGTAAGGTCATCATAACTTTTTACACTTACTGAAAATGGACAAGAATGAAGGATGAATTGATGTATGTATCTGAGACATGGGGTAGAAATTTAAGAGTAACGCAGGTTTCATTTTGTACGAATGACAACATATAAATATATGAATAAATACATGTCAAGCTACACATATGTACATATGTAAGTAAGTCCTGATCTTGATGGATTTCATTTTAACTTGTTAGACGACGAGTTTGGAATTTCGGAAAATCTCATATTTTAGGGAAATCCTAATTATGTATGTGAGATTATATCACCATAGACTGACAAAAATAGTTTACTAATTATGTAAACTATATAAACTACGTAAATTACGTAAACTATGTATCTACTAGCGTATAGCCCGGCCAAGGCCGGGTTCTAGAGTTCCAGTGGGGGGTGTGCCCAAAGCGAAAAATCCGTCATACTATATTTTAAATAATTCCCAGTGGAGACTTTGTCATACTACATACATACATCAGACTGAGGGTTTGCCCAAGTCATACTGCATTTTAATTAACCTGGTCACAGTAAAATTTGATTCCCCCCTGTGGGAGTAGTTGAATAGCTAATTACTTAAATTCCCGTCGCGTGGGAGTAACTGCATAGCTAACTATTTAAATTCCCACGCTTCACGCTCCCGTTAAGTTCCATAAACCCCGTTAACTTCTACAATTAACGCCAAGCTATTGACGGATTCGGATTCAGCGTCAAAAATACATTCGAATTGATATGCGACATCACGAATAAGCCAGATTTGGACACCACGGTCACGGCGAGGTCACGGGGGCCTCGCAGGTCAAAACCATTGACGGCGTTGGATTCAGCGTCAAAAATACATTCGAATTGACATGCCACTCGCTGTGGGTAGAGTTTCTCAAACTAAAATAATTAATTAATAGTGTTTATCACGATCACTTATCATGATAACCACCATTGATGAGTGATGTATGTATGTGGGGTGTACATGTTCATGTATTCATTTATTCATGCAGTGCAGTGGTTGCTCCGCTTCCTTCTTTGTCTACTGTATGGGGCAATTTGCATTGCGAAGACGGACCCAGGGATCATACTAACACTTTATTAGAGTAGATGTAGGTATGTATGTATGTAAGTAGGCCATGTTAACTATTTATGTATAATATTGAGGGCTTGGCCTAAGCATGGCTTATCATCGTTTAAATCCGATAATCATAGATAATGCCGAGCAACACAGGAATCCCTACTCGACCGAAGCTCATCTCCACTTGATCAAAACGTGGTCATGCACAAATCATGTTACCAAATTTTACTGTGGAAGGCATAAGCATGTTAATATCCCCACGTGAATTACACCAAAGGACACACTGATCAACACAAAGGGGAAAATTTTCAGACAATTTATCAATCTGTAGCCCACATATTTATATATTTAATTAATTAATAATCCAACACAATGCGTATGTATGCGTGTTGTACAAGTTACATAAATATATTCTGTGGAAAGTATTCGCATAAGTATTGCTCGATTACATGAAGATATGATCTCTCTCACTGGATGTGCATAACTTGTCAGTAAAATTATATTGAACATGACATCACCACATCTTCGAATGCGGTACTTTGCACCTCTGTTGGCATTGATGTATCATTTATCCAGCCTTACGAAACTCTTACCCAAAAGGAAATTCCTGCTGATATGTACATGCGGAACAATGGCAAAATTCCCCTGCAAGGCACTCGATGCGGGGAAATGGCGAGGATAAGCTCTCTGGTCGACTTATCTTTCCGGACTTTCCGTCATATTTCCAAAGTCTGGATTAGCATGCAAACTTGCTCATGTTGTACGAACTGGTATAAAAGACCACAAAGTTGACCACTGAAATTCATTCACTCACCACAACTTTCTCCTTAACTAATAATTAGAATCAACTAATAATTAGAAGTCTCTACTAAAATAAACATCGCCATGAAGGTCTTCATCCTCCTCCTCGTCGCCACTGCCTCCATCTCCGCCGGGCGAATCGACCCTTCTTTGTCGCTCGCCGTCTACAACGGAGAAACCGAAGCGATTCTCGAACTTCCCGAAGTCATGTCGGTCGCCGACTCCAACGCCGCGCTCTCCTCCCTCCCCCGCGACGCCAAGGTTTCCGCTCTCGTCGCAACTCTTCAAGGTCTCACATCCGCCGCCCAGGCTCCTCTGATCTCCGTCGCTGCCTCCCTCGGCCTCGCCACTGAGCAATTCTGGGCCTCCAACATCATCCTCGTTAAGGGGCTCACGTCCGAGAAATTGGCTCAACTTGCCTCCACCCCCGGCGATTTTGTCATCCGACCCCATTACACAGCCATGCTCCACCCCACCACTCGCGGTCCGGAAGTCGCCCCGCAAGACAACACCACCCAGACACCACAATGGGGCGTAGCCAAAATTAACGCACCCGCCGCCTGGGCAACCACACAAGGAGAAGGAATCGTCGTCGCCATTATCGACACCGGCGTCAACCTTCGTCACACCGCCCTCACCGAAGGATACGCCGGTGCTTGGTCTGACCCGTTCTACAATACGGCTGACCCCACTGACGTCCAAGGACATGGATCCCACTGCGCTGGAACAGTTCTCGGCCGCGCAAATGGTATCGGTGTCGCTCCTGGGGCACGATGGATAGCTTGTCGTGGGCTGAACAACAATGGAGGGACGACCGAATCTGCTCTGACGACCTGTGCCCAATTCATGCTCACGGCCAACCCTAAACCACACATTGTTTCGGCCTCTTGGCTCCAACCCTTCGGATCGGGATGGTTCAACAGCCAGATCTCGGCGTGGCGAAGTGCCGGGATTATTCCAGTTTTTGCCCTTGGAAATTCTGGACCTTCCTGCAGAACGACGGTGGATCCAGGAAATCAGCCCAATTTGATCGCTGTGGGATCTACGACTGATACTGATGCCCTGTCTTCGTTCTCTTCGAGGGGACCAAGCCCATCGGGAGCACTGAAACCACAAGTCTCTGCCCCAGGAAGCAACGTTGTTTCTTGCGGAACTGGTGCCAACAATTACGTCACCATGTCTGGAACCTCAATGGTGAGCTTGCGAAAGAATTTCAACTTTCTTTGTTTCTGGGACTGGATTTCTAAAATGAATTACTTTTTATAGGCCACCCCCCACACCGCAGGAACTATTGCCCTAATCCTCTCAGCCAACCCTACTTTTGGCTACGATGAGGTTGTGAATGCCTTATCCACGTCAGCTTTCGAGCCTCCACTTTCGAACGCCGACAGGAACTGTGGTTTGCCAGGGTCGGGAGATTTCCCGAATAATGCATACGGTAATTAACTTGAAATATCCTTGCTGCCAGTGGTAATTAAACTAGATAAATTAATTTAATATACTTTACAGGTTACGGGCGTATCGATGCTGCCGCTGCCCTTAGAGTTTCAGTCCGCTAAGTCTGTTGGAATTTAGACAATTTTTATGACTCAATTCATTCAAAGAAAACTTATTTTCTCACAAAATTTCTGCGACAAAATAATAACTGCACAAAATCTTAATAAAATCTGAAGAAATGTATTGTAAAAAAAATCCTTAATGCCAATCTGGTCCGTTAAATTATTCCTTCCAGTGTTTAAAGTACGCATAATAAACATGATCCGAAATAATAGAATTTGACTTCATCCAAAGTATCATCTCAGTGCATGGTATGCACTAAGATGATTACATACATTACATACTGTACATATGTACATAGGTTTAAGGAAAATAAATCTTACATGCAAATAGACGACAATTTCCCAACAAATTCTTGAAATTCCTTCACATGTTAAGTTCATTCATACGTATAAAAATAAAAAAACGTATAAATCTATTTAATTTAAGTACTGTGACATAATAGATTACTTAAATTGCAACACTGATAGCATCGAAATTTAAGTATATTACAATTTTGATGGACTGTCGTAAGCACGATTTTACGTGGAATGCATGCCATGTATTGTATGTAGTAAAATTGCAAATGCATGATCATCCCCATATTTATTCAGGTATTGATCTAAAATACCCACAACTTGGTATTTGTGAGATGTCTTAATAGAGATGCATCTAGTGACACGTCAATATTCGTCGAAGCTACATACATACGCTGTATGATATGTGATGTTTAAGATCCATACATGCGTGTATGGGTAAGAATTTTTGGATTCTAAATACAAGGACGTCCACCAACTAATCCTAAGTATTTTCATTTCATGTAAGTTATTAGGTAGTGCATGCATAAATACATACTACGTCATTTACTTTCCAGAGATGATAAAAACTTACACATAGGTACAATATGTATATATGTTGATTGATACCATCATGTACATATGGGGCACCACTGCAATGTCAAAGATGTGAAGTGGTTTATTTCACTTGAGCATATGATTGTTAAACAAATTCGTATTTATTATTCGTGAATTTTGAAATTTGTGGCAGCTTTTCTGTACACAAAATACTAGTCGATATCATAAATACGCTACATATTTTATAATTAATAAACGTATGTACAATGGAAGGAACAACCACGGAGAGAAAGAGGAAATCGAGTCATAAATTGACACCGGAAAACAAGAAAGAAAAGTGTGTTTCCAATGCCAAAAAGACGAAAAGGTTGAGCAAACAAGCCTCTGAAGAAGAAAAGAATGTAAAATTACTTTTACCTCAATTAAATATTCTTGATTATTAAGGTTTCAAATGCTAAACATGCATTATAAATATTTTCAGCCTTGCCATGTTTGCGGAGAGAAAGCGAGATCCTACAATTTTGGTGGGATGTCATGCAACTGTTGCAAATCTTTCTTTCGCCATTTTGTTCTCAAGAATTTGAAAGATGCCAAATCCGAGCAGGATTTCAAGAAGAATTGCAAATTTAAAGGGGACTGTTTAATCGATCAGAAAACGAGAAAGAAATGCAAAGCTTGCAGATTTTTGAAATGTTGCAAAATTGGAATGGATTTTAAATGGGTGCTAGCGGATTACAAAAAGACGCAAGATTTAAAGTTGCAAAAATCAAAAACTGATCAAGTCGAGATTCATCCAATTATTGATAAGCCAAATGATGCAAAACTGAGTGGTGAAGATGCTACAAGGATCGAACATATTTCAAAATTTTATAAATCTGCGTGTGAACAAATTCCGTACATGTTTCCTTCTCGCGAAAAAAATGAAGTCGTAAGTCCCACAAAATCAAAAATTTTACTGATCGGATTCATTTCTACGTCGATTCGAAGGTATGTATGGAATCAGATATTTTTAATTTGGAAGATAAGCACTTATGTAAAAATTGTTCTTTTAGATTCGTATATTTTGCGAAGATGATTCCCGAATTTGCAAAACTTTCTGTCCACGACCAAACGAATTTATTGAGACGGTCGGGAATGCATATGAGCATTCTGAGAGGTTCAATCACATTTGATTTCGAGAAACGTACGATAAGTTCAAAAGATGGCGAAAATTACCCGGACATCCCTGTAAGTTATACGCTGTGGGGTACTCACGTCAACTTCTTACATTGCAATTCATGCAAAAAGTGGTTGCGAAATAATTTTACAAAATAAAACCATACATGTTTGTTTTTCAGTAGAAATTTCTTGACCTTATTTTGCAATGTTCACGATATTTTTTTCCAGGTGGCTGAATTGCAAGATTTGTGTCCTCAAGACTTGTCAGAAATGCATACCAAACTCAACCGAAGGATTCGAGATATTGCCCCCGACGAAACCAGCATTATGCTAATGATTCCGGTAGTTTTATTCTCAGACTGTGGTGGAACAGATAGTTGTACCGAGTTTGACGACCGAACAGCTATAAATGAAGCGCAGGAAATGTACTCCGGATTGTTGGAAAAATACGTAAAATTTGTACAAGGAGAAAAAGGGAGGCTTACATTTCCAAAGGTTAGTTAATTTAATACTTAGGAAGTCAATTCACGACGAGTTTGTATCTGTCATCGAACTTTCAAGTAAACAAAGTTTGTAAAAATTCTGTGAAAAAATTTACCTAAAAACGATTAATCAACTTTGAGCATCTCCACAATTCGCAAAATAAATTAGAAAAGTTTAAAACAATATTCTAAATTCGATGCTAACTCGTAATTAATTTCCCTCAACGTCTTCCAAAACTTATGCTGGGAATAAATTGTTTAATCTTAAATATGCATATTTACAGCTCTTATCTCAACTGGTGGAATTGACCCAAATTTGCCAGCTTCATCAGGGCTTACCACTTAACCTGACGGAACATCAAGTCGATAAAATGCACCGGCATCTTCTAGAACTTCAAAAAAAGTCCAATATTTCGCCCCCACTAGTTAATAAAACCCCCGCTGGAGAACAAAATCAATTTAGAGACTTGAAGAAATATTGTAGAAGTCAAGGAACATGTAAAGAAAGTCCAACTTCGGCAATTACAGTTAATGCACCAGCAAGAAACTCGGAGGCATTCCAATTACTGATTCGTACCTTTGTGAACACCACTGGGGAGTGGGGGATTAAACCAGCTTATTTCGGTCACGGGCCTCAAATTGGAATTAAGGTTGAAAGATGAATATTAATTTCCTTGGTAGTAGATATATTTTTTTGCATTTTGTGTAGCAAGCCTTCATGCGCCGAATACCAGAGTTGCTCGCGTGTCCGTGGGACTGCTTGGTTCATGAGGCTGGTGAAAGTAGTGGACCACGAGACGTGAGATAGTCAATTATAATATTCGCGTAGACAAACATACATACATACAATAAATACTTAATGTTAATACAATTCAATTGTCTGCATTTTCGTACCATTATTTTTGCTTTATTATAAGTAGATCATTCGGAAAACAATGCCGGAACAAGTTTTAAAGAAATGCAAAAAATAGTAAAATATTGATTGTAAAACAATCAATATTTCATGAAATTTGAAACCTTTTTCATATTTATATTATCAAACCCTCCCTAGAATGAGGGTATCGTCGAATCCCGAATGATTCTTATCCTTAATCAATGAATAATATTAAAAACAATACTTTACAAATTAAAATCGATCGAATGGTATCATAAATAAATAATTAAATTAAATTCATACCGTGGAAAATATTATACAAAAATATGAGTGAATCTGAAAACCACTTTAACTTATGAAATAAGGAACTAGAACTGAGAAAATGCATTCATAAATATTAATTAAAACGCTGTAAGTTCCAACTCCTCAATAAAACCATACGATAGATGTGGTCCGCATAATTCGGGTCGTTTAATCTCAACGTTAAGAAAACCTCTGTGAGTCTTAAAGCTTCCATAATTTGTGACCACTCGGTTGCACGTGTTTTCAGGGAATACTTCGTTATGTATACTCATATTCGTCCGTCTCTTTAGATCGAATGAAGCACGACTATAGCCGACCTGACCAGACAGCGTTACCCTGAGCCCGGTCCAGCCGTCGTGCTTGTACACTTGATAGGGGGGTTTTAAGCAAATTTTGAGCAGGTCGTTGTCCAGAGTCGTGTCGATTTTGTTGTCAAGCTTGCATGCAGCATCACTTCCGTTGGAAATTGTCAATGTAGCTTCCACCAGATCATAGAAATAGTCCACATAAGGTCCTTTAGATTGCAAAATTTTCTTGGGAATCGAAATAGACTTCAGGAGCACATTTTCACTTGCACGAATCCTGAGAAACAATCAAAAAAATAAATATGTATATCGGCAGGTCTCAAGTTGCATGCATTGCATATATAAAATATATACTCACATTATTGTCTCACTGCCATTTGCATTTCCGCCTGAATGGGCGTCAGAAATTGATCTGTTGTTGCCAACAATGCTCCGAGTAACAGTCGTTTCTCCACAAATAAAGTTGCGAGGGTTTGATAAAAATTGACCAGGTGGGAGAAGATTGCTGTGTATGTTCCATATATGAATTAAACTTTAAATCTGCAGCTATGCATACATAAAATTCCAATGTATGTACCTTCTCCTCTGTGGTATCAGAAAGCTGGCGAGTAGTTCCATCGACTCCTCCGTGCTAAGAATCTTTTTGGTAATCACGTTTAGAGCAAATTCAGAAGGATCCATTAAAGAAAATCGGACATAATTCAACGGTTTGGCAAGACAGCTTTTAAGATTTTCTACGACGGTAGGATCCAGATTTTTGCGCTTGCATTCGGCCACACCCCATCTTAATAAATAATAAGCCAAATCAAGCCGTTTAAATATTTAGCTATTTAACTAGCTAGGTAATAAATGTAATGCTAACTTTCTCACCGATGCACTGCTTCAAAAACCACCATTTCATTCAAAACTTTAAGCGAATCCTGCTGTATTATTTCGATGAGACATTCCTGACGCAGCTTGGTGAATTCCTCACGTTGCAGGACAGCTTTGGCGTTCCTGTGTATGCAAAATTAAAACGATGTATATAAATTCATAATCTCTTAACTTTCGAATTAATGCAATCACAACTCTTACTTGCAAATAAACTTGAGCGTGCTTTGGATTAAGTCACCGTGAGCATATAGCATCCCACTTTGGAACAAGGGAAGAACACTTTCCACAGATAAGTCTCCTATCAAAATAGTAGCACAATTGTCCCTTAAACCAGAGACTTCATATTCCGTAGCGAGCTGCATTAATTCCAAGGCATCAATCATTTCGACTTGTGACTTCCCAGTGTAAAAATACTGAAAAAATGTATCCAAATTATTGTAAAAAGGTACATTTAATAATTAAAGATGCACGAAAAACTATATTAATTACATTGAGAAGTAATTGAAAAATACGTGTGTCCACATTTTTAATAATTAGCTGTTCAGTGGATTTGGTTATTTTGCTATTAAGCACTTGCGACCCGGCTTGGAGGAAGATTCGATGGACGGGAACCCAAAACATAGTAAATTCAGTAATCAAATTCAGATGTAAGTTCGTAAGAAATAATTAATGACATCTTGGACCAACCTTCAACCCTTTTTGGCCCAATACGAGGGTCAAATCGCTTTGGAATCCGCTCAGAAGTAGATTTTTCAGTCGTTGGTCGTGAGATGTGATCCACTCCCATTTTGGACCTTGGACCTCTCCATTTCCGGTCGTAGAAATCCGGGCATTTCCCCCACTGTCGCACATTGTTAATTTATTTTTTGTTCGACTTATCCACCTAAACAAGGACAATTTTAAATATAAATCAACTCATCCAACAGATTACATTGACAACAAAAATAACAAAATGTTTTTTATTGTTAACCGTTTCACTTTTGTAATTTTTCAACGTCGAATTAAGCTTTAAACTCAAATAATTATGTAACTTGAGTGTTAAGTACAAGTTAATTAGTAAATGGCAAATAGTTAAGTTTTGACTTTAATTAGAGCCAGCTACTGGGTTTCTATACGCTTCGACTTGCATGTATTTGTTGTGTTTCGTCATTCGTGTAAGAAAAATGCGGCGAGCAGCTTTCTCTTTGTCCGTATCTCACTTTTCACGATATCCACAGTCTCAAAATTTACTCATCTCCAGTTTGCTCATCAAAGCTCTCAATAATAATAAAAATGATATAATTGTCATCAAAACACCAATTTATGACTGCATGGTTTGCCAAAATTATCCAACTTCCTGGGTACTGGAGATAAATTTTAAATACGTACTTGGTTATAGATACTTGGTTTACATACTCATGCACGCAGCGCCGTAGCGACGGTGGAGAGAGGTGGAGAGACACTCTCCAGGCCGTACCGCCAGGGTCAACAATATAGTACACTAGGTAAAATCAGGGTCAGAAATGAAGTGCGCTAGGTAAAACAGGGTCAGCAATAAAGTACAATAGGTAAAATCAGGGATTCAATAATTTTGGGGGGCATATGAGGCCGTACCACGGCAAAACTCTCCAGGCCGGACAAAACGTCGCTACGGGCCTGCATGCACGTCAATGCTTAAAACCGCATACTTTAGTATTTGTCAGTATTCATTTGTTCAAAAATACCGATATTTACTTAATCCTTACCCCATAATGAGAATATCCACAGAGCAATATCAACGTTTAAAACCAATTTTTATTTTTCATGAAATCAGGCTCCATAAAAACAAATCACTCGAAAATTACATACATATGTTTGACATCTTAAAAGTATGAATTCTACTAAAAATATTAAAATTGTTAAAGTACTTGCACCCACCCAAATAAAAAATATAGTTCTAATCCGCCCCCCAATTTTAATCGTATGTTTAAAAGAATCCCCCTCACCCAAATCTTTTCCCAGTGTCAAATATTCTCCTTCAATTGATTGTTTCTCCAGCCAAGTGTAAATTCCCGACTCGAAAATCCGTTTAAACCCTTTGACAATTATGTCCTCCCCATAAGTCTCAAATGCCCAAACGGTTGTCGACGTAATTAAGGGTTCAGTTCCGAAATGGAATTTTGTTTTATGCCATCTCTCCGCCACAACGTCGAGTTCTTGACGAGTAGCGACAAGCAAAGTTTTCCCACAAAGTAGAACCTCTTCCAGAACTTTAGATAATAATTCCTTCGTTGTGAAACTACGATTGGCGGGAGTTAGTGCGATAAACCTTATCCCGTTTTGAACTATGGCGGAGAATATCGTTTGAATCCGCAACGATAAGAAGTTTGCCTTAGACCAAAATACAAATATAGAATACACAAATTTGTAAAGCACGATATGATTGTAGTCGAGTTTTGTTTCATCAAATGGGCCAATGACGGGAGAAAGGAAATTAAAACAAGGGTCTGCAGACGGAAGAGAAATATTGCTATGTAGAAGCATCCATTCGTGAATAGAGGGTAGCGTCGAGGTGTTCATTATTGCTAGATGGCCTCTCACTCTGTAAAAACATTAAATAATTGATTTAATTAAATCGTAGAAAACCTCTAAACTTCAGTTTTGCCGGAAAACAAGACTTACTTTTCCAGGCATACTGCCTCTTCCCACGTGGCGATGGGCTCACCTCCAGGCGGTGAGTTTAACCTAGTTATTACCAAACCTAGATAGGCGCTCGTCAGTACGATTGTTGTGTAAGTCCACGGTATAACTACGAAGTTGAAGACTTTCTCTCGCTTTAAAACGTCTGGAATTGAGGCGGGATCTTTCAAAAGGGTCGCAACAAAGTAGAACCCACTATTAAAAGACGTAGCCATCTTCCCATACCGCTTGGAAAGATAGAAATGGGAAAGCCCACTCAATAAGAGGACACATCCCATCACGGCAAACCATACAGCTGGTTGGAAAGGTTTGTAATAAAATCGAAAGCTTAATTCCGGCGGGGTGTAACATGACATGAATTGAAAAGGTTTTGAATCCACGACGACGACCGCCCAACCGTTAATCCCGCCAGTTAAAAGCTCAAGTGGAAGGTCCATTTGGAACTCGGCCTCTGGCGAGATGTCGTCCAATTCTGAGTCGAATGTGTCATTATAGTAATTAAATATGCTTTCCAGGAGGAGGAACCGAAAGTCTGATTCAAAAGGGTCAATTTTCTTCCATTTTCGCGCCAGTTTCAATTTGCTCCATGATATATCCAACCCAGAGTCAATAAAGCATCGAAAATGGGAGAGTAAAGGAAAAATTAGTTGAGTCGAATAAAGGCAGATGGTATAACTTTCTCGATTTAATTTGTTGTCCTTTTCTGGGAGGAAAATTATGGCAAAAAAGTTGACAAAATTTCTCATAACTTCATCATCTAAAGCGTTTCCTTGTTTGTAATAACTTTGGGGGTATGACGATATCAAGAAGACGTAAAAATGAGATAAGACCAGCTGTTCATAGCGTAAATTAATGGCTGATTTTGGTCTGGGGTGTATGACTGGGGTGTAGGCGGATATTATGTTCGTTAAATGATGAGGGCGTTGGTAGGATGTGGTGTAAAGGTACACGTTTTTACAGTTAGGTCGAAACTTTAAGGGAGGCAAGATGAGATTAGGAGGCAGTTTCCAGCGAATTAAAGAATACACGTTACTAGGATTTTGTGAATTAACTAGGCGAACTAGAACTCCTGGTCTATAGGAAGAAATAGGATGATAATTAGAGGACGACATTTTCTCAAAGATGATGACTATTGTGCAACCAGTAGATTTGGACGATGCTCCGATTACGTTGTGGATTTTGGGCGAATGTAATGTTCCCAAAGATAAAAGTGTATATGAACATGTACAGGAAACATATAAAAATGTCAGAATTTTGAAGGTGATTAGAGACAAGGAAAAGGCCATGTTTCCAGTCATGTACTGTTCGGTTGAAAGTTATGAACGAAGAATGAGTGAATTTGCGAATTTAATTTGGTTTAATGCAGACCAATTGATGAGTGGGTACTGGTTATATAAATTTTATAAGTTGTTGATATTGGATTTGAAGTTGTCACCTTAAAGTGCTTGACGGATGGTGGTTTACAGGGTCATATGGCAATCGACTATTGTGTACATATGTGCATAACACGTGTCGCAATCTGACTTGACATACATATAGGTGGATGATCCTCTACATGAGTTGAACTTGCAGCAGATTTACATACTTATTCAAGCGGCCTACGCCAAAACCTTGGTTTATGCCTAACCCTGGTACCAACTCTTAATTTTATTAATAAATATTCCATCCAAAATTGTCAGCATGAAGATAATAACTATTTAGCTCTGCCTGATGGCCTGTAATCAAGGTTTGAGAACATAAATAAAAGACGCCAGTGTGTACATTCATGTAATTTAATGACCCAGAAAAATTCAAGTAATTTGAACCAAGCATAAAAGCAATGTCGTGGTTAATAGAATAATTAGACTATTCTACAAGCTGGAGCTACTCTGGGGGAGTACAGTACATTGTCTTACATAACTATAAGTCAACCGAGGAAAAGTGTCCGGTTAGTATATATTTGTTTAACAAATCGATTTGGCATAAATTTATGTATGTATTATCTCAAAAGCGGGCCTGACTGGGAGAGATTCCCAAGTAAATGAATATGCAATGCATTAATGTTTTTGAATTTACAGAGTTTACAATTTCTATAGAATTTAATAACTACATATTTCTGACATCAACAATTTATTCGTTAAATACTTAATCCTCCGTGGAATAAGTATTTAAAAACTGTTAAAACGTGTTTTAAGCAACGGTGCAAAATAACGGTATATTAAAAAACTGTGCTTTGTTTTGGAAACCTGCTGTAAAGATTATTTGGATATTGCTTAAATTTCCTAATGTTAGTTATAGTGCATTTCTTAACATTGAGTTGTTTTATCCAATATATGTTAGTCACATATATTGGTCACGATGAACTACCGTGAATGAATACCAGCAATCCTAACAGTAAACAGTGTGAAGAAATTACATAAATAAAGTCAATACTTGGGGTCCAGACTTATTTTGCATGCATTCGACATAAATGGCAGAAATTTAGCATGCAGTTGTGCCATACTTCTCACGAATGTCGGTTGTCCATCAAATCCCACGAGAAGAATTAACTAACACTCATATTACACAAATCAGTGGCCGTGGAAGCGTGGGGACAGGAGGACAGTATCCCCACTGTTGTTGAACGTCATCATCATCTGCCCATATTATATAAACCCCTATCCAACAATTTTAATGTCCCCAGATGTCCTCACTGCTCTTGTAAATCAAGCTTATTGTGAATAAATCAATGAAACGTATACAATAACACAATAAACTTTTTCATAATTAAAAATACGCTCTTGTAAATTTGGGATGATAACCATCGAATCGAATGTATTTACTTAATTATATGCATAAGTACATCTCTGTGGAATTTGCAAGTTATGCAAATATATACAACGCGTCTGCATGCATTCATGAGTATTCTTATGAACAGGATAGTACTTTCTGAGTAATAATTTTTTGCAGACCACAATTTTCCCATGAGCGATATTGTTAAGAAATTATTAGGTAAGTTGTTTATCGACCTCTGTAAGTTATGTATGCGAATGAAAATGATCTCATCCTGGTATTGTCGCGAGCTATAATAATCCAGGCAAAATTTATTTGCATAGAATTACTTAATAACTAGGTATGCAAATATGTAGTAAGTTATAGATTAAGTTAGTCAAAAAGTTTAGTCCAGATCCTTCAATTCCCATCTTCACCCTTCCTCATTGCTAAATATATTTACAACACGCCATTTATATCATATTTACTACAAACTACTTACTAAACAGCATTCAAGACTGAATCACACTTCAATGCTCAATTTACCAATCAATGTCTTGAACTTGGATAAAACTATATAAATTCGTCCCTTTCTGGCCAGTTCTACTTTTGATCTATGGCAGCACATAAAACCCAACTCACCATTTTGTCATTTAAAAATTTCCCCGTCGTGTTAAATTCTTGAAATTTTTTGTTTGTTTCCAATATGAAGCAATTTTTTTCCTGGAAGAAATTTTTAACCGTTTCGCTACTAATTTCGCTACTTTGTAAGGATACTTTCCTAGTCGGGGCAAACGTACACTTCCCAACTTCTCCCAATCCACTAGTTAGAAATAGCGCATATCCAACATCCTCGTCTCTCTACGCTGTAAAGAACAAAGGGACGGGACATTTCTTATGCACGCAAAACAACGAACCACACTTGCTCAACCCCAATCATTGGTGGACCGTTCGGAGCGTGGGAAAAACGTATGAAATTACCAATTTTGGCACAGACTACCACTGCGAAAAAGGGAATAAACTTAATTTAACGAGGGTAGAAGGCGCAGCGAAAGATGTGTTTCTTCTCAGCTCGGAATTTTCTAGAGGGATTTACAAATGTAGCGGCAAGGATATGTATCATGGGGTATTTACTTTTGGTGAGGATTTTAAGTATTCATTTCGAATCGTTAGCATCGTTCTCAAAAAATAAATTTCGCAAGTTGGCAAAAAAATTGGCTTGAAAATTCATTTGCGAACTTGCGCATAAAATATTTATGTCTTATAAATTTTCCAGGAAACGAAACCATTCCATTTTATGGAACACTGGACTTCAACTGCACCTCGGCCCGACACATCCGTCAGAACGCGAATCTCACCAAATTAATAAGTATTTCAAAATCCATGCCCCACATCCGCGCCACGCCGTACCACTTCCACCTTGTCGATTACACGGTTTTCGTCCACGCCAGGTACGAGGTGCTCGGTCATCTCGACAACTTTACGTGGCAAGACATCCCAGAGATCATCCCCTCCAACACGACAAAGATCGACCAATCCTGGCAAATCGGTTTCAGCGACGTGATCGAAAACTGTTCAAACTTTCCACAAAAGCGAAAAGTGAACTTTGATTTCCAAAATAATGAAACCACTCAAACTTTCTTCTCTCAAGAAAATCTTTCCCGAGTAAACAAACTTTCTAGCCTCTCCGTTTCGGTGGGAGTATCAGTCGAAATCCCGACGGTAAAACTAAGCCCTAGTTTCGGCGTAAAAACGGGGAAAGTTTGGACTAACCGCAATTTCGAAGCGGAGCGAAGTGAGAACTCTGAATTTTCATCGGTCACGAGATCCATCCAGTATCAGTACAGCAGCACAGTGACCGTGTCTCCGTGGACGGTGGCGCACATCACGGACTCTCTCAGCGTCGTGAAAGACTTTAAGTTGACGTGGGAGGCGGATGTAGTGGTGAAATTGAGGCCTAGAAGGGATCTCGGATACACAGATTGCTTACAGGTTGACGAAATTGCGTATGTTTTGGACATTTTGGGCTACAATGTCCCACCGGAAGCGTGGAATGAGACGGAGAAAGGGTTCATTTTTCCCTTTTCGGGATACACACTGGTTTCGTTTGCCACCCAGAGTTATATCGAGGTCACGGAGGAACCTTGTCCAAAGGAGAAGCGGTTAGAGTTGTAGTAATGTGTAAAGAAGTGATGTTTTGTAGTCAAAGAAAATTATATGGAATTGAGAAATTAGAGTTAACATACCTTTGGTACGTATATCGGTATTTATTTATGTACAGAGGATTTATTGGTATTGGTCACTTGATTTGCATATTCTGACGCATTAACGAGAGACACCTAGCTTATTCAACGTCGAAAGCCGTATTGCCAAAAATGGACAATGATTTAAGCAAATCAGGTGACAAGCACAAATAATTCCGCTGTTGGCTGTATATGTGTACATATAACAAGATGTGCAGAGTAAACGACCTTTTAAGTAAACTTATAATCTCAAATTCACTTTTATGTAGAATCTGGCTTAAATTAATAAGGTCCTATTATTCGTACAAATATGATGTTTCGCAAGAAATGTTTTCCTCCCTTGAATAAATGATGGTAGGTATAAGTAAATATGTATGGACAATAGCGGTTAAGTTTAATCGCTACGTATGTATCTACGAGTCGATTCTCGGGACCCACAATCTACAATAAAATAATACATATTTAACCTTATTTAACCAATAAAGTGATCTTGTTTATTACGCGTGACGCATAATGTTCTTGGTCAGAATTTCATAACTTTCCGGGACGCAAATATTGAGGTATGTATGGATTTATAATAATATAGATAAGTAATATAGTTGAGTTCCTACTTTAATATTCGTATCGTTGCTTGTTTCAAGGAAAGCGTAATACGGTAAAGCATTTCATAGAAGGAAATTCAAGTCACCAATAAATTCATAAAATTTGGATTAAGTATTAAACATATTGACAATTTTAGAGAGAATATTAACCTTTTTAATTTTATTTTCCATTTTTCGTTAGAAGAGTTAGAAGAGACACACTGGTGTCAATACATATGTACATACATACGTATGCGTCAACTTCGTTTCACTGGAATCATAAACCAATTAAATTGTGTACTTTGGGATGATGAAGAACTAAGCTCATTGTCCACACTTGGCTGGTTTTACTTCATATATAAAGCTTGCCTGCACTCATGCATTAAGAATGCATGGGACGGAGGCCAGCCAGAACCTTGATAGCTCCACTTTCGCTCCCAGTGATGAATACATTTAACTTCAGTTCTCAGCAAATTCGAAGGTGGCGCGCAGTTGCCTAAAAATGAATATGGAGTGAAATACATTGGGCATAACTCACCACCACCACTCACGAGTCCTGAGTCGCGACTCCTATGTTGATTTGAGTCAGAAATCCGAGCTTTTCTCTGCCTTTCCTAACACATGATAAACTATTCTACTTTGATATTTCACAAAAAATTACAAATTTCGCTCAATTTTGAAGGTATTTTGATGTTCAATATCTCAAATTGTTCACAAAAACATGCTCTATAATTGCCTTAGAGGAATTTTTGAAATTTTGTTTCTAATAATTTCCACCAAATTTTTAAACTTTGCATTGGTGTAAAAATAATTACAAATAAAAATCCAACAAATCATCTAAGGCAATTATAGAGCATGTTCTTGTGAACAATTTGAGATACTGAACATCAAAATGCCTTCAAAATTGAGCGCAAATTGTAATTTTTGGTAAAAATCACAGTAGAATTATCTAGCATGTGTTAAGATAGGAAGAGAGAAGCTCGAGTTGTTGATTCTACTCGCCATAAGAAGCCGCTGGTGGTGGGGATGATTTACGGTTAATTTAAGTTGAAATCGTAACAACTTTTCTTTGCTGTTGAAATACAATCATGGCCAAAATTTTGATTTTCGTCACTGCGTTTTGCGGTATACTGTTCCAATCCGTGTCGCCAATGACCGTCCAAAGTGGAAGTTTCGTTATCAATCGAGCTGATAACACGGTGGGTAATACACTACGCAATTCTGTTAGGAAATATACTGGTCTGAATTAGAAGTGAGTCGGGTCAAAGATCAACCCAGTAAAACCCGACCCACTCGTAACCCGATCGGGTTCTGGGGGGTCGGGTTTTCAAAATGCCGACTCATCTCTAGTCTCTATTAGATAATCTTCTCGATGCTATAGTACCTGTATTCACGCCGGGATGGGGTTACTTGTGGGGCACTCAGTACAGTGATAACAACGCCGTTCATCGACATTAGCCCCGTCAGTCACTGGACACTCTTTAGTGGAGGTTAGTGACACTTTATGCAGTTGAATTCCCTCCTGATCTGACAGAATTTTTTTCTCAGGTATGCTAGTGAACATGGGTGAAGAACGGAATGAAGTATCTCTCCAGGCGGGAGGATGTTTCAGCGTTGCTCACGAGTATGAAACGCCATCTACCGGAAATGGGTTCTTTTTGCTGAAAAGTAAAAGTCGAGGACAATGCGTGACCAACAGCGGGTACAGTTTTAAATACGCATAAGCAACATTGACAATATTGTTGTTTTCTGGACTTAATAATTTATTATAATTGCACAGGGCGGGTAACCGAGTTGGGTGGAGTACGTGCAATTCTCAAGCTGCGAATCAACAATGGAAATTGCAAGTGGTTCCTTGATTCGCAACTTTACATATGTAGTTAGTTCATATTAACAAGCTAAATAAATGAAATTGGTATGAAAGTTAAGAATTTTGTGAGTGCTATTAGTGTTCTATTATCTATTCAAATTTGCTGCTTAATTATTTATTCAAAAATATTACTATATAAATATATACTTGCCAGTGCCACGGATTAAAAATCATAATCATAATAAAATTTGACATTGGAATTGGAGCTTTTAATTATTTGGAACATCTATGTAAATACGTATTCCTAATTAAAAATAACCAAAAAAGTATTACATAAAGCGTATTATATTGTGATGTTGGTTTGACATTGCTATCCACATTAATTTTAAAGGAAATTTAAAATTATAGCCAACAAGTATTGTTCATTTTATATTCATGTGTGTTGGCCCAAACTTCAACATAAAATACCATTACTAGACTTTACCATGGTTAATTACACTTCCCATTTTAATTGAATGGATCACAGCTGCATCTAAAATTCGCGGGTACGGCGACACATCTGTCCGATCCATCATTATGCTTAACGTCCCGCTTAAGGCTCGTCTTAGGGCATGCGCTCCAGGATGGTTATGCGTTTCAATGAAAGCTTTATCTATCCGGACATGGTTTTCGACAACTTGTCCAGCCACCACATTTGGTGGGAGATCGGTCCCAGCGGCACGAAGGGTTTGCCAAACTGCTTCCACCGCTGTAATGCACTGCTTCACTAAAAAGGCGGGAAATTCATCTCCTGCCGCTATGGTCAAAATCTCCCCAAAGAATCCATCCATCTTTTTATCTCGTTTTAAATGTAACGCGTCCATCACAAATTTTCTAAGAGTTTTCCCCTTCTCCTTTCTATCGTCTCGATAAAGACAGCGATTTATGACCCAGTCGCTAATCACCCCGCAATGCTGACATTCTCCCGATATGAACGGTTCGAGTGAAGTTAATGTCGTCAAACTTTCCCACTCGTCGTTATGGAACGCCCCGTGTTCCCCCGAGTCAGCCATGTCACTCGTTATGAAAGCGCCATGATTTGTTTTCGCTGCAAGGGCGGTATACTTCGACCTTGTCAAATGCCTCGTTTCCGCCAGCTGAGTTAAAACCCTGTAATGCGGTACGATGGGATACCAGGCAACGGAACCGATCGCGAGATCGGTAGCATAGTCGTGACTAACGTCTCCCGCGATACATTTGCATGTCGCGACCTCGTCGACACATGCGGCGCACGCGACAGCGTAATTTTTTACGGCGGCAAGACCGCCATAGCGCGCCGCAAGATGTACCTCATTCATCGGTTCCTTTGAACGTAAATCGTGGAAAATATCAACGAGTTCATTGTGACGAATAAGAATGTCAACAGCTTTACGAATATAAACGCAAATTCTTGTCCCTAAAGGAGCCCATTTTTCATCCACCGGCACACCAGCCCCGCCATCAAAAGCGAGAGGCAGTTTAAAGTATGGCGCCATTGCGGCGTCCCACCATCTAGATTCCATAAATTCGTACGGCGTAACGTTTCTCTGAATGAGTGGGGCGTCTTTCATGTTTTCTGCGACACAATTTTCCAGCAAGTCAGCCTTGTGGTAAATCATTGCTGTTGTCATGACAAGTTCGTCCATTTCTGGGGGAAATAAGGACCCCTCAATTCTCGTCGAATCCACCGCTGCTGCTATGTATGCTTCCTGGCCCCCCAACTACAACTCTGTAGCAAATCGCTACCAAACCGGTGAGGTCATATATAGACACCGCGTTTAGCGATTTTGCTCTGAGTGCAGTCCTTATCAAGGCCAGAGTTACGAGGGACAGAGACGCCACGTGCTTTCGGGCACGGATTTTCCATCCGTTTCCATATGGAATCATAGTAAGGTTTGTATGACGAATAGTTCACAATTTTTAAGCTGCTAAACGTATAAAATTTAAGTTGAGTAAATTCACTCGGAAAAAGCGTATTCCATCGAATAAAATATTTACCCAGTTTCTTCCGGCTTTGACGTTTTCGGGATGGGCATTTTGGCGTAGTGGTTAAGTTGTAATTTCCGTGTCTAGATGGTTTATTAAAGTAAGGCTGTAATTTATAAAGATTTGGTAAAAAGTGAATATCTGTAAAGACACTGAGTTCTCTATATACTGACCGATTTTTGTAGACTTGACTGGCTTCAGCGTTTTTTACCAACTGAACGAAATAGCTGCAATAAATTTCTACTTTTTCTCATGTGTTAATTCCACAGATACCAGATTCCAGGAGCTACATACTTTTATTTAATTTATACCATAAAAACAAGAATTTACGTAACTTAAAAACTCAAACGTGTATTTGCCAGCAATAAAATTGTCAGGGTTACGGATAATCTCTGCAATTAACGTGAGGACAAAGTACCATAGAGGTGTGTCATTATTGTCGGTAGAACAAGTTCTTGGCGTAATTTCCACTTGCATATTTATATCTAAGTACAATAAAATTGTGATTTTGCAAGTTAGAGAAGGTAACGTCACCACGCCACAAGTCATGTGATTATAAAGGGTGTTGATTTAATTTCTCCCCAGTCATTTTTTTACTACACGGACTGCGACAAATTCAGCTACAATTCCTGTTCCTGTTAATGTTTAATTTTGAAAATTTTACAATGAGTAGTCCCATACCAAAGGTCGATCGTGACCATCATAGAAATATTATAAAAACTTTAGTTAAACTTTAGAGGGTCGGGATATGCAAACGTATATTTCAGTCTTTTAATTTTCGCCAAGGCGGCGATTTTAGACCTCCAACCTGTCCTGGGCGAAAAATTCCTGTGGGCGCCAAAAAAATCGTACACGGTCCGACCAAAGCTCATTATTCTTCAAAACGCATGCCGCATCCAGTAAAAAATATTGCAAAGTTCAAAACAAATTATCCACGAAGTTTTTTTTTCGACGCCTCAATTTTTTTTAGAAAAATAATCCTGACCTTTGACCTATCTGCGACATTAAAAATCGGCGACGAGGAAATTGTCGGCAGATAGTTTTGACATTTTTGTACGGAGTTTCAAAGTTGAAATATTACGGCATCATGTCGAGATAAAAAATATGTCATCGTAGCTATACTTTTGTTACATACTGTAATTAAATGTCCGGTAATGTTAAATATCTAAATTCCCAAAAAGTCAATGGTATTTTGAATATGGATACAACAATCTAGTGATTAGTACGTTTGCAGATTGAAGCGTTTTTGCAGGGCCAATGCCCGATTTCATCAACATAATCGGTGAAAGTACGGCCCCCGCAGAGATGATGACTTCTCGTGAAGCGTGAGCAATTTGTGGAATTCCGTGTCGCAAATATGTCACGCCGTACGCGACCTTGTTTCCGTTTATTAGAATCTAATTCAAAAATATTCACTAAACAGAACGATTAAATTCGACTAGTAAGATATTTATTGTGTGTTTACATACCTTTTGAACCTGGGAATATCGCAACGCCCTCAAATTACGATTGTTCCGTTCTACTCCTTCAATAAAGCTAGTGTAAGAACTGGATTTTACCCCATTCTTCGTCGACAAGGCTCGAGGGGCGAAACCTTAAGTATTTACGAATATTTAGCTTTAAACAAAATAATAGCAATATGTATGTCCCAGATGCTAGACTTTTGAGGCCACAAATTTTTTATTCTGCCACTTGTTTCACCCGTTTGTGACGTCCATTTGATCCGAAATATTTACCTTCGACCTGGAACGCATTCGAGTCTACCGCCTGGAATCCTAACTCATGGCCGGCCGCCAGCCAAATTCCAAGCGTTGGTGAGTTCGACGAAGTTATCGAAATGGGTCCATTTGTACCGTAAAAATCTACGAATAATTACCGGGTTTGTAATTTTATCATGCATGTCTATTAAGAAACTTTTATTTCCAACCTCGCTGATTTTCATTGAGGAAAAATCCATCAAAGTTTTCGATTCTTTTAAAATGCTGGATAACATTTGAATAACTCCAACTAGGGTCTTGTGTAATACTTGCGAACTGATCGTAGTCATATGGCGAACCGCGATTGTAAAAGTTTTCGTTATGAGATCCTGTCCCGCCCATCATTTTACCCATGGAAATGTTCAGTAACTGCGTCCAAAGAAGGGCGGGAATTTAAACCAAATTAAAAATGAAGCAAATATTTTATTACCCCGCCAGATTTTAATGAAAGGTGTTTTTGCTTGGATTGGAATTGGTAATTAATGAGGGTATCGGTGATAATTGAGCCTTGGAATACCATAGTATTCACGGCCGGAGGTGGATTTCCGCCTGTTTCTAAAAGCAAAACTTTGAAATATTGAGAAAGACGCCCCGCCAACAGACATCCCGCCGTGCCAGCGCCAACTATAAAATATGTAAAAATTGTAGAAACCCGTAAACTAACATGGGAAATTAATCATTCTGATAAGTGACCGCGGAAGCGCGGGGACCGTAGGACAATGTCCCCTCGGTTATTCAATGTCCCTATCATCTACCCATGTTATATAAACTCCTCCCTCCCTTATCCAATAATTATAATGTTCCCACGGCTTCCGCGACCACAGTTTCAATATTTTTATGTTAAGTACTCTTACCAATTATAAAATCATAAGTCTGTATCCTCGGCAGACTAAGATCCGGCTCCAGCTCGGTCAAGGTCATGTCCAAATCCGCTTTCCGATATTGCTCGACATATTGTTTTATCATTAACGAGACCGAACCAAGAACAAAAAAAGCTAGCTTAACCATGGTTGTTAAATATACAATTGACACATCACATAACCGTTAAGTTCACGGTGACTCTGCTCTCTAGAGGTATTTAAGGATATTCCCCCACTCAAATGAATACTACTCGTCTTGACCTTTTTGGATATGTTGCTTGCTTGCATGCAACATATCATATATTTATGTATGAAGTCGGAGCTGCTTGACATGTGTTTTCTTATGCAGCAGATTATTCTAAACTTTTAGTAGGTTTTTAAACAATTTAGCACATTTGAAATATTTCACGATTTGATTTGCATGTTTGTCATTGCGGCAAGACAGGAGCCACTTTCAGATCCATGAAAATGAAATAATATTTAAACGACGAATCCTACTTGAATCAGATTATTGAATGTGGTTTTTTTAGCTTGCTTTCACCAAAAAATAATTCCTTAACATAATGTCGCCCTCAATGGCACCCAAACGAATGTTGCAGCAATAAATTCATTTGCATACAATAGATCCACACATTCATACATATGTATATTGAAATAACTTTATACGTGTATTTATACATACATGTTTAGATCTTACAATGGGATTTATCTTCTGTATGGACAATTCAGACAGTCACACAATATCATTACTTACGTATGTACATAAATCTGGAGGTCAGATTTATGTACGGATAAAGGTTCACATTTAAAAGAACAAAATTCGAAATACTTACGTAGCCTATGCAACGAAAACGATGAAATAATTAAATCCGACAATGCGATGATGCGAAATAAAACCTTCCGATTTGGTTGAAGTTTTAAAATCATGTGGTCCAAGTCAATACAACCAACGTTTCTTGAGGCATTTTGTGCAATGGTTGGAATTAGAAAAAATATTTGAGATTGATTGATTAATTGATTACAACTTGATTACCACTCTAAAATGTCCATCGAAAATTAGAAAAGGTTACGTCTGCACGCCACAAATCATGTGATTATTCCATGATCCAAAAGATGACATCCTATCATAGGATGTTATCTTAGGGGTCATAGGATTCCAATGCAAACTTCGATATATGCGTATATATCGAAAATGCTGCATATGTATATACATGCCTATATGCATGTTAGACAATCGAACTAAAGCCAGTACCCATTCCTCTTGCAAAAATGATGAAAAATTATAAGTGCTGCAAAAAGAGCATGGTCCTAAATATTTATTATCCAAACATGCTAACAAACACAAGCATTAATTATTTACCAAATGGCTTAAAATACGCGGGATTATCTAACGGACAGAAATTAGGATCGCTGTATGGGTGCAAGTAATCCCGAAGTATTTGACACGCTGCTTTCTCCGCGACGAGAAGTGTGGGTGCGTTTGTATTCCCATTCGTCGAAGTTGGCAGCACGCTGGCATCCACGACGCGTAATTGTGACACTCCTCGCACTCTGTAACAAATTATAGAGTTACACGAAAATAAATAAATATGTAAATTTACTACGTAATACGCAACATGTTTTAAGCCTACTTTAATTCCGAGTCTACCACGGCTAGTGGATCATCTCGCCTGCCCATTATACAAGATCCGGAGAAATGCCACGCTGAGCTTGATGTCTGTACGATGTAGCACCTCCAGTACTCGTCCGAGCCAAAGTTGTGCAATTTACATGGTGCTGGAACGTCTGGTAAGTACTTTAGGTTCAACGCTTGGAACGGAGCGGTCTCTTTAATCTTGAAAACCAGGCGAAGGCCTAACATTTACATACATGGATTATCAATAATCTAATTCAACAACTCGGTATATTTGCAATAATAAATCATGTATGTATATCTATTAATGTCCACCTTCAAGCAGAACATCTATATCAGTCGGATCTGTAAAACTTCCCAAGTCGAGACTGACTAATTTCTCATCGTCTGTTTCCCCAGAAGAATATGCGTCAGTATTCAGGATGACGCACCCTCTGGATTTAGGCCTCCCAAATTCCACGTTTATATCAATCTGAAATTATACATGCTGAAATGCACATACAAATTTGAGCATGATGATATTTAGCTTCATAATTTCAACAAGAAATAAAATATTGACTTCTGAATATCCACTACGGTAAAACTATTAACCTTGCATTTGCAATAAAAAATTTGACAAAATTCCATTTCCCTTCAAAATGTTTGGCGATCTCATGAAATAAAATCGGGTCATAAGCATAACATTGCGAGGCATTGTGAGATAGATGTCCCACGTTTCTCTCCATGGTCGTTAAACCAAAAACCCCTTAAACTAACATACGTAGGTTGCATTAGTTCCAAGTCCACTTTGAAGATCCGTGTAAAAAAACAAATGATAATCCGGCCAGTGCCCTTCATTTTCTCTCCTTGCACGAGATGATACAACGAACGCTTGATGAAGGGAATTCTCAACAAATGGTCCCGTTTTAACTGGTGATTGAAACTTGATAATGGCATCCTCGAAGGCATGGTCGGACACTAGAGGATTCAGTGCTTGAACTGCGGATGGGTTAAGAATTTGAAATTTGAAATGGATGGCAGCATGATCCATTAGATTTTGTCCGACTCCTGGTAGATCTTGCACGATTGGGATCTATCGGGTTAGATAAGTGCACAGATTTAAAAGTCCTGTGGTACAGTACAGACAAAAAATGTAATACATATGCATGTATCTACATAATATGTAGTACACATGCGTCTAATACGGTGAGTTGAACTTATGCTAAAATTGCCCCAAGGTGTTTAAATTAATGTCCGATAATATTAAACAAATTCCCAAAAATCCCCCAGCCATATGGGCATGCGTACAAGTCTAGTAATTCATAACGTATGAATCATAAGTACATACTTTGGCAGCTTGAAGAATTTTGGCAGGGCCGATGCTCGACTTCATTAGCATAATTGGCGAAAGGACAGCCCCCGCAGAGATGATGACTTCTCGTGAAGCGTGAGCAATTTGTGGAATTCCGTGTCGCAAATATGTCACGCCGTATGCGACTTTGTCCCCGTTAAGTAAAATCTACATAATTGAAAATTCAGTAAACAGTAGGATTAAATTTGACAAGTGAGACATGTAACCATGTATCGTGTATTTACTTACATACGTACCTTTTGAACTTGGGAATATCGCAAGGCTCTCAAATTAGGCTTGGTTTGTTCAACCCCTTCAATAAAGCCAGTGTAAGAACTGGATTTCATTCCATTTTTAATCGACAAGGCGAGGGGAGCGAAACCTTAAATAGTAAATATTTATAAAAAATATTTATTTTAAACACTGAAAAATGTAACATTTGTTTTTTTAATCCAAAAACATTTTCAACCCGTACTGATATTTATTTTATTTAGTGAAGCAGGTAATATTTTAGGTTAAACAGTCATGGCGTCAGGTCATAGGTCATAATATATTGAATGGCAAATAAATAGGCCATGTGGAGTGTGAAGTTGGAAGCACTTATCAAGGTCTATCCAACCTGGTATTATTTTCACCCATCAACCCATGATGACTCTGTGTCACTGTCGACGAGGTCAAGAGTCAATTTTTTTTGGTATTCTGTACAAAATGTTCTGATTTTGATCTGGGAGAAAGTTTCGATTTGCCGATTATTTCATCTCATTTGTACATCTCATTTGTACAGTTTATTTAAATACCTTCAATCTGAAACGCGTTCGAGTCTGCCGCCTGGAATCCTAATTCGCGACCGGGCGCCAGCCAAATTCCAAGTGTCTGTGAGGTGGATGAGGTAACAGAAATGGGTCCACTTATACCGTAATAATCTAGGTGTTATTGTGTAATTTGTAATTTTATCATGCATGCATGTTGAGAAATTTGTAGTCACAACCTCGCTGATTTTCATTGAGTAAAATTCCCTGAAAGTTTTCAAATCTTTTAAAATGTTTGATAACATTTAGATAACTCCAACTCGAGTCTTGCGTAATACTTGCGAACTGATCGTAGTCATATGGCGAACCGCGATTGTAAAAGTTTGTGTTATGAGATCCCGTCCCGCCCATCATTTTACCCATGGAAATGTTTAATATCTGCGTCCAAAAAATGGCGGGAATTACAAAAGAATCGAAAAGGAGTCAATATTTTATTACCCCGCCAGTTGTTAATGACAGGTATTGTTGTTTAGACTTGAATTGGTAATTGATGAGGGTGTCCGCCTTAATTTGAGATGCCCATATCATCGCGTTCACGGCCGGAGGTGGATTTCCGCCAGCTTCTAAAAGCAAAACCTTGAAATATTGGGAAAGACGTCCCGCCAGCAGACAGCCCGCCGTGCCAGCCCCAACTATAAATTAGAAATTTTACACAGTAGACACCCCAAAAACTAACATTGTCATGCTCATTACTGTTACCAATTATAAAGTCGTAAGTCTGTATCCTTGGCAGGCTTAAATCTGGTTCCAGCTCGGCCAGGGTCATGTCCAAATCAACTTTCCGATATTGCTCGACATATTGCTTTATGATTAGCGAGACTGAACCAAGAACAAGCAAAGCAAGTTTAAACATGGTTGTTAAATAAATAATTTGCACACCAAGTTAACGTTAGTCTCACTATGGTGACCCTACCCCCAGAAGTAAGAATATCCCTATCGGACCTGCGTGACATGTGTTTTCTTATACAGAAGGTTATCCTAAACTTTTAAAAGCTTTGTGAACATTTTAGCACATTAGAAATGCTTTACAAGTTGATTTGCACGTTTGTCATTACGGTATGACAAGAGACACTTTTCGATCTTTCGGTAATGTAATTATGTCAGCAATTAATCCTGCACGAGGTTAACGAAGATTTGTAAATGTGCCTTTTTCAGCCTGGCTTTAATTCTTTATTACCAAAGAATGATATATTGTCTCAACATAATGGTACCCATACACTTATTGTTGCAATAATAAATGCATTTGCATACAATAGATTCACACATTATATATAAATATTTCCATTTGTATATATTTATATATTAGATGTTTAAATGGATCTTCTGAATAGACAATTAAGACAGTAACATGATATCAATACTAAAGCCTCGAGGTCACCATACGGCAAATGCATACTTAGGTGAGTTTTTCGACATTTGGCGACAAGTTTTTTTTGTCGATTACCTGGAGATTTTTTGCCTCTACTTTTTTGCCTCACGTAAGAAATAGATAATCATTTCATGCCAAAGCATTGTCATCCAGATTTACAAATGTATGTATGCATTATTCCGTACATAATTATGCAAAAGTGCAACTGGATGCAAGGCCAAAACCCTGCACAAAGCGAATTTGGTCGCATCGATTTAATTAATTTAGTAACCAGTCTAGACAAGGTCAAAGATTGGGTTGACCATGAAGGCACAATTTGTGGTCTCCCGGAGTATGCTCTCCGATTTTAACCAAATTAAATAGTGTCAATCTATCAGATTTAATTAATATGAAACTTCCTAAATGCACTATCTACCATTGCTCGGATTTGGGGGAGATATTTGCATCCAAAGAGAACAAAAGTGCTTAAAGTTGTCAAATTTTCCACTTTCCAAATGAATGTAGTAGTTGTAAGAACCTAAAGTTATTTTACCCCGTGGGTAAGATTGAAACACGCGTTCAGACCTACGAGATTGTGTATTCAAAATGAAAAACTTTGCATAATTTAGGTCACAATTTGTGGAGTCGGAAGTTACCCGTGTAATTATCAATTTAAAAAATCAAAGATCAACATGTACATGCGAAAAATCGTATTTTACTGAAAACTATTTTTGACTAAATTTATGACACAATTTGTACAGAAATGTTTCTCTAAAATACATTACAAATCATATTCATCAGGATCTACTAACTTATGCTTTTTACTCCCTCCAAGTGACACGGGAAGTTCTGTGAGGTCAATCTCCTTCCCTAAAGCTTCCGACCAAAGTTTTCTATTCTTTCCAAAGAGGCGAATCCTAATCCCGGATATGTCATCGACCACGGGACGTAAAATTTCGACCAGTGGCAGCAGCGATTCAGGAGCTGGGGACAAAGAAATGCAAATTCGTTATCAAAATTCTTACTGCCTTTGTACTAATTAATATACCATTAAGTGCCGTCAATGAATCAACACATTCCGGCCAGTGGTCAAAAAATGAGACTAAAATCCTTAACAAGACTGGAATACAACGCAGGCAGGAATGCGTGATGGGATTAAATCCGTCAAAGTTAATTATTAGCACGGCTCTTGTCACGTTTCCGTATTTCTGACCAAGTTCACGTACTAATTTGCATCCGCCTTCGATAGATTGATAAGTATAGCGCTCCAATCGGTCCGCTTTTCCTTGCACGATGGCTTTTCGAGGATCAAAGGATCCCGCATTGAAATAAAATACTGAAAGAAATGCAAATTTTAGTTAGTACAACTACATATTTTGAACGGATGTGTGTGTAATATGTTTGTGTTTGGTCACTTGGTTTTCCGGATTTATCTCTGCCATCAATTGTAAATTGGAAGCCATCCCGCCATAAATCGGTAAAGCTTTCGGTGTGAATATTGTCCAGATTATTTTCTTTTCTCCATTCGATATCCTAATTGCGTTTGGAAATTATTTTAAGTGGATTGATGAGGTTAAATATTTGTTAAACGTTTTGATGCGTATAAATAATTTAGATTTTTATGATTGTGGGAACCTTTAATAATCGAGATTTGGCTAGATCTGTGTCGAATCGGCTTGCTGCAATTTCAAGTGTGGAAATTAATCGGTGAAATTAAACTGCATAGATTTTATGCAAAACAACATTCGGGGTATTCATTACGAGTTCGCATCGCAGCATAATTTAAAAAAATTGCAAACTAAATAGTAGCCTTGGAGATGAGCAAGTTTGAAAATGAATTATTGGGCCAGATTTTTTGCGAATTTTGTTTTTTGTGCGAACTTTGTGCGAAGATTATCAGTAATATTTGAGGGATAAATAAATGTATGTATGTACATATATGTATATAAATAAATACTTTGTTAGTTGGACATGCGTTTTTTGCAAAATTGACGTGAGCACCCCAATTATTTAGAAACTTACATCTCAACCATTTAAGCAAGAAAATGTCTTCTTTCATGTATCCATGCGGTACTTTATCCAGCATTGACGACTTGAACTGAAATTCGGCACAAAATATTTATTTATCTTTGAAGGACATATTCAATATGAATTTTTTTCTACAAATGAGTGATTACATTTTCTAAGAGATTCTTTTGGGTTAAAGTTAGTGTTGTGTCCTCCTCAAATGTCACTCCTCTCACGAATGTCGCCGCTATAATTAATACGACTAAACACGCCAATGTACAATTAGTCGACATTTGTATGGCTAAATTTTTCGCAAAATTAGGTATGTTCCTTGTAGGATGTTGCGAATTAAACTGCACCAAGGAAATGGAAGGACTGCTTTATTTTAGGTTATGTAATATGTAGTAAGTAATCATCACATTGAAAGTATTCATGTCATGGACTTTATGTTCCTTGTATAGCAAATAAATGCATAGCTCGGCAAGCATTGTATGTGCATATCAGTAAATACATACATATATAGCATATACTCCATCTCACTATCAACTATTATTTTATATGTATTGTCCCAAGTATGGTAATTATTTACTATGAATTGTAGCACGATGAGATGCTGTTGGGTGATCTTATTATATTTAATTGCGAGCCAGTTTTTATAAAAGCGTCCTATTCGCTAATTAAAAGGTTCAATGAATGCGCATTTTGGATTCATTAATTTTCTTTAATCGCTATTTGGATATGATTTAAAGTGATAGGAAGGAAAACAAGTTATTTTATTAACATTACCTAAATACTTAATCTTTCCATCCCATCTGGATTTATTCAATGGAAGGAAAGCATGAGAAATAAATTTTGCAAGGATTTTACCAATTAAAATCTGGTTATTGGGTGTTTAAGCCGAGACACTCCTACATATTTCGCCGACCGCAGCTGGAAATTCCCACAAGTGACGATAACTTGGAACTAAGGTAAGAAGATGCTACCTTAATTTATTTTTGCTCTGACGCATGTACGAATTATGCAATCAATTGACTCTGCATGCTCACGTCAACTTGGGTAATGGGTTCTGAAATTTTATAAATTAAACATGTTCAAAGAGCAAAATCTTGAAGAAAAAAAACGTTTCGTCCTCGAAAACCATGAGATTTGTGTTCAAAAATTTATACAGCATATTATTATCTACATACATAGATACATATGTGCGTATTCATTTCGAAAACTGCTTGTTACATGAGTTTTAATATTGTTGTAAAAGATAGAATTGAGGTGAGTATGCCCACTAGTTGAGTGTCAAAATAAAGTACTTACCCCTCATCCCACGGACGGTATCATCATAAGTACATAAGTCTTGTTGTTCAAGGATACTGGACATAAAAACATACATAGTTGGGCATGTGTACTATTTCTTCACGGTTATTGCTAGGTTGGGACAAAGTGCACAATTCAAGTAAACCCAATGAACATACATAAGTAATAATTATGCAAATTGTTGTCCAAATGAGTATTTTATTACTTGACGGGATTTAAGGAGGTACATTTTCCAGTATGATTAGATAAACATTTGCATAATATGGGGAATTTCCTGTAGGAATTAGTTATGAATTTCATGCTGCGATATACAAGTTTCTCAGCTTTATCATCGAATCTGTGGATGCAACAATTTATTTGCATTTAATGCACTGGATGACTTGCAAGCAATTCCACGGTTGACGGTCTACGAAAGTATGGATTATGGATATCAACGAGCTGGGTTATTTTATGTTTATGTACATACTCCTAGTATCTAAATACACACAAAGTATTGTGTGTTCCTGTGGGATTCTTATGTTAAGTCACAATACATAAAGGTAAATAAGTGAATATGTACATATACTCATAAACCTATGTAATTAAATATTCATTAAAATTGTGGTTTTTTATAAGTAAATGAGGCTTAACTACGAATACGTACCACATCATGGGATAAAATTGTGTAGTTTATTTCAGTATTATTTTGTATCACTGATACCGAGAATCTAATAAACTTAGACACCGTCTAACAACTGTTTCGGTGAGCTAACTCCATAACAACTTTGCACTAACATTGATACTTAATAATACCTCAACTTTTTAAGTCCCATTGCTTACTTTCCTCAATGACTTTATCATAACCAGTGACATTGTTTGGGTCAAACATAAATTTTATTAACGGAATGTACACATAATATGCTGTCTACATATCTAAATATTTCATGTAGCGATAAGGGCTGCGGCCATCGTTTAAAATGAATAAATACTGATTGATTGATTGATTGATATTTTGTTAAATGAAAATAATAATGTGACATCGAATGCGTGTGAATAAAATTTTACCCACCTTTTACAAGCTCTGTCGCAAACTTCATGCACGAATTGATGACTTGTATCGGTGCGATGTCCAACCAATAATTCCATTTGCCAAACAACAAGATCATGTAAACTCCGAAGAAACTGAAGCCCTGAAACTTTTTCTGGACTGTGAGTGGTCCAGCGCAAAGGTAAAGAAAAGTAGCGACAACGTACACGAGCGTAATTAAGCATTAGCATCGGAAGATTTTTATGTCTTTGGGGTTTTTGATTGCCACAAGTTTCTTTAAATTTCTGTCAAACTCGAACGGAACAGATTTCAGATGGCGACAACGATCAAGATGACGAACTAACAGGGGCAAAAATTACACATCCTACTTAAAGAAATTTAAGGAGATTTAAAGAAAAGTATGGTAGCCAATAGAAATTTATTAAGTTGTAAAATACCGGAGAGCTTAAAATTTCCAAAATATCTTGGCAGTCAAGGATGTTTTGTAGTATGTAAATGTGTATAATTGGTAATATTTCGATAAATAGATAGCTTGGTAGTTATAATGAACTTGTTATCACTTTTTGAATACATGACAGTTACACATTTTCAAAATAATGGCAAGTTTCATACGATTGGAGAAGAACTTGACAGTCGAAACCATTTCCTCAGAGCGAAAATTATTCTCCTTTGCCGATTAGATTCAAACAAGGTAGCTACTCACTGCCAAAGTACTTAAGAATAAATATTTAATTAAAATCAGGTGTCGTATATTGACAAGAACTCACATTCTGTCAGCACGTGTACGATATCGGTATTTGCAAATTCTGTTAATTCTTCATTATGTGTAAACTTCAAATTTTCTTAATGGTTCGAAAAAAGCTCCATACATAATTGCGAAAACTGTACACTATATAGTAAACTGTAAACATACACAGTATGTACACATGTCCTCGTTTGTATTTATATACACATATCTTGTATTTATGCACATATTTATTGGAGAAAGTTATGTGCTGGAGAAAGTTAGAATCTTCATTAAATATTCATGTATGTATGTATGAATGAATGTTTCTACAAGACTACATGCATATATGTATCATACGTATATGTAGGTATATTTCTACATACATATGTACATGCTGTTATGAATTACTTCTGCAAGACCTCAAAAAAGTAAGCTCTACTGTGAAAATAAATTTATTCTGTAAAAATAAATATAGATCATAGAGATGGTAATAAATTATGTAGTAGTAAATTATATAAATAGAAAAACAATTTCAAGATTATCAAATTATAACTTTGCAGGTGCAAATTTTTTTTGGAAATTTATATCTTGTTTAAATATGCTATGAAGATGTTTAGGGTCACATTCTACACGTGTATTCTACATCAATCTATGCCATTAGGGTTCGGAAAAGGAAAACTGGATTCATTGTCAATCTTGAGGTCATTTTTGGTAATATGATGGCTTTTCATGTCAAGTTGGAAATCATGCTCAGGAGCGATTTGTCTTTTCCTTCGACCACCTCCGTTGTCGTATTGTTGAGCGTCTGCTGGCGTCCAACCATAGTTTTGAAGTGGATCTAAAAAATCAGAATTTTATTAAATAAATAAAATAATTTATGGTACATACATTCCGGATTTGTTTTATATAATTGGTAACAAATTTAATTTTTAGACCATTAGAATTTTTTTAACGAAACACATTTAATCAAATTTGGATAAAATTGTATATAATTATTTTTCTGATTTCTTCTGATTCTATACTTTATAATGGGACAATTAATCGTAAACAGTATGTATTATAAAGTCTATACTAATTTGTGGTTTAGATATTGCAAAAAAATACGTATAGAAAAAAGTAATTATAAGCTTGATCAGATTAAATACGTCTTTTAGAAGTAAATACAGGTATTTTAAAATGTCGTGGAAAAAGTAATTTTATAAAATTACGAATTTGACTATGTACCTAACTTCTATCCATTCGTTAAGTGTATCATTAAAATACATATCCAATTTATTGATTGCCTAAATAAATCAATTATGCACATAATGATTCAATTCACACAGTGGTTGGTAACATTGCAAAATCCGTAAATTATGTAAACTTACAAATTTTTACAAAATTTTACAAGTAAACATTTCTAAGGACAATTGCCAATTTTTGCAAACATACTCAGAGCTAGGGCGTCTGTTTGTTTTGTACAAGTTTGCAAGATTATTTTACAAAACTTAGGGGTTTTATAAGTTAGCAAGGACTACGTGAATTGCCTCAATATGTAGATGTACATATGTATAATATTTTACTACATCTCAAATTATTAAAGTGTCTCGGACGCTAAATTGTGACCGAATTCTTAAAAATGCATAGCACCATGAAATATAACTTTTTGCTCACCATCTCTGAAAGTTACGCTGCCCGTCTTCCTATGAATCCTACTCTTCTCCTGTGCCAGCCTCAAATATTGGCACTTCGCGAAACACAACGCTCCGAGACCAGTTGTCGCAAAGAAGGCACTTTCCGATCCGATATCAAAATCATAAAGGGACGCGATGGCTCCAAATGCGGAGAGAATTGCGGCACAAGAAAAGACGCAGAGACCACCGCCACCGCCGACTAAACCGCCCCCACCACCGCCACCGAGACCAACCCCACCGCCTCCTCCACCTCCGCCGCCACCCAATATTCCCATTTTCTGCGTATCAGTTAAGAAATTTCTGAATTTTTTGCACGCAAATTTCCCTTTTACCTCGTTTCCCAGGAAGCGACTTAATTGTCTGAGAGACGAGACACGTGTGAAAGAGTTCAGATTATTGGGTGCAACTCGCAGTTGAAGAAATAAGTAGAATGTGGAGAGGAATTCAAAAGTTAAAAACTTGTTTCCGCATCGATATTGGGTTCGTCTTCATTCATGTAAGCAGAAGCCAGGGTTCGTAATCCGTGTCCACATTTGCAGTAAATTACGAATTCTGATCGATATGGAGTTTGCAAGATTTGTGAAATTATTTTAATTACAAACTGTAAAAAATGTATTTATTCTGCATACATGTGTGATAGATTTGTAATATTATTTCATATCTAAGATTTATTTGTAAGGGTGTGCAAACATTTTTTAAACCAAGTTTTCAATTGTACATTATTTGTATCATCGGATAAAACCACAAAAAACATAACTAATTACTGTTTGGATGCACACACCCTGTTGCTTTTAATTAATGCTTCATCCTGTTTCGACCCAGATAATGTGCAACAGTAATTTCTCTAGGTCAGCCTATATAACAAGGTATCAGTGCGTTGTTTCAAATTCAATATGAGTTCCAATAAAAATTCTGCGATTCGCAAGCCATATCAAATAAATCATATCTTACAAATTTATGATGGAAAGTCGTAAACAAAAGTATGTATGAGTTAACTCTGTACGGTATGTGTCTACATGAGCTTCTGATGCTGCTGGTCTTTAGGGGATTTCATTATTGAATTATCCACTTACTTTATGATAATGATCAATCTGGTTTTGAGTTTTTTGGTCTGGTTGCTACCCCGTCACGGGAGATGATACCCATGCTTACTTATTACACTGTCAGTGAAGACATACTTGTTGCACATTTATCAAAAAGAGACAGGAGAGTGGATGAGATTTAATGTCGGATGTCTCGGTTTGTAGGTAGCGTACATATTAATGTACATATGTATATATACATAAGCAAATATTAAACTAAATCTGAGGCAGGAACCAAGAGAAGGAATTAAATCAGTGCGTAAAAGAAACATGAAAACAATTGATGCGTGCACACCTATTAACCTAGGCATTGTTTGAATGGAAAAGATAAAATTATCGGTGCAAAATGCATACCTACATATGTGCATATGTATGCAATGCGCAAAGAAATGGTGAGAACTAAAGAAGGTACATATTAAAGTGCCAATGTATTTAGCATGCATGGTGATATCAATAATTGGGCGAAGTGGGTCTTAGAAAGTTAAGTGTCCACTAAGCGTCTTACTTACTTAGTTTGCATACATATGCATGTAAATAATAATAATTGTAAATATATATGTATGTAATTAATTAATATACATGTGTAATTAATTTGTTGCATGGAGAAATCTAAAATCCCGTAATAAGTAAATTTACGGAGTCTGCAATATAAATATGTATGTAATGTACTCGTATGTATACATACATATAATATAAATATTATCGAATTTATGCACATATGTGCACGGAATTATTTAAGAGTTTGTAGTCAAAGTCCATAATCCATGATTCCTGAAATGATTTTATTCACTTACATTTTTATTCACAAAATCAAACCTGACAAATCTTCACATTTAAATGTCTTTAATTTCAGTATCAAATTAACGATTTTTTAAAACTTTACTTTTTCAGACTCTTATATTTATCACAAACTGCTACCAACTTCTCCGTAATCCCCACTTCTCTCGCGGAATGACCACAATCATCCACAATAAAGAAATCAGCGGTAGGAATCTTCTTGAAAAGGTCCCATGCAGTCGTAGGGGGACAATTGACGTCATACCGGCCTTGCACAATGGACACGGCGTCTTCGAGAATTTGATTGGGTCGCATGAACCCCCCGTTGACCAAGTAGTGGGACTCGATCCTTGCGAGTGCTAACGACCACTTCTCATCTGCTGCCATGGCAAGTGTTTCCGGGTTTGGACGAAGTTGCGACGTCGTCATTTGCCATGTCGTATAAGCTTTGGCACATCGTACTTTCTCTGCCTGATTTTCTCCATTGAGTCGTTTATGGTATGCTGAAAGCAGGTCAGACCTCTCTACCTGCGGATAAAATATAATGATAACGCATATTTAAACAAATTCAATTGTTAAGTACTGTTCAGACAATATTAATGGTCGCCACAAAATCAGAAAGGTGTCCTGGCAGACTATTTTATATTAAAAATTAACCACCCAATAACCTCTCAGAAAATTTTCCAAGGAGTTGAGACTGTTTATATGGATATGTGAGCAGTATATAGCTACCCACCACAGGAATTGGCTCGAGATACTGTTCCCACGCTTCCGGAAACATGAATGACGCACCCTTTTGGTAAAACCAGTCAATTTCTTCTTTTCTCAGGGTGAAGACACCCCGCAGAACGAGACCCAAGACGCGCTCGACATGTTTTTCAGCATACGCCAAGGCCAAGGTGGCGCCCCAACTGCCACCGAACACCACCCATCGCTCAGTGTTTAAATGTTTTCTTAACACGTGCAAAATTAACATATTAAATAATTATGAGTGGCGTAATAACAACTAACAAGTGAAAAGTATTAATATTTACCACACCTCAATTTTTCAATGTCCTCCACCAAACTCCAAGTATCGTTCTCCTCTAAGCAGTAAGCCGGCGTCGACTTTCCGGCCCCACGTTGATCGAAAAGGACAGCATGGTATGCTTTAGGGTCGAAGAATCGCCGGTCTCGTGGCGAGAATCCGCCGCCAGGGCCCCTGCAAAATACATATTTAGTAAATACGCCTGGAGGACCTTATCTTATTTGTATCCTTATCATGAATTCTTACCCATGTAAAAAGACGATTGGTAGACCATTCTTATTTCCACATTGTTCGTAGTAAATTGAGTGCAGATCAGAAACTTTAAGGTGTCCGGAGAAAAAAGGCTCGATGGCGGGGTACAGAAGGGTCTCGTCACTCATTTCTCTAGTGAATCTTGTAAAGTTAGAAATTTGACAACTTCCTGACATGTGTACACTTTCTGGCCAAATAATCACACAAATTGAATTGAGTGATCTAGCTGGATGTGGTCTTCTTGAAATGTAATCTGTCCTGCCAATTAGCTAATAAGAATGTGTCAATGACAAAGTGAAGCGTTTGCCAAACAAACTATTCGAGAGTTTGATGAACAATAATTTTGAACAAGTTGAATACAATACAATGCAACAAGTTGATATTTTGAGAGAAATATTTACGCATGGAACCAGAAATATGTACGGATATATGTAAATATGCAATACATATTTATATCTTTACACATTCAGTCAGCCTAACCTCTAAGGATAAATTAATACAAACTTCTCAATCAGTCATCTCAAAAAATGAACAAATCATACGTTATTATACGTTATGATAAGTTATGAATCATAACGAGGTGAGGATACGATTGCAATATGCAATGAATTTAATGTTGAAAGAGTTCATGGTCAAACAATTTCAGCGTTTACTGTTGTACGTATGGATGTACACATTTTCACATGAATGAATGTGTGTCTGTATGCATGACTTAGATACGTATGAATGTACTTATTTAACACTTGGATTACCCGGAGTTATTGTTGAAAACGAATAAACGATTTACTTTATTTGTCAATATTTCGAATGCTATCTACCATTCATTGTCAAGACATGCGTAAGATGAGAAATTTGTCAAAAAGATTTTTAGAAAAAAATTAGTCGTTGATTTTTTGAGGATTCAGAATAATTGTTGTTGAAAACAGGAGGGACATATGCAATCCCTCATAAACAAATTTGTTTACTAATTATTCAATGTAAGCAAAACCGTTGAATCCGCAATGAACGCATCATAATGGCAAAGAAACTGCGCATTCACCGGGAGTAAATTTGTGGTCCAAATGCCCATGAAAACGCGAATTGGTCGCATTGCAGCCACTCGTCTTCCATGCACTTTATGCACACCCCAGACCACCAGAATTGGGTCATTCTTCCAGAGACGAAGCATATTTTCTGATATGTGCTCATAATAGGACACAAACTTGAGCACAGTGTTCAGAATTATGATGAGCACAACCGAAAAGAACGGACCCATCAGGTAGATATTCAACGGGAGCTGGTCATGCATATTGACGGACATTATGTTTAACACGATAATTACCAAGGCACAGCCAACCAGCATGAACAAGGTCACTGACGCTTGAGGAGCCGCGACACCGGCGAGAATTAAGATGACGCGATTGTACAAGATGACAAAGACGCTGAAATTTGAGTCGTAATTTCGTATGAGAACAATTAAGGTGGTAAAAATTGGCTAAATGTATGTAGTATTTGCATATGTACCTCAGTTCTTTTGGGCTCGCAAAGAGCAATTTTGTCCTCACTTTGTAATCCTCATCAATGAGTCGCATACAGCGGAGCAATGTCCATGCAGCCATGACAAAGACGTATCCACATCCGAGAAGTACCTGACCCGCGGAGATTGCAGACATAACTAGAGTTACGAATGAAACGAGTCGAATACCGAATCGGACAGGGAATGATAGTCCATGGTATGAAAACCAATAAAATAAAAAGTAGAGAGGATCCAAGTTCGCGATCAATGCAAAAACTACCAAAGCTGGAGCCATGTATACCACAAACATGGGAGGCATGAATATTGTCTTGCGCAAGGATAATTTTACAGAAGTTTTTTTGGTTTTAGTCGGTTTGTCTGTGTTTCCATTCATCCTCAGTTTGGTTACTTTGCCTAAGGTGAACATTGCATTATTTTTCCTGGAGAACTGACATTACCAGAAATTTTTATGACTGTGGAGTGAAAACAATTACCGCATTGGGTGAGATGCTCTTCTATAATGAGGAGTTGATTTAATAACGTGCAGATTTGTCTACTGAAAATGTAACCAAATAGTGAAATGAGAATTCCTCCACCTGAACCAATCGTTACGACAGCGATAGAAAGAAGCTGCATGGGTGAGGCGAACGGTTCTTCAGCCGAAGAGGGAAAATGTCCCATTTGTACGGTCCGGATGATGAGATATCCAGCTTGAAGGAGTTTAATCCCTTGGCTAAGGCCCATGGTGAAGATACAACTTAGAATCCATCCAATTAAGGCTCGTGGATCAGTTATTGAGACTAAACGGTGGGTCTCGGGACTCCAAATTATAGCGATGGGTGGCCAGCGACTATACATCCGTGCATAAGAGTCAGCAATCTGGAACATGACGTCCGTCATGATTACGGGTTTTGGGTTTGCAAAGCTAAACTGAGGATGAAGGCTTAAGAAGAAAGTGGTTAAATCAAGTTCAAGCTAAAGCGTCCTTATATTTACATGATAGTTTTGGAAGGAAAAATACTTATGTATTAATTATTCAGAGTTTCATATTCCTTGGGTTTCCGAAAAAACAGGTAGATTGGGATTTTCCGGTTTATAAATTAACTTAAATAAGTCGATTACTTTTTCTAAGTTTACAATTCTTAGAAAAACAGACTACTTTAATATTTATATTTTCTGAATTATAAGGTAGATTGTGCTATTAAGTTTATTTATCTGTATGGGCATCCTACATATCATATACTAGAAAATTATGTTATTGTATTGTTAAGGTCAATTCTAGCGAATGCAAAAAATTTGGCAAAATTACATATATATATTTAAATGCCAATTAGAATTAAATATGTAAAACGTACACAAAATTCACCAACATAAAAGTCAATTCATCGACATATTTATTTAAATATGTTTGTATATGTACCTACGTACAAATACATACATACCTACATGTTTACATATGCATGTATGTTTGTAGTATTGCTAACTTTGGATCATTTTAACCGCACATAAAGAACGTCCGGGAATGAATGGGAATGGTCTGAAAATGTGGTCATAAAATCACAATGAGTTATCGGAATTTTAAACTTTTTGCATATGTATAATACCAAATACGTACCTACATAATTTAATTAATAGCTAAGGCCGCCACACCCCCGTTGGCGACTAGTTCGATTTTCTTGCGAAGATTTTTCATTAAATTTTTTCCCGAAGTTTTTGCCACTTCCGAGGTGATTTTCTTCCATCGTCCTTTGAATTTTCGAAAGGTGTCAGGCACATCTTGAAGCCGGGAGTATACTGACTTAGAACGTGCCCAGAATTTTTCGATTGGGCGGAGTTGGGGTACATTAGGTGGGTTGATATCTTTTGGTACGAAATTAATATTTTTCTTTCTGAGGTACTCGGTCACTTTCTTTGCATAGTGACAAGTGGCGAGGTCAGGCCAAAACAAAACTTTATCATTTTTGTGAAACCTATTAATAAATGCTTCCAATCCAGCCTTGACGCAATTTTTCAGATAAATATCTTGATTGATATTCCCTTCGAGAACTACCGGGTCTGATACATGTCCGTGACTGGAGATGCATTGCCAAATGCAATATTTCTTTGGAAATTTGTCTTTTTTTCGTACTTTTTCTTCATAAGCCACTTCAGAGGGATCCGAGCTATGAAAAAAATGACGCCCTGGAAGATTTAAAGGGTCAACCGGAACATACGTTTCGTCATCCAGGATCACTACTTTTCCACGCATTTTCTTCAACAATTTTTGACAGCAATCCTTGATCCGACTTTCTTGTACGGGCTTGTAATTTGGTGCAGGTTTTTTGGTCCTTGCTTTGATTCCTAATTTATGGACCTTAATTTCCCCCAGGTAGCTTTTGGAAATTTTGACTTTCCTGGCAGCTACAGCTACTGACGTTGATGGCTTGGTTTTGAAAATTTTTTCAATTCTATTTTTCACTCGAGTGGTCGCTAGCTTCGCCGGACGACCAGCTGGCTTCTTGAATTGCACATTTTCGGAATCCTTGAACTTTTTTATGTAGGAATACACATTTGAACTTGGAATTCCTTCCTGCTTAAAAAAGTTCCAGGTCACCTTGGAGTCTCGGTTGGCTGTCGTGTTGTAGAACTCCATCACTCGTTTTCCTAACAGCTCCCTTTCAAACAAGCTTCTTCTACCCTTATCCATTTTTGAAATTTAAGAGTGATATACCAAATTGACCCTAATGAAGTGGGCTTTCAGAAATTTAAATTATTATAGTTCGCGGGTTTATTGATTTGTCAATATACTCGCTAGAGCGTGCATTCCCATTCATTCCCGGACGTTCTTTATTTTGCATTTTTAGATATGCAATATCTAGTATACATAATTACAATGCGATGACGTAAGTGGTCTCGCTCCGATTTAGACGAAACCACGATAATTATGTAGCGTTCGATAAATAATTTAAAATGTGTTTCAGGATTTTTCTTAATGCAAAGTTTAAACGAAATTATGGCGATATTCGTGAGCGAGATTTGCATTTTTATTGTGAAATTTTTTTCGAGAGGGAGAAAATACAGATTCTCGCGTACGGATATAATAATTTAATAATAATCCCATCATAATTTCGTGATTATAATAAGATGAGAAATTTGTTACGAAGATTTTTAGAAAGAATTAGTGGAGATTCAGAAAAATTGTTATCATGTTTGTGACGTTTGATATTGGGGCCGATAAAATATACTTAGATTGTACAACCTGTGTTATCCAGAACTTCTGGACCAGAAGCTTCATGTACACGACGAGGATACGAATATCTTAGCTTTATATCATAATCTGCGGCTTTACATCGCTGATTTACTTTATTGATTTTCTACTGACTATGCGACGACGCCAGCGGTCTCGCTCCGATTTTGATGAAACGTCGATAATTATGCAGCCTTAGGTAAATAATTGAACACGTATTTCGGGATTTTTCATAATGCTCAATTTAAACAAAGTTATGATGGCACAAGTGGCCGAAAATTCGCATTTTTCTCGTGTAGTTTTTATTTTTTCGTTTTTGAGAGAGAAAAATGCGAATTTTCGGCCACTTGTGCCATCATAACTTTGTTTAAACTGAGCATTATGAAAAATCCCGAAACACGTGTTCAATTATGTACCTGAGGCTACCTAATTATCAAAATTTCATCAAAATCGGTGCGAGACTGCTGGCGTCATCGCATAGTGAGTTAAATGATACGGAAAAAAGGAAAGATTTTAAAATTTATTAGTCTTACACATAGTAAGCGTCGGTATATAGATTATAGAGAAAAGATAAATTATGTACGTTATAACGTTTTACAACGCCACATTTTTAAACAACTTTGACTTGAACGAGTACAACTTATTTTGGAATCATTTCGTGTTTTCGTGCAAATTTGTTTACCTAATGCCTTGAATTCAAACACAGTTACATACTGCTTTTTAATATAAAGTAAATCTTAGCAAAATAAACTATTTATTTAATGGATACCATAGTCAGAGCTGGTGTTATGCCTGTCTTTTCATGTAAATACCTAATCCTAAGTAATATGCCCAATAAATAAATATCTAACGTTGTGTGTATGTAGCGGAGAATAATTTACATTCCCCCCAAAGTTCAGCTGTAATGTAAACAATTCATTTCCGTATAATATTGACAATTTCAGATATGACCTCCGAAATTGTGAATGGGGAAAGGTATGTCAATATTTGCTTAATTTCTGAAATTCGTCACATCCTTCCTTTTACACTGAACGCAATTTCTCTCTTCCTGTTTGACGGGACGGTTAAGTCGTCAGAACGCTTGGTAAGAAATTAGTTATGTATATGTAAGTACTTCCCATGGAGTATAATATTTCTAAAAAAAACATGAGCAAAATTCTTTTACTCGACCGGATACAGCGTGTACTAAAATTAGGCAACTACGTCCGCTGTCTCTTTGTAAAATGGGATAAGCAAAAATTGAAAATATCCCAAATTTCAAAAAAGAATCAAACGATCGTGCAGCTTTTACGATTCTGCAATTCCTCTGCATCATAATCCGGATATGTTCGATCGTCACAATAAAGGAGGCAAGTCTTACGAAAAGTATTTTGGGCATGACCATGACTGCACTTTCGCTTATCTCATTCTTGTTGAGATTCGAAATATCACCAGACTACGTGCAAGGACAACTTTTGAATTTTATCTTCTCCACAAAAGGTGATCTTTGCATGACAATAATTTTACCTCTCATAATTTGAATAATTATTTGTTGTGTTTAATTTCATAAATTTATTTTGCACATTAAACCAGAGAAACGGTTGAAGTCTCGAAATTCTAAGAACTTGAGGCATTCAGTTGGGCAAAAATTGCAAATTTTAATTAATGCAGACAAATACAACTTATTCAACCAAAAAATTTATGAGTTGGTCAAAAATCCATTTTGAAAATTTTTATCAATTAAACATATCTTTGTTTCTATTACGTCTAATTTTATCTAAAATTTGTACCTAAACAGATATTCAGTATCGCCAAAGCATCAAACATCTCCTCAGATTCCTCGTCCTCTTCTTCGACCTTATCGAACTCGGGTTCTACCTCTTTCCCACATTGCATGGCTTACTGACAATATTCCTCCCTTGTCAACCAGGACTTCTCAGTTCCATACTTTGCTCACGGAACGATATCTTCTTGTCGTTTCACTATCCAAAATATCTCGTCTTTTTTGCCGCATTATTAGAGTTCCTCCTATTCATGCAAGTCGCAGTGGGTGCGTCCTACAACATCATCTCCGTTCTCCTCACAGGCGTCACCTTTCTCTGGATCGAGTGCACAACTTTCATACAACGGTACGAAATTCTATTCGTAAGTCAAGTGGGGTACAGGAAGGTGCAAATTTTTGAGAAATTGCTGAACGCCAGCACTCGGGAAAGCATCTTTTTGAAGACGGCCCTCTTATTGCCAGCCTTGCAAATAATCATGTCCTTCGTGACGATTAACATGTTCCACGCGAGCCAGGGTTTAATGACACTGATGTTTCTGTGGCTGTACGTGTTGGCCTTTAGCTTCACCTTGTTAACCTTTTCTGCTGCGGCAAAAGCGAACGGGGCAAGTCATGGGTGGATCGCCAGATGCAAAGGAGGTGACGGAAGAAAAATTGCTAGGAAATTTCACAGGTCTTTGGTACCACTAAGGTTGCGATATGGTAACAATTTCGTCGAAGTTTTGACCCCACTCGTTGTGCAGGAATTTTGTATGAGGCAAACTATGTCGTTTCTAATTGTGAGGAAATGAATAATTTTTTGGTTGCAATTCCAACAGGATGTGATATGTAAATTTAGAATTCTATTAACCTGGATTTGTGTACTAAATACTTATTTCATTTAAACTTATAATTTAATATTGTTTATTAGATAGTTTCACTTTGACAATGTGCACAAGCTTGGTATTTATGTAAATAAATATATAAAAATTCATATGTAAATGTACAAGTAGGACTCAAAAACCGTTTTGTGCAACGGTGTATTTTAGCCAAATATAATTCAATTAATGATCTGATTCAAGCTTTGAAATGAGCAAAAAATTGTAAAACTTTACATATTTATGGTAAAAATATGTATGTAATTAAGTATTTATGAGAACGGTTTACGTCCAACGTACATAATTCAGCAAGGTCATTATGAGGTCAAGGTGGTGACTAATAATCGCGTCAAACATCTAAATTATATCGCCTGACACCTCTCCCTTCCTGTTTTACTGGGAAATTCATTTCTTCATCGTAATCATCACGACTGGTATGATTCGTCAATCCTGTTATAAATTCTCCACAAACATGGAAATATTTTCGCTTTTCTTCACACTTTTCTAGGAAACCAAACGATTCGAGAATTTTGTAAGCTTTGCATTCTAAAGCATCAATTTCTTGTTTGCTCATTGCGGGATTTGAGTATTGAAACATATAAGATTCTCCTATTGGAAGAGAATTTCCAAGGAAAAGTATATCTAACTGTATTAAACGAACCATTTTAAGTAATTCTTGCTCAGAAGATAGAGCCTCCTCAATCTGGCACATTGTGAGATGTAATACTATCAAAGGTATGTAGTCGTCCGTGTACGAGGGGGCGTATTCCTCGAAGCGGTAGAAATTAGGAACTTTTTTAAATTCTCCGTAAAATTCTTGGATAAGATTGATAAATGACGTGATATATGTTTCCAAGTTTTGTACAACCGGGGGAGGATGACATGATAGTTCCGGTTTTAAGGGCAGAGAGGAAATAGTGCATCCCGCCAAATGGAGACATAGCGGGTTCCAGCCTAGAAGTTGGCCCAGCTTGAAAAGCGTTCCATGAAACAATGATTGTGGAAGGTTTAATCGCCTGGAGAGATATTCCATACCAAACACGGAACTTCCGGTGATTTGGATCTCTACGAAATTAATGGAAGGGTTGATATGACGCCAAGATTTTTGAAGTAGTCTGTAATGAATGAATTCGAAATATTTAAGCTTGTAAGACTTAATTTATGGCTGCAAAAATTCACTTTGTTTTACTTGGTTTTACTATTGAATAAGTTTCAGAAAATTATTCATTTAATTGAATTAAGGATAAAACCTGGTAAAGCCCGACGTAGGAATATCCTTATTAGAGTATCGTCTAACCTTGAACCAGTAAATATTGGGCCAAATTCTCTCTCTGTAATATAATGCAGTCGTTCGGATAGTATTGTTTGGTAAAGGTATTGTTTTCTCGTGACTATTAGAACGAATGGTTTGTTCGTAACGGTTATGTCTTGCTGTATTCTGATCAACTCGAGTAGTACTGCATGCTCCAAGGGATTACCGCTATTGAAGTTATCCAGAATAAAGATCCATTTTTGATCGCGAAAAGCGTCATTAATGAGGTAAATAAATTCTGACACCTAGTTAAAAATTGACTTAGGACACGTATTTATTGGCTAATAAATCAAAATTACCGCGACACGATGACCACTGTCCCGGTAAATATTAGCGCGTAATTGTCTCCCGACCACTTCTAACTCGTTCTTAACGACCCATCCCTCATTTAACGTAATCCAAATTATGGAGGTCCCGCCATCTGTTAGCGTCACTTTTTGCGCGAATTGCAATCCTATCGTAGATTTCCCAGATCCCGCTGGTCCACTAAGAAAAAAGATGCGTTCCCTTGAATCTTGGTATGATTTTAGCAGGTCATCTAACTCGGGGCGTTCCAGCCAGATGTCGCTTTCTCTGGCGGGAGATGGGCTCGGAAGCCGACTTGTTGTATTCAAAGTGGTGGGATAATAATGCACCGGCAGAGTCAGCATGCCTCTCCAAATCGCTAAAAGTACGGAATGAACGGTGGACGCAGAAGGTCGTTCTTGCGGCGAGGTGGACATCATTTTCAAAATTAATTCCATGACGGGAAACAAAATTAGGGTAGGATTGAATGTAGACGTTTTCTTGGCGGCGTAGTCTTTTAGTTCTAATAGGATTGGTTTAGCTGGACATGGGAGAAATAATTCAGCCAAGATTAAGCCCAGGGCGTAGACGTCAACGCTGAACCCGTACGAGAGACCGGCTTCCTAAACGTATTTATTTGGGTATGATTATGGTCTAGTTGGGAGGCTAAATGTGTGCATATCTAGTAATTATAATTGCGAAATATTTACTTAAATAGTGACATAGTTGTACGACATTAAACGTGTAAATTGAGCTGTCTGAAATCTCAATACCGTTTTAGATAATTGAGGTGTCATTTTTTCATAAGAAATTTCCCTAAAAATAAATAAGCTATTTTTAAAGTGCAAGGTTTTGTAATACTGATAATTAACTTTGCATTTAAATATCTTAAGCTGCACTTATGTATCTCATGAAATTGATGCCATTTTAGAAATGTGCATTTAAGGATATTGAGTGAAGCTTAAAGAGTGAGATTTAAAGTCTATCATTATCACGATCTATAAATACTTCACTATTCAAATAATCAAATATATAAATACCTGTTCCGGGCTGAGATATAACGGAGTTCCGGCTGAAGCATTGGTCACATCGTCACGTAGGTTAAGATTATCTAGCCTTGTTCCTCTCGTATCCATCTCGCGATCAGTTCGTTGGACAAATTTGGACATGCCAAGATCCCCCAAACGAATTAGTGTTGTATCCTGCACAGAATAAATTAACTTGGAAAATGACAGTGACTTGATACTGTATAAATTATCACCTCGTGACCTGGAAATTCGTCAAGTTTTTTAAGAAAAATATTCCCCGGCTTCAGGTCTCTGTGGATTATGTTTTTATAATGGAGAAATCTTAATCCATCGGCAAGTTGTGTGGCGAAATTTAGTAGTAAATCTGCGTCTCTGTCTGCAAGACAGGTCGTTCTTAGCCAATCCTCCAGCGTCCCACCAGGACAATATCGTTGGACTATGGTCACTGGACAAATTGTGCCTGCCCCGCCGAAACCGTTGCATGAGTCGAGCAGTTCAGCTTCGGGTACGCTGCATTATGAACAAAAATACATAGGTAAATGATCCGACTAAAGCAACGCTGAGGAGTAGGATCACGATCTACCCGTTTTCTGAGACGGTAATAGAACCGAGTAAATCCTCAAGGCTGGCATTTAATTGGTTTACGATAAACTAGATAAATAACGATTATTTTTTACCTGTGTAAAGTTTACATTGATAAAAAAGACTTCCGATGCCAAAAAAGGACAAATGGATAATAAAATACAAGTTTTTCTGGTGCAAGTAACCATTTGCAAGAAATAACCGCATGAACAGCTATTTTTACCTGCAAGAAATGAGAGATGCAAGAAACTACTTCCTACCACAAAAGTTCATACATTCGACGCTTCGCTAGATGGCGCATGTTTCTTGCGATTTTTTGCAGTTTCTTGAACCTTTCATTTCTTGCGTTGCAGTGCAAGACATGAAACACAGCCAGATAATAAATAAGGTATAAATACAGTGCAGTATCGGCAGATATTTTGGTCGGGATGAGATACAAAATTAGATTTACTTGAAAACTAACGCACCCTTTCATAAATTCCTTAAACAGCGGATCATTTTCCTCCACCCAACCCTCCGGAGGTTTCTCAATCACGGCTGTATTAATCTCGACCACGTTGGGATGCTGGTACTGCCGCAATTGTGATAAAGCTTCTAGTTCTTTTTCCATGAGTCGTAAGTCATCAAATCCTTGAGTGTCATCCCTGTAAAGTGAATTATTTAATATCGGAGATAATATGGATCATAAATAAAAAATTGAGGTGTTATAGGGTTACACCGGAAATGTTCGTTTCAACGCGTAGGGGGGATCCTTAGGGGAAGTGCCACGCCTCTTGGCAGCCCAAACTATTCCGAACGATCCCCTTCCTAATTCCCACATTAATTCGTACTCGCTATAAATTCGGGAAACGTATCCCTTGTTTTTTGAAGGAGTTGACTTCTTCTTGAAGTTTTTTGAAGCCATGCTGTCTTAATTTATGAATGGATTGTGTAATTATCTAGTTGAATTATTTTTTATGGTTGTTTGTAAACTTAAAGGCTAATTCTGCTCACTGAAATTTATTACTTCTGTGTAACTTTTTTAATCTTTATACAGTAATCAGCAGTTAAAATAAGTAGATTTACTGATGTTGTTGAATTAGCCAAGGCAATAGTAATGATATTTTCGGCTCAGACGAAGAAGAGTTTCCTTGTTGCTAAATATACTAAAGCATTATGGTTCTCTTATGATCAGTTAAACTTGCATCGCTACAAATAATCATAGTTGACGCAGATTAGATTAAATATTTGTCACGACATATATCAGTATACATGTGACGGGTTAACTGTAAATATGTTTAACAGCGTCGTACATGCAAATGAATGTATGTGTACATTCTCGCAGATTTGTGTTTTTTTAATTGAACATACAGCATACAACATTAAATGTGTATCTATCTATTTACATGTACAGTGGGTTGTCAAAAGTGTTGGTGGTCCATCTTGCGCTCGGTACTGTTGAAGATAACATCGCTAAGGGATGGTAATGAGCTAGTTATGCTACCCTCTTCTATAGCCACCTTAATAGGCTAGAAAATACTTCAAACAGAATTTGAAAATCTTACCCCGTTCGGGGGAAATTGAGAAAAAAGTGCAAAAATATCATACAAATTTTTGCCAAAAGTATTGGTGGTGGCTTATTTTTTTATATCTGCAGACCACACATATCGGAATTCTTAGTTTCAACATTATTATCATCAGACTCTTTTATGTTCATTATGGTACAAATTTAACAGAAACTACGAAAATAGGTGAGTTGTGCATCGCTGAGAAAAATTTATCACCAGCATTCATGAAGGATGGGTTGGCCCCCAAAACAACGACCTTTCGACCTCCTTTAAGCTCTCTAAAAATTAAAATATATTTAAAACTTACCAGTACACTTGTCTTGTGATCAACAAACGAAGACAAAGCCAAACAACAGTAACCGCATCACAAAAAAGCAGAAAAATGACATATTATGGTAACCTAAACCGTTTTGTGAAGATCCCAGGGGTCAGAAAACGAACCAGGGCAGTACGTATTGTACAGATTCATTCCGGTAATATTTAAACTAATGCTCCCCACGTTGTTTGCGGGAAGTTACCCCACCTCATCATTGAATCTGGTCGAGATGAAGATAAGATTAAATTCCTTACATCCGAAGAAGTAATCTAAGGAAGATAACCTCTTTTTTGTCTCACAGCTTTTCTTAAGCAATGGGTTATCAGTGGTTCAATTGATTTTCTACGAACATGCTAAGGTCCCCGGGTTCCAAGAAAACAGAATTTGTCTTCATCCGATCACAGGATATCGTGTCGATAGCTTTCCCTCCCACCGTGCGTGATTTTTCCACTGGTACATATTTGAAACATTTTTCTTGCTATGTGTATCTTTACTAACCGGCTTCCTTCGATGCAAATTTGCTACGTGTAGCCTCCCATATATAATAACCTCCAAAATTTTATGATCCATGGATTTTCTGGATTATTTTTGTAACCTCTGGGATCTTCACAAAACGGTTTACATTACCATAATATGTCATTTTTCTGCTTTTTTGTGATACGGTGGCTGTTGCTCGGCTTTATTTTCGTTTGTTGATCACAAGACAAGTGTACTTGTAAGTTTTAAATATATTTTGATTTTTACAGAGCTTACAGGAGGTCGAAAGGTCGTTATTTTGGGGGCCAACCCATCCTCCGTGCATGCTGGTGATAAATTTTTCTCAGTGATACACAACTCACCTATTTTCGCAGTTTTTGGTAGATTTGTACCATAATGAACATGAAAGAGTCTGATAATAACGTTGAGAATAACGGTCACATTCTTAATGACATTTTTTCGGCCTGAGTGTGAGTGGCCACTTAAACTCAATGAATTTCATATTCTTAATGAAAATCATCTCCACTCTCGTGAGTGGAGACTTTGGAAAAAAGTGAGTGAACTTTGGGTCATGGAGATGAGTTCAATTCAGACAATTTTCACATTTTGTATTCCCAATGACTTTTTTATTTCTCCACTCAACCAATTTTCGAAAGTATCACTCAATTTCGCTAGTTACGCAACGAGCTATCTTTGGCTGCGCTCTCAACGTTCGCTTGCATAAAAATTACTTGATTTCATACAACAAAATCATTTTTCCTGAAAATATTTGGAACTTCTGAAAAATTACTTTCTTCGTTAAGTACGTAAGTTATAAAAATATAATAAACATACCCAAATTCCTTCCACACTTTTTGTTCAACTCATCTAAAATTAATCCACTTATGTACACAGTGAAAACATGACTCTCTCCCGTTTGCAAGATTATGAAGATAGATTAGAGCGTATTCACATTGTCCCGAGTCGTCAATTGAAGGACAAGTCTAATCCAATGGAATCCCTCTCCGAGCACCAATTCCAATCCCGGTATCGTCTCAGCAAGGACGCTACTGTATTTGTGGCTGACCAGATCAAAAATCAGCTTGTCAGTCCATTGAGGCGTGGAGTTCAGATCCCTCCAATCCTGCAATTACTCGTTGCCTTACGTTTTTATGCTGGGGGCAGCTTTCAAATTCAGGTCGGTGATTTGGCACAATTATCGCAAGGGACTGTGTCGAAGTTGGTCAAACGTGTCTCCGGTGCCCTAGCAGCCCTGCGCCCTCATTTTATCAAGTATCCTAATAACAATGAAGCCAATTTAGTTCGCCAACGCTTCTACACCTATGGCGGATTTCCAGGGGTGGTGGGCGCAATTGATTGCACACATGTTCCGATTAAATCAGTTGGAGGAGATAACGCAGAGCTTTTCAGAGATCGACATGGAAATTTCTCTATCAACGTTCAAGCAGTCTGTACATCAGACTTGAAAGTAACCAACATTGTAGCACGCTGGTTCGGGTCATGTCACGATAACAGGATTTTCGAAAATTCAACACTTTGCAGACAACTCGATCGAGAAGAAGTACCAGGGATACTTGTGGGTGACTCCGGATATAGCTGTACTCCATATCTGATGACACCATTGACAATGCCGAGAACTGCAGCCGAAAAGCGATACCAAAGTTGTCAAATCAAAACTAGGAACCCCATCGAGCGCTGCTTTGGAACTGTGAAGCAGCGTTTTAATTGTCTGCGATATATGCGCCTGAAGCTATCCACAACCCTGACCACGATTGTTGCATGTTTTGTTCTACACAATATTGCCATTATGTATCGTGACGATTTGGAATTCGAATATGAGGATCACGAGGACGATGAGAACGAAAATATACGGAACCAAAGTACAACTTCCGGAATTTCTGCTAGGAACCGAATAATTTCTTCTCATTTCTCATAATTGAATTTTAGAGAATTTTTATTTGCTGTTTCTTGTATTTAATTAAATGCAAATTGTTTACATAAAATATCGAACGAATTAAATAAATTGAATGCATAAAATGTATACATACATACTTGAATTGCAATCACTAGAATTTAAGGTTAAGCGGAATAATTGTTTACAAATCATCATTGCATAGTTTAGAATTTTCAATTTGTAAACTAATCAATTTCATTCTCGCAGCGTGAAATTCTTCATCCATTAAAATATTCTTCTCCTCTCTGTTAATTTGTAGGTCGAGCAGTTTCAGTTTCTTGGCTTGTAACTCTTCCTCCAGTGAAATGATAATTTCATGCCCAGCAAGAAGTTTCCTCTTCCGGTCTTGTGGTTTTGATTGCCTGCCTTTACTACACATCACCTATCGAACTAAAAATTACAAATGGTCATTCAAATTGTAAAATTGAAGCCTGATAAAAGCATGATAAAAAGGTCTCACCAGTTGTGTCATTAGTACATCCTATATCGTCGCAATCAGATGGTGGGACGACAGCAGTTGCCTCAATTTCGACCGTGCTTTGTTTGGCTGCATCTTTTTGATTTCGTCCTAAATAGATATATATTTATATAGATTATACAATTATATTGTGACAAAATAACGTACTTCGTAACCACTCATCAAATCCAAGTTCCACACCCGATCCTGCAGAATCAGCGTCATCGTCATATTTATTATCAAGCGAGGTCATCTGTGCCGGAACAATGGCTGCGACCTTGTAGGAGGTTGGGGAAAGAGAATTCTCTTTCGACCCTCCGCCGGTTTTACCTCGCCCCCTTTTCTTTTTTGAAATCTATTAAAAAATGTATCAATGTAATTCGATCATAATTTCAGATTATAATTTTAATCATGTAATCGAAAATAGTGATAACATAACTAACCTGTTTTTTGCAGCGACTTTTCAGATTTTCCCAGCCTTTTTTCAACTGAGCCCCTGTACGTTTCACTACCGAAATGTGGGAACAAAATTCCGTACTCACACTGTCCCAAGCATCCTTTTTCTGAGCTGTCCATAGAGCGTTGGTTCGCTTGTTCTCTACTACGGCTTTAACAGACGGCTTATTCACTATTTCCAACAAAATTTCCTTCTCCTCAGAAGTAAACGGGGGTAATTTTGCAGTCTTTTTTTCAGATTCATCTTCCGAATTAGACATGATCACACTCTTCTTTCCAACCAATGAATAATAGCTTTGATAATTTGCGGTGATACTAGCATAGAGAAATGCACCAAGTTTCGTAGATGTTAAATCGTTAACACGAATTCTATTAGTAAATTTATTACTATTATTTACTTGAGAACAAAGTAGGCAAATTTTATTTTGCAAGTAAGTTGAAAGTCCCACTCAAAAATCTCGACTCAGCTCACAAATTGGAGACTCAGCTCACAAATTCTGAGTGGAGATTAATTTTCATTAAGAATACCAACTGAGTTGAGTGAAGAATCGAGACTCACACTCACACTCAGCAAAGTGTGAGTGTAAGTGGCGATTTTTGTGTCATTAGGAATGTGACCGTAAGAATTCCGATGTTTGTGGCCTGCAGACATAAAAAAATAAGCCACCACCAATACTTTTGGCAAAATTTTTTATGATATTTGTGCACTTTTTTCTCAATTTCCCCCGAACGGGGTAACATTTTCAAATTCTGTTTGAAGTATTTTCTAGCCTATTAAGGTGGCTGTAGCAGAGGGTAGCATAACTAGCTCATTACCATCCTTTAGCGATGTTATCTTCAACAGTACCGAACGCAAGATGGACCACCAACACTTTTGACAACCCACTGTACATATACCTCCATATTTACACATTAACACAAGAATATGCATAAATTGTAATATATTTTTTCCCCTTGAAATAATTACCTTGAACTCTCACTTAGGACTGTTTGCTGACAAGGACTGTTAATGTTTGGATGGGGAAATTTACAAAAATACTTGCAGCCTGCTATATAAATAACATGGCCGTATTGTACGAAATAAGTCGCCTGCTACATATACACTGGATCTTCATGTACTTTATGTCATGCAATGCATGGGCACCTTGGTGAAAATCTTTCCCTTATTTCTAACCAAAATTAGAGAATTGTACGATCTGCATATTTTAATCATGTGGATAAAGTTTGGGCGTCTTCAATTTGCAGACTTAAAAACTTGAAAAAACTTAAAAACAGTAAAGGGGAGAAGTTTGCATTGTAAAATTGTCACGTCGATAAGGCCGCTTGCATTTTTGGTTGGGATCGGGAGTTAAACATTTTCCTTGGCGAAACAATTTAAGAACTTTCGTTGATTGGCTTTGTGGTGAATACATATAATATAATCTCGTTGCTATTAGACTAAACATGGAAAACATCACGGCCGAAAGTTTGCACATTTTTTAGAGGTGCAGAACTTTGCACAATTTCCTGCATAAACTTTTATGCGGCATTGCGGAATATATGTTTGTATGCATGTAAATGTGAAGGATATTATTGACAGAATAAATTATGCCGAAAAAATCAGCCAGGATTCTGCGTGCCTCTCCTTATCTGCTCAAAATTAACAAATTTTAAGAAAAAGATTTTCATATGGGATACTCTAAATTAGAGTCTCTAACGTGTATTATTAGTTGTGACGAATTATGTGGGTCAAATACACAGCCTAGAAATAAATTGATTTTGACTGATCAATGTATTTACATAGTAGATTGCATACAAATATAATTTAATTACTAAAAATTAATAAAAATATATTCACTTTATTTTTTCTAAGGTGAGGTAAAAAAAACTATGGTTACATTTACACCTTAGTATGCATTCACCCCCCCCCCCCTTCGAAAACCTTGACCGCCTCCTACAGCCAAGGGGGTGCGTTTTAGAGAAAAAAATAAAGAGACCGAAAAATCAATTACGGACCTAATCTAGTGCTATCCTAAGGGATTTTTCGATATGACCTCCCAGAAAAAAGTTTTGATGGTGGTGAATGGTTGCGTTTCACAATTTAAGTATGAAGGAGACTACCTACATAGCTGGGTATCTAAATTTATGAAAGATCGCCCCCACTTTACTATAAGGGGAAACAAGAATTGGGTCGATTGGTTGAGAAACCAGCGACTTTTCCCTATAACGAAAATTTCCGATTGGTTGCTATATAGTAACTATATAGTTACACCCTCGCTATGGAGTAGTTTCTAGTCTTAGCCCGTGCCCGGACTTATGGGACCGTCATGTCCGTCCGTGAACACGACAATTTTACGATATGCATATCGGACAAAGCTAGGAAACGTTCGATGGGGGAGAAATCGGTCAAATGGTTGACCCGTAGGGGTCATCTAAGTTAGCTTTCTTACTTTCTCTTCTCCCCTATTTCGCGTTCGCATTCTCTTCTCCTCCGAATTAGACCATCATCCTAACTACGGTAGGCGAATGTAAAGATTTCCATGCAAAATAATCAAATTTTTGCGATTAATTAATTATGTCGGTGGTACTTACAACAACGATGGAGGAAAAGTTGATATTGTTAGTGGGTTTGGAACCATGTCTATTTGCAAAGAAGGATCCCCAATTCAAAAATAATAATTTGAAAGAGAAGAAGTGGGAAAAGATCGCCGCAAGTTTCGAGAATGACAATTTCACTGGTAAGTTTAATTAGTATTATTAATTGAAAGTAACGTTTAATTGCAATTATGATCTTGCAATTTCAGCCGAATCCCTGAAGAAGCATTGGCAAAAGTTGAGGTCACAGTTTTCTGGATTTCTCCGCCGTTTAAAAAATCCTAGTGGGAAAGGTGCAGGAAACAGACCATTCTTTCGCCACGAAAAATCTATGAGGTTTTTGAAAGATGAGATTGAGCCTGAAGAAACGTAAGTCACAATTCCAGATAGTTTTAAAAATTGTAATTTATGAAATTGTGTTAATGTGTAGGACATTCTCAAATGTTGACGAGGATGTGACCGCTGGAGACGGAGTCCAAACCACTTCGTCCGAAGTGGTGGAGATCGAGGAACTTCTAGACGTTGAGGGCGGACAAACAACTACCATTGTGCCCCGTTTTAAGGACCTCTCCACTGCACGGTCACATACGAAGTTTGGCATGAAGCGAAAAGTCGACCAGTTTGACAAGGAGTTGCTGGCCATATTGAAAACAGAGGAGGACGAGTTTGAAATGTATGCAAAGGCACTGGCACCCAAATTAAGAATTATTTCGGAAAAAGGTCGCAAATTGTTTTTGGAGCTTCAGCATGATATTAATAATTTAATTCATAATGCTGAGATGAAATGCTTAGAATTGTAATTATGAATTTAATTTGTATACTACGTTTGCAATTTATGCACAATAATTCAACCCCTAATGAATTTACTACTTAAATAAATTTTGTTTTCAAAATAACATGCATTTGTAAATCAATTAAAATCATTAATATCATTAAAATTTAACTTAGATTTTTGAATCCTGCCACGGAACTGAACCCTCTCCATTAAAAAAATCGCAGAAACTTTGTCGAATTCCAATTGCTTCATCCGCCGCCCTATTACTGCCTTGCTGAGAAATTCCTTGTAGCTGTGTATTTCATCTCTCCAGCTTCCGGGAATTATCTCTTCTCCTTCAAATATGTCTCCAGTGATTCCATTGTGGTCCATCTTGGTCATGCAAAAATTGTGTAAAATTGTTCCTAACTCAATAATCTTCTTTATAAACTCCAAATCGATGATGATAGTGGTCGCCATCTGACCGCTAATATCTCAAAGGCATTCTCGACCACTATTCGCCCCCGTGACATCCGATAATTGTAGATTCTTTTCTCCTTCTCCAAAAATTTTCCAGGAAAAGGCTTCATCATAAATTTTCGAAGAGGAAATGCATCATCCCCCAGGAGTACATGGGGAAGTACCTTTCCTCCTACTTGCTTTGGGGGCGGCAGACCAAGTGTTCCAGTTTCCAACGCCATGCCGAGAGACGATCGTCCGAAAATCCCACCGTCTGACTGTGATCCGCTAGCACCAATATGTACTGCCGTGAACTTGTAGTTGGGGTCTGCGATTGCTAGGAGGACGACCGAGAAGAAATTCTTATAATTAAAATGGGTCGATCCGGATAATGCTGGGGCTTGGACTCTGATGTGTTTCCCATCGACAGCGCCACACGCATTGGGATGGTTCCACTTCAATCGGAAGACGGATTCATTCTCCTTCCAAATCTCTTCAGTTGGTTTTGGCAAGTACCAATTTCTTGCAAATTGCTCGAGTTACTTCACGGAGGATACCGGAAACCGCTGATGGGGAGAACCGGTAACTTAGGGCTAGTGAAACTTGAGAGTTCCCGGATGCCATGTATCTGCACACAATAATCGTCGTTAATAATTTGAATAATTATCACAATTATTATTTATTGGGTTACCTTAATGTTAGGGCAGGTTTTTCAATGGGCATGATTGGGCGACTGTGTGTCTTCTTACATGTGATATCGGGCTCGATCAGGTGAAGGATTTCGTCAAAACTATTCTTAGTCATCCTAGATTTATTAAATATTTAGTACATTGAAAAATCTAATTGTAAAAATTTATATATATATAAATATACCTGAAATATTTGAGGTTGGGTTAGGTTAGGTTAGGTTAGGTTAGGTTAGGTTAGGTTACTAACCTAACCTAACCCAACCGATGCCGACCAAGATTCTCCCCCCATCGCAGTTCCAACCAGCGGTGGAAACTTGTACCAGGAATATCTTGCCACTCCCTGGCTAGAGGAGCATTATGACCCTTCTAATTTCCAGTCTCGGCTACATCGACCAATTCGACACGTAAAAGTAAGCCGGGCTTTGTCCGGTGACGGGTACAAACCTTGCTACCTCTTCGCGTCAATATTACCAAAACATGGTGGTAGTCGGGATCATTGAGAAGTTCGTGAACAAGAAAACTTTCGCCATGCAGCAGACGATTGAACAAAATTGGTCTGATAGACATTGCTCGAGCTTTTCTTTGAGCCCGAAGTCTCTCCCTCCTCACCAAGATAATTTTAATCACAAGTTTCCGATTAAATGAAGGCATTTTTCGTAATTTGAAAAATTCAATTTTTACTTTCTTCGGAGAATTTGGAAGAGAAAGCTAATGGGAGGTCAAATAATTGGTAAATAAGCATAAATGGTCACAGAAGGACGAAGTGAGAACGCCATGGTGACATAAAGCAATGATAATGCAATGTATAAACCGGGGGTAACAGTGTAAATGTTTCGTTGCAAATAGCGTGTAATAATGGTTATGTTCTATATTTGCTTTTAAAATTCAAACCTAAAAAAGAATTAAATAAAATATAGCTCGAAAAAGTAAAAAGTTCTAAGGTGAGGAAGTGCTATTAAAAGTATTAAACAAGCTCCCTCCGCCACCCAGATAATTTTACTTCGCCTGGGCTGTCTATCGCATGCAAAATATCGACAATAATGTTTCGGCGTCACGTAAGAAAATAAGAATTAGAATTAATTTCTTGATCCTAAGTTAACTTTTGAATTGGTTAATATCCAGATCAACATTGCTGGGTGGTAAGGGTATCATTATTATTATTAGCTATTATGATAATTTGGTACTAATTAACATATGGTTCATCCGTCCCTAAATATTTAGTAATTATTTGTATAACTAGCTCGACATCGTGCTCGTTGTACTGATAAACCGAAATTTTAAGCTATATTTAATTTTTTTTATATTTAAATTATATTTAAAACTATTATATAAACTATATTTAAATTATATTTTAAACTATATTATATTAAACGATATTATACAATGCAAGACCACCATTGTTTTTAGATTTGTTAGGTGACTCTATGAGCGACTTTTTTATGACCTGCATATTTTAATTTACAACAGATATTTTGCATGCGACAGACAGCCTAGGCGAAGTAAAATTATCTGGGTGGTGGAGGGAGCTTGTTTAATACTTTTAATAGCACTTCCTCACCTTAGAACTTTTTACTTTTTCGAGCTATATTTTATTGTTCAGTTTATTTGCTTGGAAATGTTCATTTGTTTATAGATATGCGACAATGCGTGCAGATTTTTAAAATATATATTTTATAGTCAACGATACATACATATATGGGTAGCTATTGTTTTTAATACTTTCCAACGCGTGGTGAACAAATAATGCCTCTGAAGCATCTATATTTTTCCGACACCAATTTTAACCAATTTTAATGGATCGCAATTGGAGCTCTCCCTTTTCGGCGACGTTACTCTAGTCAAGTTGAATAGTTCTAAAATACTGCGGTACATTCCGAGCGCTTATGCGATACACTCCCCGAGTTCTGAAATAAAATATTAAATGTAAGTTACTAAGCACATTTGAAATTTCGTGTCAACAATGAAAACAAGCAATAAGTTTATTAGCTCACGAATTTGAGGTGTGCAGCCCAACATTTACTGGGTTTGGACATTGTGTCGGGCATTGATTTAAAGATTGATCATTTTCATCATTCGGTGAACACTTGCACGCTACGTAAGATTTCTTAATGGTGTCGGCAAAGAGGAACGTGGCAAAGTTGTGACTGCAGAAGAAAATATCTGTCACCGTGTTACAACCGGGTTGAGAACGGCCATTATTTACTACAAAAAATAAAGTTAAGTTTAAAATAATGTGCACCGTAAAAAATTTGATAACAAAATAAATAAAAAATTACAGTATCATTTGTTCCCGAGGAGAACGATACTTTTCTATGAAATCTTGTGTCAGGAATTTCTAATTAGAGCCTTCCGGAGCTACAAAATGGGAAAGCATCAAAATCAAATGTAAAGGTCAAATACTGAGCAGTATTTGACCATTACATTTGATTTTACCACCTCGGTAGCAATGTTAGCACTATTTAAAAAATAAATTACCACGCACTAATAAAATCGACATGACCATCTAACGCTCTTCCGCCATAGAGTCCCATATTGGAGTGATAAATATCGACAAAGTTGGCGTCAGTCTTGTCTAGATTCAGTTCCTGGTGGGAAGGATAATAAAGAGGACCGGCAGGATCCAATCCTAGACAAATAATTTTTTGCAATACAAATTTGCACACAATTTTACGAACAATGTTTCGTACATATGTATCTATGTAACTACCTGTAATTCGTGATATCTTTTTCCCACCATTTGTCTGCTGGATGGCCGTTCCCACATGTCCGGCGACATGTGCTCCTAGTGAAATTCCAATTAAATGGATCCCATCAAAATCTATGGCACCCTCGGAATGCATCCATTTTATAAAATGTGCAACTCGGTCCCCAGTTTTAGCCACGTTCCCGACCGCCATGGGATACAAGAAGGGCGAGTCGAAGATATTGTAACCTCTCGTCGACAATGCAGACCAGTCGACGAGAATTAAATTATCGCCGAATTGATACTTTTTCATATAAATACGAATTAGCCACCCTGTAATTTCGTAAGAAAACATAATTTGATGTCTATAACAATTTTTTCGCTCTGTAATATTTTTAGCAGGAATTATAATTTTACATTGAATGTTTTTGACACTTTAATTGCCACAAAACTAAAATTGTTTAAAAGAAATGTCCTGTAAATTATGTTATATGTGTGACTAAAAAAAGTTCTATGCAAAATTTAAGTTCCTGCACAAGATTATAATGAATTTAAAAATCTCAAAATATTTTATTAATTTAATATAACTTACTATTTGCAAGCATAAAACTTGTTGGAACTGCGAATCCGTGTATTACAATTATTGTGCGAGCTTTCCTTTTAATCGGACTAAATTGTAGGGACGAATTGTCTAGCAGTTTAATTTCATGTGGGACCCTGTTCATGTGTTGCACACATAATTCAAGTGATTAATGGGATTAATTTAATAATCGACTTATGTAATTAAAATACATACCCTTGAGTTGAAATTGAATAGAATTTGATTTTGTCTGCATTAAAACTTATTTCGAATGGTAGTAATAAACTTGAAGAAACTGACTGAAGATGAGTTAAAAACATTAAATTGATGAAGAACAAGGAAAGTGGTAACGACATGGTTGTGATGTCGTGCAATGTGGTAATACTTTACACTACTGAGAGTTATCTGTAACTTTGCATGGAGCACGAGTTGTGACTTATATTTTGTAAATACACAATCAGGTACAATTTTCCATCCTCAATCAGCAGGTATGCATACATACATGTGCACATATATGTGCCCATGTAGATAAATATGTACGTAAAAAAATAATTCAGACAGACTGGTTTACCTAATCGTTGCATAATCACGAGAAAACAAAACTAGGATTCATTATCATATATCAAAGGTGTTTCATGGAAAATTATGGCATATTGAACAAAATGAAACATGTTTGTCTAAATAATTATGGAGTAAAGATCCAGATGGATATATGTACAGGTGTGTACTTGCACAGTCAGCACATTCGGTTAATAATTACGCCAACACTCTAGTTTGTTATGTAAGTATGTATGTATTTAGGTATGTACATATGTATTTGCATATTTAAAAAAATACTTTACTTATTAGTATAAGTAGATATAATTTTACGCACATTTTTACATGCTCATATATATGTGATGTACGAATGCATATATTTATATGCAATCGAAAATCTCGAATGCAACTAGGATATCTTGCGACTTGTGTAAAAACAAAAATGCAAAAATGGGTTGGCGAGTAATAATATTTTTATCCGAAATTATAAAATTTATGTGGGCTGGATATTCTAGCTGAAAATATAAATCCAGACCATGAGTCCGGATGACTAGACTACATTTTCGTAAACAATTAGCTATGTACAATGGTGAGAAAATTTTAGGAAAATTTTCCAATGAAAGGGACATAATGAAAGGGAAATAAATACCCATGTATGTAGATGCGTGCATGTGTACTTGCTAAATGGTAAACACGTTTTGTTGGTCAAGTTATGTATGTATCTGTATGTATATTAGAGACATATACATGTCGAATCATGGTGTTTGCATGCAGTTTGTGTAGGAGTGGTACTTACATACATACATAAGTACATATTTAGGTATATCCAGTTGACCATTAAATGTGTAAATTATCAGATTTTAATTCACAAAGTTACGGTTAATTAGGAAATGAACAATTTTAGATTTATTCTGTACTAACATTTCGTAGTATACTACATACCTAATTTTAATTTTGATTTAACCTAGATTCTAATAATATATCTAATTTAATTTGCCCTCTGTACAATTTACATACAGGCCCCGATGTAGGGGCGGGCAACCCGGGCAGCTGCCCGGGGCGCCAAACCTCTGGGGGCGCCGGTAGGCGCCCGGGTTTACACTGGATATAATTGAATTTTCCTGTTGTAAATTTCAAAATCTATTGCTTAGGGTTTTTATTTTTGTCAAGTTTGGACAACCCATTGCAAGAATTCGTATGTGTTGATGCACCACTGCAATTTTTGAAATGTGTAGTTTCTAAATTTTCAGCCACACTCTAAATAAAGATAAGTAAATCTTCTCAAGGTTGAGTACTGTAGAGGACGACACGATATTTGGGTTAAATTTTTTCCATGGTTGTGAAAAATTATCTAACCGTTAACTAAATGATTGAATAAATTTCACCCAATTGTTGTGTTAACAATAGTTTTGGATCACACCCGATCATCAGAGGTCGATGACCATAGCATTTACCACTGCCGATAAATCAGATTTCCTATTAGTTTAACAATCGGACGCCGTTCCGCGCCAAAATTTATCGGCGTCGACCTCTGTTTTGAATCTATGTATGTATTTATACAGAAGCCAAATATTTTTCTCACTTTATTTTTACACGAGTAAAGCATATTTTTAGTTGTGGACGTCTTGTTTCACATTACTAAAACGATTTACATAAATAGGTTAGCATTGTTTTAATGTAAGCAGGAAATGGAAAAAATAACGCAATTAAATATATCCGGTAGGGTGACTTATGTATGTATGTGCATTGATAAAAATATGCTATAAATTTTAGATATTGTGCCGTAAAAATGGGTAATATTTATAGTGGGCTTACTCACGTCAACGACTTACATACGTCCATATATGTAGCATCACACATTTATTGAGCAAATAAATAGTTTGCAAAACAATATTGTTCAATAATAAAATAATTTTAAAAAAGCTTGCTTAGGCGAGGCGCCGCTAAAAGTGAAAAACAAGGCCTCTGGCATATCTTTTAAATATCTCGTACCTTTATCATTGTAACAGGAGTTGGTGGCTTTGTCTCACCGCGAGGCCAAACATTTTTACCGTTTACCATACCACGACGTTTATTACTTACACTTTCTGCTAAGATATTCAATTATTGCTAATTAAAATTGTATCTATATGTATAAACGCTTAAACAAACTTATTGCTTCGAAAGGGTTATAAAATTGAGTGGATTTTGTAAAATTATTATGCAGAGGACCAATATGATCAATAATATTTATTTAGCTCATAATTAAATTCGATAGTTAACCAGTAATTCAGGTAGCTAAAAAAATTTGATGGATGTGCACAATTTTAAATAGGTGTTATGCAAAAAATTAAGATGCCGACGCACGAATAACAACGCGAGGGTATTTCCTAATTTTATTTACATATTAAAACAACTAGTTTTCAGTACGAACTAAAACGTGATAAATGCTAATTTTGACGTGAACCCAGATTAGGTTCTTGTGAATTTTTTAGAATATATTCTTTATTGCTAGAGGCTTGGCGTAAAATGTTTGGCCTCGCGGTGATGCAAAGTCACCAACTTCTGTTACAATGATAAAGGTACGAGATATTTAAAAGATATGTCAGAGGCCTTGTTTTTCACTTTTAGCAGCGCCTCGCCTAAGCAAGCTTTTTTAAAATTATTTTATTTCATGAATTTTAGGTGATGCACATTTTCAAACAATTAATTGCACCTCAAAATTGTTAAACTTTTTGAAGACCGAATGTCTTGAATCTTTTTCATTACAAAATTAGTTGAAAATATGTACAGAGGGTCGCAAGATTAATTTAAAAACGGATTAAGGATCAATAATCCAAATTTTTAAATTAATTTAGCAGAAAATAATTTTTCAGATATTAGGTTTTACGGGGATTAGTTATTTCACGAGAACAATCTGGATTAGGGAGGAAGATTATTTAATCTGGATTAGATTATAAATTACAAAATGAACTTATAAACATTTAAATCCAAAATATGTGCATATAGGATGTTCAAATTTAAAATTTGTAAATTTGACAAATACTTAAATACACTTAAATACAGTACTTAAATATAAAATTATTGAAATTTGAATTTGCAAAAGAATTTGTAATTTTTTGTGCGATTGGCCAAAAATGGAAATTACAATTGACCAATTAATTTGGCAAATTGCCTAACACAACTACTTGTATTTGGAAAATTGTTATATTGATAGCTAGTAGCAACCAACTAGGAATATTGTAATTTTTGGTTAGCAACATGAATGGTTTCATATGCTTCCATCAGTTTTGGACCGATCTCAGTCGGATTTGTTTTAAATGACGCACAACCGATTTCTGCATGATAAAATCAGGTTTTATGCATATAGTCCTTTGACAGAAGTGTCTCAAATTTTGATTGTAAAGTTTCAAATCCAAATTTGAGAGCGAAGAATAAAACTTTTCTATCGGGCATATTGAAAAACCACATCTCCTAATTCTCCTCTGCACGATTGCTCTTTACGCCATTTGCGTAGGATTAACCGTTTAGGCTCTAGCCTCGCTGACAGTTTCAAAGGGTGTATACGAAAGCATACCTAGGCTTCGCCGTAACCATGGTGACGCTTTTTTGCGGGCACCCATTGTTACTTTTGCCTCACCTAAGAAAAATATGTGTTTCGCTTAATGAACTTGAGAACAAAAATTCCATTTGTTTAAAAATACAAAGCTTCGCAAACATAAATATGTTGTATGTAGAAATGTCCAATCCCTGAGATTTTAGAGCTAAAAATATTAAGTTGTCGTATGAGTACTCCACATCATTCATTATTACAGAGATCAATTAAATTTTGCACACGTTCATTGTCCCGGAGGTCATAACAATTGGTAATTAATATGTTAGACTACCCAACATACCGAAATAAATCACAACACAATACACATTTTTCAGCCCGAAACTTGTCCCGTTATCGAGGCACGTAGACAAAATCAGTAAAACTATCCATGTCATCGCAATGACATGCAAATTTGGTCAAGATAAACTCTGAGAGCATAATTTAATTAAACCTCACCACCGATCATTGATAATAAATACCACTTATTGCGTGACATTTTTCCACTTTGCTCCACTGGATTCAATATCGTCATCATATTTATTGGATTAAATTAATTATTCAGAAAATCTCAATTAAATTACGTTTAATTAAAATGCATCACCTTGAAATATTTTTGGTAGTTTTATTTTCGTTCTCATGCGTTAAGTCGCAATCAGATCTGGTCGCTGTTAAAGCGAACGCCACACTTCCGAAGGGACGATTCGGAACGTGTGCAATTTTTGACGGGCAGAATTCAATCTTCATTTTTGGAGGTCGTGGAAATTTGAGCGAAGAATTTAGTGACATTTTGAAATACGATATCATTAGTGATACGGTCCAAGTGGTGGCTTCCTTGCCGAGGACGCTCTATTCCGGAACGACATCCATTGATAAGGATGGAAATGTGTACTACATTTCGGGTAGGAAAATTTAATGGGAATGAATTTTGCTTTTGTTAGGTTATTATTTGTATTTATTAAAAAATATATAACCCAGTTATTTATGATAAGTTGAAGTGGGTAGGTTGAGGGTAATGATGAGTCGTTGATAAGTACTTTTAATTTCTATCGGCACTTGAAATAGCAGTGGTCATGACTCATGATGACCACGGTGGACTCAATTCATGACTCATCTCAACTCCTAACTTACGACTTGAGATAACTGAGTTAACACTTTGTCTTATCCATCCGAACCAAATCCGAATATTCAGGCTAAAAAATATCCATTCATCCGAGTCCGAATTTTTCTATTGAAAAAAATATCCATCCGAACCGAACCGAATAATTCGGATTCGGTTCGGATGAACTCTTTATATAACCGGCTCACTCTAACTGACACGAACTGGAAATTTTGAGTACCATATTAAATATTCACATGTCTCTTAAAATTTGCAGGATTCGGCTTAGCGAGCTTTTCCAGGGCGATATACAAATTCACTCCATCCTCTCAAAATGTCGAAGTAGTTGGATACATTCCCTCCGCAAATTACGCCAGCAGTGCAATAACTGTTGCCGACACGGTTTACATTTTCGGCGGTGAATTGGACGTCTTCGGTCTCATCACTTTCAACATGTCGACGAATGCGACGCAGAGAGTGACCAGTCTGCCGAATGCGTACCACCCAATCGCCACGTTTTATCATGCCGCGTCACAATCCGCTTTTGTCTTTGGGGATGACCGCCTCTCCGACTCAGATCTTGATTCCGTCGCCCGATTTGACCTGAACACTCTACGAGTTACGGAGTATGGTCCGAGGTCTCTTTTGAAGATTGTGGATCAACCGGCGGCCGTGACGGATGGGAAACTTGGCTACATAATTGGAGGATTTTACGGAAATATGAGTGCAGGATTTGGATCCGATGGAATTATTAGGTTTGATCCCGACACGATGATTGCCTCGTTAGCGGCGGTGAATAACTTTCCTGTTTATGCGGATAATTTGTTTGCGGGGACGAGTGCGGTCTGGGTGGAGGAAACGAATAGGATTTATTTCTTTGGGGGAGCGTCAAAAGATGGGGCTGGAATTATAGGAGAGGTTTTCGATTCGATTTGGTATGTCGATTTGACGCCGAGACAGGTGACCGATCCAACGACGCAAGCAACCACGACGACGACGGCGAGCGAGACAAGCACGGTAGCCACAACGGTAACCACGATGACGCCAGAATTAACGACTACGATAACACCGGAATCGACAACCAGGGTAACGCCAGAATCAACCACTACGCCAGGCACTATTCCCACGACACCGGGGTCCGCGAGTGCTTTGAGGACTTCGTATTTTATCCTTTTTCTTTCTCTTCTACTCGTCCAGTAATGAAATTAATTAAGAAGGGTAGTGTTTTTGCACCATGTTCTTGCCTACACATCGAACTTATATACTTATAAATATTATATCAGTATGTGCTTATGAAAACTATGAAATCTTACCACAGAATATAGATTCTACTAGAATCTATATTCTGTGAAATCTTACTAGGATGTTACGTATAAGTTGACTATTTTGTAGGAAGTAAAGATCCCTAAATAAATATTGTGTTAATAAGGAAAAATAATAATGTTACAAATAAAAAATTTAAAAATAACAATGTCATAGGTGTATGAGTAATATATAAATCTAATTTAAATAATCGCAAAAATAAATCATGTCATTGTAATAGCATAACTTACACATGTATATATGGTATGTATGCGCTGTTGAAATGAGCATAAATAAACGTAAGTAAGTAAACGTATCATCTTGATAAATGGATATAAGCATAATTTTAATGTTCGCTAACGATGAAATGTATTCATAAGTTGTTCGTGCTCGGTTAGCGAAGATGTTCATTAATACATAGGTATGCACAAATATGTATGTATGTATATGTGTGTATTTGTGTCTATGAAAATTATAAATACATGCTCGGAATTTGACACATTATAGACACAGTTGGTTCTCATACGGTCAGTGTCAACCCCTGAAGGTACAGATTTCTATATAAGATAATGTCTAGCAAAACTAAAAAGCTGCATATTGCAATATCTTGAAAAAATATCTCTCTTCGTACGTAAAATTTTTCATGCTCAAGCACAACAAATTTATCTCCTTTAAACGTAATGCATAGACTAGTCTCAATGCGAACTGCATATATAAAGGTGCATTTCATGAATTTTAAAGTGCCATTTTCGGTGTCATGACTACACGATGAGCAAAACAATAGAACCACTCCAGTCATATTTTTCCACGTAGGACACATTTAGTAAATAGGATGCTAAAACTATATTAAATACCCGTAACCGGGTAGGAAAATAGATACGAATACGTGTCTTATGAAGGTTTAGTCATCTAAATAAACAAATGCGTCGTCAACCGTGGACATAACTTTTCCCATTCACTACTTTCACTCGTCCCAATTTAGCCAAATTTATTTCAGTCCCATTAAACTTTCTTGGGCTTATTTATTAATAATTCTAAAAATGGATTCTTCCCCAGTATTTTACGATCCCAATCAAAACGTCGTTATCGAGCGTTGCCACGACATTCAGAAGCAGTTTAAAAACTACGTTATCATCATGGCGATAAATCTTGTCTGCTATAATTGCTTACTTTTCTGTACAGATCCGTATCTCTTGACGCGAAGGCGAATCGGCTATTCCATCCTGGTAATTGTGGGCTTGTGGAGCTTCGGATTCTGCGTCTACATTTATTTCGAGATGAAGAAAATTATGAAGCATTTGAAACCAGGTGAGAGAGACGATTGTGAAAATTGTATGTTTTCTGTGTGTATTGATTTTTTAGTTCACAATTTAAGTACAATTTTCATCGCGTTTCGATTCCATTTTTTACATTTGGAAGATTTCAAAGTTTATTCTACGACTGACTTCAAAATTTGTGTTTGTGTGATTAAAATATTCTCTAATTAAGAAATTGTACTCTTTTCGAAATTTATCGTTTCTTGAAATTAATTAAATTTAGTCTTTGTCCCACAAAAAATTTGATTTTTCCCATTTATTTTTGCAGTTCCGATACAACTGAAAAATATGCGAAATAACGAAAAACCTATGCAAAATATCAAATCTCGTGATATGACAACGTGGCAATACAAGGACCAATTCCGACTTCCCATCCACCAGAATAAAGGCGAGAATGTGGTAAAATTCCAAATAGTATTCAAGCTAGATTGGGACTTGGAGGCATCAGCTTTTGATGCAAAATCACTCCCACAGGAGGACGGTGATGGTGGAGAGCTTGCCAAATTCTGGCGTGGTTTGCAAAAATCAGCGGATGAGGAGGTGTCCACAATCGTGAAATGCCTGCGGTACATACCTACATAATGAACAGTCAAAATAATAATAATTTATAATTATTATTGATATTTGCAAATTTTTATAATTTTTTCATAGTGGGAAGAAAGAAATCATATGCACCGGGCAACACCTGGAATAATTTTCGAGCTAAAATTGGGATTTCCAGTAGATACATATGTAGTACTTTTAGTATAAAAAGCTGTAGTCAAAACGTTAGTGTTTTAGATGCATACAATAATACAATCTTTTTACTTCACAGATATATGTACATATTTATATTTATATCTACTTGTATAATTGAAATTGGCGTACTCACGTCAACGGCTTGTCTCTCTCATAGTAAATGGTTTACCAAATAGTTTACAATATATTTTTGTGAAATATATGTACATGTAATTTTTCCAATTTGCTGGGTAAATTTTTGAACAAAAATCAAAAACGTTAGCAAGAGATTTGTGAAATCGCTCAAATCTCGCAGTATGTATTTGGTTATGCCAAATTGATATGCTCAATTTATAAGATTTGCAATGATTGTCGTGAGTACGCCAAATGTTTCTGATTTTATTTATTTTTATAGCCTTTTCGTGTCTTATTCCTCCATAATGGACTTTTATATCCCATGCGTGTGAAAGAAGTCTGTAAAATTTAAGTCCAGTTTATCCAAATCTCCAAACCATTATTCAAACCTGACAATAAATTACTTTGACATTACTTATAAAAGCAAAAAATAATTTCTGGATGTGTAACGTTTATTTTATTTTTAAGCCAGGCAAAATTCAAACAGTAAAACGTTAAAGGCTAAATTGATTGACATCGGATGTCTATTACGATGTAGCATGCAAATCAATATAAACAAGTTATCCATTTATAGGTTTTATTGTAGGTAGATTTTTTTGCAATACCAGAATTTACAGGAATTTCAGTCCACATGTACAAACATATATCTATATCGATATCAATTTTCATGCATAGTATACACAACGTAGGATTGTGCACTACCCTTGCATACTTATGTATATACATACACATGACTTGTGTCAAGTTGACATCTCGTGCTACAATTTAATTAATCACGAAGTCTGAAATTAATGCATACCATGGATTGATAATTTAGATGATAGTTTCCTAACTATTTGCACTTAATTAGTACATACATATATACATACATATACACACACACATACACATACATATACATATACATACATATACACATACATACATACATATTCATATAAACCGTTTTTGTTGAAAACGCAAAATAAAAGTTCTCTTGGTACGTTGGTTAATTAAGTATGTTATCCGAAGATTATACATTGATATACATACTTAAGCCATTGAATTGTACACATGAAAGGTACACAAATGCATAATTTCCTATACGCATGATGTGCATGGGAATGGTACTTACTATTAATTTTAAATATACAAAATTTTCGAACACAATTAATTTTAAATATATTAATGTAAATACATCTTTATTGCACACTCTTAAAAATTTTCACTTCGAATGAAGTAAAATGTCACTCTAATACGTAGTCAAAGTGCTTCGACTCTGCCCGGAGTAATGCGTGCAGGAACTAGTCTGGACTTACTCCGCTCAGAGTTGTAGCATGCTCCAAATTATGCACAAGGCTTGAACGACACATAGTAAGATGTTACTCTATATGATGCAATTTTGCCCGATTCTAAGTAAACGTGAACACGGTTTGGAATATATGACCTACTCTGTCCGGGGCTCGCCTTACTAATTTAAAAGTTCAGTTAAAAATGGCAAATATATATTTATGTAATTGATTATTTATTATTTCACAACTATTAAGTTTTACAATCCAATTACTGTCATATGTATGTAGGTTAAAAATAATATTACAGCATGGCAAAAAATGAGATATTAACACTAAATAACCTGAGAAACAGAGTTAAATATTCTGCATAATTTGTTCAATCAATTTGTCCTTGACAATGGGTGGAAGATTAGGTTGAAAAGGTGGGACGACGTGGATGAGGTCATCTTTTTGAAGGTGTTGTAAAGAATCCGGTTAGATTATTATCTATGTTAAAAAATGTGCAAAAGTTTGGGTTTATTTTGTAAAAATAGAGAATGGAATGAATCTAAAATAGATCTTACCTTTAAACAATTAACAGTATTTTCCAAGATTAAGTGGAAATAATAATCTTTGGATTTCCGTATCACACATTTTTGAAACTTTTGAAATGGGAATTTAAATTTCGGAATTCACGAGGGAAATGTGTATGTAAGTCTGGAATAGACTAACAAACTCCAAGGTAGAAATCAAGAAGGGCGGGCGAATTGCGGCAGGCTTACTCGGAATGAAGTTCGATTAACTTTAATTGGAGTAGACGTGGACTCATTTTTAAGTTATTCTCAAGTATGGTTCTTTCAGAGTTAAAAGGATCGCTTACTAATGCGAGAGCAACTGGATTTACTTTTAAAATACCTTCGTATGCTCAGTTCAGGGTTACATTCTTTTTTACTTTTCGAGAAGTATGGTACATTTTTGAGAGTGCACTAAATTTTAATCATAATAATTGACTCATTCTGTCCGTACACCACAAAAAATGCAATGAAATTATTGTCCTTTGGATATTTTATCCATAGATAAAATATCTAAAGGACAATGTACCACATCCGGTATAGCGGATGTGGTATTTGTATGTTATGCTATTTTACAACGCACCAATTGTTAATCATTTCTAATGAACGAACTAATTGTTCAGGTTAGCACGTTATAATTACTGACACAATATATGTACTGTGTGCAATAAATAGCTTAAAATGTTTAAACGTGCGAAACTAAATCTGTATTTCAAAACAGTTTTATTCTGCATAACACAGACAGTTGCCTTCACAGACACTGGGGAAAAGTTGCTTAACGTCACTAGCCCACAAGTACAACTAATCAGTGTAGAGTCTCAAGCTGGAGAAACTTTGCAGTTAACCTCTTATCATTCTGATGTTCGAAATCCCAGTGTGATGAGGGTGTACAATGAAGCATTAAAACATCAAAAATTGACATTTACATGCAATTCGACTTCTCCTGTGGAATGGGTTTTCGAGGTACGCACATAAATGCTTATATAAATAGATGCATAATAGATATTTTAATTTTTAAACAATCTTGAAGACTTTAATGATGAGACCCACTCGCTAAAATTATAAATTTAAATATTACGTCGTTAAATGATAAAAAGGATAATATTTAACTGATCATAATTTAATACTACTTTTGACCATAATTAATACTTTTTCCCCGAATACTATCTCCCACCATAATAAAGTGCTTCCTTGTGTTAAACATAGTAGGGTCAGTGAGGGTTACTCTGACCACTTTTTTTCCGAATCTGCGTTCTTCAGTGTAACAAAAAATGGTTCCGAGTCAAAAATAATTATTTTAAACATCAACTAACTATTTCGCTTTAGTTTATAATCAAAAAAAGTTTTAAAATGTAATTGGAAGTAATATTTATCAATTATAATTACTCGATTTTACCATAAGTAAAAATAAACTTTAAAATCGCTTTAAAATATGAAACTTTAAAAAACTTTACAAACTTTTCGATTTTTAGTCAATTACAAATTTCTCGGAAGGTTTTTCTGGTCTACCACGCTTGCATTTCTCTTAAATGGGTATACATTTAGCGTCTGGTGGAGGCTGCGAAACCTTTAATTTGAACGATAATTGACTAATTGAGACCAGCGTTGGAAGATTTTAAATGCTTTTTGGAAAAACATATGTAGCGGCAATCATTCCTTAAACGTTGCAGCATTTTAAGTAACGTTTTATGTATCAACTTTTTCTATCGCTTGCTTCCCACAGTGGATAGGTGTGAATGATTTTAGTAATTGGATTCTAATCCTTGAAATGCATAATTTGGATAATTTTCAGGGGTAATTGTTCCTCGCAGATATCTTGTCCGTAAATTGTCCAAATTTATATTCGAATATTTTCAAATTCCATCTTTAAAAAATATAGTTTACGCAATATTTGTATAATCCTCGATCTGGCATGAATTCGAAAATTTTTAAATTCGAAAAGCATTTTAATATGCAAATATATTTGCATTACAACATATCCGTGTCCACACTAACCCCTCCACTGGCCCCACTTACCTCCTTTTGGTGGGGTTAATGTGCACACTTGTTTTATTTATTTTAAATAATTGATAAATATTACTTCCAATTATATTTTAAAACTTTTTTGATTATAAACTAAAGCGAAATAGTTAGTTGATGTTTAAAATAATTATTTTTGACTCGGAACCATTTTTTGTTACACTGAAGAACGCAGATTCGGAAAAAAAGTGGTCAGAGTAACCCTCACTGACCCTACTATGTTTAACGAAGATATATTTTTACTCAATACTTGTATAATCCTCGCTCTGGCATAAAAAACTGAAGAGCATTCGCCAATAACTTGGTTATGCTAGACGGAGGATTTATTATGAATAAGTCAGTATTCTAGTTATGGTCAAATTAGATTCCATTATGATGAAAGAAAGTATTTGGGAAAAAAGTATTAATTATGGTCGGAAGTAGTATTAAATTATGATCAGTTAAATAGGACCATATTTAATCTCGCAGTGTGCTGAAACTGTATCAATTGATGTTTCAACAACCAAACAAGTTCGACTCAGCTCAATTGATGGCCAGGATTACGAATATCGCTCAAATTTAACCCTAACCCTAGCCTTCAGTCTGAATTCAGAGTATAACCTTGATTTTACCACTGATACACCAAATTTTCCGAACGTTACGTGTCGAATTGTTGAACATCCTATTTCGAACACCTCAATTATTTTCTTAGAGCGATTGGAAATCAACGACAATGTTACAGTAGATCTATACCAAAATTTTGGTTGGGCACAGTATTATGAATAATTTAATTAGTCTATAACTCTAATTGTTCAGCTTACTGATTTTCAAAATTTCAAAATGTCACTTATAGCACTCAACCGGACATTGAACTGTTTTCGACCATCAAAATGTGTCCAAGAATGTCCTCTGAAAATGATAGTGGATTTAGTCACTGCTACTTTCTCTTATGAAAGCAAATTACTCCACCAGTCAAAATTCCAGTGTGGGATAGGTATTGCAAAATGCAATGGGAAGATGGACTTGTGCAAATCACTGGTTCGATATCATATTTCTGCAAAATGTTACTTGCAGACTTATTTTTTAGTTGCATTCTTACATTTAGGCAAGTAACCCATCCTGTGTTAACTTTACGAGAGGGCAAAATCTTTCAAATCCGATAAACCCAACAAATTTTTCGGGAGTTCTTAAGTGTACGAGTTCAGATGGACATTTAGTATTTTCTCAATATTATATGGTGGATGGAAAAACAATAAAACAGCGTGTTCGTAGGTTGAAAATATTTAGATTCATACATTCATCCATAATATCATTATTTATGTAACAGGGCAAATAAATCCTTCATTTCTTTCTGTAGTGAACAGAAGAATGGATGTGCTAAAACTTCCAGGCGTTTTGGTTGTGCATCCAGCCAAGAAAGCTCAAAAATATTATGATGGGCAAAACGTGACGTTCATATGCTCAGCGTGGTCATCGGTCTTTGCAATGGTTCATATTTTTAACCCAGCATTTAAAAATAATTTAAATATTTTGATATTTAAAAATATTTGTTTATTTCTACAATTTAATAGGGTTCGATAATATCATACACAACTAAAAACAAATCAGTTGTGCTAGTTGACCCCCCAGGAAATGGTGATTTGCATCTGAAAATGGTACCTATAATAGTTTCATGTCTTGTCTCAATCAACCTGTCCTGTTTTATCAGAAATGTTTCAAGAGTCGATAGAAAAATTCTCAAAGACGGTGGTTATCAAATTAACCAAAAATATGACTACCGTCATTTGCAATACTTCGGTTGCTGATTCAAAAGAATGGCGACACAGTTCGTTCAACATTTATGTTCAATGTAATAAAATGCCATAAACAATAAGTATCCGATACAAACAAACTGTTAACTATGACCAATATGTGAATGTGTTTATGTAGATTCTGAGACACCGACAATCACAAATCATAGGACATCGTCCAACGCATCGGGAACTTATTATAAATGCGAAGCAAAAGGGATACCACTCCCCCGAATTCAGTGGTTTCAAAGCGAAACTATTTTGGTAAGGAGGTCGTGAGACCGTATGCGTACCAAAATATCGCCAGCGAAATATCTGTAAGAGTCAATTTCGAAACTTTAGACTCCAGAAGACAGTGATAATGACTTTAAAGTTCATAATAATACGTTCAATCAAATGGAAATTACCTGTAAAGCAGTAAGCGAAGTTGGGGAAGCCGAATATACATTTTCATCAGGTGAACTGTATTTATATTTCTCCGAATAGAAGACCTTGCTTCCTAATGAGTATAATTATAATGGGATTAAAATATGGAAGATATGAGATTTATTTAAATACTTAGGGAGGCGTTCAGGTACACAAAGCTTGAAGGCTAACGGTATCCTAATTTTCGTCTTATTCGACAGTGTCCTCGTTATGAGCACAGGTTTCGATGAACAGCCAAAATACTAATTTATTTATATTACTTCCTATTTGGAAATTATTATAATTTTTTCATAGTGGGAAGGAGGAAATCATATGCATCGGGCCACCTGGAATAATTGTCGAGCTGAAATTGGGATACATATGTAGAACTTTTAAATAGTATAAAACCTATCAATACAGCTTTGCTCAGCCCGAACCAGGATTGATTAGTAAACCCATGCTGGTCAGAATGTTATACTATTTTTCACTAATTTTTGCATTAGCTATCATCAGTTAGTAGTATTACTTTGCACCAAATACCACGAACAGTTGAGGCTGTTCCTATAAAAATTTCGAAGTTTAACCCTCCAAAATTCGAATCCTAAGTTATTTTTTGACTCCTCAGTAAATTTTAGCTGAATATATAAATTCTTAGAAATCGGTATGGGTACCCTTCTGGTTACTTTTTGTACATCTTTGACTCCATATAATTTCATGGGAAGTCATTAAGTATCACCCTTCCGAATTTCAGCTTTTTGCGACAAGTTCTGAAAATCGGTATGGGTCACCCCAACGGGTCCCGGAATATGAAAATTTTACCAATTTCACTTCATATTCTTCCATTAGGGGCAATTAGAAGTCCCTATACCAAATTTCGGCTCGATTGGACGATTTTGAAAAATCGGTGGGGGTCACCCCATAGGGTCCCTCCAGACACAAATTTTTCCAATGTCAATTTATATTCTTCTATTAGGACCCATTTACATCCTCTGTACCAAATTTCAGCTTTCTACGACAATTTCGAAATTTTGGTGCATAATACCCCACCCACTCTGCTGACCCCCACCGGTCAACCTCTGGACCGATGTCGCCCATCTTCGAACTCGAGTTGTGTATTTGCATAGTCCAGATGTGTGGATAATTTCAAGTCGATCGGATAAGTTTAAAGAGAGTTATCGTCGGACAGACAGACAGACAGATAGACAGACAACACGGGTACATAAGCCCTGGTTCGGGCTAAAAAGTTGTAGTCAAGACGTTATTATTTTAAATTACAAGGATATAATCTTCTTGTTTATATACCATGCGTGTGAATGTATGTATGTATTCTGTAAAACGTAAGTCCAGTTTATCCAAAGCTCTAAACTAAATATTATCCAAACCTGACAATAAATTATCTATACTTAAATTTACTTTACTTTACACTATTGAATTGTACACATAAAACTTACAAAAATGCATAATTTCCTATGTGCATGTCACTTAAATATCTTATTTTACTACGAACGTACCCTTATACTTCTATGTATACCTACAACAATGCCACTAACCCTTGATATTCACCGTCAACAATAGTCCAATAGTGTTATCAACAATTAACCTGTAAAACTCAACCTTGACACCGGTCCCAATCCTGAAACAGTCAAACGTTCCGAATCCTGCAGACACATAAATTCTCCCAATCCCCCTTATTCTTCTATTCATCCACTTTTTATCCCCCTTACCAAAAATTCTACCCGCCTGACGTACCATTTCTCCCAATACTTTCTCCGACTCGGTCCCCACCTCAATGAGGAGACCCATCGTGACATGAAACACGCCCCACGTGGTGACCATCGCGTATGGGAAGATGACGTAAAAATGTGGCGGGAACTGATCCCGCATCCTCATCGAGCAAAAGTTATAGATGAGCGAGAGGGGCAGTCCAACCAGGAAATAGAGGCCCCAACAGTTCCTCAACATGTCTCTGACATGCTGACATATGACTCTGAATCGGTTATAAGTCTTTATCAAGTGGTCCAATCGAAGGAGCGTGCTTCCTTTTGCAGGTGGAAATTGAGACAGCATCCTCGTTTGGCTGTACGTTAACCCGATCAGCCAGAAGAACGAGGTCGTCAAGTACCAAGCGAACATGCGACAACCCTCAAACACAGCGATGCTCATGTAACAGCATCTCTTCAGGAAGATTAGTATTTCTAAGTATTTATCAAGTTTTTGGGAAACTTGGAACTTTTGGAGGATAAGGTTGAACAGAATGAGGGGTGGATCTACATTTTGTAAAATGAAGAATGGCACGAGACCGAAGGGAAGTAGGGCCAGAATTGAGACGACGGTTTGAATTACTTTGGTCGCAAAAGATGTGGTGTGTGTCGTACCTTTCTTGAAGACTGGTTGCTCACCTGGTGTAAAAATTATGTACTCGGAATAAATTTATGTGTGCGGAAATGTAAAGTAAACGTAAAAATTTTCAAGCTACTTTCTTGGAAAAATAATTTTTAAAAATTGGGTGGGACCAATGTGCATACATAGATTTGATAAATATTTCAAGTTCCGAGTCAAACTAGATTTTTGCAACACTTGATACGAACAAAAACTGGGTGCATTTGTGCTTTTTGTCAATTGTAACTTACAATTTGCAAGTGCAAACGGACATAAAATTTTTGAGTGGAATGGGCCAAGAATAAATTCTGGGAAATTATTGCTAAAAACATTGCAAATTTATATGCATACATATATTACCTTCCCCCATTTCGTCATAATTTTTGACCAACTGGTTCGCCATCTTTGTTAATATTTCCATCCAGGTGTTCACCACGAGATGAATTGATACCATCATGACCCCAGATATCGTGGAGAAGAAAGTGATTATAAGTTCAGCAATGCTGAGTGAATTTTCCATTGAAAAATTGATCCATAATAAAATTCCAACCGATGTGACCAACAAAAGTAGTGACACTGATCGCATGATTCGATTCCATACTTGGTAACGACAACTTTTTCTTTCCAAGTGTACAAATATTTTATTCTGGGGGTCAAACCCTACAGGAAATTTCCAAAGGTGTCTAAAATTTTGCGTACAGGTGAGCAAAACCGGACTTATTTCGTGAAATTCCATTTTTATACTGGACAATTTTTAGACCGTAATTAATTTCGGAAATCAAAATGTTTCACTAATATGATTGAGATTGCCAGGATGCGTAAGGAGAAATATCGGATTTTGTGGCGCCTAATTTATTACTCTTGTCTACTTTAAATTATCTATTACCAAGGGTTCGGACCTGCATATAAAAATTGTTGCAAGTATGTGTAGAAGTTAGCTTAGTTTTTTTAACAATTGAGATATTGTCCTTCTAATGCTCCGCTTACAACGTCTGAATTTTATAAGTTGTCTTAATTTTATCCAAAATAGTCCAACTCTACTTGCTATAATTGCTCTATTATATTTTACATATTCAACTACTGCAATACACACACATAATCCCAGGCATATAACCAACAGGATGAAAATTGTTTGAACATTATCCTCAAGCCGGATCGCAGTGACATATTGAAATTGATCCATGACCTGATCCTTGTTCCTCTTTTTAGCCTCTCTTTCCTTCAATAAGGTTGCATTTTGCTTGACCTGATTGGAAACTCTGATGTAAATCCCCGATTGCAAAAACAGCTTAAAGTAGAACACCATCTTGGACTCTTTCCCGACCTGGAATGTAAATCCGGCCGGCATTTCAAACACGGTTTTCTCTCCACGGTACCATTTTTTCGTGGGATAGTTCCTGCTCAAGTAGTCGTAATAAATCCCAACCTCACTCGACGGCCCGATATGAGCAGATCTGTCGCACTGCAAAATTTCCTCCTCGATAACACCATTAATATCGACTGCACCCTTCAACTTGCTCGGATACCATCTTATCCTCGGATTCAACATGGAAAATAACAAATGTTGTAAATATGGTGGAAAACTGTACGCTTGAGAGTTAATTTCGTAATAGAAATGCGAAAACTTGTAGCTGAGGAGATTATACTTGGTTTTGCTAAGTTCAGGCAAGAAGTCAAATTTAAAGCTTGACAAAATTGTGTAGCAATATCCCCCTAAAGATTTGACTAGTGGTGGAAGCGTAAAATTTGCGATATTGTCGCCCTCTATGAGCTCCTTAGCGTAGAATCTGTCACTGATCATGGTATAATTAGCCGTAGTAATTTGTTGTTTATTACTGAGACAGGAAATTTGCTCATACTTATCGGCCCTTTCCCCACGCTGAGGCTTATTTAAATTTGTGATTAAAATACTCAGGTAGCAATTACTTAGAATCATCCCAAGTAAAAGCCATGGGATAATAAGAACTCGAAATGGTACGGCTACCAGCAATTTTTTCGGAATGTAGATCACCTCGTCGATTAGACAGCCAAAAATGTAGAGGAAAAGGTTAAACGCATAATTTTCTTTATATAAAGCGTAGAATCCAAAAGATAACACGGATCCGGACAAGAAAATCATGAAAACCGTGACAATCCAGACTGCTCCATCGTACGGGGCTAAATACAGGTTAAAGTTCAACCCACTCGATACCATGTGGCACGAAAGGAAGGAAAAACCGGGAAAAGAAGTAATCATGATTTGATTTTGAACCGTAGCAAAGAAACCGAGCTCCCATTCCGACTTGACAACTGGATAAAGACAGGGAGCCATGAGGACTTGATAGCAATCTTCGTTCGTTGGGTAATAACTTAAGGAGTGTCTCGTCGCGTTAAGTTCTGTTAACGCGGTAGAAATTAAAATTTCTGATAATGTGTTCACATCGCCGTAAAGGGTCGAATGGAACCAGTTGTGTTCTCGTTGAGGGGAAGTTTTAAATTGGACAACGTATCTCGAGTGAGGATTGTACCGCATGCAAAATTTTGTAGCGTTGGAACGCTGTCTAAGCTTTTCTTGTGACACAATTGCACTTTATTCTCATTAGAAAATAGTAAAATTGAAAATTTGACGGGAAGTAAGTACGCATCTCTTAAGGGTTGATTGTACAAGGGAGAATTTGCACTTAATAGAATTCCTTTGCCGTTATTTGGGCTGCGTAGAATGAGGAGAAAGTGCAGGTTATCTGGAAAAGTTTTAAATGTGATTTGTCCTCTATCTGGAAGGCTGAAATAATTGTTTGCTTGAGTGTGAACCCAATATCCTAACGCTGTAGCGTGCGATTTCGTAAAATTGGGGGATTTCTGGGTGACAAAAAGAGTTACAAATTCACACACCCACCCTTTATTTTGGAGGATGTCAAGTTTTGCAGAGGTGTTGTTTGGTATGTAGGAGGATGGGTTAAAATTAAGCGTTAGGGCTTGTTTGGTTAGTGTAAGGGGGAGATTGTGCGTCGTGGGGAGGTCCAAGGTGGACAGGTGGTTGAAGATGAGATGAAATCTACAATGATGAGTGTTGGGTGTTAATATTTCAGCCAAGGGTGTACTGTACGATGTTGATAATATCGTTGTTGATTTGATGTGGGTATAAGATAGGCAGAAGAAAAACAACGTTCCTGAAATTTTGATCGACCTGGGCATGGTTGAATTTGTGAAAAATTTTTAGGATAAGGAAATGCAGATTTCAGTTTCAGTTTAATGTTTCTAGTGGAATTTAGCTGACAGAGAACTGGGATCATTAACATTTATGTACATAGATATGTACACATGTAGACATAGGAAATAGAGGATTGGTTTACTTATATGTATGTACATACCGAATAAAGCTATATATGTATTTTGATATTTTTTTATTAACTGTATTTATGTATTTATGTATTTAATGAGGTATTGATCGGAAGAAGCAATTTAAATACTTAGATTGCAAGGAGCTCATTGTGTTTTTAATTAGTTTATGTACATATTACATAAGCTTTCAGTATTCCATTTAGAATACATACTTATTTACTGTCTGATAGAAATGACATCTTAATAATGTGATACTTAAACGGTTTTCTCGACGGGGCTGCAGCATATAAATACATATGTATGTATGCACATATATACATGCACATGTGAATTCTGAGTCGTGTATGATGAATATTCTATGCATATTATTTTGAAATATGTAGGTAAGTATTCATGATTGCACAATTGATTTGACGGAAGAAAAATAAGTCTTTGATATTAAGTTGGGAAACCTACAGTCTAAAAAATCATTGTTCACAAATTATTAATCTCCATACGTTTGTCATGGTTTATCCAATATCTTCCATATATTTCAACTCGATTAGAAAAATATGTACATATTTATGTATATCACCTCAATCAACAAAATAAGTAATAATTTAACGAAAAATATACATATGTCACAAATCTACCCATAATTTTGAATCAGAGAGGTTAAGACTATTCCAAAACTTTACTCTGGTCAACTTTGGCATAATCGTCTCTACAGAGTTATCAAACTGTAGAAAACAAATTTTTTTCGGGTCTGTCACCCTCTCCCAGATTGGCATACTGCGTTCTCCACGATTTTCTGAACGAGGTGTGTATGACGGCGTTCTGTAAACATTCAAATCCAACATTTAAATAAGATCTATAAAATCAAAATGAGTAAAGCGTCAAGTCTTACAAACATGATATTCGTGTCACCTTTATAAACTTTTTGAATAATTTTGTATGCAATTTTGCACAAAATTGAACCCGTTTTACATATTATATAAGTATGAAATATAACATGGATTTTGATTTTTTGAGGGTTTTTAAAGTTTACCAAAATAGTGACATGAATTAAATATGTACATACATTCATTTTACCGGTTTATGCATGTAATTAAAATTCGGCAAGGTTTTCATTACTAAAAAAATTACCCATTAAAGACAAAATTAGTTGCATAATTGAGCATAATTCGGCTCAATTTATGCTCTGCATCCCATCTTTTAAATCCTGGATAGTTGTCAGTAGAATTGAAGAAGTAATGCTCATCTTCTCCATGACCGGCTCCTATCGAATTACAAAGGTCGTTAATATTCTGAGGCAATTCACGCAGGCCTTGGTAACATTGTAAAATCCGTAAATTTTGCAAACCTACAAGTTGTAAGTTACAATTTTGATAAAATTTTACAAATACAGATATGCATTCATATCTATTTGCAAAATTGGCATGCAAATTTTTAGTTTGTAAAATTATTTTACGACGTTTACGAATTTTACAAATTATATGCAAAGGCCTGAGTGAGTTGCCTCATTATTTATTTTGTGTTATTTATCACTTATCAGCCAATTTGCTCTGATATGTATTAAATGGACAAACCCCATTCCTTGGGTCTATGCAGATTCCAATCGCCCATAGAATAATTTCCACTGTTGAAGGGAAAATAGTACGGATAAACGGGACCAATTTCCGAATGTGCTTGTATTCCTTTGATCACTGGGACACGGAAGTAGCGGTCAGTGATCATCTGAAAAATGCAGCTTGTAATGCAATTGTAAGTAGTACATTTGTTTAAAGCATTCGATTTCTTGTGGCACGATTTCATATCAAATCTTATTTTTGGAAAAATAGTAAATTTGTACGCATTAGAGTTTGCAAAATTTAGAAATTCTTTGAAACAATAGACATACAGACGACAAAGTGTTCGCATCAAATTCAGGAAACATTTTGCGAAATAATTGCGCGGAGAAAAATTAAGTCTGTTTCCTGGTCACTCAAATCCTGGAAATTTTTGGTGGTATACTTAATTCTGTAAGATCCTCAAGCTATGCAAATGTTGTAATAATGCAGTATCCCGGACAAAATTTACGAGTACGTTTTCGGATAAGATTTAGCAAATATAATTCAATTTTTGTATTTACATTCGAGTAGTCGAACCATGTTACAGCCGTTGTTTGTCGATTTCCAAAATAAAACCTTGTGATTTCCCTGATAATTTTATTAAGGTTAGGTAATCCGAGATAATCCAAGTCAAGGACGTGTTTTGCGACACGATTCCAATACAATTTTACAGCCGACCAGCGCCACGAAAGTTCTAAGGCTGTTATGAAAATACCACAATATTTTAAAATTTTGTAGGAAATTTTATTTTAATTTGATGAACAAATGCCTTAAATTCAATACTAAATATTCCTTAAGTTCAATATTATGTATACGCACCCATAATGGCCGTCAGTCCTTCATGCTTTGAAGTTGAAACGATCCACGGCTTATTAGAAACTTCTCCTTTTTTATAAAGTTCATCTGGCCATTCGGTTAAAAATGCGGACTCGTCGTAATTTTCTAGTTCTACAGTCGGGGTGAAAATGATGACGGGAAATGGAAAAAATCTCTGAAAAATTTAATAAGCATGTACTTTATTACGTTTTATGAACATTTGGTGATGATTTGATTACAATTTTACATTTTAAGAAAATGTTTTAACGTTTTTACGTCTTATAAATATACTCAAAGATAATGAGGCAATTCGCGCAGTACTTGCTATCTTTGTAAAATCTATAAGTTTTGTAAAATAATTTTACAGACTTTTTCAAAGACGCTATTGATCTGTGTAAAGTTACACAAATTTGTAAGCTGATTCTGCTTCTGAATGGTAATCCTTCTGAATATTTGCAAACATTTGTAAGCTGACAGATTTTTCCTATCTTACAAAGTTACCAAGGACTGCGTGCATTGCCTCCAATATAAATACTTACAAAAATCTGCGTTTGTGCAGCAACAACACTGACGGGGTCGATATCTTTGAGACAATTGACCATTTTTGTGGCATCATTAACCGGACAATGAAAATAATTTGCTAGCTCTTCCGTATATCCTCGCAGTCTTGAGGGAGGTTGCAGCCCCCAGTGACAGAAGGCCGTAGCACTTTGAGAAATGGCACGAGAAAAGAGGTCCTTCGTCTGGGGGGACATCATGTGAAGATGGACAGCAACGCCGCCCTGATTTAAGGGAAAAACTTAGACAATTTTTAGCTTCATTATCAATTTTGACCACATGATTTTTGAATATCTTATTACTGCGGAAAATCCCCATAGCGTGATTGACTCTGGATTTCCGCCGAATTCCGTAATGTGTTCCTTGACCCATTTGATCGCAAGAACTTGATCCTTCAACCCTAAATTTCCGGGTAGTACGGAATCCCCAGTGCTCATAAAACCTAGGGTTTAGATCAGCTCAGTGTCAGTCATCTTGTGGGCAGGTTTAGATATATTAAAAGAAGGCGAAATTTACCCAGAACTCCAACCCTGTAAATATATTTAACACACATTTAAAGTATTTTAAGAAATACGAATTGTCCTGATTAAACCTGTAGTTAAGCGTGACTAGAACAATGTCCTCGTTTAAAAGGTAAGCTGCCCCATATTCGCGTCCTGTTCCCTGTAATCATACATTACTCTTAATAATTTTCTCAGGGGGATTTTTTTTTGTTCTACTTGAGTTAACAGATAGAAGCATATCTTATTAATTTTTGCACATGTGAATTAAAGTTTTCCTGGCATATGTACATATTCAGTTAAAGTGAGATTAATAAATATTTTACTATCGGGTACAAATGTAAATATGTACAACTTACAAACAAAAAGCTGCCTCCGTGAATGTAGACAACAACGGGAAGAGCAGCGTTCGTCTTATTTCCAGAAATCTGCAGAAAATTACATACAGGTCAAAACACGCTAGTTACATCGATATGACATGGATTAAGTGCATACGAGTACCTACCACTGGAGTATAAACATTCAAATACAGACAATCCTCCTCGCCGTAAAGTTTCATAACTTTTCTTGCATTAATTTGTAGGCAGTCCGGTCCTGGAGCTTTTGCATGGAGGACGCCACTCCACCCATGTGTAGGGACAGATTTCTGCAAGGAGAATAATACAATTAGATTAGATTGAAAGCGAAATAACTTTATAAAATTAAGTTAAATGAAAAAGATCAAGCGGATTGACATCAATTTAATGTAAGCTAATCAATACGTAATATGTAAAATTTTTTTAATCCATGTGATATTACTTACTTGGATGCTTGTAAGCTAACCATTTCATCATTTTCATGGCGAGGTAATTCTACTAGTTCTTATTAACTTTGTAAAATCGGTAAAATCGGTAAACTCACAAACTTTTACAAACTTAACTTAAAAGTATTTCTAAGGAAATTATTTAGTTTACAAATTTTGTAACTTTACTCAGGAGGGGAGCTTGCGAGGTTGATAATAACAGATATTGGTGCCCTTTGGATATGTGATAGGGACCCATGAGTGTACTAAAACCCTGAAGTGGTTTGACTCCATGGTCACATTTACGCCCGCCACATCCACTCAAAAATGCCCAAAAAACGCTGTCACTCCAGTTTTTACTCACTCAAATCCACGCCAAAAATCCAATTTTACTCGGATTTTGAAAATTCTTTGACCATTACACTCCCAGATAGTTGCTTTCTTCAATCCAATCTCAAACTCAATTTTGCTGATTATTATTTCGCAGGCATAATTTGCGTTGTTGATTACTACAACAATGCTCATTCAGAATTTTAAATTCTAAAAATACTAAAAATTTCAAAAAATTGAGTTCGACATTGGATTGAAGAAAGCAACTATCTGGGAGTGTAATGGTCAAAGAATTTTCAAAATCCGAATAAAATTGGATTTTTGGCATGGATTTGAGTGAGTGAAAACTGGAGTGACAGCGTTTTTTGGGCATTTTTGAGTGGATGTGGCGGGCGTAAATGTGACCATGGAGTCAAACCACTTCAGGGTTTTAGTACATTCGCGGGACCCTATCACATATCCAAAGGGCATCAAGATCTGTTATTATCAACCTCGCAAGCTCCCCTCCTCAGATCAAGGCGTCTTTTTATTTTGTCCAAGTTTGTCAAAATATTTTACAAAATTTACGGGGGGTTTTACAAAGTTAATAAAGACTCCGTGAACTGTAGTAATGTTTTACAAGCATTTAAGTGTATATGCATATTGGTAACTGGTCAACCGAGTTTACAACCTTAACCAGAATAGCACAAACTGTGACCATAACCTTTTAAAAAATTTCTACTAGCATTGGCCCCATTAATATTGTCGGTATTATGAATTTTATAGGTAATTCCAGTGAGTACACACAAGAAAATAATTTTCTTAAAACTTTCCCTTATTACCTCCCATCTCTCCGCTTTTGCGTACCGAATGCCTTCAAACGCTCCAATTTTTCTTCCTCCCGTCGTCGTTTGATAGTAACCCTCAATAACTCCGAGATTCGTTTGTACCACATTTTTCTCTAAGGCGGCTGACACGTCAAAATAGTCACTTCCGCTATTGTTCAAGTATTTCGCCGAGATCAAATCGTTGCTGTGATCATACACGATCTCTGGCAACTGATAAGGGTTTCTACAAGGCAACAAGCTACATAAAATATTTAATACGAACACCAACGGTTGAACGGGGATGACTAACACCATGGTAAAAATCTACTGAACTCTTTATGCATATGTATATGGTATGGATGACAAATATGCAGATTAGATAATAAATAGTTAGTAGGTAAATAGGAAACACAAATAAATGCGCTAGCAAACTCTGGTCCAGTAAATAGTGCATGAGTAGTCATGCCTAAAATGAAACTAGTGCTGAATTTGTAACGTTCATAATCCGTTAACTTATCAGGTACACAATTAAGATGCATGAATTGAGAACCTGTTCAACACTGTTGCATTTGCATGGAACCCATAAATTGCACAATATTCGCTACCGACTTATAATAAGGAGTCTACATGCATCTTGACTATCTTGACTTAAGTACTTATAATCCGGTTTATTGTCTAGTAAGGTACGTACGCATCAGTAAATATATTTTGCTGCAACATCAATTATTTTGGATAATGGTGTGAAGTTTTGTGCACTTTTATGGATTCTGGATTCCAGGAGCATTGTTGTTTCTGTACGCATGCACATAGATAGATATCAGATAGGCTAACAAAGTAAATGGATATGTACTGTTTCATTTGCTGGGACTCTGAAATCGAGGATAGAGTTTTACAAGGGAACTGGCCAAGGTGTCCAGCTGCTCCTCCCATAATGGATGGATCCACAATTACATTACCCGAACAGCCGAATTATTTATTATTTCACATCACTTATTTTTATTTTGGCGTTCAAATTATTCAATTTCGTATGATTTCTACTTCTATTATTTTTATTTTGGCGTACAAGTCTTACGAACTTGAATAATTTGAACGCCAAAATAAAAATAAGTGATGTGAAATAATAAATAATTCGGCTGTTCGGGTAATGTAATCGTGGATTCATCCGGCAGGGGAGGAGCAGCTGTACACCTTGGCCAGTTCCCTTGTAAAACTCTATCCTCGATTTCAGAGTCCCAGCAAATGAAACAGTAATTCCCAAATGAAAAATGTCCATGGTGGTCTTTTAGTTACTTATGTAATTGGGGATAATTTTTATACAGTGGCAATTTATTTTGTGATATTGAGTAGATTATTTAAAAAAAACTGGAACTCTGCATAACATTGACGTATGTAAAGTATGCAGAATTAATAAAGGGCAACTTGTCAATGAGATGAATTTATCTTGATTTGGTGCATGATCAAGGTGCATTTGTTTTCATCTCTACGTAGTAAGCAGCAATGTCTCGTAATCACTTTATTGTACATACATACATATGTACATATCAGCTAGGGTGGCTTCAGTCGTACAGGTCACTAGATATGCAAATTTCGTACATACATACATAAGTCAATTCAATTACTGCACCGTTAGATATACAGATATATGTAGGTACATGAATGTACCTTAATCAATAAGTACGTTTTGGTACGTCTGCATGTATGTACGATATCAAGTATGTAGCCTAGTCTGTAGACAATATTACTTGTAGAACATATTTTTATATGCATAGCAATATTATAAGTCAAGTGCAAGGAATAAATACTTGAAAACATTTAGATGTCACATTGGAAGGTTTACCTGTGTACATATACTTACTTACTGATACGGAAGCCTTGATTATTATATAATCACGCATGAATTTTTGTTGTTACGACAATTTACAATGACATTACAAGAATGAGTTACAAGACACGAAATAAAATTAGGTGGTTTACTAAATATGTTTAATCGTCAAACTGTTTGCACACTGGTAAAATGGACATATTGAAGCAGGAACCGGGTAAAATTGAGAAACTACAATTGTTAGCTAAGGCAATTGGTTGGAACTTCAAGAGAAATATCTAAACATGTGGGATTGCAAATATTTTGGGACGGAAATATCATAGTGGATTTGGCACTGCTTGCTTACATGCATCGATACATAAATAAGTACAATTTAGGTATGTCTGCTCAGTTTCAAGGATTAGCGTAAAGACAGGACTGATTTTCATGATCTTTTTCTGCGTGCAATGCAATCTACCTCTTTATGAATAAGTATGTTTTTGGATTGAGAGTCAATGTTACAGGATTATTTACTCTTTCAGATTGTAGAGATGCCTAAATAATTCATGCATCTCATCTGCATTACATAATATTATGGCTTATATGCATCATGCGTATATATATAAGTAAATAAATAAATAAGTAGGTATGTACATATTTTAAGAACTCTATCGTTATGTCATGTGCTAAATATGTATGTACACATGTAGATACAGGGTCAGGTATTCATTAATGTTAGATACCTAAATGGAAATTGCTACAATTTTGCAGATATAAATTATATCTGTAACAAATTTTATTGGTAATATTAAATAAATAGTTATTAATATATCTAGCCACATTAATAATTAAATTATACGCTTATTCCTTTATTAAAATAAAATTTTCCTTTAGTAAATATGTAGGTGTAATTTGACATAAAACTCCTTAAATTTCCAAGTTTATACTGCGAAGTAAATATAATGAAAATTTAATTATTGATACAAATCGATAAAAGCCATGACTTCTTTAATATTAATATGTTTGCTTAGTAATGTGCCTGGCACCGATATTTGACACGCACGTTGCTTTTACTTCGGACTAATTCTTACCCTAACAAATTACTCGAGTTGATTAAAAAACTATGGATGTAAATATGTATATATATCCATCGATGTCCTTCCTTCTCTTCCTCATTTCACGCTTTCAGACTTGTCAAAATTTTCAAAAATGCCAACTTTCACTCACATCTTGTGCATTTCCAGCTTACTCAAATTCACAACCCCGCAAGAAGTTAACAACGCGATAAACCTTTACGATTTCATTCCGACCGATAGTAACTTTGATTTCCAAATTATCTCCGATGATGGCCTACATTCTGCCCAATTCCACCAAGCTCCATCCTCCCCAAGTAAATATTCAGCCCTCAAAGTTCTACAACTTCCACAAAATCTCGACCTACTTAAAGAACTTAATCTCTACGCCGATAAAAATGACTTGGCGAGAGCAATCCCGGTTTCGAACGGACGATTCGCGCCATTTAAAGTAAGCCTAGTGATGCCCACTACAATGTCCCTACTGAACATGGCTTCATGGCATTGGGAAGTTTGGCTACATCCACCCGTAATGACAACCGTATATTGGAGCAAAACCAATTGGTGTACCCGAGGCAAAAAAGAGTATTCGCCATTTGGGTTACCAATCTTCCAAAGGATCAATTCAGTCCGCCGCTGAGAATTTGGTTTATAAATCTCGCCGTGGTCTTCTCATTCGCGGAAAGCATGAGTTTCGAAATTTGCATACCCAGCGGTAATGATAAGCTGATCCGGGGAAGCTACGATTTTTGTACACATACTCAAACTCCAGCTGATTTTGTCGATACAATCTTTTCGTGGGTGTATCTGCCCAGAAAATTCTGTTATTATGAATACGCCGCCCACCTTGATTATGCTCTGATTGCATCTCCTCAATTGATCAATCCGTTCAAAACGGAAAAGCTAAATTCTATCGAAATTTTAGCACAAATTGTGTTTCGCCATGGTAATATATCGCTTTTCCACTTCTCAAATCACGATAACCACCCTACATTAGGAATCCATAAATTTTCATTGTACGAGCACGGAAGTAAGATTACTCTAAAATTTACTGGATGGGAATTTCTTACTTGTTACGCCGAAACCGGTATTGATTTCGAGTTTTATATTACCCCGTTCCAACCCGCGCTATGGATTTCGGTAGCAGTTTCGGTCGCCTTAATCATTTCGGTCACACTTGTGGCTCTATATTTCACGGAGAACTATAAAGTCACATTTTCACCATGGCTTTTCATTCTTGCCACCCTTTTCGAAGAGACGGTTCCTATTCCAGGGAAAATTGAGAAATTGTCCTGGTTACGGATGATCTTTACATCGTGGTGTCTGATGTCGGTCATTTTAACCAATTGCTACAACGGGTTGATGATCACCGAGCTGAACGCACCATTTAGGTCGTACTCCAAAGAAACGTTTCCTGGCCTCTCATGTGGCGCGAATTACGAAAACGGAATCAATTCCGATTTGAGTTTTCTGAAAGAAGTCGTCCCTTATCACAATGTTCTCTATAAGTACGCCGAATCCCATGAGAAGGAAAACTTCTCAATTCTATACAATGCAATACTGAACATTGTGAGTGTCGCCAAGTCAGACTGTTTCAGTCTGCTATCTCTCCCTTATGATAGAAACGATGGGTTTAGTCTTCCCGAATTTTTGCTCCGTCTTCACGAAGATACTCCCATGTACAAGATCGTAGAAAATGAATTGGAAGAAAACCCACTTTCGATAAATAGTATCCTGAACACGTTTGACCCGTCAGAATTATCAAATTTGAACTTACTGAATCCCAAACATACGCATTTTCCGCGTTCTATTTATGCCTCCGTTCGGAAGATTATACCGAACTCGGAGTTTCAGAAACTTATCGAAAGTGAGATCGTCTTGTGCAGAAAATCCGTCTTTATTGCAGAGTCTGATAACCTTGCTGCTGAATTTGAATTTCTGTCAAAAAATTATTTCTGGATTAAATTCACAAGGGGAAAAGAAGTCCGTACTTCTATGCAATTTGGGTTAATATTCGATGGAGAAGGTTTTTCGAAAATCCCGGGGTATTACAAGATCCTTATCGAATCTGGGATTTATCATCGGGTGGATGAAGAAATGCAGTTGAGAAAATGGGCCAGGAGACACCCTGTGAGTGGGAGAAGTGAAGCTAAGCCGGCCATGATGCAGCTTGATGGGGGTCTCGTGACTCCGTTCGTGTTATGTAGTGCCGTGCTTTTAGGAGCCATTTCTTGTTTTCTGGTAGAGTCGTGGAGGAAATTTGGCCGTGTATTTAAATATGTAAGTAGAAGAATCTGCACAATTTGTAAAAATTTCGGTTATAAAGGCGAGCGTAAATTTGGCAAACAAATAACTTCACTAAACTATAAAGTGGTAAAAGTTAAGGAACGGTAACAAATAAAATACGTTAAATGCTTCGCATATCCTTGTCTTGTATTATGGACGCTGTCATGACGATCCTTGGATAGCTCGCAAATGGAACATATTTTAGTATCAGCATACTGTAAATTACAGAGCTTTGTGAAATTAGAAAAAGACATGGGATTTTGTTCACAAATATATGTATGTACATAAATATATGCAGCAAATTGGTATTTTAATTTGGTAAGGCAAACTAACCGCTGACTTGGGTAAGCCCAAAATTTCGCACATACATAAAATTATTGCCTTCTGTTTATTTCCCAAGTATATATTTCACTCGATCTACATATTCTTTGAGTCAACGATGTCCATATGCGTGTATGTATCTATGTATGTAGTCTTACAGGTGCTAAAATATGTAGACAATATGTACATACATATATTATGCGTGATACATATTTACATAGTTTTGTCCCAACAATTGAAATAAAACTATTTATGCATACATAGATGCAAAAAATATATGACGAACATTTAAAATCATGTTAAGGTTTGAAAAATAATATTTAGAACGCTTGAGACAAATATTTAGAAAAAATCATATACTCCTTTCTTAAATGTATGTAATTACTCAAAATAACAATTAAGGACTTATTTATTATTAAAGCCATCTATAAAATAAACCGTACACATGCACATGGCAATTAAGATAAGTAGAATGATTTGTGTGGTGTTTTAGTGAAAATGTACCCTAAAAATATTACGCATATTAATTAATTACAAGTATAAAACTAACTAGAATTATATATGTAGTTTTCTAAGCTTTGACAATTTTCCGAATCACAGAAATAAACTATTTTTCCACCTCGAGACTCGAAATTTTCATAATCTCACCACATTACGCCACCCACTTTTGGTAACTACCCCCATTACAGTTCAAGGGGTACGCGTCACCATGCCCATTGCTGTCCAGACAGTGGCCCGTTGCGACATCGACGACGCCGAGGTTGTTTGTGCCGTGCCATTTCTGATAAGACCCTCCGTTACAGCCAATAGCGTACAATTTGCGCCCATTCGTGTCCAGACATTTTCCCGTCGCGACATTGACGATGCTTTGGTCGCCTCGCCAGTCCCAGTTTTGATAATTTCCACCGTTACAGCCAAGCGCGTAAACGTCGCCGTTTCCATTGCTGTCGAGACATTTCCCCGTCGCCACGTTGACGAAGCGACGCCCTTCAGACGCGGAAATTAGGAAGGCGACAAGGAAGAGTGGAAAGTTTCTCATTTTTCTGAAATTATTAATTTGGAATTAAAAATTAAATAAACTTTTGTAATTTATAAATTCTGTCTTTTTAAATTTTGTTTGCACGGTGGCATAAAAATTAAGAAGAGTGAATTATTATTTTTTCCCTACAGAAGTAAAATTATAGTAAAATAACTATAAAATAATTACCTTATTTATTTGACGGTATATAAAGTTGTGAAGATTTTTATGAAATTTTTGTATTTCTTTTTTATGCGTATGCAGAAGTAAGTTATCCGGAAAGGATGTATGTGATTTACAAAATAGTCTGATACTAATTTGGTCTCTGTCAACATCTATTTATACCAAAATTATGTAATTGACAAATTTTAAGGCAATCAATATTTTCATATTCGTAGTATCTCATTGGAATATCAGTATCCGTGGTGTGGTACATATTCAATACACAAGTTGGTGTTTTGAGTGAAAAGTGACGCAAATTGATGCTTCTGATTTTCGCAGTGTTGGAGATTACTGCTTAAATGTACTTATTTAAATAGATGATGATTACCAAGTCACGTAGGTACACACTCATTTATATAATATTGAGTAAGGAAAAGCATCATTTTGTTGGTTTATGTGTGCTGTTAATGTGACTTCATGCATGAATATACATTTGTACGTAAATAGTAAATACTGCACCGTAGGTATGAAGATCTAACCGTGTTTACATAGTGCAATAGTAGTCATGAAAATAAATATGTCTTGAGATTCACTTAAATATTTACTTAATTTTACTAAAAAAACCTATACATACTTATACGAAATCGATTGGATGTCGATAATTAGAACAATTTTTTGTAATTATGTGCATATTTTTAAGACAAGCATGAGCAGTGGATTAAATTTATATTGGTATTTAAATATATGCTTCTCGCAATCATTTGATCCGTCAATCGGGCAAATTAGTTATGATATCGCGTACTTTAAATTAATTAGCACACTCCCAAAAGTCCCCGCATTGTCGAGGGTCCAATTTTTATTTTTGTTGAAATCCATAACCATTCACCCCCGATTTAAGTATATTTACTAATATTTATTTATGTATGGCACACATAAGTAACTAGGTCACCAGGTTCACTCATATAGAATATTCAATGCAGAATTTTAATCACATTCTTTCTTCTACTTCATTGTATCTACTGCTGGACTGTAGCTTTAATTGATATACAGGTATTTAATACCATAATTGTACTTCTGTGCATGCAGATTGGTCCAAAAATTCCACCAAGAAATGATTGCTTAGATGAGATGGCATTATATAAAAGTGGGAATTTGACCTCCTAGGATTTCCTGCGATTGATTGATAGATTATTCATCATTTTAGTATGCATTTTTACTGTTTATGTCGTATGATGCAATATACAATTCTCGGAAGTGCTTACTTATGTACATTTGTATAACCTTAAAAATGTATTTACCAAGAACTTCATGGATTCTAAGTAAGTACTTAGATAATTTTGGTTGATTTCAACTTTAAAAATAGTTCCATGAAAAATATTGGATTATGAGAGAAGAATTAATAAATTATAGAAGATTAATAAATATGATTATTAAACAAGATTAACAAACATTAATCGTTCTAATTAGAATAGGCAAAACTATGTTACATATATATGCATTATGTATAGGTATGTATTTATAAATGTATGTACATACATATGTATGAGTTTATTAGGTTTAAAATAAATAAAGCAAGACGGGATTAATACGCATGTAGTTCATAATATGAACTTCATGTCGAATTACATGCATACGTTTATGTACGATTATGGATCAGTTAGAAATTAAATCTGTCACAAATGAAAATTATTGTCTAATCCATAAAAACTTATATATTTGCATTTGTAGTACAAATCCAAGGAGGTAATTTAATTAAGCTTGATTACTTGCTTATCCCAGATTTTGATGTCCTTTGGACGTGTTGTAGTACATCATCGGTGAGAAATACCCCCCAAGTGGTGTGATGCCATGGCTCCATTAACGCCCGTCGCACCCATTCGAAAGGGTTTATTTATATCAGCTCATATGTACATTCATCTTGGTATAACAAATACAGGATTTAAATAATTATCAAAAATGGTGATCCAGGGGTTTCATAAATTATATTTAAATTTGAAATCAGATTTCTTGAACAGAGAAAATTCTCGCTGACAATTTCTCAGTAATGAAGCTCTGATACGCGTTACTATTTGCTGTTTAATTAGAGGTTTTTTTTAATCGTAAACAATAATTTGAGATTTTGGTCGCGTCACCTTTAATTCTTTTACGGAAGAAGGAAAGCACTCTCATAATGAAGTGTTAATTCTGTGAAGAGACGCCGTCAAGGCGGACATTACATAAATAGTGGCCGCTGGAGGTTAAATTGTTCACAGTACTGATCAAACTATTTGGTTGGCTGGACAAGATATTTATCTGTAGTTAAAAATGAACAAAATAATTGTCACTGCATTTCTGGTTACGTGCTTTGTTGCACTTTCCATGGCATCGCCAGTACCAGAGGATGATGACCAAATCGACGAAACGCCTCTAACCCAAGGAAATGATGACCATCACTTGCACAGAGTGAAGCGACAATTTGGTAAGAATCTGAAAAATTATTTTTATTTAGTGGTATTTACATCAGACTTGACAAGTTTCCTAAAACAAAATTTCGGCGAAGGTGGATTTGGCAATCGACCATTTGGCGGAGGTGGATTTGGAAATCGACCTTTTGGCGGGGGTGGCTTTGGCAATCGACCATTTGGCGGGGGTGGCTTTGGCAACCGACCTTTTGGCGGAGGTGGATTTGGAAATCGACCTTTTGGCGGGGGTGGCTTTGGCAATCGACCATTTGGCGGAGGCGGATTTGGCAATCGACCTTTTGGCGGAGGTGGATTTGGAAATCGACCTTTTGGCGGAGGCGGATTTGGCAATCGACCTTTTGGCGGTGGCGGGTTTGGCAATCGACCTTTTGGCGGTGGCGGGTTTGGCAATCGACCTTTTGGCGGTGGCGGGTTTGGCAATCGACCTTTTGGTGGCTTCGGGAGACCATTCGGCTCGGGATAAAGATTCCATGGTTTTTGAGAATAATTTTTTTCTTAGGTGAAGCTATGGTGATCTAATGATTAAAAAATACCTAAGTATGCATTTACTACAACGTTCAAAAGTGACAAACCCACATTACTTTACCATTTCTTAACCGATTTTTGCGAAATAAGTGCCGAGAGTTAATTATAATGGTCTACTTTTGGATTCCAACTCTGGTCGGTTGTGAGCCTACCCATTCCTGAGATATTCTCAAAAAACACCCTCCAAAAAGTGACATTGCTTTATACGAAAAAATTGAGGACCTAAATCAAAAATGTACTGTGAAAAAAAGTTTCTAAATATTTTTAGCTTTAAATTAACTTTGAGATAATCAAAATCGGATAAGAAATGGCCACGATATTCATAAATGCAAGTACCACTGCTCACCTGGTGGTATTGCTATGGTTTGTTGCTATTGCAAGTATTTTAATCGCACTTCCCTTCGCTTCACCTAAGCCGCCCGTTTTAGGGATCTATCTTGTGTATGCAACTAACCAAAAAATCAAATCCAGTTCCCGGATGAGATATGTAGAATTATAATGTGATTTATTCAGAATTATATTTTTCATTACTAACTTGTCACCATTTTGTATATATTGGAAGTCTATATTTATTTGTTTCTGTTCATAATTTTTAATTGTATATGTAAATATGTAAATGTTTTAATTTTTCAAACTCCAGGAAAAATAAAATGTGAATGCTACAATCTGCATATGTAAATATATACCTATGTATTGCTAAATAATTTAAATATTAAACGTGCTTCCGTGACTCCACGTATAAGTAGCTCATAATAAAAACATCAAAATTCACACATATGTACGAAGGTAAATAGTCATAATTAGTAATGATAACTCACCCTTCAAAAATAAGGTTTAAAGTTAAAATTCGATCCGACCCACTCATTTTTATGACATCCTAATATCTCATTCCATCACAAACTTTTATTAAATTCAGACATTGTAAGCAAAAATTAATTTTCAGACAAGAAACGTCTGTACGATTTTAAGTATTGCACGGTGAATATGGATCCGATGTTTTTGAAAATTTTCACAACATAATTTATTTCAATTACATTTTAAAGATTGAAATTTAAATCTGCCAAGCATTTTTCACGTTAAAATCTTTGGGCTATTCTAGCCGACAGATGTACCTTACCTTGAGGTTTTCAAATACGATTCAGACTTGTAATGAAAATATGCTAATGGCAAATTGATTATAAATATGATGAACTTTTCCAATCTAAATAAATATGCATCTGCATTATGTATTTGTCCCCAGCTAACATATGTACAGCTAACATGCAGAGTTTTTGTCCGGTAGAGACGAATGCAAAAAAAATAATGGCACTGTTCTAATATGCAAATGTAATGTACCTGTAGATATTCTGCACCACGCGTGTGAAGACTGCCTTGCATAAACATAAGCACAAGGATGGTAACAAATATTTGACCTATTTACAAAATTTATAAGCAAAGATTTTTTTCCTTACGCGATGTATTTTAAGCGTTGAGTATTGGAATATATATGTATGTATGCATGATTTACAAAAAGGTTCGTTTTTTAGAGAAATTGAAGTCAATGAAAGACTAAAAAGCATTTCTGCACTGTGCCAGAATTTTGTCCTGGTCCTGCTTGTTGGGTCACCCTCTTAAATAAGTTGTAAGTATGCACAAAGTTATCAACAAGCTAGGAAAACTAATTTCGTCCAGTTAATTACTTTTACTTTTTACATCCTCAATTTTCGTAAAATAAAATAATTTGTTGATATCAAAAATGATATCAACATTGATAACCAAACTACGTACTGTACTGTATGCAACTACCACTTTCCCACCATTATCTCTTATAGACATTTTCCTTACTTATTCCGTATGCAATTCTGCCCTAAATTTTGAAACACCTGAACAATGAAGAAATTAAATTCCCTCTATGTAACATTTCTCGCGTTGAGTCACACCGCAAATTTAACTTTCATTAAACCCCCTGTGGCATCTTCTTCTATAAATTTGACATGGATTCTAAAACCACACGCTACTTGTCGATATCACCTCGTCTTCAATGATATTTCCTCATCTGACCTACCAACCAGCAGGAACGTTCCACTTACCCTGACCAAACGCCCCTTGACGAATAATTTTAGTCCAAATAAGTACAGAAAAACAGTAAACACCTCCTCCTTCCAACTTAGCATCCTTCAAAATAAAGGTTGGCTTTGCGAAATTGTAATTTTATTTCTAACCATAAATTCGCCAAATTTTACGAATTATCACGCAAAAGCGACCGGATATTGGATTGCAACTCAGAGCTTTCATTATTTCACGCTAAATGGTGAAATCGATTTGGAAATTTATCCCGATAATTTTTACTTTCTCTTAATTCCTAGAAGTTCAGAAATATTGTTAGCAAATACCAATTCGCCTCTATATTCGCAACCATTTAACTTTGAGAAATTGTTACCAGTTAAATGTTCAATTTTATTACTTCTCGCGGGAAATAGGACTAAATTATGTCACCAAAAAAGTTTAGGGAGTGTCCCAATTCTGAAGAATTTTGAGTGCGAGAGTATCCAAACAACTGGAAAACTGTTTTCAAATTACCCGCCACCATCGGAATCTAATTGGATTGATAACACATACCCTCAAATTCAGAATAAAGAATTAGCAGAAATTTTAATTACGGAGGCATTAACTAAACTAAACGCGACGAGGCATATACGAATGTATAATACGCAGTGCAATCATGCCCTAACGGAATCCTGCTTCTACCCGGCTTTCCAGCTGGAAGATCTTATCCCTCGGTTATCTGGGAGTCAAATTGTGATCACAACGTTTCCTGGTTTTGCCTTTTTCTCGTGCTACTTGGCGCCGAGTGAGGTGACGTTTTATTTGTATTTGGCGCCGTACGAGCCCATCGTGTGGATAGTCACAGTTATCACGCTTCTCTTATCCACTTTCCTCTTATCGCTTGGATTTTACGCTTGGAACAAAATGTTCTACCCGTTGCAACTTTTCATGTACTTTTACGGTTGTCTTATCGACGAGGTGAGCCACCTGCCGGAAAAATTAAGCACTTTTCTACCCTTTCGATTCCTAAGTATCCCCTGGCTCTTGGTCGGCATGTTGCTAAGTACTTGCTACCTGAGTATTTTCATTACCAATTTAAACTCGCCGCTTCCAAGGGAACAGCTGGATACGTACGAAAAAATTTCTTGTCGCGAGAAACCGAAAATGAATTTAAATTATAGCACGTTACTGGATAGGATTTACGCAAGGGATTTCTTAGAGGGCGACAATATCGCTAATTTTACCGTTCCCGCCATCATTAAACGGTTAGGAGGATTCTGCTACACGGTTTTGTCTCAATTCATACCAAGTCATGGAAGAAAGGATTTCCATGAAAATTACAAATTCACGGAATACTTCAATTACGAGGCTGACTTTCGGGCTGAAACATTTCCACCGCATTTATTACATTTACTGTATTCCATGCTGAATCCAAGGATTCGCTGGTATCCGAAAAAGTTGAGATTTTCTGACAATATCACGACCAGCGGAGTAAATCGAATTATCGAAAAAGAAATTTTATCATGTGATAGATCCGCTTACATGGGACCATCGATTGAGGTCGAAAGCTATTACGAATATTTGAAGAGAAATTATCCCATGAAAAAATGGTATCGTGGAGAGAAAACCATTTTTGAAAGGCCGGTCGGCTCAATGTTCCGAGTTGGACGGGAATCACGGATGGTCCGGTATTTTAAACAGTTTTTGGATGCCGGAATTTACAAGCGGGTATCAGAATGGGTCTTCCTGAGTGCGACATTATTTCGAGAAAAGGAGATCAAAAGGGAGAACTATGAAGAGTTTGAATATTCTACATCGTTCCAGGCGGTCAGGCTTGACGACAGTATTCAAACTATTTTCATTTTGCTATCCATTTGTTTAGCAGGATGCTTTTGTGTCGCGGTTTTCGAATATGAGAAATACCATGGGGCAATCATAGCGAAGAGATTTGGAAAACAATTAAGACAAATGTGCCGTTCAGGCAAAAGTAACGTCGAGTACGATCAATTTTTATGGGAACATGCAAATTCCTCCATAGCTTGGTTCAAACTAAATGGACTTTTAGAAATAAAGTAGTAATAATTAATAATAAAATAAATATACTATATTTACATAGGTATGTATGAATACACGGGGTTTGATACATATTTGTGCAATAAAACGCCAATTAAATTGAACTAAATAATTCGATCTGTTGCCTGAATTTGCTGCCAACTTTTTTTCACGTAGGTTTTATCTGTTTACCAATTACAAGTTGCAAGACACATGAAAGAAACTGACAACTGACGACGAAAAGAGTCCTACCCATATGCAATTCTAACCTCATAAAATTAAATCAAAATCCCTAAAAAATAAAGAATAATAAGATTTACATATTTATGTAATGATGTGACCAGCTTGTGTACTAACGTCGTGTATTCCAGCACGACAGCAAAACAATAGGATTTGAGGATAACTTAATCCTACAAAAAATTGGTAATCCCAATATCCAGATATTTCACACTCATATTTCAATAGAAATTCATCCCAACAACGGATTTCCGAATGTGGAAAAATTAGATAATTACAAATTCCATACATTTATGTATATGTACCCATTCAACCATCTCTTGTCCAAGTCCTTGATTTTTTTGTCCGAGAAAAATCTCAGTTATGCAACTCGTAATTATGTATGCGCTTAATTAAAGGTGTCATATCGTGGCATGATTATGCATTATGATTTTATAACAAAAGTAAAAAAAATCTGTAAGAATTTGCTTACGTCACTTTTACCTTTTTTACGGAAGGAAGTGCGTTGTCATACTCTTGTAAATTTTTTGATTAGACGTCATCGCGTAGTACACATAAATAGGACGGCTGGAGATTGAATTTTGCACAGTATTGATTAAGCTATTTATCTAGTTATCCAGACAAGATATTTATCTGTAATTTAAAATGAACAAAATAAGTATTGCTGTGTTTGTGGTTGTGTGCTTCGTCGCACTTTCCGTGGCATCGCCAGTGCCAGAAGATGAGAAGATGATCCATGAAAATGATGACCATCTCTTGCACAGGGTGAAACGACAATTTGGTAAGAATTTGAATAATTATTTGTACTGTAACTTACATTAAAGATGATAAGTTTCCTAAAACCAAATTTCCTACAGCAAATATTCTAATTTAAATACGAAGTGAATAAAACTTTGTAGAATTTCTGGCTTTAAAAATTCTGAATTTTAGCTTTGTGTTTTCTTTGCTTAGTACATAATTTTGACAAATCTATTGGAAAGTAAGTTTTTGATCTAAATTCGTCATTTAGATATGTACTTAAATGGTAGACAATTTTGTACAACTTATCAGCGAATTCATTTAATATTTAACCTATGTACATAGGTATGTACTTATCGTTGTGATTTTTATTGCAGGCGGCGGCTATGGCGGCGGTGGTTTCGGTGGGGGGAGAGGATTTGGCGGTGGGGGATTTGGGGGACGAGGATTTGGTGGGAGGGGTTTTGGAGGCAGAGGCTTCGGCGGTGGGCGTGGATTTGGTGGGAGAGGATTTGGCGGTGGGGGATTTGGGGGCAGAGGGTTCGGTGGGAGGGGTTTTGGAGGGAGAGGTTTCCGAGGATAATAATTTGTTGTGAAGAATCAGCAGGAAATCAATGCTGCTTTCCGGAATGGATTATGATTGCTTCGTAATTTTATTTTTCATTAGTAACTTGTAGCCACTTTGTGTACTGAAAATTTTTATTTACACTATTTCTAGTTGAATACATACATACATATTTACTGATGCATTTATTACACATATTCCATAAAAACAGAAGCAGTATAATCTGTGGGTTACTTATGGTAAAAAAAAATTAGACACGAGTCCATCAATAAGTCTGACACAATAAAAATGCATGTTTAATCGTCATCCTGAGTTATGCTTGTAATCCTAAAAAACAAAACAAGTCGTAAAAAATTGTATTGTTTGGTTGTGAAGTATATAGACGAGTCTGTTTCTTTGTGTCTAGTAAAATAAAGTAAATATATACGCAAGTTTAATTATTGAGTTTAAGTAATGCCTATACATAGGTAGATATATTTGCATATTTAGCATACACAAATATATTTTAAATGCATAAATACATATCTACGTGTTTATCTAAAAGTATGACGGGTTCCTTAGAATTGCATGTTAACATGTGAACATATCAATACAAACTGTACAAATTGTTAAATGATAATACCCTCAATTGACATTCAAAATATGGCTAACACTGTTGGTTTAAATATTTGTGATGATGGATAGAATCGATAATTTTAATATCATCTTATATTCGATATGTGTATTATTAGTACTACGGATAATAGAGGTCCACGCCAAAGTGGAAGTTGACAATCGAGAGTTTGGTACTACCAAATATGGTAATTATACATATAATTTCGAAAAATGAGGTATAATTAAATATATTCAACGATAAGCATACCAAAAATATTTGCATGCCATGCATATTTGGGTACTACAGTACATTTGCCAAGGCGCACATATTTACACATACACTTATATACATACACAATATGATTATGCATTTTATGTAAAAATTCGTATATATATTTGTATATGCATACATAAGTACATATACACATATCTGTAACCACGCTTTGCTAGGATAAATAACTATATTTAATTTTAGGAAAAAAAAAATATATCCACTATCAACGAAAAACGAGTGGATAACATAACAGATTGACTTCTTACTTAAAACATCGAACGTTTTATAGTCTCCTATTGTCTACATACGTTAAGTACTTTTATTAATCAACTAACAATTTGCGATGAGTAGATTTTGTGTAAAATTGAGACAAATTGAGACAAGTTTATAAATATTGATGAAAATGGTGTGACTGGCCTATTGACCGATTACTCAATTTCAACCGGGATCGTTTATTAATGACTTATTACGCTGTATTCTCGGTGCTTACATACATACGTAGGATTGTATTTTAGATATTAAGATCGGACTTTGACTCTGATAAGCTTTTACGTGAGAAATTTTAAAGATAACGGTTTTTACTCCAATTCTGTGATGAAATAAAGCATATTTCGAACGGAGAACTCATTCAATCAACCATCTGCCATTCTTACCTCACATGAAATAAATGCGGCATGTAAAACATAATGGAGAGAGGTGTGTCGATGTCACTTTCACCGGTTCCGATTGATAACAACCCATGGTCATCACCCCATACTAATTGCGGAGTTAGATTTTATGTAATGGATGTTGTCCAGGGGATGTAAATTGATTTAGTTTAATACGCCGAGCCATCTTTCCGCATGTTAGTTACTCTTTGTTTATGATAAGATAAAGATAACCGATGACCATTCTCAACTGGTAACCTTTGATCATTTGTTCCAGTCGTCTTGCCAAATAGACGTAATTATCAATGATATTTATTTCGTCATATTTAGCAAGAAAATTTAAGAAGATGATGGAAATTAGCAAACCGTATTACTTGGATCTTTCCTTCATAATCCGCTGTTTCTTTGATTTTGGTTATTTCTTGGGAGTGTATCCGTACAGATATGCGACTCAAGAGAACAAGACTAACGTGGTACCACAAACTTCAACGTTCAGAAAGGTAAAGCAGGAAATTTTGAAAATTTCGAGAGATTTTGAAATTGCACAAAAGTTTTAAAATAATCTAACAATCTTACAGTTTTAAAAGTTTAGCAAAATTATAAGCGTATCTTGCAGTATATTTGTTAGCGAAATTGTAAAACTCCTCATTATTTATGCAAGGAAAATTCGAAACGTGAACCTTGTGAAGCTTAATTTTTTGCAAAATCTTTAAAGATTATAATTGTTTAATACTAAAATTAAGTTATTTATCAATTTTGTAATTTTGTAAAGGCTTATAAATATTTTGCAGAACCACAAAAAATTTGTGTTGATTATATTTTTGCAGATCTATTGCTCCATAATTCATATTTCCGCAATGTACCGTGGAGTTTGGAGAGTGGCCGAGTACGATTTCGACATTTTAATCAAAGAGCCCCAAAAGATTTTCAGCTTTTGTCAAAAAATAACGACCATCATGTACGCTCTCTCCTTCATTTTTGCTCTCTGGAGAAGGGAATCTTTTTCCAATTTCTTGAACGTCCTACGAAGTGATGACATCCGGAAACAAGGGACACACTCGACACCTGCCGCGCTAAAATATTGGGTAAGTTCATGCCATCAATGCATACTCTTAGCAATGGACTCACGAAAATCTTATGAAGATAAATATTTCACAAATTTAGCATAGTAGTACAACTTAAAAGTCGATGAGATTTTACATTTTTTTTTCGGAAAACCATGAAATTTGTTCCCCAAATTTTTCCAGAAACCTTGCATGTTTTATTTCACAAAAATGATTCTTTCCATTCCACTACAAGTTATACAAATTACAGAGAGTAAATCCAAATAAAATAGCAGAACTATTTCTCTAGTTTTGTGAAATTTCCGAATCTTCTGACGTAACTATCATCTCAAATGATAAATGATAATGCACCACTAAATAGATATAAATACGCCCAAAAATAACGTGATTCGCAGTTTTCAAATATTTTTTGAAAATATTTTTTAATTACATACTTAATTCCAGGTTGAAGCCTTATCCATAACGATGTGCTCCCTGTACATATTTTGGCCTACTATTTGGCTCCTCGGAGGCGAGGGTAGGGTTGACTTTTACGCCGTGAAGTTCAAACCTCTCTACGAAATGTACTTGTTGGACGCACGTCGCGTCTTCTTTCTCAAAGACGTCATCACCTTTTCGCCCAACTCGACGAAGGTGGAGCACATGGGTCCGTTTGACCACACGGTAACCGTATTTTACCTGGCGATGGAATTTTGGTACTTTTTCCTCACCTTTTACACCGAGCTGCTCCAACTCTTCATGTCGTTCACGTTGTCGAGAGTGACAGCTAATTTCGTGTCGGACTTGAGGCGAAACAAAGGGATGGATAAGGACACGGTGGAAGGGATTTTGAGACACTATGCGGCCCTTAAAAGGCTGGGAAATCATGCCAATGCGGCGGTCGGAAGGGTCACCCTGTTTCAAATGATTGATTCCTTGCTCTACTTGCCGTTAGGGATTTCAAATTCGTTAACTGGGATTAATTGGTTTACAAGGTTGAACTATATTTTCTTTATATGTTCCTTCTTCTTGTTTACGATGCATGCGGCAAGTTCGCCCTTGAAGGTAAGATCATTACATATATTTATGCAATACAGAGATTTGTCGACCCTGGATTAAGGATTTATAATTGAGATTATTATAAGGGATTAATCAGTCCTTAATCTCAACCCCAATTTTTTGTAAAAATCGATCCGTATCTTAATCCTTAATCTAAATCTCTATATTTTTAATCTCAATCCTTAATCTCAATACCAAAATTTAAAAAATAGTAATTAATTTTAATTGCAAGTTGATTTTAAAAATTAAAAGTTTTCTCTGTTTCATGCAAAAATTTCTAAACTTTTTAATGGGGCGAAAATATCCGAAATGATAATTATGTATGTAATATTCATGTTGTTTCCTCTGAACTCTTTAGATCCAAGCCATGAGAAATTGGCTGCAAAAAGTTGTCAACTCGACGGGTGACAAGTACATCTCGCAGAGCAATGTAGCCTTGTACTTGGACGAGTTAAGTAATCATCCCGTCGGATTTCGGGGAGAAGGAATGTTCACCATAACGTTCGGCTTGGTTGGATCGGTATGATAAAAAAATGAATTTAAATCATCAATTGGTCCCCACCAGATTTGGATATGCAAATGGATATTTTTGCAGATGGCCAGCATAATGATTACTCATTCGTTTATACTGCTGCAATTTGGAACGGTTGGCTTAAACGGTAAACAGGCGACTACTTAAGCTCTTGCAAATATACTTATGTAATTAATTTTCTAGTACATAGTAAGGTTTTTGTAAAAATGTATTTATCAATATTCTGTATAGAAAATTTAAGTGTCAAATTCGCAATAGTTTTTAATGTATTGCCATAAATCGTTGTAATGGGCATACTCACGTCAACATTTTTTGCATTGTAACTTGTTTGTCAGTTTAGGAAATAATCATACTGCGTCAACATAATTTGCACAGTGTGAGATTTCGCAAACTGAAGTTCCGGTTATCAAATTGCTATGTTTAATCTGAGGGCTATGCAAAACGCTGTCATGAGTACGCCCATTGAATCTAATGAATTATTGGGGTGATTCCTATGGGTGATTCGTAAATGATCATTAATGGACCACCCCAATTAAGTATGTATGTGTACGTGTTAGTATGATTAAAAATGTAATAAAAATAATGTACATTAATTACCAGTCAGTGGCATTCCGTTAACAACTGAACTGTACGTAATATCTTATCATTTAAAGTACAACGGATCTACGTCACACACAAACATAGTTACACGCAATTGATGCAATATTTTCCATACATTCACTCGATTAACAGTCAAGATAAGTTGTGCTTATGCATAACTAACGAACATAGGCACAATTAAGTATGTACATTTGTAATGCACCATCCCAACCGATATGCCATTGATATGAGACAATTAATTTCCGGCTGATAATTAATGTGTAATAAAGGATGAAGCCACTCGAACACGGGTCGCTTTTTCTGTAACTGGGTAACTCAATTGGCCCCCAGTACAAGATCGTCATTTGTATATGTATGCATATTTATCTCGTTGATGAGAGTAAATTTCTCGTTTGGAGTGTAAACTAAAACAAATTTCCAGTTTCAAAAATATGTCGTCCAACGGAATTCCCATGCAGCCAATTTCCCAACAACCTGGCGTCGTCTATCCCCAACAGCAACAAATGTCCTTCGTGTTGCAAGTTCCTGCTCACCACTTGCAAGTTTTGGACGGCTTGGGATCTTACTACATTAAGAGATCAGGTTTTCCATTAGTTTAAAATTTATCATGTGTTACTCATGCGAAAATTTGCATAATCATTTAACAATTTTTTACAGGACAGACCACTAGATACGCGTCAGACTCTAATAACCATCAAATATTCTCGTACAGTGAACAAGTCCTCGTGAACAATCAGTATGCTCGGGCAGCATCGATGATGTTCATTGACAACAATGGGACCGAATTCATTTCGGTGGATTTAGATTTTTCCGTAAAATAAAAAAATTATGATTTTTTAAAATTTAATAAAAACGGTTTATCTAATTACTTATTTTTTTGTACAGGGTGGAAAAATCAGGAGTGGAAACATGCAACTCGGCGTTCTCAACCCGGTGAACAATTTCTGCCCTTGTTTCGGGATGCAAACGTTGCAAGTGAATAGTTCAACGGGGGGCGGATCTGTGACCTTGAAACCGGGGAAGGTTCCGTGCGGGGGGTGTTGTTTTTTTGCGTGCTGCTGCGGAGGTTCGGCCTCGTATAATGTGATCATTAATGGGGAGAAGGTTGGGTCCATGGGGCACGATGGGGATGGAGGGTCACCAATGGTGACCTTTCCACCGTCGCTGGACCCCAGGTTGAAGGGAATCATTGTCGTGTTGTCGTTCATGCTGGTAAGATTGGGATAAAAATGGAGATAAAATTATGAAGAAATTTTTATACAGAAAAATTATGTTTCTTATTTACAGTTCAATACTTACTGGTAGACTGTGGAGGACCAACTGATCGATTGTGATGTAAAAACATATTGTCAACTTGCAATAAATAATATTAATTCGATGCGGTTGGTGAGTTTTTTTGGGAAGGCAGACAATAATAAGGCATGCACTGAATGGGACTGATATGCATTGACATATCAGATAAGTATTATATAGTTAAACATATTGCTTGTTTATTAGCAGAAAAGAAAATATTTCCAGAATTAAATTCGATGGATTTGAACCATATTTAATAATGTAATACAAATGTAATACAAAATGAAAATGCAACACAAAAAAGATACAAGAAATGACAAAAATCATTTAACCTATGACCAGAGACATGAAAAGGGTGGACATGCACATTAAACAGCTTCAAGTTCCAACTCCTCAATAAACCCGTAAGCTAATTCTATTCCCTCCCCCTCTGGTCGTTTTATCTCAACGTCAAGAAAATCTCCGCGAGTCGTAAAACCTTCATAATTTGTGACCACTCTGCTTGGCTGGTTTTCAGGGAATAATTTTTCATCTAGGTTCGAATTAGCCCTGGTTTTCACTTCTCGCCTGTATGAATCGTATGTAACATTGTTGTAGCCGATCTGACCAGATAATGTTAACATTATCTTAGTCCAACCGTCCTGCTTGTCCATTTGATATGGTGGTTTTAAGCAAATTTTAATATTGTCCAGGGTTGTGTCAATTTCGGTCCCAACGTTGTATTGAGAATCACTTCCATTGCAAATTGTCAATGTAGCTTGCACCAAATCATAAAAATAATCCAAATTAGCTTCAAATTGCAGAATTTCCTTAGGAATCGAAATCGACTTCAGCAGCACGCTTTCACTTGCACGAATCCTGAGAAACAATCAATTAAATATATACTCTGATTTGATTTGGTTTGATTTAAACCTTTATTCTTTTGTATAGTTTTGTTTGTTGTTAAATATTTGATATCTAGATAGCATGACGTGCAAATATTAAGGTTAGTATAGACTAATACTTACACTATTGCCTCTGTGCCATTTACATTTTCCACGTTATCAATTTTTCGTATGTCGTCAGTAATGGGTCGAGTAACGGTGGTCTCTCCACTAATAAAGTGACGAGGGCTTGACACAAATCGGCCAGGTGGGAGGAGGTTTCTGTATATGATTTGGAAATTAAGATTTAAATCGCCACCTGACTTACAGAAGAATTAAATTGAAGTTGCCTTTTCTTCGGTGGAACGAGGAAGCAGGTCAGCAGTTCCATTGACTCATCCGTATTAAGAAGCTTCTTCGAAGTCACGTTTAGAGCAAACTCGGCAGGATCCATTAATGGAAATCGAATGTGGTTCAACGGTTTGGCGAGGCAGCTTCTAAGATTTTCAGCATTTGTAGGATCCAAATTTTTTCGCTTGCACTCGGCCAAACCCCACCTTCATAAATAAACAATAAGCCTAGTCAAGTCATTTCAATGATTAAGTATGTACATAATTAATGCTAATTTCTTACCGATGAACGGCTTCAAGAACCTTCATTTCTTTCAAAACCTTCAGCGAATCCTGCTGTATTATTTCGATCAGACATTCCAGACGCAGGTTGGCAAACTCTTCCCGTTTTAGGACTACTGTGGCGTTACTGTTCATGAGAAATAAAAAATGTTCATGTATTAGCGTGTGTGCACAAACTCATAACTTGCAAATCAATGATTACAAATCTTACTCGCAAATAAACTTGAGCGTGCATTGAATAAAATCACCGTGAGCATACTGCATCCCACTTTGGAACAAGGGAAGAATATTTTCCACTGACAAGTCTCCCTTCAAAATAGCAGCACAATCGTCCCTTAAACCAGAAACCTCATACTCCGTAGCGAGCTGCATTAATTCCAATGCATCAATCATTTCGACCTCGGACTTCCCAGTGTAAAAATACTGTAAACAATTATCTATCTCAATTACACGTTAAAGTTACACGAAAATCTAAATTGTTCTATATATTTACCTGGAGAAGCATTTTGAAAATGCGCGTGTCCACGTTATCAATTATTAGCTCTTTGGCGGATTCCTTTATTTTGCCATTTAACACTTGCGACCCAGTCTGAAGGAAGATTCGGTGGACGGGAACCTGTAATAAATAAATCATCCAAATTTATAAGCGTTAAATTATAAATTTATAATACTAGTACTGTTATGAGACTCATAACAGATTTTTAACAACTCATAATATGAGTTGTTAAAAATAATGCAGTCGCTCAATTTATATGTTATACCCTCATGAGCGAGGAAAAATTACACATTTTGGCCAATATCTTAAAAAATGGCTTAACGCCCCCCCCCCTTTCTCCAATACTAAATATGTATATGATACTTTACCTACTAATTAATTATTCTAAGATTACACAAGTGTTACACCAAATTGCTAGACTTTGACAAAATATCTTACACTTATCAATGATAAGTTATCATTAGTATTTAATAATGCATAATTAATGATATCTGCCCCCAACCTTTAACCCTTCTTGACCTAGCACGAGGGTCAAATCACTTTGGAATCCGGTTACGAGCATATTTTTCAGCCGCTGGTCGTGAGATCCGATCCACTCCCATTTTGGACCTTGTACCACCCCTCCATTTCCGGTTACAGAAATATCTCCATTTCCGGTAGGAATATCTACACTTCCCTCACTGTCCCCCATTATTAGTTTATTTATTTTTAGTTCGGCTTAATCCACCTAAATTGTAGCAAACTCACAATTAAATTAATGACAAGATTAATTAAATATGTACTATATATTGATAACCTCTTTCTTACTATAAAAATTTTGCAGCATCGAATTAAACGTGAAACGTTTTTTAAATAATTAATCTTGGGCGAATGTATGGCAGAAGTTAATTATTATAAAATTAGTGAAGTAATAGTGAGAGGCAGCTGAAAAGATTTAATTGTGTACACAGAATATAGATTCTACCAGAAGAATCGATCTTATGTATTCGAGTGACGCTTATGGAAGAACGGGGAGAGCCAACCAAATAACTCGGTGTACATTTGGCCCACCTGGGGGATGGCACCTCCGCATCATCATCATCACCACATCTCCTGGCATCAAAAAATGATGATGAAAGCACCATTTTTGTTACATAGGTGGCGGTGGCACCCCTAATTGTGGACCAGAACGCACCCTCGTAGAGCATCAAATTTGTGAAGACGCAGCTCAGAATGGTGTGTTCTGGTGTACAAATCGGGGTGCCACCGCCACCTATGTAACAAAAATGGTGCTTTCATCATCATTTTTTGATGCCAGGAGGTGTGGTGATGATGATGATGCGGAGGTGCCATCCCCCAAATGTACACCGAGTTATTTGGTTGGCTCTCCCCGTTCTTCCATAAGCGTCACTCGAATACATAAGATCGATTCTTCTGGTAGAATCTATATTCTGTGAATTGTGTAAATTAATGATGTGAGTTCTCGGATTTTCGTTCGTGTAGAAAATATGCGACGAGCGAGAGCAGCATTTTTCCGCGTTCTTCTTTGTTCGTTCGTATTCGTTCACGGAATTTGTCGTCTCAAATTTCGGATCATTTTTTATGACAGCTGGAAATAACGGCGCCATCGCAGACGACGACGTTATAACTAAAGTTAATTTAATTATTGTGGTTTTATATTTATTTTTGACGACAACCTGACTAATCAGAGTAAATTTACCAACAGGTGAAAACAAAATATGTACATTTGACATTGTGAATTATAATTTGTTATCAGTTTAGCCGGAATTAACTTTGTCAAACAAATGACTGAAATTTAGATTTTGTTGTTTTTTGACATTTTTATTTTATCGATTAAAGTAATCAATATTTTATTTTGTGTACGAAACTTTGCAGCCTATGCCATGTCATCCCCACCCCCACCGAAAAAGCGCCGGTTTAATATCTGCGAGAAACTTTTTGAGCAGTATGAAGCTGGAGAGAACGTAGATACCACTATCATTGTGCAAGACTGGAAGTTTTACGTTCACAGAATTGTGCTTATCGGAGTGTCACACCAGTTCCGTCTTACCTTAACTCAGCAGAAAAGCAACGGTGTGGTGAAAGGCATGATTGTATTTCCTTCAAAGACCTCGATCGACGTGGCAAAGGCGTTTATAAAGGTGCCAAAAAAAGCAAGATTTTATTAGTAGGACTACTAATTTCGAATTTATTACAGGTCATGTACATGCAGGAGATGGATCTGGATACATGCGTTGATTTCAATCAGCTTTTGGAGGTGCTGTACCTCTGTGATAGGTATCTTGTTCCCGAGCTTCTAGAGGAATGTGTCTCCTTTGTGAGTGACCAAATAAATCTGGAAAATTGTGTTCAAGTTTGTGAGGCGAGTTTCAACCTGGTGAGATCTAAGGATACGTTGCTAGAAGCTGGACTTGTCTGCTTAACTAGGTTAATGTTAATTAATGTTTCATTAATTATGTACGACACCAAAATATCAGGATTTTCATATTCGGTTTTCTTTTTGTAGAAATATTGCAACCATTTTAGATCGTCACGGGGCATCTATGAGTCATAAATTGTGGGACATGATGCTGCGCATTGAAGGACCGGATGTCGACGAAGCTTTCAGTGAACCCAGATTGTTTGAGTATCTTCTGAAGTATTGTGAATTCAATTAGCATTAACATATTTATGCAAGATGGGCTGATACATTTTACAATTTACAATTTTTATAGATGGCGGCAGTCTGACTCGTCACGAGAAGAAGAGTTTCAAAAGCTGTTGTCCCTAATTCGGTTCCCGCTAATGACCTTGCAAACAATTGCCAGGATTGTGGAACCATCCGGCGTATTATCTGATACAGACTTGACTGATATTTACACTTATATTATTGGCGGTGGTGAAAATGGGTAAGATTTGTGTATGCATTCATTCTGTTTACATACGTATGTACATGCATATTGAATCGTTTAAGTTTAAATAATCCTTGTGGCAGGAAACGGACTCCGAGATTTGTCACTCATTCAAGAAAAGTTAAATTTGTCAAGAATTCTGAACAACTTGAAGAAATTTTATCTTTCGCCAAACCCAACGATTTTATCAAACTCAATCCTGGAGAGTACACAACGGAGACGGGAATTAACATACCGGAGAAAGTCGTTCTGTCCGGGGCAGCCGATGGTACTTCTATTCTCAAGAGGGTTTATTCCGATAAATCTGGTCCAGCTGTCTTGATCGAGTCGAATGACGTTTACATATCAAACCTTCAAATTCTCTGTACTGCTATGAATCCATTCAAAGAGACAACCGAAGCTGAAGGATTGACTCTGCTCGGGTCACGGAATACAATAAAAAATATTTCATTCAAAAAATGTCAGCTGCATCTGATCGGTAAAGGTCGAAATAACAAAATCCGCGAAGTGACATGTGAGAAAGGAGAAATTGGAATCCAGATATCCGGCGAAGGGCAGGCTGAACCGTCTCAGAATTCCTTATCCGGCTTAAAACTGAAATCCCTTGACATTGGGGTCCTTATAAATGACACCGTCACTGGAACCAGGGTAGATGATATTCACTGCACAAATGTTAAGACGGGAATCGTGCTAAAATCAAATCACAACATCGTTTCTGGCGTGATGTACGTCTTTTCCAATGTGGCCGATGAGAAAGATCAAATTTGTGTCGAAATTTCTCAAGGAAATTACAATACGGTGAATAATATCATGTGCGAACCGAAGGTTAATGTTAAAAACACATTTTCCGTCAAGATTCTTACAACAGAGGGGTCGCAAACAACGAAAAATGTGGTCAGCGGCTGTGTGGGTGGTGCGGTCTATTTGGGGGGCGAATACAATACTTTGCATAATGTGGATGCCAGTGACGCAATGATAATTCGTGGAGAAGGCCATGAGCTAGAGAATTGTACGGCTAAACAGTGCTTAAAGATTAATTGTAGTGAAGTTGGGTTGATTGGGTGCAAATTTTCAAACATGACTTAAAATGCTATTTATTTTTATTTTATTGACTTGATTTTTATTTTGATACGAATCTATATGTAAATTATGACAGTCTTTCTTTTATTTTTCCGACTATAATTATGCTCACTGGTATACTATATAGTAGTGAAAAATTACTAAAGTACAATGACTAGAAGACGCTATGTAAAATATTTCTTATTGACAACAATTTGTTAACAAAATTACGAAATAAGTGTAAATTCTTTGCAATGTTTTGTATGTTGCGCTTAATGATAACCTTAAAATGTAAAGCACGATGCAAGTGCCTAAAGCAATTGCCTAAAACAATTAAAACTGCTCTTTTAGAGCAGTTTTAAGCACTTCGACTGGTACATATAATCACACAGCTTAAAATTCGTCTGTGAGCTTTAATTGATTACGAAATTATTTGTAATTTTTGCACAATAAATTATTTAACACCGGGATTACCTTCATCAGTTTTTGCAAGCAGCCACTGGATTTTGCACGAATAGGGATATAATAAATAGTTTTATGCATACGTGCGGAATGTAGTAATTATTTTCCACCAGGTATTCGTATAAGACAATGGGACGTGAATAATGCAAATTTATCTGCAATCATGACGGATTTGTTGAAATAAATATTTCTGACCCACCTTATTGTCCTGTCATAAATACATATATACATATCCAAGGATAACCTGGTTTTAAATACGTCATTGCATTCCCTAGTGATCCGTTAAGATAAAATATTTAGTCTGCATATCTGTACCATTTTTATTGCTTGCATAGACTTTCGTCATCATTGTATCATATAAAATGGGAACAATTTTGTATTAATTGGCACAGTTGTGTAAAATCAGACAAATTTCCTCGTACAAACTTTCTCTGCAAAAATGTTAAAATTCGTCGGTCTTATTGTTGCGCTCTGCGCCATAATTCAACAAGCCAACGCCGGAGTGGTGGATGCATTTAGGTGAGTAATTTTTCTGAGTGAAATAAGTAAAAAAAATCAGCTTGTCAGAAACTTCAGAAAATTCAGACATATGGAAATGTTAGAAATTTTGTAAAATAGTACAAACGGAATGAATTAACTGTAAATCTGTACTAATGAAACAAAAAAAATGAACTCAAAAGTTTCATTAAAATTTTAAAATTTCTAGATGTGGTGGATTAGCAACTCAACTACAGGTATAAACTTAACGTGATTGTGTTTATTACTGAAAAGTTAACCATTAATTGACAACTTATATATTAATTAACCATGTAGCTCAGAATTAGTGACTGCGATGGCTACTGTCGCCTCCAGCCAGGACAAATATACAATTGCGAGAATGACTTTATGCCAAGTAAGTTTCATGCATAACATCTAATTTACATGTTTAAACTATTTTTTACACCGTACTATCTAATTAATTTTAGGTTCTCCTTCTGCTTCGTTGTCACTTCGGATCGAAATTTGTATGAACGCCGGATTCTGTATCGTCATTATTGACACGGTTCTTCCCAACTCCTCCGTTCAGCCCGGATTCGTTTACACGGCCAAGTATTCAATTGTTCCAAACGTATGTAAACATCATAATATATGTATCATGTCTTATAAATTGTAAGTAAAATTTAATTGAGGATAAGTAATTGTTTAATATTATGTATGCGCAGGATATCCTGGCAGGAGAAACAGGTACAAAATGAGCCAAAAGTGCAAGTCTCTTTCGCATCGATTTCACCGAATTGCACATAAAAAATTACAAATTCAGTTTTGGGTGGGGGATCAATATAGCATAGCTGTTTTTGAATTTTATGCAACCACCCCCCTTCAAAAATCGGGAAAAGAAATTGTCAAAAATGAGAAGGTCAATGTACACTCGGTACAAAAAGAAATAGATACCAACTTGCATTTGACATTTGACTTCCCTCATGAGTATGAACATTTTGATGCATCAAGACTTTCAAAATTCGAAAATTGGCGGTTTTTTGACCTACATATAAATCGTTAAAAAAGTGACCTTAGCGGTCATTTTGCGGCTGACAACCTGATGCCAGATGCTTTCTGAAGGATCAGAAGTGTTACATTTTCAGCTTTTGTGGTCCGCTGCAAAGTGACCGCTACCATGACTTTTTTGGGGTCAAAGTTTCTGAGGGAGGGGCTTATACAGCAAGAGCCATAACAAGCTCTGGCCACTAATGAGTGCAGAGAGAGAGTAACAGAGTGAGAAAATGGATCGCGCATACGACCCTAACGCGTGCTGGTGGTGGATCAGACTATAATTCTAGCCCGGTCTCCCCTGTCCCTGGCCCGGGCTACTTGCATTACGAGATAGGCGGTAGCCCGGGCTAGAATTATAGTCTGGTGGATACCCACCGCCATCCACTTTTCTCGCTCTGTCTCAACTTCTCCTGCCAAATATGGAAAATGGTTTTATGGAACATTTGGTCTGGTTTTTATCAACAGTCGAATTCCGTGCCTATATAATGCACTCGGATGATCTCCATGTCGAAGTTTGCGTCGCTGCGGACGTTGATATCTTAGAACTTATCTAAATAATGAACGAAAAGAATAACTCTGTAGCTTCTTGTATTCCAAAATAAAGTGAACTTGTAAAAAAAATGTTTAATTTTGAACGAGACTTAATGAATTTCTTGGTCACATGGATATTTAATATGTATTACTTGTAAGTGGAAATAAACGAAAATTTCGTTACGAAATATTACTTGTAATAATTTGCATTAAATTTATTAAATATAATCAAAATTGAATCAATTTGCACAATCGGTTTGAAATTTCTACACAAATAGAATCCCATATTGTAATTTGGATTACATAATTCCTAACAAATTCAAATATCAGGTACGATTTCTCCACCATTTCCTTTTACTTCATCTCATCCCAAAGTTGCTTCCCACTTTTGCCCGTTAATTGTTTCCACACGGCGTCGGTATATTTACCTTCTCGCGCCAGCTTAAAAACTTTCTGCGCCACGTCAGGCTTCCCTCCAGTCGACTTGACGACATAGTTCATCCAGTACGCGCATTCCCTTGGGGACGCATTTTTAGGCCCTTTGGTCTTATCGGTGGTATCCGGCCTTTCCTTACTCTCGTCGGAGGTATCATGCAAATACATGTAGGCGTAGTTAACGAAGCATTTTTGCAACCATTTGTTAGCCATGTCATTCGGGAAGGACTCAATCGACCAGAATGACGATTCAAGGATCATGCGTTGGACGAAGGGGTTGATCGTGTCCTCCGCTCCGAGCCAGTGGGCAGTGTAAATATTGTCATGACTCGACATTCCATGACCATTGGTGTCTTCAGCTCGAAGTTCTAGGATGAACTTTAACTTTTGTGGGGGTGTGTAACCCGGATAAGCGAAATGGGCGGACATTTTGTCGTAATAGGAGGCAATTGAGGTGCGGAGGTCTTCGACGCAGCAGGATTCATATTTTGCCGCGGCGGTGGCGTCGATTTCAATTTCGACTCCTGGAAATATTTAGAATAGAATTAGTACGTAGTCTAGAATTTTTCTGGCTGGTCACCTCATTTGCATATCTTGACGCATTCAATAGCGAGAGAAAGTTAAGGAAAGCCCGTATCCCAGCAAATTGGCATAGTGAAAATTATTGCATACAAAAGAGGCGACCAGAAGCAATATTCCTATTAAATACAGATATAACTATTTTTTCAGAAATATTATGGTTTTTTATCTAATTGATTACCATTGACTTGGAGTAGAAATTGGAGAGAGAGGAGGATGAGACTGTAGCTAAACATGTTTTAATTGAGTGTTTGTCGAGTGATAATGTTGAGTGAAATATTGGCTGGCTTTTATACGGGAGAAGGGTTAATTAAGAGAACCGCAAATTGAGCAGTTAAGTAAGCACAATAATTAATAATTTCGAAGAATATTTGGAATACATAAAAAATGATTCATACAATTTTGTAATTGTGCTAATGGGCACGTGTGTCGTTAGGACTGATGCTTCAATGGGGTTAAAGGCTGTTTGAAACAAGTGGTTATGGAATAGGAATTACATATCTTAATTTACAAAGTGTACATGTACATATGTATGTATATGTACATACATATTTACAGTTGTTTCATTGAAATTGCATAATTTAATGTGAAATTTTAATAGGAAATTTGAGGTTTAAATAGAAATTAATTACATATGTACATATGTGCATGCGTACAGATGTAAATATATATATACACATATACATACTATCTATAAATACTATGTATTACATAGTATTTAAAATATTGTGCATAGTTGCTAAAAATAATTAAATAAATTGACCCGTTTTGGCACCTGCTCGTTTATATAAGTATGTAAAAATCTATGGGGAATTTGCAATGATTAACGTACCTACATATGTGCTTCCTTAGAATTTTATAATTATCTACGTTTACTCGAACCAGGCTACATTCAGGTATTTGTTGTTTAATGAATTAAACAGTTTCCTTTGCAAACGTTTATATCGGACTTGGAGGAATCGGAACTCATACTTACAAACACACCTGAAGATTATCGTATGTAAATTCTATAAGCATATATGGATTTGCATACCTCCATTGGCATATAATATATTAATGAATGTTAAAACAAGAATTTGTCTACAACGTAAATGTTGAATGCCTTGATGTATGTAAATAAGTACTAAATTACCCTGAATTAAAGCATTAAAGCAAACAGAATGACAAAATATTGTATGCACAATTTTTTACTCCAAATTTACTAAATATCTATCTTATAAGCTGGAAATGTTTGTTGGCAACGGAAGTGAAAGTAATTTTCCGTGACGGAAGTGAAAGTGGAGAAAGTGATTTGCATATCAACTGTTTTGGAAGGTTGATAAGTCAGTTATCCAGGATTTGCTGGTTAGCTTATCAGGAAGGGAAGTTAACGGTAATTATTAAGTGCGGTTGTCGCTCTGCTGGGGGGAATAATTGGTTGTATCCATTTTGGCTATGGTTATCGCTCTGCTGGGGGGAGAGGATGGGTGTGCCCCCTGGGATATGGTTATCGCTCTTCTGGGGAGTGGGAGGGCGTGCCCCCCTGGGATGTGGTTACCGCTCTGCTGGGGGGAGTGGGAGGGTGTGCCCCCCTGGGATAGGGTTACCGCTCTGCTGGGGGAGTAGGATGACGTTCCCCCTTATATATGGTTACCGACGTTCCGTTCAGGTCCATTCATTCAGGCTCGTTTCCAAACCAGTGTTATGGCTAAATGATGGAAGGGAGAACGGATTCCGTTCCCTTGATGGGTACCCCATATTTACATTGGATTGTTTAAATTACAAGATAGATTTACTTAGCTTACACATAAGGGAATGGGATTACCTTCCTCTTCCATTCCCGTTGGATATACTTCAGGCGAAGTAGTGAAATCTTCGCATCAAGGAAAGGGAAAGGGAATGGATTTCCCTTCCCTTTGGATATACTTCAGATGAAGTAGTGAAATCTTCACATCAAGGGAAGGGAAAGGGAATGGATTTCCCTTCGCTTTGGATACACTTCAGATGAAGTAGTGAAATCTTCACATCAAGGGAAGGGAAAGGGAATGGATTTCCCTTCGCTTTGGATACACTTCAGATGAAGTAGTGAAATCTTCACATCAAGGGAAGGGAAAGGGAATGGATTTCCCTTCGCTTTGGATACACTTCAGATGAAGTAGTGAAATCTTCACATCAAGGGAAGGGAAAGGGAAAGGGAATGGATTTCCCTTCGCTTTGGATACACTTCAGATGAAGTAGTGAAATCTTCACATCAAGGGAAGGGAAAGGGAAAGGGAATGGATTTCCCTTCGCTTTGGATACACTTCAGATGAAGTAGTGAAATCTTCACATCAAGGGAAGGGAAAGGGAATGGATTTCCCTTCGCTTTGGATACACTTCAGATGAAGTAGTGAAATCTTCACATCAATGGAAGGGAAAGGGAATGGATTTCCCTTCCCTTTGGATACACTTCAGATGAAGTAGTGAAATCTTCACATCAAGGGAAGGGAAGGGGAATGGATTCCGTTCCTTTCATTTGTGGAATAAAGTTACCGCAATGCGCTATGCTGGAAGTAATTGAGGGGTGCCCGACATTAGCTGGGGTTTGTCTATCGAAGGATGTTACACCCCCAGTGTTGCGTGATCTGTTGGTGGGGTCACTCACCAATAAATGACTCAGCTATTTAATATTTTTTCAAGACTCCTTTGCAGGTCTCACTGCAGTTTCACATAAAGAGCATGTCCGCTATCAACACCAGAAAAAATATGCAGTAGCCGCAGAAGGGTGGGTGGGGACAGAGGGACAATGTCCTCATGGTTATTCGATGTTCCTATCGGCTGCCCATGTTATACACAATTCCTTCATGTGCAGTCAACGTACATTAAAGATATGGAATCAATTCCCTTCATGCAGACCTCCGATGAATTAGTCAAATCTTCTATTGAACAGATTTTGAACGCTGAGCATGAATATGTATGATATCATACGCACTTTCACATGCCACACACCAGTGACGGTGTTGACCAAGTCAAAGGTCACATATGAACACACGTCAAACATATCTATGTCAGATTTTGAACCGGGTATAACAATATGATACTCATTTTGCTTTAATTCATAGGATCCATTCGTTTTGACCGTATATTTACGATCACATAGTATGGCGTGAGAATTGTTTAGATTTCTTGAATATTTTAGTTTTCCTATTGAGGTTCAGCGAGGTCAACCGAATGGATTTGATTTGAATTTCAGCCCGCCGCATGTTAATAAAATGGGCCCGTGATTTTGTCGCGTAGAAACTCTGTGCGGTTGACTTCGATGCACTGTAACATTAATCTCCATCAACTAATATCATCACTTTCACGTTCATTACAAAGTCCTTTGACTTACGTCGGCGACAAAGAATTTCAGCTTATAATATAGATTAAAATATTTAATTGGTTAGTGTTTTGCAAAATTCCACTTAATTTTCATGAAAATCAAATAAGCTCTCGCCCGGCGGGAGACGGGCTTATACGCTAGTTTATACAGTTACTCAAATTATTGATGGCACCATTCACAGGCATGACACAAACCCTAGTGTTTTCGCGTTCTGGGAATATGTCATTATTGGGAAATATATCGATTCGAAAGGAAATTTAATGAGGATTTCAAAAATTAAAGCAGTTTATCGCTAACTGTAACGGTTTTCAAGATATTTTAAATAGAGCCATTAAACTTCCAAAATGCATGCAAAATAATTAAAGGCACCATGCTAATTTTTTATTGAAATATACTTGTAAATTTGTATCACTACTTTGTGATGCCCCCTATTGCACCAATTACTGTTTGAATGTGACATGAAATAGAATCCACCAAGGTTTTGACCACTTCCGGTCCTAGATTACCCCATTTCTTGCTGATGATCACTTGTAACTAATTTTTTGGTTTTGGAGTGCTGTTAAAAATTCTTTGCTCCAATTGGGCCCATCAAAAGTCGATGTGGTTTAGTCCTGGACATTGGGCTACCCAATAAAGAACGTTGATCCTAGTTTCCTCGAAGTACCGCTTGATGATATTCGCGGAATGCTGGAGGTACCCATACTGTTGGAAGGCAAAGTTATCCCCAAGACGCCGATATCTGAATAAAGTTATCAAATTGTGCCACAAAATGGTCTTCTGTACTTCTTCAATGATAATTTTAACAGTCAAGTGCGATGTTTCAACTTAACCCAATGGTTAAGGGCCCAAAATCATGACATTTCCGCCACCATGATTCACTGTCTTCCTCATGCGATGCGATTTCAGGGCTTCCCAAGGTTTCTACTAGGTTTTTACAGTCCCATCGGACCCAAATAGGTTAAATATGCTATAATCACTCTAAGTAACTCGTTTACAGTCGTTGATAGTCCAACAACTGGTTGCCTTTGCCCATACGAGGTGATCCTTCATATTCTGAATACAGATGAATGGTTTCTTCGGCGCCACTTGGCGTTTAAATACAATTTCTCGAATTTTGTTGCAATTGGTTTGAGGTGTAAAATGTACTTTGAATTGTTGGTGAACTTCAGAAGTGATTTCGGGACAGAAAGTCCTCGGTGGGTCAAAATTTTACGGACTATATTTGGACGATTCCTCCCAATGGTCGTCCATTTCGGTTCCCGGCCGCGTAAATTCCCCTCTGTTCTGGTTTCCTTCCATTTTCTAACTGTGTATCGCAAAATACACTTCGAAAACTTGGTTTTGGAGCACTTCTTAGAGAATCCTAACCCTTTCTCGCGGACAGCGATGATATTTTTTCGTTGCTCAATCGTCAAGTCAGTCCTAACAATTGTAGTCGACCTTGTCAATATTCGTAATTGTCAAATTGCATTTGGCACATTTAAAAGCAATGGCAACTCAAACTTACATCATGATTTTTAGCTTGGAGTTTGTAGACCAACAGCAATGTCGAAAAATGATAAAGGTGCCTTCAATTATTTTGCATGCATTTTGGAAGTTTAATGGCTCTATTTAAAATATCTTGCAAACCGTTACAGTTAGCGATAAACTGCTTTGATTTTTGAAATCCCCATTAAATTTCCTGTAGGATCGATGTATTTCACAATAATGACACATTTCCAGAATGCAAAGACACTACGGTTTGTGTCACGACTTGGAATGGTGCCATCAATAATTTGAGTAACTGTATATATGCGCCTAAACAAATTCCTGGTTTACCAAATCCTGTCCAAGGTCTATTTAGACAAGGTTATTGTCATGTTTTAAATAAAGGGTGCATGCAGATGACACGCAAGACATTCCACAAAAATGTGACCCAGATATCACGACATTCCATCATCTAATCGTGTTTAGTGACGGCCAAGAGCTCTGATGGGTTATCATCACGAGATGATTATTTCAGTCATGGAGTTCATACATACATAAGTACTTATCACTCCACATACTGATACTCGTCATATCTATTGTCCGTATAAAGTGACGGTCATAACAGGATCATGCAGGGTAATACAGATTTAAGCTTTGGTAGTTATCTATTGTGTTGACAAAATGACAGGTAAAATATTTTTATTTATTTTTATTGTATATTTTTTTACAGAGGGTGTACCACTTATTTTGAGAAGACTTCAACTATTTTTCGCATCCACATATGATTTGTTTTAGGTGACTAACTTCCTCTATGTGATGTCCCTTATTCTAGTCAACAAGTCTGCAGCGCTCATTGATTAATGAAAACAGTTTCTTACACTTTTTAAGGCTTATTTTTAACCACTCGTCCAAAAAACTTTTCCAAAGCCCATATAAAGTCGTAATTAATTTGTACATTTTCTCTACGACGCGCAGCAAATTGACCTTCTCCCGTTACGGTCATCTACCCTGGACAAAGCATCGTCGATTGTGACCACCTATTCGTCTGCACCTCCAGCAGGGTAGTTCTCTTAGCGCTTTTTAGCGTTGAAACTTGCGATTAGCGAAATGACGCTGGTTCAACGCATGCAGTTTTGTCTTCGTCCGTTTGATTTTGTCCCAGTCTTTTTTCATGACTCTTTGAATAGTTGTGGGATTCGGTTTTAGTAGTTTCGCCATACTGCGAATGCTCTTTGGGATTTCCTGGTCGATCAAACGGTTGAGCTTCGTTATTAGCTTTTTCGACCGATTTACTAGGGGGCGGTTTATAGGGGGAGGAGGCAGTCCATGATTAATGACTCGTCTTCTAACACCTGCTACATTTATTATTCTATAAATTGAGGCCAAAGAACTTTCATTCCCACGTGAATTCCGCCTTTTTTATCACATTTCCGGTGAAATTCTGACTGCAAAACTTTTTCAGTGTGCCTCAACTTAAAATGCTCATGGTGGAGCCATTTTTCAGAATTTAGAGTAGAAAAAAATCAGAGTCTTATCTAATTGGTTTGTCAATCAAACAGTTTAGGCCGGGTTTGCGTAAATTGTGCCAGTTTTTTCGCGCGAGCGTTTGAAAATTTCTCATATTAAGTGGTACATGCTTAGTAGTTAAGGTTACTATTTGTCTGAAAACTAGCTCCAACCAGGGATGAAATGCTGGCCCTCTTGGACGAAATGGCACCACAAGATTCGTCCAAAACACCAGGATTTGAATACGTCCAAGATAATCCGGACGATACAAAAATCCTCCATTTGTCAGCTCCATCGCTTGTCACGTTGTCCAATAAAATCCGACACCAGCAATAATATGGATAAGAACACTGACGAAATTCAAGTAAAAAGAAACACAAAATTCCGACAAGCGTTCCTCTACCAAAATTTATCCGACCTTGCTCTGACGACTCAAAAATGGCTAAAAACCTACCAACAAAGTAAGGTCGCTCCTACCACCGGGAAAAAATCGAAGCTCTGCTTCATCATTACCTGTCAAGGGACGCATTATCCCTCCATGGGGCAGAAACTGTACTCCTATTCTCCCCTATTTCGACAGCATTTCGACACCTGTGCCAAAATTGTGAAAACCCAGTACGACGTGGACATCAAGCAATTTCTCGAGGATCTTTCCGAGTCGCCAGACTGGATGAATTTTCCTCGTAACTTTCTCCCTTATCTGCTCGCCGTTCAATACGGCCTGTTCAAACAGTGGGAGGCTTGGGGGATTGTGCCCGATTACGTGTTGGGTCTCTCATTCGGAGAATACGGGGCTGCAGCCATGGCTGGAATTTTAACGCTTGAAGAAGCCTTTAAACTGATCATGACGAGGGTGGAGCTCATGACCAAGTTTATCAAGGAGGAAGCAATGTGTGTCGGAATGATGGATAGGAAAACGATGGAAAAACTGCTGGAAGAAGCCAAACAAGAAGTTGGGGAGGATATAAAATTGGAAATTGCTGCACTAAATAGTCCCCTGCAAACATGTCTAGTAGGAAGTATGAAATGGGCGTCGTATTTTGCAGGTAATATTAAAATTAGCTAGGGTTGGCCCGGGTACCGGTTATTTACCCGGTACCCGGCGTACCCGGTCTGCTTTGGGATACCCGGTACCCGGCCGGGTATACTTAAGTACCAGGTCTACCCGGCCGGGTAATTTAAATATGGAATTTTCTTACTTCGAAAGCAAAACCTTACCAAAAAATTAAAATCCGATGGATTTCCTGTTTAGAATTGGTATGAAATAATATATATGGAAAGAATAGGTACAAACTTGGCCAACACTTACGTGGAAATTTAGGGTTGCCCCGGGTAGTGGTAATACCCGGTACCCGGCTACCCGGTACTCGGCCTAAGATTTTCGCCGGGTACCCGGCTACCCGGCCGGGTACCGGGTAGTATTTGTATATTAAAAATAACGGGAATTTTTCTAGTTTTTTTCTAGAATTTGCAACATTTTTTGTTAAAAATTGCAAGTTAAACAGTGCAGACTTCATTTTCCCCGAGTAAGTTTGAGTCCGATTCTAAATTTGTCTCCTAATTCACCAGACTATCACCCCTTGTGGCTTGTCGAATATTTTTTTTAAATATTACCTAGTACTTGCCTCCCAATTTTTAATGTATTTAGTAATCCTTCGCCTTGACTGCCACTGCCAGGACAAGTGAAGCTCGCTTCTTTCTGTGCCTCTTTATTAACTTACGGGCATGGCGGTTCCATAAGACATGATTCGGGCTAAACAGTGAGTATTACATATGTAAATGAACGCATCATGTGGGACATGCAAAGGGCGTACTCACGATCATGTCTTATTTATCATCGAAATAATTTAGCAAACTTGTCAGGCTCAGAAAATTTGTCTCTTGAAGGAATTCGAACCCCTTCACGACTAAGGACGTCTATTTTGATCTAGGTTTAATAGATTTTCCAAATTTGTTTCGCTGAAGATGACGAGGATGAGTTTGCGAAATAATCTTGAAAAAAGACAATGTCTTTCTAGCGAAAACTTTGAGAAATCTTGGAAATTTCCCAAAGCTTCGTAAGTCATGCTTAATGTGCCAGATATGCAAATTGCCTGATTGCAAATTGGTTGACGTAAGTGCGCTCAAAGTAATTTAAAAATTTGTATGATAATTTGAAATTATCATAAATTAATTTGAAATTATCATACAAATTTTTAAATTACTTTGAGCGCACTTACGTCAACCAATTTGCAATCAGGCAATTTGCATATCTGGCACATTAAGCATGACTTACGAAGCTTTGGGAAATTTCCAAGATTTCTCAAAGTTTTCGCTAGAAAGACATTGTCTTTTTTCAAGATTATTTCGCAAACTCATCCTCGTCATCTTCAGCGAAACAAATTTGGAAAATCTATTAAACCTAGATCAAAATAGACGTCCTTAGTCGTGAAGGGGTTCGAATTCCTTCAAGAGACAAATTTTCTGAGCCTGACAAGTTTGCTAAATTATTTCGATGATAAATAAGACATGATCGTGAGTACGCCCTTTGCATGTCCCACATGATGCGTTCATTTACATATGTAATACTCACTGTTTAGCCCGAATCATGTCTTATGGAACCGCCATGCCCGTAAGTTAATAAAGAGGCACAGAAAGAAGCGAGCTTCACTTGTCCTGGCAGTGGCAGTCAAGGCGAAGGATTACTAAATACATTAAAAATTGGGAGGCAAGTACTAGGTAATATTTAAAAAAAATATTCGACAAGCCACAAGGGGTGATAGTCTGGTGAATTAGGAGACAAATTTAGAATCGGACTCAAACTTACTCGGGGAAAATGAAGTCTGCACTGTTTAACTTGCAATTTTTAACAAAAAATGTTGCAAATTCTAGAAAAAAACTAGAAAAATTCCCGTTATTTTTAATATACAAATACTACCCGGTACCCGGCCGGGTAGCCGGGTACCCGGCGAAAATCTTAGGCCGAGTACCGGGTAGCCGGGTACCGGGTATTACCACTACCCAGGGCAACCCTAACATTAGCATCGTTTGTAGTTCTCCGACTTCCGCAAATTATATAATTCTCAAAAATATACTCTGATTTTAGAAGTATGTACAAAGAACGGGATAAAAAACCACCTTGTCCCGCATCATCCGTACCACTCCTCCTTAACGGAACCGATTCTACCCGAATTTCTCAAGACGACAAGCTCCGTGAAGTATGAGAAGGCGAAATGCAAATTTATTTCCACGGTCGACTGCAAACTGAAGGGGACATTGGACTCCACATATTTTCTCGACCACTTGAAGAATGCAGCAAATTTTATGGGAGGAATTGAGACCGCGTTGGGGGAGGGGATCACCCATTTCTTGGAGATTGGACCACACCCTATTCAGCTACAGATGATCAGGGATAGTTTGGACAATAACGACCCCACGTGGAGGGAGAAGGATTACATGTTCTTTACTTCCTTGAGGAGAAAGTTGGACGACAAGGTGTGTCTGTTGGATACACTGGGAAGATTGTATGCGATTGGGCATGATGTGGATTGGAAAGAGGTGGAGAAAGTATTCCCGGCTTGATTTGCACGAATAATACTTAGATAATTCCAAGATTTAGCGTATTGAAAGATGTGTGTATATTGGACACACATATTATCCACAAGAATCCAGCTACATATGTAGTTTTATTTTAAAAAAAAATCTATGTATGCAAAGAATTTCAGCCAATTTTACGACATTCATTAATTGTGATGGCAAATAAAGCAAAGAAGGGTTAAAGAGAATAAAGTTTTTAGATATGTAAATACGTCGATTTCTTTAATAAATTCTTGAATAGTTAAACATTTAACAATTAAATTATGCTGCTAGTCACTCTTAGTGACTCTGCCGTGACAAATTCAGTTACATACATAATCACAATGCTACCAAAAAATCCTGTCGCTGACTGGTTCCTCCATAATTCTTATCTGAGGGACATTTACACTACCGAGTTTCTCTCTCGGTAGATAATTAAGAAACTGGACACTATTTTTTGCATGCTTAAAATAGAACAATGTCACATTTGTGGGTTCTTTAACTCGGAGAAATTGTCTCAATTTTTTCCAAACGGATTTGATTGTGCTGGTCATTTTTTGTCCTGTGGTCCTGCCTGACCGTGTCTGACAATAAAGTCGCAATGTGAAGAAATATAGAATCTCCAATATGCTGAGGACGCTGAAACCCATGCAAAGGCCGAGAAGACCACCCGTGTTGGCTAATATACAATTAATTCGAATTAATTGTAATTCAAATTAAGGTTGTGATCTTATGCGTGTAACGTCTTACAAAGTAAATCGATGAATCCATACAGCCCTTTTCTCTGCCTCGGGTGTGTATTGTCCGCCAAATAGTGGGCGTGGAGTATGGACACTTTTTTACCAACCCTATCACAAACAGTTTGTACAATTATAACTATTTGTATGTAACTATTTATATTCTGGAGTATTCATTAACAGTTCGGGTCGTTATTAAGAATCAAGCTTGCAACAAAAACTCGCAAAAATTTTTCATGAAAATAATATTGCAGAATTGCTACTATTAGTTGTGACATAATGAGGGTATTCATTTCGATTTCGCATCGTTAGCAACGTTCGCAAAAAAATAAAGTTCGCAAGTTCACAAAAAAAATTGGCTTGAAAATCAACTTGCGAACTTGCGCTTCTCCAAGGCTAGTATTTAGTTCGCAAAATATTTTTAACAAATTTTTCAGTGGGAAAAGTCCACAAATCTCCATTAGTTACCGAAGGCCTTTTGAAATATTTTATAAAATTTCTTATTTGGTAAATTTTAGGCGCAAAACTTCGGTAACTAATGGTAATTTGCGAATTTTTCTCACTACAAAATTCGAGATATTTAAATAAAATTTTCATTTGCGAAGTGTCTTCACTTCGTTGCTGCGCAAAGTTCGCAATTTCAAAAAAGTTATGCTGCGATGCGAACATGCGAACTCGTAATGAATACCCTCAATGTACATGTGGTAGATAATTTCCAAAAAAATTATGGCTTTGCAAAAAAAATAAGTGCACCTGCCAACTCATAATGAATACCCCGAATATGTTTTTATTGTAGTAAATATGAACGAACCCTTCTATTTTTTTAATCTGACTTAACATTAATGGATTAATTGAACCTTTACCGAACCAGCACTAAGGCTGCCATGTTCGGAATTTTTAAATCCGGATTTCCGATAATTCACTGTTATTATCGATTTCCTTGAAATTTTAACGAGTCAGGTAAGTGTCAGATGGTTGGCAACTATTAGTTTCATTATTAGATATATTCACTTGCAATCCCGTCGAATATTTTGTCGAATATTTTCTAACATTTTCTGTCTTTACTTTCTGTCATGTCTTTACTTTCTGGGAGTATTTTTCAAATGATGGAATGAAAAATATGACATTTCAGAAATTTGAGTTTGTTGTCTGATATAAAGCAACAACTAAGGATGAATAATATCCAATAAAACAATCCTTTTTAAATCAATTTTTCCACCGTATACCACCGTTGGTACGCTACTGCCGTATGTCATGGGACACAGTGTCCATATAACATGGGTGTCGTCCACCTCCACAGTGTCAGTGTCAGGTCAGCCACTGTGGCCGAGTGTCGGTGGACACAATGTCAGTGTCACTGATTTTGTCCGAGTCCGAGTGTCAGTGGACAAAGTGTCAGTAAGTGTCCTGGCTAAATAGTATTTAGCCAGGATTATTGCCATGTTTTAAACAAAGGGTGCATGCAGAAGACACTCTGCAAAAATGTGACCCAGATATCGTGACATTCCATCATCTCCTCGTGTTTAGTGACGGGCAAGAGCTCGTGATGGGTTATCATCACGAGAATTTTGTGATTATTTCAGTCATGGGGTTCATAAATACATAAGCACTTATCGCTTCACATACTGATACTCATCAGACAGATGTATTGACGGTATAAATTGACGGTCATAACAGGATCATGCAGGGTAATACAGATTTAAACTTTGGTAGTAATCTATTGTGTTGACAAGATGACAGGTACAAATACTTTTTTCGAATTAAAAAAAAATATTTTGCTAAAAATTAAGGTTGTTATTTGTTTGAAAACTATGTAGATCCAACCAGGGATGAAATGCTGGCCCTCTTGGACGAAATGGCACCGCAAGATTCGTCCAAAACACCAGGATTTGAATACGTCCAAGATAATCCGGACGATACCAAAATCCTGCATTTGTCAGCTCCATCGCTTGTCACGTTGTCCAATAAAATTCGAGGAGTCGTTGACACCAATAATAATAAGCAGATTGACGAAATTCCAATAAAAAGAAACACAAAATTTCGACAAGCATTCCTCTACCAAAATGTATCCGACCTTGCTTTGACGACTCAAAAATGGTTAAAAACCTACCAGCAAAGTACGATCGGTCCCTCCACTGAGAAAAAATCGAAGCTCTGCTTCATCATTACCTGTCAAGGGACGCATTATCCCTCCATGGGGCTAAAACTGTACTCTTACTCCTCCCTATTTCGACAGCATTTCAATACCTGTGCCAAAATTGTGAAAACCGAGTATGACGTGGACATCAAGCAATTTCTCGAGGATCGTTCCGAGTCGCCAGACTGGATGAATTTTCCTCGAAAGTTTCTCCCTTATCTGCTTGCCGTTCAATACGGCCTATTCAAACAATGGGAGGCTTGGGGAATTGTGCCCGACTATGTTTTGGGCCTCTCATTCGGAGAATACGGGGCTGCAGCCATGGCTGGAATTTTAACGCTTGAAGAAGCTTTCAAACTGATCATGACGAGGGTGGAGCTCATGACCAAGTTTATCAAGGAGGAAGCAATGTGTGTCGGGATGATGGATAGGAAAACGATGGAAAAAATGCTAGAGGAGGCCAAGAAGGAAGTCGGGGAGGATATAAAACTGGAAATTGCAGGGTTAAATAGTCCCCTTCAAACGTGCCTGGTAGGGAGCATGAAATGGGCGTCGTATTTTGCAGGTAAAAATAAAATTAACATCGTTTGAAATTATCGCAAATTATAGAATTCTCGAAAATTTACCCTGATTTCAGAAATATGTACAAAGAATGGGATAAAAAGCCATCTCGTCCCGTATCATCCGTACCACTCCTCCTTAACGGAACCGATTCTACCCGAATTTCTCAAGACGACAAGCTCCGTGAAGTATGAGAAGGCGAAATGCAAATTTATTTCTACGGTCGACTGCAAACTGAAGGGGACATTGGACTCCACATATTTTCTTGATCACTTAAAGAACGCAGCAAACTTTATGGGTGGAATTGAGACGGCGTTGGGGGAGGGGATCACCCATTTCTTGGAGATTGGACCACACCCCATTCAGCTACAGATGATCAGGGATATTTTGGACAATAATGACCCCACATATAAAGAGAAGGACTACATGTTCTTTACTTCCTTGAGGAGAATGTTGGACGACAAGGTGTGTTTGTTGGATACACTGGGACGATTGTATTCGATTGGGCATGATGTAGACTGGAAAGAGGTGGAAAAAGTATTCCCAGCTTGATTTGCATAATCCGTAATTCCATAATTGGTAACGTATTGAAATGTGTATGTTGGACACAAATACATTATGCACAAACCTCCAGCTAGTTTTAATTGGAGATAAATTCTATGCATAAGAATTTCTGTTACTTAATTTTGTGTCATTCATTATGTGTGATGGCAAATAACGTAAAGAAGGATTGAAGAGAATTAAATCGATAAATATATTTCTGTAATTAAGTCTTGGATAGTTAAACATTCATCAATGAAACCAAGCAACTACTCACTCTTAACTACGCTGTCGCTAATTTCACTACCAAAAAATCCTGTCGCTGACTGGTTCCTCCATAATTCTTATCTGAGGGACATTTACACTACCGAGTTTCTCTCTCGGTAGATAATTAAGAAACTGGACACTATTTTTTGCATGCTTAAAATAGAACAATGTCACATTTGTGGGTTCTTTAACTCGGAGAAATTGTCTCAATTTTTTCCAAACGGATTTGATTGTGCTGGTCATTTTTTGTCCTGTGGTCCTGCCTGACCGTGTCTGACAATAAAGTCGCAATGTGAAGAAATATAGAATCTCCAATATGCTGAGGACGCTGAAACCCATGCAAAGGCCGAGAAGACCACCCGTGTTGGCTAATATACAATTAATTCGAATTAATTGTAATTCAAATTAAGGTTGTGATCTTATGCGTGTAACGTCTTACAAAGTAAATCGATGAATCCATACAGCCCTTTTCTCTGCCTCGGGTGTGTATTGTCCGCCAAATAGTGGGCGTGGAGTATGGACACTTTTTTACCAACCCTATCACAAACAGTTTGTACAATTATAACTATTTGTATGTAACTATTTATATTCTGGAGTATTCATTAACAGTTCGGGTCGTTATTAAGAATCAAGCTTGCAACAAAAACTCGCAAAAATTTACATGAAATTTATATTCGAACTTGCAGAATTGCGGTTAGTTGTTACATACGTATGTATGTATCTAGTTAGCAAGTTATGCGAATAAGCCAACTCTTAATGAATACCCCGAATATACGAGGTGTAATGTTTTATAGTGTAAAAACTGACCAAGATGCATTCGACTAGCTTCAGAAAAACCGGTACATGGTGTTGGACGAGTTGTCGCAAAACTCAAAACGCTCTTACACGTGTCCAATATAATCAAAAATTAAGGTATACATGTTCGCGCGTTTTTTCTCAATGTGCCCCAATTTTTTTATATCACCCCAAATACTGGAAAAAATCATTGTGACGCTTCTGGTATGCTGATTTCTGCCAAACTTGGCAAGCTTTCCTTATTTGGGATCGCCCACAGTGCCTGAGAGAATTGGCCCCCTAGGTTGAAATTTATAATGCCAATTACCTGACAATTTTGACAATTTTTTTCGTTTTTTCGACATATTTTCCTAGTTTATGGAATGGTATCCTTCTAGCTTCATATCTCTACAGAAACCCTATATTCTGCTTCGAATACCGTTTACCCTAACCTGATAGCGAAACTATTAAGGGTACTTTGTAGGGAGATCGATTTTCATACATGTTCCACCGAAATACCAATAATGCTAATTCTTTCCATTAGTATCAGTCCCACCTACCCCAATTTAGCGTAGTAGTAATGAGTTTTATTTTTCCAGGTATACAGCTGTTAACACTGGAGCAGATTGAGAGCTAACATAGCAGTAGATTGATGAAAACTCAATTATATTTCTCTGTCTCTAAATTATTAGGGGGTGGTCCCAGACCCCACAAAGTATATATATTCTGAATCCTCTCACCGAGACCTTTCCAACGATACCCCACTTATGGGGTTATGTGAGACTTGATCTCCCGACAACTTCCCCCACCCCCTGAACATAGGTCAAACAGGTCGATTTCGACCTTTTTTGCAATCAACAATTGTTCGACTACTAAATATGTAGAAGATGTCAAAAATTGGGGTAGGTGGGACTGATACTAATGGAAAGAATTAGCATTATTGGTATTTCGGTGGAACATGTATGAAAATCGATCTCCCTACAAAGTACCCTTAATAGTTTCGCTATCAGGTTAGGGTAAACGGTATTCGAAGCAGAATATAGGGTTTCTGTAGAGATATGAAGCTAGAAGGATACCATTCCATAAACTAGGAAAATATGTCGAAAAAACGAAAAAAATTGTCAAAATTGTCAGGTAATTGGCATTATAAATTTCAACCTAGGGGGCCAATTCTCTCAGGCACTGTGGGCGATCCCAAATAAGGAAAGCTTGCCAAGTTTGGCAGAAATCAGCATACCAGAAGCGTCACAATGATTTTTTCCAGTATTTGGGGTGATATAAAAAAATTGGGGCACATTGAGAAAAAACGCGCGAACATGTATACCTTAATTTTTGATTATATTGGACACGTGTAAGAGCGTTTTGAGTTTTGCGACAACTCGTCCAACACCATGTACCGGTTTTTCTGAAGCTAGTCATTCGTCCTATTTGTATACTCCCAAAGTGGAATATCGTCCCGGATGGGCATGAAACTTGTGCTCATTTTGAACTGCAAAATATCGGACGCGTTATTAATTTACTCAATAATTAATAAAACTCATAAAAAATAGTTCTACCTCGATGTCAGTGCAGGTGGGTAAGCACATTTTACACCTGTCTTGCAATCCCTCCTGTAAAATTTTCTCTAAAGACAAAGACAAACAAGATTTCCGCATTACTAAAAATAATTTTGCAAACGGTGCTAAAAGATTATCTAAAATTGCATGACGCAACTTATAAAATAAAATGAAAATTGAAAAAGTTTGATTACTTAGAATCTCCTCCGAGCAAGAGTACTTCCTTACTCCACAAATTAGTTGACCTTCGCTCCCTATAAAAATGTCATGTTAAAATGGTCAATTATAAAATTGAAATGTTCATGTATTTTACTTGGCATGTAGTAACGAGTGCATTGACACTCGTTAAATGTTAAGTTTGCAATGCATTCGTTTTCGCAGTTCGATACGGTGTAGTATTTAAAGTATTTGAGGGAGAATTCCAAGTCTAGTGATTCCCAGTCTTCAATTCTGGTCGTCTCGGGGATCATTTCTTAAAAAAAACAATTGCAAAATAAGTCAAGCAATACGGATTTATAAATAAGTTAGATTTATTTACCTGAGATTCATCAACAAGGATATCGGGACCATATTAAAGACGCAACAAAAACCAAAATCAGTCTCAATTTCGTCGAATAAATCACTACATTTCTCAACCTCTCCTTCCCACAGACAAAGAAGGATCATCTCGTCGCATGTTTGGGCAGCCTGGAAAACATTGAGGGTATTCAAAAAGTTCGAAAAAATGAAAATTCATTTACGAACGTGCGCATTTTCAAAGCTAGTATTTCGCATTTTTTAAATGCTGCGATGAGAACTCGCAATGAATGCCCCTATTTATTTCTTTATCTTTGATTAGATTGTCACCACAATATATTTGTATTGCTTGCTTACGTCTCTCAAAAGCTGAACAACACCTTGACCCGAGGTTGACCCAAAGGAAAGATTTCTACTCGTTTTGTATTCCATGACCTGGTCGAAAATGTCCTTTCGCACGGCGCCCTCATAGAGGGAAAGGTTGAAGAAATCGGTAAATGTTAAGGTTGAGTTGCAGATGTGATTTAACAAATAAAGATCATAATTTGCGCTACGATTCATCGGACTTTCCATTACTCGTCTGCAAAATATTGCATACAAATTTTTAATTTAATTAATTTATAAGTCATTTCATTTTGACTGACTTTTCAAACTCGGCGGCCACCGGTTTCTGGACCTTGTTCGTGTTGCAAATAGTAATTGCGGGAAACGGTAAGCGATTGATTCTCGTATCTTTTGGCTGGAAGACTATAATGACCGGGGTGAGGCGGTACTTTTGCCAGATTTGGAGGATCAAAACGGTCGCAAATCCGACCGACATGATAAACGCGAGGCACCAGAATAATCTAAACAAAACTTAGTCAATTTGCATCGTCGGCAGGTTTCTTTTCAAAATTGATGTAATTTATGTGTACCTTTCCACCGGGTGACGCTTTGGCTGTCCGATGTATCGCAGACCGTGTAAACTGCTGCTCATGAAGTACTGCGAGGTCGGTTCCCACCAGCCCATTTCTTTCAGAAGTACTCCATCCACCACGTTGAGGTCAAACTGATGAGACTTTGAGTACGGTATGGTCAACATTTCTGTGTAATTTGACCAGTGTATGAAAAAAATCAAGACTAGTTTCACAATTTAAGGGGGCATGTGCTAACACTCGAAGTTGAAACTCTTAACTAAAGAATATCATCACAGCTTACCCTTTATACCTGCAAATCTACACGTCCCGAAAATAATTTCGATACAAAATTCATTAGAAGACTGGATTCAACCAGACAATGAAGGCATGACTTCAATAAATGATTCATATGATGCGTGATTTTGACAAACAGCTCGATAAATTTTTCGATAGACATTACACATTTGTAATATTACATAGATGGAGATATCAAACTTTAGGATATGCTGTAATTTTGCCGTCACCGTGTCGGACATATGTACACAATACAGGTTATAGAGCACAAACTAATTTATATAGGTTCAACCTAACAGTAAACTTTCATTTTTATCAATTTATGCTCAACCAGCAACATACATATATATGCAGACATAGAAATATGTATATATGTATCTTAGGTATGTATGTATGTGCCTAAAATGTTGCATGCCAAATTTTTGAAAACATTGCGGTCAATAATAATCAAAACAATATGTATGACAATTCAGTCACGACATCAAACCGCATTAAAAAGTCAGTGTAGATGTGCATACATATTTATGTACTTTCACCATTCAATAGTTGCTTATCTAGATAACACCTCAATTCATGGAAATATGAATGGGTTACGGCTCATTTCTACAAAAATGATTATCTCATGATTTAAGTATGCATTTGTATTGCGGTTTGGTTCTTCCTCGTGTGAAGTAGAGTGGCACGTGGACGATCTTAGGATTTGGAAAATTAAAAATGTATGCATTTTTGTGGTTGATACGAGCATGTGCTTCGTTCGTTATGAAATTAACATTAGGAATACATCATGATACGTCAATATTATCGTGTGTGCACATATTGCTCGAAATCAATAAGTTCAAACTCAATGGCCAAATTTTCCCACGCTATGTAATTGACTATGTACATACATACATAAACACCTCTGTACATATTTAATTGTCTCAATTTACTATCTACCCGATGGAGACTATTTTCCCTTCGACGAATCAATTGTGTAATCAGTGGGTATAAGTACATAGGTACATATGTACATATTTCAAAATAATTTACATAGAATGTACTCACCATATATCAGTTAATTCATATGTGCATAGGTAATTGGAAAATTTAGTTAAAATTGTTTCATTAAGAAAATGAAATTTACATATATGTATCTTCTTAATTCTCTTATACCACTATATGTGTATAATGAACGAAGCAAAATTAACTAAACTCCGTATGGAATTTGGGTTCAACATAGATATTTAATTACATTACACATGCACATATGTATGCACTCCAATATCAGAAATTAAAAATTATGCAAATCAAGCTGGGAATACTTTCTCCACCTCTTTCCAATCTACATCGTACCCATTCGTGTACAATCTGCCCAGCGTGTCTAACAAACACAACTTATCGTCCAACTTTCTCCTCAGAGAAGCATAGAACATGTAATCTTTCTCCTGCCAGGCAGGGTCATTATTGGTCAAAATGTCCTTGATCATTTGTAACTGAATGGGGTGTGGCCCAATCTCCAAGAAATGGGTAACTCCTTCTCCCAACGTGGTCTCAATCCCTCCAATAAAATCTGCAGATTGTTTTAAATGGTCGATAAAATAGGTGGGGTCCAGTGTCTCCTTCAATTTACAGTCGACTGTGGAAATAAATTTGCATTTGGCTTTTTCATACTTTACGGAGCTTGTCGTTTTAAGAAATTCGGGTAGAATTGGTTCCGTCATGGAGGAATGGTACGGATGATACGGGTTGACGAGGCATTTTATGCCGTTCTTCTTACAGGTTTCTGTAGTCAAGATGAAAAAATATGAGTCTAAATTTTAGAAAAACTTCAAAATTCTGAGGGTTATTTTCGATTTTTACCTGCAAATTTCGTCGCATATTTTAGTTCACCAACCATACAAGTTTGAACTGGACTATTGAACGCAGCAACTTCCAAGTTCATGTCTTTCATTTCGTCACCCCCGTCGATCTTGGATTCTTGAATGATCTTCTCCATCTGGTCCTTGTTCATCATCCCGACACACATTGCTTCCTCCTTGATAAACTTGGTCATGAGCTCCACCCTCGTCATGATCAGTTTAAAGGCTTCTTCAAGCGTTAAAATTCCAGCCATGGCTGCAGCCCCGTATTCTCCGAATGAGAGACCCAACACGTAATCGGGCACAATCCCCCAAGCCTCCCACTGTTTGAACAGGCCGTATTGAACGGCGAGCAGATAAGGGAGAAAGTTACGAGGAAAATTCATCCAGTCTGGCGACTCGGAAAGATCCTCGAGAAATTGCTTGATGTCCACGTCGTACTGGGTTTTCACAATTTTGGCACAGGTGTCGAAATGCTGTCGAAATAGGGGAGAATAGGAGTACAGTTTCTGCCCCATGGAGGGATAATGCGTCCCTTGACAGGTAATGATGAAGCAGAGCTTCGATTTTTTCCCGGTGGTAGGAGCGACCTTACTTTGTTGGTAGGTTTTTAGCCATTTTTGAGTCGTCAGAGCAAGGTCGGATAAATTTTGGTAGAGGAACGCTTGTCGAAATTGAGGGTCAAGTTTTGAACAGGTTTCCTCATTTTGAACTTCAGAATCGATGCTATTTTTTACTTTGTTTGACAATGAGACAAATGTGGGAGCAGAAAGATGCAGGAGTTTGGCATCCGGTTGGCCATTCACAATGTCGTAACCTGGGGTATTAGCGTCTCGCTGTGCAGATTCGTCGATAAAGGCGAATAGTTCGTCCCTGGTAGGAGCTACATGAATTAAGTGGATAAGTACATATATACCTATGTACATAGATATGCTAATCGCAAATTGGATCAAATTTACATATATAGATATTCTTTCACATGTGTGAATAATTTGCAAAATTGAAATATTTACCTGTCATTATGCAAATAATTTACTGTTGAATTAATTCCTTATGATATTTCTTCACCCAATGATTCACGACTGGGAATTTATAAGAAGTTGTCTTTTATTTATGCAACATACATACGTTTGTCTGGCCATTGTCTCGTGATAATCAAACGTTTATGTCGACATTTGGCCCACAAGATATCAGGGCAGCGTCATAATTCATTATCAGGTGCATATACATACATAAGTCATATATGTATAATCTCATCTCTATTGCTTCCATCATACTCAGTTCACGAGGTTGCCAACAGACATGTACTGTATACACGTGCATGGTCGCAATTACATTTTTGATCCGAGGTTATGAGCATGATGTTCATATGGAACATTAAGTCCAAGATGAATTAGCTCCAGAATTCTGTATGCATATGTGGATAGGTTATCTGCATTTGTTTATAACAAGATTAAGTTCTTTATGCATTGTGCATAATCGTAGCCATAATTCTGATTTAGAAACAGCATGCATGCACAATGCACATACATATGCCATTATGCAATTTTGCAAAATGTGGTTAAATTTTATCACACATATGTAAATGCGAAAAGCAGTCATTTGTACATTCTGAAACCTAATAGAAGAAGAAACCTGAAAGAAGTACGCTCAGAAAATCACACTTCAGAAATTTATTCAGTAATTTACTACATTTTCTTCTAATGATACATCAAATTAAAACAGTAATACTTTGACCAGGTAAATATTTTCGTGCAGAACCATAACCATTTATCATTCGGTTTAACCCCCTCAATACGGGCAGCCAGCCTCATTTGGCGTTCCGGAAATCCTGAAGGCAGCAAAGACCTTGGTGTAATAGGCGTAACGCTGTCTTGATTTGTCAGCATTTTGCCCGTTTCCTTGGCACTCTTGAGTCTGACCGTTAATGGCTTTCGTGGTTCGGCCAAATTCGTTCGTGCCGCCAAGAGCGGAGTGCACGTTGACCTTCCAGAACCAGGCGGACACACCCCACGACAAATCTTCCGTTTGAGGGACGGAGTCAGGATTGGTTTTGAGGGTGTCTCCCTTACCGAGGGCGCGCGATGCTTGAATGTAGTTTGAGCACCAGGTCAGCTGGAGGTAGCCACGCCCATAATAACTGACGCCGGAGGGACGGTTGCTACCCTGACATTCGGCGACCCACTCGCTCCATGCTGGGTATCGGTCGGCACACCCGTTCTGACCGGAGCAGCCCCATTCTCGCTTGGTGGTTAGACCAGCTGATGGAAGGTTTAAAAATTTGTGTAAAATACGGAAGTTATGCATGAATAAGTATTCCTTAATTTGTAAACTAGGATATATTTACCGGACTCGTGGAGAGTTTGTGCCAAAAACATGGCAGCTTCCATTTTGGACGTAATTGTGCCGGCGGAGAGTGAATTGACGAAACCTTGATATTGGGCGCTGGTAGGTTTTGGATACCCGTTGGTCATTACTCCAGCCTCAAATTCAGCTTGGGTAACCGACACTAAAATTGAGCAACAACTTTTTAGAATTTTTGTGTAAATTTCAGAAACTGGAAATCTCTTTAAAGTTTTGGTTCGTACCTTGTCCATTTGCGGAGAAGAAGACGGCTGACGCCACAACGAAAATGTGGAAAAGTTGCATATTTAAGGCTTGATATTTTCCTGATAATGCTCAATGGTTCGCTCTTCAATTGAAGTTGGAATGATTTTCGTACTCTCCGAACCGCTTTTTATATGAATTTAGAATATTCATCAATCCAATAATGCATTGTGCAGGTGTCAAAATTTGGTGAAACCAGCAGTTGCAAATTTTTCATACTTTAGTGAATCAAGGTGATAACCTGAATAACATGAAAATAATTCATATTTGACAAAGAAAACCAGAAAGACTGTTATTTTACAATGGACATAAATTTATCAAAAATTGACAAATTACATCATTAATCAAAATTAATTTGCTCGCTACCTGCCATTCATTCTGTACCCAACAGACGTCACACACGAATAATTCCTCGCATCAAATATCTGTAGTTTGACATATGTACATAAATATGTGTTTGCGTAACATTACAAAATTTCGGTGTGTTAACATGCAATTATGTAAATAAGTAATCAAAGCTTATCCAGGAAAGAATAAAATCAAAAATGTTTAATGAAGCACAAATAGATAGTTTGATATCGGTAACCGGAAGGTGTCAAACAATATTGAAGACATGATCCCATGATTGAATACCAGTATATATGAAGTATTTAGGTACGTATGTATAATCTACATGAGTAGGTTAATCCGTGAAATAAAATAATTTCGATGTTAATAAAAGTATGTATTTATCGTGATGAACCATGCACTTATTTAAAGCAGCAAATGTCACCGAAATTGCTTCATATTTAAATAGTTACAATATTTTTAGAAAAGTTTAATTTTGATTTTGATTAATTGTTTCTTTAGATAAACTCATGGATATGGAACTACATGTTTGAGTCTTGAATGATGAAATAATTCTTTTTAAGAATACAAGTGTGCACTGGGTTTATATGTATATATCGTTCGTTTATTGTCAATATCTTGCGAAGGGCTAATACATTAATTTTGGAATATTTAAATACAGTAGTAAATGATCTTATCAGGCTAAATTTTGTTAAACGAAGTAATCCACGAGCTTAGAATACAGCATGCATAAGCTCCTTTACACCCGTAGGTACTAGATTTCTGTATGCACATTGTTTAAAAATTGTGTAATAATTGAAAATGTAATCAAGGCTAGAATAAACATTGTTTTAATTTCACTGCGGGATTAATATACAACTAGCGTTATCTGCCGCGACTACATATTGTGCGGAAGTGAGTCCATTCCCGTACGTGTCTGCGCATGCGCAAACGGCGGACGCGGCGCAGTACAAGTTATCACCGACAATGCCACACATAGCGTCGTCCGCGGCGGGATCGGCTGCATATCTACAAGGGTCATCATACTGAAGGAGGAGAACTTCATCCTGACCACGAACTTGGCAGTTGTTATAATTTAAGATAATTAGTAGCGTGATGTAGATGGTTTGTCCCACGTGAAAGTTCATAGTTAAAATGTGGAGAAGTCTGTAAATAAATATGCATATAATAAATATGTATATACGTATAAATTCTTAATAACTAGGTAGTAAGATTGTCCCTTTATTTTTTGTCTTTACGAAGTTGATAATACTCCAGGAAATTTAAATTTATCACCCTGCAATGAGAAAATCTTTTGCAGGGTGATGGTAAGTTTTAATTTCTTTGTTACATTATTGAATTGTAATTGTCACTGTAATAATAATTTACAGATAATACCCATAAATATGACAAGATAAATCTGCTAAATATTACCTGAATTTTGACACTTGTTAAGTTTTCGACTCAAATCTTGCTTCCGATTCTGCGTTATAACGTCTTCATTAATGGAACTGCGTATCAGATTCGACCCAGTTTATATAATGCCTGAATCCGGCATAGTTACTTGTATGTATGTATATCTACCACATACATCTTGACCTTTGAAAAAAAGCCGCAGTAATTAATACAATATCCTTAGCAGAATAAAGGATATACGACCAGTCTTGCTTGAATACAAATGATAAGTTTTGCAAGGAACCGTACAAAGAAAATGCGACCAATCTTAGGGGAATCTTCACTCACGACCCTTGGTTGACCAAAATAAATATATATCTAATATAGATTTGTACATGTGTATGTCCCACATAAAATTAAAATGGGATGGATATAATGTCTTACTCCCTTCAAATCTACCACATGCTTTATGCAAGTTCCCCCACGGAATAAGTATGACATAAAATTACAATAGTTATGCAGTAATTGAAAAGTTAGCATTCGTTATTGATACTTCATCACCCACGAATGGCTGTATTCTTCGAAATGCTTAAGTTATTTATTCGGAACGTGCAAACTTATATGTAGGTTATATGTACATACATATCTGTAAATTCATTAAAAAATCGCAATGTTCTATATTTTAATGAAATAATTACATATTTCAAGGTTAGCAAGTGCATTACTTATTTAAGCAGATGGGGCCAATTTGATTTTAAATACTTTTTTTGCAGCAGTATTATTTTTCCTAGTACCTTTGTTAAACCTGATCTGGGTGGATAGTCCCGGTTGAAGGAAAGGTCGGGACATTAAATATTTGTTGAGTCATGTTTCATTTTTCATTAGCCATCTCTGTATACTCGTGAATACAGATATAGTAATAATTTTTTCATTAAGTATACCATTTTTTATTTATTATTATATGCGCAAAGTATTAAATTTCAGGTCATTTTTGACAATGTGAATAAGTTGTGACTATCCAATAAGATTTCCGAGCTTACGATCAGTTTTGCCCATATTTTTTTACCTTTACTATTATTAAGGTGCCATAAAAGCGTACGTATTCTTTATCTATATGGTATATGTATTTATGTACCTACACACATTTTATTATATTTAGTACATATATACATATTTATTCACACGTTTGCATATTGAAACGCATGAATATATGCACGCATATGTAAATTCTGTTAATTTTATTTGTACGAAGTAACCGATAAATATAATTCTATGAAATGGTATGAATGATTACATTTTTACGAAGCCAAGTCTTCCGTGTGATAAAAAATATGTAGTGTACAAAATACATTTTAAAGTATAGTTGATACGCTGTTGACATGTTAAATGTACAAATGTGTATATGTACGTACATATGTGTGTAATGTGTATGCACATGTGTCGATTTTAATTTAATTTTTAGCCAACATCATTCATGATCAAGGTATGCTAGTAACCCATTCATCAACTTCGTCTAGATATGTATGTACATCTTACTGGACTGGTTTAATAGATCGCTAAACTTTAGTTTGCAATATTCGGTGACTGGTGTGAGCAGAGTTAATAACGCAGATCTTACGCAGTACCTAAGTACATAGGTTTATTTATTAAAATATTATTTATTTCACAAATTACACTATGTACAAGCTGTCCTCAACACTTTAGTTTTATCACTCCGGTCAACATGATCTACCCAAATTTAGCCAATTCATGAATTAGAGTACATGTTAAGACGAGCTGCGTGCAATATTCCACATTTCACGTGCTTATGTATGTATGTACATAGGTATGTATATAAACATGGAGATGCACATACATCCACGTTACTAAATTTTCTTCATTGTCAGTCATTAGTAAGATATGAGCTCATCTTCTTTACATACATAAATTAATCTTTGTGCTCTGATCTGAAAACTAAATACATATTTATTTCAATTTTTTAAAATGTCCTTGTTAAGCAGAATCCTCTTTCCACTCGTAATGGTGTTTTGTGACCGATTTCAGGGAGCAATTTCCACCTCACAAGAATTTCAAACCACATCTAACCTGCAGGATAAACTCAATCTCGCCGAGAGAGAAATAATCCAGTTGAGACTGAAACAAAGCCAATCTGAAGATATGGTAAAAATTGTGACGGCAGAAATGAAAAATCTGCTAAACATACGTCTCAATATGGAAATGACCAGACAAAGGAATCTTGCCAAGGTGCCAGATATGCGTCCGTTATGCCGTATTAATCAAATTGAGACAACTACCACAACGACTAGTGGTAAGTCTGTTCGTATGATTTTAAAGTTTATTATACGCAATAATTTATGTTCGATTTTCTAAATTCGAAGCCCCAATTTATGAACAACATCATCACCACCAAACCTACCGACATCACTATGAAGACGAATTGGGGGGATTTGATCATTACCGAGACCCACCTGGGCGACACAGGGATGAATTGGACATATATTATTAAGACCTCTAGTAGTTTGTTTTAATTGTATTAAAAATGTATTAAAATACACAACTTTATATGAAGCATACCTTCAGAATGCCGGCAAAAGGTGGATACATAGATACAATTTCTTAAATACGGTACGATGTTGGCCCAAGTTTTAAAATTCTAATAAATACATATGTAAATTTGAGCAAATAAAATAATGTGGGTATTCACGTCAATTAAAAACGTCGCTTCGCAACACATCTTCGCAACTTTGCGGTGTTTGCGAAATCGGTGTCGTGAACGACTTATTTTACATGAAAATGCGTAAATTGATTATTTGCAGAAAATAATTCATTTGACGGAAAAGTGTAAGAGGTTGTCTGGCAACATTTAACAAAATGAGGAGAAATTAAAATTTCACTTGACGACGAGTTTGCGAAAAATATTTTACGACGATAATAGATGCCCTTTTGCTTCGCATGTTTCGTAAAAAAAATAAAGCAATCTGATTGGTTGTCGCATCGCAACTCTTCGCAAACATCACAAACTTGCGAAGATATGTTGCGAAGCGACGTTTTTTACGAAGTTGACGTGAATACCCACAATGATTCCTTCAAACTTCAAAAAAGAAACATTCGCTAATCTGTTACATATCAGTACAAATTGCAACGCACCAACACCACGCTAATTTCAAGCATTTTTGACATGCATACATATGTACATCTAGATCACAGTTTTAAAATAATGCACAACCCCACTAATTTTTTGAATATCACATTCACATGCTTATTTATATTTTTATAATCACAGAAGCATTCATCAAATTTATGTACACGTATTCCACGTTACTCTATTTAATTTAGGATAGCACAATTGCCAACATTTACAATCTTTCAATTTTCTTTTAATTTAAGTCGAACTTGTCATAATGAGTTCGAAAAATTGTCAATTTTTTCATGGAAGTTGAAGAATGTCAATGTCAGCGGCGACACAAACTTCGATCCTCAAGCTATCGGTATGAAGAATGGAGGCCCTAAATTCTACAGTCTGTCCTGAGAGAATGCTGCAAAAATATAAATTAATTAAAACAGGGCTCGTAGAAATCCAATATGAAAATAATACAAAGCGGTATTCGTATATGTATGACTCTACCAAGGTGGTACTTATATCTAATATCGCATAGTAATAGCTCGGTATTAAAGTTTACCATATCGGTAGCAAAGTTCTCCGGACCGGTATAATTTTAATACCAAGTGGTAGCAAGTTTAATACCAGAATTCTTTTAGCGCATTGCTTTTTTTGCTAAAAGCGAAAAAAATAACTTACTCGTTTGGAACGACGGAATATTTGGCAGTGTAAACGAATCCAGGTTGGACGGAGGAATTTGGCAGTTCGGTGTTAATAATGACCGTGCAGAATCCAGCGTTCATGCAAATTTCGACACGGAGAGTGAGCGAAGGAGAGGCGGAGCCTGAATTAGTTCAAAAAGATGTGAACAATTTTTCATAAAGTCTGCAAGTTAATTACTGTGATTAAGTACTTGGCATGAAATCATTCTCGCAATTGTACAGAGTTCCTGGCATGAGACGACAGTACCCTTCGCAGTCACTAATTCTGAGCTGCAGAGTTATTAAATATAGTTAATTAATAGTTAAGTATTGCGTTAAAATATGTAATTACGTTAAGTTCTTACCTGCAGTTGAGTTGCTAAACCACCACACCTGGAAAATGATAGATTGAGTTAATTATTGGTTGCAATTAATTAGTTTCAATTATGCCGAGTGATAATTTAGCAGAAGTTATTTGGAATTATTTCACAATCAATTTCAGAGTAAAAGTGTGCCCATAATCAGTACATGTAATCATGATTTAACTAAACTGGATGCTTTTGGAAACTTGAAATTTTGAAAGTTTTCTAGATTTTACACCTTGACATGAATTATGTTTTTATCTTTGTGTGGTAACCTGAATGCAGGATCGACCACGCCGGCATTGACGGCAGCAAGGACGCCAAAGGCGAGAAGAATGGCGAAAGCTTTCTGCATTTTTAAAAGACTGGAAAGTCTAAAACAAACTTTGAAAGCAGACTGCAACTGTGCAGAATTATGGAGTCTCGGATCCTTTTATATGGCATGGTTTGGCATTGATTTGCGTACGATATTGCAATAAAAGTAATGATGGTTAAGAATTTATTGGAATATTGCCCCTAATAAAGGATTAAATCCGTTTGTCCAGGGTTGAAGTGTACGAGATAGATACATAACTACATAGTTTTCGGATAGTACATACTGCGTAGAGGTGATGGCGTGGATTAATGATTGCGGTAACAAAGGGCGTGATACTTTCAATTGTAAATACAATGTGTAAATATCGTGATGAGAATAAGATTGTAGCAGATTTTTATTTTTATTGACGTATGCATGCATTTATGTACTTGGACGACTTGACGGTTAAGGACGAGAATTTAGTTTGAATTGTAATGCCGAATTATATACTTACTTGTTTATACGTATATATTTATGATGATTAGCACACGTGCATTAAGACTTTGAGGGCCGAATTTAATAAAGCATTGGGGTTGTCTGGAATTGATATCATGGAATTTTGAGATGAATTAGTAAAGTTAATTTGTAATTGTTAATATTAACCGTTTACTACGAACAATAAACCTGTGATATGAAATTAATGCAATAAAACTTGTAATGTTTCGGTATTTGGGTTGGGTATGAAAATGCACGGATTGATAACATGTATGGCATACAAACTGGACCCTGTCACCGTGCTAATCCTAAGATCATGCGGTTATATTTAGCTGCATAATTTTAATATATGTATCTATGCAAGAAATTTTTATTGGCGTATGTACGTATTTGGTGTTCGAGGGCGAAATGCGTAGAAAAATATTGTTACATATCAGTAGCATAATGGCCTAATGAAACACTTGTGAAATTATTTATATATCAGACAGACTGTATTAAAACTAGGGGCTGAACTTCACCGTAAATGTTTGGCGTGGTCTGGTAATGATATCAGTTAATTTGAGATTAATTAATAAAGCTTAATTTGTGAGTGTTAACCGCTTACTACCGAACAATTAACTTAATGTAATAAAATTTCTAGCTACTTGTTGGATATAAAAATGTATGGTCCGATGATAACATAAAATGCTTTGGACTCTATTACCTGAATTGTAAATATATTGACTTAAGAAAGGATTCGTATGATGGATGTGGTCGTATGTAATTTAGTCCAGCTTTGAAGATTGCTATAAGCATTCTAAGCATTAACAAACTTATGAAATGCAAAAACTTTAGCATGTGAGAAATTTTGGTACATTTAAATTCGTACATGTCAAAAATTAAGTAAATAAATTATAACTAAATTTCGGAAATGTGTAAATAGTCAAATAAAAATTTCAATAAAGTTTTAAAATTCAGATTTATTTTGTACTTAGAAATGAAATGTATGATTAAAAGGCGAATCAAATTTTGAAATTTATGGAAGCGTGAGAATGTCGACATCTGCGGACACACAAACTTCAACTCGTAAGTTATCGGTATGAAGTATTGAGGCCCTGAATTCTACGGTCGACCCTGACAATACATCGTTTGGTACGATGGAGTACTTCGCCGTGTAAACGAATCCAGGCTGGACGGAGGAATTTGGCAGCTCGGTGTTAATAATGACCGTACAGAATCCGGCATTCATGCAAATTTCGACACGAAGGGAAAGTGAGGCCGCAGCGGAGCCTGTAGTTTATAGAATCGAATTAGATAACTTAAAATTATTAAATTTCTGAAATTATTTTAACTTATGTTTCCTCACTTGGCATGAAATCATTCTCGCAATTGTACAGAGTTCCTGGCATGAGACGACAGTATCCGTCACAGTCAGAAATCCTTAATTGCAATTGAGTCGCTAGCCCACCACATCGGTATGCTGGTAAATAATGAAATTTGTCAATTAATTGATTAATTAAACATGCTTTCACTTAATACAATACTTAAAGTTCACACCTGGATCGACAACGCCTGCATTAACTGCCCCGATGGCGACAAGGGCGAACAACATGGCGACGAATTTCTGCATTTTTGCAGTGCAAATTTGAATAAATATTATCTCAATGCTGTGAAATACTTAAGGATTCTGTTATACCAACTGGTCACATTTGTCGCTTTTTTATACCCGACCGGATCCCTAACTACGTGTCAGGAAATATTTGATATCTTCTGGAATGCATTAATCAGTAAGTTTGCATCTTGTTTTTGGGATAAATTCGTCCAAATCGGAATCAGGGATAAGTTTAGATAAAATATTGTTACGATTAGAGTTGTGCTTTTGCCCATGCTTAAAATATTGAGGTATTTGTGACACGTCCGAATTGCCATATTTGTGCAAAATCTTAGTTCGTACCCACATAAAGCTCATGTCATAATGAATTCACATTTATGGCATTTATGTAATGGACAAAATTTCCACCACTTATTTTCATGCTCTCATTGTACAACTCTACTTGTGATCATCTTTTTATATAATGCTTGTATTTGTTTCTGGTCTGATGCAGTTTTGGATGTCGTCACTATGACGAAAAATATTTATTAGGTTTATGTACATTCAGAAGTTGGGAGGAATGCAGGCGCCGTAAATATCGGTGTGCAAATCCTTTCAGAGATTAATACGTGGTTTGATCTTGACGGTTGTATAATGATTTTGGAGATTAGCTAGAACTTTGTTTGACCATCAACGCATAAATTCAAGCAGGCGTTAATCCCTATTGTGATTTTTTAACCTTGTTTAAATTACAAATAAATTGTTGCATGCATCCAAGTTATGTTTGGTTGTAAAGTTTAATCTCGGACTGGATTAGCGGAATTTGAGTGCAGAATTTGTAAACATGCATTTGTACATACATACTTACCTATATAAATATGCTACTTGACATCACATTCCACGTTTATGTAGGGATAACGTATAGTAAATTTTCCCCTTTTCCCCGTCATTCAGAAGCTAAATGTACGCTTGTTTAATATGTTAGTAAACTAGTGGTGGTGGAAGAACCCATGTTATGATGGCACAATGTATTATTACTCGGGAAGATGTTGCAAAATCCCCAGGGGGTGTAACCCCCTCAAGACATACATATTTCGCACCAGGGGAACAAAGTAAATGCATCTAAAACAATTTTACCGACCACACCCCCTGTGGGGGGAGTTACACCCCCGGGGGTGTGGTTCAGAACTTTTTATATTTTCGGGATCAGAAACTCATGCTCACTCTAAATTCAAAGTTTTGAGTATTTAAAAAATTTTCCGATCGAGTTATACCCATTTACATGCCCCAAAAAGTGCGTTTCCGGGCGACTTTGAAGGGGTGTAATTCTGCGTACGGCAGCTACCCGACTAAGGTATTTACGGTTTCTCACTGCCACGAGGGGATACTCTAACTTTGCTAGAAAGGTCCGTCGGGAACCTGCCGTAACCAGAGTTACACCCCCTCAAACTTTCTCAAAAAAGTGCTATTTTGAAAGTATTAAAAAACATAGATTTTGAATTTTGTGGAGTGCATTCAAGACACAAAATTTATAAAACATTTGGAGAAGTTCGTTTGTTCCCGTAGGCATTCCACAAAATTCAAAATATATGTTTTTTAATACTTTCAAAATAGCACTTTTTTGAGAAAGTTTGAGGGGGTGTAACTCTGGTAACGGCAGGTTCCCGACGGACCTTTCTTGCAAAGTTGGAGTACCCCCTCGTGGCAGTGAGAAACCGTAAATACCTTAGTCGGGTAGCTGCCGTACGCAGAATTACACCCCTTCAAAGTCGCCCGGAAACGAACGTTTTGGGGCATGTAAATGGGTATAACTCGATCGGAAAATTTTTTAAATACTCAAAACTTTGAATTTAGAGTAAGCATGAGTTTCTGATTCCGAAAATATAAAAAGTTCTGAACCACACCCCCTGGGGGTGTAACTCCCCCACAGGGGGTGTGGTCGGTAAAATTGTTTTAGATGCATTTACTTTGTTCCCCTGGACCGAAATATGTATGTCTTGAGGGGGTTACACCCCCTGGGGATTTTGCAACACCTTCCCGAGTAATAATACATTGTGGATGGTAATAGCAACAATTAGTCCGATGATTAAAGTAGGTATACATACATATGGATCACAGCATGCACATGCACGAAATAAAGACGTGACCGTTCCATGAGCGTCGTAATAATATTGCATATGAACAAACATGTTTAAACCTAGCTTAGGTGAAAAAATGTGACAAAAATTCGGCATTCTAAAGCACTTCGATTTTTCAGGGAAAATATAACAAAACAATTTCACGTAATTCATAAAAAGTGTAACGCAATAAATAAAGATACATGGGCAAGAACCCCATATTCATATACTTATGTATACGATGCAAAATCACGTTTTTGCGAAATATTTGGCGAAAGCTGCGCTAAAACGTGCCATTTTTCCAATGCTTTTAACATAGAAAAAAGCCTTCGGAATGAAGTTTATAAATTATATACCTGTCCATAATTTCATGCTGCTCACCAATATGCAAAAAATGCAAACATTGGTCAATTTTTTTCAAATTGCGAAAATCTGCAAAATTTTCTGAATTCTAATTCCGTCGTTTTTTGAAATTTTAACCAAATTTAAATGTTAAACTTCTTTTATTTAAACATCGCAAAAAAGATTTCAAAGAATAATTTTTTTTCTTATTGCAACAAAATTGCCGAAAATTTTCCAAAATTGACCCTCATACTTTTTCATGAAAAAAGATATAATGACTAATGCCAGTGTATTTTACGTATTTTTCAAAATTGTTGGTTATATATGTTTTTGCAAGTTGTAATAAATTTTGGGACTTTATGCCGTCAGCTTTTAATATATTCAATAAAATAGCTTTTCCATCTCTCGTTCAAGATTTTAAGCTTTTTGAAAAACTTGAAAGAATTCATCTGGGAGGGACCCGTCGGGGTCCCTCCACTATGGAGTATAAGTATAGGACGGCATGAATATAGGACGTCCTATATTCATATATATTTCGCAAAAACGTGATTTTGCATCGTATGTTCAATGACAAAGTTTTATTTACACTAAATTATCTATCAATTAAGACGATCCGAAAGGAAATCGATACAGGTATTATTATACATAGTACGGCTGGTCTTTGGGCGAAATCTTAATGCTAGAAAAATAAACCGTCGCAAACGCGCATACGGAAGTAGCTTCAGACGTACTTCACCCCAAACGGTCCCACCACAACTCGGGAACACTTAATTTCACTCTATTTCACCTATAGATTAATTTTTTGTAAAAATCTCATTTTGCCCCGACCACACCCCCTGGCGACGAGGGGGTGTGGAACAACTCGGGAACACTTAATTTCACTCTATTTCATCTATAGATTAATTTTTTATAAAAATCTCATTTTGCCCCAACCACACCCCCTGGCGCCGAGGGGGTGTGGCACAACTCCGGAACACATAATTTTACTCTATTTCACCTATAGATTAAATTGCAATAAAAATCTCATTTTGCCCCCACCACACCCGCTGGCGCCGAAGGGGTGCGGCAAAATCGGGGAAACACTCAATTTCACTTAATTTCACTTAATTTCATTTAATTTCACTCAATTTCACTTAATTTTACCCATAGAATAAATTGCACTAAAAATCTCATTTTGCCCCAACCACACCCCCTGGCGCCGAGGGGGTGTGGCACAATCGGGGAAGCACTTAATTTCACTTAATTTCACTTAATTTCATTTAATTTCACTCAATTTCACCTAATTTTACCCATAGATTAAATTGCACTAAAAATCTCATTTTGCCCCGACCACACCCCCTGTCGCCAAAGGGGGTGTGGTCCGGTTGCCCCCAAAAGTTGATAGGATCCTCCCCCTGGGGTCCTATGTATGATGGCGAAAACCGATTTCGATTATCTCGATCCGTTCTCCTGATATCCTGCTGACAGACAGACGGACAGACAGACAGACAGACAGACAAAGTCACATAAAGTAGCTGAAGCTACTTAATAATTAGGATGAGGAAATTAGGTTGAGTGATTCGCCCTATATTTTGGTGAGCCATTCATATACATTTATATATACATATGCTAGAGTTCAAAGTAACTAGTTTCAACTACAGGGTGTTAATAAAGTCCGATCCCATTTTTCCTGTAAAAAAGTGAAGGCTAGTATAAAAAAAAACTACCCGTGATACTTACAAAAAATGTTCGACATATTTACCTTAGTATTTGGTCTTGTTACCATTTACTTTAACCATGCCCTCAACTCTTTGTTTAAGGCTCTGTGCTAATTTTTCCAATGTTCCTCTGGAAATCGAATTCCATACATCTTGAACTTTTTTTTACTAGCTCTTCCCTCGTCCGGGGTTGTGGCTCTTTGTATACATTTTCCTTAAGTATGGACCACTGGTTCTTCAGGGGATTCAAATCTGGGCCGTTAGCGGCCCACACCCCCTTGCTCCAGACCGTTGAAACTTGCGTCTTGATGAGACTCAAACTCGCTTTTGCTGTATGGGCTATAGCACCATCCTGCATGAAAACTATTTTTCTTTCATTCGGAAATATTTCCTTGTTCCCCATGCTATCGAAATAGATAGGTAATATTTTTTCCATATAATGCTTTGCATTGACTGATTGGCCTTTTGGTATGATATGTAGAGGGGTCACGCAACGTGCACAAAATCCACCCGCTACCATAACTTTAAGCCCGAATTTTGGGATCGCTCTTGATGGTACATCCGATTTGTTTTCTGTCCTGTAACGAACATTTTGTTGGTTCAATTTTGGATATAGTTCAATAATAGATTCGTCAGTCCAAAGGATGTGACTGCGCAATTCTTCACCAAGTCTTTTTTCACTCAAATGGGCACTTTTCTGAAGGAGTTCTTCAAATTTCAGACGGTCATCGATATATTTTTGTGACATGAGAGGTTTTTTTGGTTAGTTTGTAAGCTGTGTGACCCCACTTCGTAGTTTTCACAAATTTTTGCACGGTCACACAGTTAATTTGCTTCTTCTTCTCTTTATAGCGTTTTGAGTCATTTAACTCCCTTGCTCAATTACGTAATGAACTACCGGTTTTCTTGCAAAGTCTGTTTTTAATCATTCTTTTTGTGGTAGGTGACACCTTTCTGGGTCGCCCTGGTCGCTTTTTGTCGTGGACAAAATTTTTATTCTTCCATTTCCAAACAGTTCTGCGGCTGCAGCCCAATTTTTGCACAATTTCTGTAGGTTTAAGCCCCTGCTGATGCAATGTTTGTATCTCAACTCTAAGATGCTCATGACTTACACGTTTAGTTGTTCCTCCCATGGTAAAAATTTGAAATAAATAACTTCACTGGTTCAAAAGTTCCAGCTGAATTTGTAACAACCACGCTCCAAAAAATGCATGGGATCGGACTTTATTAACACCCTTTAGTAAAGAACTTGTGAAGTGATATGAAGTGCGTGTTTCATGAAAACTAAAATATTTAGTACACTCGTAGTGTTCATTTATGACGCAAATCATTCAGAAAGATTTAAATCGATTGTGTAACTTTAGTTTTATGAATGGAAATTGGTGGGTTTCATCCTGCATAATCGTTCCACCTAACTTTGACATTTAGGGTTCAAATATTTTTCTCTTTAATTAAAAAGAACTTATGTGTGTATTTAGGCAGAAATCTGACCTAACAGCAATTAGATTCCAATCGCTTCGTAATTATACTCGAATTATTGAAAGTAAACTATATTTAGCTACATATTTTTTAAGTTGTTATCCTGTGATGTTATCGTGTTATGTAAAATATCTGCGTCGCAATTTTTTGCATGTACATATTTATAAGCTTGATTTTCAACTCTTACGTAATTGTTGTAGAATTTTGCTTCACAAGAAACCATCATGACGACGGACCTAATTTGGCAAGGTTTTTCCAACTATGCAAAATTCTTCCCGTTCGGAAACATATTCCCGATCGGATTAAGTCCAAAGAGGAGAGCAATGTTTTGTAATGCAGAGAAAAAAGTATGGATTTCTGTAGGCTTGTCATCCATGACCTTTATCAGTCTGGCACTAGCACCGGAATATCTTTTGTTTTTTCGAGACTTTCCATCTCCAGGGGACAACTATTCCGTAGTAATGGTCATTTTCGGGTTGGGATTAATTTGTCAAAATGTCACGACATTTGCTTACTTTGTTGTTTGGAGGAATCCTAAGGAAACGGTGAAAGGCTTCAACAGTATTGTACAGATGGAAGTTTTAGTAAAATCAGGTAAAGTCGTCGAAAATTATGGGATATCGAGAAGACGAATTCATGACGAGTTCGCATAATTAGCAAAAAGCAAAGTTTGCATGTTCACAAAAAATTATGGGTGAAAATTCATTTACGAACTTGTACATCTCAGTTCGCAAAATAAAAAAAAATATATCTTGCGATGCGAACATTCGAACTCGTAATGAATACCCCCAATAAATTCCTAAATTCTAAATAATGTGTTACTATGATCCATGGGTTACTAGGTATTTGTCGTCTATAATAAAAATAATTTGCGCGAAACTTTTACTTGCTAATGTTTTAAGATTAGTTTTGGTACTAGAAGTTAATAAATTCGAATTTTGAGAGATTTTTGTTACCATTGAACGACAAATGGCAACCTAGATGACAGAAACTCATAGTGATCCTGCAAGTGATTTATTACCACATTCTTTAAAGTGCTACTAAAACTTTTTTTTATTAACAGTCTCTTGGTCAATGGCTTCAACAACCAAACCAGGATTTGATCTGCTTGGTCACATAATCAGCAAGTTGATCCTCTTGATGTCAGCGTTGGGATATTTCGGCGCCTTGTTTTTGTTTCTGAATAATCTCGACATCCCGTATTTCATCCTTCGAGAATTTTTTAATATAAGCAGCAGAAATTCATCAAGACCTGTAATCCTGCTATCATACTTGATCAGATTGCCCCTGATTACCTATGGTTGCGTCGAGATCGTAAAAACGTTATCCTTCCTCGTAATTTGCTTTATCATAACGCTCGAGATATATGAGCAGGTTCTTCACGATTTCCACAACCTAAGGGGCAAAATGGTGTCAAACGAGGGCAATGTGAGATTAAGAACTCTTTATGTCGCATTGTCGTTTGGTAGCGAGTTATTGATAGCATTTCAAGGTCCCACCACTGCAGCTCTGATGGCGATAGGAGGGTCGCTCATTGTCGTCTGCAGTATCGCCACAATTCGAATGTGGAACGTAATTCCGATGCCGATCTACTTGATTTTTCCAATGATTACAACCGTTATCCCGATATTGTCGCTGATACTGTTACCAAAGGCGGCTAATTGCTACGATCGGAGTGTAAAACTGCTACAAACCTGGAGAAATGTTACATCGCTGGATGACGGAATCCAGAGAAGCCGTCTCGGTGGGAGGGGCACGCTGGGATCTCGCGCCCGTAAAAGGGCAACAGCGGCGTTGCGCCCGTTTAAAGTTTATGCGACAATGCTAGGGACAAAACTCTTCATGGCGAAAAGGTCGACGAAAGGGAGGTTTCTGTATTCCTGTGTGGATGCTACTATGACGGGGTTGGTTACGTTTAATAACGCATAGTAGTCAATTTTTGCTTTTAGTCTAACACTGATAAGAATTTGATGCTAGGTGATAACCTGATAGGCACGACAGTGATTTTCTCCGATTTTGACTGCACTAATTTTAAATTGATCACCCACAAAAATTAGCGGAACCAAATTTGTGGGTTTTTTAATGCGTTTTTTCGCTAATGGTGTAATTGTTTGGATGTTTTCAGCCACGTTAGCCTAAATATTGTTCAAGAAACTGGCCATTGTTACATGCGGTCGTTGGAAAGCAATTAATGAAATGTACATTTTGAAGTTGTAATAAATTTAAAGGTTTTGTGTCGCACAAATCACAAAATATGTCACCATAGTTGCCACTAGCTGTAAATAAAATAAAGGCAATTTTTCAAGTGGTCAGGAATGATTAAGTATCATGTATAAATCCGATCTTACATTAAATATCGCGCTATAATCCATTACGAACACGCATCAGTTTATCCCGCACACATGGGACTTGGCCTCATTAATTAAAACGTTAAAATATCCTTTTCCGCTCATAGTATTGGTGCTATCGAGGACGACTGATTGATAAGCCCATTGCCCCACCGCGTCCTCCAACACTTTACAAATTTCCCCGCAGAGGAAAAGAACGGAGACGAATTCAATTAGGTAGATGGACTTTCTAAATTTATCAATCTTACTACTTCCAACTAATAGCGAATTTAAATTGGTCGAGTAAAATAAAAGAGCCTCGCCCACGAAGAGGAAGAAAATACGACTCATGGCCGCATTTATTAGGCTAGATAATTTCTTAATAGCGTCGTAATTCGTGATGAGTTCGAAGTCTGTGGCGAAATTTGTGTCCTTGTTGCCATCCTATTTATACAAACATGAATAAAAAAAATAAGTGGAAAGGGCATCTCGAAAACCATAAACTTGTTCAAGTTAAAAAATGTGATTTTTATTTCAGAAAATCTTCTGAAAAATTGTAATTAGATCCCAGAAATTCTAATCAAAGGGCAATTGTGCAAAAAAATACGGATGAAAAAAAAACGCCTGGATTTCATTGACATCAAGTTTATCAGCTTGAAATAGGAATAAAATAAAAAAATCCTGGTGAAGCTTAACTCCCGGTTTTATTAATTATAAAATAATTATCTATTTATTCTTAGTAATAGCGTTAAGAATTCAATCTCACCTTATCTGAACTATGAAGGTCTATCAATGTTTTGAACCCTTTTACGGAGCTCCAGAGGATTAAGGCATTTAGAATTATGATAGCGTTGATAAAAACTGCCATGGATTGACGACAGAATACTCCGGTCAGGGAATTAATCAAGAAGAAAATGTCGATTAATTGATTTCCACCTGCCTCAGAAGTGGAATTTGTATCGATTGAGAGAAGAAACATTCCCCTTCCGTGAGAAATATATTTCCGAAGTATCAATTCCAACGAAATTGTGCTGGTTTCCCATTCAATGACGTAAATTCCGATGAGCGTGTACAGTGTGACGCTTAAGAGAAGAAATGTCATCATGGAAATCATAAAAGTTCTCGAATTCATCTGGAATTAAAGATTTTAAAAAATAATGCTTTTCCATGAAAAATTGAGACAAACTTCAAGCAAAATTTTGATACAAAGAAATTTACAAAAACATGTAGTAAGTCGAAAGTTAACGACAAGAGGGACAATTTTTTTATATTTGTAAATTATTTAACTACATTTTATGTTCATACATGGTTAAATTTGTGTTATGCTTATTTTATGCATATGGATTGCAAATAGTACATATTACCCAATGTTTATATTGAAATGCTGCCAATTGTTTGCATTCTTCTAGAAAATTTGCAATTTCCAAGAAATCAGACCCATTCCGCCAAAGTGTTTTGACGACGACTGCTCGAAATACGATTTTTGTGATATCGTGCAATATTAAGAAATAAATGGAAGGATTTGCATTATTTAATGGGTACGAAAAGTGCGACGAGAACAACCTCCTTCCTTCCAGGATGTAGTGAAGTAGCATTGTGAAGTGGAACAAGGCAGAAAGTAACTGACGCATAAATACAATTAAAAATTTCCTTTTAAAATTTTGAAAATTTTTACGGGTTAAATTTGCTACCCTGTGTCGATTGGTAGAATGCAGTTTGAAAATGTGTACATCATCACGTCGAACTGCGTCATTGTCAGGAACGAATTTAAATTGAGATATCCCAACGACGTAGGCAAGCTGGAAGAAGTCGGTTAATAGTTTAGAATACCTTCCACATTGTACAATCTGCCGTTTTTCTACAATTTTGGAATCCAAACTCATTTAGAAATATGTATAGCAAAAACGAGCAGAAAAATTGAATGTACGGGAAATGCAGTATTTTTTTTAGAAAAAATGTGCTACTTTCACCACGCAATAAGATTCCCATAACGTTGGCAATTGTAGCATGATTAAATTTAGGTAGTTATCGAATGTTCCAATTACTTAAATTTGTTTTGGTGCAAGCATTTGGCAAATATTTGCTGTGTTCTTTTCTGATGAATTTCCTAAAATCATTTAATTGAAATGGATTACGTTTTTTAAGTGATGAGTGTAAACTTATACATATACATACATGCATATGCATACATATGTACATATTTAACTTCTCCAAATATTATTGTTTCAATACCTTAAATATATGATACACATAAGTAGTTTAGTAATTATTTGCATAAGTAATTTAGTATGGGTTACTGTACTTACATATATTCAACATCCCAATATTTTCCTGCACAAGGAAAACATGTCAAAAATCAACATGGTACATTTTTATACACTATAAATATAGAAATACGTACTTTCACAAAGTCATTTGGGACTAAATTTAACTTTCTGTTGGAAAGGTCAGAGCAAATAATGTTGATTGGTATATGCGCCGTATATATTGCTTGTGTAGAATCGCGTGTTTGCTAAATATTCAGCAATTATCTGCATTCAGCCATATTTATAATAGGAACAATGATGCATTTCATCTACCATTCCAACATTTAAAGGTATATTTACATTCAAATTATGGATAAGTAAATGTCTAAATACAGAATTATGCAGATAAGACAGAATTGACTAGATTCAACTGTAACGTGCATACTTAAATACGACGCTCCTATCACTGCCACGGTACAGAAATTCGTGCTAGGTCAGTATTTCACGGTGTAATAATTGCAAGTGGCCGTTTACTTGCAATTATTATGACAAAGAGGATAATTCTCTACTGCAACGGCTGTGATACTGGAATAAAATTGGTTCCACTAGAATTGGAGATATACATGAAACATTTAAATTATTAAGTATTATGCCTTAATCGACTCGAACAAATGAGTACGTATTTAGGCTACGATATGAAAGTTGATTGCTGTTTGCCTAATTAATTTTGATTGACAGTACCGATGTGTCCAGAACATAATACTAGCATACAAATTGGAATTCCAGTTATCCGTAAAACAAATAAAGTAAAGGACTGATCCTAGTTAAGAAAATTATATAAGTTGGAACTATTTAGTAACTATTCAAAGTTGTTTATATTCATATTTTCAATTGATTCTTCAGAAGGATTTCTTCTGGTGCTTTTCATTTGTAAGTACATTGTATCGGGTAATGCGTTGAACTTTTAATCGATCATATAATCGCAGTCGTTCTAAAATTAAACAATAAAACGAAGTGCATAATTTAATATGAAATCTTGATTGCATGACAAGCAGTCCCTAGGAACTATTTTTGTGGTGAAAGTGGTAAAAGCGACATAAATGTAATGGACAAATCCTATTTTATGTAATACCTTTACCTGCACCAAGTTTTTAACTGGTAGCATGAATGATATTCTTGAAACATGTTTTAGCGTTCCAAGCTTTAGACATTAACTATTACTTTCTTCGGGGCATAGAGACCGAATTTTAGAATGGTATCAAGCTACACGTGTTTCGAATATTTAAGCATGACCATTACGTTGCATTTAAACGGATTACAGTTATTAAACAATTAAAAATTATTGTCTAAAACGAAGCCTAGTTCAAAATTTCTAGGAAGAAACAAATTATATAAGTCCAGGAAGGATATTCACATATTTACGACAATAAATCTAGAACTCTGAATGTAAAACAATTAAAAAGAAAACCACCTACATATAAATTACATAAATTCAACTGATGACGTCCAATTCACTAAACTGCGTAAGTTATACAAACAGAATAATATAGAATTTCCTAAATTATATCTCTTCAACTAGACACCTGACAAATATGAGCGTTCCATCATAATTTGGAAGATAATTACAGTCAATGGAAAAAGTATTGGCAACCCCCACGCCAGCTATATAAAATTTGCTGTAACGTTAGAATGCATTATACAATTGGCATGAAAATTTGTAGGCCTTTAGCAAATATTATGTAGTTTTCGATTATAGTCATGTTTTATTGATTCAAATTAGATAAACAGTTTTTAAATAATTTGTTGGAAAATTTGCAAAATTTACCCGCAAAAAGTATTGGCAACATGTGGCCAAATTAATTACGCGAAACAATTTTCTTAATCAGCTACCACATTTCATTACGGTAAGTTAATTAGGTGACCAAATATGACGTTAGCTACATTTTAAGTCTACAGTTGTGTTGTCTGGAGCCAAAATGGCGACATCAAACGAGCTGTATTTGGCGCGGCGAGAAATAATCATGTATCTTTCACAAAAAAGCTTTACTATCGAAAAATCAAAGAGAAAACATACTTTTCCATATTTACTATTGAATAGGTAGCCAAGAAATATAAAATGACAATCTCAGTTTCTACTTTTCCATGGTGCGGAAGAAAAAAGTCACCTACGCCCACGAGCCACTGATGAATCAAGCAAATTATCACTCGAGATCGGAAGATTTTAACCCCAAAAACCATGTTGAATTTGAGAACCAACTGTGGCGTCAACATATCATGCAATATTGTGATCAATCAAAAATCATGCCATGGGGTTTCAGGGTCCAGAAGCCCGACTGACGCGAGGGTCCCCAAAACGAACCAACTCAATAAATTGGAATGGACTAAACACCACCCTGAATAGACTTCCAATGAATGAAGAAGGTTCTGCTGGTCTGACATAAGCATATTTTACTTATTCGGAGCAAATTGAATGGTTCAAGTCTGGCGGATGCCATAATAGGCTCACAAAAACGAATATGTTCGTATGACAGCTAAACACAGAAGAGGAGCGATTATGGTTTGGGGTTAAATGACTAGGTCGTGGGGTAGGTAGCTGGTCATTATCGATGGAATCATGACCAATGAGGTCCAAATAATCATTCTAAACGATAATTTGAAATTATTTGATGAAAATCTGACCTATGAAGGAATTTTATATTCCGAAAATTCAGTGACCCCAAACATGTAGCCAATTTAACGATGCAAGGTTTTGGAGATCGAAAAGGTTAAGCTTCTTTCGTTGATTGCACAGTCTCCCGATGTGATTCTGATTGTCCGGATTCAGAAAAGAGGGACTGGTGGGAAACCACTCTTCGAAAAACGACCTTGTCAAAAGTTCAAAGGAAGTGTGGGCAGCCATATAGAAAAGCGTTATAACGAAACTTGTTGAATCAATTCCACGACGTATTTTTGCTTGTATTGCGTCGAGGGGAGGTGCTACGTAATACTAGAAGCAGTTTGTCATAATAAAATTGGCGTTTCTTTGATTTATGATTTTTTAAGTTAAGGGTTGCCAATACTTTTTGCGGGTAAATTTTGCAAATTTTCCAACAAATTATTTAAAAACTGTGTTTATCTAATTTTAATTAATAAATCATGATTATAATCGAAAACTACATTATATTTGCTAAATGGGTACAAATTTCCATACCAATTGTATGATGCATTCCATGGTTATAGCCAATTTTATTTAGCTGACGTGGGGGTTGCCAATACTTTTTCCATTGACTGTACGTACAGACGGCGGCCAAGGGACAGACGGACTCTGTAATTTAACAAGTGTGAAGTGTAACAAAAAATCGCGTAATACTGATATTTACTTAAAAAATCAATATTGGAAGCTCGTACAAAAAATCGTATCCAATGAACTATTTCTCTCTTAAAGAAAGTAGGCCAGTCGTAAGATATTCGTTAGTAACGAATATTCTTCAAAAATATAAGATTTCGTCCAATCGGGAAAATTCAATTAAATTGAAACAAACATCCGAAATGTTTAACATTTTGACTTTAAAAATCATGAAAATTTCCATGAAAATTTTCTCCTGTATGGGAAGCCATCTTTACGAGTGGAATAACAGCGACGATGATGTCAGTTGCTTCAAGGTGACTAGTAAATTATGGAGGAAAATTACGTTCTTTATTGGATTTTCAAGCACGGTTTTATACTACTGCTTCCTTATCTGGAGACTTATCCAATATTCGAACCAACTGGAATCCGATCCTTCCTTCCCGGACATCGTTTGGCTCTGGATATGGATAATTTTGACTACTTGGGCCATAGTAAGTTTCTACAATGGGTGGACAAAGAAGCGGGAAGTTGTCGCCCATTTCAAAGGGGTGACGCTACTAATGAAACAGCTCGAGAGAGGTGAGTATTTTCCGCAAATTAAACTTGAGGAACGATTACTTTAAGAAAATACTTAAGTGTTCAAAGTAGCAGATCTCATAATTTGCACATTTGCGAAAGCTACAGATTTTAGTCCAAACTTGAGACATAAATCATAGAAAATGGGGATTACGAGATTATGAAAATGAGGTGACAAGCTATTTTGGACAGACAGTAGTTCTCATGATTTTTATGCAATTTTTAAGACCCCCGGAAATCATAAATGTATAATTGTATAATTTTCAGAACACCCTACCGTAAAAATGAAGTCGGTAATCTGGAAGTTCAACGTGATGGATGTCCATTTTATTGTGGTTATTTTTATTATATTCAACTACGTGGGAGCCGTATCCATCATGTTCTTTGTCGTTCCTGGACGACCTCAGTACATTTATTCGTTACTTTCTCCGAGCAAAATTTCCAGGATTGACGCAGCTTTTCTTCTCTTTCTCGGATTCGAAATTTACGCTAAAGCTTCGCAAGTATGCATGATGGCCATGCAAGAATTCTCCATATTTCCAGTGCTACTTCCAACCGATTTCTGGTTGGACTATTGTAAAAAGTACGTAAATTACGTAAATTATGTAAATTATGGATGCACTCATAACTTTCGCATATTTCGTACATGCGGCGTATTTAAATACCTTGCTAACTTTCGCAAATTTTGTAGACGTAAAAAACTTTGGAAAATGTGCAACTTAAAAAAAATTATGGGATTTTTGTAGGGAAATTTATCCATGTTTCCTAAGGGCATGTTTTCACTGCGAAAAATTATTTGCATAAGTTGTTATGCGACTAATGCATTTAAAAGGTTGCCGTGAATATGCCTAATATTACTGTATTTCGTAATACGAGACTAATTTTGTTAATTCGAAATTTCAGAGCGGAACATAATATTATTCCGACTTGGAAAAAGGTCGAAATCTTGAGGAAATTTCACGTCTTAATAACGTACTATAATTACGCCTCTGTCCAACTCCTTACTCCCGTTATATCCGTGTTCATCCCGGTTGGCATCAGCGTCTCGTGTTTCTTCGCAGTCATCCGATTTCACAGCTTTCTCCCAATTTTCGAATACTTGCCATTTCCCGTCTTATCCAACAATGGGATGGTCGTCCTCCTTGTGACGCTTCTTCCCGCCACTGCGATTTACGAAGGATCGATCAAACTTTGCCAGAAAATTCGTACCGAGGGAAATATGAGTATGAATAAGGTGTTAAGAAAACGTGTAGCAACGCTGCACCCATTTGGCGTAAGGATTGGCCCAATTGGTAAAATTAGAAAGATAGCGATTCTTTTGATGTATCATTTCATAGCGAACAATATTTTTACTCTGCTCGTCACATTTCCCCCGGAAAATGTAATTCCCTAAATTATAAAATATTTGAAATATCAATTGACATTTCAAATATTAAATATTGTATTTGTCATATCATTTATATTTATATAAATAATATGAAATTGAAAATATTAACTAGCTAATTATGCTGTGACCAGAATAATTTGTAATAATTCGTAATTTGTGTCCTTTACATATGTAGTCCAACCTAATAACAGAGGTGAGCATGGTCTGGTCCCCAGTTTTAGACCAAATTCGCCCAGTGAAAAAATTATTTCTGCATAATTTGCGCAGATTAGATTACATAAGTTTACATGATAAATTCTCTATCTGTGAACATATAGTTTGTGACAAGGAAAACAATAAATATACTTTTCTATTCGTCTGCAACGTTTCAAAAACTTTTGAAATTTTTATTTTGATCTACATAAGACGATGTACATACATATTTATATACAAAGGGAAGTTCAAGTTTAATAAATGTTCTTTCAACCCTTCTTCGCATATTCCAAAGTTTGTCGACATCTCGGCAAATGGTTGACGGCAAGATTACAAATTCTCCTAAACGACTCACTCCCCTCTCCACCACCCACTTGCTCCAACATTTTGTTCACCCCATCCGCCCCATAATCGTCTTGGGTTATGTCTAAAAAATTCAAAAAGTTTAGATTCTAATTCAGACAGAAGATTTCAAAAATTTACGAACTCTCCATGTCCGGAACATCGCCCCCGTCCGCGCACATGAACGGCACCATGATCAAGCCCATGAGGACGCCGGAGAATTTGCATTCTTCCCACTCCTCCATAAAATCCAGCCATGATAACCCGTCTCCATTCGTGTTAAAACCCAACTTATCCAAAAACCTGATAAACTCGTCGTAATACAGTTTCAGGTAGAAATCTTCCCTCTCGTTCAACTCGTCGTTGGAGAGACTCGTATGCATAAAATATGCCACGTCGACACTCCGCGGGGCGCAACGAGATATTTGAAAATCGAGAAATTTAAAGCGCCCGCCATCAGCAAAGAGCATATTATTCGTCCAGCAGTCGCCATGGTTGATGACGACATGTTTCTGTTCAAAATAAGGGTTTAGCTCATCTGCTCAACGAGTACATTTAGCGACTACTTTATTTAAGATCAAGTCATGTCGTATATAAGCAAGTACAATTAATGCATTCATAATGCATGCATAACCTAGCAGGTTAATAAACTGATGCAAATCCACCCATAATAGTTGGTGGTCTAATATTTGATGCTATGCACATAATTGACATACATCATTGGCAGATCATATCATGATTATTTTTAACACTCCCTTTAAACATATATGATCTAATTAAATATTATTCTCCGGGTCGTTCCATCACCAAGCTCCATAGTAGGGTAGACTGCTCCTTGAACTGCTGCTGCTCCTCCACATATTCTTTGCTGCTGAGAACGAGCACCAATAAAATAATAAAACTTCACAAAAGGTTTTCCCTTTTTTAGTTCACATTTTTGGACAAAACTTTTCGGTTTTACCAATTTGAATAGGCCAATCCCATAAATAATGCTCACAGATTTTTCTCCTTTTTAAATACTGGGAAATTCCTTCTGATGCATTCGAATGCATGTACAGAAGTAAAACAATGAGTGCAAACTCATAAGTAGCACGCTCGCTCCCTTTAAACTGCATGCAGATCTGCATTAAAACGAGCCGAGGTTGATACTCGCTTATGTTATGCTTTTTCAGCACATAGTTGGACTTACGGAAGTGTGTTCCTTTTTCTCTTCGAAAAAAGACTTCCCTTCCATGAAATCTGATCAGGACTAGAATTCTTATGCTGAAAAACAACTTTAACATCTCAAATTCTTCTGACCATGGTGCATTAAACTTGCAATAATTCTTTGGAATTAAAACACGAGCATTCGTCCTCTTTTTCTTATTTTTTCCTGGGTTTCTCTGATTTGATTTTTTAGTATCATCTCGTCGTGTGACAGGTATAACTGCTTGTTCAGGTGGGGCTTCCTCGGTACTTTTCGTACGATGAGGTCTGTGTAGAATGTCAGTGTTTATTGCATATTTCAAAGCTCGATGACTCGTATGCAATTCATTCAGCCAAAACATATTTTCTTTCTCCGGGGCAAATGAGATTAACCTTTGACTCTGATAATCTTTTCCATTCTTATATCTCGGTATTTTAACATTGTTTTCTGTAATGTTGGTGGCAATAATTTCATCTTTCACATTCATTACTGGTTTACAGAATGAGGGCGTTTCGTTAGTCACAACAAAACAATTCAAATCCTCAATTTCTGAGATTTTTGTTAATTCTCCGGTTCCGAATATCACAGTTTTTTCAACTACGATATCAGAATTTAATTTCATGCATTCATCAACCTTGAACTTGGTACTTTGTTTACTTATGTCCACCGATCTCCAGGCTTCCCTGAATTGTCTGTATTTATCTCCCGCTAAGCTTGAGATTACTCTGGCCACTTCAGCTACGTCATCAATTACTATTCCTAAGCTTCTGAGCTGTGAAGCAATATTCTGTATCTGAATCATGGTTTTAACTGGCGATTTTTCATCAGCCATAATCAAGTAAAACTTTTGCCACAAGGCTTGTTTATTTTCTCCGCTTGTGCTTTGATATATGGAACTCAATTTATCCCACATTTCTGGTGCAGTTTTGCAACCAAATACCGTTTCTACTTGTTCATCTGTCATAGTAAATTACATGACCGTTAAGGCTTCGTTGTTGCCTTCGTCCCAATTTTCTTGGTCAGGTCCTGATGCGGCTGGGCGTATTTGTGTCCCGTCAACAATTTCCATTAATTGATGAGTTTTAAAGAAACACACTAACCTTATCCTCCAAACCGTGTAATTTTCTCCGTTTAACTTCGAGATGGATGAAGTATCAAATCTCCTCATGGAAATTTTTGTAGTCGAAGTCATTTTCTGACTTACTATTAGAACAACTTAACAATGTTGAATTAGTCACAAGTCTTTTTCAGATCTTGGTCTCAGTCTCACTTTTTTATATTGTAGAACTTTTCACATATTAATCTTTTCAGATTAAGTTGAGCAGTAACTAGAGCCGTGCTGATAACGTGTTCAAAATAAGGGTTTAGCTCATCTGCTCAACGAGTACATTTAGCGACTACTTTATTTAAGATCAAGTCATGTCGTATATAAGCAAGTACAATTAATGCATTCATAATGCATGCATAACCTAGCAGGTTAATAAACTGATGCAAATCCACCCATAATAGTTGGTGGTCTAATATTTGATGCTATGCACATAATTGACATACATCATTGGCAGATCATATCATGATTATTTTTAACAGTTTCGAATTTCCGTCGATATGGGAATTCAAATCGGACCAGAAGGGGGCGTCGTTGGGGTCGTCGCCGCCATAAAGTTTGGAGATTAGATCAGCCTCGTGAGCATGACCGGCGGCACGGATCTTCTCGGAGATGCTGATGAGGGACGATTTCATCCAGGAAATCATATTTGGGTCGGCTTTGTCAAGGGGAGGAAATAGGCGTTCTTTAAGCCAAGGGTACTTTGACATTATGGCGGTCCTGTCACCGGCAAATTGGGCGTATGAGATGGCGTGAAATTGGGCAAGGTTGAGTAGCACGAGACTAATTTGTGGAGGGGTCAAGCCGTTGATGCGATCAGCCACGTAAAACCTGGAATAATTATGGTAGAGATTATTGTAGAACTTGTAGAACATAAAAATGTATATATCTTTTTGTAATTTGTTGGGGAGGTGGAATTAGGATGTGCATACACTGGGGGAGGGGTTCATAGGACTACTTCCGGGGAATCGAGTGATCGATGTAAAAGGACATAAATATTACACCATACAACTAAAACAAAATTTTAAGTTTTAATTCTGCAGAATTTAGCCAAGCAAAAGATTGGGAGTTTGCATAGATACATTGCTAAAATTCACAACTTGCGAATATTTATATTAAGTATGTATTTCTGGGTTATTTTTGTGCAGAGTTTTGTAACCCAATAAATTCTTACCCAACCAAATTTAGAGTGATTTATATAAGTTCCATTACTACGTAAGGGAAATTTTCTACGGATCTTACAAAGCTCAATAATTAATACTTTTCAAAAATTTTAAAGTATTTAATTGCACATATTTTTTACTTTACATATCGTTAAATGAGTTACAAATACCCGAGTAAAATTAGCTCTACTTAATAATTTTACTAACCCTTCTCTCCTCAAGTCCTCCATTGCCAAATAGTCGTTTAGGCCGTCTTGAAATGTCACGAAGCAGGTCGGCCACCCAGAATATATTTGTGACCTTTCCAATCCCTTGTCCTCCTGGAACTTGATCATCTCTGGGATAACTTGAGTATACATATTCACTTCTTTCACAAATGCGGTCATATCATTAATTTCTTTAACACGGAGTGCATTTTTCGGCATGGTTTTGAGCATTACGTCAAGTTTTTCCGGGTCATTGTTCCCATTTATTAATAGGATTTCTACCGCATACATGATCGACATGTAGTTATCGCCTGGTTTTGTATCAGGGTTGACAGAGTATGACACCACAGTGGCATCAGGCTTGTAGGCAGTTTTTTCTATGCGATTTTCTGAACAGTTGATGGTGTAACAACTTCTTCTGGTGGAGGCGGTAGTAATTCTTCATCTTTTTGTTTATCGGACTCCTGGCTCATTTTGGTTTCTTATGAACAAAACAGGAATTTAAATTACTGGCGAATTAAACAATGAGGTACATAATTTGAGCTATGTATTGGTAACTTGCAAAATCAGTTTTGTAAAATAACTTTACAACATATAAACAAGGTCCCAAAAAAGGGGAAATCTTAGTGAGGTAGTGCAATCATAAGTAATAAATAAAATTAGATTGCCAAATTTTTGCATCACCGCTCTCGGTACAATTTTTTACTCCAAGCATTAATCGTTTAAATAGAAAAGTTGTCATCTCAAAAGGTCCCATGATTTTGCCTGAATAGAATATCCAAATTGATATATTAATTGAAATTATAGATTTGTATCTTTTTTAAACAAATACGTAGTTCATAATTGTTTAGCCATTATATTTTACATATCTCAGTTAATTTAACCCACTTCTCGTTCACTACACAGTAAAAATGCCTTCTTTCTCAATTTATTCAATAAAATTAAGAATTCCTATGCAAAACAAATTGTCTATGCAAAAAATGAAAAACAAAAAAAAATGCAAATTTGCCTTTGCCTATGCAAAAAAAATGCAAATTTGCCTTTGCCTATGCAAAAAAAATTTATACTGTAAAAATGGTACCGAGAGCGGTGATGCAAAAATTCGGTAATCTAATTTTATTTATTACTTATGATTGCACTACCTCACTAAGATTTCCCCTTTTTTGGGACCTTGTTTATTTATAACTTGTAATTGGAATATCAATAGGATGCACCATCCCCTTTCAATATTTGTATCCGGGATAATTTTATTAAATGCTTCGTTTTCAAAATTGAATTATTTCGTTATTTCTTAACCGATTCACGTTATTTTGGTCTTAAGATGTCTGGTCTAGATTACTAGATACCAAATGACCTAATCTGAAGGTGCGACACTCACAACCACCACTTCATGCATTGTACCAAAAGTGTTGCAGAATCAAATATTAGTTCTTCTGTTTACAGTTTTGAATATTTATTTTGTCTTAAATTTATTATTCATATGTCGTTGTCAATGACATTGATTCGTAGAACGTCTATGAATTTTATGGTCTTTAAATTGGAATAACTAAATCAATTCGGAACGGATTTTGATGTATTTATACTTAAAATTTTCGGGATAAACTGTTCTACAATTCGTGGGGTTCAAATTGATGATAAAGTTTGCTAGTAATTAGCAATAATTACAAATGTGTTTCTAAGGCCACATTTTTGCCCATAATTCCGGTAAAAATCAAGTAATCGCTTAGTCGGATCAGATCCCATTTCTAAATTATGTAACAATAATCGGTACAAAATTTCATCAAAATCGGTTAAGAAATGACTGAGATATCTCAGATGGTCACTTTTTTGGGGTGGGTCAAATGCATACTTAGTAATTTTTTTCGTTGTTAGGTATTTGCCTCACTAAGAGAAAGGATAGCGTTACCTGAATAAGGTTACAAAAATTTGTGAGCTATGTATATTCCCTTAGTAATTTTCTAAAATTTTGTAAAAGTTTGTAAGTTTACAGGATTTATGGATTTTACAAAGTTACCAAGAACTACGTGAATTGCCTTGATTTGAAACTTTTTGTGTATGCACTAAACAGTAACCTCCTTCAACAAGAAACAAACATCATTATTAACTTCACATACCTTTCGCAAATTTAAATTTTTAGGCACTTATAAAAGACAGTAAAATATAGAAACTATGTACATACAAGCGATCAAAGGTTTGCCAAATGCACAGATTAAATACGTCAATCTGCTCGGTATTACATTTGTACATCCTTTCACATCTGCTTGTTGGTATTACTTTTTTTAATTAAAATGACCCTGAGCTGGAGTGGCTCAGGGCCACTATGTATAAATAAAATGAGCAATTTTTTGTATTGATCATATACGATACAGTGTCATCCTAGTCAATTATTTTCTCGTTTACTTGCAAACATTGTATGCATTTGTATGAATTGCATGCCGTGTTAGGTTTAGCATTCATGACATCAGTAGGCCCGACGTTACAGAAAAAATTAATATGTAAGAGGATATAATTGTCACTGATAAATTACCTTATTTAGACTTGGATTTAAAATTACACAACTTTATTTATGCACACTTTACATATAGCAAGTAAACTGGTAAGCACACTTTTTCTGCGTCAGCCAGCATTGACCATTCCAAAATTTATTATTCGAGTCATAATAAAAATAATAAGATATTCAAAATTAGTTGTAGCTGCAAAAAAGCATCATTGCTCATCCCTTCTTCGCATATTCCAACGTTTGTCGACACCTTGGTAAATGGTTGACGGCAAGATTAAAAATTTTCTTCCATGACGCGCTCCCTTCTCCGCAGCCAACTTGATCAATCATTTTGTCCACGGCATCCGCTCCATAATCGTCTTGGCTTAAGTCTAACAGATTTTGGAATCAAAATCAAATACAAAATTTAAATATTCAAATACTAAATTCACATACTTTCCATATCGGGAAGTACATCGGCCTCGGCGCATATAAACGGCGCCATGGACAGGCCCATGACAACTCCAGAGAATTTGCATTCTTTCCACTCCTCCATAAAATCCTCCCACGACAATCCCGCCCCACTCGTATCAAAACCTAACTTATCCAAAAACCTGATAAACTCGTCGTAATACAATTTTAAGTAGAAATCTTCTCTCTCGTTCAAGTCTTCATTGGAGAAACTCGTGTGCATAAAATATGCTAGGTCGACACCTCTTAGAGCGCATCGGGATGCTTGAAAGTCTATAAATTTGAGTCGTCCGTCCTCATGAAACAGAACATTATTCGTCCAACAGTCGCCGTGATTAATGACAACGTGTTTTTTATTTCCGGACACGAGGGAATTCATGTCGGACCAGAATGTGGTGTCGTTGGGGTCGTCGCCACCATAAATTTTGGACATTAAATCGGCCTCGTGTGCATGACCGGCGGAACGGATCCTGTCGGAGAGATTGACAATGGACGATTTCATCCAGGATATCATATTTGGATCTATTTTATCCGCGGGGGGAAATATGCGTTCTTCAAGCCAAGGGTACTTTGACATTATGGCGGTCCTGTCACCGCCAAATTGGGCGTATGAGATGGCGTGAAATTGAGCAAGGTTTAGCAAGAGGAGACGAACTTGTGGAGGCGTCAGGCCGTTGATGCGATCAGCCATGTAAAACCTGGAGTAATAATAGCAACGATTAGTAATATGTACAATTTAAATTATCGCATGCTACTGATGTACATATTTTAGGCTATGTAAAATATTTCAGCGTTTCACGCCGATCTTTGTAACCCAGTAAAATTCTTAGCATACGAAATTGACCGTTTAGTAAAGGAAATTAGCTTGCAGGATTAAAAGCATCGCTGTATTTTGCAAAAAATTGTAACATAATTGTGCACACGGAGTTGCACACGGAGTTTAGTTGATTACAGTTATGTGAGTTAATCGCCACTCTATCTAATAATTTTAAAATAATTTTATATTTTAATACTAACCCTTTTCCCCTCAAGTCTTCCATCGCTAAGTAGTCATCTATACCATTTTGAAAAGTTGCGAAACAGGTCGGCCACCCGGAAAATATTTGGGACCTTTCCAACCCCTTGCCCTCCTGGAATTTTACCATCCCTGGGAAAAGTTGAGTATACATGTTCGCTTCCTTGACAAATGCGGCCATTTCATTAATTTCTCTAATGCGGAGTGGATTTTTCGGCATGGTTTTGAGCATTACATCAATATTTTCAGGGTTATTGCTCCCATTTTTCAGTAAGATTTCTACCGCGTACATGACCGACATGTAGTTATCGCCTGGTTTTGTACCAGGTTTGACGGAGTATGACACCACAATGGCATCAGGCTTGTAAGCGGAAGCGATTTTCTGGACAATTGTAGATGAAACGGCTTCTTCCAATTGTGGTGGCAGTACTTCGGAGTCTTTCAATCCGTCAGTGTCAGACTCCTGGCTCATTTTGGTTTCTGAGGTGCACAACCGAAATTTTAAATAATTACAGAAGATTCAGAGAATTAGTATACATCAAATTTTACTCTTAATTTTTGTGTATATAGTAATTCATAACATTTATCAAAAAGAACAAATTATGCACATATGTACAAACCTTCTGCAAATTTCAATGTCACTTTGTTAGGCACCTGTTAATAATCAGCAAAGTAAAGAAAGTACACAAGATATCAATCACCACATGCACAGATCTCATCAATCTTCTCTGATCACTTAATTAAATACACATGTTTGCATTTTCATCTGTGTTTAGGCTGGGTAAGTTAGCCGGCCGATTGTCACGCAGGATAAAGCAGTGAAGTGACCCTGGACGGAATGGAACGAATGTACAACGAACATGTTTTGTGATCTCCGTCATATTTATGTACATACATACGTATGCTGCAGTTTTATGTTTCTCAATTAGATATTTTGTCGTTGACTACATGTGCTTACTATGCGATATTTTATTGTGAAATTTCGTTACAACGTGATATATTTAGAGAAAAATGTGCATATGTAGGTACATACATATATTCATACATGCATGCGGGTACAAATGTACAAATTCTGTGGAACTACTCATTAGCAGTGGTATCTGTAAATGTAGCTGAATGTACATATGTACATATTGGTAATTTATATCTTTATTTTAAATCTTGATTCTAATTAATGAGCATTAATTCTTCCATTGCTTAGGGATCCACAAATGAGACAAGGATATACCTGTCAGAAAATTAAATGAATTAGTACAAATTACTGCACTTCAGTTTGTCATAAATCAGTGCACTTTTATCAACCTGGTTCCACTCAATATTGATAGACCTTCGTGTTCATGTGTCAATTTTCCTGGATGGATCAAAGCGTGTCCAACTTTGGAATGATCAATGGAACAATTATACCGTGTAAATCGGCATCCTCCACCCTGCAGATCGGGTCACAAGTGATTTGGATAAGAATATCAAGCCTGACGACAATTGGTATTTGGTGAATACCTCGAAATCAATTCCTCCTCCCTTGTTCAACGCGATATTTACGGTGTAGGTGGATTTGTCATGATGAGGCTTTAGATACGCCTGTTCATCAGGTTTATAGCGGACGACAAAGTTCATTTTAGCGATTGGTGGCTGGAAAAGGAATACAATTTTTGAATCATTGATGCAAATTTGTGCCCTAGTTTTGCATTTTTACATGTGTAAAATAACTCACGTATGGTAAATTATCCATGAATAGCTTAACTTGTAGTGGAACGACGTACAGGCGAAGAAATTCTAACCAAACGTCTCCAAATCCAATCTCATACAGGTGAATGTCCACCGTTGGAGCGTCCTCCGTGGCGCCACCCTCGGCACGATGGTCCTTAATTTGTGTTAAAATTTTAATTTAATTAATATAATGAATAATAATACGAACCGAGTTTTAAAGCAAAATCTTTATGTACATAATTTAGCCCCATAAACCATTTTCCATACACCTCCATTTCGTCGATAAGTTCCTCACAAAAACTTGGGGTGACTAAAGGGACCCAGAAAACGTCGGGGCAGGGCTATTTAAAAATATGAAGAATAACATTCTTACAGTGTAAATTGCATAGATTGCACATCGCAATCTAAGTATTTACCATTGTTTCAGGATTTTTCATAATTTCGACCAAAGACTGATTCACATTGAGAACACTACTCCAGTCCGCGTGTAGATATCTCTTCTCCCAATCGTATCGGTTGTCGAATAATTCATACAACTCGGCATGTATTCGTGTAATGTCAAAATTGTCTGAATTAATCTAAATATGAAATTTGTAGATGTTAAAAATTATTTGTTATTTACAGCATGCACAATTGGTATTGTGCACTTTTCCATCCAACAATTGCCACCCACCAATTGCCACTCGACAATTGCCACTCTTGACCAATTGCCATCCACCATTTGCCACTCCACAATTGCCACTGTTTCCCAATTGCCATCCACCAATTTCCGCTCTATGCCAATTCCCACCTTTGCATTATTTATGTAGCATATCATACCACGAAATCACCCATAAAATCTATTTAATTTAATGTTTAACAAGATAAGGAAGGGTAGAGAAAAAAAATAATAAAAAAACATCACCCATATCCATTGAAATCTTTATGCAGTGAGCCACACGATGAGGCATGTTACATTGTCTGAATATATCTGGTCGTGTGGCAGTGAACAGCGTCTCCAGCAAAATTTTTGTTTCGAATTCGGAAAATTGTGAATAATTTGGCAAGTGAGTGCGTTAAGGCCCATGAAAGAATGAAAGGAAGATTTTTAGAACTTTACGGTCAGGGTAAAATAGTTTTTGGCCCGTACGGTCTAGGTCTCTGGTCTTTTGCTGATCTGTTCTAATCAGTTGGCCGTTGGAAGAGAGGAATGGGTCAGCTATTTGTGGAATATTTTATATTCTACAACTTTGTTTTATCTTCTAGATAAAACTCGACACTGAGTGCAGACTTTGTCGGTAATTATGTTTAATTATTGTTTTATCAGTGATAGCATATCTTGGGATAAGCATAGCCAAAACCTCTGTTACAGGGGCATGAATGACTTCGTGGTGTTACACAAAAAATGCAAAGGTGGGAATTGAACAATTCCCACCACAGCAGAAATTGTCGAGTGGAAATTGATGGATGGCAATTGATAAAAAGTGGCAATTGTGGAGTGGCAAATGGTGGATGGCAATTGGTCAACAGTGGCAATTGTCGAGTGGAAATTGGTGGGTGGCAATTGTTGGATGGAAATTTACACCAAATCGCACAATTTAGGAGCCAGATTAGCAAAACTATTTAAATACTGGAAAAACTTGCGAAAATTATTTACCAAATGTCCAAATTCCACCACGTTTGAGACAAACATAGGAATATTCCTGATTCTATTATTTAAACAAAATGCTAACTCCGGAATTAGGAAATTATTCGTGTATTTTGGTCGAAGAGTAGAATTTCTAAAAATATCATAACTCATGAGATACGCTCCGGATAAAAATGGGACTTTCCATACTCCTCTAGAAAATACGTAAAAACACGAATTTGCAAATCGGTTACACATAAACTGCACGATAGGTAATTGAACATTTAGCACTTACGTTACATTTCGTTTAACAATGCTCACATAATCTTTTGACCTGGCGTAATACCCGTCGTGGTTAATAGCACCCCAAAAGTTGGACCAGCCAGAATATGGACGTATCAGCATGGGTGAAATAATTCCTTTTTTACCTTCGCCAATTAAGATTTTTAGGGTGGCAGGATTATCCAAATGTGCGTCGGAATTGAGGCTAAAGAAATATTCGAACTCATTTGCGATGGCTTCATCTCTGTAAAAGTATTAATGTATTTTTTAATAAGATATCGCATTTTACCCACATGATAGCATAAACTTAACTTTAACTTACACAGCTATTCTTCTAGCGTCATTGTCACCAATTCTAGTCCGACTTCCAAGTGACGTAAAACTTTGATAGAATTTTGAATATTTATGCCGAAAATTATCCACTTGATGGCCATGGTATAGCGCCTGTATTTTATTTAATGTCAGGTTTCAGGTAAAATAAAAAGGAGAAAATTCAGACAGTCCTTAGAATCGGTAATTTTGCAAAATAATTTACAAGATTCTTATGAAATAGGTGATCTGCACGCGCTTATAAAATTCCGCATCTGCAAGAACTGTATGAATGTCATAATATTTAATATTGGACATACTCACGAAAACTGTCACATAGCTTGGAAATTGCTGTGTGATGTTTTGTTGATTTCGCAAAACTTGCTACGGGAAAAGTATGGAATTTGTCCAGCATTATGGTTATTATTTAACAAAATATTTGCGAGATAAATCCTACTATGTGAAGTACGTAAAAAGTTGACGTGAGTAGGCCCATTATACAAATTATGTAGTGAAATAAAATTACACCATTGTACAAAAAGATGCCTAAATTTTTCTTGGGGTAGTCAAGATTTACGACTTTTTCAAAGAACTCTTCTATAAATGGTGTCGGTCTTTTGATAAAGATGGCCAACTGTACCGTCGGAAAATTAATATCCTGAGGAATAGATAACACACATTATTTTTCATCGATTAGAGTTATATCTTAACGTACTTACACTCCTATTAAAATTTACAAAAGTCCCCAAAGTTGGGTGAATACTGCACTGATCTTTTCCAATTATGCAATTCGATTCCCGATTGGGTCTTGTGCTATACTTGCCACATTCTACTTTTGTTTTGCCTGAAATTATGGATACATAATTAACAATGGAGGCGCAAACCATGTTCAGCCCAGATAATGTTTTGACCATGTTAGTTTGGAAGAGCAAGTCTTTAGAAAGAACATTTGGCTGGACACTTGCGCAGATGCGCAAAATTCGGCACGTTATGGGCGCCGGAAGTTCGCAAAAACGCATGATTTTTCATGCACGGTCGTACGCGAGCTCAGCTTTTTTCCGTCTCTGTCGCTCACTCTCTCGCTCCGACGCGAGGATATTGACGTCGTAATCCTTCTTCATCCCCATTTTTCACCAATAATTCCGAATTGTTATATTTTTAACTACAAATTTTGGAATTAATTCACCCGTAATTTCGTAATTTTATAAGATTTTTGGACAAGAATTTCTGCAGTTTATTCTTCCTCTGCTCTGCATCGGATCTGTATCTTCACAGTCAAAAGTTTTCTGAACAAGTAATAAAAATTATTTTGGGGAATATTAAAATTATTAAAATTATGAAATTGGGGGAAATGAATTCCAAAATTTATAGTTAAAAATATAACAATTCGGAATTATTGATGGAAAATGCGGATGAAAGGTTGCGGGGTCAATGCCCTCGCGTGGAAGTGAAAGAGTGAGTGACATAGACGGAAAAAAACTGAGCTCGCGTAAGACCGTGCTTGAAAAATCATGTTTTTGCGAACTTGCGGCGCCTATAACGTGCCGAATTTTGCGCATCTGCGCAAGTGCCAAGCCAAATGTTGTTTCTAAAGACTTGCTCTTCCAAACTAACATGGTCAGAAAATTATCTGCGTTGAACATGGTTTGCGCCTCCATTGTAAGTTTAAAAAAATTTACTACATTTTTAGGTAAAGTGAATACTTTAACGATGGGCTCATTCACGACAACATTGAAAAACTTTTAAATTAAAAATATCAATATCAATATAGGTATGCGACTTTTGAATATTGTGAAATTTGCACTATTCTCCTCAAAATTTTTGTTAAATATAAAATCATGGGATTTTTATTCGCAAATTTGTCAACAAAATTGGGGTGTTTTGCAAAGTAAGATGTCGACGTGAATACACCCGCATATCCGACTTACAAAATTCATTCGAAATCCGGCCTTGAGTAGTATTAAGCTCGGTTGAAGTATTCAGTGGAAATATGAGAAAAAGAAGAACACTTGCTAACCGTTCCATAATCAAGCAAAACTAAATATTAATTTGCATACATGTACCTTTACCACAAGTTACTGAAACCTGAACTAAATTTGCTTATGAATGGACATTTAAATTGTTAAATGACCAGAGGTTGCTTAAATTCCGTGTTTACAGTTTACAATTCAGATATAAAAATTGTATCTATTGTCCTTAATTTTGACTTGCAGTTTAAATTACTAGTTATGCAATAAGTACGTGCATATGTGTGTACATATGTACATAAGTAAGCAAAAGGTTTACTTAACGCGTAGTTATCATCTTTATGCATATCGCAAATAAAAAATTCTGAGTTTCAGTATATTACACACGAATTTATGCATGTATGTACGTGCGCATGTTTGCATAATTTCTTATAAATTTTATGCAAGTAAACACAATATTATTAAATACATTGTGGAATAAATCTATTTGTGCTTGATTGATACACCAGCGACATGAGATAAATAATAGAATTTGATGATTTCTGAGTACATATAATGAAAAATTAAGCGTAAATACATTTTACGACACAAATAATGCTAGTGTTTAATTTAGTCCTCGGTATACGCCGAGATTAGCATAATCGCAGTTGAAACAAATGCAAAACAGATTGATATGACGAAGCACAATCGCTCCACCACGACCGCTGCAAACATCCATTGTTCCCGTAACTCGTCTTTGTCCACATTTCCAACAACTTCAGTTTTAATCGAATCCACGTCCGGGTGAAGATTAGCTTTTAGATCGCTTTTCCCAACCTTATTTATTTTTTGAATTTGCTCCTCATTCGGTTTCCTCCTTACGTCGATCCGGAGTAACCATGGCAACCAGCGGAGCAACACGACTTGAGTTTTCCTCCCAATCCTTTGCGGACCGTGTTGACTTCTGATACGCACGTTGACAACAATCGTGCTCACAACGGAGGATGCAATGGCGAACATGACACAATTAAAGTACGTTCCCAGCAAAGGAATTCCATCCGATGTGGACGGCATGGATTCAGAGATGACATTGATAAAGACAATCAAGGAGAACAAGACGGTGACGCCGAGCGATAATTTTTCAGTGGAATCGGGCGGAAGTGTGAATCCAAGTACGGCAAGAAATCCTGGACAGAAAATTAAACACGTTACCCCGTGTTTATACTCGTCATTTCATTTTCATTTAGTTTTAATTTCACTATAGCTTTCGCGTCATTTTCATCTTTGTAATTGATACTATTTCACAGAAATTCATGAAACATTAATTTTCCGATCATTTCATTTTGCTTTCACAGCAACTAAAAATTAAAATCATGAATTTGAAAGGAATCTTAATTGTTGCCCTAAACTACGGTTCAGAAAAGCAAAATAAAATAAAAATATTTAATATGTCACAAAATAAAACCTAGGATACATGATATAACAAGTAAAAATAAAATAAACAAACCCTACAATGCAGCCTGATATAGTGCAACCATAGTTACAGTTGATTATAAAGAAATTAACGCCGTTTTAATTTTCCAAAAGTTGAAACACTTTCAACTTTGGAAATCGGCATGAAAATGAAACCAAAATGAAAGCAAAATGTAATGAATGCAACTATAAATTGCAATCAGTTTGCTGTTGGCATGGCGTTAATTTTTCTTGAAAGCAAAATGAAACCGAAAAAGTATAAATTGAGTTGATCGTGAAAATGAAATGAAAATGACGCTAAAATGACGAGTATATTAGGCCTTATGGCGGAATTTTTTAATGTCAGAATTTCTGGGAAAATTTCGAAAAATTTCGGAAAATTAGACATTGCGGGTATTCATGTCAACTTCGCAAAGGCCGTAAACGTCGCTTCGAAACATGTCTTTGCAACTTTGAGATGATTACAAGGAGTAGCGATATGACAACCAATCGCAATCTCTTATTTTTTCATGAAATCAATATGCAACACAAAACGGTATCCATTATTGCCGTAAACTACTTTTCGCAAACTCGTCGTCACCTGGAATCTTCATTTCTCCTTTCATTTTCGGATTATGTATTTTCATGTAAAACATACAATTTCGCCAACACGACAAATTTGCAAAGCGACGTTTCTGAGTGATGCTAATACCCCCATTATTTTGCCCCATCTAGCCTTACCAAGTACCAATGAACTTACCTATAAGTCCCGCCGGGACAATCAAGTTAAACCAGTAATACAATATCTCTCTCTTGATCTCAATTTTGAACAGGACGGACGGATATCTATCCTCACAACAGTCGTACTTCCGATTAATCCTCGAAACCGTAAAAGCCACCAGTTTCCACTCTCCATTCGCCACATACTCTGAAACGTCGGTAGGGTCGCTCATGTTAGTGACGATTTGTAAATCAAACTCCCGCTCTGAATATGTCCAACTGCCAAACTGAAAGTGGCAACTCTGACTGTCAAACGGAAACCAGGTCACGTCCATTTTGCAGATGGTTTTGATAATCATGGCGGGAACAAAGACGACCAGTCCGTCACTCATGATGTTGGCGTTCTGCTCACCGCGGTGTTGAGCCGCCTGGAACATTTGCTCATTTGCGGTACGATGCAACATGACGTCAGGATGCCAGATCAAATTCGCGGGAATACGGACCATGGTGATGTTATCGTGCTGCAAAGGATCCCAAATAAGGGCTGCGTCCGACCAGTGGTTATGTAACCAAGCGTTGATCGTGATAATTTGCTGTTTTTCGTCAACTTGAATAATTTGGAGGAGGGTCATCCCAATCTCGACGGTCACCTTGGCATCATGTCGGGCCACAGGTCTGGTCAGTTTGTTGTAGTTTGTGAGGATTTTGTCAATAATTTTCGCTTCCTCGGGCGAAGCGGAGAGAGATTGGATGGTTGCAATGGTAACAAGGATTCGAATGCACGAATTCATTTTTGATAAAAAGTTTTTGGTTTACTGGTTCTGTTCTTTTTTTTACAGAAATTTAGGTTATCCTTTAATTAAATTTTATGATAAAATTATTTCTAGATCGTTCCTGACGAGTTTCACCGAAAAATGACTGAAAATACATACTTCAGCTTCCATGGAACTTTACTTTATGCACATCTGGTCTGATATTGTACTATTGCAGAAAGTATGTGATTTCCTTTTCTAATTAACTTGAGTGAGTTTTCATACGCAGAGAGAGACGACAAGCAAGTTTGTAAGGATTTTGTCAATAACTTTCCCTTCCTCGGGTGAAGCGCAATGTTGGTTATACAAACTTTAATTAAATTGAATGATGGAATCACCAAAAAAGTAAGAAAATTTGTATGTATGTACATTTAGACAAATTTTATGTATCTTTGCTGGTGAGTTTCACCAAAAATATGACTGAAAATAAGCGCATCGACTTCACTGGAACTTTACTGTCTGCTCATCTGTGATGATAATACTACAAAAAAGTTTTCCTTTTCTAATCAACTTGAGTGAGTGTATTTATGTACCTATTTGCATACGTGGAGAAAGACGAAAAATAAATTATGTATGTCTGTACATACATAATCATGTACTATTGCGTGCTTGCATGCCCAGTTTGATGCACATATTGACTAGCTTAATTTTTGAAAATGAAGTGATATTAATGTTTTTAGTAGCCGCTTGGGCTTAGGCAGAAATACAATGTGATATTTTCAGTATTCGTGACTGGATAGGCTTTTAGGGCATACATATGTGGACATGACATAAATTTAATTATTTAAGAATGTGGAATATTTGATAGACTTACATATTTTTTTTCTTTAGTGCATACTTAAGCTTAAGATTAGAAGACTATTTTAATATTTAGTATTTGCGTAGTTTCATTCCATCAGGTTCTTGGTAATATTTAGGCTGATTGAACTAACTTGGCCAAGTTAGAAATGACATGACAGTGTCGAATATTTCAGTAAACCTCGTTGCATATTGTAAATATTTTGCACAATTTTTTTTACAAATCCTTAAGATAACCTCTCCTGGTTTTACATATTCTGCAGAAATGAAAGTGTATAGTACTATATTTTTTTCTGTACAAATTTCAGTGCATAAAGTTTGCGGAAACTTGAACCGGAAACTTGAACCGAATTTCTGCAGGAAGGCCCGTTCAAATTTTTACTCGGGGGATTAATTAGTATTAACTGCATCCTGAATAAAATTAAACTCTAAAACATGTACAGTGGCATCAAGATAACCTTACCGCCGAATCTCAAGGCCATGCGAGCACAACGACAGGCTCAATCCCGCACAAATCGCTTAAAAATGAGGGTCACTTTGGTGACCGTAATATTTGACCGATTCAGGTCATATTTGGCACACATATTGCCAATCACATTCCCCAGGGTGGTTTTCAAGGATTTTGACCTAGGTCATCTGCGTGACCTTCCACAATTCACATAACTTTTTGCATAATATTTGGTTTTTACACTCTAGTGACCGTTATTTTTGACCTTTTGAGGTCAAACTTACCACACGGACTCGCAACCATATTCCCCACGTTGGTTCTCAAGGATTTTGAGCTAGGTCACTTCAGTGACCCTACAGAGGTCATTCAAGTTTTATGACCTTGGGCCGTTTTTGCACTCTAGTGACCGTACTTTTTGACCTTTTGAGCTCAAACTCGGCAAACACACTGGTTATCATATTCCCTAGGGTTGTTTTCAGGAATTTTGACCCAGATCACTTCTGTGATCCTACAGAGGTCATAAAACTTGAATGACCTCTGTGGGGTCACTGAAGTGACCTAGCTCAACATCCTTGAAAACCACCCTGGGGAATATGGTTGCGAGTCCGTGTGCCAAATATGACCTCAAAAGGTCGAAAAGTTCAGTCACTAGAGTGTAAAAACCAAATATTATGCAAAAAATTTTGTGATTTCTGGAAGGTCACGCAGGTGACCTAGGTTAAAATCCTTGAAAACCACCTTGGGGAATATAATTGGCAATATGTGTGCCAAATATGACCTCAAACGATCAAATATTACGGTCACCAAAGTAAAAACGAGACCCTCATTTTTTGGCGATTTATGCGGAATTCAGCCTGAGATTGTGCGTTCAAAAACTGGCGATTCGGCGGTGTAAGGTTATCTTGATGCCACTGTATGTATGCATGCAAATACATATGTTCTGTTCTGCTTCCTTTCATAAATGCGCAACTTGTTTATTTTGGCATGTCTAACATTCCTAAACGAGAAAAAGTAGAACTTATTTTATTAAGTTCGCAAAAATTATGATGCATGATAAACACCATTAGGAAAGCATAAATTTGCAAACTGACTTGCACAGCATTTTTAAAACTTACCACCGGCAAGGAATCGATATTGGCAATGGTACATAATTGATCAACATCTGCTAACATGTGTATGAGTGAGTACTTTTAATATGTATGTATGCAGTGTGTACACATTTGCATATGTACATACATACATTATCTTATGTTCTGCTCCCGGCGTCTTCCCAAAATACTCGTCTGCGATTTTCCAGAAAAACTGTTTATTTTCATTTTCATGTTAATTCTTAAAAACCGTTTATGTACAATAGGACCTTGCAAACTTCGCGTAATTCAGTTAAGCAATAATCTTGAACAGCTTGCACGCAAAAAAATCTTCCTCTCATTAAATATGTGTAATTAAGTAATTTACCATGAATACATATAATCGACTTATTTATTTACATATGTACCAATTTATATATAACTTAAGCGCATACCTAGCTGAACAATTTGTGAATTAATTTGCAAATTCCTCACAAAGATTAATAAAATTTGACAAAACAAAATGGACGTGCCTTCTGCTGCGGAAGCCCAAGAAAAAAAACTTTGCTTGGGATTCATGCCATTAAAAACGGCTACCAAATCAATCGCCTTGTTCCAAGTTGTGAGTGAAATTATTCATTGAGGAAATTATGACCTCATAAAGTCTGAGAGAATGTATTCATAATTCCTTCGTATCTTTAGTATCGTATTTAAAATAGTTTACGAATAAAAAGAGTAAAGCTTCATAAAATCCTTAAAGCGATTTTTAATTGCAAAATCTTACATGACGCTTGCAAAATCTCATAACCATCGAACCTTATTTTACGATAAGAAGAATGCTAAGAGCACGAAAGAATAATGAATACCCTCAAAAAATTTGCATATGCATGCTTAAGAAACCTGCCAAAATTCATAAATAAGATTCATAAATTTGCAGGTGATATATATCGCTGCCGTGGTTGGCTTCACGGCAATAATTGGGCGACATGGAGGCGATCTAATGTTGAAGCCCTCTTCTGACGATGAAAATCCTAACGAATTTGATGGTGCATCTCCCACCGGCAAATTTGATATCCGGTCATGGTCTAGAGATTTGCAACCACAAGATGTCACACATCCGCCTGAAAAAAATGGTGACGCGATAAACAAGAAAGCTAAAAAATCCGAACAAGGCGAAATTATCCCATTTCCGAGTAAGAATAATTTTTGGTGCATTATATTTGGTGCATTAAAAAATAAATCATACATATGATTCATATGTATGATTTATTTTTTTACTTACATATTTATTTACATATTTTAGTGTGGGTAAATCTTATAATATTTACAAGCATCATTATCACTTTGATACTGCTGCTCATGGCGTCTATAAACTTATTCAAAGGGGCTCGCGACGTGAGTTAATTAATTTAATTGAAATATTTTAAATGGACAATTAAAATTATTTGTTATAACTTTCGGAATATTAGAAAATTCAGAGAAAGTGTAAAATATGGATGATTGTCAACATCGGTCTCTTTCTCCTCGTCGGTATCGTATTTGGCGTGTTATGCTTTCTTGACGTCGGAACTATAATTTTGGGCCTGCTCTTCATCGCGGAAGTAATTCATGGATATTTCATCTTCGTCGTGCATGCCTTCACGCAGCAGATATAAACATTTTGTAGGCTGATAAATAGCCAGAGCTGTTTGCCAGTACATACTCACTTCCACAATCGTGGATTAATACGATATTAGGTCCAATGACGAATTATAATGACTAGGTTACTGGTCGGGTGAAGTACTAAACTGCAACGTTTGCATGGCTCGTAGTAATAAATTCAGCATGTTAACTAATGTACATTATAACGAAATCTTGAGAGATGCCAACTTTGTGATTTTTGTTCCCAAATTTACTCAGAAAATTGACAATTTAAATTCACAAGATTGTTTAAACCATTTACTAAATTATTGGGACACGACGTACCACGTTGACGTGAGTACGCCCACGATTTTAGTCGTGCCATATAATTCTTGAGTATCAGTAAATTACTTAGATTTATTCATCATTCAATTCTCTACATGTTATGCTATCGATATATACATATGTAAATATGCATGTTCATACATACATATGTACAGAGTTACCAATAAATATACTTATGTATTTAATTAACTATTTAATATGTAATACTTCTCGGCAAAAGATGGAAATGATAATGTGATTAAGACCTGTCTCCAGACTGGAATTGAACAATTACGACGAGATAGGTCGTAATTGTAGCCAGCATCTGTAAAATTAATTAAAATGTCTATTAACTAATACTAATGTACATATTTTGTATTATGTGTGTACAAATTTAGTAAATTTATGTATGTATCTGAAATAGATCCAGAATTGACTTACTGACAACAAAAGACGCAAGTCCAAACGGAAAGCAGAATTTTCTATACAAATTGAATCCAATAAAGGCATCGAGTTAGGATTCTAAATGTTCAGAAATAAAGTTGTGTAAATTTATGTTCAGGAAATTTCAAACATTCGAAAATAAAATATTCTGTACCTGAAATCGTTCCGTAACCTTCACAAATTTACCTTGTCCCATTTCTTCTTTAAGATACAAATATTTTACCATTTTACAAAACATTTTGCTCACGTTGGCCAAACCACTGGCAGAATTGGACAACAAATAAAAATACCAGATTGTAATTAAAATCTGAACTGCGGTTATAAATCCCAGCACAAAATTCCCAAGTTCAATTGCAATATATACAAAGTAAAAGTCATAAAGAAGATAAACAAAGACGTAGACGACATTAATGTTAAGAAACGTGCTAAACATGCTTATAAATTGGGTGACATTTTTATCCAACGAAAGATACACTTTGACCACGTCGTGCACTTTTAATTCATGATTTTCCAAACATTTTAACAACTCGGTTATTCCAAATTCGTAACTGGACACGAAATAAATTAACCCATGAAGTGAGAAACCGGTCAACGCCGTGTTGCCGGCATATAGCAAATTTCGCGTCGTATCTATAACATTAGTTCTGCTAAAGGAATCTTGAAATCTTAACCGGGACTGGGTATATAATCCGGTATGAATAAAAGTAGTGATCAAATGGAGGATTAAGTGCAGAATAAGTTTTGCCCTATTATTTCCGACATGTTTTTCACAATTTTTCTCAAAGGTTGAGTCCAGATTTTGAAATTTTTCAACGAGTTGGAAATAGTTTTCGCAAAATTTTGCAAATCGGGCACGTTTAGTTAAAAGGTCTACCCTACAGAAAAATGGGCAGAAGACGCAGCAAAATCCCCACACGGTGCTGGTAAGAATTATTGTGCTTCGTCCCCGGTTCGCAAACACTGTTAAGGCCTGACTAGCGACGTTATTATTTCCCAGCAAGGCAGAAATAAATGTGAGAAGAAAAGTAATTATGATTATGATGAGGATCCAAAGGGTGGAAGGACACCGGTGCCATGCAGGTTTGTAAATGGAGAGTGTATTTTTTGAAGAGTGAAGGGATAATGGGAAATAACCGGATAATTGTAAAATTCGGAAGGGGAGATACGCCCCTGAGAGTAAGGAATGTTTCTGCAAAGTGGGAGCGACGATTTTCCCTGGAAGATTTGACCCCATAATTTGTATTGGTTTTCAGGATCGACACTTTTACGTAGCTGCAGTTTTTTTGAGATAAGTAATTTATTAAAGTATGTATGTACTGGGATAATCATGGAATTTTCTATTTGCCAAATGGGTGTTTCCACGTAATCATTTTAATATACTTGCCACACACCTATATTTTAATGCAATTAGAAATCAGCGTAAATATGCACATCATCGACTAACAATGGAGGTCTCCAAACGTATGACAAACATATCTTGAGCAAATTAGTGACAATCGATCACAACGAGGCTAAAGTTGACAAAATGTACATTTTCCAAATTTCCTGCGCATTTTCTCCTTCTCGGATGCAAATATCTCAGCCGAATGGCAGAGAATGTCGTTTGTAAATTTCATATTAATTAAACTTGTGATCAATTGAAATTAGTTTGGTCAAAATCTGTGAGCACACGTTAGGTGGGGACCTCCATTGTATGTAAGTATGCAAATTTATTGTTAGGAATCAATTTCAGGATTTTCGTATTTCTCATTGTATGAATGATTTTAAATATACAATAGCAATAGAGGGTTGCAGCTCCCTAAACTAATTTTTATCAGGAAAAATACAATATTTGTAGATATATATGTAGATTAGTCTACTATAGTAGGTACCATCAACCGTCGAATTTTATGAAATACAAAAATTTAATGCCTCCAAGAAATGTGAAACCTTTTTTCATTTATTTTTAGAATAAAATTTCTAAATGGTCTCTTTCTGCTAAATCCTACTTACACCCTTTCTTCTCCGTTTCCAATCTAGATGGTTCTTCTTCTTGTGAGAAATAGTGAGTTTTAATAAATATATGTACCTTATATTTAGGTATGTAGGTATGGATAGTCACTCATTTTTATAACTATAAATTTCTTCAAGGGTCCAAGTACATATTCATCAAAAACCTCTTTCTCTAGCGAGTGGAGTGGCCTGCCTGCAAGTGCAACACAGACTTGATTTAAATAGTACACAATTTTCAATTCGTGGCGTCAAGAACTACAGAACCCTTAACGGAAGGGTAACGCGTCAAAGAGTTCACCACATGCACAACGAAGTAGATTTGACTCCAACGAAAAGGGACGCTTCCCATTTTCTGATATCAGTTCAAGCTTTCATCCCGACTGAACTGGTGCGTTGAATAAATTGTGTCGTTTTTCGCGTGAATTTGTACTACAACTGTGTTCTTGTGTACCAACTGAAGAGATAAATTGGCAGAGTTATACCTTCCTAAATGGTTGTCGAGATGGGAGACATGCAAAGGGTACTAGGAAGGAAACATCTAACCGGTCAGAGAAGTAAATATTTTATTAACACGGAACATTCCACATTCCTCACTCAAAATTTCACTAAATTAAAAATTTCCTTTTCATTTGAATTCATAAGGTTTGTCTTGAGTAAAGGTTTCGAAATAATAAGGAAGTATGACTTGAGTTGCTTGTATATAGATAGATACCAGACAAAATATATACCTATGTTAATTATTTGTATCTATCTGAAAATACACCTACGAAGTAATGATTTTGTGTTCAATCTACTTATCTGTCTTTGTACTTTTGTGATTATTATCTGAGAAGACAACCTACGTATGTATGTATTTATGTGTGCGTAGATTCAACCAACTATAAATATGCATGAATATTGTATGAGCTATAAATTACCAATTTGTTACATAACTAACAATTGCTTGTTTAAATTACAGAAATTAATCAGCTCACCATTTCCATTCGAAGACGATAATACGAATGGATTACATTAGATGAACTACAATCTGCAAAGTTAGTTTATTTTTCAAACTTATTATTTTTATCAGGATTTGGCCATATATCGTTAAATTTAAGTCTTAACTTCATATATTTTTACTATTTTCTTTGTCCAGGTTAACATAATCCACACCCGGGGGTGAAAAATGAGGAAATGAACACGGCAAATCGAACCACTATGCATAACTCATCCTGATAAGAGTAACACACGGATACGTACATGTTGATAACAATACCCACTTCGCATTAATGACCGAAATCCACGTCTTCTATGTCCTCTTGGTAATACATATAATAAACACAGCATTCATTTTAATTATATATTTATATACGCATAAGCAACATCTCCATAATTTTCATCCTGCATATGCCAGTGGCGAATCTGTATCAACACATCCTCAGTATTTAGGTCTCTTTGTTAGATTGTTGAGATATTATTGACAAATCTCAATCGATCTTATACTTCACGATCTGTTCTCTATACGTCACTTATACGTACGTATATTAATTATTTAATGTTCTTTTATTACATTAATTAGATACCTTCTTAATCGTCTGTAATCCTAATTTTACTACTTGTATGAATACATGTAATACATATTCATTCATGGTTACAATGAAAAGTTGACATGGTGCAATTATGTAGACTACTGAAGAATTTGTCTTTAAGGTTCTAAAATGTGTACGTTCGAGTTTCTATTTAGCAAGAACATGCAGCACCCCTTCCCTATTTTAAATCATATTTATGAGTTAATTTCATCCTTTCATAATATTATATTTAATCTGTGCTCCTGATGTAGCAGTATGCAATAAATTTGAAGACATTTAGATTTACCAGTTAAATATTTAAAATATTTGGCCCTGTCAAAACTGTCGGTAATATATATGACTACGATAATGTACTTCATACGTCATAATTAACTAAAACAGTTTCGAACTTTGTCTTAAGTCTACTCGTTAGATGAGTTTGCTACATATTTAAATGTAATCTTTGTAACTCGCGAAACTCTTTCCTGTTTCGTTGTCATTACATATCGTAATTTTAAAATTAAAGTGTTGAAATGTGTGGCTAATATTGTACATGTTTCGTAAATTATTATTTTTTCTTGAGAATTTAAAATTGGGAATGTAAAATTTGCTTGTAACCCATTAATTTGTAGTTTTTAAATTATGTAATTATACGGTTTGAAGAAAATTAGTTTAGTAGATTATAAAAGTATGTATGTATAAACATTTGTTTTGTTGAGGTAATAAATAAAGCCGATATATTTTTATATAGAAAAAATCATAATAAGGTAATGTACGATTAATTGGAGTAAATTAGGTCGAGACACCTGAAAAATATAGATCCATAGGAATTCAACATATCCGCTTTACCTGGAAGCTAACATGAGTATTTCAAAATAAATATGATGCATACAAACAGAATACGTAATCCCATTAAGAAATTATTATTCACTTGAAATTCATTGAAATTGACTATGCATATGATGAAATTATGTACTACCATTTGCATCTGGCAAAACCCGATAAATCTATCGTCGCACAAATTTTGCCTTAAATGGATGCGGTTTCATTGTGATTCCTACTGTCATATCCAATCTGGGCATTGCCTCTCCATCAGGGACGCTTAACTTGTATTTTTTCAGGAGGGAGGTGACCATCAGAAATGCGACAATATTTGCCTGCAGTTCTCCAGGACAGTTTCTCTTTCCTGTGTCAATGAAACATTTAACGACGACAGAGTTAAATATTTTCAATTTCCAAAAAACTTTAGTTTAGTATTTTACCGAACGAAAATGGCATGACGCTCGACGCATTTATAAGTTCTCCATTTTCGCCAATGAATCGCTCCGGTCGGAATTCCTCAGGGTCCCCCCATCTCTCCTTGTCCTCGTAATATAATCTCGTATCGCAAATTATGAGGGTACCCTGTCAGCGAAAAATTTGCATGTAAACGATACACAGATAATTTTCATTGTTACATAAATGTGTGCCAAAAATGCACCTTTTTAATAATGTAGTTCTTATACGGTATATCGGTCAGGGCGACTCTTGGCAATAGGTTTTGGAGCATTCTCGCTTTTCGATGTGTTTCCAAAAAGTAGGCTTGCGTGTATGGCATACTGTTTAGCAAAAGGCAATTGATAAGGTACATACATATCTGTAATGAGGCAATTCACGCGTAGGGCTTGTTAAATCCGTATAATATTCAGTAAATTTGAAAACTTTTACAATGGTTTCTAGGGAAATTAGTTTGCAAAGTTTTTTTGTAAACTTGTTTTTTCATTTTGTAAAATTATTTTACAAAATTTACGGATTTTACAAGCTACCAATGACTGCGTGAAGTTCACACCGTGAAATGTCTCAATATTTTCGAAATTCTTTATAAACGTTAATTCTCTACTCTTTCCGATCCGAATAACTGATATCTCTTCCGTTGGGGGAAACGCGTAAAATTTCTTGATACACTTTCTCCTGAACGGCCGGATAAACAATGAGGTAAAGGACGACGATTTCCATGAATGTCGCGGATGTGTCTGTACTTCCGAGGAGGAGATCTTGAAATATTAGTTGGAAGTTTTCACCTAAAATTATTTATGGCAAGAATTGTTTACAAAAACCAACTATCAGTAAATTTAGTTTTTCAATTGTTTGTGACACATACAATTAAACAACTCGGGATCATTTCCTGCAGTATAATTTTGAACGAATTTTTCAAGTAAAGAATTGTGATGGGAAGTCAATTGGGACGAGTTTAACTCATTTTCCATCTCAAGGAAAAGATGCTGAAAAAAAACAAAATATATATTTTGATGATAAAAAGTTTATCACGATTACCTAAATAAATAAATATCAGTACTTAATGAAAAAAAATTTAGACAGTTGCAAAATCTCGCAAATTTTCTAAATAATTATCTAAGTATTTTAGATTTGGAGTAAATATTTAGAAATTGTACAAATTTCACCTTTCCAACCCTGTTACATGTTGTAAAATAGTCCATCTGCACAGTATATCCCAAGGTTTTTGGGAAAATGTGTCTCAAAAATGGATAAGCGTTGACGATTCCCATCCCGAGGACGCCACTCCGCATGAACGCATGTCCTTTTTCCGATATAGCTTCCATATTGGGCTCATCCTCCGGGATAATGCGACCCACGATCATTTTCCACATTATGGCGAGAATGGACGCGTTAAAGTACCGATCAATTTCAATGACCCCACTTTGCGTCTCAATTTTACTATCAATATCGGCAAACAAGGATTGTGATGCGGTCTGAAAATTTTTATGTATGTACATATTTACAAAGGTGAAATTTAGTATTTTCATTAACCACCAAAAATTACAAACTTTAATGAAACATTCCATATCCAAGGATTTTCCGAAACCGAAGTCTTTTAACGTTCTAAACGTCCAAGTTCTCGTCTTTTCCCACATTTTCCCGGTTGATGAAGCAATGCCGATATTTTTGTGTAAAATTCTGTCTCCGCTCATTCCTGTAATATCACGTCCAAAAGCAGCCTCGTTTGTGAAAATGGTCTTCATGGCTTCCATAGATGTAAGGATGACTAAAGGAAATGAAAGGTTGCTAATTTTAATTTTGCTTACTTCTAACAGTGAAAGTTTCTGAATGTTTTAAACTTTTGCAAGTATGGGTAATAAGGAAAAATTAGCATATTATAAAGTTTTATTTTTCTGCAAATTGGAAATGTCATATGGTGCATGTATTTAAATTTACTATGCAGAATTTTTAATTTTGCTTGTACTATTTGCATATCAGTATCAGTACGTCGTTACAAATATATAGTATATGTATCTACTGCCGGAATCTGGTCGACCTTTTACTGTAGGTACGAAAACCAGTTACGCCTGTACAGTACATGTGCATGGCGTGAATAGTCTTCATGTAAATAAATATGTATGCATGTACATATGTCATATATATGAAGGCAAAAATGGACCAAAAATAAAAATTACACACCCGTTTTTTTGAATCCCATCTTTAACGAATATATTTCTCCATACTTTTCCGCCAGTATTCCCATCGCCAATGTCGAGTCATCCGACGCGTTCCCCAAATGTAATAGATTTCCAATAATTGGCCATGGTTTGGGACCTGGAAATTTTGAAATTGAAATATTTCCTAAATACCTTGTTATGTTTTATAAAACTTTATGTACACATTTACCAGGAGGTTCGTTGGAATTATCGTCCCCCCCAAAGAAAATAATAGACACTGATGGCCACAAAAATTAATACGGCGCACAAGGTGAACATTTCCCTTTGACTTGTGTAAATAGTACGTAACTTTAACAAAACTAAAATTCTGACCTTTTAAAATTACACAAATCCTATAATAATTAATTTAATTTTAAAAAAAATTGATGGAACTAGAAATCCTCGCAATGCATTCTTACTTCTGACGCACATAAAACTGCTTGTGAAATCATAAATACAGAGATGTAAGTACATCTCTGTAAAAAAAAGCTTCACCAAATTAGTTTTATTAAGCACGTATACATACTAAAATACATAATACAATGCATAATACATACTAAAAATAATTTGTTGAATGTTTTTCATTAGGACTGAATAAGAAACTACTTTCTGCGTGGTATTTTTATACTTCTTATGGACGTGCATAATTAATTAGGCAGGACATATATCAGACAATTTTCCTACTCCAATATTTGTATCATGTTGAAACGTTATCACTGCCATAATTATGAGATTAGATAAAAACAATTAACTTTGGACTTTCCTCGTTTTTTCTGTATACATATTTACAATTTTTACCCACCACCCCTTTTCAACATGTGCCACATGGGAACGATATCATTGGGCCGTGACTACCCACCCACCCTTCTTTGCATTACCAAGTTTACGAACGTCCCTTGATTAACATAAGTTGAGTACATGACAAGTATTCCACAGTCATTAATTTGACTGATTTCGTTATACATATTTATATACATGTGACTCCCAAGCTTATAAAAAGTTAAGTGCAGATACATGCATGTTTTCTTAAAACATTCATAAATGCATGACCTATGTAGGTACATATTTGCTTTAAGATGACAAACGCTTATTTAATGCAAAGTGGTTATTATTGGAGAACTGGTTTATGCATGTGGACAAATTTTAACACTTCACAATTGTCAATATCTATTAAAAGACACATACATACACTGTATATACATACACTGTATATGTATGCGCACGGTGCATAATGCAGCATGTACCTTATTCTGTCAGTGTTGTCACCTTGTCACTGTATGTCATACATACGATTACCGGTAAATTGCTCGCGCTCATATGCACTCGCTCATCTGCTCACGCTCATCGGCACACCCTCGATTGCACACCAACACATTTTGCACATTGATGATTCTGCACACCCTCATCGGCACACCCTTAACTGCTCACGTACACATTCTGCTCACCAATCATTCTGCACACCTAATTATTCTTTGTTAAAATTTATGAAGGTTATAAGGATGATCACAAGTATTTTGGCCGCAATTGACGAAAAGCGCATTTTACACGGAAATTCCATCAGTTTGTTGAATAAGTCCTGTATTGTGGTCATTTTGGTATATGTAGGTGTCGATCCTTTCATTCAAGTATGTATCTTATATAGGTAAATTAAGACATCCAATATATTTTCGAAATTTAGAAGTATCAACTAACAATTAGTAAATTGTAATTAAATTTAAACCATACTGAACTACCGTCATTAAATATTAGTAATAAAATTATTCTGTCCAATTTAGTCCTAGGAAAAATATTTCCTAGGACTACGCATACATAGTCGAAACCCCTCATAAATGTTAACCAAGAATAATTAGGTGTGCAGAATGATTGGTGAGCAGAATGTGTGCGTGTGCAGTTGAGGGTGTGCCGATGAGGGTGTGCAGAATCATCCGTGTGCAAAATGTGTAGGTGTGCAATCGAGGGTGTGCGGATGAGCGCGAGCAGAGGAGCGTGTGCACATGAGCGCGAGCACAATGTAGGACACCATACATACAGTGACAAGGTGACAACACTGACAACTTATTGTATCGCTGCATACATGTATTTGTAATTCATGTGTATACATACATATGTTTATGTATTGATCTATCTATTCATACTCATTGAGGGTATTCATTATTTCTTCGTATCCTTAGTATTCTTCGTATCGTAAAATACTTACGACGCTTACGAGATTTTGTAAGCGTCGTAAGATTTTCTCATCGAAAATCACGTTACTACGCTTACGATTTTTACTAAACCTGACCCCTTGTTTTTTCTTCGTAAACTATTTTACGATACTACGGATACGAAGAAATAATGAATACCCTCATTGTTAATTGAATCGTCTTACCATCCAATGTGAATAAGCTAAACATATAAATATGTATATATATCCATATTATCCATATGTATTCATGAGTAAATATATGCATACACATGATCATGATCTTCTATGAATGCACTAATTATGTATTTCAGAGGAAATTAAATTACTGAATTTGTTAACACAAAATAAAGTTTCACGTTAACAAATTCAACCAGTAATATAAATAGTAATTGGCATTACTTCAATTTTTACATATTACAGAATCAAAAGACTGGCTAATTTTGCAGGAATTATGCACAGCAGTAAAAATAAACAATTATGTACACTTACATATTAATTTGGAATTATGTGATATTTGTATAACTAAAAATGTAAGTAGATAAAACAATTTTAACTCAATTTATTCAAAATTTGCATATATGGGGAATATACATATTGCAGAAAAATTTGAAAAATAAGTATATTTCCATAAGTTTACAAATTTACATCTGCACGCGATGCAAAAAGTATCAAAACTCCGTACCTACAAATCTGACCACTATTCTCACAACAAATTAAACTTTTAATAAATAATATCAATTATGTGTAAAATCTTCAGTCTGAATCCTGTCCAGCGGATTTTAAAACATCGACGTCCCTCTTGGACCTGGGCAGTCTTTCTTTCTTCTCCGCCGTCACACCCACGCCATGCGACACTTTCAAGTGCTGATTTAACATGGTCTGGAGCACGAAGCCAGTTCCACATTCGTCGCAGATGAAGGGCCTCTCACCCGTGTGGGCGGAACGAATGTGACCCTCCAGATAAGACTTGCGTGGGTAGGCTTTATCACAGTGGGGACATTTGTGGGGTGTAGGTCTCACAAAGTCGGTGTGGATTCGCTTCACATGCTTACTCCGTTGACTCCATGTTTTGAACGACTTCTCGCAGTGGGGGCAGGGGAAGTGACGTTCATCGAAGTGAGACGTCCGATGTTCTTTTAAGGATTTATTTGTTAAGTACCGTCGGTTGCAAATCTGGCGAAAGATTAAATAGGTTAGTTCAGTAACATAAAATGTGAGAAACTATACAGTGTGCAATTTAATATCCAATCTAGACGTATAATCCGTCAAGCTGCAATCGAGGCTATTTGTTTTTTTTTTTACTTACATCACATTCATATGGCCTTGGCCTAGTCTCTAGATGGCTCTTCTTGTGTTTCTTTAATCGTAGAGGTGTCGCAAACGTTGCTCCGCTAGATTTAGAAATTAGTTTAAGTTGCTAATATTCAACTAATAGAAATAGATTGAAAATTTACCACTCCTCGCAAACTAACGGGTCTGCCCCGTGCATCTTTACCAGATGTGCCTGGAAGGCAGTTTTGTTCGGAAGAGTTTCCCCGCAAGTTTCGCAAGTAACCTTCCATTTTCCGTCGTGCCGGTATAGATGATTCGTGAGGTCGTATGGGAGATAGAATGCTTTTCCGCAAATGTGGCAAATGTGTGATGGGGGAGTGTTGGAGTGGTCGCGGGCAATGTGGCGCTGGACAGTTGGTTTGTCACGGAAGGGGGCATCGCAGATGGAACATTTCTCTGCCATTTCGCGGGTGTGGGAGCGCACGTGTCTGGAAACGATAATAGAAAATCGGTAATGTCGCTTTAATTAATATAATCCAACAATGGGCATACTCACGACAACCGTCACATGTAACTAAATAAATTGACCATAAAAACACAACTTGAGGATTTCGCAAAACCTTTGCTGGAAAACTGGAATTGTTTTTTCGCAAATTTACCCAGCTACTGTGCTATTTCTAATTTGTAAACTCATGCTCTTCATCTAAAGTGCTAGAAATTACACATAAAAAAATATAGCTGGTGTTATAGCTTTTTTGCAAAATCATATTTTACGAATCCCCTCAGTCCAATTTTTTTAGCTTCGTAAATTTCTAAAAAAAGACTGTCGTATGTACGCCGAAATTAAATATAAGTAATAACGACCTTGCCAACATTTGCTTAGATTGGCATCGCTTCCCACAATGATCACATTGGTATTTTGGTATATGCGTGGCCTTGTGCGTGTCACGCGTTTCCTCGTCCTTAAATCTGCAGTCGCATACGTCACAAACGATCGGTTTGATTCCATCCAATTCATGAAATTTCACATGTCTCTCAAAGTTTTGTTCTAGGGCGAAACTCCTGTCGCACTTGGCACAAGAAAATTTCTTCTCTCCATCTTCGTGTCGCGTGAACAAGTGTACTTGAAGACGACTAGCTTTGTAGAACTTATTACCGCACAGAGAACACGCATAAGGCGCAATGTTGTGGACTCGTGTCATGTGGGCGTCTTTTTCCTTTATTGAGGAGAACTTGGCATCACAAGTGGGACAAGGAATCCCAGAATGAATCCGTCCAATATGGTAAGTAAGGGTGTCAGAAGTGAGGAAAGATTTGGTGCAAGAAGTGCATTTGTAAGGGCGAACTTTTTGAGGTTTTTTGACTGGCAGGATCCTTTCCAGGGAGACTTTGAGAATTTTCTTGACTTCCACTGGAGGAGGAAGTACGGTCTTTCTGACGCGAGAGGATGACCGTGTCGGTTCGAGGACGGGTCGAGGCTCGCGTTTAATTCGTTTTCTCTTCAGTTCCCGTGAAATGGACCGCTTCATTTTTCCACGTACAGCTCTACAAATAAAATAAAGTAGGTTAGTATAACAAATCGTCATTCCGCAGTGACATGTCCGTAGTTTGTGCATTACGACCTCATCGTGGGGATGATTTATTAACGCGAATACATGCTTATTTGAATTACCGGGATGATGATGTTTTCTTGCGACCCTTTGGCATTTTTTGAGCGAATGGTGTGATACAGAATTCAGAATCTTCATCCTCCAGATCGCCAAGTGGATCATTGCTGCCCTCCTTTTTGGGATCTGGTTCGTAATTAATAAACGTGGTCTCGCCGTAAGAACTACAGTCGTCAAAGAATTGGTGGTCGTCGCCATGGTCGATTTCATGTTCTACTTTGACCCGAAACTCGTTCTGTACGAAATTATCGTCATCCTGGTTAACATTGACGAAAATCTCTGCTAATTTGGTAAACGTAAATTAAATTTTACGAATCTACACATTTCCACATTAATTGCAAATGACCCACCTGCACCTGTCCTGCGTAGTATAAGGTTCCTAATCTCCATTAATCGGTCCCCTCCATTCAGGGGATAATTCGAAATTGCTTCCTTAATTTGCACAATTTTCTGTTCGACTTGACCTTCAAGGAGTGAAATTTGGTGGCGAATTTCTTCAATTTGAGCGACAACTGGATGACAATCCGGACAGAAGTAACAAATTTCGTCCTCATCAAATTGGTCATGATAAGACGTTGGATTGTCTTTGGGGCGAGAAGGCGCTAATAATTGACACATGGTCGCGACTTTTATTTTCGCTTTACATTTGTCGTCATCACTTTCTTCACCAGTGTCGACAACTTGTAAACAGAGAAGGCACCGATTGCTCGTCATGTCAGATCTAAATACAGTGAAATAAGTACATTAAATATTTTACTACAAAAAGATATAGACTGATTAATTTTCAATTTTTTTATGAAAAAATCAAAACATTGCACATAATAGGTAGTGTTTTAAATGCAAATACAAAAACAATGCATAAATTAATTTTACCATTTAACCTACTTCAAACGTGTACGCACAAAATTATGTCGAAAATATTACAGGTAATCAAATTTTAACAAAATTTCAGCAAATTTGGAGTTGCTGAAAGAATTGAAAAACAGATGACATCGAGTTCGTGCCGAGAGAAAAATTCGTCTCACGTTAGAAGTGAGATATGTAAATACATGTATCCATAAAAAACCATGAACTTTCACCAAAAGCCATTCTATCAAAAATTTATCTAGGTATTTCGCTATCTACATATTTTATTTTTCAATGAATTGTACTATCTATCATTAATTGAGCTTTCGACAAGTTTTCATCAAAAACATATTAAACACCAATCTTTAAAATTATACATATTTCTAACAGGGATAGCCCCAGGTAATGTATAGTAAATATCATGGAATAAGATATACTATGCTATGCATGCATATAATGTTTTAAAATGCTTAGGGTTTCGTTCAAAATTTCACAGTTGTTTCATACATGTTGTTTCATATATGTAATTAAATAGCTTGAATTTCTGGTTAAACTAAATAAACGTCAGATTGTCAATTTATTTTGCTCTACATAAATATGTACCTGTATGTTACATTTTACAGATACGTATGCACATATTCTGTTGAATGGCACAAGGATTCCTAAATATCAATAAATAAACTTATCAGGTAACAAGTAGCTTTTGTATTGTATTGATCAATATTTGCATATGTTTCTAATGAAAGGCTAAATTTGTTAAACTAAAATTCGTAATTTAAGCTCGGTTTAATGGTTCTGGTTAGGAAAGTCATACGCATCAATATTTTTGAATTAATTATAATTTATGGATATCTTGAAGGCCTGACAGCTCCTGACCAGACTACATTAACAAACATTTGTGTTCTAGCAAGATCTTACCCACTAAAATTAAATATGTAGATACTGGATCGTACGTATGTAACTATTTATATATATTAATAGATTATCCCGACGCCAATTTTATTTGCATAAGGACTTAAATGTAAATGTCAGTTATGCTGCATAAATGTATTCTAATACCTTTTCACATTCCTCAATTGGATGGCAATAAGAGGACGAAATGTCTGAAATTGTCTTACAGCACGTAAAACGCCACTTTCTCGTCGCGAAGTTGAATCGTTGCCTGTACTACGCGTGGGACCCCTTCAAAGGCCGTGTCACCCCGGCTTCAAAATTTGATCGGGGATGGTCACGGACGTTTAGTATTCTTGGCTGGGGATACGTTTTCCTGCAAATTACAGGGATATACACCTCCACAGCGCAATTATCTGAAAAAATATTCATGGCAGCATTAACATGGTTGTACGTTGCATGTCTTGTCGTGGGGATGGAGTGGAATACGGATACTTCCAATCTGCAATTGATGAATCTCGTATATGCATCTACTAAATATGAGGAGGAAGGTAAGTAAATCGATTAATTATTGAGGTGAGATAAGGTTCAAAACTTAGTACCCTATTCTTGAATCTGGGTAATAAGAAGTGTCTTCACTTGTCCATCTAATAAATCTGATCGCCCTTTTAACCAACTAATTATTAATTAGTAATTAACTACTGTAATTAATTACTGTAACTTTTGCTAGCCGGTCACCCTGGGGAGGACAAACGACTCGCCAAAATCATCCACTCGGTATACGGCCTTTTGAATCTAACTGCATATGTCATATTTCCATCGGCATTGGCCCTTCTTCTTATCATGTTTCCATGCCAGCCACCATTTCTGGGATCCTTCCTCCTCCACGGAGACCAATGTTCGAAAACCTTATTCCAATCTGGCTCGTGCATCATGGTCATGAAGAGAATCATGCTAATTATGTTCGAATTAATGAAGCTGTATCGTCACGTGTTGGCTGGTATGCATTACACAATGTACGTCCTCCTAGCTGGGGTTCTCCACTTTTGGCAGGCAACTTCAAAATTTCTGTACTACTCAGTTCTGGAAGGATACCGGAAACTGCAAGTTTTGGAAACTATTCTCAACGCCTCGGTTCGACGGAGGATATTTCCAGCCGTTTTGGTGTTAGGTCCAGGCATGCAAATTGTGTCGATGTTCGCTTACATCAAGTATCACGATGTCATGAAGGGGTCCCAGCTAGTCTTTTTTCTCCTGTTAGCACTGGATCCAACAATTTTGAATGTGATGTACTGCACCGGAGCAGGGATGGTGTACGGAAAGAGTTGTAAATATTTGATGGGTATGAAGGGAAAGGTGAAGGGTAAAGCGGAGATGAAATTGCTAAAGTCGTATGCACCTCTGAAGGTCAGATTTGGTGGTAACTTCATGGATCAGTTGACGCCTTTGGTAATTCAGGAGTTTTGTTCTGTTCAAACGGCAAACTTGCTCCTTTTGTTTTAAGAATAGTGCTTCATTAAAAGTGAATGCATATTTAAATACATATGTAAGCGTACATATATCAATATACTTATTTACATAAATGTATGCGACACATGCATACATATCTCCAGATTAAAACTACAAAATTTAATAAAAAATTAGAACAAGTAATGAAGGATTAATAAAATTTATAGAGAGTAATGTAATTTAAGTTAGAATTATCGGATCGTATGGGTGACATTTTTCAAGTAATTTATTTATTTTATTTTGAAGTTATTTTTGAAGGAATGTAATTGTTGCGCACTGTATCCAAAAATGGATATCTTTAAGCAATTTGTCGTTGAATCCACATGATGATCCTGGAACGTAGAAAATATAATTGAACTTTTGTACAGCTTTGTCTGCTTATTTTTTTGCGAGTCGAAGGCTATGCATTATTATACACCTTTATAACAGGACATGCATATTACAACATATCTACATATATAAAAGCAAGTAGAACAAGTTAAGTGCATTAAGGCAAAATAAAGTATTAAAGGAATATCAAGAAGTATATGTAGTAGCTTCAACTTGAGCGAATAAAATTTTTGCACAAATATAAATAAATACATATACATACATAATACTTTCGAAGTACTACATAAAAATTTGTAACTAAAGTTCACCTATTTGTAACATGGTGAGGGCCAAATGCCTTATGTGATTTAATAAATTGATTGTATTGATTGTACATAAAAATTTATACCTCTTTATTTTTTTTTACTCTTGAATCTCTTTTTTACAAAATGTCATCTTACACTCCACAAATTGACAGAATTCCGACAATTTAAGTAACATAGTCACAATCTTTTTCTTTAATTTCATAGTAAAACAGCGAACTTTTGACAGGAGTAATGCTGTTCCCTGCATTGGGCCTGCATCTCGAGAACCTGTGCAAACATTTATTACATTCATTCGCTAAAATATTTGCATTGATTCCGTCGAATCATTTCATTTTCACAAAAATATCTATGTACATATTCGCAAAAAATTAGCCTTACCAATTTCGCATTTGATTCTCTCGTTAATTTTCTCCACCACTTTTCGCAATCCTATCAGGGTTGATTTCTGCCCCATGAGTACAAATAATAATAATGTGCCATGCATGCAGGTCAGATTTCTTAGTACGAATGAAACATAGGTTGGATCCGTATACGGCGTTATATCCACCCACGTTAGGGCATCATTAATCATCACCATGCAATAATTAAAGATGAAGAGTAGCAGTAGTAGTTTCACGTAGAGTCGTAATCTATTTGAGCAATTAAATTTAGCAAATTTCATCCACCAGGAAACAAGGAATTTGCGTATTTTAGAATTTATAAACAAACCGGGTAGTTCTATCCGCTTTAACTAGAGTTTCAGATTTATGTAAAAATTCAACCTCTTTTCGTGTTTTTCTTGTTTCGTGATGACACATCACGACAAAAACGATATTCACAGCGAACAATATTCCTGACACGATGGAATCATAGCCTTCCGAGATCCAGTGACGATTAATTCGTAACGATTTACAGGGTTGATTTCTAAATTTTAACAAAATGCATATGTAACTGTGTTTTAGAATTTATTAGAAAATAATGCAAAATTTCATTTAGATGATAACTTATTCTAAAACCATTTTAAGGATGAGATGCACACTGGCCAAAACTGCAGGGGAAATTGATCCAAATGCAAAATATCTTAAAATTATGACATCTTTCGGTTTAGATGAGACTAAAGTCAGAGGTCGGCTAAGGAGGAGAGTACGCCAACCTGATAATGACAGATCTTGATGTCCTTTGGATATATGGTAGTACCCCCTCTGAAAGCAAAAAGTGTGAAGCGGTTTGATGCCATGGCCCAATTTACGCCTGTCACACCCCTTCGAAGGCGCGCCCGATGCCAAACTAGCTGCACTAAAAAATTCGCCAAAAATCCAATTTTGTTCGGATTTTCATAATAATTATATATTTGTGATCCCAGATAGTCCCTTTATCATATTCAGTTGCAAAATTAACTTTTCAGAAATTTTCAATATTTTCGAATATTTCCTGAAAAGGGCATGGCTTGAAAAAATTCAAAATTCCAAAAAAATTCAGATTGATATCTGATATGATAAAGCAACTATGTGGGATCATAAATATGTAACTATTATGAAAATCCGAACAAAATTGGATTTTTGGCGAATTTTTTAGTGCAGCTAGTTTGGCATCGGGCGCGCCTTCAAAGGGGTGTGACGGGCGTAAATTGGGCCATGGCATCAAACCGCTTCACACTTTTTGCTTTCAGAGGGGGTACTACCATATATCCAAAGGACATCAAGATCTGTCATTATCAGGTTGGCGTACTCTCCTCCTAAGTTGCAAATAAAAACGTGCAACATAATTCTGAATAAAATAATCGACTTATGAGCAATCATTAATCTACTAATACCCAAAAGTTTTCCATAAATCAAATAAATACGATAATCGTCAAACAAAATAATCTCGCGAAAATCATGAAATCCTCCAAAATTTCTGAAACAAGGAGAAAATATATTGATTAAATAATGCATTCAAATATACATACATACCTCCAATTTCTATATTTTTGCATGTATTCGTACTTGTAATTGGGCAGATCATTAAATAAGTTTCTCCATAAAATAGATCAATTTCTCCATTGTTCTCCACAATATTATAGTACTCGATAACTTTTCCAATCCGAAGTATTAGCTCCAGTATGACGTACACGAATTGAATATGTCCGTGGAAACTATGCGTTTCCCAGAGAAATATAAAAGTTAACGTAATAATTGATACAGAAACTAAATTAATTACATTGTTCCCAAGTGTCAGTTGAAATACGAGGATAAGACGATTTATCGAAATCTGCAGTTTCGTACAAAAATTAAAATGTTACTTAAGCAATCGAGTAAAATATGTAATTTTGTAAAAAAAAAAATCATACCATTACGTCATCCGGAACCAGATTGTTCACAAGTTTCTTAAAATGTGGAAATTTCTCCTGTATTGCCCTGAGAAATCGTATCTCCTCAATTTTATGTTGAATGCAAACGTATGAAATCGAGATGGCGATTGGATCTCCAATCTTTTCCACTAAATAGGGGACAAGAACGCTGAAATCAACTCTGCTTTCTTGCAATAGTAAGTCCAAATTTATCGGATCATCGAAATACGATGTCCAATTAATGGCCGCGTCAATTAAGTAGTCTCCATTCACTGTTTCATTATTGGAGAGCTGAATACTATTATTTGCCACCAATTTATTCATTTCACATCGAAATGTAATATTCAAATTTTGATTCATTTCAAATATGAAAAATGGGATGGATAAAATTGAAATGGAAATGATGGAAGTAAGGAGCAAAATACATTTATATTTCGTGTTCATATTATGAGCTTAAACACTTTGCTTTTTTATATCTTAAAATGTTATAAACACAAGTATACGAATGGCGAAGGTGTGACTGACATTACCAAACTATGGGTTTTTTTGTCAAAAAGGAATTGGGCTTGAAGTTACAAATTTAGAGACAATTTATATTCATTGCACAAGTATATGTATGTAAATATGTATGCATATGTGCATAGTACACTAATTTTTGAGTTCATACCAGCTTCAAATCACAAATTGCCGATATATACAATGTAGATTCTACAAATACATTGTATCAAAAATATTACAATCGTGTCATAGATAATCTGATATAGCGGATACAGCCAAGCTTTTGCTATTTTATTGTAAAACTATACAATTAGATGCATACATATTAGGAAAAAAATTAATACTTACATAAAATATGGAGGAATGCATGAAACGTAGATTAGTAAAAAATATTAGACCACCTTAGAATTTCATGTATCACTCATTCCTCCTTATGGTACTATTTATTCGATTTGAATAATTACGAACTGAGCTACTTCAAAATATCTTAATGGTCTTAAGATTTAGATCATACTCTAAAGTATTGCAAAATTGCAAACTCTCTGTAGATGAGTTATTTAATACCACCTTTTGCTTCGATTCATGTAAATTTCTATGAAGCCAACCTCAATAAATGTAGAGGTAAACTATGTACATACACCTTACAATCTTGGATAGGATCAACATCAGATTGAAATTTCTAAAACGTTAATCACTTGCTTTCTAAGTAAATAAATAATGATGTTATGAATTTACAATAATGTTTGATGCTCGTGGCGAATTTTAACTATATATTTCGCATTATCCAACATAGTATCTTTGTTCAATGCATGAACTACTGCACGTTTAAGTAAGCCATAATTATATGTTACCCATTGTATGTACGGGTATGTACTTCTAAACCAACTTAAGAATGGTTTCGTAAATATAAGGTTAAGCTTATGTTGGACCCACAATTTCGGTCAATTGGTCTTTAACCGGGCAACGAAATGCTGTCCGACGTTCTTCTCCTACACTTGAAACGCGACTTACTCGTCGGCAAGAAAACTCGCTGCTTGTACTACGTTTGGGATTCTGACCAGCGTCGGGTATTCCCTTGTTCCAAGTATGCCCAAGAGTGGATCAGAACCCTTCTCTTGTTAAGTGTATTTTATATTATCCTTCAAATGTGTGGGATTTATTTCTCAGAAGCGCAAATCGTTGAAAAGATATTCGCCGCAACGGTAACATTGATCTACAGCGGAGCCACTGTCACTGGCATGGAATGGGGCGCTGATTCTTCTCGGATACAACTGATGAACTTGATCGTTGCTACAGATGGAAAGAAATCAACCGGTAAAATAGTTAATAAGCATAGAAAAATAACTATGGAAGTTGTGGGAAATTTGCGAAATTTCTCAAAAATTTTGCTGGAAAACCATGGGATTTTTTTCGGATGTTTATCTAGCAAATGGGTTCTTATTTCGCAAAATTATTGCTCATCCTCACTATCACCATCAAAAAAATGACAGAAATGTTTTAAAATGAGATCAAAATAAGTCTCTTGAGAAGTTGATTTACGAGATTTCTGATTTTCTGAAGTCATGTTTTGCACATCACCTAATGACATTTTTTAGAGCTTCGCAAGTTTGTCAATTGAGTGCAATAAGACGTCGTCGTGAGTGCGCTCAGTATTTTCCATTAAACTTAAATATAAAATGATGGTCGATTTTGAATTTTATTTTTCAGCAACGCGCAATGAAGAGTTGTTGGCAATCATTGTACACTGGACGTATTCCCTGGTTGAGGTCACATGCCACGTCATCTTCCCATTCGCAATAACCATAATCCTACTCGTTTTCCCATGCCAACCACCATTTCTTGGATCCTTTATCCTCCAAGGGACCGAGTGTTCCAAAACCATAGGGTCAACTTATCATTTTGATAAGCAGATTGCTCCTGATTTCATGCGAAGTTGTACAAGTGTACCGGCATCTTATTAACGGGCCCCACTACATTGTGCATGTCATGGTAGCGGGGATCCTTCACTTGTGGGAGAAATCTTATAATATTTTCAACTCCTCCCACTTTTCGACGGGATATCGGAAATTGCAAGTTTCGGAAACGATCCTGAACGCAGCTGTAAGCGGAAATGTGCTTCCCTCCTATTTATTATTTGGTCACACTATGCAGGTGGTTTCAACCGTGGCTTTTATCAAGTATCACGATTTGATGTCGATGATACAGATGATGTTTTTTGTGTTGAATGGGGTGAATACGTTCATTCTGAATGTCATGTATTGCAGTGGAGCGGGTAAGATTTACAGGAAGAGTTTGGTCTACCTTAAGGGCTTGAAGGGCAAAGTGAAGGGTAAGATGGAGAGAAAGTTGGTAATGTCGTATGCCCCAATTAAGGTTCGATTTTGGGATAATTTTATGGACGAATTGACACCTCTGATAATCCAACAAAACTAACTGCTTAGCTTGTATGGTGGACTTATTACTCTTGTTGTAAATGTTGATGGGCGGCTTAAAATTGTACAAATTTCAGGAGTATATACGTATTTAGTTGAACAAATAAAGTTAATGAGGAAATCTTACACGATAAAAATCGCAACGTATGAAAATTTATTGTAAATATTTATTTGCATAGCAATATTTACTAAATAATGATTGAAACCAAGTATGAACTGTACTTTGCTAAACATCTATTTTTTGTACTAATTATTAGTTGTAGTACTAATTATTTTAAGCAAGCATATCTAGACTGATATTGATAACATGAAAATATTCTATATAAATATATACATGAATGCATTAGTTCATTGTATGTATCAATTGGATTTCTCATCGAAGAGACAATATGTACCACACTGTTTCATGCTCATAATAAAGCGGTCATCAAAGTTTAATCACTGAGGGAATAATAGAGATAAATATTATTATTGTTATTGTGCATTGATATTTAAACTAGACAGACAACTGTACATGTACCTCACATGTTTACGATAAAAGTCATCTCTGTTTTCGTTGTTAACAATGCAAATACGAACCTGACCCTTGAGGATTTTTCTGTCTACCATTTCAGTTATGTACCTTTTAGAATCCAACCCAGCCTAGATTTGTCTGGATTTTAGGCGTAGCGTACATATGTACATGGTTATAAATGATAAGACAGCTTATATAAGAAAAAAATTCCATGACAAGTTTCTCCTTGTTGACGTGATTGTGGCAGAACAACTTTTTATAAATAAGAGGGCAACATATTATTAAATTGTACGCTTGAAAGAATGTTTACCAAGTAAATATATTGCCTACGTAACATAACTTACATACATATATTTATATGACCTAAGAGTGTACTGACTGGATCGCGTGTCAATCAATGCAGGAAGGGTTAGGTAAATATTAAATATGTGCATGAAGATATGTATGTACCTGTACCTTCTTCTCATGAAAAACATGTAACTGAAGATTATAAAAACTGATGTACCAAGTTACTGAATCGCAGTTGTGTCAAAACCTGCGGTAGAAGTAGGTATCAATTGGCGTACAGTGTTATTGAAATTTCATACATGTGTAAATGCATGTGAAATTTTACTTAATCAAATTAATTGACAGGAAAGAAATATAAAATTTTTAAGTTTGTAATTTTATCCACTCCAGTTTAAACCTCATGGAAGAGACTGCAACCAAACAACGCTGAATTTGCAAAGTTGCTTATAAAAATAATAAAAATATTCAGAGTGCCTCGTGTCGTTCAAGGTTTGTGTCAGTTGGTGTTTTAACGCTGTCACGTATTTACATAGACGGATTAACTGGAGAATATCTACATAGACCTTATATATTCCATGTGCGAATAATTTTGCATCCATGCAGATTACATTTTTAAATGAAACATGCTTAAAAACTGGTCATTTACGTACACGTCTCTTCAGTGAAGCAGAATGTGCATGATATCCAGTTTGTGAATGCATACATTGTATGTGCATTCGCCAAACCTAAATAATTGAACATCTCGGATAATCTGTCCTTCTTAATACTGCACAATTAATCTTTATTCATTTTGTTCACACTCATCGCCTGGAATTTCGTTGTTGCGTGTGTTTTCCAAACCCTTATTTTTACATCTTTTTATACAGCAGTGGTCTACATAAAACTCGTTTGTCGCAAATTTCCTGGCTGAATTAAGCTAATCTTAATGGCAGAGATGTTTGCTTTATGTGCTCTTCCCATACTTGTGGGACTGCTCGCGTATTATTATATGCTGAAAAAAGAAAAATCACGCGAGCCTCCAGGTTTGTAAATTTTGGCAAATTTATTAAAATTAGGTATAGAAATTTTCTTATGCGGTATGTAATTTTTATCCATCAGGTCCCTTCGCGCTGCCAATATTGGGAAATTTGCTCGATTTGGCGAACGCTTCGGATAACTTATTATTGGCGATGGGCATCTTGGCGGAGAAATATGGAGAAATTTACTCGTTAAAGATGGGCTTCAAAAGAACTGGTAAATACAAAATTTATCAACCCAATTTGCAATTCTAGACAAAAAATCATTTTTTGTACAAATTCTCACAGTTGTCCTAACGTCAAAGGAAGCTATGCAAACCATCTTAACAAATGATGCTGCATATGGCCGAGACTCTACGGGCATGCTGGCGGATCGGATTTTAAACAAAAATCTGGGAATCGCTGGATCGCAGGGGGAAATGTGGGAGAAAACGAGAAATTGGACGTTTAAAACGTTAAAAGACTTTGGCTTTGGTAAATCCTTGGATATGGAGCGTTTCATTAAGGTAAATAATTTTATAGCCAACTAATTACTACGAGAAAATTACTGTCATTAAATTATTTGCATGCAGACCGCATCGCAAACCTTATTTGCCGACATTGACCATAAAATGGAGGCAAAGAGAAACGTGATTGAAGTCAATTTGCTCTTCAATCCATCAATTTTATCCACCATGTGGCAAATGGTGCTGGGCAAAGTTTCTCCAGAGGATGAACCGCTGATTAAAATCCTGTCCGAAAAAGGGGACGCATTTGTAAGAAGTGGCATTCTTGGGATGGGCGTGGTTAGCGCTTTCCCATTCTTGAGATTCGTCTTCCCCAAAGCGTTAGGATACAATGTTCAGATGGATTATTTTAATACATGCAATAAAGTGGGAAAGGTGAGACAATATTGGTTATTTTTATATATTAAAAAATCAACTAACTTTACTGTAAATATTATTCGGAAATTATGTATATTTTTTCCAGACACTTTTTCTAGAGATGGAAAAAGAATTAAGGTCGTGTCCATTGATCACTGAACCTAAAAATTTACTGGAGTCATACGTCCAAAATTATATTGATGGAAGTGATCCACAAATTTTTAATTGTAATTAAGCCTTGTATCTACATATTAAACTTTTAAACAAAATTGGTTATTTGTAGGAAATTATGCTAACTTTAAATTGACAGGTGAAAACTTTCAAATTATCTTCCAAGACTTACTCTTGGCCAGTACGGATACCTCGAGCTCTTTCATGGAAGCACTTCTCCTCTACCTTGTCTCATATCCAGAAGTGCAGGAGAAAGTGTATCAAGAAATTTTACAAGTTGCACCGAATGGGAGGCCTCTAACATTTGCAGATAGAAAAGTGTAAGACAAATACATAATTATTTAGCTAAATATTGGGCGTACTCACAGCAATGGGCTATTTCGTATCGCAACTCGTAAATATCGCAAACAGTTTACAAATAAAGACATGCAATTTCCCTGGGTAAATTGGTAGACAAAAATTAAATAGCTCGGGAGAAAAGTGTACAAAATCTTGCAAATTTCACACAACTTTGAAAAATTATGTGAATTTGCTTAATTTGCGAATTATATTTGTGTGTATAAAAAGGTGGTGAGTTCGCGCATTATTTACTAAAAGACATATTTTTATACATTTAAAATTTGCAACTTTAACAGAATGCCATACACTCAAGGATTCTTACTTGAGTCGCATAGGAAAGCGAGAATTTTGCAAAATTCGTTACCACGGCGAGCAGTTAGAGATATTAAGTATAAGGAGTATATTATTAAAGAGGTAACAATAACTGACAATAGCTTATTTAAATTATGAGCAGACCTAATTTTTGTGATAATTGTGCATTTTGTTTACAGAATACTACAATTTTATGTGATATGCGATTATACTGCGAGGACAAGGAGCTATGGGGCGATCCTGAAAAATTTCGACCGGACCGATTTATTGGGGAAAATGGGGAACTCGTAAATGCCTCGAGTATCATTGCATTTTCATTCGGTGAGGTTTTTAATTAGTGATTCCTATCTACATACGTAAAACAAGGGAAGGTAATTAATTTGATGTTCTTTCATGTTCACAGGGAAAAGGAACTGTCCTGGAGAACTGCATGCAAATATTGTCACATTTCTAACGCTCGCCTCTCTCCTGCAAAAATACAAGTTGAGCGTCCCTGATGGAGAAGCAATGCCCAGATTGGACATGATGGCAGGGATCACAATGAAACCGTTCCCATTTAAGGCGAAATTTGTGCGTCGATAAATTTCAAGATAAATATTTCTGGAAATTTATTAATTTCCTTAAGTTTCATAAACTATTAGCATAATAATAATGAAGGTGTACACACAAAGTTATTGAAAGTAGCAGTGGAGCTGAGAAAAATCCTCATGATTTATAAGTATTATGGATGAATTTGATATTAATAGATTGTGTGAGTGCCTAGTGTCAAGGTTAAAGTTAAAGTAATGTTCTGTCAGTATTCAGTTTCATGATGTAAATTTGTATGCATAGATAATATGCATTTTTGTGCGGCGCTGGTCGTTTAGCCTTTTTAAAATGTAAAATGTAATAATGTATTCTCTGCGAATATAATTTGCAGTCCAATTAATAAAATACGATATGCATTCTTTCTTATCACAGTAAATAACCACATAAGAACCTAAGCAGACAGGAAATGGTCAATACAAATCTACCACACATTCACCCGACTTTCTTGTGCATAGTTAAATTTTTCACTCGGCAACAACTTTCATAATTTGAGCAATAACATTATTCCCTACAATTAAAATGCCCAAGTTTTCTAAAACCCGACGTAATTTGAATCCATTACTGTTGATCTCAATTCTCACACAATGTCGTGTAGGTAAGTTGTGTACATGATTTCAAATTTCTATCAAGTACTACTTATCCTAAAGCATTAATACAAATATCCAGTATTCGGCTTGGATTGCTACGTCTGCCTCACCTCGCAACACCCCGGCTGTCCTCACAACGACTCATACCTTGTCCGAGATTGTTCTCATGAAAAGGCAAAATCCTTTTTTAGTAGGTTATCCACCATAGAGGAAAGTGACCTCAACTCTCAAGTCGATGACGACATTGTGGTTCCAAGCGCAATTGAAACGGATGAAATGATGGTTCCCGTCTGTCGCAAAACTTCATTTTACGTTAGGACCTCATTCCTCACAAAATCTAAGGATATTGCAATAGAGAAGCGTTAGTGGATAAAAGTGAAATATTTATTGGAGATATTAGCTACGCGTTCACATTTTGGCATAATTTTGCAACTGACTTCACAAAAAATTGTGAACTCAGTACTACCCTGGGAGTTCGCAAATGAATTTTCAAGTCCAAATTTTTGAAACTTTCGGATTTTGTTTGCTTAAGTTGCGAACTCGTAATTAACACTCCCAGCATATTTTTGATTAGAACAATATTTATGTCTAATTCTTTTAGGAATGATTCACCCCAGAATTCATTTCACTTGTGGGGTCGCTATAAAGAGTAAGAGTGATGTCTGCACCACGAGGAACAGTCCGGATATCAGGAGTTCGCAATGTTCTTGTGTGAAAGACCTTTGCAATGGATCTGCACGCTCGTTTTCGTTTTTAGATTATTTAAAGCATACACATTTTCTCATGGAAATTATTATTTTGTCGGTTGGCTATATTGTAAATTAATATATATTATGTAATTGTCATTCGGCGGAAGTTTATTTTGGACATTCTCATTTAATTTGCCACGAGTGTCAAGCTGGTGGACAATGGTATGTTCATGTTCAACAAACATATGAATATTTGTATAAATAAATTCAAAAATACTTTCAATATTTTTCAATACTGCCAATTTGTCATAAATATTAACATTTTTAAAAAATATTTGGCCATTATGGGTACAAAATAAAATACATATTTTTGGAAGTTTCAGGTATTTTTTTTCTAACTTGGACTGCAATAAAATTTAGATTATTGGATTTGAATAATTTGTACGAAGTTCAGTTATTATCATGCTTACCTGTAAAGGTTTCCTACAAACATTCATAAATAAATTTTAAAACTCCAGATCATGAGTTGGCCCAATATTTGATATCGACGCAAAATGTCGTTGCCCTTTTCAATCGTGCTCATTTCTCATGTTATCTTCCACGTGTTTCATGTTCGTGAGATCACGAACGCAACCTGTTTAATAAAATGTCCTTCAATGTTTGTTTCATGGAGATAATATGAGTTAACAGCATACCTACCTCCTCGATTTACGTGTTCAATGTAGGTCAACAATTTGCATAAAAACTCGGTCCAACCAAAAGCAGTCATTGAATGATTATCATTCCGACTCCTTTCACAAATCGATTCCAAATTTTGAAAATCTGAACGACTTAAATTCTACTATCTACCCGTACTAAAGATACAATGAAACCTATCATTTTTTTGTTAATTGTGACTTTATTATTCGATAAATACTTTCTCCTTTTCATGTACCTATTCTTCGGTGACGATTAACTGCAATGGGCGTTACGGTGCGGAGCAAAAGGAGCTCCAAGAAATTAACCAGGTTGAAAATCGGGAGGAGAAGTTGGACAAACGTGTAACAGGTAATTAATATGTATCATTGTTATATACGTAAATATGCACTTACTTCTCCCAACCCGCACAATAATGAAATAGTAACATTTTTGACAAATTTTTCATGATTATCTAAAAAGTAATGTATACATAATGCTATTGCTATTCTGTAAAATATTTATGGTGATGTTTAATTATGTAAGATCTATTAGTAATATTTTCAAGTCACACGAGACGAGATAATGCCGCACTAAATTTTGATTACACAAGTGTAGTGAAAAACTAACTCATTTTGTGAATTAGTGCTGTATTTTATCATATAAATTTTTCCCAAAACTTTAACAGTCGGGTTGCCGATCCTATCCGAGTTTAAATGGGTCGGATAGGATAGCTGTAGTAAGTTGCTCGGATAATCCGTCGGATAGGATTGGCAACCCTATTTAACAATTTGTGCTGCCATTCATTCTCATTGTAATTTTCTGGTATTATTTACAAATATGTGTGTATGTACTTAATATTTTTTGACATATACGTATTTATGTACATAGGAGGATCATGCAACGATTGTTTCAGAAGATGTGCTTCACTCGGCTACCCAAAATTATGGTGCAACTCTATTCTTTGTAATTGTCGGATTGAAGAAACAGTCAAATTTGACTCGTCGCTGCCCAACTTTTTCCAACAATTTTTCCAGAATTTGTAACATTTATTCTATAACAAATAAATATATAAATACATATAATTTGATACTACATAAGAAAGTAAGTACATATGCAATTACTGTAATACACTTTATTGTTTGTGCATAAATTTTGAAGGTTTTTTGTATTTACAATGTAATGCTTTAATTGGGTAGCTGTAATGCATATAATCAAACAATACAAACAAGTTTTAACCAAATTTATTAGCCTGGGACGAACCTTGTCGGAGAATTATTTTTATGAACAGAATTTAATGAATACATATTTTGGACTGCTAAGCTCCAAATCATTAACAATACCGCATATCTTTATTAGAAATGTAATTAATGTTTACCTAATGCAAATAAATGTGTAGATTGGCATTTTGTACTCATTCGTTATCCTATATAGCTAACATGTACAAATACTTGGACAAGCTTGGTATTAAAGTTTTACTACTTCAGTAGTAAATTTTTATAGACATGTATAATGTTGATACCAAGCGGTAGAAACTTTAATACAGAGAAACCAATACCTGCGTGACTGAACCAGATTTCCAACAGGGCGTAATTACTGATGTGAGTTAGCAGTAAATACAATATGTAGAAACCGATAGGTTCAATCAAATTCCCAGCTCTGCGATGTCTTATTACCAAAAATTTGTGCTGGTCATGTTGGCACAAAACAAGTTTAATATGAGGAAAATTAGTTATGTATATACCCCGGGCAATTATGCACATCCTCAATTTTGTTATCTAAATGCCAAAGTAAAAATTGTTACGACATTTTGTCATTTGTAACCCATAACCCAACAAAATTGTAATACTAATACTCCTAAACATGTATTTACATATTTACCTATTCAACAGAGAACCAGAATTGAAATAAATTTTTCTAACCATACTAAACACATTTTCTACCAAAATTTCTCACTCAACTAACATCCATCTTGAAGCCATCACGGTATAAAACCTCCATTTTCTAGATTGCTTTCCGTAAATTTCTACTATTATATTCCTTCTCGTAAGCTAAACAATGACTTAAACAATGACGAGACCAACAACAAGTGTTCACGATGCCCCATATCATATGGTGGAAGTTGAAATAAAACTTATTTGGCTCGCCTTGGAAAAATTGTAAACACTTTGAACTCAAATATCTCGGAATGGGGCAGACGAAATTGCTAAGTTGTTATATTTAAAATAATCTAGATTTTCTGAACTATCTTTTGGTACAAGAATCAGCGCTGGACTCGTTACCCCCCTTTCCTTTGTCCTATGCCGCCGCTCCATAGCCTACTGTGCACCGTCTGGATCATAACAGTTGTCACGCTTCTTTTGTCTGTTTTCCTTCTATCTCTGGGATTTTACGCTTTGAACAAAATATTCTACCTGTTTGAGCTTTTGTTATACTTTTACGGCTGCCTGATCGACGAAGTTAGCACCGTCCCGGAAAAGTTGAGCAATTTCGTTCCCATTAGATTCATAAATATTCCGTGGCTCTTGATCGGCGCGCTGCTAAGTTCTTGCTACTTGAGTATTTTCATCACAAATTTAAACTCACCGCTTCCCGGTGAACGGGTCGATTCGTATGAAAAAATTTCTTGTCAAGATAACCCTCAAATAATCGTGAACAGCACCATGATAAGGCACAGGACTAACGAGAGGCGTTTGTTGGAGGGGGAACACAGCAAAAATTTAACAATTCCACCCTTCGTTAAAGGTCTGGGAGGATTCTGTTACACAGTTTTGTCCGAATTCGTACCAAACTTTTGGATAAAGTATTACGTTGCTAATTTTAAATTTTCCAAGTTTTATTCGGATTTTAACTACAAGTCGGACAATTTCCCCCCACATTTGCAACGTTTACTGTATTTCATGCTGAATTCAAGGATTCGTAAGTATCCGGAAAAGTTGAGATTTTCAAACAATGTAACCACTAACGAAGTAAATCGTCTTATCGAGGAAGAAATTTTGCAGTGTGAGAGATCAGCTTATATCGGACCGTCAAGTGAGGTTAACGCCTATTATGACTACTTGACGAGAAATTATCCCACGAAAAGTTGGTACCGTGGGGAGAAAACGATTTTTGAAAGTCTGGTCGGATTTACCTTGAGGGTTGGGCGGGAATCAAGGATGGTTCGTTATTTTAAAATGTTTTTAGATGCAGGGATTTACAGTCAGGTTGCTAATCAGGTCGCCCTCGATGCGACATTATTGCGAGAAAGAAAGGCTAAATTTGGAAACTATGAGAAATTTCGGTACGCCACCTCCTTCCAGGCGGTAAGACTTGGCGACAGTATTCAAACGACTTTCATACTACTCACCACATGTCTAGCGGTCTGTTTTTGTGGGGTCGTCGTTGAATATGCTTCATACAATGGGACAAATATCATCCAATGGGACGAGTTTACATTCATTTGGGGAAAATTTATGAAAAGTGCACAGCAATTCGTGTGTCACAAAAAATAACGTGTCGCGCATCTGAATGCATGGCGTATGAATTTACTCAATAAACTCAATAAAAGCGATTTAAACTTCTTGTCAATAATTTACATCTCAAATTAAATTGAAAAGAAATTAAGAGTCGATTTCTCTACACGAAAGAAAATTGCATGCATCCCATCGGCGACTGCATGAGAAATCTCAATTCCACAATGAAACCGAGGTGAATATCCAGTCTCATTTTATCCTGCTCCGACTTAATATATGCCACCAAACCTGAACTTGTCATATGTTTCATCAAATTCTAAAAGTTCATTTATCCACAGTAACTAAAATTTTTCAAAATTTTTCAAAAATGCCCCGCAGTGCTGGCAATTGCGAGCCCCGCAATGAAAATTTATCTCGCGATCCATTTTTTCATTTCCAAACATTTGTCAACCAAATTGTAGAAGAATATCAGGAATTTAAAAATACAAAGTCTACAATTCCCGAAGAAAGAGAGCTCATCTTGATTGAGAAACTAATCCGCAGTATCAAAAAATATGATTATTCTTTTGAATGCAAATGTTTGCAACATATCAGGAACAAAGTGGTGAGATTTTGGAAATTAATTTTGTATTAGTAATTGAGAACTTAATTTTACATTAATTTTATAAAGATGGTGACTGAGGGCGACCATTGGATCCCGTTTGCTTGGGTTTGCAGCAAAATACTTCGCCACAGCAATGGTCCGAATCAAAGGAGTCCCGTGTTGTTTAAAATATTGTACAAATTTTGTATGGAACATCGAGCCTCGGTTTGTTTCTATTAAAGAATTGTTAATTGTACATTATAAAAAACTTTTTTTCTTGTTTAGGCGCTACTCGAGCTACATAAAATTATGATTATGATTCAACACTCAAACATATTTGGTCCACTTGACCAAGAAGAATTCATCGTACAGGTTGGAAGATTGAAAATACGGTTAACCTTGGATGAAATTATCATCAACCGAGCGAAGGAATTCTCAGCAAGAATCGTAAATTTGGGCGATATTGATCGAGCCGTGTTTGGAACAAACCCTGTCGACAGACCAAGCCATCCAAACCTGCTATTTCAAATTTGACCTATTCCGTCAACATAGGAACCAGTTGAGGGAGCATATTAAGTCTGGACTGAGCCTGATGGAGGTGCCTCGACTGATCCAGGAGATGGTAGACACTATTCCTGTAGACGTTCTTACAGATGAGGAAACAATGCCCTTGCTGTTGAGAGTACTCAATAAAACTCCTCGCTCCTCACCGTTAGGCGTTGTTGATGCCTTGGCCTTCCTCTGGGTTTACGTCGGCCTTTTGGTGAAAAAAGGAAATGCGATTGGAGAGAAAGAGACTGTCACGAGATATGTGATTAATGTTATCAACAATTTTTTCAGAATAGTTGTACGTTCTGATAAGCACAAGAAGGTTGGGTATTAATTCATTCACATTTAACTATACGAGCTAATTTAATCCATGATTATATTTAATTCAGTTGTTTTGTCATATATGTACTATGCAGAATATGGAGCACATCCTCAACCTTTATAACGCAGTAAAAACACTACACAAGCCACCCACCGCAGGAGAAGAGTTGTACTTCGAGTTGCCAGAATTCATTCTAACGGGACCTTATCTAAATGAGAACTTGGAATTGGAAGATATCAGTTACGTTCCGGAAGAATTTTTCAAGAACATGTGCATCAATTCGAATGTAAATGTAGTCTCTGACGCCATCGACACCCTCACCAGTTCAACATCAGAGAAAAAGAAGAAGCGAAAAGCGATAGAGCAATCGCAGCCTGATGACGCCACAACATCTTCACAAATTAAAGAAGAAAGCGATGACGAAATATGTTTGATCCCACCCACAATCGAAGAAGACGACGCCAACACGTCAAATATTCCTGCTTCTGATGGCCCCTCGTTCATCACCGACCCAAATATCGTGGTAAATATGAACCCCACGCTCTTTCCTTCCGACAACACACTTGGTTGGTCAGCCCGAAGTCTTCTTCCCTCAAAGAGGACAAAGAAATCCACATCACGTGAAGATTTTCTTCCCCACGATAATTCTCCTCCTCCGATAATCCCCCCAAATTGTGCAGAAACTATTCTTCCCATCGATTTCACCCAGGACGACTACGCCCAACAAATGTTTGCTCATAATTATTATGCTCAAGGGATCAAAATGATTGATGGGCTGCGTCGAGTCGTATTTTATCACAACGTGAATAATTAATGTTTTAATGTTTGTCTAAATATCTGCCTAACAGTCTGAACGTATCGTACATACGCTTATTATATTAATTTGTCATTAATAATTTATTCATGGTGCATATAGGAGAAGAAGGATAGGAGAAGGATAGAAGAATAGAAGATTCTCACTTTATGAAAGTATTAACCTTACCCGGACCAGTTATTTCCTTAGATTCAGTTTAGAATTATAGTAATCCCATTGTTTAATAATAAGAAAATGTTTGTTTTTTTGCAAACTGTGAGCAATGATATTGTACTGTACAATAAACCTATGTTCCAAGTTATATTCCTTGTGTATGAAAATGCTTACTTTCTCCGTACATACGTACATACATAAATATGTAAATATGCATTTCATAAATACATATGTGTTGCATTGAAATTGAATTGTTGTTGACATAATTTATAATATTGACGTGGGTGGAATATTTTTTTCGAAAAAATTTGTTGTGCGTAAGCTTGTGATCTTATAAATCTTGGTGGTATAACAAATTATTTCACCGTGTCATCTGAGATGATTCATCCCTGCGTCACACAAAATTGAGATGTCATGTATGTAGTTAATTTTGACGTAAGTAGCATAATTATGATTACATTGCAAAAATGTGCGAATTTATATCACATCATTCAAAATCCTTTGGAATTATAGGCTTTCATCAATTTGTAGACATTCAAAACTAGTTAATGATTTTGTTGTTTTATTTGTATCCGGTTGGACTAAAATATATTTAAATAGGTTAAAAGATGAGCATTTGTGTGCAGTCGACTGTCGTGTTTTTTCCCGAATAGTTATTGAAAAATTTGAAAATGGGTGGAATTTTGGGAATTATTTTGCTAATCAGTGGTGTCACCTCCGTATGCAGCATACCCATCGAAGTCCGTAAGTCAGCAACACGCTATGAAAATACTTATCAGTTCAGTTAACAGATTTGTACTCGCGAGAAATAATTTTGAAGAGAAAATATAATAATTTTGATGTAAATTCTCTTAAAGGAGGAGGAATAGGATTACAGGGTCAAAGGACTTGTCCCCCTGTCGATCCCACCCTTCTTTTGACGGGGGGACCGTGCATATTTTTGCCAGGTGTCCACTGTCGACATGACTTGGAATGCGGGAGCGGTTATTTGAGCTGCTGTCCAACCGCGTGTTACTCAAAATGCGTAACATCCTATTAAAAATTCGAGGTAATAAATTTGCATAAATACCAGTGAAAATAAACTTATTGCTGACTGTGCATGAAATATGTGATTGATTTCAGGAGAATTTTAGCAACATCTATCATGCTGAGGACAATGGCTTAAGTGAGAGTTTATTATTACTTCTGAAAGTACAAAATGCGTCATCTGTAAATTATCTAAGAGGATTTATGAAAATAGAAAAGTGATCTAGCACACACAAACTAGCTTTATCTGTATATTGGTCTTGGTACAATAAAATTTGCAATAAATAATAGTTTCTGGAAAGTTAGAAACCAGAATGAAAATTAGAAATAAGTACGTATGTACTTATACACATGTATCTACATATTTATCTAGGAGTCTACAGGTCGTACGACATGTTCAAAATGAATGGTACGATGTTGCAGGCCCCGTTCTAGGCAATGTGGCGCCCTAGGCAAAACTTTAGTGGCGCCCCCATGGCCATATGTGCTGGCACAGTCAGATCAAACACTTTTACTATTGCACAGTAAAAATCTCTGTGGATGGAAAATTTCCCGCTCCGTGAGCTCAAAGCAATCCCTAAGGGGCCAAAGTTCGTATTTTACCGTCCAACAGAGATTCTTGCTCGGAAATACGCCAAAAAATATAATCGTACACAAATTTGAATTTAGCGTTCGATTGCACAATCAGCAATTTTTAAATAAATTTGATAACATATATTTCATCCCTAACAAAAATAAATGAATATTCGCCATAGCACAGAAACCTCATAAAAATTTCTCACTTGCTTATTAAAAATTAAAATCAAACCAACAAGGGAGAGCTGTAAGGTTGTTATCCCAGGTTTGGACCGAACAAATTTAAAAATATGCATGCTCAGAAATAAGCGGAGCGCACATAAAGTGCATAAGTTTCGTTTTCTATTTGGAATGCACGTGTTTAAGAATGTAATGTGGCGTAATTATTTAACAAATTGTGAGCCAAAATGTGGATTTTCCTGATTTGAAGCCTATTCCAAACATTAAGCTCACTTTTTGCTCATTACTCCCATGAAATTATAAAAATACATTTTTAAATACTTTTGAACTTTTCATGCTACGAAAATTTCTTAATCATTAAGGGTGCAAAAATGTTATTTTTTAGAATTAAACTTAAGTGTTTTAAAAAATTACATTTTATAATTTCAGGAAAATAGATCTGAACAAAAAATTGTGCTCAAGTTTGTTGGTCCGGCTAAATTCGAAAAGTGATAGCACTGAAAATCCTTGGTCGTAAATGTACTAAACAATTTCTTTACGGCACTCCAAATAAAGTTGAGTAAAATTTGCGATGACACAACGGGTTGTGCAAAATTTACCCGACGAAGGTAAAATTTACTCAAGGTTGAGCTAAAATTCTACAATGTTGCATAAATTCCAACTTTCATAGTGTAAACTTTACTCAACCAGTTGTGTGATCGCAAATTTTACTCAACCTTGGGTAAATTTTAATCCAATTTATTTAGAATGGGACATTCTGGAAAACGCAAAAATACGGGCCAGCTTATTTCTGACCGTTAATAATTTAAAATTGGTCAGGTCAAAATTGGAGATAACCATTCCACACTTCTACATTGTAAATCACTCTTACGAAGAAATTGTCTTACGTATACATACATATATACGTAAGACAAAAACTTGTCAAATCAATACAGCCGGTGTAAATATATGACTTAACCGCCATGGTTACAATTGTGATTCAGAGCATTGTAACTTGTAACCACCGGTGTCAAAATCATCATAACTCGGAATCAACAGTTTAACCAAGGCGGTTAAGTTATATATTGACACCGACCGTCACCGGAGGTATTGAAGTTTTTGCTTAGAGTGTAGAACTTCATCTAGGAGGATTTTCAAGCTAACAATTTGTGAACAATATTTGAAAATAAAGTTTGTTTTTCCTATACATATTTCAGTTTTTTTAATGTTCTCAGCCCCGACAAATTATAATGCTCAAAACCTGTTTTTATCTAGTGTATACGGGCGCCTACCGGCGCCCCCCAGCACGTTGGCGCCCTAGGCGGTTGCCTAGCTCGCCTATACCTAAAACGGGGCCTGCGATGTTGCATTATCTATGTCAAAATTTGGTGAATTTTCAGATGTGCAAAAGCATATCGATTTTATACGCAAATCGTCCATTGCTGAAAGAAACGCGTTGTTCAAAAGTTGTATTTACAGCACCCAAGCATAAATTTAAACCCGGTCGTATGCTCCGCGTCACGTAGGCGGTAGCGTCTAAGTAAATTTTTTTCAGCCATCGTGTTAAGGTTTATGTTGTACAGAATTTAACTGGCTTTCTAACGGTACTACATTTGATTATGAAAAAACTAACGAGTATGCGTAATAAATCATATCAGAAAAAAACACAAAAAAATTAGCTGCAAAAGTTTAAACCCGTTCCATATTAAAAATCATTTCACAACAAAAGGGCAGTGAGACACGGATTTAACAAAAATTTCCATTCATCCTAGTCCCCCTACTTGCTAAAACAGCTAAAAACTGGGAAAGAATCTGAAGTTGGCCATTGCTGTGAAAACATATTATAAATTTCCACGAGCGGGACCTGGGGCCCTTAAAAATTAGTGCTATTTTCAAATTTAACAAAAATTTGATCGAAACAATTATTAGGAAATAGAAAAATATATCTACTGTACCATGTAATCCTAAATCGGGACAGCCAACCGTCAAATCCAAGCAAATTAGCTGAAAAATTGTTTCAAATTCAATCCAAAATGGTGGGATGCTATTCCAAAATTTTATCTCCGAAATCAAGGGGCATTGTCAGATCCAAGTTAACCCATGAAATGTGAAGAGGAGACTTTATGAACAAAATCTCAAGGGTAGATGAGTTCGAAAAAAAATGTGGTTGACTATGCCAAGCTTAAGCCAAAGACTGATATAGGCCAATGAGCACGTTGAAATGTCTTGACTTGGAAAAAGGAATGTCTTGTACATTGAGTACAAGAAATTCCTTTTTAAGACCTTCTCCAGGTCTCCTCCAAACGTATTCCACCATTTTATTGACTAAAATACCGAATTTTGTTTCGCCCGGTCACGATACCCCTTGATCCAGTCTTGGGTGGTTCATTCAGAGTGTTCATTTACCCATATCAGTCTTCGGCTTAAGCTTGGCATAGTCAACCACATTTTTTTTCGAACTCATCTACCCTTGAGATTTTGATCATAAAGTCTCCTCTTCACATTTCATGGGTTAACTTGGATCTGACAATGCCCCTTGATTTCGGAGATAAAATTTTGGAATAGCATCCCACCATTTTGGATTGAATTTGAAACAATTTTTCAGCTAATTTGCTTGGATTTGACGGTTGGCTGTCCCGATTTAGGATTACATCAGGGTTGTTAAAGAGACAGCAATTTGATAAGACTTATCAAATTACTGTCTCTTTAACAACCCTGGGATTATATGGTACAGTAGATATATTTTTCTATTTCCTAATAATTGTTTCGATCAAATTTTTGTTAAATTTGAAAATAGCACTAATTTTTAAGGGCCCCAGGTCCCGCTCGTGGAAATTTACAATATATTTTCACAGCAATGGCCAACTTCAGATTCTTTCCCAGTTTTTAGCTGTTTTAGCAAGTAGGGGGACTAGGATGAATGGAAATTTTTGTTAAATCCGTGTCTCACTGCCCTTTTGTTGTGAAATGATTTTTAATATGGAACGGGTTTAAACTTTTGCAGCTAATTTTTTTGTGTTTTTTCCTGATATGATTAATTACGCATACCCGTTAGTTTTTTCATAATCAAATGTAGTACCGTTAGAAAGCCAGTTAAATTCTGTACAACATAAACCTTAACCCGATGGCTGAATAAAATCTACTGATAAGCTTGAGCCATCGGGGCGCGCAGCATACGACCGGGTTTAAACTTATGCCCTGGTGCTGTACGTAAGTAAATACTTGACCACTTAAATAATAATTATTCCTCGTCAGGATTCTACGGGTAACCCCGTAAAAATTTTCGACCTTTGGATTGCGTATACTATATTCATATATATAGAATCCGTTAAATATATGTAATTTTAAATAAACGTTGAGCAAAGTTATAATGCGGAAGGCAACAAGGTTGCGTTCACTTAAATTACTGAATGTATGTAATGTATGTATGCACATATACACAGATCACATATTGCATCCTATATAAATACATATGCGTGTATGTACAATATTTATTATATTAGTATACATTTGCGTACATACTTATGTTAGCGGAATACGTGAATTATGTACATAAGTGATATGGAAAATAGGTTGCATGTTCCAGTACTAACCCAACTTTGAGGCCCATAAAATTTCATTGGGTTACAAAAAACTGGTTTTTTCGTCTCCAGTTTGATAACTGATCTACAAATATAATGAAATAACTTTATCCTTCTATTATCCCTGACTGTGAAAATCTGCACAGCAAAAATTCAGCAAACTTATTTTCCTCGTCACACATTACATGTATTTAATTTAAATTGCATGTGTCGTAATCATCGCCTGATTCTTATTCTGAATCCACTACGTGAATTTATCAAATTATATATTTTTATTCAGCTGTAACATAAAATTTAAAAAAATTCGCATCTACGAATTTTGGAAATTAAAGATTTTCACAAAATGTTTTTCATCATCGCCATCACAGTTTGTGTGGGATTGATTATCATAGGGCGGATATGTATGTACTTAAATTCCTCAAAATATGTATGTAATATGTACTTAAAAATATGCGAAAATATGCACGTAAAACATATTTTTCAACCGAAATTTTCTACTATATTTGCATTTAATTTTCTAAAAGTTTCAAATTTGTAACACTCTTATTAATGAATTATTATGTATTGTATTTTAATATTCATGTAATGACCCGTAAAACGACATTAGCCATATTTAGAGATTTTCAGGGGCAATTTTATGACTTGAAAAATGGGGCAAAATGGATTTTCTAGTCGTTTACACGAATTAAACTCCGTTATCATGAAAGTATAATTTTTATCCAACTTTAACGTCTGAATGAAGAAACATATTTTTTCCTCAGGAAATCCTGAAATATGCATTAAAATGTTTATTTTTAGAAAATGCTCGAAATATGTAGGAAAATATGTGTATTTACGAAAAAACCTCAAAATATGTATGAAAATATGTATATGTACGAAAACCCTAAAATATGTAAAATATGGAAAACCATGTTTGAATTTTTGAAATCATGCTTCGATAGGATGTGTGTATACGAAGTTATAGTAAGATCTGATTGGGAATGAAAAAGTTAGAAATACATACATATCCGCCCTCTGTTGATTATATATTATTTTCTACGAGGCGATGATACCACGGGAGAACCACCTGGTAAATAAAATAAAAACATGCAAACTTAATTAATACAGTCAATCCAAGAAGTATTGGCAACCCCAACGCAAGCTAAATAAAATTGGCTATAACTTTTGCATGCAATATCCAATTAGTTTGAAATTTTGCATACATTTGAAAAATGTAATGTAGTGTTCGACTATAATCATGCTTCCGACTAAAATTAAATAACCCGCACGTTATCCTGATTTTGATACGAACGAGTCAGGTACGAACCTCCAAAAAGTATTGGCAACCTGTGTCATAATTATTTGTGCGAAATTTTTATCACGACAAACCTCTGCGTCTTATCAAGGTAAGTTAATCCGATCACAGAATATGACTTTATCTGCTTCGTAAGTCCAGATTGGTATCGTCTAGAACCAAAACGTCCACACCAAACGGGTTATTCTTGGCGGAGCTAGAAATAATCGTGCCTCCTTCACAATCAAGCTTGGATATCAATAACTCATACAGAAAACATGCTCCGTGATATTTACTATTCGAAACGTAGCCAAAGAACATGAGGCAAAAAATTTAAGTTCCTGGTTTTCTATGATACTATTAAAAATGCCTGCTAATCCTAAAATCAACGGATTAATCAAGCAAATTAGCACTAGAGATCGGAAGATTTCAGCTCCCAAAACCATCGTAAATTTGAGTACAAACTGTGGGGTCAACATTGCATGCATTATGGTAATCAATCAAAAATCATGCCATGGGGTTTCAGGGTCCAGTATCCCGACAGGCGCGAAGGTCCCCAAAACGAAACAACTCAATAAATTGGAACGGGCTAAATACCATCTTTAATAGACTTCGAATGAATGAAAAAGGGTCTGATGGTCTCACATAATCTCATTTTACCTATTCGGAGCAAATTAAATGGTTAAAGTCTGTTGGATGCAATAAAAGGCTCAGAAAAACGAATAGGTGCATATGGCAGTTCAGCATAGAGGATAATAGATTATGGTTTGGGGTTAAATGACCAGATCGCTGCGTAGTTACCTGGTCATTATCGACGAAATCATGACCAAGGAGTTCTAAGTAATCATTCCAAACGATAACTGGAAAATATTTGACAAAAACATGACCCAGGAAGGAATTTCATATTCCAAAAATGCTGTGGCCCCAAACATGCATCCAAATTAACCGTGCACATTTTTGGATACCGAAAAAGTTATGCTTCTTTCGTTGGCCACATAGTCTCCCGATGTGATTCTGATTGTACGGGTTGAGATAAGAGGGACTGGTGGGAAATCACTAGTCGAAAAACGAGCTTGTCAAAAGTTCGAAAGAAGATTGGGAAGCCATATCAAAAAGCGTTATAAAGAAACTGGTCGAGTCAATTCCAAGGCGAATTTCTGCTCTTATTGCGTCGTGGGGGGGTGCTACGCGGTACTAGAAGCAGTTTATCGAAACAAAATTGCAGTATCTATGATTATGATTTTTTAAATTAAGGGTTGCCAATACTTTTTGTGGGTTAATTTCGCAAATTTTCCAACAAATTATATAAAAATCGTGACAATCTATTTTTAATCAACAAAGGATTATTATCATCGAGTACCACATTAGATTTGTCAAATGTGTGCAAAATTTCATGCTAATTGGATAATGCATTCAAAAGTTATAACCAATTATATTTAGCTTCCGTTGGGGTTGCCAATACTTCTTGGATTGACTGTACATACATATACACAGCTTGTACGTGCATTTCTGTATGTATTTCACAGGACCAAGACCATTGCCAATTTTAGGAAATTTGCTAGATTTGGCGAGAGCATCGGACAATATGATCCAAACATTTGGCGTGTTAGCAGAAAAATATGGAGAAATATACACTGTAAAAATGGGGTCGAAAAAAACTGGTAGACGAAAATAATTTAAAGATTTACATGAAAATTTAGTAAACTACTTTCTGAATTTAAAAAATTGCGTAGTTATTTTAACCTCAAAAGAAGCCATCCAAACGGTTCTCTCCAATGACGCTTCAAACGGTCGTGACAGATCGGGAACATTTGCGGATCGATGTTGGAATAAAAATTTAGGAATTGTCACCTCCGAAGGAGAACTTTGGGAAAAATCAAAAATTTGGACGTTTAAAACTTTAAAGGAACTTGGATTTGGAAAATCGTTTGACATAGAAAATTTTATCCGTGTAATTATTTTATTTAAAAAAATATCCAAAAAATGGGTTTACATATTTATTTCTTCATTAAATTTTAGACTGCATCGGAATCCTTATTTTCTGAAATTGACAACAAAATGGAGACCTGTGGTAGCATCGGGGTCGGTTTGCTATTTAACAAGTCGATCCTGGCCATCATGTGGCAAATGATAGTTGGTCGCCTTTCACGAGAGGATGAACCCCTTATCGACACCTTGTCTGAAAAGGGGAACAAATTTGCACAAAGTAGCCTTTTTGGTGCGGGGATCGTTAATGTCTTCCCGTTTTTGAGATTCGTCTTCCCAAATTTGCTAGGATATAATATGCAAATGGATTTCTTCAATACGTGTAATAAAGTTGCGAAGGTGAGGAACGAATGTAATTAAGAACGAACATTGCATAAATAACAGAATAGCCATCCCAACTTAAAAAAATCTGTTCTGTCCTACGAACAGTACGAACAGAAACAAATACAAAATTCTGAAGTCTTTTACCAGAAACCGTAAATAATTAATAAATTAAATATAATCTCAATTATGTAAGTAAGCTTCTACTTTTTAAAGGACCTCTTCTTGGAATCGGAGGCAAGACAAAAACTGAAGCAATCTTTCGAACCGGCTACAAATTTGCGGGACGCTTTTGTCCAGAATTGTGCAAGGGAGCCGAAAATATTTAGTTGTATGTGCATAAAACCGTAATTATGCGTAATTAATTTTCTAATTTAAAAAATTTGGTAATATAGGCGAAAATTTCCAACTCATATTTCAAGACTTGCTTTTGGCCAGTACCGACACGACAAGCTCCTTCATGGAGGCAGCGCTCCTTTATCTCGTTTCGTACCAAGATGTCCAGGAGAAAATTTATCGTGAAATAATGCAAATATGTCCGGATGGGAGTTTTCTGAATTTTTTGGATAGAAAACGGTAAATAAATTTTATCTTACAAATCTGAATCCTTTAATAATGTTGTGTGGAAATTTCCAGAATGCCGTATACGCAAGCATTTTTTCTCGAGACCCATCGCAAATCACGACTCGCACAAAATTTTGTTCCGAGAAGAGCATTAAGAGATTTCAAGTATAAGGAGTACACAATTAAAAAGGTGAATCAAAATCAATAATGAAACTGCACAGTTAAATCCTTAATGAGTAAATTTGAATATGTTTTTAGGACACCGTAATCATTCCCGATATTCGATTGTATTACGAGGACAAGAACATTTGGCAAGATCCGGGAACATTTAATCCTGAAAGATTTATTAATTCGGATGGAAATCTTGTTAATGCTGACGCCATCATTTCCTTTTCTTTTGGTAGGTCGAGTTTAAGATGTATTTACATATCGTCGCTGTAGATCCATAACCTGCCAAGTTGAAAACCAGTTGGAAGCATAAAATGCCAAGTTGAAAACCAGTTGGAACCATAACCTTCCAAGTCTGTTTTCGTGATTTTTCAGGAGAGCGTAAAAACCCGAACCACATGATTGTTGGTTGAAGGAATCGCAGTAGTTGATTTTTTCACTGTTTAATGTTGAATGTAAATTTATATTTCATCCAAACAATTTCAAATTTTGCATGAACATGCATAAATATATTCTTAATCATAATGTTGCATCAATTCCCGTTTCGATCGCTATAAATTTTTCAGGAAAAATATAAAACCAAATTTTTTACGGTTTTTGATTTTTCCTGAAAAATTTATAGCGATCGGAGCGGGAATTGATGTCATGTTATGATTAACAATATATTTATGCATGTTCATGCCAAATTTGAAATTGTTTGGATGAAATATAAATTTGCATTCAACATTAAACAGTTCCTAGATCGCATAGATTAGCCATCTTGCCACGAGTTTTTCGAGCAAGAGAAAGCCAAATCTTATAAATTTTATCAGTTTTTGATCTTTAATATCTCCGGAACTAGGTGGTTAATAATTTTTTTGAAAAAGCCATTTTATCGCTAGCTAAATGCCAAATTTTTATAGACTAAAATCGCAATACACCCCAAAACAGACTTGGCAGGTTATGGTTCCAACTGGTTTTCAACTTGGCATTTTATGCTTCCAACTGGTTTTCAACTTGGCAGGTTATGGATCTACAGCGACGATATGTATGTCTAACAAAAAGTTAATACGATTTTGACTTTTTTTTACAAAACAACCAGGAAAACGAGCATGTCCGGGAGAAAATCATGCCAACATTTTGTCCTTCCTTCTTCTCACCTCAATCGTACAAACATACAAATTAAGCGTTCCACAGGGCGAACCCAAGCCAAGACTGGATATGAAACCAGGCTTCGCACAAAAACCGTTCCCATTCAAGGTTCATTGTGGCCGAAGGTAAATAGATACATATGTCCTGAATTGTTAAGAAAATTAATCAACGTAATAAACATGAGTACCTAAGAAAGTTAGAGTAAGCAGTCTTGACTGATACAGTTAATTACATATGTATATACGTATATGTATATGTTCCTTGACATGCACGAATCTCCGTTTGGAATAAAAAAACTTGACCGACCGAAGTGTATTTACGTGTATAAAGAAACTTACTCTGCATCATATTTAGCTTGCCGGTAAAATTTACATGAAATAAAATATGTTTTCCATATGAATAATTTATGTGAATTTGTATGAAAACAATAAAGTTACAACATTTATTATGAATGGCACAATGTTGCGATATTCAATTTATAAAAAAACACAATGCAATGTGAATTTATAACTGCTAATCTAACCTTATCAATCCTTCAACATTTATCCTATCGCTTGGTAAATGTGGCTTGAAAAGGGTACGGTTTTAGAGTTAATCCCGGCTTCAAGTCTAACCTGGGCATTTCTTGACCTTTCGGAACGCTCAATTTGTACCGTTGGAGGAGTGAGGTGACCAACAAAAATGCAACAATGTTCGCATGCAGCTCTCCAGGACAGTTCCTCTTCCCTGGAGACAAAGTTAATTAATAAATTATTATTAATTACGGTATTACATGACCATAATTAGATACATTATACTTTAAATACGTAACTCACCAAACGAAAAAGAGATAATATTCCCTGCATTCACAACTTGTCCAGCCTCGTTAAGAAAACGTTCCGGTCTAAATGCGTCTGGATCTGTCCAATTTTCCTGACTTTCATAGTACAGCCGCGTGTCGGCCATGATAATGGTATCCTAGCCACCAGAAACAGGTATAGAAATACTTCGCATACTAAATATTTTACAATATACAATATTGCAATATTGCAATATATTAAATATTTTACATTATGTAATTTCGCACCTTTTTAATAATATAATCCTTATAAGCAATGTCCGACAGAGCGCGACGAGGCAGCATGTTCTGGAGGACTCGTCCCTTTCTATGCGTCTCCAAGAAGAAAGCTTGGATGTACGGCATCCTAATTTTATCATATCAAGTAGGTAATTTTTCTTAATAATTCCACTTAAATAAAATCCTTTAATCGTACTCTTTTCTATCTGAAAAACATAAGTCTCTCCCATCCGGTACAACTTTTAAAATTTCTTGATAAATCTTCTCCTGTACATCCGGATAAGCTACGAGGAACAGTATGACAAACTCCATGTAAGAGCTGGATGTGTCGGTACTGGCGAGAAGCAAGTCTTGAAATGTGAGCTGGAAATTTTCACCTAAATAAACAAAGGTTAATTACTTGATAGTTAGGGTTAATTTTATTACTTCAGTACTATTAAAAATTTTCGGATCCGTGCTAAAATTCTGGACGAAGGCTTCCAATAAATTTGTCGGTGTCGTTTGTGACGTACTCCATTTTTCTTGCATTTCCTTGAACAAATTCTGCAAATTAGGTAAAATACTTGTTTATGTAATTATTAACAAATTTGAAATCTGAGCGTTAAAATTTGAAATTTTGTTCAGTAACCCTTACTAGTGCGATTGTATTGGAAGTATTGAAATAATCCATTTGCACATTGTATCCCAACGCCTTTGGAAATACAAATCTCAAAAACGGAAACGCATTGACGATCCCCGTCCCAAGAATGCCGGATCGAACGAAAGCATCCCCTTTCTCCGCGAGTAGTTTGATGTACGGTTCGTCTTCCGGTGAAATGCGACCAACCACCATTTGCCACATGATGGAAAGGATTGGGTTGTTGAAGATAAGTTCGACATCGACGTCACAGCTTTTACCAGTTCCGATCTTGTCGTCAATTGTGCCAAATAAACGTTGGGAAGAATCCTAGAAAATTTATGTCAAAAATCTGCAAGTTTCCTGAGATTTTGAATTTTGTTCACCTGAATGAAATGTTCCATATCGGAAGATTTACCGAAACCGAATTCTCGTAAAGTTTTAAACGCCCAAGGTCTCAACTTGTCCCAAAGTTCTCCTTCAGAAAAGGCAATTCCTATTTTTTTATTGAAACTTCGATCTGCAAACATTCCCGAGAAATCCCGAGCAAGCGTGGCTTCATTGGTGAGGATGGTCTGCATGGCTTCTTTCGATGTGAGGATGACTGTTTTGATGATTTCGAAATATGAAATTGGCATTAATGTAACATTCTAGATATTTTGAATTTGCATGAGTAAATATATATATTTTTGCATAATGTACACATCTGTATGTACATGCATACATATGCAAATGTGATTTACTATTTGCATTATTTCATGTGGAGACATTGACAACTTACATATGCATTACATAAAAAATGTGTCATATTTATATACACATACCTGTCCTTTTAGATCCAATTTTTAAGGAAAATATTTCCCCATATTTTTCCGCCAATATTCCCATCGACAAGGTCATGTTATCCGATGCCTTCGCCAAATCGAGCAGATTTCCTATAATTGGCCATGGTTTTGGTCCTGCAGAAAAATCACCAAATTAAAAGTTTCAATTTTATAAAAACAACTTTCCGACTGAAGCGAATGTTCGAAACATCAGTTCACAAAGGTAAAATATGTCTTGTAAGTTATGCAGTTGTACATAAACTGTAAAATATGTGGAATTACATACCTGGTGGTTCTTTATTGTTATGCTCATCTTTCAAAAGGAAGAAGTAAATTGTAAGAAAAAGCGTAACGCCGAGGGCGACATAGACAAACATCTTTCTCAAGTGAAACAAATTTCGGAACTGAGATTATGTAACAACTGATTAAGAAAGTACGATCATGGACATTTTGAAGAGAGGATAGTGTTAAATTTTATAAATATGTATGTATGTACATATGGAGAAGCGTTTAACCATAGTGCATGGAATCGCTTAAACGAACTGATTGTACAATGCGGTAGGTCATGTAGATTGGATACGCGGTTTGGGATGAGATGGCCAGTTTGCATGAGGAGAGGCAGTCTACATGCCACTCTCAGATCTTGATGCCCTTTGCATATTTTAGTCCCCCAGGGAAGTAATGCATAATTAAAGTAGTTTTACTCCATGGCCACGTTTGTTCCCGCCACACATATTCGATTTTTCAAGACATTCCACTGCTCTTGAACTAAGGATTTCACACAAAAAAAATCAAAATAAAAAAGTGAGATTTCTACTAAATATTATGGGTGGAATTCAATATATGTTAGGCAATGCTTAGGCAAGAGAAATTTGCCTAAGCAAATTTTATTTGTATTCAATATTTGTTGCTTAGGAAAAATTCTAAGCAAGTACTGAGCAAAATATTTAGGATTTTATGTATTCAATATGCACAAATTCCTAAATTTTTTGCCTAAAGTTATTCCAGCTCGGAGGTGGAATAACGACTTGCGTAACTATAATTTAGCTTAGAAAAATATTTATTTCGACCATTTTAGACGTAGTTTGGGGCGAGGATGTCAAAAATTGACATAGTTTTGACGTGTCATGACCTTATGACCGTGTAGACGACACCAAAGTCAAAAATGTCAAATTTTGTGTCTTCATCGTTTTACACGTAGTTTGGGGCGAGGATTACAGAAATCGACATGGTTTTGACATGCTATGACCGTGTGACCGTTTCGCTTCACCCCTTTGTTACATTTCGCTTGCAACGGTTTATTAAATATTCTAATTATTTGCAATTACATACAAGGTAAAACTTCAAAAACAGTTTCACATATACTGGATCTACTAAATAGTGCATCACTTTGTAAGTTTAGTAGCGAAGTTGTCAAAAATAGGTTTCGAAATTTGAAATTTTTGTAGAATATTCCAAATATATCGAACTGGATATATCTCCGGACAAAGAAGACTTTAATCCATTATCCATCTCGTATTTAACCTTTTTCTTCACCTCCGTCATTAGTACTTTTCCGGAAGACTGCAATTTCATTACTAATTTTCTTCCACCGGAACAGAAATTTTCTTAAAGTATCGTCCGTTTCTCAAAGCTGGAAGTACATCTTCCTACACATAGCCTAAAATCTTTTTTCGAGTCGGATAGGGGAAGTTTAGAGGGCTTTTGACAAAAATTCGTCAAAAAATGCCCAAGAAATTATGAAAATGCCCATCCGAAGTCGACCATCGCATAAAACATTTTTCGGAAGGAAAATTGTCACAAACGAAAATTTTGGAGAAGCTGAAATTATCCGGATAGTGTTGCTCATTCTACAGAGTCTAGTATACTTACTTCCGTTGGAATTGGATGAAAATCTAAATTAGCGGGACTGCTATCCTCTGTAAGGTACCAGACCCCAAAAACGTAACGCGTACCGTTTTTCGAAAAATCGACGCTCTAACAAGCCAGGAAAACACTCAGGCCCAAACTCAAAGTGGAAAAGTTGTTAAAGTATGTCAGCTGCATGTGCTTGCACCATCAACAACAAACTTCAAAAACGTCAAAAAAGGGCCAAATTCAACCGAAAATCTCTCCGAAAACCACGCAGTATGCAGCCAAGTTAAAAGAGAAATGCTATGGATTTCAATCATTCCTAATTCCCAGATACCTGGACAAGTCCTGATGCCACTCCTTTAGATTTTTAATGGGCTTAGACAACTAAAAAACAATAGATTCTTCTCAGACGAGGTGTAACTTTTTTTGGTGTTTTGGAAAATTCTTCAGTAGTTGAAAAAGAATACCCTCGAAAATTAATTAGTTAAGGTACACTTAAAGTTTAATTAGGTTGTAAAAAATTAAGTTTGTTAAAAAGTGGTAAATGTCGGGTTGATATTTTAGCCGAGATGAAATAAGATTCAAAAAGCCGACCATCAAGGTTTTTCATAATTTTGTCAGTTCACGCAAGGTCAAACTCTCATATTTTTGTTGCCTAGCCGTTGCTCAGAATTTGCGTAAGTTTAAGCATTCTTAAACTTACGCATGCCTAAGTCGAATTTATATTGAATACGGAATTTTGCTCAGCAAACACCTTGCTGAGCATGTGCTTATCTAAGCAAATGCTTAAGACAGCGTTTATTGAATTCCACCCTATGTACACAAGTATTTGGGATCACATAGATGTAAAAATTATCTAAATCAGAACAAAATCGAATTTTTAATGTCAGTTGACCGTGTTTTTCGCACCCTTGAGCGGGTGTGGCGGGCACAAATGTGGCCATTGAGATTGAGTAAAAACCTATTTTTGGTTATGCCAGGGGACCCGTGTATGCAAAGTACATCAAGATCTGAGAGTGACATGTGGAGGACCTTTCCTCCAGGGGGCAAAATTTATTCGTACAGCCTTGAACTGGAGCAGGGCAGGTACATATAAATACTTTTACATACGTATAATGGATGTGCAATCATAGATTGCTTATTATGCATATATGTATGTACACAATACATATGTACATATATCTATATATATATATGCACACACACGTATCCACATCGTGTGTGCACCTATATAAGTATCCAAGCGATGTTTCGTCATTGAAACCGTATTAAACTCGATTGCATAGATAGATACATACTTCTGTATATCTGTAAAAATAATGCCAAGCGAAGCAACTGCGAATGTATTTGCAGATTGAATTGAAAACTGCTCAACCCAATGTGTTACCCCACAAGTAAAATTATATACGAGTGTGTACTGACACTCGACAATGCAAATAATTCTACATACATATATAAGTTACAAAGTTTATGATAGGTGTCCAGTAACCTTGGCCTGAAGTTGAAAGTAATTCGGTACTTGTGTTCTTGCAATAAGTATCTTGTGTATGTAGCTTGAGACATGCACAAAAAAACCTACATTTCCAGTTTCAATGTAAAATTTAATTGATTGTGTATACTAAATAAATCAACTGAGGAGTTACACGTTTGTAAATAAATGTAACATTTCCAAATTATTCATAAAATTGTTGAATTAAATCATGAAAAACTTGACCCAAGTGTGTTTATGCGCAAAAACATACTCTGCGTCATAAGTAGCTTGTCATTTAAAGAATATGCATACATGTATGTATGTATGTACATAATATAAAATAGGTATAATATGTTGCACAATTTATGTCTGTATGTACATTTCGAAAAAAAATGAAGTTCGCTGTTTTTATTACGTATTCCACTATTTTGTAAATAACTTAGAATTAGCACGAAATTTATAAAAACACGTTGCTAATATGTATAATGTGCATTTGTGTATAACTATTTATCAATACTGCACAAAAATACTTCATCCCCGTATCTTATCGCTTGGTAAATGCGGCTTGAAAAGGATACGGTTTTAGAGTTAATCCCGGCTTCAAGTCTAACCTTGGAATTTCTTGACCTTTAGGAACGCTTAATTTGTACCGTTGGAGGAGTGAGGTAGTCAAGAGAAACGAAACAATGTTCGCATACAGTTCTCCAGGACAATTTCTTTTCCCTGGAGAAAAAGATTAATTAGTTCAGAATCAATTATTACAACACCAAAATTACATAATGCTAACTACTTCAAATGTTTAACTCACCAAAGGAAAAAGAGATAATGCTCCCTGCATTCACAATTTGTCCATCCTCGTTAAGAAAACGCTCCGGTCTAAATGCATCTGGATCTGTCCAATTTTCCTCGCTTTCATAGTAGAGCCGTGTATCGGCCATGATAATGGTATCCTAAGAAAAAGCAAGTGTCCATATAGCAATACTATCCATCAATTAAAGATTTTGTGTATGAAATTCCGCACCTTTTTGATAATGTAGTCTTTGTAAGCAAGATCTGACAGAGCGCGACGCGGCACCATGTTTTGCAGGACTCGTCCCTTTCGATGCGTCTCCAAGAAGAAGGCTTGGATGTACGGCATCCTGAATTTACACAATTATTTGAAAACTTACTTACATTTTTTCTTAACAAAGTTAAATCGAAGCATACTTTTTCCTATCTGCAAAACTAAGCTCTTCCCCATTTTCTGCAACTGTTAAAATTTCTTGATAAATTTTCTCTTGCACATCCGGATAAGCGGCGAGATAGAGCGTGACAATTTCCATGAAACTGTTAGTCGTGTCGGTACTGGCAAGCAGCAAGTCTTGAAATGTGAGCTGGAAATTTTCACCTAAACAGAACTTATTTGTATTAATTAGACTTAATTTTGCATAACTTAATTTTCCATACTATTGAAAATTTTTGGGTCTGTGCCACAATTTAGGACAAACGCTTCTAGTAAATTTGTAGGGGTTATGTGTGATTTCTTCGATTTTTGTTCCATTTCTTGGAATAATTTCTGTAAATTGGACAAAATAGTGAATAATTTGAGTGGAAAATTTTGGAAATTTGTTGTGATTCTTACCAGAGCAATTGCATTGCAAGTTTTGAAGAAATCCATTTGCACATCGTATCCTAACGCTTTTGGAAAGACGAATCTCAAGAACGGGAACGCATTGACGATCCCTGTCCCAAAAATACTGGCTCGAATAAAGGCATACCCTTTTTCTCCGATGAGTTTTAAGTGCGGTTCATCGTTCGGAGAAATTCGGCCAACCACCATTTGCCACATGATGGAAAGAATGGGATTATTGAAGAGAAGCTCGACATCGAGGTCACAACTCTTCTTGTCGATTCCGATTATGGCATCAATTGAGGCGAATAGACGTTGGGATGAAACCTGGAAATTTTAGATATCTTGAAATTCCGCAAATTCCCCAGGATTTGACATTTTTTTCACCTGAATGAAATGTTCCATATCGGAAGATTTACCAAAACCGTATTCCTTTAAAGTTTTAAACGCCCAAGGTCGCAACTTTTCCCAAACTTCTCCTTCAGAAAAAGCAATTCCTAAATTTTTATTGAAACTTCGGTCTGCAAACATTCCCGAGAAATCTCGGGCAAACGTGGCTTCATTGGTGAAGATGGTTTGCATGGCTTCTTTCGATGTGAGGATAACTGTTGACAATTTTTAAAAAACTGAACTTAATGTTTAGCAAATATGACGTCTTGAATTTGCATGGATATCTACATTTTTGCAAATTTGTATATGTACATACGCAAGCGAGACTTATGTAAATTGCATTTGGATAGTTTCATGTAGGAACATTACACTATAGTGACATTGACAGTTATGCAATGCATGTAAAAAAATTGTTACTACCTGTCCTTTTAGATCCAATTTTTAAGGAATATATTTCCCCATATTTTTCTGCCAATATTCCCATCGACAAGGTCATGTTATCCGATGCCTTTGCCAAATCGAGCAGATTTCCTATAATTGGCCATGGTTTTGGTCCTGCAGAAAAATTAATGACTTAATAACATCAAATTTTGAACTCCGAAATTTTGCAAAAGTGACAAAAATTCACACAGTAAAATGCTCCTTGTAACTCATGGAGTGTGTGAAGTAATATACCTGGTGGTTCCTTGCTGCTATGATCATTTTTTAAAAGAAAGTAGTAAATTAACAGGGAAATAATAACAGCGAGAGCGTAATAGACAAACATGTTTCTCCACTGGAACAAATTTCGCAACTGAGATTATGTACCTTAAATAAAGTGCGATCATTGACATTTTCAGGAGAAGTGTGTTTAATTATATAAATACATGTTTATAAACGTTTAACCATATATTGAATCGCTTAAATGAATTGGTTATAAAAAATCGGTGTCTCGTGTACGTCGCACACACCGTTCAGAATGCGATAGCAAGTTTGCAGGGAGGAAAAAAATTATCCTCGTGTAGCCTTGGACTTCAGGAGGATAGGTAATTATGTAATGAATATACAATCATGGAATGCTTCACTATATACAACTTGATCTAATGTCCAGCAGGTGGTAAAAAATTGTACGCAAAAATTCGCTCTTGCATGGGTAACAAAAACACGCTTGGGCATTTATCTATTCAATAAGTCGTTTATATTTTGTAGAACCGATTAAATTCACAACAACATAACTTGCCGAGCTGTGTATCATACAGATGACAGACATCATATCGTAAAATTTTGTATTTTCATGCAACTTTTAAAGTACACAAAGTACGTAAATAGATAAATATGTATTTACGTACATAAATAATACACGTGGAAGGTACTGAGGGCAGACATACATACATACATGCGTCTTGAAGCTACATAGGTATTTGATATTAATTTAAGTACTCGTTGAGCGTGGCTTGAGACATACACAAAAAACCAGTAGCATCTCCAGTTGCAATGCATAATTTAGTTAATTAAATTATGTCACTAAAGAAACTGATTAGTTATAGTTATAAATGTAACGTTTCAAGAGTATTCATAAAATTGTTGAATTATATAAATCATGAAAATTTTGACTGAAGTGTGTTTGTGTACAAAAACATACTCTGTATCATAAGTCGCTTGTCATTTAAGGAATATGATGTGCATAAAATAAAATATGTAATATGTTGCACAATTTATGTCTATCCTTAAAATTAAGTTCACCATTTTTATTATAAATGGCACTATATTTCAAATTCCTTAGAATTAGCATGAAATTTATAAAAACACGTTTGCTCACGTATAATGCTCACTTATGTACATTTGTATAACTACTTATTAATATTTCAAAATCTTCATGTCCTTATCCTATCGCTTGGTAAATGTAACTTGAAAAGGATGCGGTTTTAGAGTTAATCCAGGCCTCAAGTCCAACCTGGGAACTTCCTGACCTTTAGGAACGCTCAATTTGTACCGTTGGAGGAGTAAGGTGGTCAACAAAAATGCAACAATGTTCGCATGCAGTTCTCCAGGACAGTTTCTTTTCCCTGGGGAAAAAAGTTTGTTGTAAATAACAAGTCATTACATGGCCACATTTATGTACACAACGCTTAGTACTTTAACTCACCAAACGAAAAAGAGATAATATTTCCTGCATTTACAACTTGTCCATCTTCGTTCAGGAAGCGTTCCGGTCTGAATGCGTCGGGATCTGTCCAATTTTCCTCGCTCTCAAAGTACAGCCGCGTGTCAGCCATGATAATTGTGTCCTAGCAACCACAATTTTGCATACATTTACATGAACCCTGCCCATCAATTAGATATTCTGGTTCAACACCTTTTTAATAATGTAATCTTTATAAGCAATATCCGACAGAGCACGACGCGGCACCATGTTTTGCAGGACTCGACCCTTCCGATGTGTCTCCAAGAAGAAGGCTTGGATGTACGGCATCCTAATTTTACCCAATTAAAAAAATTACGTTTTTTCTTAACAAAGTTAGGTCTATTCATACTTTTTTCTATCTGAAAAACTAAGCTCTTCCCCATTCTCTGCAACTGTTAAAATTTCTTGATAAACTTTCTCCTGTACATCCGGATAAGCGACGAGATATAACATGACAAACTCCATGTAAGAACTGGACGTGTCGGCACTGGCGAGAAGCAAGTCTTGAAATGTGAGCTGGAAATTTTCACCTTAACACAAGTAATTTGCATTAATTAACCATAATTTTGCATAACTTCAATTTCAGTACCGTTAAAAATTTTCGGATCCGTGCTACAATTTTGGACAAAGGATTCCAATAAATTGGTAGGCGTTATGTGTGATTTCCTCAGTTTTTGTACCATTTCGTTGAACAAAGTCTGTAAATTGAACGAAATATTGAATAATTTCTACCAAAATTAGATTTCTGGTTCTTACTAGAGCAATTTCATTGCACGTTTTGAAAAAGTCCATTTGCAAATTATATCCTAAGGCTTTTGGAAAGATGAATCTCAAAAAAGGAAACGCATTGACGATCCCCGTCGCAAAAACGCTGGCTCGGATGAAAGCATCCCCTTTCTCCCCGATGAGTTTTAGGTACGGTTCATCTTCCGGGGAAATGCGGCCAACCACCATTTGCCACATGATGGAAAGGATGGAATTGTTGAAGAGAAGCTCGACATCGAGGTCACAACTCTTCTTATAGGTTCCAATCTTGCCATCAATTGAGGAGAATAAACGTTGGGATGAAACCTGGAAATTTTAAAAATCTTAAAATTCCACAAATTTCCATGAGTTTAGCATTTTTTACCTGAATGAAATGTTCCATGTCTGCAGATTTACCGAAACCGTGTTCCTTTAAAGTTTTAAAAGCCCAAGGTCTCAACTTTTCCCAAACTTCTCCATGAGAAAAGGCAATTCCTAAATTTTTATTGAAACTTCGATCTGCAAACATTCCAGTGAAATCTCGAGCAAACGTGGCTTCATTGGTGAAGATGGCTTGCATGGCTTCTTTCGATGTGAGGATGACTGTTGGCGACGCGACGTCAAAAAATAAGTGTCTAATTATCTAAATATTTGCGTAGGTACGTACTTATGTATATAAATTTGCATAAAAATATGTATGCACAATAATGCACATACATACGTACATGCATATTAATGCATGCATGTGCGTCTTAAATAACATTTGCACAATTTCATGCAAATAAGAACAATCATCTTGTAAAGACATTGGTAACTTATTCATGCACAGAAATTCGTACGCACCTGTCCTCTTGGATCCAATTTTTAAGGAATATATTTCCCCATATTTTTCTGCCAATATTCCCATCGACAAGGTCATGTTATCCGATGCCTTTGCCAAATCGGACAGATTTCCTATAATTGGCCATGGTTTTGGTCCTGCAGAAAAATAAATGACTTAATAACATAAGAAATTTCAACTCAGTTGAAATTTTGCAAAATGGGCAAAAATTCAGAGTAAAATACTCCTTGTAACTCATGGAGCGTGGAAAGTACCTGGTGGTTCCTTGCTGCTATGATCATTTTTTAAAAGAAAGTAGTAAATTATCAGGGAAATAATAACAGCGAGAGCGTAATAGACAAACATGCTTCTCCACTGGAACAAATTTCGCAACTGAGATTATGTACCTTAAATAAAGTGCGATCATTGACATTTTCAGGAGAAGAGTGTTTAATTATGTAAGTACATACATAAATATAATCGTTTAACATATTGAATCGCTTAAATGAATTCATTGTACAAAATCGGTGAGTCGTTGCATAATTATATTCTGTTCAGGATGAGATAGCAAACTGAGGAAAAAAATTATACTCGTGCAGCCTTGGACTTCAGGAGGGCAGGTACTTATCTATATAATGGAGATGCAATCATGGGATGCTTCACTGTATATATACAATGTCCAGCAGGTGATAAAAAATTGTACACAAAAATCCGCTTTGACATGGGTAACAGAAACACGCATGGACATTTATCTATTGAATAAGTGTTTTATACTTTGTTGAACCGATTAAACACTTGTTGAGATGTGCATCATTGATATCATATCGTGAGTTATGATTCGCAACATATGTGGGTTTCATGCCACATTTACATAAGTATACAAAGTATGTACATACTTATGTACATTAATATTATCTTCGCAAAGTAAAACATTGCTTAAACTGTCGTCTTGCTGCAAGACGGCAGCTTAATTAATTGCAAAACTCTTAATTCATTATGCACCTAATACATCGGACAATGTTTAAAAGCTAGGTATTTGTAATTAAGTTAGTCGCTAGTTTTCATTCTTGATATATGTATTACATAATGCATGTACGTATTATGAAAGTACATAAATATACATACATATGTATACATAGTGCTATTTTAAATACATAAACGAAATTATGAGTCCATCAATTTTAATTATTTAATTTGACTGCATTTATTATTGAAGGAAGTCGTATTTTTATTTTAATCCATTAATTTCCGGACTAATTATTTTATAAATGACCAAATTTTGTGCCAGCTACAGATTTAATTGTCCTCTGGATTGAATTGTCCCTTTTTGAATTCACAAATCTGACGGAGAATAAACATTTGTAAAATTTGTGATAAAAATTGGGAGAAAATATTCATCAAATTACAAACCTCCATAATCGCCTTCACTTTGCAATCTCTGAACGCCTTGTATCCAGCACATTTGTTGTCCAAACTGAACGATTTACCTGAAAATGGAACAGTTTTGCCGTCATATCTTCAACATCATAAATAAAATATTTGCACATTGTCAAACCGACCATTAGTGGATGCACAGTCATCAAACGCCTTCTTCAATGCGGATTGAACTGAAGTGGGGAACATTTCTTTCACCCATTTTTCAGCCTCAGCTGCATTGTAAGTACCATCAGCGTTGAGCTAAAGCATGAAATATCAGGAAAGAAAACCACAAAAATCCAATTAAGTAGATATGCACGTTGAATGAACTTACAGTTTTTTGCTTCTTCATTACGCACACTTCCATGCACTGCAAAAGTAAATTACATAATTGTAAATTAACCTCTTTAGTAAATGAAAGAGTTCCCTTATTTCAAAATTCATATCTTGACTGAACTCATTTTTTTGCAAGCGGTGCCCCATATTCACGGATTTACCGAAACCAACCTACCCGATAAAGGACCTTATGCCGCATAAGTCATGCGTAAACAAAAATAATTTACCAAGGCATTGTCCTTCCATTTCTGAATCATTTCTTTTTTAGCCTCCTCCGTCATGGTTTTCGGGTTGATTGTGGTCGCAGAGGTTCCAAAAATCTCGTCATGACATTCCTTCTTTCCCACAAACGCACCTTTCATGTTGATGGCCTCCCCCTTGCAGGTCAGGTTGTGGTGCTTGTGGTGACCGTCCTTCATCTTCTTCCCTTCCATCTTGCCTGCCTGTGGTATCGAAAATTAGACAATTAGAAAGTGAATAATGTAAGAAATGAGGAATTATTTGTATAATGTTTCCAAAAAAGCTTGATCTACTTACGGACGCTCCAACAACGAGAACCAAAACTGCGACGGACAAGGCGATGGCTAACTTGTACATTTTGAAGCTGGTTTTTTGAATCTGGATGAGGATTAGTTTGATGAGAAAGTTGTTTGTAAAGTGATTAATGATTGAGAAAAGTTTGCTTAAATAGTAAAGTTTTACATGATTATCAGTTTAAGTACGAAGTGACGATAATCACGTTTCATTTGTGACAATTATCTCTCACATACATTTATGTGTCAGAACCAATTGAATAAAAATCGTGATGTGAAGCAGATCCGGTTCTAAATACGTACGTGCAATTTCCAACAAACCATAAATGTATCGAATTATGTATGCATAAGAGTTTTTTAGGGTTGTTAATTTTATAACTTATTTTTATCCGATATATTGCCACTTATGCATTTTCTACATTATGTTACAATACTTCTGGCGAGGTCAGCCATGACCATGACATTACGTATAAAAAACCGTGACCAGACCATTATGAAAACTTTTTGAATGACTTCATCATGAATCGGCACATTTAAAAGTTGTACGCATTAATTGACACCGGATGTATTACATATTCACTTCAGTGTCCAATTCACAATAAGTGTAAACCTGCCTGATATGCATATGTAGATGTGCATATGTACTTGGTCAGGAAACATCGGTCGTTCTTTTTTAAGTATGCATGGTCAATTTGATATTTGAGGATGGTATGTATAAGAATAAGGTCGATCCGGTGTGTGCAAGGCTTATTTCGCACATGCTACGAAACCGGGTGGTGCGTACGGCATCTCACGGGTTAAGCAGAGTGGCGGAAAGGGGCTGCCCACAAGGTGGCGTACTTTCTCCCCTGCTTTGGAACCTAGTGGTGGATGAGGTACTCAAGAAATTGAGGAACTCTTTACCACAGGTGTACTCAAACGGCTATGCCGATGATATAAGTACTTTGAGTCGCGGACTGGATCTGGGGACAGTGGTACAGGATGCTCAGCGGAGTATCAACATAGTGAATAGGTGGAGTCAGCAAGTAGACCTCGGCGTTGAGGGCGACAAGGTGGCTGCCATTCTACTCACGAGTAAGCGGGTAGGGAGCGAAGCTTTACTTAGTATTGCTGGAAAACCTATTCCGTTTACTAAATCTGCAAAATATCTTGGGGTCACAATTGACAGCAAGCTATCTTGGAAACCACATTGTACGGACAGGGCTACCAAGGGTATGATGGCCCTGGCTGTCTGTAAAAGGGCGATTGGACCCACATGGGGACTTAGACCCTCTACAGTGATGTGGATGTATAAAACCATCGTCCGACCGACAATGGAGTATGGAGCAGTGGTGTGGTGCAGTGCTTCGAAAGTCAAATGCCATATGAAACTCCTGGATAGGGTACAGAGGGTGGCAATGCTGTCGACCTCTGGAACCATGAGGAGTACTCCCTCTGCGAGTTTGGAGTGCCTATTCGGGCTTGAGCCGATGGACATTCGGATTCAAAGAGTCGCACTTTCAACAATGTATCGTTTGCAAGTGAACAACCAATGGTTGGGATGGTATGGGAGGGGATTCAAAGGGCCTATGTCACACATGGACCTTTGCAATAACCTCTCTAGTAAAGTAACCGTTTGCGGGCCTGGGAAATCGGACCGTAAAAAGGCCTGTAGAGAGTGGGCTGAAAAAGCGCACAAATCTAGGTGGCAGGACACTCATCTGTGTAAGCAGACCAAACTCTTTCTTAAGGAGCCATACCAGGCAAACTTGGGGAACATTGTAAAATTAAACCGTAACTCACTGCGCCAACTGGTTCAGGTAATAACGGGGCATAATACTTTGAACTCACATCTGTATAATTTGAACCTGGTGTCCTCCCCTGGCTGCTTGTGCGGACAGGGGAAGGAAACAGGGTATCACTTTATTACACAGTGTGATTGTTTTGCGATGACTAGACTTGTAGTACTCGAAGGGCTTTATCTGACCTCCGAGGAATTACTTGAAATGCCGTTTGCCAGGTTAGCAAGGTTTATTGCTAAGTCTGGAAGATTTTTAAACAATCGCGAATGGCAGAATTCGCAATATTAAACGCAAGTGTCCTTAGGGGAGTCGGCAATTAGCCTTAAATGCGCTACCGCCGCTGGCCTGGCTGTCTCTATTAATGAGTAGTCTGGTCACCCCACATAGTACATACATACAACATCGTCGCCGATGTACATATTTAGCTAATCGGATGATTTTGCTGAAGATTTATCCGCTGGGATAAATACATTTGTCACGACAATAGATTTTTTGAATGTATCGACAAAAGCCATGCACATTTATGTGTGCACACATATCGGGACTCGATACACTGGGTGATGATTTTTTTGACGACGCTGTTTAGAGGAAGTATATTCAGATGTTACACTTACATAGATATGCATGTACATAAATATCTATGTACGCCGAAAGATCACGCAACTAGGTAAACGATAAATATGAAGCTATTTATGTGTTTTATTGGGAACACAACTTGCTACATACCTATATTTAATTTACATATTTATGTATGTACATATGCAACCATTAATGCTGCGTAGATAATTTATAACTTGATTTCGTTTATCATAAGAATTGCTTATACATATTTAGCCATCTGATAATAAATAAAATAGGATTTATTCTGTGTTCTGAAATGTTAATATACATACAATCTTTGGATAATCAGGGTTATGTACATACATGTGCATATGTACATACATAAGAAGTTGTGTTTAGATAAAGAGGAAATGAATATCGATCGGAACATTAAATTCACATTGCTAAAGTTAATGCAGAATTAAGAGAAGAAAACTTTCCTCACATTCGCAACAATTGCACAATAAATGCCGTAAAAATACAACACACTCTGTCAGACGAGGAAAATCGGAACGAAAAGATTATTTCGTTTAGCTTGAAACATGCAGAATAGAAGTTCCAGAATTATTTATGCATGCACATTTCTCTCCATCGTTAATTCCGTTAAATATCAATTTAAATTTGAATTTGATTATTCTTAGTGTATAAAAAGCAATTTATAGATGACTATGGGCAGTCCTTTTCCAATTTGCTGTCAGACTGGAACTTCCAGTGTTTCTAGGGATTTTGTAAAGGTTTTTAGATTTCTGGAAATAATCGGCACAAAAATATGTTTGTGTTTTACACTTTCGCCGTGGGTGTGGCACTCCTCGTATATTATTATCTTCTCCGTAAAGAAGATAAGACAGGGGAACCGCCAGGTAAAATTATGAATATAAGAAAAATTACACATTTAATTATGGCTAAAATTTTACAATTTTGTTCAGGTCCAAAAACGTTGCCAATTCTCGGAAATTTATTAGACTTGATTTGGGCGTCGAGTAATATGACGCAATCGTTGGGAATCTTGGCCGAAAAGTGGGGGGAAATATATACTTTGCAAATGGGAACAAAAAAGACTGGTTGGTACAAATTAAACCAAGATTTTCCAAGTTTTCAAATTTTTAAAAAATTTTACAGTCGTGCTGACGTCGAAAGAATCGATGGAGACGGTGCTCAGCAACGAGTCCGCCTTGGGTCGCGAAGTCTCTGGAACAGTCTCCGACCGAGCGTTTCACAAACCGATTGGAATATTAGCGTCGTCAGGTTTATATTGGGAAACTTTGAGGACGTGGGCTTTCAAAAATTTGAAAGATTTCGGTTTCGCGAAATCCGTCGAGATGGAGAGTTTCATTCAGGTGAGTGATAAATAAATTAATAAACTAGTATAAATACGTAATGCGTCTAGAAATAATTTAAAAAAATGAACACAGATTCAAATGTATTTCTGAAATTTACCTCATATGTAGATATTTGTAATTTTATAAATCTCGTAAAACCACCGCTGATATTTTTTAATTACGATAAATTGACTTCGTTAGCATCTTTTGAAAAGTTGTATTTATGCAAATTAACACATGGAACTTGCAAATTTGTCGTTGATCACCACTAATGTGTTTCATTTTTTCCCATCCCCTAGACCACTGCGGAAACGCTATTTAACGAAATTGACACCCACATCGGTACCAAGAAGAACAGCGCAGCCATTCAAGTCGACCTTCTCTTCCACCCTTCCATCCTGACCATCATGTGGCAAATGTGTGTCGGACGTCTTGACCCGGATGATATGCCAAAGATTAAAATCCTCTCAGAAAAGGGGGACAGATGTCTGCAGAGTGGCGTTTTCGGGACTGGAATCGTCAACGCGTTCCCATTCTTGCGACGCGTCTTCCCAAATTTGCTAGAGTACAATATTCAAATGGATTATTTCAATACGTGCAACGCAATCGCAAAGGTGAGATAAATACATTTTGGATATTTTAATAAAAACTAATAACTGCAAATTTTTCAGAGAATGTATCTCGATTGCGAAGCAAAATTAAAAGTCACGCAGAAAACCAAACCCTCATCTTTGTTAGAAGCCTTCGTTTTGAACACCTTGAACGATAAAGAAATGTGCAATTGTACGGAATAATTAAATTATGATTAATTTAAGGCTCAAAATAATAATAGTTTTTTCATCCAGGTGAAAACTGGCAAATCACATTTCAGGATTTAATCATGGGCAGTACGGATACGTCCAGTTCGTTCATGGAGGCGTTTGTCTTGTACCTCGTCGCATTTCCGGAAGCACAGGAGAAAGTTTACCAAGAGGTTTTGAAAGTAGCGCCAAACGGGGGGTTTCCTGGGTATGCGGATCGATCAGAGTAAGCGGATTATTTGAAAAATAAATTAAAATTTTATGCACATTTTTGTATTTACGTTAAAATTATAAATCTTTTAGGACGCCTTACACACAAGCCTTTATTTACGAAGTACATCGGAACGCCCGAGTTTTACAGAATCTTGCCCCACATTTGGCGACGGCGGATATAAAATATAAAAACTATACGATTAAAAAGGTGCATGGAAGTAATAAATTGTAGAAAATTTCACTAAACTAATTGCAATTTCGCTAATTAGGGCACCATCCTCCTGGCTGATACTCGCCTTTACAGCGAATCTAAAGAGGTGTGGGGTGACCCGGAAGTATTCAGACCGGAAAGATTCCTAAACGAGGCTGGCGAGCTTATGGATCCGTCGTGGCAAAGCATCGTTTCCTTCTCGTTTGGTGAGTAGAATGAAAATTAGATATTAAAACCTGAATTTTTATACTTATGTATGTGTCCCTAGGCCGACGAAATTGTCCGGGTGAATTGCACGGAAAAATTGTGGGGTACATGTTCCTCGCCGCGTTTGTGTTGTGGTACAAAGTTTCCATTCCGATGGGTCAACCACTCCCACGGTTGGACTTGAAACCTGGAATCTCCTCGAAACCGTACCCTTTCGAAGCAGTCTTTACTCGACGATAAATAAATTGGGAGAAGTTAAACAAATAAGTAAATACCAATTTGTAATGATTTGTCATAATTGTAAAACAATTACTTATAATTCTTGGGATAGTGGGACGAAATGGTAATAAATTATTGAGAAATTTATGATGCTCAATTTTACTGAAATAAAAATAATTTGTTGGTGGTATGCATTTCGATTAAAGATAATTGAGTTTAAAAATATCTTAACCTTTTTTGGAAGATCATTTCTCATTTGGTATTTGGATTTCATTTAGCATTTGACATTTGGAAATCAATAAAGCTTATGCAAAATTGAATATGTTAAATATGTTTATGCCTGTGGATTGTTATAAAGTGCGAATTATGTATAGCATTAACTAAACGATGAATTATATATTTTCAATACGGAAAAGTATCGTCATAAACATGTATACTGTAAATACATGGGGTAACAATACATTAAGTCAATAATAAGTTATTATTAATAACATGTTTTGCTCTCTAAAGTAGGAACTTTAGAACTAGTAGATTTTGAAGTAATACAATTTTTTAAACTTGCGTGTACCAATTGGTATGTACGATTTGACGATTTAGTATTGTAGTAAACAGTTTTATTTTGCGGTTAATTCATGTGAAAATAATAAATGCACAAATCATTGCAATGTGTAATGTTATCTAAGAAATAAAATAATGAACAGTGGGTCAAAAAAGACAAAACTTAGTAACTTAGTATCTTACCTTATCGAATGTAAGTTAAAAAAAACAAGGTCAAAAGTAAACGAAAAATTCATAACGCTTAAGTAAATTCGTCACCGTTTACAAAATTGCACCCGATCAATACCACTCCACTAGAATTATTATTTATGCATCGCTCCGCCTTACAATTCTCTAGTTTATGACCTTCTCCACGAATTGTCATCCTGTGTCCGGCATCCACATTATTCAACGTGTTGAATTCGCCCCCCAGATCAACCGCACCTCCAACGCACCCGTTGATCGTGTTCTTCTTCGCGTCTCGCGAGTCGTCTGATTTATTAATTTTGATGGCAAAGGTTTTCTCGGAATTAGTGGTCGGCTCGCACACGACATTACTCACCATGTTGGAACTTCCTCTACAAATATTGACTGCGATTTGATCCGTGTCATCGCAAACCTCGGAAAATTCGTAGATCAGGTTGGAAACAATGTTGTGATTTGATCGTAAGTTGAACCCTGTCGAAACATTTGTACAGTGAATGTTCTTCATCCTGGTTCCATTGACGTTCTCATTTATAAAAATCCCAACGTTAACGGATTTCAGTTTCAAGTCGGATAAGCAATTCTCTGAGAGTTCAGCCTGCCCCTCGCCGGATATCAAGATTCCAATTTCGCCTTTCTCACAGGTCACTTGACTGATTGTGTTGTATCGACCTCGACCCGCAAGGTATAGGGTGCACTTTTCCAAGGTCACATTTTGTATGACGTTCCGAGACCCAAGAAGTGTCAATCCCCAAGCTTTCACTGCCTCCTTGGCTGGATTCCTAGCTTCAGAGAGAATGCGAAGGTTCGAAATATGTACGTCATTGGATTGTATACAGATGGCTGGGCCGGATTTGTTGGACACTATCCTTTTAATGGTAGTCGTGCCATTGGTTGCTCCGGTCAAGGTGACTTTGCCCGGAATGCAGAGTCTTTCCTCGATCACGTACTCATCTGGATTGAGTTGGATATAGGCGTTGGGTTTGGCGCGTTTTAAAATTTCTTTAAGTTCTGCAGAATTCTTGGCAAGTTGGATTCTTCTGGAACGAGTGACGAATCTCGGAATTCGTTTCCTGTCCAAATTAAGTTATGTATTTTATTAAATGACCTAGGGATGGAAATATAATGCGTAAATTACCCATACCAATTTATACCACCGCCAACGATGTAAGTGTAAATATCAGTCAAATCTGTATCGCATAAGACGCCAGATGGTGCCACAATTCGAGCAATTGTTTCCAACGTCATTAACGGGAAGCGAACGAGCGACAAGAGCTTTTGGAAGTGTTCTTCTCTTGACTCATCGACTTGTCGCCATCTGCAAAAATTGTAAAATGTATAAGCCCATCAAAGAAGTATGTTAATTAATTCTATTTAATTGGGTTATCATACTTTAACAGATTTTCAAACAGTTTGGATTCGCTAATAGTAACGTTAACATCCTGTCCTGCAATTTCAATTTGAAGAATCCTGTCCCACAATTTGTCACTCATAGTAGCTCCGGAACGATCGAAAATGGTAGCAAGATTTCTACAAAATCGGAAACGAATGAATATGAAAATGTAGCTTTTTTTTACATATATGTAGTTTTATAATTTATAAAATACTTCTACACCTACATGGTTAAGCATATGAGTCCAGCTTGCAGCAACATGTCTTGCGATATCCCCAGGTTGAAACTCGCCTCACATACTTGGACACAATTGTCGGCATTTATTTTGTCGCGAAAGGAAGGGACAAGATCCACGAGCAGTAGTTCGTCGACGAGATATCTGTCACATAGGGTCAACACGTCTAAAATTTGATTGAAATCAGCGTCCAGATCCATCTCTTGCATGTATATGACCTGTAAACAACCAAATTGATGACCATTTATTAATTAAATTAATAATTACCTATCATTAGAATATACTTAATTCTGGAATTGTCTTTTGTCCTGCACACCTTTATGAACGCTTTGGCCACTTCGACCGATGTCTCTTTAGGAAATTCAATCACGGTAATGTCATCATTCTTCGCATTGCTGCTTTGCTTCTCTCTGAATTGATCGCGGAACTCGTTTGACACTCCGATAAGCACATTTTTGTGAACAAACAACTTCTGGTCTGCCACAATGACGGTCGTGTCCACATTCTGTCCGGCTTCGTATTGCTCGAAGAGTTTCTTCCCTAGATCGAATCGGCCCTTTTTTGGTGGGGGTGGGGATGACATCGAAAAGGTTGGAAAGTTTCGTAGAAATTTAAAATATTGACTTTATTACAAAAACGTTGAAGTTTCTAAATTAATATTAGCTCAACACCTGAATTTGGGTTTTAAATTGAAAGTTTAACAGTCTTATTAAATAATTTCGGTCGAGAAGGTTGTTTGCTTCACCTGTTATTCACAGCTTGTCAGTAAACATAAACAAGAGTGCGCCATTTTTTGATGAATGAATGTACAAAGTGCATTTTGACATTTCGATGCCAAAGGCACATATCTACATACATACAATTGTTCAGAAAAAGGTGGAATTTTCATGGATTAAATATGTGCAATTAAATAAGTTTAAATAACCTTGTCATGTCAGGCTTTCGTCGTTCATATTATCAATTCCATAGAATAAATATGCGAAACTTGTTGCAGGTGTATTTTGTGTTATCTCATTTGGCCATCATATTTTCAATGTCCACTGAGATGACTGAGATAACACAAAATCAAAATGCACCTTCAACCTTAGCTCGCATTATATATACAGATCTGTATATCGTCATCCCTATATTTATAGAAAAGTTTTATTAATTTATTTATTGAAACTTTAAAAAAATGAAGATTAAAAATTCGTATCTTGTCGGAGAATTTGTATTTTTTATTTCAACCGTACCCGTACAATCAAAGTCTCTTGCCCATATTTTAAATACTAATAGTATTTTGCAATAATTTCTATTGGCATACATACTTTTAATTTTATTCCGTTAAATCAATTTATCATTCATCAGAAAAATTTACAATTTTTTTCACATAACTACAGATGAAGGAAATCAAAGATCGATATTTATTAAGTCCTTTTAGTGAAGCTAGCCCTGAAAGGGTGCGGTTTGACGGAGAAGCCCTGCCTCAAGTCCAACTTCGGCTTGGGTTCACCTTCCGGAATTGAGATTTTGTATCGCTGCAACATCGAGGTGAGGAGGATAAAGGTCAAAATATTGGAGTGAACTTCTCCCGGACAGGCCCGTTTTCCTGATCAGTGTAAGAAATTTAAATGTAAAATATGCAAATTATTTATATGTATGTAACTGTTATCTCGTAAACTGTGTAAATTTGTAAGTAATATTTATAAGTTTTCCAATCTTTATAAAATTACACGCTTATAACCCTATTTGTCTCGTAAAACTTTGTAACTATTTCGCATTTACAAAATTTACATATTTGCAAATATTTAACGTACCGAACGAGAAGGAAATTATACTGTTCGCATTAACAAGTTGGCCCCCTTCGTTGATGAATCGTTCCGGTCTGAATGCTTCTGGATCGCCCCAAATTTTCTTCTCCTGGTAGTACAGTCGCATATCCATCATGATAATGGTGTCCTGTCAAGCAAATTGGGTAGAACATTGAATATGTATGTATTTTATCATCTCATATTTACATATTTGTTACCCTTTTAATTGTATAATTTTTATATTTTATGTCCCACAGAGCGCGGCGTGGCAACGCATTTTGCAAAGTTCGGGCGTGTCTGTGCGTCTCGAGGAAGAAAGCTTGAATGTAGGGCATACTATTTATCAAAATATTAACAAGTTAATCTATAATTTTGTGTAAATAATAAACTAATAAATAAAATAAATTATTGGGTGGTGCAATGTGGGTGTCATTGATTTCAGGAAGAAGAGATTAATACATATTCCGTCGGGTGGGTTTCGTTTTCTGTGCTTGTTCGAAAACCAAGGGATCATAATCCGGGAAAATTCCCGGACCCTAAATGGTCTAAAAAATGTCCTCCACCCGCTTTCTCGACAAGCACCATAATTGGGCCCACGCTCCATCATGTTATTTTTACGAATATCATGCATGATCTTAGCATGGTATATAATTATCAAATTAATCATTCAGCCCAAAATCTATGACTTTTGGTGCACATCCCTCATTAAATTAAGTTACTCTTGTCTATCCGAAAACTTGAGTGGTCTCCCGTCAGGTGCGATATGCAATATTTCCTGATACACTTTCTCCTGAACGTCCGGATTAGTTATGAGGTAGAGAACGCTGGCTTCCATGAAAGTGCTCGTTGTATCCGTCCCGGCGACAAGGAGGTCCATGAAGACCAACTGGAAGTTTAGACCTGTAGAAAAATATGGTCCCATATTTTTTATGTGTGGATCATCTTTAATTATAAATTAGGGTGCCTTATTTGCATACAGTGAAATATATCGTGCGGATCATTCGCACTGTTTTGGACAAAGGCGTCCAACATGTTTGTAGCTGGTATGGCGTCAGGAATTGATCTTAGTTTCTGTTCGGATTCAGCGTACAGATTCTGAAAATTTACAACTTACAATTAAAAAGAGTGAGTCATTATAACATGGAAATTATTGATGGGTACAATTTGGAAGTGCATAAATCATGAAAATGTTTATACTCGTGAAGAATTTATATAAAACAGTCGTAAAAATCCACTAATACCTTCACAAATCAATTCATCTCGTAAATCTCGTAAAATGAACATAAATATAAATATAACACTTAGAATCTTGTGAAATTTTGCTATTTAGATATTGCAAAACTTGTTGCTGGAGAACTGTGTGATTTTTAGATATTTCACAAACTAATAATTTTCTAAATAAGGTTGGATATGAAACGAGACGTTGACGTGAATGAACGTACACGTGTAATAATACTTATAACTAATTATTCTAATGAGGAATTAATTGGAGTAATAAATAAATACTTTGCAAATTTTGTGTCCATCTATGTATTTAGTTGCAATTTCCTTACCCTGGCGACCTGATGACACGTATTGTTAAAATCCATCTGTACATTATACCCGGACCAGTTAGGGAAAAGGTATCTCAAAATAGGAAACGCATGGCCTAGTCCAACACTAACGGCGCTACTTGTCACCAATTTGTTACCCTTGTCAGCCAAAACCTTAATGATGGGTTCGTCCTCTTTGGAAATTCGGCCGACGATTAATTGCCACAAGATGGAGAGAACAGTCGGGCTAAAGAGCTGTTCGATATTGACTGCACCGCCGTCCCCCATTTTCTGGTCAATTTCGGTAAAAAATGGTTCCGCAGATTTCTAAAATTTTAAATTGAGCTTTTGTAACTTATGTAAATTGGAAAACTTATTTTCGTGAATTTATATGAATCACATAAATTTGCACAAGTATAAAAACTCCAAAATTATTGAGACCTTCTTATTATTTGCAGGACTTACTTGGACGTAACGTTCCACTTCGGCTGACTTGCCAAATCCTAGCGTCTTTAAAGTCTTGAACGTCCATGTTTTCGTTTTTTCCCAAAATTCCCCCTCAGACATGGCGAGTCCCAAATTTTTACCCCAACAGCGATCCTTGAACATACCACACATGTCTCGGCCATGAGCCCCCTCGTGGGAAAGCACCGTTTGCATGGACTCCCTCGACGTTACGACGACTACAACAATGTAAAATGAAAACAAATTCGGAAACTTATGAATTTGAAATCAAAATACCTGTCTTTTTAGACCCCATTTTTATCGTATATATTTCCCCCCATTTCTCCCCTAAAACGCCAAAAGTTTTGGTCAGGTCATCCGAAGCTCGAGCCAAATCGAGCAAATTTCCTAATATTGGTAAACCTCGGGGACCTAGGACATCATAAAATTGTCGCAAAATTACAATAAATTTGTCAAATTCGCGTCCACGATTAAATGATTTTTAATGATTTACCTGGAGGTTCATCTTTCGTGTCGTCGTCATCTTTTAGCAGATAATAGTATGCTAGCAATACCCCAACGACGGCTACGGCATAGACAAGAAACATTTTCAAGAATTTGGAAACCTGACTGAAAAATAATGAAGATTTTCTCTACAGAAAATCAATCACTTCCACTTACAAGTAAAAATTTGACTGGAAGAGTTAAGTGGTAAAAGTGGTGCTGAGGAATTGAGGATGGTGTAAGAGATCATAAAATGTGTAAAATTTAGGTACAGTTTTCCTCTATCTAAAATTTATTGCTTTCTAGAACAAATTCATGCCAGGAATAGAATTTCATAGAAAGACCAACCATGTGGAGCCAAATAAATATTGATGGTAATTGAATTCCTTCACGACTTAGGTTATCGTTTTTTTCAATTTTCGTATACTGCCACTTCCTGAATTACGAAACCTTGGATGACGAAAGACGAATAATGTTCTTCTAAAGAGATGATCTACATACATAAATAGCTGGATATATTAAATATGTATGTATCTATCTATGCATTTGAGGAAAGTATAATTTTAGATTATGATCGCCTTAATAAATTGATGTGCACTTACTGAAATTAAATACTTAAATATCTTTTTGTTCTCTGAGAACCAGTACTTGTGCTGACGCTGGCGCTCACACGACTCCTATAATAAAAACGCTTAATCAATCAATCAATTTGTTACGAAATTAGATGAATTAGATATATGCATACATATGCATAATATACATATTCCTACTGCCTGATAAGGATCACAATTTTCTTGTGTGTTTAGCATTTGCGTCATCGTTGCCTTTACCAGCTAAAAATTAATTAAAACACAGGATTGAAAGTATGTGGAAAATATCCAAAATTGACCAAAATACGACGGCTATCTACCCTTAAACAATAAAAATTTCACTTTTCAAATAAAAATTAGCGACTAAATTAGAAACAAGTTTGATTTTTTAAGACTACTTACCGTAGATCCGTAGACTACTTATCGTAGGGCAAAAAGGCATGCCGTGCCTGAAATGCCTTTTTGCCTATTAGGCACGTGAATTTTGCCCATGCCCGATTGCCCGAAATGCCTTTTTGCCTTTTTGGTAAAATCGGGGCAATGTGATAATACGCTCCCATGATTTGTGAGTCATTAGTTGTAATCTTTCACAGTTCGCAGGATTTGTACAGGGACAGGATTTGGACAGGTGTACAAATATTCACAAACACTCGTAATTATCATGAGTGCGTCAGGAAATAATGTTGTGGGCTAGTTGTTTAGAAGTGTAAGGTTGGTAACGATTTACATACAGAAAACCGAAATATAAACCCAATTACACTGTTATTGGTACTTTCTCGTGCATAGTGAAGTTTGTAAAATGGTCCAGGCAATGCCCAATGTAAACATACGGAAAAAGGCAAAAAGGCATCAAACGGGCAAAAAGGCACGCAAAAAGGCAATTCGGCATTGAAACGGGCAAAACGGCAAAAAGGCATGAATTTTTTCCCAAAAAGGCGCCTTTTTGCATACTCTGGAAGACATGAGGAGCATTTTTAATTTTAAATGATCAATGGAATACGTTTATTTCGTAGTTAACTCCATTCATGTTTTTCCACTTTGTGTTAAATAGCTCAGGAATTTCGAAATTTTCCATTGTGAAAGACAATAAATGTTCTTTTAATTAAACTACCTACATATGTACCTATATACAATATACAAAAGAATGTTTGCGCCATTGAGGAAAGTAGAACTTTAGATTACAACCGCATAAATAATTTAATGCGTGTAACATGTATTAAACGTGCAGCATTTTTGCACGTGCTAAATAACATTTTAATATTTATCTGTTGGAAAATTTTCTGCGTTTGTTTAAAATGTACATATGAACTTGAAATTGAAGGAGAGAATTATATTTCGAGTGAATCATATATTGCTAAGTACATACCGTAAATACTTTATTTATAGCCGGGGCTAATATCCAAATATAATATATAATAATAAGGGCTAATATGCGGATGATGCCACCCCATCAATCGCACCCCATCATTGCCACCCCGAGGATAATGCCACCCCCGAGCAATCGCACCCGAGTAATCGCCCCCCTGTAGATGCCACCCCTTAGAACTGATTAATTTGTAGACCTAATTGTTTATATTTTGACGATATTTGAATTTTTACTGAGATTTATTTTCGTTGAAACACGTGTTTCAATTTTTACGGAGATTTTATTTTTTTATAGATTTTTTGTCGAACTATGAATTTAATTTATTAAGCCTGGTGATATTTGAATAAATTGCACGCATTAGGGAAGCATTAAGAAAGCAATATGTACATATGTACTACGCGTTTGCTTTATTTTTACTAGTAGCAGGATTAATATGTAAGTCCTTCATGAATTAAGTTGAGTTGAATTAAGTGTTCCCGAGCTGTGCCAGACCCCCTGACACACAGGGGGTGTGGTTGGGGCAAAATGAGATTTTTCGAAAAATTGAATCTAACATGTAGGACATGTAAAACAGCAAGATTGATTGATTAATTAAGATTGGTAAAGCAGTAAACATGTAAGATGCATGATTTTTCAGAGTGGCTACACATAAATGAAGAAATCTAAATTATTTTAATATTTTTAAATAATTAAGATTCGGAAATCTATATTTCCTTTGTTTTGTATCGCATTCTCAGTATTTTTGCGCTACTTGTGTACCCTGCGTTGCCGCAGTTTATTTAAAAACGATGACGGTAACTCAAAATCTCACTCATGAGATAATCCTAGTATTGTTTTACAACCCCAATAAATTCAGCAACATATCGCATACTTACACTCATTTATTTGTCCTGAAAATTTGTCAAAATCTCACAAAATCGGGGGTGGGATACTCCTAGGGGTGCGATTGATAAGGGGTAGCATCTACAGGGGTGCGATTACTCGGGTGCGATTGCTCGGGGGTGGCATTATTCTCGGGGTGGCAATGGTGGGGTGCGTTAGCCGGGGTGCGATTGATGGGGTGGCATCATCCACACACCATCCAAAACTACGTATCACAGACCCGGTTACAATTAGAAACCGGGCTAAATTTTGTCCTACCCTAATTTTAGACATTACGAAATTACGTATGATTAATGTTGACTCAATTTTAGTTTAATTATTTAGCAAGATATGCCAACAGTACAACATTTAGTTTAAATCTACGTCTTTAAACTATGTTTAGTAGTTTTTTAAAATTTGTTGTCAAGGTGCATTCTTATTAAAATGAAATTAATATTTTTGGAAATTTTGACGCTAATCTTTGATTAACTGAATGTTTAGCATTTTTGTTTGATGATAGCTACATATGAACCACGACATAGCGGACAAGACAGGCCATAATTAGAGACCCAGCTATAATTTTGAAATCTTGCCCTCTTGACCTGGCTATATTTGGAGATCGGTTATACATAATTAGAATAGGGCTATAAATAGAGGTATTTACGGTATATACTTTCATTGGTTTCGATTTACATATTTCTACACACATTCTAGACGTTCACGGCACATAAATATGGTTATTGCTAAAAAAATTAGAGATCTGAGTCATGTGCGTATTAAAAAATTGGATAAATTGAGTTTAGTAAGTATTAAAATTGGAATCCAAATGGAGAACATTTACATAAGTACCTGGAATGGAAGAATGGAGCCTACATGTTACACATTTATGAAGCCGCGTGCAAATATGTAGGTGCCTTGGATCATTTACAATTTACGACCAATTGCACAACCTCATTCACAAATTATGTACTCGTATTTCACATTTATGTACAGAAGTAAGCTTCTATTCGAGTCAACATGGTGCTTAAATCTCATTATTTCGTACCTTCTAAAAATTACGCAGATAAAGAAAGCTCGAGTTACACAGTGATGGATTGAATTAATTCAACATCGTACTGAATGGACGACCCTGTACGGATGATTTTATGATTTCAGTCGCAGTCTCCAGAAAAAAATTCCAAACGATATTGTCCAGACTTTCCTTATCGGTGAGGATTATTGCGCCGTCTTAATTCCTCACGAAGAATCACGCATATAAAATCTCGTGAGAGGTGTTTATTACAAACTTGTCTGTTCCTGACCTGCGTCCGGTGCCGTTCGATTTACATCTTTCACATCCGCTTACACAATTTAGGAAATTGGTACGTAAGTAAATTCATTCGTAAATCATTTTAATAATTAGCATATCCGGGGTTCAGTTCCTATGTACATAATTTTCAAGGTTTTAGCAACAGTTACATCTGCATTTATTTATTCCAGCATTTGTCGCTCGCTATTTAGCTATGTCATCATTCCTCCCTCATAAACCGCACTATGACAAAATCTGGGAGGAGTTTCAGAATCAAGCACAAATTTTGGGAGAAACGACAATTCTGCCGGGAGCTTCCGACCTACAAAATGACGCTTCCTGGACCTTAGACCAATTAAGCCATACTTTCTCCGACGTCATGAAGGAATTACGATCCGTAAAACTGCCCCACGATTCCGGCGTCCAGCTCGACCAACCTTTTTACACACCTTACGGAAAGCCAAGCATGACCCTTGACCCAGACGTAGGGTTGGCCGAAGCCCACCAGCTCGTCCAAGAAGCCTGGAAACGTCGCCACATTTTCCGTAGCACGAGGCTGGAATCAACCCTGAAAAGCATCCTACGCTCTTACACCGTTGAGAAGAAAAGGTTAGGCCTCGTATCCGAAAAATCGTTTCAATTTACCCCGTTCCCCGCCAAGTTACGGAAAGGTTCCGAGGCTGGTGACCTGGTCAGGAACTACAAACAAATGGGGGTCACGGACCTCTTAGACATTCAGGCTCGCGCTGCACGAGATTATTACACCTCGATCTACCTCTTCCTCTACTTGAGGGGATTCTCCGTCAAAAATTTGACCGTTTCCGCCTCCGCGATGTGTCTCACGACCTGCATAGATTACGTCGGAGCGTTAGATGATCCCTGCATGGGAGGAAAGGAGGCGTATATGACGGCCATGTTGGACAGTCTGAAAGTCAAAGGGGCCAAATGGGCGTCTGGGGTGGACGAAGTTATCACAACATGCGCATTCCTCTCCCGCAAGATGGAGCTAGTCGACCAATACGAAAAAGATCCCACTTTATCCATTTCCCCGTCTCATCCCACCCCGTTAGAATACATGGAGAACCGCTGGTGGGATGGCGCGCTCCCGATTTATTTCAAACTCCCGCTCCTCTACCAAGATGATCACGGGGTTCCCATCACGGACAAGTATGCACCAATTGGAACATCGCAATGTCACGAGATCAAAAAAGCTATAGAAACTATTATCCGATACAATGAGTTGGCCGACGTCCACAACGACATTTTTGCAGAGGAGCCATTCAACGAGGTCCATCTAGCGGGAAGATATGGCGGGCTTCCCGCCGTTATTGACTATGCTGACGTGTGTGCTTCCACGGTGGATGAGGTCGCCGCATGCAATTGTGGCGCAGGCGACGCCAGTCATGACTACGGTACGGACATGGCGATCGGGTCGGTTGCATGGTTCTCCATCGTACCGCATTACCGGGTGGTGACCCACTTGGCAGAAACTCACGAAATGACGGATCCATTTTACGCCGCTTTGACAAAGAAAGCACGACATGGAGCTTTTATAACGGGGAAAATTGCCGACACGGGGAAACAAGCAGCACTGCATCACGAAAATTGGGTGCCCACCCACAAAATGACGTCCCTCAGCCCGTACACGTCGGGAGAGTGTAAGCATTGCGCAGTTATTGGGGATTGGGTCGTAAACAGGTGTTTGTATCGGGACGACCGTCCCTCCAAGTCGGGTCGTTTAAGGAAATTTGTCACATCGGAGGTACATCTGCAAAGCAGCGTGGTCATGGAGGGATTCTGGGGGCAAGTTGTGACACTCATAGCGGGAAATGAGTTTCCCAAAGAGATCGTGACTCGATGTCGAGATGTCGTTGATGCCGTGTGGGAAACGTTACGTGCCGCGCAAGGAGGTGCGTCCCCAGACGAAATGGCGAAATGTGTCGTGAATAATCACATGGCGATTGATCAAACGATAATTGCGACGCATTCTGTGGAGAGAGGTCACGTGCTGAGGAGAGCGATGGTGGGGGCGTTAAGTACAATGGTGGACAGGACTGATGTCGCAGTGTATCAGAGGATGATGGACAGCTCGTTTTGCTTATCAGGGGTGGAAGTCAATCGGGTGGAGGAGTGAAGTATTTAATTCATGAGAGTGCTCAAGACACGATAACCCATTTAGTAAACTTACTAAGCTCAAAAATTTTGTGTCGCAAAATATAATTTCGCAAATCTGTACAAAATTTATGTTTTCCTATTTTTATTTTATTTCCAATTTCTAAGGCATAAGGATGAGTGTGCGAAATAATCTTTGTAAAACACTAGAAACATGCCAAATTTCGTAAACTTCGCGAGTTCTGTTATTCAATTCTCGAGATATGCCAAGGTTGACATGAATACGCTATAAGTAAATATGTAAAATTACGATGTCTATCTGTAAATAAATTTTGCAAAATGTTACAAGTTAAAAAATTGTGAAAAAAGGCACCAATTTTTGTTGAATGGAATAAAAACACTCTTAAAATAAATACAAAATATGGCTTGTCTCATAAGTACGGGCAGTAAATTTATTTCAGCATCTTAAGAATTTTCGGATATTTCTTTACATTTACTTAAATGTCACAATGCAGTTGACCGTGTACTCGATAATCGACCTAAAAAACGTAACTGTTGTCGAAACTGAGATCTTGTAGAAACCTGCGACGCCTATTTTCAGCGTGGGGCAGGAAACGAGGACCCTTCGAAGGTCAAAATTTCCCGTCGCACTCCAGGAAGTGAGATAACTTTCAGACATGCCTTGCATTTCGGATGAAATTTGCAGCATTCCATACGCATGGGTGACACAGTCTATGACGCTCAGCGGGTATGTGAGCACACCTGGAAATTCATCCATAAATTTGCTATTCATGGATCTAAGCAGGACATAGAAACAGGGAACGATTGCAGTCCAATTGACAAATTTAGCGACAGGGATTCCCAACGGAGCCATGGAATGGTTGAATATAATGTTGAGGAGTTGGAGAGATCTGTATGTCTCCATTGATTTGACAGAGTCACGTAATTCTTCAGTTGTCCAGGTAGAGTCGTAATTTTTGCTAAAATGAGATTTAGTAAACGTTAAAAATAAATGGGTTGGGATTATAGAAAAAATTGGCGACGATCAAAAAATTTAGGCTGCGAGGGAAAAATTACTTCGCAAATTTCGCAAAACGATAACGAAAGCCTATTATTTTGAGCCAATTCACGCAGTTCTTGGTAACTTTGTAAAATCCGTAAAAATCGTAAACTTTTACATGAACTTTTACAATTATTTCCAAGGGAAATTAGTTTACGAATTTTTGCGACTTTACCAGGGAGCTTCTTTTATGTAAAAATTTGTAAAATTATTTCACAAAATTTACGGATTTTACAAAGTTACAAAAGACTGCGTGAATTCTCTTATTATTTTTATTTAGTTTCCATGAATTTTCTATCACTCGTAATGGAGATAATATTTAAGTTTGTGAAATAATCTTGAGAATGTCTATTTGCTAGGTAAATTTCCTTAAAAATCGCATTGTATTCAAGCAAACATTTTACAAAATTACATCAAATTTCGCATGTCTACGTCCTTATGTTAAGATTTGCGAAATATCCGAGTTTTGTCGTGAGTATACCCAATTTAAACAAATATGTACATACATACATATGTACGTGGGTGTTTTATTATTAATTTTCAAAAGGTATGTTCCGCACTGTTTCTGACCAAACTTTTGATGAAATAACAAACTTCAAATACTTTTAGGATGCTGTGATTTTTTTCAGTTCTGTAGGTTAACATTAACACTAGCAATAACTCATTAAAATTTACCTCGAAAATATGCCAAAATTTACGACTTGATTTCATTATCATCCGAAAACCGTTTTCCCCTGATGTTTTTCTTTAAGTTTCGAAACGAATAATAATCACTAAGGGACAAGTCTGGACTGCACGGGGCGTGGTTTGTGCAGGTAAAGCGATTTTCGTCTGCACTAACCCTCGCAAAAAGCCAGGTATTAGGTGGCGCGTTGTCGTCTAAAAAAAGGCCAACTCTTTATTTTGACCCCACGTTTCTTTTCAACCGGAGGACGCAGCTCCTTCGGGGTTCCTGCATACACGGCCCCATTTATTGCAGTATTTCCAGCAATAAATTTTATAAGGAGGGGACCTTTGGTATCCTTGAAAATGGTCATCATCAATTTTTTTGACAGATTTTTGCACTTTTCAATTCACGGGCGGTGGCAACCCCTCGAGCTTCCAATGAGGGAATTATTATTTGGTCACCGGGTCATAATAGTAAACCCAAGTACCATATGCAGCCAATAAAATATTGAGCAGGTTCCAGTTTTCATTTAATAGGTTAAAATTTGCATTGCAAAAGTCGACTCGATCCTGTTTGTGAGATGCCGAAAGCAATTTTGATACTCAACGGACGGAAACCATTTTCATACCTAAGTCTTCAGTTAACATGGAACAAATTGCTGGTTTTGGAACACCCATCTCATCTGCTATATAGGACAGTTTCAATCGCGGATCTCTCATTATTGGTTCCTCTAGTTTCCGGAGCCTTTCTGTGGAAGAAGCGGATTTTGAGCGTCCTTGCGACTTTTTGCCCGAGACCTCGTTTCGCCATAATTAAAAATTATTGACCCAATTGAATTTGTGTTTCGTGTTGGGCAGTTTTCATTGTACATTTTAAGCATTCAACCATAAATCTGCGACACGTATTGCCTATCCAGCATTAAAAATTAAATCACACTACGATATTTAATTTGCAAATCTAGCATTTTTTCCGTCGAGGTAAAGTTTGCCGATTTATTGCTAGTGTTGACGTTAACCTTAAGAACTGAAAAAAATCACAGCCTCCTAAATGTATTTGAAGTTTGTTATTTCATCACAATTTTGGTCAGAAACAGTGCGGAACATACCTTTTGAAAATTAATAATAAAACACCTACGTATATTACTTACTGTGCTTCCTGCAGCCAGAATTCGACACTTATGCAGTGAGCCACGTTGATCCAGCCAATTAGCAAAAATATTGCGATCAGTTGGCCCCCCATAACGAATTCCTGAAAGGCCCCGGGTAGCAGCCAGTACCATGGATTATCTTCGGTGTAAATGTAGCTGTACAGATACCACGGAGCGTTTGGCGTTGCGAGGAAATTGCACACGTATATTCCCACCTGGATCATATTGGTCCACACGGAAATGTTCAAGAGAGCTCCACCCCGTTCTTTGTATTCAGTCAGGTTGACAACGTACTTTTCTGTAAAAAAATCGTAAAACAGTGTGATTATTCTTATGTTTTTAAGCAAAAACAAAAAAATGTGATGTGGGTAGGCGATAAGAGAAATACATATATCTCAGAATTATTGTTGCAGAATTATTTTTAAAAAGTAGAATAAAAATTTGGCATTAAAAAAATCCATTTACAAAATATAACTAGAATTCTAATATAAAAAATTGAGCAACTAACTTTCGTATGTTCAGAAACGTCGAAAAAAAGAACAAAGGAACCTACATAATTACAAAAATCGAATGCAAATTTTACACTAAAAATCCTTAATCGTTGAAATTAATTGCCACACAATTTTATTTAACGTCAAGAATCGAGTTGTTAAATTTCCAATGCGAGTAGATAAATCGTGCAAAAAATCCAAAAACAGTGACGAGTTTCATATCAACGAATCCCAAACGTGCCCTCAAAAATTGCGTGCCGCGAGTATGCATTAAATTTTAGGGAAAGCTTATTTGCAATTATTTTTACTTACCGACCAGCACCCGATTTGAGTTTAGCAAAGTATTGATATAAATTCGTATTTGTTCTCTATGAAAAATCAGGCACGAATTTAACGACAGGGTGAAAAGACACTTTAGGATGGCGAATGAGTTTTGGAAGACAGGTCGATATCCTCCGTCCTCATCCACCTGAACTCTTTCAAAGAACGAGTAGAATTGGAAAACCGTAATTCCACAGGTTATTACGAGGAAGAAAATGTACACTATTTTCCAAACTTGCTGCGGTCTTTGTCCCCATTTCTCGATTTGATTCGTTTTCTCATTCCACGTCCATGGAAAACAAAACGTGCAGATTCCCAGTCTTAGGATGCATTTTAGACGAAATAAGACGCTACTGCTGAGAAGCACGGGTCGTTCGGGGGCTGTTTCGTTCCTTAGTTCTAGGACGGATGCGATGTCACCGGCTAATAATGCATGAAATTGTGGTATGCAAATTAATGGAAAGTCATAATTTTATTGGTGCTTCTAAATGTCTGAACAAAATCATATGGAAAAATGTATACCTGAAGACTCGATGTCTTGAGTTCGTCGGACTCCTCCAGAATAATTTGAAATTTTAATCATAAAAGTATCATCGTTTTCTGAATACGTTTCGAAAAGGTTGTGAATATTAAATTGGTCGTTATCCCGAGTGTACTGCTTAATTCCGAGGCCATCGACCTGTTTTTGAAAGATATTCAGAAATTCATACGTACTAACGACTGTGAAACATAAAAACCTTGGTAGCTCAAAAATCTCGGAAATCTTGGGCACAGCAAAATATGTACATAACTCTAGCAAGTTTTGCGAAATTTTTCGATATTTCGTAAAATTTTATACCATGCAATACACCATGCAAATTTGCCCAGCACATTTCTACATGCATATTTAACTAAACTTTTTGCATGTTAATTGCTAAATGAATTTATATGCGAAATAACACGTTGACGTACGTACACGTTTTACAAATAATTTCTGTGGTAATTGGCTTGCTCACCTTTGTTAAATTTCTCTTCCGGCGTTTCCTTAATGCTCCAGCATCCTGCATTTTCCTGGCTTGATTAGTTTATTGTCGGAAATCACAGTGTTACAAATAAGTGGAGCTGCCAAAATTCTTCCAAGTTGTTCCTCGAAGCTGTGCTATTTGCATTTGTTTACACACCTCTAGCTTCAATCGTGACATGCTGAAGTATCTATGCAATGGAAACTGCTGGATAATTAAGGTATGCCATTTTCCATTCCACGCGATTGGAATGTCACAGTTTTGGATACATGCAATTAGAAATCATAGCTTGGATAAATACCAAACTTTGTGAAAGCTAACTTAGAATCACATATGAGTTGTGTTAATTATCTCTTAAAATTCTTGTTTTCAACAACGAACCCATGAATTGTCAAAGTTGAGGATGGAATCAATCAACAATCTGACGAGGTGAAGTTGTTTTGTACAGAGAATTGCAAATAAATATGAAATAGTGCCTAAGAACGGTGACATAATTATAAAAACACAATCAAGGCCGATGGATGAGAATGAAACTTATCTATTTAAAGAACGTCCGGGAATGAATGGGAATGGTCTGAAAATGTGGTCATAAAATCACAATGAGTTATCGGAATTTTAAACTTTTTGCATATGTATAATACCAAATACGTACCTACATAATTTAATTAATAGCTAAGGCCGCCACACCCCCGTTGGCGACTAGTTCGATTTTCTTGCGAAGATTTTTCATTAAATTTTTTCCCGAAGTTTTTGCCACTTCCGAGGTGATTTTCTTCCATCGTCCTTTGAATTTTTGAAAGGTGTCAGGCACATCTTGAAGCCGGGAGTATACTGACTTAGAACGTGCCCAGAATTTTTCGATTGGGCGGAGTTGGGGTACATTAGGTGGGTTGATATCTTTTGGTACGAAATCAATATTTTTCTTTCTGAGGTACTCGGTCACTTTCTTTGCATAGTGACAAGTGGCGAGGTCAGGCCAAAACAAAACTTTATCATTTTTGTGAAACCTATTAATAAATGCTTCCAATCCAGCCTTGACGCAATTTTTCAGATAAATATCTTGATTGATATTCCCTTCGAGAACTACCGGGTCTGATACATGTCCGTGACTGGAGATGCATTGCCAAATGCAATATTTCTTTGGAAATTTGTCTTTTTTTCGTACTTTTTCTTCATAAGCCACTTCAGAGGGATCCGAGCTATGAAAAAAATGACGCCCTGGAAGATTTGAAGGGTCAACCGGAACATACGTTTCGTCATCCAGGATCACTACTTTTCCACGCATTTTCTTCAACAATTTTTGACAGCAATCCTTGATCCGACTTTCTTGTACGGGCTTGTAATTTGGTGCAGGTTTTTTGGTCCTTGCTTTGATTCCTAATTTATGGACCTTAATTTCCCCCAGGTAGCTTTTGGAAATTTTGACTTTCCTGGCAGCTACAGCTACTGACGTTGATGGCTTGGTTTTGAAAATTTTTTCAATTCTATTTTTCACTCGAGTGGTCGCTAGCTTCGCCGGACGACCAGCTGGCTTCTTGAATTGCACATTTTCGGAATCCTTGAACTTTTTTATGTAGGAATACACATTTGAACTTGGAATTCCTTCCTGCTTAAAAAAGTTCCAGGTCACCTTGGAGTCTCGGTTGGCTGTCGTGTTGTAGAACTCCATCACTCGTTTTGCTAACAGCTCCCTTTCAAACAAGCTTCTTCTACCCTTATCCATTTTTGAAATTTAAGAGTGATATACCAAATTGACCCTAATGAAGTGGGCTTTCAGAAATTTAAATTATTATAGTTCGCGGGTTTATTGATTTGTCAATATACTCGCTAGAGCGCGCATTCCCATTCATTCCCGGACGTTCTTTACGTAGCATATAGTATGCACACTCAAATCAAGGTGGCAATAAATTTGTCGCCGAATACATAAATATGCTAATATTTAAAAGTTTCTAGGAGATTTCCAGACTGTACTCTAATTTTGGCATCAATTTTTTCATAGAGGGGAGAAAATTTTGAATAATTTAATGGACAATTATTTTTACCTAAACAGTTATTTTATAACAGCGTATTTAGAGTGTAAACTTTTATACAAGTTCGTGATAATCAAGTGTTTCTTCACGTTAAATGTAAATACAGGTGTCAAAAGTACATGCATGTAGAGGTCACATTACTTGCACATGCATTATCCGGAAAATAATCCTCCCCAACCTTTCCATAAATTTTAAAGCAGTAATTCAGCTCATTTTTCAACTTCTCTGAGGTTGCTAAGTATTTCAAATGGTATCCACCAGAATGTAGATACAACATCAACACGATAATTATTTTATCACCCCCACGTGGCACTGCAAGCAAGCACATATGTAGAATTAAATCATAGCCCCCAATTATTATAGTAAATATTCACCTGCTTGGTAATTCAAGGACTAAATATACTTACTTCGTTACCTACTTTCTCCCTTGTGCTAGTAAATTGTGTGCAATTAAGATTTATTGCAAAATCGATTTCCAATAAAACGCAGAGATAATGATCACTACATTTTTTTGTACTGTAAAATAAGTATGTAAACCTTTGCGATTTATGTATTTTTCTGTAGTTGGAGAAAAGCATAATTTAGGTAGCAGCAGAAAATCAGAATTAATTAGCACACTTAAGAATATATATATTACAATATATGTATGAATATATATATATATATATATCAACTCTAATAAATTGAAAAGTAGTTACACCATAAAGTAAAACACATTTATTTATCTATTACATTTATGAAACGAATGAATTGCTAAAATAAGACACTTGTCAAGTACACAATAAACACAAGCACAAGTATCAAATTTCCACATTTCTTAATCTGTCCCATTTGGGCAGCTGCGAGCACTACTGCTATGAAATTGTATAAGAACCAATAAATTAGTTGTGATGGTGGCGAGAATCTGTGGAAAAATAATAATATCACCAATCAATTTGATGTCAATTTAAATTTAGTTAGTTAAATAAAATTAGTTCAATTATTACCGGTGTGAGAATTCGTAAATCCAAATTCATGAATTTCGTCGTTATCTGAATCCTTTCTAATTGTAAGTTTCTATCCTGTAAAATTTTAATTACAAATTTTGATTTGTGTATTTTGCATACAAAGAAAATGCAGAGAACGCAATTATTCAAATACCCGTGGAATATGAAATTTTTCCATTTCCAGTAAATATTCCAAATCCTTTGCAACTTCCCGACTTTCCTCGTCTATCTGAGACCCCCGTTTAGCCACCATGTACAACAAGTAAGAGTACACAAGCACGGTTAAGAAATTCTGAACAATTTGCGAAAAAGATGGATCCCTTTTTGAAATAATCGACGCAATAAAGTACGCAGAAAAGATTATCCTTAATACGCTATGTCCAATGTCCAGGGTTATCCAGCAGCCGAACAGCTTGCTAAATTCTTTCCCTTGTAATCGAACCTTGTTGTACAGGAGCAGCAAACTCTGTAAATCTTGCGCTTGTGCAACCATCTCCGATTTTGTGTCTTCTTCCTTAAAATAAAGGTCCAAATATGGTTTCTCTTCGCGTAAATTTTGCAAGTCATTAATGCCAGGAAAATTTAGGCAGGGTTTTTTAATCTCCCTTAATTCAAATTGAACCTGGATTCGGGTTTGTATGAGTTTTAACACTTCCAAATACCAAATAAGGAAGAATGCTTGCAGAAATGTAAAAGTGGAGTGAAAATATCCCAGCGTTGCTGGCACCCCGACGAGATATGCGTATTGAGGGGTAGCTCTTATAGAAGTTCTCATGTAGTAAAACATTTCGAGAGTCCAGAAGGTAATTGTGCAAATAAAGATAACAAACTCGGCTACAAAACGGGAAAAATATCGGTTATTTTGACACCTAACGTCTTTCAGGAGGGCGAAAAAATTTGCATAGAATTTTGCAATTTTCTTCCTCTCATATAACATGTCCAATTTTATGTATGTTGCACAATACAGGTGACATGCTGCTTTGAAAGAGAGGACAAAATAATATGTGCCTCTTTGTTTTAGGAGGGAAACGAGGTCAGGAGTGGATGAATTTCTGTTGCGATAAATAAAAGTGAGAACTACGGAGAGTGCTAGGAACGAGTAGAGAAGTGGGGGGAGAAACTGCACGCAGAGATTCCTGATTTTTCGAAAATTCGAAATGTCTGATTTCTTGTTTTTAGTTTTATTTAAGGGAAAATTTTCCGGAGAAAGTGGGACGTAGCCGAGTGCTTGGGGAAAGTAGAGGAAGGATGTTGTAGATGCCATGATATGTGGATAACTGAGCTGGAGGAAAGTGTATGAAGGTAATTTGTGATTGATTCATACTGGTTGGGTGGAGTAATAAGTAAGTGTTTTTTCCAATTAAGTAGATTGAAATAGGGTATGATTACATTTAATTGGTCACAAGGTATTATATGTAGGATACAGAAATTTCATTTATTTATTGGCAATTATCATATGCAGCAACATACATTATTTATCCCTACGTCATAATATATAATACATATATCATAAATATGGTATTTATTATTGTTCTTTCCATGAAATCATAATACATAAATTTAGTTCGAAAAAGCTAAACGACCAAGCGCCGTAATATAATCCATGTATGTACATATGTACTTATGTACACATTTCTTGTAGAGTTTTACATGTTTATATGTATGTATGTATATATGTATATATGTAAATATGTACAGATATATTCTTATAACGGTTTAGTCAAGAAATGAGGAAAGAATCCACAAAATGACTAAATTCAACCCCAGCAAAATGAATTAGTCCTTTGACCTAATGATGCACAGATACATATTTGCGACAGAGTACAAAGGTCTGTATGTACGTATCTAAATATACGTACATCTAAACATATTTTATTTTTTGATGACGATTTACACATAACGTAGCAGGTATTATATGTACCTACATCTACTACGAACTTAATTAGTGACTGCAGTACTAATTTCTACCTACATATGTACATATGTAGTTATTAGCTAAAAGCGTTCAAATGGACTCCGGTAAAATCAATATCCATGCATTTATCTGTTCCGTATTGATTCGACTTACTATTTATCATTTATTTCTTGTCATTCCACGTAGACAATTACATACTTGACCAATTTTCTCAATAGCTTCAGATGTAGCCAATTAATGCAATTGGTACATTATTACGAATGAAAGTGTATACATGACACATGTACATTATACCAATTTGGCATGAGCTGATATCTATCAAACATACATTAAGATACTTGCTTCTCCATCTTTACATGTCTAAAATGGACTCCAGGCACGTTTTATTCTGTAACATGTGACTACGTAATCTCCTGCCTCATGGATTCCAATTCCAGATTGTAGTAAAGGTGAGAAGTATGTTGTACTTACGTATATTTAATTACGGATGGATCAAGAATCTACAAAACCAGTATTCAATTGTTTCCTATGACACTAATTATTAAATGGACCTACAAACAAGTTTTTGGAACAGAGTTTCATGAAATATTTGAAATATGTATTTACATTATGTATCTCAAAACATAAAAAAGTATGCATGTATTTAATACGCATCTGTCCTTCCAACCAATAATTACCAAATTGTGTTGAATATCGTCAGTCTGATTCATACATATGTATAGGCGGATTAAGCTAGTATGGATCAAGCTCAAGAAATTAGCCACAGACTGATTAAATCCTCTCCAATTGCGTCAGTGACCTATGATCTCCTCAACTTCTCGGAAAACGACCTGATGCATACTTAAATATGTATGTCAACAATAAATATATGCTGGACAGCACGTACCCTACACAATAATTTATGTATGTACCTACCACAATTTAAACAATCCTGTCGTCTACGCACAAACAAAATTAAAAAAAACAGTCAACAACTTCCCCTTCAATCTAGATCTCTTCCTCTAAATCATATTCGCCGTCACGTCATCGCATCCCTATAAAACCTCAGCTTCACAAAATTAAATTATTAATCCAGCCATAAACCAGCAGCCACACAAGACATCAAACTTATCCTTCTACATACATACATACAAAATTCCGACATGAAGTCAATCACTGCATACGTCGCCCTCGCACTTTGCTGTAGTTTCCTCCTCGTCTCGGAAACTCGGGGACAAGAAGAAGACTTCAATTTGAGTCGTCGTAAGTTAATTTTTTCAACTATGTTAATTACATATGAAGTTTTGCGATGTATAATTTGGTTTCTCCTTGTTTCTCAGGTCGATGCCGAACTGTGGGAGAAACTTTCACATACACCAGACCGGACGGGTACTCAATTTCCTGCATGTGCAATGCACCACCCACAACGACAACGACGACGACTACGACGACCACCACGACAACGGTAGCTCCATCGACGACTCCTCGACCAACGCGTCACACACGCCCGACAACGCATCGTCCTACCCCACGACCTCACAACTCGTGGGCTTGCACGGTCACACAAGCCACAACAACCACGACTCGTAAGTACATACATGAAGTTACAATATTGACCGTGAGATTTTTATTTTATAACTTTCCATTCCTTTTAGCGTCATCCGGTTAAAAGTGGAAGCAACAGAAGATGAAAGACCAGTTGCTGAAATGTATATAAATATTTATATTAAATCTTATCTATGGTACATGAAGTTTACATATTTAAAGTATTGGTTCAAGTTTATACACAATCTACTCGGAAATCTGCACAAGAAAATAAAAAAAATTCCGAAAAATGTAGCAAATTGACAGCATTCTTTACATATGTTTTTTAAGCTTTAATTTTATGTAGGTTTCATACTGTTATCTGTTATTAACGACAAAACATACATATTTATGTACATTCATACATACATACATATGATATATTTACGCTTACTGCGAATCATAACCATCCTTCAATATTTTGCAGAATTTGTTAGTCTGTGATCTTATCCTTGGTTGGTAGTTACTGCGACCAAGTGATGTGTTTTGCATGCATATGTGGCCCAGTTTACACTGCAATTACTGATAAGTCGTACGTATTTCTTGTTGTATATGTGCAAACTTTGTATTTGTACGTAATTAAATAACTTCTGCACAATCAGATAAATTATAAAATAATTAGTACATTTAATTTCAACGAATTGATGGCTTATTTTATTAAAAAAAACGCCTAAAACTAGAATTATACAATGTTGCATTTTCTTTCCTGATGGTGATTGTTTGTACTTTGTGCAAATTTCGAATTTCGAAGGATGTTATCTCCCGGTTCAAATAGCTCTGAATTGTTGCAGCGCTAGGTCGATTTGACGGATTTTGATCCAGCATCCTTTTCAACAACGGAACCTGTTCAAATTTTAGATATGTGTCATCACCCTGCTTATCAACACGGAAAGTTTTAGGAAATTGCATAAAATAAACCTTTTCTGGCCATTTTGCCTCAAAATCTCCAAGAAAGTCAAACTTCTCCACTTTATCCATTGCTTCCTCCCACGCATCCTTGTCGAACCTGACGCTGAAACTGTCGCAAAATAATTCATAGCAAATCTTTCCAGTTGCATAGATGTCAACTGACACGTCGTACGTTTTCCCACGTCGAATTCTCTAAAAAAACGTAAAAAATAATTAACTGACACAAAATGATAATGGCGACTTCATTATGAAATATGCATTTCCTTACCAGCTCGGGAGCCTTGTAGAACGAAGTCCCCGTTCTGCTCGTCATATCGAACTTATCAATTTCTCGTGATAAGCCAAAATCTCCCAGCTTAATATTACGATCCTTTTGCATGAAAATATTCTCTGGTTTGACATCCCGATGAATGATAGCTTTAGGCTGGACGCCATGAAGATGTGCAAGGGCGGAGATAATTTGACGGAATATTTGATCCGCATCTGTTTCATGGGTAAGCTCTCTGTGATTCAGCCAGTTCCTTAAGTCACCCTGACTGCAATACTCCATTTGAATGAAGTGATATTTCTCCGGGCCTGGAGGTATGGAGGGATTCAAATACTGGACAATGTCACTTTCAGTCCAGGAATTTATGACACGGATTATGTTTGGGTGTGGGGGGAGCATTTGTAAAACGGCGGATTCGCGGTCTTCATCTTCCCTGAAGAATTAAAAAAATGGTTACATTCATACGCAAAAATTTTCATGGGAAAAATTTTCAAAATTTGAAATTCATACTCCATCATCCCAAAATATTTCAGAGCGTAGATTTTCTTATCAGCTTTAAACGTTGTTTTAAACACTTTGCCGTAACCACCTTGTCCGATGGGTTCTTCTGGAGTGAAGTCAAAATTCGATTCGAGGTAGGAATAGGCACGTGGGGGAGCAGGAGGCAGTGGATTATTTTCAGGTTTGCCGAGTGGACTTAAACCCTTCAAGTATTCCCTGCGACCTATCAGGGTTTCTGGAAGAAGGATACTTGAGAGGGGAGTTAAATATGTAAAAATTTGCATATCGTGGTTGAAGATGCATTATGTGCTATCTCATTTCTTGGCCGCTATATTTCCTACATACATAAGGTACATAAATATATGCGTCTCCAACATAGATGGATGAAACGGGCAAAAAGTGAGTTAGTACATTATGCACCTATTAATATTTACCTATTACTCTTTTTTGTGGTGACCAAGGTCCAAGGCTTATATTTCCACGATGAATCCAAAGGTTCCTCACAAAATTGTTAAAGGTTGCTTCATATTTTTCGGTTTGAATCCAAATTTCTAATGTGCACTGAGCCACATACGACGCCTTCTCGTTCATGCCAAGCACGCGTTTTATATCTGCTTCTGTAGCATTCTCCAAGAATAGCATTCCCAATCCGTACACTTCGCGGGAGTTAATAAAGGTTTGAAACCAGTGGTCAAGAGAGGGCAAATTTAGCGTTTTGGTGATGGGTTTCAGATGCTCGGATGTCACTATGAAGACACGTTTATCATGTGCAAATATATCCGCGAACATACAGAAGTTTCTGTCAATTAAAATTTTTGAAAATTATATTTTTTTGTTATGAATCTTACAGAGAAAGTCATCTTTTTCTTTCAAATGAAAATCCTTCAACCTTCGAAAATTAACTATCCAATTGTCAATCCTGTCTAAAATTTGTTTTTGAATAAATAATCCATCACTTCAGGAAATCCTAGGAATTGGTTTTCTCACCTGCTTCTTCTATAAGATTAAATTTCCTCAAAATTTCGCTCAGATTTTGATACGAAGCATTGCCTTGACTTGTTTGAATCCAGATTTTTAATGTCGCCTTAACCAGAACTTTTGTCGACCGTATTTGGTTTTCTGTATCTTCGTTTCCACTCAAAACTAGCTCTTTCTCCAAAGTGTTTAGCAGGATTATTACTGTGTTGAGGTCGTCGTTTGAAGCGTTTCGCAAGATCTGCATTCCTGGGCCATTAAATTTGGCAAAATAGCTGTTTTCTTGCCCCACATTGTTTGGGTCACGAGTTCGCCATATCCATGAGTTTAGTTTTGGTATGGCTAGTACATATGCAATTGTCGGTATTTGAAATTTGGTAGCTAGAAATATAAGTAAATAAATGCATTATTCTACGTTATTTTTTATTGCGTATGTTATATTTAATTTTTTTATTCGCAAACTATGGATTACTTACATGTGTCGGTTTGAGGAAGAGTCAAGTCTGAAGACATTATTATTACTATTATTTTTAAATAATATGGTATTACTTATTCTATGATTAAAACGGGATTTGGTTAAAATTTCACACTCCAAGTTTACTCATCCTTCGGTTAAACAATAGGTACATATGCTTGTCGATGCTATCAGTTAATTATGAAGCCGCAATCTACACACAATCTACACACCGAAAATACTTATCTAGAAATATAACGATAAACCAGGTTGTCGCGGTGCTTATTTTACTGTTCATAACATATTCAGATTAATGGCGATATATTTCATGTATGTAGGTATGTACATAATGTATACAATGCGTATACACACATACAATACTGTATTGACTCCATGCAAAACCAGGCTGAAAATTGCATGGAAATGAATGCATGTCACTTATATAAATACACGCATTCGCTTTCATGCTATTCTCCCCATGAAATACTTTTCACGTCAAGGATGAATAAAACTTCTCCTGTTTCGACATACTTTGAAATCAGTTTCGGGGATGCACTTACTTTCAACTAATTTCTAGTTTGACTTTTTTTGTCAGATTTAATTAATTCAATAAGAACCAATGAATGACTAACTACATATGACTGGTTATATTTCTCACATTGAAAGTAAATATGTACATAAGTGCATATGCACATTCCCTTTCACTGGTACATACATACATGAATGCTTACACAAATCTGTTCAATTATTGAACACATTTTTGGCCAAATATCAAAATTATAGTAGTAACAGGTTTTATTCCATAAACTTAATACCCTGTTATTCTCGAACGATATCCATATATACATTATTAAAATTAATTGAGCATGTTGGTAATTATTGCTAAAATAATGACACTTATTAATGAGCCTATCTCTACAACACCCTTATTTTTGCAGGTCTCCTCCTCCCATGGAATTACCGGCAAGTCACCAACTTTTTGATCTCTTATGAACCGTGCCGCAATTTCGTTACCACTGTCCAAGTACCGAATAGTGTTGGCATCAACAAACTCTAAAGTTTGATTGATAACGCCCTGATTGTCAGACCAGAACAGCATCCAAAAATCGGAATCCCACTCAATCAGCTCAAATGTTGATGGCGAGGTTTGATTCAGCCAGGCCAGGCCCCATTTTCCATATTCAACGTGAAGTTGTGGGACCCCGGCAGAGTTGTTTTTAAACGATATCGTGAACTCACCTAGAAAAATGGGGTAAAATAAAGTAAAAACTAAATGGCGATAAAATATTATAAATAGTCTGCTGTAATTAAATTTACCGTTAAATCCGCTTCCAAACGTTCCAAGGGCTTCTTCTGGAGAAATTTTGGGACCAATTTGCTGTTGTTTCTCTTCAGAAGTATTTTTTACCTGGTTTTTGATTACACTTTGATTATCACGCTTTTGTGGGAGAGCGTCTAAAATCTCTGGGAACGAAATTTTCTGGCTGGTATCATTATCTACAATTATTTAGATAGTGTTAAAACTAGCCATAAAAAACATTAACTTAAATCATGTCGTACGCTGTAATATGTGGAAGATAGCGTTATGTAGGACGGTGTGCGTAAGGGTCGTGAGTGAACCAGGACCACTGCTCGAGGAAAAGATACCCAAGCCCAAATGTGGATAGGTATTGAGCAAGGATTGAAACGGTGGGATATACCCGTTATGCCAAACTTGCAGATAACCGTCATAAACTGTGACGCCGAGACAAAGACCGTATCCAACTCCGACGTTAATTAGGACGTCGGGATTCTGGTCGGTTTTTAGGACTCCGGAGAATATCGAGCTTGCTGGAATTCGTAGCCAGCCCATAGCTTCCTATAAATAAATACCCTTAGTTGAGAATTTGGCGTGTTTATTCATCCAAATTTTTATTTTAGTCGGTGTAATCGATTAAAATGATCATATATTATCAAGTTCATGGTTAATTACCTCAGACACGACTTGTGTGGTCCCAACTTTCCCCCGATTTAGGTGAAATTGCATGTATTTCGCCATATCGTTTGAGGAACTTAATATGCCACCGGCCGGGTTAGCATAGACGACACTTCTAAGAATTTAAAATGTGTAACGTTAATTTAACAGGACTTGACACAGGTCCGTCAACTTCATTGGTTATGTGTAAATATAATTTTACTTTAAGAGTTCGGAATTATATCGGATGAGTTGATTGCCCTTCCAGATGTATGGGAGAGCTCGATTCATCATGTTGTCATGATCATCGGTATGCTTTATCAGTGTGGTGTCATTCATTCCAATGGAAATTAGAAGATTGGACAACTATAAATTTAATAATAAACCTCGTTAGTTTCGATTGAAATGCATTTACATAATGGCTGAAATTTTGGCATGAATCAGCAATGCTGATTCAGCATGCGATTTACCAAAGTTAGTGTTGTTCGAATTTATCCATTATGCAAATCCCAGTAGGGAATTACTCTTACCATCTCTTCATAGGTAGAATTTGCCATGTGAGCCACAATGTGTCCTGCCATTCCGATGAGTCCATTATTGTAGAGAAATCCGTCTCTAAACCCACACGACTCTGGAGCATAGCGTTGTCTACTGTAATATTAACACATATTAATTTAACGAATTTACATAAACATGCCAACTAGCATGCGGATGTGCCGATGCATTATATGTGCAGAACGACAATATGTACATAGTTATTGTATCATCCACAAAAATTTTACCACAGAGGTAGAACTAATTTTTTGATAAAAAAAATCCTCGTTACGGTAACATTCGGTGGCAATTTTGTTTCCTAATTTACGGTGAAAAATTGATTACAGTTGTAAATACATATATGCACGTACTAATAGAAGTCATCTTCCCCTTCGTAGGCCTCTACCCACATGCCTACAGATTCCGGCAGAGTGCAGACCCTGTGTGCCAAGAGGTCTTTAAATGTCACCTTCTCCGACCGGTACTTGTCTCCCAGGGTGAAATTGTAGCTGGGAGCTAGCACTCGAATCGGCGTGTCGAGCACGGACGCTCCCAAGTCCGGAAACCGTTCCGAAAGGTATTTCACGATAACAACGGCAGTAAAACTTTTTGTAACGGAGCCGATTCCGAATAAAGTGTCGGCATCGGCGGTAACATTCTTTTCCCGGTCGCGCAATCCGTACCCTTTGTTGTACAAGATTTCACCATTGTTCTTGGTAATTGATAGGGCAAAGGCTGGCACGTGTTCGGTCTGCATTAATGCTTCGACGAGAGCGTCAATTTGTGTCTGAGTTTCTGGGGGGATAACATTTTGAGCGGAAATTATCGTGAATAGAAGACTGAGAAAAATAGTTTGGAAAAATTTTGCCATGGTGTTAAAATTGTATTGTGCTAGGTTGTTGCAAAATTCGCAAAAAATCGACTGATGCGTGCTGCTCATCTGTGTCACGATTTTTATTCGATTCGCTGCGTCATGTCGCACAGATTTATTTTGACATTGACAATGTAATCTGTGATTTAAAGTCAGAGAGCATTGTATTTAATGATACATTTAGGAATTATTATATCAACCGAAAAATACTGACTCATTTGATGTACAAATATTACACACATAAGCAGTGTACATGTTGCACGTCACGGAAAAGTTAATTGTTTTTTGAGCTGATGCTTTTGAGTACTTTTAATGTACTGATGATTGATGTTGCATAAAACAGAACGCGGAAAACAGGGGAAGACCGTGATATCTTTCACGGTTCATATTTTGTGTATGTTCTTATTTAGCACGCATTGCATGTGGTTAATATGCTTATAAGTGCATAAGTTTTATTCCATGAATAATACGAATTCAATTGATATTTAAAGTGGACAGATATCGTAAACAAGTTTGGGATGTGTCATTTGTTAACTTGTCTGCAGTACTAATTGCAAATTATGATGATAATGTAAAATGTATTTATGTAATCTAGGCCAATTTGTTTAATTTGCCGCGAGTCATTTGTCGAGGACAGTGATGGCATTATGGGTAGATAAGGAAATGTATATATTTAAATGCCGGATGTACAATCAATTGTTTCATTTATGTGAATTCTTGCATTCACAGAAATAGAATTTCAAACGGGAAATGAGTCATACACATACGCAGGTAATGAAAAACCTAAACGGTCAGTATCGAAGGGGAAACAAGTGGTGAGAGTTTTCACGACCTTCGTAACTGTGGATTCGTAAGAAAATTCAAAAAGTTACGTCATTTATCTTGTTGACACCTATATACCTTTGAACTTATGCAGGTCATATAATTGAACTGACAATGAGTATGATTAAATTAAGGATCAGTTAAATTAGACAATATGTTGATCATAATCATATTATACTTATATGTTCATACGACAGTAAATGACATGTCACACGAATTAATTTCAACAAACATTTTTATTTAAATAATTTCCCAACTCAATTTTTGGACAATCAAATTTTAACCTAGTCCCTTCAAGAGTCTTTAACAGGACTCTTAAAATAGGAATTTTCTCTGATTTTCCTCTGGTACACAGGAAACGACAGCATTTACCTGTTTGGCTGCACATTCCCGGACCCAATTTGTCACAAAGTTGGGAAGTACAGCATCGAAATGGATCATGTCGAGGTGCTACAACTCGATACTGGTTATCGCCGTGGAGATGTGTCTCCCTTGTCGACGGTGTGGACTGGGGAGTTGATCTATATTTTCGGAAACGTTCAAAACTATACCTCCCCGAACGTTTGGACGTATAATGTTGAAACAAATGTGTTGGCGCCACTCACAATTGAAAACTTTCCGGAAGAAGAAGATCAGCAAATGTTTTTTTCTTAGGTGAAGGAAAAGTAACCATAAGGTGATCATGTTAAAAGATCACCATGGTTACGGCGAAGCCTAGGTATGCAATCAGCTGCAACTTTGAAAAGGTCGCACTGAGATTTCGCCCAAACCGTTCGTTGCATGGAAAACATGCTGAAACAAAAAAACCAAAGAATTCTGTTTTACAGATACGTTTTTTTTATTTTTTGAAAAATTCTAATTCCTTCAGGTAGAAAGTCCGATGCCTAAAATTTCAAATCCATTTCTTGGCATCAAGGAAGTGTTTCCGACCGGGGGCTTGCCATTTTTATTATTCTCCAGGATAATACGCAAATTGTAAGCCTTTGTTCGACTTAATCGGATCAAAACTGACGGAATTAGAGCTTTTTGAAATATTTGCATTAGGCAACCTATTTACGTGTTAAGTTACTGGTTGCTAACGTGCGGTGATAGTTTATTCAGCATCGCTATTCAATACTCAACATATCCAATGTTGCTAGATAATCGAATTACGTTATTATTAGATCGCTAAGTGTCAAGGCATCCTTGACAGAACAGAACAATCCTTAAAATTTTGAAACTGGGGGATTAAATTGGCATGCCACGCATCCACACCCACTGCGGAATTAAATTGGTATGCCAAGCGTCCACAAACAGGAGAATTAACAACGTTTAAGATTTTATAATTGCATATGATTTTATACATATAAGTTCACAAATCACCAAAAATAATTAAATAAATAAATTTTAAAAAACAAACTTAGGTGAAGGACGCGCTTAAAATATTAAAACAAGAAGCATTAAAAAATGTCATAAATCGCTTAATATTTATTAACTTTTACTTCACCGGGGGCCCAACTGTTAAATTTTCAAAGCAATGATAATCAATAATAAATGTAGCTAAACCAACGACTTGATTAAATATGAAGGGCAGCATTACAGAAGTTATTAAAAATACGCCAGAACATGAGCAAATTTCCTCTATAAGAGGTGTCGCGATTTATTGAAAGATAATCATTCAAATCTTGCAAGTTTAATATACAAATACATATTACGCATTTCGTATAATTGTTCCAAATCCTTGAAAGTATACCTTTTTTCCTGTGTTAGTTGGGCCCCCGGTGAAGTAAAAGTTAGTAAATATTAAACGATTTATGACATTTTGTAATGCTTCTTGTTTTAATATTTTAAGCGCGTCCTTCACCTAAGTTTGTTTTTTAAAATTTATTTATACTGATGCCGTTTACGTACCGAAATTGAATAGAATTTACGCTTTTGGAGGACAAACTATCGATCAGATGGATAACAGGATGATAAGAGATGATATTTGGTATATCGACTTGAATTGAAAAAATTGAAATGTTCTTCACATATGATTACTTACTTTTTCAACTTACACATTTGGTATATTGACATTATATAATTGAAAAAATTAAACAGCAACAATATTACACAGATCTTAAATTGATTTAATTTATTCGTTGCGAAAGAAATAGTAGTGACAGTATAATTCTAAGCTTTCTGTTGAAGAAGGTTAAAGAACTTCCACATATTATGTCATCACAAATGTGGGTGGGTGGGTGGTCTTAGGTCGCTAAATATCTTACTCGTGTTAAGCTTAACGTGACTAACAAGGGAACATACCGAGGTGTCGAACGAGTTAAATTCAACGTTATGGAAATCAGCACAACATTAAAATCGTACATAAATAAATTGCCGTGTAACTGGCTTATTTTGATTTTTGCATTTAATCATGATCACAATTTAACTACGTATTTATACATAATTTACGTCTTAATTTCTTGTAAATATCTAATAAATGTGTACATGCATAAGTAAATATGTTTACACATTCCAATCTACCGACTAACCTTCTCCTGAGGAAATGTTATCAACAAAGTAAAAATATAATTCGCTATTAAATTATAGCACATCAGAATTGCAATTTTTCTCACTTTACGGATTGGACCAATTCTTACCCCAAAAGCGTGCAAAGTGGCTAAACGTTTTCTCGAAACTTTTCCACTTCCCGAGTTAACTTCGTTGCGAATATGACGACGGAGTTTATCCGATACGTCGTAAACGGCAGCAGCAGGAAGCAGCGTCACGACAATGACGACGAGTTCATTGTTGAATATAATGGGAAACGGGATGTATTCGAAAATTGGGAGGAAACTGCGAAATCTGATGGCCGCAAAGCAACACGTGACACATAAGGCGGTAGGGTTCAAGACGGATAACATTGGAGGAAGGAGTGTGACGAAGGCGTGGTTGTAGTAGGTGATTAGCAGGTGAAATTTTTGAAATATGGAAATCTTCTCGGAAATCGGTGCCGTGTTCCGACCAATTCTGGAAAAAATTGTGTATGTAACAAAGTTATTTACGTATGTTGAAATGGATAATTAGATTGAGGAGTTTTGAGATTAGACGTACTAACTATATCATGCGCATACATAAATACATACATATTTACGTATCTCGCAAATTGAGCACAACTATGCAAGTTCGAGATTTTGTGAAAACCCTCACCGGCAAAATGTGGGATTTTTTCACAAATTTAAGCAGAAACTGGGCATGTTTTTACCATGCAAAATAATCCTATACATACATCGTACGTGTGATGTAGAGAGAATTATTGCAATTCCGTGCATGCCGACATTGCAATGTCATACAATGTTTTGATCTCTATCAATCGCACGCGATAGAAATTACAGAAATCCATTGAAACTAAATCAAAATATATCTAATACAACTAATACGACTGTTTACTAATTTAAAGATTTAAAAATTCGGGAAAAAATGCGAATTCCAAATTCCGTCGCAACGTAATTTTTTATAACTGTGCAAATTTACTAAATGATTTGATTTGTAATGCTAGCATAACACGCTGTCGAAAGTATACGAAACTCCTGTAAAAGAATTTATAAAGGGACCGTATTTGTAAAATTTGATTGATTTTGAGTAGCATTACTCAAAAATCGATCATAGTAAACTTGTATGCTTTAACTTGCTCCATTGCGTATGCTATGCACAATCTTAGCAAATCAAGATCTGTACATAGAGGGTAATCAAGAAAGAAATACAAGGATTTTCAAATGTAGATATTAATAGGAAAACCAAGAAAATTACAGAAAAATGTCGCAGCCACTCGTAAAACATCAATGTGTTCGGAAAGGCAGTATCTCCGCGTGGAAATTTGTGATCGATTGCACTAATTTGGTCAATCCGAGATACTTAGGTAGGTAGACCTCATCCATTGTGAGTAGTATGCAAGGTATATACTTTATTCAAAAATTTGCAAAATCTATTCAAAAATTATTTTCATGTATGCCTTTGAAAATCCTCATTTTTGCTTCTTTGACACCCTTTACATAATTTAGCCAACCTGCGAAAGTAGTCCATCCAGAAGGCTGTGGGAAGCAGAGTGGGCAAGATTGAGAATGCCTCTGTCCCCATCATAAATACCTGAGAAGTCTTTGCATATGCTTCAAATATGAGAAACGTTAGGAAAATTACGTCCATCTTATCCGGTTTCGAGGACGAAATGAGAGAATAAAAATACTGTTGTCTTGCCGGAACAACAGAAAACATGAGCGTTACAGCGACGGCGTACATAAGCACGATCCAAATTACGGCGATGAAGTGGACATCAATTATATTGAATTTCCACAGGACTCTCCTCATTGTAGCGGCTGGGTATTCTGTAAGAATAGGTGTGTAACTTTTAAATACGATAGTAGTTTTCTAGACCGCTATAAACTATATACATACAGTTTTCCTGAAATAAAACCTTACCTCTTTCTAGATTCGCTGTCAAAAGTCTCACGCCATTAAATAGTGCCACAATTTCCCACTTTTTCGTCCACCCATTATACAAAGTTACCAAACTCCAACTCATTAAAATGATCCAAATCCATAGCCAAACAATAGCTTGGAATGAGCGATTCGATTCCAATTTTTGCGTGTGTTGGACAAGTCTCCAAATGAGAAAGCAAAGGAGAAAAAATGTATGCGAAACTGCTATAAAAAATGTGAATTTCCTCGTCACCGTAGTCGAAGCGGAGAAAGATCCACACTCAGATTTCCACTTGTACGGATTACTTCCCAGCGATGAGTAAATTTTCATAGAAATCTCGATAACTTTTAATGTCCGAGGGTTAAACATTTTATAGCTCGTTAAAGTTATGTAATTTTTAAAGAAAAAATGTTAATAGAGAATAAGCTTGGTTCAGAGTGAATTAATATCTTGACCTTCATAAGTAAGTTGATCACTCGATAAACATGGCGAATACGTGGAATTGAAGAAGAAACTTTATTGCAGAGTCCACACTTTCCCTCCGATAAGAACATAGGCATGCAGTGTGACATTAAGTACAAATTTGATTTCTGTAACGGAAACTACCGAAATTAAATGGCATAATATGTATGCATGTGCATACGACAATGTGGAAACCGTTTTTATAAAACAGTTTCATGATTGACAAATATAGTCAATAAGTTATGACCCCTTTCCCCAACTATATAGGAATACTATGTACGCATCCCTAATAAGACTGACGACATGAATACGGTCTCGATTATCTTGATGGGACTAATTAACAAAACAAACAACAAATTACACTCATGGTTATTGCGCCAGGTATAAATGCACTTTATTTTGGTGGGTACATATACATATGTATATATGAAGTCACTTATAATTCGTGTGTATTTGTACCTGATCAACTTTTCTGACGACTATGCCACGTACTAGTCAACGAGATGGGTTATATTTAACAATAATTGTTAGGCCAGCATACCAACAGTTTTAGCATTTAAACTACATAACGAAACAGCTTTTCTATTAAAATCAACTAATTTGGAAGCCTTCCAATGGAAGGTCGCCAATTTGACTGTAATTTAAAACAAATACTATGCACACAAATAAATGTAATTAGTGTTTCAATTTTATAGTAGAATGCGTTGGTTATATTTCTGGTAGTAATTAAGACTATTAAAATTGAATTAACTTGAAGGACATGAAAAGAGAAGTGATGATGACGAATGACGTGAGGGGTAGTGTGATTATAAATAAAGTTATAAAATTTATTCTAGGTTGAGCAAAAATAGCATTCTCAAAATATGACCGAACCGATAAGTTATTTAGTGCGGCACTTGCTCAGCTACGAAAATTTCAGCGTGTCATTGGCACCGCAAGTTCACGAAAACTGTCGAACTCGTTCGGTTTCCCAGCGGAATACGACCACGTCATGATGTTCTGTTGGAACCCTGAGCGTTTTCGCGAACTTGTGGTGCCAATGACACGCTGAAATTTATGCACTGCGCAAGTGCCTCACTAAATAATATTTCTAAAGAGTTGGTCTTTCAAACTGAGACGGTGAGAACAAAATCTAGGCTGGACATTTTTTGCGTCCTCATTGTAAGTAAATACATAAATAAACCCTTACAAACGAATATAAAAAAGTAGCGTCAGAATGATCGAAATGTCCTTTAAAATGACACTATCTTTGACAATTCTGTATTTTTGACCTCGTCCTCAATGTCATGAGGTCAAAAATATTAATCTCCTTGAAGTCCCAGTCAAATTTCCTTTAAAATGACACCCCATATGACAATTATGCATTTTTTGACCTTTGACCTCGTCCTGAAGGTCATGAGGTCAAAAATTTTGACGCCATTGAATTCGTGGGGAAATTTCCTTTAAAATGACACCCCACACGAAAATTAGAGTTAAATTTAATTTGGACCACACCCCCTGGCGCCGTTGGGTGTGGTCCGATTGACCCAATTTCCGAGCTCGATCGAGAACTAAAAATTAGAAGCACAATGGCGAAAACGGGGTTTGATTATGTTGACTCGTTCTGGAGATATCCTGCTGACGGACGGACAGACGGACGGACAGACAGACAGACGGACAAAACGATCACAGTAAGTAGCTGACGCTACTTAATAAGGGGTGAGAATGACAAAACAATTGTTAAGTCACCCTCCATTTTACTCGTCCTTGAATAAATTTTACAGAACGCTATTTAGAGTGCACATACACGAATTCATGAAGCATTCATCATTATTAAATACGACAGGATCTCGCTGCAAATATTTCTCGTTTATTTCTCGTACACATGTACATACTTTAAGTGCGTACATAAATTTTTGTAGAAAAAATGTCTATAATAATTAAACCAGAAATAACTCGCCGGTATTTACAGATAATTTTTAGATAACGGATTTTAATCTATAAACTTAGCGACCTTTTATTTTTTAATTACATGAATTTATACGTTATTGAACTTATATTCTTAATTGATATTAATTGAATTTAATTATTGCGAAAATAATTACGCAAATGAACCCATGTCTACACCTTATTTTTACAGGTCTCCTCCTCCCACGGAATTACCGGCAAGTCACCAACTTTTTCCCCCCTTTTGAACAGTGTCGTACTTTCCTCACCCTGATCCAAGTACCGAATTGTGTCGGCATTGACAAACTCTAAAGTTTGGTTGAGAACGCCCTTATTTTCGGGCCAGAGCAGCATCCAAAAATCGGAATCCCACTCGGTGATGCAAATGTTGACGGAGAAGTTTGATTCAACCAAGCCAAACCCCACTTTCCATATTCAAGATGTAGTTCTGGGACCCCAGAGGTGTTGTTTTTAAACGATATTGTGAACTCACCTAGAAAATTGGGGTATAACATTAGACAAAAAATAAATGGGGACTAATCGGAACAAAATAATGCAAACTGTTACCGTTAAATCCGCTTCCAAACGTTCCAACGGCTTGTTCTGGGGAAATTTTTGGAGCAATGTGCTGTTTTTTGATTGGTTGGTTATTGACTACACTTTTGGGACCAAGTTTAAACGGGATAGTGTCATTTAAAGTCTCCGGGAACGAAATATTCTGGCCGGTACCATTATCTACTTATAATTGTTCATATAGTACATACGACAACAATTTAATGTAACCATAAAAAATATTATCTAAATGGAATCTTATTTTACTCTGCAATATGCGGAAGATCGCTTCATGTAGGGCGGTCTGCGTTAGGGTAGCGAGTTGACCAGGACCACTGCTCGTCGTAAAGATACCCAAACTCAAATGTATTTATATAATCCAGGCCAATTTGTTGAATTTGTCGGGAGTCTGTGTATATTTGTGCATTTACATACCGGATAAATTCTTTCATTTATGTGAAATTCACAGAAATAGAATTTCCAATGGGAAATAAATGTACCCAGTAACTAAAAAACTATCGAAGGAGAAGCCCGTCGTTTAAAATGTTATAATTTTAATCTAAACACGTACAGATATATCATGTATTTTGTAAAACTATCTAATGGAATTCCAAAGATCGTCCAATTTTATAGTGGTTTCAGGTTGCAGTGAAGCCTTTATTGGGAACTAGATAAATATGACACTGGAATTGTATACAGATGCTGAGCAACTAACCATTCTACTTTTTAAGTGAACTATTAATGAGTTCCTCTGAGCCTTATGGTAAAAGTTTTGCAATGTAAAGACATAAAAAGACTATACCATACACAAGTATTATTTCTGCTTAAATATCTACATACTTAACGGGAGACAACAGTTATTTTTCACAAAGTTCAAAGTTTTAGTGACGACGCATAGATAAAGATTTGCATATTAATGAGTATTTATATACAGATAGATTTATGTATGTATGTATGTATTTATCTGAGGCTACTTATTAAAAAAATGAAGCACTTCATGCTTGGCAGGTCATGTCATCAGAACTTGATTCATGTTTAGGCTTGCAAGAAGCAAAATTGTCCACAATTTTAATTCCTTCCGGGAGTGAATATCTAATAGTAAACATATCTATTTATGACTAACTACATACATAGGTGCTAATTATCAAGTTAGATTTTTAGACGCTATGTATCGCTTCATTTGCATCTGACAAAGCTTAAATTGCCATCAGGTCGTCATATGTTGCTATGAGGACCTCAATTTCTCCGGGATGTAGTTCCGTCCGTTTGTCGCCCTTTCCGACGAGGGATTTTTTAAGGGAAATCATTTCATTGTCGGATTCTCCACTGAGGACAGCGGACCCCAGAAATCGGTCAAAGTGCTGCGGCTTGCTTTCCCAACACTGGAATATTTTATATGAAATATGTACATCACACTTTGAGAAAATTTTAGAAAATCCGAAAATTTTCAAAAAACCCGCATCACCTCAACAATCACCGGCTTGCAGACATCCTTCCGATAGAATATCCCTTGCAGACCCCACTGTGGTTCGCGGGAATTATAAACAATTTCCGACTGCAGAGATTCACCTTCAACTTTCACGATGCAGAAAGTGTTTTCACACTCGGCCAACCCCGTAGCACCCACGACTGTGATTTGCGTCACCGCCACGGGCTTTGTCACGAAGGGCGGGCAGTTCAAAAATGGATCCGGGTAGTCATCAATTAGTTCGCTCAATTTGATTTCGGTGTCAGAATGGAGTCGGATCATAAACTCGGCGGCAATGTGGGGTTCATGCGTTGTTGGGATAAGTACGTATCGACCCTTTGTTAAATCTCCTTTCCACACGACGTTTCGACCTTGCACGTAATCGGATGTGATGATTGGTGGATTGCTCACTTTGTGGATGCGATGCTCTCGATTTTCTTCAACCTTGAAAATTCAGAAACATTGCGTTAAACGAATTATCCATTTCATAATTTTAAGGAAATTTGTAAAAATCAATTTTTTTTAAGTAATTTTTAAAAGTTTAAAAGTAAGAGTAAAATTAACAAATTGCAGTGATATAAAACTAGTCGGAATTTTATTTGGTATGCGTGAATACCTTCAAAATGTTGAATCCCACTTTCGTGTAATGTGGCGTCCCGTCATGAAGTTGCTGCTCCTTTTGCACTAATTCCAGTATGAGTTCGATTTTTGGGTGTGAGACGTCCAAGCGGTATTGTGGGTTATGAAGCCAGGCATCCTTTCCGATGGAGGAGTACGCACCGCCGGCGTGGTTAGGTCGCGTCCAGGCGCCGAGGGCGACCGCTTCGTGCCACATGGGACGACCCTTGTGAAGTGAGGGCAATATGGAGTGTGATTTTATATGACAAATTGTCAGGAGGTCGAATTTGGATATGAAATCTTCGAAAGGCATCCTGTAAGAGTAATAGGATTTAAAATATTTTAGGTTCCTTATGCGACTCACGCTGATATTTGTGATCCTGTGAGGGGTTTAAATTTTGTAAAGTTAAGGTATGTTTATTCGAAGGACCGTCTAACTTAATTTCGAGTACTGGGCGTATTCACGTCATTTTTGCAACTCGTTTAACAAATACATGGCTTGCAAAATCAGGTTGTGAAATAAAGACATAAGCCCGTTTTCTGGGTGATAATACATAGGTTTGACAGGTATGGTTTTGAAGCACAAACGTTTTGGGAAATTACAGAGTACAGAATTACAGAATAATACTGAATACGCTTTTAGAAAATTGAAAACAGGAAAATACCAGAATTCTGAATCCTCCTCAAATACAAGGCCCAATTTGTTTCGTTCTCCAATTTCGATGCGTGTCCATTCCAAAGATCTGGAACAAATTGAAATGAATAAATCAGTAATTTCATAACGAAGGAAGACATAAAGCACAAATAAGTGGACCTACTCTTCACTGAATGGGCCATTCCATTCCTTAGAACCCCACGGGTGCCTCAGCCTGACGAGTAGGATTTTTTCACCTGTCCTAATTTTAAAAAAAACAATTTTCACAGATGATTTCCAAGAAATCAAAACTTCAAAGTTTAAAAACTGCGATATATTTTTTAAGCATGTACTTAAACATTGATTGGTGTCCCGTGCAATCCAGGTGGATTTCCTTAGTAGCCGTGACCACGTAATTATGTACAGGAACAAGTCCGGATTCAGTGATGGCGGATTGCTCAGATGGTTCTCTTACCTTAAACAATAATGATATGAGACGAAAATGTTAGTTATGCAAATTGTAAATTCATTATTAAACCCATGTAACAATCAGGCATACCAAAATTGAGCAACACATCAAACTTCCTTCGGCCAGTGTATTGTTCATAATTTCCTTTATATGGATTACATCACTGGACACAATTCTCTCCTCGTCGCTTTCTTGCAAAACCGGAATGGAAATTTGTTGTGGGAAACCGGAAGTAATGTCGGACAAAGCGTCCAGCAGATTGAAATCTTCCATTGCACCGTATGACCCACAAATTCTTAATAATTGATACAAAATTATTAGAGCAAGCATTGGTATTTCCAACGTCGAGGAGTACAAAATTTTACAAAACTTCTTCAAATTTTATACATAGGTATGTATAATAGGCGTACTCAAGTCAAAGTAATATTTCGCAGCGCAAACTTGAAGCTCTAAAAATTTATGACTCTCAAAATAAGATTTCACAAGTCTCGCAAACCTGCTTGTACAACCAGTGGCCGCGGAAGATGATTTTGACCGTGGGGACATACTTGTCGGAAAAAAGTCGACAAAACAACTTCTTGATTTCACAATCTATGAATCTACTTAGGGCTTTAATTTTCCAGATTAAAGTCAAATTTCTTGGATCAAGCCTTCATCGTCAAGAGTACAGTGGTGAATATTTTTGGCGATTTAAGTTTGATCTGCATCTCTTTCGCAAAAGAATACGGTTTTTATTTCTAAAAATCGTTAACGTTGCAAACAAATTGACCAGCTTCTCGTCGTCAAATATTGTTGCAATATTTTATTCTTTGTAAAGTTTCCGGTATGTATTAAGTCATATTCTCTATTCCGTTGACCAGATCCAGTTTAAGACCCTGAGGTTATTTTCTAGTTTATGATGATGCCAACTACGATTTATTAAAATAGTTTTTAAAGTTTTTTCGCAATGCCAAGAGTGTCTTCGTAAATGGTAAACACGGAACCCCAACTTTGGGATCAATTACACATAACCAACACTTTTTTCCTTTGACACCTATCACAATTTTACAGCATTCATACTAGTTTTCTCATTAGGCAATTTGTTGAAAGAAATTTAATAAATTGTCTGTAAATACCCAAGCCATGTAGTCAAGGAAAAAGGGTAGGATTTAGCCGAAGTAGAGCTAAATTTAACTCTGGCTTTATTTATCCGATCCGGTAAATTTGCAATAAATGCATGTAACGTACATATGTGGAAAACCCAATTGTTCGTTTTTTTCTTGAAAACTGCACATAGCCCTAGTGACGATCCTACACTATTTTGTAGCTATTCGAGTGTACAAACAGACGCAAGTGGTGCAAAGTCCTTCTACCGACAAGATTATCTTTTCGGTTACATATTATAGGTAGCACAAATTTAAAAGAACTTTTAAATTTTTAAAGAACACTGACAACTTTGCCAGTGTTCATCAACGCAAATAAGCTATCGGCACGTTTATTAATTATCAGACTTTAAATCCCAACGCGATTATTCGTATTATTGCTGGTATGTTCCCAACATCACTTTACACAATATTATGTACCTTTATCAAACGAGCGAATAATCATGAATAGTATTCATGATTATATAGTATTCATTGAATACTATAAATACACATTCGTAAGCATAATTTCCAGATTCTAGTCTTATCTAGTCCTCAAGGATGCAAGTTTTATATGTATGTACATAACCCCCACGAGACCATGGGGACAAATACATACATTAACTGTCCCCATGGCAAAATTTCCGTGGGGACATTGTCCCCATGACCCCACGCTTCCGCGGCCACTGTGTACAACACCTATCTGATATTTTTTCCATGGATTTCTGTACTTATTCTCGCTGGTGATGGTGAGGATGATTTTTGCGAAATAATTTTGCGGAATAAAAACATGCCCCCTCTTATGGGCAAATTTACGAAAAAAAATCCTATGGTTTTCCAGCAGAAGTTTTGCGCTCAATATTTCTTATAAATCTCTCAATTATTTAAAAATTGCTTACTTTGCGAACGCCTTTTCGTACAGAGAAACCCAGAATTCAGACTCGTTCAGTGAATGGGAGGACACCACTTTATTATTTATCGTGGGAAGATAATCGTCCACACAAACGTCCAACCAGTTACCAAATCTCCAGAAGTGGAAGTGATAAATGCCAACGGGGTTCGCCTCATTGCCATGATTTGGTATCGCGTGACCCCATAATTCGTGGCGGGAAGCCATCGCGCTAGCGGCAGAAATGAACCAACCGTTACCGATAAGCCCATCGCTCATCCCGTGACATTTTGACGTCTTTTCATATAGTTTTGGAGTGTCGCATATTTCCTTAAATTGAAATAATGACATTACATTAGAATTAATTTGAACATTTCAGAAGTAATTAGTTTTTTATGGTCTTGATTAGTTTGTAAAATTGCGTTATGAATTTCAATCAAATTAAAATATGGCACTGGTCCGTTATCATTTACAAGATTTTTAACTTGTAAATTTGTCTTAGGGATTTCTTTTAATTTTGTGAATTTAAAAATTACTTATAAAATTTGAATGCACCACGTGCATAGTTGCTTATTATAAATTTCAAGTATTTTACCGTGATCCTTTTCCATTCAACAGCATTGTTTCCCAACCGGATAGAACTTTCTGGGTTGAGATTTAAAGATTCATTTCCCGGAGGAAAAAGTGAATCGGTGAATAATTCTGTCGAGTGGGCACATTCCTTCTTCAATTTATCGTAGTTTTGTCCCTTGAAGTCGACTACTTTAACCATCTTATTATTTAATTTTAGTAACTCCTGTTTCTTTTATAATATGTTCCAAACGAGTTTGGAATTTTCGAGAAAGCTTTCCACTCTGAAGCGGCAGGTTGAATAGATGTGACCTCACTGGGAGAAAAGGTACACAAATGTATATCTGGCTAAGAAAGGGGGGAAAGTTGTATATAGTAGTAGATATACTTACGTATATTAAATGTACGTTAGTGTGTGTGAATGTGAGTACGAGTGTGGAAGCACGATTTCCCGAGCTTTCTCGGAATCCTTTATCTTTCTCTGTGGTCTCAGAACAGAGTAACTATGGGATGATGAACAAAGAGAAAGTGCAGAAGGTGAAATGTGCCTTAATCTGGTCAACTGAATTTTTCTGCCTTGTGTCACGTATGTATGCACGTACATTTTATTTGGCTTTGAGCAAAGTAAGTTTATGACCTCATCCAGGATACTTCTGTGATTATCATTCATGCAAAATTACATAGGCAAATTCAGTCATATACACGTATTTACAAGTATATTTATTTATCCAACATTTTTATATAGTAGTAAATTTTTGATATTTAAAAACAACATAAATATATGTATATGTATATTTAGCTTCCCACAGCAAAAAACGCTTTAACACATCTATTTATAAATAATTAAAGCATCCAGCGTCTTCGAAAGTATGATATTTGCGATCAAAACATTAGTATCTTTTATAAATCGCCCAAAAAACACTCCCGGTACGGAAAGTCCTAAACAACCTCTCGGCAAACTTTTTACTTCCTGACGTACCATCTTGCCCTCCATTCCCCCCACCATTCCGGCCCCATTACGATTAAGCCTCAGGACCTCGGACAACTCCTCGTTTCTCCTCGTGCATAAGGTTACCATAATTTGCATCAAAATTCCCATCGTAACAGAAGCGTAGATCAGGGTTGCCTAAATAATGGCCGGCATAGCAGTGGCGAAACGGAAAATGCAGAAATTGCTTATAATCATTAACATTCCCATGGTTGCGAACATTAAAAATACGAAGTTACTATTTACCCACCGCATCAGGTAGGAACACAGCCATACCTGTGCAGCTTCACTCAATTTTCGCAAATTGAAGCTTCATTCGCGTTGAGGGAGTGAAGGAGAGTGAAGCTAAGTGAGGGAATTGAGAACTTTAATCGAGTGAGTGAAGGTGAGTGAGGGAGGCCCAAATCAGAAATGAGTGGAATGAAGGGTGAAGGAGTGAAGGAGATGAAGGCTTCATCTCTTTCACACGTTCGTCTCCGGGGAAGAAGGGTGAAGGAATATAGGATAGATAATCAGTATACGTGCTGAAATTCGCGTGGCAATATTAACATTGTACCGTCTCATATTACTCCAGCCTAGTCTCACGTTGCCCCGGCCCAGTCTCACATTGCCCCAGCCCAGTCTCACATTGCCCCAATAGAATCTCACGTTGCCCCAGCCCAGTCTCACATTGCCCCAGTTGAATCCCACGTTGCCCCAGCCTAGTCTCACGTTGCCCCAATAGATGGCGCTAAAATATTGAACTTATGATGACACGAGGGACTTATTGAATGAAAGAAAGAGTGAATGAAATAGATGAGTGAGGGGAATGAGTGAAGGAGTGAAGGAGTGAAGGAGTGAAGGGAATGAAGGAGTGCGAATGAGATTTGTCAGTGAGTGAAGCCTCACTCAGCCTTCCTTCACGTGAGTGAGGGGAGTGAAGGGAATTTGACTCGAGGTGAAAATGAGTGAAGTTGAGTGAAGCGAAACTCACTTGCACAGGTATGAACACAGCCACACTTGTCGATATTGCTTCACATGGTGTAAACTCATCTGTCTATCGCCACTTTTAAGGATGGCTTTCGTGAGGTATTTCAGCTGCAGAATATTTTTTAATTCCATTTCACTCCAGAGAAGTCCCATTGTAGGAATGGAGATGACAATGCGGGCAAGTTCATACCACGTTACCATTGCAAACACGTATCGTATTAGCCCAATTAGGCTAAAATAATTACCCACAAATTGAATAATGCAACTTATAGCCTTGTATTTTTTGCATATGAACAATAAGAAATGTACTGGTGGATCCAGATTAAAAAGTGTTAGTGCTACGGAAAACAGGGTTATGACGATCCACCCAGAAGAGATGAACGCTATTAAAATACTGCCCAAAATATCGTCGCCTCTCTTAACCGAATAGTATATGTTGACCAACTTGGCGCGAAATGAAGTGTCCAATTTCAAATTACGTCGTATACATTTCCAAGGATGGAATTTATTGTACAACTTAAGAAGGCGGTTGGTTCCGTGAATAATGTCGTCCAAGTGCAGGAAGAACGTGTAGAATGCCGTCACAGTGATGCCAAGTTCCAGCGTGGCGAATAACCTGGATATCCAAAGTTTGCTTTTCATTATGACTTCATCATTTCCAAGGGAAAGGACTGTGTGGCTGATAAGAAGAGCTGTGTCCTCTTCTGGCGTGCCGTTGTGGGGGAATGGGAGATATAAATCCAGAACAGATAAGATACTCATGATAAGCAGGACGAGGGTGGGAGCCAACTTTCGAAGAAGCTTTACTCCTCGACGAGTATCAGGGAGGAGGACTAAATAACGCGTATTCATGTCCATGGTGAAAGGCCATCTGTACAGAAAAGGGTAGTGGTCTTGGTACAGATATTTGAGAAGTTGGACAGCTTGACACTGAAGAGAGGACATGTTTCCTATGGGAACTTTCCGGAATGATTTTATACTAAAATATTTGTCGACGAAGGCTAAGAAGTCCTTCTTTTAAGTAATAAATCCAATGTTCAGTTGATAGATTGAAGTTCTAAAAATGTACAAAAGTAGTCTATCGTGGCTTTACTTTTAGGGACGTAAAAGTATTACCAAGCAATAAGCATATTATTCATTACATTCGAAGGTATTTTTTTATAATAGGAACTAATAAGTTATGTATGTAGAGGGCAATTTCTAAGCAAAGGACAGTATTAAAGTTTTATGTATAACTCCCTTAAATAATTGATTATCCAAGAATTGTCTTGGCATTCGTCCATAAAAAAGCACAAGTAAGTAAATACCAAATTCCAGTATACATGCATACTTTAGTGAAATAATTATCAAATTCCCTACCTTTAAAGTTTTACGTTTAAGAATTTCAGATTTATGTACCTATGCATATCATATCAACCTTTAATTTACGGCAAACCACGGTGGCTTTTCAATATTCCATCGTTTCGATTTAAGATTTATGCAAGCTAACGAAATACTCTTGATACCTTTCATGGTATTTATGCCCTAATATAAAGCCCAGAAATCATTTATGATAAATTATTTATCCACAAATCTAAAATTGAGCAACACATTAAACTTCCCTCTACCAGTGTATTATTCATAATTTCCTTAATATGGATTACAGTATACATCACTGGACACAATTCTCTCCTCGTCGCTTTCTTGCAAAACTGGAATTGAAACTTGCTGTGGGAAAACGGAAGTAAGGTCGGACAGGGCGTCCAGCAGGTTGAAGTCCTCCAATGCTCCGTATGACCTGCAAATTCTTAATAATTAGTACAAAATTATTATCATTTTTAGAGCAAGCATTGGTATTTTCAATGTCGATGACTACAAAATTTTACACAACTTCTTAAAACTTTATACTTATGTACAGATTATAATAGGCGCACTCAAGTCAAAGTAATATTTCCCGAGCTTTCTCGGAATCCTTTATCGTTATCTCTAACTGGGCCTCCGACCAGAATAACTTGGGAAGAAGAACAAAGAGAAATTGCAGAAGGTGAAATGTGCATTAAAGTTTGAGTTCGGGCACAGTCTGTGCATCCTAGTGAGCGAGTTGAGTTTTCCTCCTCGCCACTTACTAGTAATGTAAATGATTTTTGTCACTAAAACTTCTAAGGAGGAGGCACCCTCCTTACGTGAAATGCCCCACCGTGATATTCGGCTCAATTTTTGATATGTTGTACATTTCGACGTGCCGAACAAAAAATGTATTGGTCCCTAAGCCTTAAGTGACCTGGTTCGACCGGAAATAGAGGTCAAAGGTCAGTGCACTTTTTCGCTCGAAACCCCATAAACCGTATATTTTTAGAAAGCTACGGACCTCCCCAGTCCGAATATACACCATACTTGGGTCAAAGGTCAAGCCTTGACCTGTCGAGGTCAACCCTTGGCCTGTCGAGGTCAAATATGTTATTGAGGCAAGGTAAGATTTTTGGGGAAAAGTGGGCAAAGTACATTTCTGATAGGATGACTGCACCCTTGCTGGAAAAGGGCATTATTACATAGTTGGGTAACACTAACATTTGTGTTTATTGATCTTGATTATGTGGTGTTACCCAACTATGTAATAATGCCCTTTTCCAGCAAGGGTGCAGTCATCCTATCAGAAATGTACTTTGCCCACTTTTCCCCAAAAATCTTACCTTGCCTCAATAACATATTTGACCTCGACAGGCCAAGGGTTGACCTCGACAGGTCAAGGCTTGACCTTTGACCCAAGTATGGTGTATATTCGGACTGGGGAGGTCCGTAGCTTTCTAAAAATATACGGTTTATGGGGTTTCGAGCGAAAAAGTGCACTGACCTTTGACCTCTATTTCCGGTCGAACCAGGTCACTTAAGGCTTAGGGACCAATACATTTTTTGTTCGGCACGTCGAAATGTACAACATATCAAAAATTGAGCCGAATATCACGGTGGGGCATTTCACGTAAGGAGGGTGCCTCCTCCTTTGCAGCTAATACAAAATGGATTGATTTCGTTTTGGTGGCAATAAATTCCTAAGTTTGTGCTTTACAATTTCCATTAGGCAAAAATTCCATAATAAATCTCAAAGAAAAGTATTGGACTGAAACATGTAAGTTATCATGTTTTTAGTCCAATACTTTTCTTTGAGATTTATTATGGAATTTTTGCCTAATGGAAATTCTAAAGCACAAACTTAGGAATTTATTGCCACCAAAACGAAATCAATCCATTTTGTATTAGCTGCAAATTAGAAGTTTTAGTCGGGATTGTTCTCCCTTTCTGGTTCGCGATGCCCCGTTTGGAGTTTGGGAACGGTCACTCTCAAAATCCAAAGCAACTTTTTACATGCAACTGCCTGCCTTGTTTACATGAAAATCAGCTGCTCTCTTCGCCCCGCCCCCTCCATAGAAAAAAGTCTCTCGGCACACAAGGAGACGCAACCATCGTCTCTGTCTTTTAGTTACGAGACTTTTTCAATATGAATGCCTTCTTAATCTGATCAACAGAATCTTTGTGCCTTGCGTCACGTATGTATGCACGTACATTTTATTTGGCTTTGAGTAAAGTAAATATATGACCTCGTGCAGGATTTATAATACTTCTGTGATTATCATCCAGGCGGCTCATGCAAGGTTACATACGCAAATCCAGTCATATAGACGTATTTATGTACAAATATATTTATTTATTCAACATTTTTATACAGTAACAAACTTTCCTACATATTTAAACACAACATAAATATTATATCTAACTTCGCACAGCAAAAACGCGTTCACACATCTAATTATAAATAATTAAAGCATCCAGCGTCTTCGAAAGTATGATATTTGCGACTAAAATATTAGTATCCTTTATAAATCGACCAAAAAAACACTCCCGGTACGGAAAGTCCTAAACAACCTCTCGGCAAACTTTTTACTTCCTGACGTATCATCTTTCCCTCCATTCCACCCACAATGCCGGCCCCATTACGATTAGGGGAGATCCATAAATTATGTCACGCAAGAAAGCCCTTTTTTAAGACCCCCCCACCCCTGTTGTCACGCCTTTGTCACGCTAGTCGTGACCCCTCCCCCCCTCTTGTCACGTCACGCCTGAAAATGTTGTTATACATTTTTTTAATTGTTAACATTTTTGAATCATGCAGAAAGTTGTCTTCGATCAGTTTACGTTGTTGAAACCATGAAAAATAGGGTTCGGAGGAATTTTTTAAATTGTGCAAATTGTTGGAGATTTTGTAATGTTTTAAATTGTTGCAAACTTATGACGATTTTTTGAAATTATGCAAACTTTATGGCATCATGAATTTTTTTAATTTGCAAACAATTGGATATTGTGCAAATTATTTGAAGGCTTGAACAAAATGTAGAAACCTGGTTTAAAATCTCAAAATCTGAAACTTGGTTGAAATTTTGGATGCTTTGGATCAAAGGTCTTTTTGATATTCGGATATATATCTAAATAATTGCGAAACTGTAGTTTGGTCGTAGTCGAAGAATTAAAATGTGAGTTATAGTTTGCATTAAGTTAGGCCTCCAAAACGTTATGTCACAGATCGGCCGAACCCCCCCTCCCCATATGTCACACTTTGTCACGGATCCTTGGACCCCCTCCCCCCCATCTTCAGCGTGACATAATTTATGGATCACCCCTTAAGCCTCAGGACCTCGGACAACTCCTCATTTCTTCTCGTGCAGAAAGTAACCATAATTTGCATCAAAATTCCCATCATAAGCGAATCGTAGATCAGGACTGCCGAAACAATCGCCGGCATAGCACTGGCGACGCGGACATTGCAGAAATTGGTGATAATCATTACCATTCCCATGGTTGCGATCATTAAAAATCCAAAGTTACCTTGTACCCACCGCAACAGAGAGGAGGACAGCCACAGATGTCGATACAGTTTCACATGTTGTAAACCAACCTGTTTATCGGCACTCTTAAGGATGAATTTCGTGATGTATTTTACTTGCAGACAATTTTTCAGTTCCATTTCACCCAGAGAATTCCCATTGTGAGAATGGAGACGACAATGCGGGCAAGTTCATACCATGTTAACATTGTAAACACGTATCGTACTAGCACAATTGGGATGGCGCCCAAATAATCATACAAAAATTGAATAATGTAACTTAAAGGCTTGTATTTCTTGGATGTGTACAACAATAAATGTACCAGCGGATCCAGATTGAAAAGTGTTAGTACTACAGAAGATGGGGTTATGATTATCCACCCAGAAGAGATGAACGCTATTAAAACACTGCCTAAAATATCGTCACCTCTTTTAATTGAATTGTATATGTTGACCAAGTTGGCGCGAAATGAAGTGTCCAATGTCGAATTACGCCTTATGCATTTCCAAGGATGGAATTTATTGTACAACTTGATAATACAGTTAGTTCCGTGAACAATGTCGTCCAAGTGAAGAAAGAACGTGCAGAATGCCGTCACGGTGATGCAAAGTTCCATCGTGGCGACGAACACGGATACCCACAGTTTGCTTTTCATTATGACTTCATCATTTCCAAGGGACAGGACTGTTTGATTGATAAAAAGTGCTTTGTCCTCTTCTGGCGTGCCGTTGTGGGGGAATGGAACGTATAAATCCAGAATTGATAAGATACTCATGATAAGCAGGACGAGGGTGGGAGCCAATTTTCGAAGAAGGGGCACCCCTCGACGAGTATCACGGAGGAGGACTAAAAAATGTGTCTTCTTGTCCAGGGTGAAAGGCCATTTGTACAGAAAAGGGTAGTGGTCTTGGTACAGATATTTGAGAAGTTGGATAGCTTGACACTGAAGAAAGGACATGTTTTCTACAGGGATTTTCTAGCGTGATTTTGCACCTAAACCTTTTGTCCACGAAGGTTAAGACGTACTTCTTTTATGGAGTAAATACGATGCCGAGTTGATAGATTGAAGTTCTAAAAAAATATATCAAAGTAGTCCAGCGTAGCTTTACTTTAGGTTTGTACATGTGTAGGTACGTAACAGTACATATTATTAATCATACTCTGCATTACGTTCAAAGGTATTTTTTGTAATAATACTAGTGAGTAAGGTAGAGGGCAATTTATAAGTAAAGGAAAATATTGAAGTTTTACGTACACTCTTAGAAATTGGGGTACGATTATTACCAAAATGTAAACGTACATAGACCCTACAGCCGTGGTTATGAATTTGTCACTAACTGGTTATAAATTTATTAGCTCTGGTAACAATTCAATACCAAGTCGGTGAAACTTTATAACTTGTCGGTGACAATTGTATCCACTGGAGGATAAATTCATAACTACGGCGATAGAGTCACATACGTTTACTTTTTTGTTATAATCGTAACCCAATTTCTAAGAGTGTATAACTACCTTAAATATTTGATTATCCAAGAATTGTCTAGGCACTCGTCGATAAAAAAAGTACATATAAGTATGTGAAAACTAAATTCCAGTATACATGCATACTTAGTGAAATAATTATCGAATTCCCTACCTTTTAACTTTAACTCGCGAATTTCAGATTTATGTACATGTACATATCATATCAACCTTTAATTTACGGTAAACCATAATATTCCATCAATTCGATTAGAGATTTATGTAAGTTAACGAAATACTCTTTATACCTTTTATGGTATTTGTGTCGTAAAGCCCAGATATACATAATTTATTCACAAACCTACGCATATACATAATTCTTTCTTTACATGGTCTACCCTGAAGTATGTACTATGTACATATTTATGTATGTATGTATGAATGTTCATGCGTATGTGTGCAACTGCCTGTTGGTAGTACAAATAGACACATGAAATTAAGAAATCAGTCACCCCCTCCGGTCATCCAATGAAATTTTTCCCAATTTATTCTTCCATAAAGACCTGTTAGAAACCTCTGTACCAAATTTCAGCTACCAACCAAAATTTTGAAATTTCGATGCATAATGTAAAGAATAAATATGTACATTTACATATTGATGAGTAATGCTCTATGACTAATGACTGGATTATTCCAGCTTGTGTTCAAGTGCCAATGGACTAATCCTAAGCTATAGTTTAGTTTGATGTTGGAAATAAGAAGGCAACTATCTGGGAGTATAATGGTGAAAGAAATTTGAAAATCGGAGTAAAATTGGATTTTTGGCGTGGTTTTGAATAAGTGAAAGCTGGAGTGAAAGCGATTTTTGGGCACCTTTGAGTGGGTGTGGCGGGCGCAAATGTGGCCATGGCATTAAACCACTTCAGGGTTCTTGTTCATTCATAGGACACTTAACAACATATCCAAGGGGCATCGAGATCCGGGAGTTGATAGTACACAACCTCCCCTCCTAAGAAAAACGTATCAGGTCAGTATACGTATATACAACGTTCAGCGAAAACACTTCTAAATGGGAATTCATAGTTTATTAATAAGGTCAGGATTATACATTTATGTATTGTGGGCTAAAATTCCTGGAATAATTATATTATGCTATACACATATTTAAGAAATATAATATTTAGTCCGGCCCGTTTTATCCGAAACTCTTACTTTAAAAGTAGTATGTCTATCAATTAAATATATTTACTAAAGAAGTAAATTTAATAATTACTTTATTAGTTTTCCTGGCAGTCAAATCTTATATTTTCATTGGAATTAGTTAAATTGAGATATCTTGTACCATGTACACAAATATTTATAGGTAGACCCGGCGTAATTATCTAACCTTGACGCTTGACAATCTCAAAAACCGATGTCATTCAATTTCCCTTCACGAATTTGAACTAACTGATATTTTCCAGTCTTAACGTCAACGCAGTGTAATGACGAGCTCGGCGGTGTCGATCCAGCACGTCTTTACTGGAAAATACGTGCTCGCAGTCACGACAAGGATGCATTACATCTTTATGAAATCGCACATAGTGTTCCATCCGAAGAAAGATGTTGCGAAAATGGATACGACAATGACGGCAAATGCACCCTGTTGTGTTACTCTGTAAATTACGATGTCAAAAAAGTTTTCATTATTAAGTTTTCATCATTTACTTTCATTTTAAGGCATAACGAAAATTACCATTTTTGTAGAGTTACACTGCTCTAAATGCGTCAACCAGTCAGCTTCCGTTCTAAATTGTAGTGGACAACCGTACGGACAAAAAGTCTTGTCGAGGAAATGGTCCAGTTCAACATGGCGATGCACATGTGCCATTAAAGCGAAGGTTTTATCACACGTAACGCAGGTAGGCCGAGTGGTTGCCTTGTAAACTTCGGTCTTACGTTTGCCGTTTTTGGGGATTTTCATCTTCTTACTGGAGAACTGATTCGTAGGAAAACTGAAAGGTTTCGGAGGAACAGGATGAATGTTTTTGTTGTTCAGATGACGTCGGAGATGGTGAGCTTTTGAAAACGTTACTTGGCATTTTTCACACTCATATCTTAATTTAGTTGTGGAATTAGGAACAGGTTCTGCATTCAAACCGGATTCTGACATCCGCGAATTTGTTAAACTGTCGTCATCTTCCATGGCTTCTGGTTCATAAACCGTGAGAGGATCGTAATAAGTGTCATTTTCTTCGGTCGACTCAACTTTTATGAAAAAATCGTCTTCCTCAACTTCTTCCTCTTCCTCAGGAAACTCAGTTAATTGTTCCTGACTTAACCCGGTCAAGTATTCGTCGCAATGAAAACTGTTGCTAACATCTTCGTTTGAGGATTCTACGGTGAATTGAGACAAATTAGTTTGCATTCAATTTGACAATTTCAGACGAAATTTAAGTACACGTACCATTAATTGTACTGTTTTTATTGACTTGATTAAAGAGGCCACCTCTGCTGGAGATCACAGCACGTAAACCAGTTGTAATAATATCAATTTCCGTCTTCAATTTCATTAAGGATAGGATTGTTGAGGAACACATTTTACAACAAAATATTGGAGGATGGTCCTGTGTTAGTAGAATAAGAGAAAGTTGCTCCGGATTAAGGACACATTTCACCAGAATATTCATTTCTTCAATAGAAATTGGATTGAGACCCGTCGTTTCAGAACAGATGGAACAACATTTGATCTTGTTGGAAGATACATTTTCACAGTTTGCATCACGTTTGGATAGATTTTCGCCCTGGTTTGGAAGTGAGGAGGATGAAGCTCTAGAACAATTGGACCTGTCGAGACGAACCGTGGAGCCAATTAAATCTTGTCCAGTTCTGCTAATTGATGATGTGGGTGCTTTCATCATATTTGCTTCTGCCAAAACAAAACAGCAATTAGCAAAACTCCATAAAATTGTTTACTTTCATGAATCGTTATAAAATTTAAATACAAAATACTTGTGTAAATGCCGGCCTGCTTCTTCTGTATATCCCCAGATTTCAGGACGTCTATATAAATAAATTGTTTCACGAGATGTACATCAAATGGTCAATGATCAAATCAGTCTGATAATTAAAAAAACTTATTATTTATTATTTGATAAAGTATGTATATGTACAAAAAATGACGTACTTTCACAGACGGTTATTTTCGTGCTTCGTCAACATCGGGGAATGTGAAAAATGTTCACGTATTACTTCATCATGCATATTCGTAACTCGAATGAACAAAGAAAGATGCATGCAATTCCATGTAAATTGAACGATGTTAAATTTTATGTGTAAAATTTGCATCGTAATGTACATAGCATATGCTTATAAAAAAGCTATAAATATATATGCACCATGAAGTATCGTAAATTTTAAATTTATTGTCCTACATACTTTATTTAGTATCTATAAATTTACAAGGTTTTTGATAGAAGTGTTCTAAGTTAACTACAGGCAATTTATTTAGATTTTTTAACCAGCATCACGTATATTTACGACCTTAATTTAAAGTCAGAGACATATGTAAGATATACATATTAATACTAATTATGTAAATATGTATGTGTATTTATTTACAATCTGCTAGTTAAAAAAATTACTGAAATACTGAACCACCTTTACTATATACATATTCTACAATATTCACCTTCCAGCATAATACCCCCCTAAAATGCCCTCTTTGCTCAAAACGATCTGCCAAACATGACCTTTTCTCGATTTAAACGCTCCAGTATGAAACTGGAAAAAATATTTCCACATTCTGAAAAACCTTTCACCATACTTGTCCTTAATTTTGGGCCAATTTAGCTCAAAATTGGTCCACCAAGCCTCCAAAGTTTTAGTGTAGTCATTCCCAAAATTTTGCCAATCTTCTAACACAAACAGATTTTCAATCCCTTCAATAATCTCTTTATGATAAGGGACATATCCATTGGGGAAGATGTACGTCGTCAACCAAGGTTCGGAGCACGGCGTGTGATAGTTGTCAATTCCGATTGAATGCAAGAAGAAAATTCCGTCCCGAGTTAAGCACTTGTGCACCGTGTTAAAAAACGTTTTGTGGTTGTTTTTCCCCACGTGCTCCAACATGCCGATTGAAACGATGCGGTCAAACTGTTCGTCTTTATTGTTCGTTAATAAATCCCGGTAATCAATCAGTCGAATTTCTACGGGTAAGTTGGCGCACCGTTTCCTCGCGGCGACGACCTGATCGCGCGATATTGTGATTCCTACGACGGACACGTGGTAATTTTTTGCGAGGTGGTGACACAACCCACCCCAACCACAACCCATGTCAAGAATTCGCATTCCTGGTTTCAGATTAAGCTTGGAGGCGACGAGTTCCATCTTGTTGTATTGGGCTTCAGCCAAGGTGCTGGCATTTTTCCAGTAGCCGCACGTGTAGTTCATCGATGAGTCCATGAAAGATTCGAATAAATCGTCGCCTATGTAAAAAAAAAACAATTGGACGTAACAGAAATTCAGTGGAGGTAAAATGTAACTACCTATGTGTATTGAAATAGGAAAATATGTGATGTCCATTTGTTTACGGTGCCGAAATTGTACAGAAATTGTACAGAATTTGGCCAAATTTCAATTTTCGATAATTACTCATGAGGTAAAGATGATGTACTTTTTAAGCTCATGAGGTACTTTTTCAATATTTACTCATGAGGTAAAATTTGGAGCTGACGTGAATCAGATAAGTATTGATAAATCGTAATTTCAGTGCATGAAAGGTACAATTTCGTCTGCGTAAGGTCGGTATGTCAATGGTAATAAATACATATGTAGTTGTGCAATGGCCTTAAACGTATGCTAAATAAGACCTTTCTGAGGTCATAAATTACCCAGATCGTAGTGCTTTTCACCAACTTCCCAACTCCTCGATTGACTCTGGAGATTAAAGTAGGAGCAAGACATATAATTGAGAAATCTGTTCCAGGGATGAAACCAATTTACAACAGCTAAAGCATCGCCGTGAAAGAGGTTGAATGCCATGGCGGAAATGTCCTCACATTCCCATTGTCCGTCCATGTAGCCTTCGCCGAGACCAAGGGGACCATGATTTACGATACGAGGGTAGAGCGATTTGTCCTTGACCTGAGGAAGAGTATTTTTCACGTATAAATTAATAAGAAAATACAAATTTGTGCTTCGTCAGTTGCGCATGGAACGCTATAATTTCTGATATTTCTTAAGAATTTCATAACCATTATCAAACTTTCTAGATCGAAACCAATGAGGTTATTCATAACGAATGTTCGTATCGCGACATAATTTTCGAAAAAAAAATCCAACTTAAAACCTAGCCTTGTCAATTCGCAAGTCACAAAGGAATTTACCAACCAAAACTTTATGCGACACTCGAATCATTTTTCTAAATGAGCTGCTATGAAAAATAACATTGACGTGAGTATGCCCAATATTTTTTGTAATCTTTGAATTTATGAAGTTTGCATAGTTCTTACGAATAAACTCATTACTAGTGCAGATTGAGTTGAACTAGTTTGTACAAGTATATAAATATTACTTGATATGTAATATTGATCTTTACCTGGATGTCCCATCTCCGGATTCCATTGAATTCCACTCCACTCCTTCCGAAATGGTACTGTACGTATTTTTCTACTAAATTTGGAAATAGTGTGAGGAAAAACAATTCCAATTTTCTGTACAGTTTAATTATAAATTTTATTCCTTTATACAAAATCATGTTTTGATTAATCAAAATCATGTTAATATGTATATGTATGTATAGTATAAAACTGTGACAATTTTTCTGCGCACAAAAATAACAACAGCTTAAACCAGCTCAGACTTTTTGTTGTGACTGACAATTTGCAATTATCAAGGAGCCCAGATACTATTTGTATTTGCGTAAGGTACGTTCATATTTGTAAGATATGCGTTTTCATGCGTGAATATTTATTTGTCTTTGTGCGATAAATTGAACTACTTCCGGCAATCAGAGGTTCATCAAAGATTATAGACTGGAACTTTTTTGAGTCAATTTGGTTCAATTAGACATTTATCATAACAATAGGCATATCCTTAACATGCAGACTGCAGCCACCTGAATAAATATACCTACATACACATAAATAGAGTAAGTGCTAACTTGTAATTTGATTTTTGGTCAGAGCCATATAAATGAAAGTGAGGGGACTGGACGTGGCTCAGACATCTTACGCAGTAAAGGTTAATATTGGCATGTGCTACACCTATGTAGTGTTGATGACATGCATCAATTAATATCAGCAAAGAAATCTCACAGATTTGCAATGTTGAATTATAAGGATGTAAAAACGTTATAATTAATAACCTAATTATGAGCTAATTACAACATTGAAACTCTGCAGACGGTATTTTTTGTGTACGTACATAGATATGTATGTACATATGTACATGAGGCAGAATGGATACGCGTGATATGTAAAATTTTGTGCGTATTCAGTCTAGTTTTGCAAATTGATATGCTATTTTGCACTATTTTTGGAGCACATTTTTTAAACATAAATAATTAATTGATAGATTTCAGATATTCTTGATCCATCTTCTTGTCCCTCAGCTTTATACATACGTAACAAAATTTAAAGACGTGCTTTATGGGCGTAAATTGTATTGACTTTGTATACGTAAACTTTGATATTATTGAACGAGTTGAAAACGATTAAATTCATATTATTAATTATTTGATACGTGTTGAACACATGAGTTGTGACCTTTCAAAATTGGTAGAGCTCATATTTTAACATCATTTATTTAATCCCATGTTATACATGCATACTTATTTATAATGTTATCTAGTGTGGTTTTGGATACTTGGTTATTCAAACGTCTTTTGAGGTGTGTAAATATTTGAATTATGTCTCAGTACGTACAAAACATGTGATAAATACTATTTATTAAATAGTATGGAACATTACACATAAATTTATATATTAATATAAGTAAATATCTACATATGTACAGATATTCCTTTCTACTCACATGACTTCCTGCCAAATGCCAGCTTTTTCGATTTTTCTGATTAAGAATTTCACACGGAACTTTCGATTATGAGTTGTCCTGAGTATTTAGGCATTTATGACATGCCTTTTTGACCATTTGATCGGGATTTAGATTTATTCCCAATAAGGTCAATGTTACATTAAATTTGTACTCATTTATGTACGTATAGCCAAAATAGGCCTCTAAAATGCAACTCACAATCGGAGCGTTCCAAACAGCAAAATAAGCGAACCACACTCTTCTAAACAAAAATTACCAATGACCAACGGTGTTCTCGGATCAATAAAATTATTTCCGAATAACTTAATCCGTAACGGCCTACAAGCCCAAAGTTCCCTTCGCCTGAGATTAATAGGAAATCTTTGTCCTGAAATTCCCACGGTCGCTTTCGCTGCGGCCAAAGTAAATTCCGTCGCTCGATATATTTTTACCGGTCCGATCGTAATTATCGTAAAGGCAGCAATATTATCTACCACGCCGACCGGTACAATAGCGAACTCTGGCCACGGAATATAGCTTCGCATACAAACCAAGACAAATCCCAAATAAATCCCAATTATTGCCACAGAGAAAAGCACGACGGGATATATTCTGCGGGAAAGGGCGTCATTGAAAATGACCTCAATGATCTGATGAGTCCTGAAAGTGATTATAGAAAATTGTTTCTTCCCGCCATCCACATATTCCCAGAGACAGGTTACCCCAGATAGAAGGAAGAAGCCCAGGTAGAACATTCCAAACATGAAAAATCTGACGTAGAGTTGATATTCGACAAAGAGAATTAGAAGGCGTACAGGGCAGAATCGAATTTGGTTTTCAATATCGCTACATTGTTGGTCAAAATATAAGGAAAAAATCTGGCTTGCTATGGATGCAGGGAAACATGGCATCTTGAAGAAGGTTAAAACCATCACGATTGGAACAATGAATACGTTCAGGTAAATTATGTAGAGCACGATTCTGAGGAGCTTGGCTGGGCGGAAGGGTTTCTTATCGGGGGGAAGCCCTGCAAAAAATAATTCGCAAAATTGCAAAAATTGCAAACATATTTGAGTGAAAGTCTAGGAAAAACCAGGTTCTGTCACTTCTATGCCAAATGTTCGCAAGTACTGCAAAATATTGCTTACCCAATTTGTTCTCATAGACAAGCAATGCATTAACCAAACACACCAAATCAACCGGAAGGTAAGTCCAGCTCCAGATGACACCCGTTCCCGTAAAACTAAGCGCAACAAAAAGAAAGGCTTGAACTTTCCGTAAAAGTGAGAATTTTCCCACGGTAATGATCCCAAACTGGAGGAAGCTATAGGCAGCATAGATTATCAACCATAGTCTAAATTTCCGAAGACTGAACTCTCCAATTTCCAACTTTGACAGTGTCGAGTTCCATTTAAATGGAACGCAGTCAACGAACTTACGCAATTTTAGGAACAGTTTTAACGCTGACAGGAAATGTGTGTGGTACATCTTGCATATTAACTGATGGTCAACTTGAGACTGGCGTTTAGTAGGAATTGTGATGAATCTAAATTTCACGAGGTTTAGATAACGAGACAGTGAAATACTATTTAATATGTAAAATCTATGTATGTATGTATGGTGGAACAAGCTTCGGGACGTTCCAATAATGCTACTAAATATTATAGCAAGTAGGAAACCATTTGATATGTTTGTGGACATAGTTAAACCATGTCAAAGACTGATGGCATGTGACATGATTTTGCGAATTTCTTGAGCTAAAAGATATTTCTTGGACATGATATTTCCGCGATATTTTGTACGACATAAATTTAACGAGGTTGAATCAATAATCTTTTAATCTATTTTATTAAGACATGCTGGTTTCATGAGATATTGATTTCTTAAAATTAAGGTAGACATGAAGTAAGCCGTACTTTTCACCAAATGAAGGTCAATTTTACAGAGAATGAGAATTATTAAAACGGAAGAGGACGATGACCAAAACTAAATAATTTCAACATTAATATATAATTTGCATGCATAAATATCTATGTATGTACAATAAAATTTCATTTAAATGATTCATTTAAAATGAATTTCTAGGTCTGATCCCAAACTACCAGCCAGTTTTAAATAAATTATTTCGATATTAAAGCATAATATCAAATATTTGGTACACATGGTCATCATAAATGCATATGAACTAAAACCACACCTTTTATCAAAGCAATCGCATTAATAAGCAAAAATTACATGATCCATGTAATTTGCGTTAGATTTGTACATATTATGTATGCCAGCTTATGTATGTACATATGTATATACATATTTGCGGATCTATTTATGGGATGCAGACTGACCTGAAGTGCATAATTGTACAGCAATTATCGCCCTGATTATTAAATAATTAATAATAATGTATAATAGTTGATTGATTACCTGTGTCAGATCAAATACTTACCCAAAATAAATAATTTATCCATTACACAACAAGACAATTTCGTTGCATAAGATTCACACGTGCAGATTACTAATTAAAATCATACGACCAGATTTCTGGATCAGGGCAGTATCCACAAATATTTGCGACATTTTCATATAAGTGCATACACACATAAGCCTTTGATGTCGTGCATGCATATGCAAGCCGCAAGATAAGTACGTGCATATGTACCTATGTGCTTGAAATTATTATCGCGATTCACTGAATCACGGTGTTAAGTAATTTACAATTATGTATATGCCGATAAGAACATTTATTGTAATTAATTACAGATTATAAACTGGTTATTGTCACTGGATTCGCGTATATAAATCATTTTGCTGTAATGAATGTTCACATTGATTAATTAACGAGCAAGGTTTTAAAATAATTAGTAAATTTTAAAAATTAGTTTGCTCCCAAAAATCTTGGCAACATGAAATTATTTAAATTCATAAGTCTCACTATTTTAGTTACATGTTTTACCTGCTTCACGCAGGGGGCAGACGATCACGACGAAGCTGGCGATTTCTGTTACGTATCGGAAGAATGCGGACCTGAGAGTGAAAAATGGGGAGGAGCTTGCAAAACTGGCAGTATGCAATCTCCAATTAATTTCATTCGGAGACCGGGCCAAATTTCTACTCCTGTTCATTTGGATTTCAACGACATGTATGCGTCAGAAGGTAGAAATAATTCCCATAAATTGTCCAATTTTCAAAAATTCTTCACTTTTGAAAAATTATTCTAAATAGATTACTGGATCCGCAATAATGGTCACACCGTGCAAGTTAACCTCAACGAGGATCCGACCTCGGCCGGAGAAATGACCGGGTACGGGTTCGATCGGCCCTATATTTTCGCTCAAATCCACTTCCACTGGGGCGAGGATGACTCGACGGGGTCAGAACATACCTTAAACGGTGCCGCATTCCCGCTGGAAGTCCACCTAGTCCATTATGACTCACAATACCCCAGCTTTTCTGCCGCGGCGCAGTCAGGTGACCCCAAGGGGTTAGCGGTTCTCGGACTTTGGTTGGCTCCCGGGACGGAGGAAGACATTAACGAATCTTTCGACACAATTGCCGCAAACTTGCCGATTTTATATCAACCGAACGAATCCCATATCCCGATTCCGCTAGATCTTCATTGGATGCTACCGGATAAGAGGGAGACGTTTTTCCGATACATGGGGTCCTTAACGACGCCTAATTGTTCCGAAGTAGTTGAGTGGACGGTAATGGAGACACCGATTTATGTAAAACCGTCAGAAATTGAGAGGTTTAGACAAGTCTTGAATCATGAGGAGAGGCTGATGAGGTTGAATTATAGACCCGTTCAAGAAATCGGGAATAGACAGGTGGAATATTTGGTGAGGGATTGGTAGTGAGGAATGAAAATTGTATTATGCAGGAAATAATGTTAAGTTTGTGGTAATTTGTAAATGTGATAAAACGGCGTGATAAATATTTATGCACACTTATTTATTTGAGATTCTATGGTTTAGTGTATGATTTTTGTGAAAAATAAAAATTTTGCTGGATCTGAATTATCTAAATATGTAGTTAATCTGGATACTTCGTTCCAATTTGTATGTTATATTTATTGCTATAATTCCTAAACTGGTTTACAAATAAAGCTAAATCATCTTTATCTCGAAAAGATATATAAGTACAATTTCTTAATAAATTTATATTGAAACTGTGCATTTTTACTACCGTTTGAAAAAGAATCCTTAACTATTAAGAATTTTGTGGTTACTATCAATTATTGCAATTTTTCATAAATAAAATTTACTTATAAATATATCCAATGCATCTTCACTCGTCCATTCCCTCAAAAATTTTAGTCCCTCCGAGTGACGGAGGTAGCTCGGCGAGGTCAAAGTCTTTCAACAACGCAGTCATCCATACATTTTTGTTCGTTCCGTAGATATGAATATTTCCGCGGATTTCTTCGGAAACGAGGGATACAAAAATTTTAACGGCATTTTCGACGGTTGACGGAGCTACATAAATCATTCAGCACAACATGAAATCAAAAAATGTTTCATATTAAAGGATAACCCTACATTGGGCGTACTCACGACATTACTTCGCAAATCTCATAACTTATAAAAATTAAGCGAGATGTTGCAAATCTTTTTGTCCGAAAACTATGGGATTATGATTCCCAAATTTATGGTGATTCATATTTTCTCCAGATTATTCTGAAAACTATTTTGATTACGATTGGAAATGTTATGAGCACGCCAATAAAAAGATAACGTTCTATGCCCACCTCGAACAACAATCGACTTATCCAAGCATCCCGGCCAATGCTCTAAAACTGAAATCAGTGCCCTCATCAAATATGGCATGCCTTCATTTAGCAAAAATTAAGTCATAATTTTGATTAAATTAATATAAATATTATCGTTAATTCAATTATACAAAAAATTACATAAGGGGCAGACATGTTGAGCAACGTTAAACCCATCTAAATTATAGAGGGTGTTTCCACGCGTAAAATTTCCGTACTTTTCACCCAATTCGTACACAAGTTGACACGCCTCTTCAACACCTTTGTCCACGTAACGGAGATATCTTTCGCCCTTTCCTTGCAAGATTACTTTTCGAATGTCGATATCCTTCGCTTCGATGAGAAGGTCTGTAATACGGTGGCGGACGACAATTAAGAATTATCAACTAATATTTAAAAAATATGCATGTTTACACGGTCGTCCCAATTTATCTCGGCCCCCGGTATGATATTTAACATCATCATACATGTCGGACCAATCTTCGTCTTGAATGGTATCCATTTTGTTTCTTTTTCGCCACCGCAAATGCTACGAAGAGAAATCATATTTGCATAAATAATTATTCAAATTAATGTAGAGTCTTGTAAAATTATTAATTAGTCACCCAATTCAATCTCTGCTCGGCTAAATCCAAATTGAATCGGCTTGCTGAAGTGATTTCATGCATAAATTCAGAAATTGTAATTGAGATATGTATTAGCAATTTAATTTGCATTTATGTATGTATGTACATACGTCTCAACCAATTAACGAGATAAAGCTCCGTCTTCATATAGTCCTTTGTTAGTCTGGATGAAACTCGTAGTTTAAACTGGAAAAAATTGCAGGTTAATTTAATTCCTTAATAGACAATTTAAAATTAATCACACTTTAGATAATCACCTCATCCAACAAGATTTTCTGTTGAAGTGTTAAACTAATATCTTCCTCAAAAGTAAAACTTTCTGTTTCCAATATTAAAAGATGAATAATAATTATAGATGCTAGTTTTGAAATCATTGTTGCGGCGAAATCTGTTTGGCTAATTCTTAATGTGGAAAATTGCTTATTCCGTGCTGAATTAAAAAGTATATATGTGAAGATATTAGCTCAAACCTGAATGTATGTATTTATTCATTTCATATAAGTCTCGATTATTTAAATACTTCGGTGTGCAAAATTTTCCTGAATTTGTGTGTAAAAATGTGTAAGGATGTACATACATAAATTTGCATGTATTTATATCATGTTTCTCAGGGTTCCTCCACCTGAAATATAATTTTTACGCCAGCTCGTCCGTATATCCGCAAGTTATCTTTATTTTCTGTATTACATGTGAATACAATTACATATTTAGGTATGTAGATACATATGTACATCTACAGAAATATAATGCTACTAGCGTATAAGCCCGACTTCCGTCGGGCGATAAATTTGACACCTCGAATGTCTGTCCGCAACGGAGTAAGGTTAGCAAAGCAAAATTATCAAAGTAAATTAAGTTAAGATAATCAGCACATCTAGAAAGATTCATGATGGTGGTGATTGGTGGTGGCAATCGTTTAAGCAAACTTTTATACCTTCCCAGTTACTATACCAGCCCAATAAACATACCGGCCCAATAAACGCACCAGCCATGTAAACGCACCGCATATTCTCGATATTCTGATATACTCGATATTTTGAATATCAAATATTATGGATATTATGGATATTTAGAATATTAAGAATATCAGGAATATCAGGTATACCAAGAATATTAAGAATATCAAGAATGCCAAGAATATCGTCAAAATATTCTTGATTCTATATTCTCGATATTCCTGATATTTTCGATATTCTGATATTCTCGATATTTTGATATTCTGAATATTATGGATATTATGGATATTTAGAATATCAAGAATATCAAGAATATCGAGAATATCAGGAATATCAAGAATATTAAGAATATCGAGAATATCAGGAATATCAAGAATATTAAGAATATCGAGAATATCAGGTACATGACGAATATCAGGTACACCAAGAATATTAAGAAAATCAACAATGCCAAGAATATCGTTAAAATATTCTTGATTCTATATTCTTGATATTCTCGATATTCTGATATTCTCGAAATTCTGATATTCTGATATTCTCGATATTTTGATATTCTGAATATTATGGATATTTGGAATATCAGGAATATCAAGAATATTAAGAATATCAAGAATATTGAGATACCTGGATATTCCGATATCGAGGTATTGGGGGCTTACCTTACCCAGATAACCGCTACCCCCAGAGAACCACCACCCCTAGGTAATCAGCACCCCCAGATAACCACCACCCCCAGATAACCACCATCTCCAGATAACCACTATCCCTAGATAACCACCACCCCAAGATAACCACTATCCCTAGATAACCACCACCCCAAGATAACCACTATCCCTAGATAACCACTATCCCTAGATAACCATTATCCCTAGATAACCACCATCCCCAGATAACCAATACCCCCAGATAACCAATACCTCCAGATAACCATAAGGCCACGCCCAAAACTTTCCCTGCTTTCACTTCCGTCACGGACAAACTTCCGTCACAGACAAATTTACTTTTACTTCCGTTTCAGACAGACATTCTCGCTTATAATATAGATTATAGTTGAGGAAAATTGTACATGTGTACAACCTTTATGTACATACTATCCTCATTACAACGGGTTTTCATCATTCACAGAATTACAAATTTCAAGTTAACACCACCAAGTGTACCTACAATTTAAGGTTATGGGAATTAATGTAAAATTTGGGTGTACACAAAATAAAAATCTATACATAATTTAATAAAATGACAAGTGGCAATTAGGTAGATATGTACGGTTATACGTCAATCCATTATGTGGGTTTAATTATGTAATGAAAAATAAACCTGGAAACGAGGAAAAGTCGTTAATTAGGAAGTTACTTATCTGATGTAAATACACAAGTTAATTTGATGGAACGTACATGCTTACGTACACAAAAATATTTAATATATGCATTATAGATGATTTGAATTGATGTATTTATTACTCTGCCACCAAAATATGCATGAATTTAATAATTTATTGACATAGAGAAGCATACGCAATATTTTGAAAGTATTTCAAAACCAATGGGAAAATTAACCCTTAGATTTAGTTAATTGTGACAACTATCACAGCACAATCATCAGTAGCATGAGCACAATGGTCATGTTCGTCATCCTCACCGTGGACGTGACCCTCATGATCATGATCATCTTCATCATCGTCATCACCGTGGTCGTGACTCTCATGGTCGTCATGTGTATGACCTGCATGACATTCTTCATGGTTATGCGCATCCTCCTCCTCAGTGTGGACATGCCCAACTTCTATCTTGACAGCGAAAGCTTGGCCAGAAAGATGGACCGGCGGATTGGCGTCGAACCTAATTGTGTACACTTTTCCTGCAGTGACTGCAGAGTTTGGGAGTTCCTGGTCCAAAATTACGTCCTGTTGTCCCAAAGGATTCGTGGAATTTGCTGTGACACGCAGTGTCAGACCGGACGCGGCGTGATGCGCGATAAAATCTGCCTCAACGTCGTACAAAGTTCCAGGACTCAGAGCGCAAACGTCTCCGGAACAGGTGTCGACCCTGATTTCGGTGAAGGTGCCTTCCCCGCCTGAAAAATTTGGTAACATTTTAATATTAATTGCAGTTAATATTAATTATGGTTAATAATTAAATGTGATGTGGTTACCGCAAGGAGTGTGGTTAACAACTCCACCTGCTGAAAGGGAGATGAACAAGAAGACAAGGAAAATTGAAGGATTCATTTTATTTGGGTAAATTGTTAGTTTTAGAGAATAGTTTGTCGATGGGGTTAGACTGGACCTACTGGAAGAAATATCTTACTTTTATATCGAGGAATTGACATGACACATTGTGGCAGATATCATGGATTTCAATAAATTATTAAACGGAATTTACTTAGGAGAAGAACGTACGACATTGTCAAAGCCAGATTTTGATGCAATGCATATGTTGTTAGGCTTAACGAGTGTAGGCAAAGAGAAGGAGAGTTAAAGCCCATGGTCCGCTGGTCTGTCACACCCACTGAATGTAGCGAAAACGACGAAAATGGCTAGGCTCTTCTTTGTGCAAACATTCGCAAAAGATCCAATTTTGATCGGATTTTGAAAATCTTTGTTACATTTTAGTCCAGTAAGTGCTTTATAATCCTCAACATCATGCTTAAATTTTAATTATGAATTTTTTTTCGAGAAATGAAACGACATGGTCAGGAAATTTTCAAAGCCCAACAGCATATTTATCCAGAGAAGGGCATCAAAATCTAGCATTGACAATGTCGTACCTTCTCCTCCTTGCTTCACTTTGTTAAAATACACATGTAAATCACAACCAAATGGCATCTCTCAAATAAAGTAGGTAGTACACATAAATTAAATATTTAACAAAGCTATAATGTTATTGCTGCCAATTCCAGCCTGACGCACGACGACTCATGAGCAATTGATGTCACACAATTAAAATGACAATTAAATGAAATCACATGAATTACCATAAGGTGTGTTTATACTTCATTTGCAAGCAAATATGAGCAGATTTTATGGTTTAAACTGGCAAGAAGTGAAGTAAACATGAACAAAGGTATATTTTTATTTCGGTGAATTGTGACTGTTCTAAAATGCATGGAATATCATTACAAAACAAACTTGTGTTTATGCACACTTGTTTGTCTAGTACAGGTGGAAATTACGTTTTTGGAACAGATGCATATGATTTATTTTATATAACTGAGGAAACCGGGTGTAAATATTTGTTTGAAATGATGAATTACTGACAATGGAAAATCTGGATATGGAAGGAAAATCTTTTACACTCTCAGTACGGGATTGTTGGTTTACCTGGAATTATAAATGGTGACTAACCGTCGGGATGGTTTTTACTCCAGTTCCCATAAATAAATTTATATTCAGATATTATTTTAATTTTATTATAATTTTTGGTGCAACAGCAGACTTTCAAATTCATATGGAAATATGTAAACGTTGGTTTATGAACTAAACATCCCCGTGATTATTTACCAGGTATAGTTCCCGACTGCTTGTCGTGTTTAGAGTACATCCACGCCAATGTATGACACATTTCTAAAGCCTAATTGGGCCAGATAGGGAATTAAGAATTTAAATTTAATTAAGAATTGGCTCATATTTCAATGTAAAAATTGTATTTGGCATTGGCCCCAATATCAGGCTAAATTGCTAAATATTGATTTGCGACCAATTTCAAGCTAATCATTACTTCCTAAATTCCCGTGGAACTATAAGGTTTTTGATTACAATCCAAGTGGCAACTATGGATTTCTTCAGAAATTTTAAGCTTTTCTGAATGACTCCTTGTCTAAAAAAAATGTCCAAATTAAAAAATACGAATAAACAATTGTATTTTTGCAAATATCTAATTTGGTGCCAGATATTAGTTTCAAATTTGAACGCACCTTCACCACGACCCTATAGAGTAGATTTAAAAAATAATAGTTACCCTAACCACGACTGGTAGTCTGAAACTATTCCTAGTTAATAAACAACTACCTAGACGCATTATCATAAACTATGAGTAATGTGAGACTCTAGATTTTTTTACAAATCATTTAATATTCGATATTTGTCAAGGTATGTGCGAAAATAAGAATTTGACATTATTTGTTGTATGAGTATTTACGTCACCTGTGTAATCTGAGATCTGAATATTGTAAACACTAATCTTTTAAAATTTAATATTTCAAATGTTACGGATAAATATTTTATTTGTACTTGGTCAATTCATTTGTTTGGATTTTTTATACTTTAACAAACTTTACACAATTACAAAGATGGACGTGAAAAAGTATATAAAATGTAACTAATTTTTAATTATTCCCTTCAATCTCCAGGGAATGAGATGGCGATAACCTGTGAAAAATGGGTGGTGATGGGGCTCTTGGCCGTAATTTCGACCCTGTTTGGATTCCTGCCCTACATTTTGTTTAGATCTTTAAAAACATGTAACCCAATTTACATCCAGACTAACACTTACAAAATGATGGTCTCGATTTTAGCATGTTTTGGTGCCGGCGTTCTTTTATCGCTGGCTCTAATCCACCTCCTTCCACACGTTAGAGAAATGTTTGAAGAAATCTCAACTATTTGGGAAATATTTCCGAAACATTTCCCAATAGCAGAGGCAACTACGTTGGCAGGATTTGGGCTCATTTATTTCGTGGAAGAGGTAATAAATTATTTGCTAAAAAATTGGTCATGGCTAAAAAACACAAAAATGTGTAAAATGGTACAATCAAAAATTAATCAGCACTTTCGCAAATTGTGGGTAAAAAATTGCGAATTCATTTTTTAAATATTTGTCAATGTTTCCACAACAAAATTAAATTAATTAAATTAAATACTTATCTCAAAATGTGCTCAATTGCTTAAAGATTGCTCACATCTTAATGGTGGACACTCAATTTGGACACAGTCACACCCACGCACAAAACTTACCCAAGATCGATACATGTTCAGCGAAAATTATTTCCAATAACAATGTCAACCTTGACTCACAAAATTTGGCTATCGGTGTGGATGCCAATTCCAAAAATGCAATTATGTCGGAAGATCATAACCCAAACGAAGACATTGGAAGTGATCTTACTTCATCTCTAAAAGCCTTCATGGCTCTGCTGGCACTCTCGTTTCACGAATTCATGGAGGGCATGGCGATAGGAATTCAGGTAAATACTGACATACATACATTGCAAATTTGCAAAAATTGTAATCTGCATTTTTAATTTGCAATTTTAGAACGAATCTTCCATGTGGGTAATGTTTGGGGGTGTGGCGAGTCATAAGTTCGTAATTGCATTTTGCCTCGGAATGGAATTTGTGAATAGTCGTGCCAGCCGGAAGACTATGATTGGCTCCGTCCTATTTTTTGGGTGCATTACAAGCATTGGAATTGGAGTGGGTGGGCTTATTCAGGCAGAAGGATCTTCAGATTCTATCTATACAGCAGTGATTGGGGTGAGTTGAGATTAGGGCATATTTGACACAACCAATTAATGTACACAGTTTAATGCTTATTGATTTCAGGGATTGGCGACAGGGACCTTGCTGTATGTCGTGTTTTTCGAAATACTAAATCGTGAAAGAGAAAAGAAAATGTATGAACTAGAAGAAGTTGGTGGGGCGGGAATTCTACAGTTTGCCGCAGTAGTGGTAGGAATGATTTTCATGGAAATTTTGTCCATAATGGTATCTCACCATCATCATCACGGGCATGGTGAGGATCATAATGCATGAAAATAATGTTGGTTGTTGTGATTTGCATTAATTTATGCAGATGATGTTTTGCTTGAGTTACACATAAAACATTATGCACATAAAAAATGTTGAATACAAAAAAATGTGTCTTGAGTTATAAAAATATTATGTACTTCTGTAGGCAGTCTTGAGAAGTGTCTAAAATTAGAATTGTGACTTAATTAAGGTTGCTATTATAACTATTTATTAAATGATCTGACTTTCCTACTCTGTGTAAAAGCCATCAAATACAAAAATGCATATGCAAACAACCCATGAAAAGTTGCAAAGATCACTTAAATTTGAATTATAAATAAAAACTTGCAAGTCATCAATACCTTTCTTCTTATTTAATATCCCAAGTGGAACTAACCATGCACAACAATATTGTGCATGTCGCTGCATCCTTAACTCCTCACGAAGTGCTTGACTGACTGAGACGTCAACGCTATATATTCGAAACGTACTACCACCTACAAAAATCTGTGACCAGTGTGACCGCAATCGTATCCTCGTCATCATGTTACACAAAATGGGGTACATTTTATTCTTTGTGGAAGTGTTACTAATAAGATTAGGGTATTCTTCTGTCCATGTTAATAACTCGTTTTATATGGACAACGAAACTTTGCCAGTTCTAGAAAACCCAGTTTTTCCCTGGGCACAAAATGGGGAAAGTTTATTGCATTCTGCAGTAAAAGTTAAACGATCTTATCAAAGTGGTGATAACTTTGATTTGATGAATCTACCAATTTGTGGGTCTCCTCAATCGTATGGGAATGGATTACCTTGTCTCGCTGTGAAACGCGTGGAGCATGAGATGGAGGGAGGAGGGGGTGAGATTTGTTTCATAATTAATTTTTTGATGTAAATATTTCCGAAATTTTTGAAAAGTTGAAGTGTTCGGTTATATTTTTATTCTGTTAATAAGTAGAAAATATTTATGGCGTATGAATGTAGCAATTCATTCATAAATTATTATGCCAAACTTTGACATGATTCGCAAATCTCGCATATTGAATATGTATAACCTGTGAAGTTTAAATCAATTTCTGGAAAACTTTTCTGCTGGAAAATCACGAGATTTTTATTCAGAAATTTATCCAGCTGGGCATGCTAGTTTATACATATTTTGCAGGATTATTTCGTAATCTGTTTGCTCAATAACTTTCTACGTCAAATAATTTAATAATTTATTTATAATTTAATTTATTCACAATATTACTCTCAACTCAAACGAACGTTTCCATGATTTTTAAAACTCGTGGAAAAACGCTTGCATAAAATATTTAAAAAATCTAATTATGCTCATGATCTTTGATAATCCATGCTAGGAAATCACCATCATCATCAAAATCATGGCTGGGGGTGGGGCTGGCAGATGAAGGAGAAGGAAAAAGAGAAACTAGAACCGGAAGATATTGGACAACTAATATTTCTGGGATTATTAAAACTCAAGAAGCTTTTAGGACTGGGGGCCGCGTTGAAAGGACTCTCTCTCCTCCCACTCCTGGTTCTCCCATTCATCTTGTGCACCCTATTGTTCTGGGGAATATTGGTCTTACTATTTGTCTTCCTTCCCGCACCTGCTGCCGGACGAGATAATCACCCAACCAGTTCCCAGCAGGTCGGCTTATCAGTCATCGAAGCCGTGGAGTCGGGAGGACTAAAATATGAGATCAATGAAAGATGATAAATCAATTTTTTAAATAAAGATAGATTAATTATTAATTAAAAATTTAACACGTAAAATATTTATTTTGTTTTATTTATTAATTAAGAATAATCGATATGATTGAACTAATAAATAATTAAAGGTTAGTATGTCACAAAGTTGTCACGTTTTTATCCTGGTTTCTATTTAATCCTTGAATAAAATTTTACCATGTGCCAAATAAGTTTAGCACAGTTTTGCAAATTAAGCCAACTTATTGGTTTACTATTTTATATACATTGTTACAATTTCTTTCATAATTCAAATCTACCGAAACCGGTGGCAATTAATGATTTCCGATGGGACGAAGTACTTCACAGATTTGAATGAGTATCATATTTTTTATGTGCCGGCCGGCATATGTATGAAATAAAATAAAATATTGAAGAGTCATCCCACCTTTGTTGACTGGGCTATTCTTAGCTTTTTGTAATATTGGCCATTCTTAAAAACCCGTGAGATACTGGTGCAAGCTGGGTCCGACAATGGAAGAACCTTCACAAAACCAAGGTAATGATTATACATAAGTTCTAAAAATAGGTATAAATCCTTCTCTTTCATTTAGTGCGAGTCTAAAAATAAGTTGAGTACTTAATTATCACTTAAATCGCACAGTTTTCAGTGTAATTTCGTATTTATTGAGAGATTGACTGAACACCGAAAAAATTAACAGAATTAAATTTATTTAACGCGATTCGGATGAGTGGAATTGTACATTCACATATTCATTTTTGGGGATTGATGATTACATAATTTGTAAGCACTTAATGGGCCAATTTACGCTAATGTATGTACTTGCAAAACTTGCAAAATTTACCTGCAGGCTTTACCTTTAGGATTCCAAAAGCATTTTTCATACACACGGTGACAGAATTTCCAGCCGCTAAGACCACGTGCTCATTTAATATATCCCCATATAAAGTGAAACTAGGTTTACAAACTTACAAAAATTAACGCTGAAAATCAGCATACAAATTTAATCTACGTAAATTAACACATGTTAAATAGTCATAAAAAGTAAGTGTGTAAAAAATAATTTTCTAAAGTTTACCCCGTTTACTGAGCTACAAGCCTTCGAGTGAATTATTATTTCACAATAATTTACCAGTCTCCTTTTTGTCTAGCCTCCTCTCATCCTCTGTCTTTTTTCCCTCAAGTACAACACAATCGCATAAATGACCACGATTAAGAGTACTGGTCCCATGAAAATGAATCCCCACAAGGGAATTGTTCTTCCAAATTGTGCAAATTTGATCCACAAGAGGAGAATGAAGCACAAACTAAATAGAAAATATCCACCACAGATTCCGACCACGTAGGCGAAATCCCAACTGAAAAAGAGAGCGTGAAAAGGAAGCTGGTTAAAGTCGAATTGTTCGATGGAATTATTTGAGGAGGCGATGATGGGATCCAGACTCGTGTCAATGTGACACAAGGCGAGATGAAGAGTGACCGTGTGGGCGATGAAGAGAGACGTAACAATGGCGTAAACGGTGACAAGCATCGGGTCCGGTTGGTGCTTGGAGGAGGCGTTGAATTTTATTTCGACAAGACAGAGCTGGAAAAAAATAAGCGAAAACATTGGTGATTATGATTTTGTAAGAATTTCGATATTTGTAGAGATTGGAATAATGAGGATATTCCTTGTGAGCTAGTCTTTGAGGGTCTTTAATTGCTTATGAGCTAGATGTTTGAAACATTACAAATTTCGCAATTTCGTCAAAAAATTCTAAAAATTGGCTTTCAAATATTTTACATAATGAACTTGTGAATCTTTACACTGCAAGAAATCGGGTATAGTCAGCCAGGTATTGATTTGGTATTTGCTACCGCTTGATACTTATTACAATTATATCGGTCCCAACAAATTTGTCGCAGATAGATATGGTAAAACGTTAGTACCGAGCTTAGTACATATTACTATACGGTATTACTTAGCAATACCTCTTTTGTATATAGAGTCATATATGAGTACCGCTTGGTATTATTTTAATACTGGGCTTTTAATCCTAAGAGTGCAGAGTTCATATTATTTACTTATACGTGAATTTCACAGTAGAATATCTTACGATGCGATCATGCAAGCAAACTCGTAATGAATTTCACATGAGATATCTTATATTTGTACATATTTGACTACATTACTTACCACTGAAAATTTGGCAAACATTTGTGACAGGGACGATGCCATTGAAAGTTTCCCTTTCCTCGTGAATATTTGCTGGTAAATCCGGGTCTTGTCATGACGAGGAAACTTTGACCCTGAGGATTGTGTTGGTAAGGGCTGATAAGAATAAGTGCTAATATTTGGAGACATTTTGAAATAATCTCGAGTTTTAGGGTTCAATTTTTTGGGTACGCAAAACTTATGCAGTACGCAAAATTGTCTGCTTGCGTCCTTCTGGTCCACACATTGCGAGTTAATGATCAGGAACAACTAAATTATGTACATATTTGTGTACATTTGCATGGTTTTGCATGCATATATTAGTCACGCGTTAATTGGTTGCATTTTTTTATTGGGTAAAGGTGACAAGATAAGCGATCAGATGGGACATACGTGCATACATGTTTAAGTAGGTAGGTAAATTTTAGTAATGCTCGATTGGTGTAGCCGTTGTCTTATGAATATATATAAGTATGCACATAAATACTAATTTATATTACCTGCGTGTGCTATGGATGATGACTTTTTGTGGAGTTTGCGTATGAGCTTGGTGATAAGAAGGTAGTAATCTAATTGAAAGCAGATTCCGCAAGTCCATACATTGTCGTCACATATGTACATATGTATATGTACATATGCTCAAAAATACATGCATACGTACGAGTATACATTCACAGTGTTAATGGTATGTTTTAGCAAGTCGGTATTTAAGTAATAAAAGATTGGATCCTAGTATTTTCCCAGTCGTTTACAAATTTAATAAAAATTAGGCACGAAGTAAGAGATTAACAGAATATTCAGTCCCATGCTCCCATGGAACTAATCTATTTTGATTTTGTTTTCATATATATTATCCAACTCGGTGAGTATTATATTTACGTTTTCATTTAGTCATAAATATTTGTAATTTTTTTCAATTTTGACGGATGAATGGAAATTCATCCGGCACATCATAAAATAATTTATTTTATTACCTTCTAAATGGACAAGTCATTATGTGACTTGTCCGCTTAGTTTGGTGAATGTCGTGAATTTTCACTACAGAAAACTTGAAATTATTAAACGTTTCAACACAGTACATATCACTTAACCATGTTGACGGAATAATCTGGTCAGAAATATCTTCACAACGGGTTATGTATTATTATCCCACGGAAGACACAAGATATGCTTACATGCATCATCTTGATCTGGAGTAATCATCAAATAATAGTTTTTGAGGATACATTCTTATTCATTGAGTTTATCTAATCCAGAATATAAAACAGTTCATCGTACAAAAACTGAAACTAATTAAACGATTTATAAAATTTGGAAGTGTTACAGTTTTACTCTAATTTTCTAAACAACCGTTTCCTATACTTACAGCAGGGGACATCAATATCATTAATTTGCAACATCTCCTCTCCAGTAAAATACTTTTCGACATGCACTTTACACCTATCGCAAAATATTATGGCAAAAACTTCCAAATCGTCGTTCCTCACGTTGTAGGTCGTCACGTCACTCGCTCTTTCTTCTCCCCTCTGTCGCTTTTCCCGTATGTAGAGGACAATCCCGTAAATGCAAACGATGAGGAAAACCGGTCCCATAAATATCATCCCCACGAAGGGCAGATAACTGCCTGCTTGGACAAATTTTATCCACAAGAGTAGAATGAAGCATAATGTGAAGAGGAAAAATCCACCGCAAATTCCGACCACGTAGACGCCATCCCAGGTGAAAAAGAGGGCTTGAAACGGGATCCAGTCAAAGTCGAAGTGTTCAATGGAGTGATTCGAGGAGGCGATGATGGGGTCCAGACTGGTGTCGATGTGACACAGGGCGAGGTGCAGGATGACCGTGTGCGTGATGAGGATTGATGTGGTGACGACATAAATAGCGAGAAGGGTGGGATCCGGTTGATTTATTGAGTCGGGATTGAATTTTAGTTCGACTAGGCAGAGCTGAAAGGTAGGAAGAAAGACGTTAGTAATATTTGGGCTGAAACAATTCAGTGTGCGAAAGTGTGCAAATTTATAAACTCCTGAAGAGATTTGCACATGTATATAGGTACGTTTATACAAGCACTGTTGGAAATCTGGTAAAGTCACACATGTATTGGTTTCTCGGAATTAAAGTTGCTACCCCTTGGTATTAAAATTAAGCTCTCCGTAAAAATTTCTGCAGGAAATTTTCATGTAGAAATGGTAAAACTTTATACCGAGCTATAAACACCACTTTGGTAGTGTCATATGCCTTAAAGCAAACATTAAGTCTTAAAACTTAACAAAAATAGTAATTATGTATCACTTTTATTAATTTGACAGTGTTAAAATATACTTGTGATTACCTACTTACCATTGAAAATTTTGCAAACATTTGAGATAACGATGATGCCATGGAAAGTTTCCCTTTTCTGAGAAATATTTGTTTGTACAAGCGTTGTTTTTGGAGATATGAAAGATTTGACATGCTTGTAGTTGAGGGACTTGTTTTCAAATGGGGTTTTTGTGGGGAATTAATTTTGGGGGACATGTTTCCTTAGCAGAGATTAATAAGTATTATTTAGAACTATATAAAATAATTTGTTGCTATGTACAATATGCAATTCCACAAGTGAGGTGAGAGAGAACAGACGTGCTGATAAATATGTTTGTGTGGTCACGGGAGGGAAAATGCATAAATACATAGTCACACATACATTTCTGCGAGTTTTACGATTGATAAGAAAGATACGAGATTTATTTGGATTGGATTACATACACATTGATTGTGGTCGTGGTGGAAAATCCTTTGTTTAAAAACACGCTGGCGAAATTTGCATAGAATTAATTAAGAATATGATAAAACGTGATTGTTAAATGCGACATTAATTACACATATGTAATTGGGACCAAATAAAAATGTTTAAAACATTTGAGTTGGTACATATTTATTAATGTCTAATTGTAAAAAATCAACCTTCTAAGCACGTGCACGTATATATGAAAATATGGGTCAACATAAATATTTGCATACATTTGTATTGTTGTAGGTAGAAATTCAAGTTTACTAAATACTAATGTATGGTAATTCACAAACTAGAATACCTGAATTCCGGCAATAATTTTAAAAATACGTTATTATATGATAAATACATACATGTCCGCATCTATTGTTGACAACTAATTTTTGCCAAATACGATATTAAGCAATTCAGAAAACCATATACAAATAAACCGTTACAACGCATGTAACCAAGGGGTGAAAGGAGTGTCATAAGTCAATGTGAATATCAAATTGTTCGAAAATTTGTTAAGATTGACACTTCTGACGTGTTTTCGACTTTTGTGTCTTATTTGTGTCAAATTTAACAGTTGATAACCCTTATGTCACCTTTATATGACCTCTGAGGTCAAAATGGAGGTCACCATTGAATTCGGGGTTAAATTTCAGTTGAAATTGAAATAGATATGTCCTATGACCTTTACATGACCTCTGAGGTCAAAATGGAGGTCACCATTGAATTTGACATTGAAAAATAGTTAAAAATGACGTGTCACATGTCAAAACTGACAAGTGACACTTTTTCGTCACTTTTCGTCACTGTGACGATGTCATCGTCACAGGTGACGTCCAAACACAAAAGGACATGAATTTTCGAATTCCTCGTTGAAAATTAGTTAAAAATGATGTGTCACATGTCAAAACTGACACGTGACACTTTTTCGTCACTTTTCGTCACTGTGACGACGTCATCGTCACAGGTGACGATGTCACAGTGTCCATCTTCGAACTCGTCCTGTCCATTGACGTTAGGAGTTTACGTTCAAAATTTCAAGTGTCTATGTCTTTTCGTTCAAAAGTTATCGGAGCTACGGACAGACAGACGGACGGACGGACGGACGGACAGACAGACGGACAGACGGACATAACGATCTTATAAAGGGCTTTCACCCCTTAATAAATACACAAAGGAATATCTAATATGAATGAATTTTGTCACTCTGATTGTGTGCGCTTGCTAAATTTTTCCACAATTGCTCACTCCTCCTCAAAAAGTTTTCAAATTGTGGTATACTCAGCTCCACTAGCATTACCAAAATTGATAAAATCCACCCAAGTACGACAATGTTTAAAGAGTTTAGCCAGACATATCCGTCCAAATGGGACACCTCATTTTCGGTTGGATATGACTCCCCTTCTTCATGACGTCGTACTGCTTTAGCTTTTCCGGTATTATTTCTTGGAAAAGTTCCCGTCATTAAACGTTGCCGCAATCCGGACTCCGTAAAGGCAAGGACGCGGCGGCAAAATTTTTCTGAGAAAATTTTTCATGAAAATAAATTTAGTAGCAAAAAATAGCGGGTAATTTTGTAACGATTACCTTTAATGTGGTGCATCTCTTTGGAAATATACACTACCGAGTAGAATGAGACGAGTAGCTCGGATGCCGGTTTGAATAAAGGTTTCCCGCTTCGTGACGTCAATTCCCGCTTAGCTGTACCGCTCCCGACACTTTTTGTCATCATGCAGACGGATGGACCATATTGAGTGGATGACATGCATGAAGACTAAACAATTGATAAAATGCTAATATTTCTGAAAAATTTTAAATTAATAAAACTCACGGAATTTTTCAGACTCGAAAATTCCACAATTTTCTTATTCAATATTTGAACGATATGGGTATCTTTCAGGGATGTAAAAATTTGTCCCGCCGTGGTATCATTGATTCCACTAAAGATTATGGAATAGTGTGAGTTCGCCAATTGTTGAAAAGTTTGGGGTGGAAGGATTATGATTGGTCTAGTCAGGCTAGAAACAAGCTTTGTTCTAAGCGCGATATTTAAAACGATTAGTCCTATTATCCAAGGACCGACGAGTAGTTTTAGGGTGAGTGATGGACGAATTACCAACCTGGGGAGGAAGATGGATTAGAATTTGACTCCGCTAAATTGCATTGGTAAAAAATTGGGGTATTCATTACGAGGTCGCATAAAGTCGTCAAAATTGCAAAACATGTGTACTAGCCATGGAGATCACAAAGTTCGCAAATGTTTTTTTTTTCAAACTTGCGAACTGTTAACCATGGTAACGAAGTGAACTCGTAATGAATACCCTCAATGATTTAATGTGAAATACACGATTAGAGATTAAAAATCCACGACATTTTCACATTAAAAAGATGGAAGTATTATCGTTAAATAACTCTAATCTTAACGTTGTTGGCTTACTTACACGTTAAACATCTTGGTACAAGGCTGATCAAGCGTCGCCCTTAACAATTCACCGATGACGTAAGCCACATATTTAAATCCTATCCCCCGGTTTCCTCTACCTTTCGAGCGCATCCTAAACGACACGTACACAACTCCTGCCATCAGCACCACCATTCCCATCTCCAAAATCCAAACCGCAGATTTTGCAAACCCCCACAAGACATTTCCGATCGGATTCTCATTTCCCGTTTTAGCCAACGCCGTAAAGAAAATAATCCCATCGGTGGATCCCACTGACGTAAAAAGCATACCATTTGCGCGGTCTCGAGTAAGGGTAAGCCAACTGGAAACGTGTGCTCGACCGGAAATGATTTCTGCCGCGACACCGTTCCATTTCCCGGTTTTAGCATCGCGAAAACCAAAATCGCTGCTTTTCGCGTTTACAGCTGGAGTCGCGTTAAACCAGCGACTCATATGCGTCACGAAGGATAGCGATTGGTCGAAGGTGGATCGAGACTCGCGATAGCTTAGCAATTTTTTCCGTGTTAAACTTCTCTTCCGTGATTTCATGAACGCCCAAATCATAGGATTTTGGTGAAAATTTGTTCTGTCCCGAAAACTTGGAGGTGTCGAGCTTGGAAATTTTCTTAGCTTCCAGATTGAATCCATATCGTAAAATGAGCACTTTGGTGAAACTAGAATGTGATTGGTAAATTGTCGAAAGTGTGCGGGGGCAGAAAACTCGGGGGAAATGAAATGTTCTTCTTCTACTCGGGTTATAATAATCATGTGATAACTATGTAGCATTCCACCGGGTAGATTATGATGAAAATTTATAAGGGAATTTTTCGAAAATTTGGACGATGTAATATTTCCATGTCGGTAAATTATGAGGCTGCACGGTTCCGAAAACTTTGGAAGAATTGGAGTTACCAGTTTGAGAGAGGAAGTTGAATTAGTATTGAATTTCAGGTAAGTGTGGATCCTTGCGTAATTATGGGTGATGATGTAAGGCTCGTTTTTGGAAACCCATGACACTAATAGACATGGTTCTTGGTATTGAGAATCTATCTTGGATTTCAAAATATCAACTGCCTCACTAATATCGGGTGAAACTAAGGCAAAGAAATTTAAAAGAATGCAAATATTGCATAGGAAGGATGTGGACTGTTCCATTTCGGTGGCACAATAAAATAGAAAAATCTAAGCTTCGCGTTTATGCAGGAGTAAAAAGGATAAGTTGCAGTATTATAGACTTATTATTCAAGAAATATGTATGTATGTACTAAATATGTACTTATGAAGGTTAAGTAAAATAAAAGTATAACAAAGAAATGTATTCAGCAAAGATTTCACAAAAAAAAGAATAATTCATTGTAAATGGCTTTGTGAAATGTTTCGTTTCTTTCCTTTACATATGCTAAGGTGTCATTATGATTGCTGAAAGTTTGCATGAAATTGCATGTGTGCACTATTAAACATTTTCCTTACCCATTTTCAAACTTCCTTGGAATCTTTAAGTGTTATTTTTGAACGTATAGAGATAAATTACCTAGTTTAGTTTTTGGATACAATTAAATTCTCTGTGAAAAATAAAAAAACAACAAAATTTTCAACATATTTTGAAAGACTGGAGAAAAGTATTTATAAGATAAGTGCACAAGTCTTAGAAATGAAATAAATTGGAGTTTAAAAGTGAAATTTGTATAACTCTCATAGTTTCAGTTTTTAGTGAGAAGTTTTCCATCAACAATATGAAGGAATATCTGTAATTATTCTATGCTTAAAGATTATTTAAATAATACACACGGCAGCAGCTGCATTGTGATTAATTGTAAGACAAGCATTACACGGGCCTTAGGAGGAGAGTACGCCAACCTGATAATGACAGATCGTGATGTCCTTTGGATATATGGTAGTACCCCCTCTGAAAGCAAAAAGTGTGAAGCGGTTTGATGCCATGGCCCAATTTACGCCTGTCACACCCCTTCGAAGGCGCGCCCGATGCCAAACTAGCTGCACTAAAAAATTCGCCAAAAATCCAATTTTCTTCGGATTTTCATAATAATTATATATTTGTGATCCCAGATAGTCCCTTTATCATATTCAGTTGCAAAATTAACTTTTCAGAAATTTTCAATATTTTCGAATATTTCCTGAAAAGGGCATGGCTTGAAAAAATTCAAAATTCCAAAATAGTTCAGATTGATATCTGATATGACAAAGAAACTATTTGGGATCATAAATATGTAACTATTATGAAAATCCGAAGAAAATTGGATTTTTGGCGAATTTTTTAGTGCAGCTAGTTTGGCATCGGGCGCGCCTTCGAAGGGGTGTGACAGGCGTAAATTGGGCCATGGCATCAAACCGCTTCACACTTTTTGCTTTCAGAGGGGGTACTACCATATATCCAAAGGACATCACGATCTGTCATTATCAGGTTGGCGTACTCTCCTCCTTAGACCTTCGGCTATACATGTACAATTTCTTCATGTATTTCAAATTTGCAAATTTACATGTGGACATATAAATACATATTTATGCATTTATATTTGTTTGCACTATATAATTATACGAGTACATAAGTAAGTAGCTGTGTACAAATGTACATATTTATATACATTTATACATACATCTATAAATACACGTGTTCATAAATTCGTATGTTTTGACATCGTCAGTTAAGCAAATGTTACTATAAATTTAATCCGTTATTGATAATAACATACTGTCATATTTTTGCGAATTGAAATTTTGAACTTCTCATGTCCTTGTAAATACTATACATATATATATATCTACATATATAGATTTTCATCAAGGGATATATACACATATATACATATATACATTTGTATTACATTTATGTACACGTATCGGACTTATTCAGCTTGATATCATCTAATATTATCGGGGCGATACCCCACCGTAATCAGACTTGTTCATTATTAAGGGGTGAAAGCCCTTTATAAGATCGTTATGTCCGTCTGTCTGTCTGTCCGTCCGTCCGTCCGTCCGTCCGTCCGTCCGTCTGTCTGTCCGTAGCTCCGATAACTTTTGAACGAAAAGACATAGACACTTGAAATTTTGAACGTAAACTCCTAACGTCAATGGACAGGACGAGTTCGAAGATGGACACTGTGACATCGTCACCTGTGACGATGACGTCGTCACAGTGACGAAAAGTGACGAAAAAGTGTCACGTGTCAGTTTTGACATGTGACACATCATTTTTAACTAATTTTCAACGAGGAATTCGAAAATTCATGTCCTTTTGTGTTTGGACGTCACCTGTGACGATGACATCGTCACAGTGACGAAAAGTGACGAAAAAGTGTCACTTGTCAGTTTTGACATGTGACACGTCATTTTTAACTATTTTTCAATGTCAAATTCAATGGTGACCTCCATTTTGACCTCAGAGGTCATGTAAAGGTCATAGGACATATCTATTTCAATTTCAACTGAAATTTAACCCCGAATTCAATGGTGACCTCCATTTTGACCTCAGAGGTCATATAAAGGTGACATAAGGGTTATCAACTGTTAAATTTGACACAAATAAGACACAAAAGTCGAAAACACGTCAGAAGTGTCAATCTTAACAAATTTTCGAACAATTTGATATTCACATTGACGTATGACACTCCTTTCACCCCTTGGTTACATGCGTTGTAACGGTTTATTATTGGTACTTATTACTTATTGTTAGTGTCTGGCCTGTAGTAAAGCAAACTACCTTTGAAGTTACGACGTTATATAAGTATGTACATAAATATGTTCCAACCCCAAGATAATCAGCTCTAAATACTTCCTACATGGATTTTTCACCGATATAATTAAGGTTCGAACCTAAGGCAACAAAGCGTATTATTAAACCTCAACTTACTGATATTTAAGTATTTGTATGTATGTACGTCCAGGCATATGTACATAGATTCAAGTAAATACATACGCGTACATGAACGTTTTTGCATATGTATCTGTATGTAATTATGTACCAATGGTAAATTAATTAGTATAATTCTCAACAACTCGCAAAAGTGAATCGTACGTTTCAAACACGTAAATAAGTACATACGTACGTACGTATAATGTATAGATAAAACACAGGAAAAGGATGTATTTAGATCCCCCCACAATTTGTCATCATTACTTTCATTGAAATCAGTGTTCCAAATAGTTACAAACAACAAACATCTCAAATGCCTAAAGTAAATATGTGGCATGACGAAGGATTGTACCATCTTCGCAGCGCAATTCGCGCTTCTCAGCGAAACTCGCTATTTCGCGCGTATTGTTTTTTCTGGGATGAGAAATCTCGAACCGCGCATCCCGTCCCGCCTAAATCTAGGGTCTTTAGAACTTTTCAACTATGCACCTTCTCACTTGGTTTCATATTCTTTCCCATCATACTGCTCCAATGTTACCGACTCGTGCAAACTGCCCCCATTAAATACGACACTGATCATTTAACAAGGACTTATTTTACTTTCCTGATTGCCTTATTGGCCTGGATGATCATTCCTTTCTCTCGGTTTCTGAGTTCACCTTCATGTCTGACAAAATTTGTTAATTGCTACGAGGCGTTGACAAATTTGGAAAAGCGTCTGCAACGTATACACCTTTCGTAATTATTAAATCGCAATGGGGGTATTCAATCGGTATGACAAGTTCGCATGATAAAGTAACTTTTTATGTTTTACAAAATGCGGACAGGTTTGTCGTGATGCATTTGTAAAGTAATTTAAAAATTGTCTAAAACTTTGGTTTCGAATTGACTAAATTGCCATGACTATAAACTATGTACAAACACATTCAAAAGTCAACTAAAGAAAAATATGAGTAGTTTTGCTTACAGTTGGTGAATCTGCTTTACGGACTATGTAAAAACATAGGAATATTTGTATAAACATAGGAATACTTCCAAAGGAAAGTTTATGCAGTTGCGAAAAAAGTTTTTTTACGCATTAAATACAAATATGACAACTACATATGTATGCGAACAACGAATGAATACCCCGACTATTAATATTAAGGGTGTCAAATTATTTGTATGCATTTGTTTTCACTAAATTTCAGATATTACACGCAATTCGGAACAAAGCATTCCTAACCTATTACACGCTCACCGATGTGCCCGAGAAAAAGCTAAAGTTTCATTTTTTATCGCAATTCTCTATTTTGCTCTAGATTTCGTAACTCCTTTTATGGCTTTTTTAGTAACATTTTCAGATCTTAACCCATACTATGCATTTGTCCAAAGGGTCTCCACTAACTGTGGAGTGTTAATCATGCTAAGATTTATAATCGGAAGCACAACCTGGATCGGCGGAATGATGATGTTGGCCTATTACCGGCTTTGTCTAACGGTAATGATTTACAGCGTAATTGTCCTCTATCTCTGGACCGTATTTATTATTCCTGCAGAGAGAAACTTGCCATTTTACTTATCGGTTCGAATTTATAACAGCCTTCGAATCATGACAGTTCAGCAGGGTGAGTTGGCCCGTGAATTTGTCACCGTGTGTTTGCACCATTTTTATCTCGTTTTACTGTCCACGTCTGCCCTGTACTATTTTTTGATGCAATTTATGCCAGGGTATGAGATGTCCATTGTTCTTTCGATTTTGTGCTGTACCGTGTTCCTGATTGCTTTTATTCTCGAGTCATTCGCCGTGGGGGTTGTGTCCAAGGGGTCGGCATTGTCGAAGGAGTTTTTGAGAAAGATGAGGGTGAATAATGGCAGGTTTAAGCGACGGAGAAAGATTTTGCATGTGCTGTGTGCTGTGTGCTGAAAAAATAAATAAAAATAAAAATTAATTTGAGAGTGCGTTTATCATGGTAATAAAGTGTACAAAAAAAACAAAAACAAGGTCTAAAGAAAATTATCTTACATATTGAATTTATTTTGCATTAACTTGATAATACCCAAGTGAAATTGTGGAATGAATCAAGTTTCCAATTTCACATATATAACCACGAAGCATGTGTCGTGAATTAAATACAAAATTTAATTACTTAATTAGAAATTTTTTTGTAGAATTTGTAGAAATGATAGACATTAATTAATCAGAAAAATGTGCCACTCAAAATTTAGGCCGTATTCGTAATAGTTTGTTACCAAATAGGGGAAAAATTACATTTACATGATTGGATTAAGGAGAATCTGGAGAGGTTGTTTGTGGTTGGTCATTCGTTGATGTCGGCGTGGGTGCAGAGGTTGAAGTCGGTGATGGTGAATCTGTCGCCGTGCTAGGTTCAGATTCACTCGACGTGGGAGGATTCGTTTCCTCAGCAGGCGGTGGATTTTTCTTAAATACGCCTAGAAAATATAAGAAATTTGAGATTAGAGTTTGACAAAGTGCATGATTTGGTAAAAATAAAGAATTAATTTCACTAACTTTTAAGAAATTCAATCGTCCTCAGATTGCAGTACATTTTTGTGTGATACGCTTTCAAGTTTTCAACTTTTATCAACTTTTCTACCAGGAGGACCGATTTTATGTTACCAAGCAGTCGAGATGTTCAACGGGAAGTGAGGACTTAAAACTGTGATATGAAATGTATGCAGTGTTTGGTCTTTAAGTGGAAGAGGCTATGCATAAAAAAGCTGGAACTTTTAACTGACTTTGACACAATACTGTCCACTATATGAAATCAAACACATCGTTCACGCAGGGCTTTTTCAACAGAAAAACTGACCCTTCGTCTGAATTTCCCATATCCTGCCAAGAGAGATCCTTTCCCTTGTTTTGGTCGTTGTTGAATTTAAGGTGAAAAATTATGAAAGGTATACAAAATCTCTGGCTCAGAAGTATGTATGTACATACGTAATAAGTCTGTAATAAGACTTCACATTACTAAGGACAGATTTTAAGAAGGAAGTCATAGAAAAGGTCTTTTATGTACAGTTATGTTGTTTATAAAATCGGCCAGTTTTCTCAGGAAATCTGAACCTTCCGAGAATCTGTGGGTGAATCTTTACGTAAATGTAAAGATTGGATTGACATATCGCAAAACTTGCTTGAACCCTAGAGGCTTGTTCTACTTATGTATGTGTATAATGTATGTACAAATGTGTATGTATATAGATATTTGTATCCAAGATATAGGTATTTATATTGACTTGTGATGCTGATGCTATTTATGTGTTTGTAAACCCTAACACCACCGTGATCATATATTTGATATCCAGACAAATAAGATTTGTGTGTTACCTCCAGGAATAAAATGCAAATTGATCTTGTCATACATACATAAGTAGTTTCTTAGAGGTGGGATATATTTATTAGCTAAGCTGAACTTTGAAGGCGTATTGTTAAATCAATTTAATATAGATATGTGAGGGTTATCATGGGTTACTATTTTCTATTTAACCGCATAAAGCGAGTGAACAGTGCGTACAGATATTCATAAAGCTACGCTCGCATTTTTATGTATTTAAATATATGCATATTACTTATAAAGTACTTGGAACGTGGAAGTTAGACGCATATGGTGTAAATGCATGAAAATGGACCAGTCTAGGTTCCAGGTGACCTGAACAATAAGTGGTATGATGAAGTAGTGTTTAAAATGATGCAATTACCGGACTCTACAAAATGTCAAAGTTCCCAAACGTTTGTCTCCTTATATGCATAACACGAATTACCATAGAATTACTTATATACATGTATGAATTCACATAAACAGATACATATGTACATACATACGTATACGTAACAACGAACGACTAAAACCAATATTGCTCCAAACAATAAAAAAACTAATTGATTCTTATACATACATAAATTCACTGTTCATTGAATAGCAAACACACGTGTGTAAAAAACATGACTGAAAAGGTCGGGAAACTTTTTGGGAACGCCCAAATGCCAAATACCTAATTAGCCGTTTGTCTCATTAAACAAATTACTAATTTTGTTTCACAAAAAGAAAAACCACCGTACAAGATATAGAAATGGGGTCAAATTCCATACAAATTATGGAGTCAAAGTTCCCCGTAAAAACTGTCCCCTCTCTCAATTTTAGAAAAAATTTCTTACTTTCTGGGGCTTTTTTGCCCTTCCGAATTTTACAATTTTCCGGATTTTTCCCTTTATCTCTTAAAAACTCGTCAAACACAGTTTCAGTTTCTCAACTTGCCTGGCATCTGTGTCCTTCCACAATTTGGATCATTTTTCTAATCGTAGCCTCTGTTTTCCCCACAGCAATTTCCACCCTTCTTGGCAACAATGATGTCAACAATGCAGCCAAGGTAGAATTTTCAAACAAAGGTCACAACACGATCGTCCTTACCAGCCAAGTGTGGGGATTTTGCTGCCTTTTTTGCCCCTTATTTTCGCGAGTGGACTTGTTAATTAAGCGTGCTGAATTTGTATCATTCTGGAACAACTATGTCCAGTTGGTGGAAAAGTTTCAAAATCTGGACATCAATTTTGAAAATGCTTCCCAAAAACATATCAGAAATTCCAGAATTGTAATTTTTCTCCACTTAATTATCCACTTGGCTCCGTCTTGTTTGCAAATTGGGTTATTTGTTGGGTACGTGTTATTCATGGGAGGTTCTCATAACAGAATTAATTTTGTGGATTCCATACCAAATTGGGTGTATTCCTTCAATATAATTTTTGCTGGGTTTTCACTCCACGGCTTAATTTATTTCGTGTCAAGTTATAACTTTGGGATACACAAGTTGCTGAAATGTTTGGAAAATGAGAGGATAAAAGTGCATGATGTGATTGGCGTGTACATTTCGCTGGATAAAAGTGTGACCAAGTTTACAGCCTTGTTTTCCACGTTTTTGAATGTCAATGTCATTTATGTTTTCGTATATCTTCTTTACGCCTTTTACTTTGTGTACGTTGCGATTAAAATGGACACTTTTATTTTGGGAGGTGTAACCATTGTGCAGACGGGGATTACAGTCTGGTATTTTTATTTGTTATCGAATTCAGCAAGTGGTTTGGTCAAGGGGAGCCAAATGTTTTGTAAAATGATGAAATATTCACGTTTTAAAGAAGAAATTAGGCGAGGACAGTTTGTCAAATTTACGGAACGATTTGAGGTACTAAGATTAATTTTCAGATTATTATAATTTATGTATATGTTCCTAACTTCGTTCTGAGCAGAAAACTGTCTCACTTCCGGCATTGGATCCGATTTGCATAGAAAATTCTGCAATTAGCTTGGACTTGCGTTTGTTACTTTCCGTAAGTACAAATACTGATGGAATAACATTGAATTTAAGTAAAATTGTTGATATGTCATTTGAATTGTGCAGATGCTGGCGACGATTACCACTTACCTCGTCGTTATTGTCCAATTCCAATCTGTGGATACTTCTTAAGCAAACGTACTTAAATACATATGTATGTAATGCATAAACGTGTGCTCCTACTTAATTAACATATTGAGAATTGACACATTATCAATACCATATAAATTTGTGTTCAAACAATTTTCATAATTTTGTTTCCAATTAATTAGTGATTCGGTAACGCTACCAATTACTTATGCCAGGAAATTTCTACCAAATTAATATCCACTTATGTAACACTTTAATGGTCAAGTCAACATTTGGAGTGGAGTCAATAAAGTTAAAAAACAGACAAAAATAATTTGTTCGATACAATCACCCAATCAAAATGTGTGCATCTATTTAGTTGATGTACGTATGTATACATATGTAGATGTATGTATTTACATACGTACTTATGTATACCTATTTATATCCACCACTTTGAAGTTAAACCCCCTCTTTGGTCATAGGATAGGACAGATTTAAATTCATAAATACACACAAAACAAGCAAATTTAAATATATATTACCAAACTTAAAATTTACGAAATATTTCAGAACACTCAACAATTTTCCTTCTATGCATATGTGTAATGTAAAGAAAAGTTCACTGAAAAGCAGACAGTCCTTTCATGAAATGGATTTCTGCTTCCTTTTCCTCATCATCATCCTGACCACATCATTATCATCTTGTTCCCCCACGGAGGGTCAGATTATGGACAAAATTCTCACCAAGTACGACAAACTCACCCGTCCCGTGACCAAACCCGAGGTCACGATGCCCATCGACATCGGGCTGGTTCTCCTCCAAATAATCGACGTGGACGAAAAACATCAAATTCTAACTATAAACACATGGCTGCGTACTTATTGGACTGACATCGCCCTCGTTTGGGACCCATTACAGTACGAAAATATTACCGTAGTCCGCCTGCCAGCAAATCGTGTCTGGAGCCCTGACATCCTCCTCCACTACACCGCGGATGAGGACATTTTTCAGTCAATCCGATTTCGGAGTGAGGTGAACGTTTACATCGAACATAACGGACGTGTTGTCTTCGTGCCTCCCATGGTTATCAAATCTGCCTGCAAAATAGATGTGACGTGGTTTCCCTTCGACATACAGAGTTGTCAAGTCCAATTTGGAAGTTGGACGTATTCAGTGGAGGAAATTGATCTCAGGATTATCAACAATACCTCGGAAGCAGCGGACACGTCGGAATATACGGAGAATGGGAAGTGGAAATTGGTTGAATTTACGGTTAAAAGGGTAATAGTTAGTTACGAGGAAAAAGATTATATTTTGATAATTTTTACAATTACGATAAAGCGAAGGATTTTGTACTACTGGTACAACCTGATCGTTCCGGCGGGACTGATAGGTGAGAACATTTTGAAATGGTGTGATAGTAAATCTATGAAATGAGAAATTCATAAGATTTTCGAAGTTTTTATGCTTTAAGTTAGGGCAATAGTTTATCAGTTTGCTTATGCAATTATTGTGTACATGCCAAAAGTTTCTTATCCAATGGAGTTTCCAATTTATTTTCAGGATTTCTCGCCATACTTGGGTTCACACTTCCGCCCGATTCCACCGAAAAATTGTCGCTCGGTGTCACCGTCTTGTTTTCCTTGATTGTCTTCATCAACGTCATCTCTGAATCCATGCCGTCCACATCGGACGGAATCCCGTTGTTAGGAACGTACTTTAATTGTGTCATGTTCGCCATTGCATCCTCCGTTGTGAGCACGATTATTGTCAATCTACGCATCAGGGGAGAATATGGGCCTAAAAGTATTGGGGACAAAACTAAAATCTTGCTATTCCACTGGTTGCCATGGTTACTAAGGATGAATGTACCGAAAAATGTTCATGTCAGGATTGGAAAGCTGGGGAAAGATAGTGGATTACGTACCGCCGCTAGAAACAGGGTAGATCTTGATGAAAATAAAATTCCCCAACCGGAAATAATTGGCTTAAATGAACAATGGATGTTTGCGGCGGTCGTGGTAGAAAGATTTTGTTTCGTCATATCCATTTTGTTCGCATTAGTTTCTACAGTTATCTTAATTATCTCATCTTGCAGTGATTAGTTGGTGGGAAATTTAAGGGATTCACCAACATGACTGATAACCTTAGATTCCTACATTGTGTAAACTTGGAATTTAATAAGTTGCATGCTACATATGTATGTCAGTAATTCTGAAAAGAATGATGCTTCAAATCCTTAGGAAAAGTAGATTATTACTGCTGTGTAAAAACTTAATTTCGATGTCTTACATAAGTTGAAATTTATTTTGAACGTGACCATTATTTTTTTAATCGCCAAAAAAATTTTAGTAATTTTTGATGTATGTAATTGACGTACAACAATTCAGAATTCGATGGTTTCTTCCAGTGGCTGCAGAAGATGTGGGGGACCATGGACCATATTTTTTTCAAAATAAAGTTCACTATGTACGTAGTGGCGTTGACAAACTTAGACGTTTTCCGATTTTCATGATAAGTAAACCTGTTTACAAAAAATGCAACATGCAAAAATATGATTTAAATTTTGTATGCTATCAAATGATAATGTGGACGCAATAAAATTTAAAACTTAATGAAAGTTTCATAAGACCTCGTCACATAGTTTTTATTCATAGAAATCATATACCCGTCTTGAATATTTGTATGACGTATTTAAACATTACAAGTTTAAACATTATAAATATGTAGATATATGCAGTAATTGAGTATGGGCTTAAATAAAACAATAAATGTTAGTTATTCCGTTGATTAATTAGCATAAGTTACACCGTACATGAAATCTTCCATGAGTTACATATTTTCAAATGGATATACAAATCTGACCTAAGCCACCCTGACATTTGAACCTGCATTCGTCACTAACCCACTTGCATTGGCCTCCAGTAAAAACTGGAATCCCGAACAACCACTGATTTGTGCCGCACGTTCGGGTATCATTCCAGCCGAGACAGCTAGTCGCCAAACAAGCGCAACCGAGGATAGCGTCTACCCGTCCAGGAAAAAAAGATCCGGTTAAAGTAAGAATGATGAGAAGACGAACAAATTGGTGCATGATTGCCATTTTGAATCTGGAATTTCGAAAAAGTTTCAGGTTTAAGAAATGAATTGCTGTTACGGTGCATGATGTACTGCTTCAGAGAAAATTAAATAATTTTAGATTGTTTTCACCCCAACGTAATAAGGAGTTCGTTACTAAAACTTCCGTGATACAGGAATTTTTTATTCTAAAAAAAACTGAGAAAAAAAATTTTTTGAAATTTTACTACAATAAAAAAATTTTAACCTGTAGTTTTTATACATAAATTTGACTTGCGCATGTTTACATACGCAGACCCATTATGTTCACACCAAGGAAAATATACGAGAATATAAATACAGTACAATTCTCGTATGTGTAAATTATCGTGGGTCTGAATAATTTTAAAGTTGACTTCAAAAAATCAAAGTAATTCACGAGATGTAAATGGGTGGTTCAGAAATATGGTAATAATGAAACTATAATTTCAGTAGAAAATGTAGAAATGGAACTTTGCCTGTTATTTTAATGAATTTTAGAGAAAATTAGTTTCTCTGTTACCATATTTCTGAACCACCCTATACTTGTTAAAAATTAATTAAGTAACCGTCACCTTCTGAAATCCAAAAAATATACCACACTTTTTATGTTTCTGAATTAAAATTATTTCCAACCCCAGAGTGTGTGAATTGTCTGCTGAACTCTGAGTGAATTTGGGACCAAAGTTAGCTATTTAAAGGACATTCTGTCGCAATTGAAGTTAAACTTTTTATGATTGATAGTTTATTTAAGGGGCCATCCATAAATTATGTAGCTCATGACGGCTGGTCCATGCCTCAACGTTATCATGGCAAAAAGTATATTGGTATTTATCATACATATCTTTGTCTCGGTTTAAGGATTTTACCTTTTAATTTATTAGTACGCAACATAATTTCCTCTGTAGTACTCTAATTGTAGTGATTACAACTATGTAACAACGATCCTAAATGTGTATATATGTATATGCACTTACATACATACATATGTAACACCGAATTTAATTTCTTTGGTCAATATTTTCCTTGTTTAATGCATATTGGCAGGTAAGATGGAAAGTATAATTTGTTTGTTTTCACTCTCATCAACTTTATCAAGAGGTGAAGCGAATTTATTAGTAATCGTATCATGATGATACCATTACTACCCGACATATGTAACAGTTCAGTATGTGTTCGTATATGTACATATGTACGGGAAGCCTAGATAAAGAGGAATCTGAAACTAGAATTGACCGTAAACTGTTCAGATATCAAAATATAGCAGTATTTTTTGTGGAAATTGTGTTATACAATTTAATAAAGTTTGAATGAAATTATAAAATTCACAAACCTAACTTTTTCATACCCGAAATGAATTTGCATATTCGAATCCTTGTTGCCTTAACAACCCTCCAAGCTTTGCCTCAATCCTCCTTCGCCTCGCCCGAGGAAGGGAAAATAATCGACAAGATCCTTACCAACTATAACAAATTGACCAGACCAGTGGCCCGATATGATGCCAAAGTTACCGTCGGGATCGGGATGGCCCTCCTACAAATTGTTCAAGTTGACGAAAAACACCAAATCATCACTATCAATGCCCGGTTACATAACATTTGGTCAGATGTAGCCCTTACTTGGGATCCCTTGGAGAACCATAACATTACTATGGTCCATATTCCAGCAAATCGTGTCTGGAATCCCGACATCGTCCTGCACAATACAGCAGATGAGCAAATGTTTCAGTCCACTCGACATCGGAGTGACCAAAACCTTAACGTTATGAGTGACGGAATGATCATCTTCGTTCCCGCCATGATTATTAAATCAACCTGTAAAATGGACGTGACCTGGTTTCCTTTTGACAGTCAGACTTGTAATATTCAGTTTGGCAGTTGGACCTATTCAGAGCGGGAGATTGATCTGCAAATCGACAATGAAACTAGTGATCCTGTCGACGTGTCAGAATATGTGGCGAACGGGGAGTGGAAATTGGTGGCTTTTACGGTCACAAGGATCGTTAAGAGGTACGAGTGTTGTGAAGAGGGTTATTTGTCCGTCCTGTTCAGAGTCACGATCAAGAGGCAGATCATGTATTACTGGTTTAATTTGATTGTCCCGGCGGGACTTATCGGTAAGTTAATGGGATAAAGCTAGAATATGTATTTTGGTAGTAAATGTTAAGATTCCGCCACAAAATGTATAACACATCTAATAAATAAGCATATGTATGTCATCCAGGTTTTCTCGCCGTACTTGGATTCACACTTCCGCCCGATTCCACCGAAAAATTGTCGCTCGGTGTCACCGTCTTATTTTCCTTGATCGTCTTCATCAACGTCATCTCTGCATCCATGCCGTCTACATCGGATGGAATTCCGTTGTTGGGAACATATTTTAATTGCGTCATGTTCGCCATTGCCTCCTCCGTTGTGAGCACGATTGTTGTCAATCTACGAGTCAGGGGTCAATACGGTCCGCAAAGTATTGGGAGCAAAACTAAGATCTTATTATTCCGGTGGTTGCCATGGTTACTAAGGATAAATGTACCCAAGTGGGATGAGGGGAGGATTCGAAAATTAGACAAGGATGATAAAAACGACAACGTAAAGAATTATCTGTATCGCGATATTAAGAATGAAGTTGTTGGAGTGATCGCGGACGATTTACGGGAACAATGGATGTTTGCAGCGGTCGTGGTGGAAAGGCTTTGTTTCGTCATATCAATCTGCTTCGCATTTATTTCCACTGTAGTTCTACTGATCTCGGCGTATCACAAGGACTAAAGATGTATAATTTTCCCACTGTTCGTACATATGTGTAAAGTAGCATGCATTAGAAAGTCACTAGAAATTGAATATTAATAATTACTTCAACTTCCCCTAACCAAACAATGATTTACGAATTGCAAAATATGTAGTAATTGTTTTAGTTCATAATTTCCGAATTGTTCTGTGTTACTTATTAAGCCGAATCAATCGAATTTTAATATATGCCATGTATGTACAGATGTGCATACATATATGTAGGTTGATCTGAATATGTAAAACCATTTAATTCATAATTATTTGCATCATTATTTTAAGTAGTGATACTTGTAAGACAATCTCTCCACTTGACTCCTTTGTTCAGCTTTTCATAGTCATTCATATCAAGTTTCATTGAAATTTGATTCAAATCACAAAATTTATGTATTCACTCGTATATGCAATTTTTTTTAAATTAGTTAAATTCGACTATCCCAAAAGTACCAATACGAGATGGGGCGCTTTTACAAATTTAATTATCTAGTTAGTTAATTTTTAATGCCTAATTCACTTTGCAACATATCTTATGCAACACAGGTTTGGTTACGTTAGGTATTTTACTATTTAACTTAATTTTTTAATACACTTATTATGTTTAACTAGTTTAACTTCCCTTTTTAAATTGAATTAAAACAATCAAATTTGTCGTCACTGTTCCAACAATCTGCAAAATTAAACAATGAAAATTTACAAATTATAATTAATAATTTTTAACAACACGATTACACTACGCATAAATATTCCGATAACAAGGTCATAACCAGCGGTTCCTAGTTATACATATGTGACTCTACCATCATAGGAATTTGTTATCGAGTGGTAATAACTTTGCTACCGAACTGGTAAAAAGTGCAACCTGGAAGCAAAAAATATTACCAGAGTTGAAATTACTATCAGTCGGTAACAAATTATTACCATGCGGTACAACCATGGTATAATAGTAAATTACTATTATAGTAATTTGCTACTGACGGATAGTAAATCTCCACAATAATAGCATTCTTGACTCAGCGACTGCAATTATTAACAGCTCGAGAACACATTTCTTACCACTACGGTCACACATTTTCACCGCTGACCGCTGGTAATAATAATATTGTTATCAAATTATTTGCATATTATAATATTCTCTTTACCGGAGCAATAAGTCCAAGATCCACGTTAAAGTAATCCGTCTGAACCAAAATTTGTTTCAACTTTGGATTATCCGACTTTGAACCTTTTTGATCCCTTCCAAGAATAAACTCTGATTTGGCGTCGTCTTCCAATTTTTCTATTACGTCTTCACTCAAATTTCGCACCTGTGACCCCTTCTTGCAAATCATGAAGACCAGGTAGGAATACCAAAGGATCGTCCCAGCATCAGCCACGTGCCCCCTCTCGCTTGGTATTAGTCGATCGCTAGATTCTGCCAGAAAATACGCAGAAAATATTACACGTCCAATGCTATGAGCGATATCTATAACGACCGAAGTCCCAAAAATGCGCATGAATAAGTTCACGTTTTGGCGCATTTGCGAATAAATCTGCATTCGTAGTTGGACCAAGATAGCCGGGCTTTCCCGTAAACGTTGTAAAATCTCGAGGTACCGATTCAAATAGTGGCCAAGCATGAGGGGGAAGATGGAGTGTAGGTAGCCCAAAGTGGCTGGAATGACGATAGTAAAGAGTGAGATGCTCCTTCCTATTAATCAAAATTTCAGAGCTGTAAAATATAAATATTTTACATATATAAAAGAAGGAAAGCAGTCTAGAAAAGATCGAGGTGAGCAAATCTGTGCGATTTCTCTACTAATTTCGAGCTAAACGTCGCCGATCGCATTGTTAGTACTGTAACCGTTCGTCATTTCGGTATTAAAATTTTACTATATGAGTAGGAAATATTCACGGACCGGTATAATTTTAATACCAGCAACTTTATTACCGAGAAATCATTACCTGCATGACTATACCAGATTTCTAAAAGTGTATAAACCAGAAAAATATGTATTTACATATCAACTTACTAGCAGCACTTCGGTTTTCATTTAATAAAAACACGTCCCACATATCTCCGATGAACACGGTGCACGCAATCATCCAGGCAAACAGCTCCATCCAAAATTTCGGGTGAAAACGGTTTTCACATTTCTTCTTAAAATTGTGTACCACTAATTGGTTCGAGCTTGTGACAAGTTCTTCAAATTCGGAGCAAAATTTCGACAATTGTGCCCCTTTCAATAATATCGCGACCTTTATGTACACCGTCGTGAAAATATGACACGTTGCTTTCATCGTAGTGACAAAAGAAACCTGAACTGAAGCTGATGCCGTTCCAGGATTTTTTGGCGAATGGATTTCTTGTCGCTGCATTTTTATGGAGATGGCAACCATGAAAATATTTACAGCGACGAGTAAGCAATGGAAAAGGATTGGGATAAAGTAAAGAAACCGAATCCATTTATATTTTCGTGGTAAAATTCTACTAGAGTTTAAAGAACGAGGAAAGTAGCCTAGAAATTGGGATATTCTTAGAACGAGAGTCATCCCTAGAAAATAAGTTTGTAATTATTTAAGTTAAGGACGTTAATCGAGTTATATTAATTGACAATTTAATCAATTAGTTAATTAAGTAATATTAATAATTAACAATAACAATAATAATAATAATAATAATTTAGTTAGTTAAATATATTTTATATAAGTTAGTACTTATAATTCTTAATAGTTTTTTGGTACGATTATTATGTGATACCATGTGGTAAAATTGCGCAGTTCCTACAGTGATACTGTCACCAAGTTATTGAAAGTGTACGTTATTTCCCTTTACTAAAGGTATTTCCTTGGGTTATTTTTTAAATGTCGGGTTTCATAAAATGTAAACCGACTGGGATGCAGTATGCAACAGGAAAACTCAGCTAGTATGTAAACATTTAGAAATTGATATGCATTAAATAATTAGATTGAGCACTTAGCAAAATAAACGCGGAATCAATTCATTAGCGCTCTACATATACATATCTTCCTCAAATTGACAATTACGTCAAATATTGACTTTGCTTACGTGAATCATTGTAACTTAGAAGCTAAATTATTCTATTTATAGACAGCGAAAGACTTACTTATTTAATGCACTAATCTAATTAACATAATGGACACTTGAAGTAACATGATAACTAAGTACGCGTTACTAAGCGCAATCACTGGGGGTATTCGTTACGAGCCCGCATCGTTAGCAACGTTATCAAAAAAACAAACTTTGCATGTTTGCAAAAAATTTTGCTAAGATTTGCAAACATACCTATATATCCTCAAGGCTAGCATTTAGTTCGCAATTTTTTTAAACTTATTTTGCAATGAACGCCCACTACGTATAATATTTACTCTACCGTGGCCGTGCTGGCTACAACTTGTCCTGAACTTGTATATCAATATTCTCCAGGAATTTCTCTGAAACTATTATTTCCACTCGGTAATAAATTGTAACCAACACGGCAGAGCGTCAAACTGACTCCGCAGGCAACGATTTGATATGTATCGTTATATTGAGTATCGAGAATAGTTTTTAAAAGCCTTAAATTAAGGAATATTTAACTTGCATATAACTTTAAATGGTTTTATTTCTGCTGCAGTATTCTAAACAAGTTTTCAAGAGACAACATGGTTGGAAAAAACTTATGATCTTACCTGAAATGATTTTTTTTAATCTCGCTAATATTGTTTTACGTAATCGTGCTGTTGAAGATAAGACGAACTTAAAATCTTTAAAATGCAAATCTGAATAAAATTTAACCTGATTGTCTATCCAAATCATCCAATCAATAAATGTAGTCTACTAATTTGCATAATGATCTTATTTATGTATGCTTGTGTAAGAATGATCTACATACATGCAAAAGTACCCGAACAAAAAAGGTACCCTGGGGTTTATATAAATACTTTCTCGACAACATTGGGCTATTCTTCCAATCTGAATATATGTAATAAATATGCATTGTGCGAACTTGATCTTATCAAGAGAAACACTTGGTACCTTATTCTTACAGGCGTAGTTTTAGTTGTCATTGTCTTAGACGCATATGTAGATTGCTCGTCTGTATCTACTTGTAATCATAGATATGAAAACATCCAGCATCTTCACATATAAATTTCCGAGTTCCTAGAATCTTTTGGAATAAATTCCCAAGTTAAAGGACTTTTTGACTAATATTCTGAAATCTCTCAATCTTGGTGAAAATGGTATCGCGATTTAGTAATTCGTACAAAGTGGAATGTTTGCTTTATTTAAGAGCTATAAAACAAGTTTAAAGGTCTACTTCCACTCGTCAAGAAGCGTTTTAAACAGGATTTAGTGCATGATTATTATGTGTGCCTTTAAATATGACTATATTATAACTTTTGTCAAATCGTCATCAAAATGTTGTTCCACTTCGCAATAATCTTCAGCTTTGTTACAAATCTTCCCCTTTGTACAAATGTGCTACTCCCTTTCGAAATAGGATTCAATCCAGACGAAATAAAATTTTACTTAGTGAAGAGCACAAGGTAAGTAATAAAATTCTGGTGTTTATTTTATTTTATTAGACGTATGTATACAGATATAAAGGTTCACAATTACTAGGGGCGTCTAGTCCTATTTTATGCAGTAGTATAAATAAATTTTCACAGGCTGGGTAGCCAAAAGTTTGGAGAATATTTATATTTCACAAAGAAAATAAATTCACAAACGTCGAATAAAATTACAAGGCCAATTTTTCCACTGCGTAAAATAGGATAGGACGCCCTTTGTATAACATTATGCATTTACAGTTTTAAACAAGAAATTAAATACACGGATGAACTATCGCTGCGTGCAAGTTCATTACAACCGGGTGGACTGACTATTGTTTATCTGCATGGATTTCTTACATCGGAAGAAATCCTTTTCCAAAAACGTAATACTTGCTAATTAAACCATAAAAATTGTAAAGGATAATTTGTAATTTTCAAATATTAGTACGACAATTGACACAAAATTTCAAAATTTATTAAAAATTAAATTTCTGTATTTGTAGCGTTGATTTCTTCCGTCACTGACTCATTGGTTGTGGATAACTTCATTATCGTCGATTGGAGAACGCTGGCAGGAAAACCCGGCTTTCCCCTCGACATACCCATCCAATACGTACTCGCTATCAACAATATAAAAACGGCGGGGAAAAGAGTAGCAAACTTTATTGCGTGGCTTACGTATAACAATTATTTGAATTTGGATCGAGTCCATATCATCGGACATTCCATCGGAGCGCATCTCAGTGGTCGGGTAGGAACTGAAATTCAACTGATTATGGGGGGCAGAAAGATAACACGAATTACGGGTAATTGGAACATTAGTAAATTTTGGAAATTTTTGTACAAGCAGTTTTTCATGAAAATATTTTCGTAAAATTGATGCTTCTGTTAAGAGTTTAGACTTCGTACATATTTTTAAAAGACATCTTAAAATTATTTGCATTTTCAATTCAAAGATTTTTTCCCACACTTCAAATTTATTTGCCACTTTTTCAGGATTAGATCCAGCCGGACCACTTTTTTATCCAAAACACCAGGACTTGAACATTGACAAGAATGACGCCTACTTTGTCGACGTTTATCATACAAACGCTGGCTTCTTTGGTGATGATACGTTGGATGGCCACGTGGATTTTTCGTGTAAGAAAAAAAAAACTATACTCGTATTATACATGGAAGAATAACCTTTTGCTACACATTTCAGTAAATCGTGGGGATTTGCAACCAGGGTGCAATTTAATAACCGAGATCACGGTTTCCTGCAGTCATGTCTTCTCGGTTGATTGGTTTTTCACTACTTTTCGTAAGGGTTACATCGGATGTCAATGTTCGAGTCGTGAGTTGGATGCGATAAATTTCCAGACGTGCCTGGCACAATGTCCGAATCCTGTATTTGCAGGAATTTACATACCACACACGTATGTAATATTTTACCCTACGGTTTGGATTAGATGGATTGGATCTGTTTTATACAATTTGTATTTTTTTGCAGGACACGTGGTACCTACCACGTTGACGTTCCCAAGCTTGGGAGTTGATTCGAGTAAAAAAAATGTTACAACAAATTACTCAGAAAATACGGCTTATCGTAAACAGATTTAGTTTGAAATAAATTTGGACAAGGGCACTAACTTTACTTGCCGTCCATGGTCCATAATCGACCAGAATGGACCAGTCAAGAGTCAACCATAGTAAATTAAGAGTTATTTATGGACTGAAGCTATATAATATCTGCATGTAAGTATAAGTAACCACAGTTTCAAGGATTAGTTGAATTACAAAATCGGTAGTATTTAAGTTCTTGTTGCCACTGAATTGTTGATTTACAAGTAATTAATACATATGAAAATGAATAAATTTACTATATATGTAATATCTGTATACTCGATTAAAACCTGTGCTGAGATTACACTTAGAAAATGAAAGCTCGCCTTTATTGGTATCATACATAACTATTTAGTATTCCTATAAAAACAAAATTGTTGAACCCACAAAAGCAAGTGTGTTTGTCACACGTGAAATGAGAAGATCAGGTTAATACCTGCGTATTTCTATGCATCTGTGCAATTACAATTATTCACGTATTTGCAAGTGCAAATAATTATGATGCCGACGTGATACATATTCGTATTGTTGTCTGCACATTTCAGGATCCAAACCAGATTCGCATGTTCTTCTTACTTTCAAAATCTCGGTCAGTATTCCACCACCATGAATTTAAAGTTGCCCTTGATCTTGCTCATTTTTGCTTGCAATCTACTCCTCTTCACCAGTACCTTGTTATTACCGTTTGAAATCGGATTTGATCCGAACAAAATAAAATTTTTGCTAGTGAAGGGTTTCGGGTGAGCCCATGTTTTGTAAATATCCAACGAATTTAAGTTAAAATAAAATAATTTGCCCTCAGGCTTCAAGAAGAGATTAAATACCAGGACAAAGTATCTTTACAAGCGAGCTCCTATAAACCGGGTGGATTAACAGTTTTTTTCGTACATGGATTCGGAACTCCTGGAAATCTTTGGCTCTTGCAAAGTAGGCCATGCAAATCTTGCTGGGCAAAAAGATTTTAGTGACTAATTACATTTTAATTCATTAATTAATTTCAGAAAATGTCGTCCTCCCCTTCACAACGGATTCACCGTTCATCGACAATTTCATTTTTGTGGATTGGACAGCTTTATCGGGAAATGTCATCTTCCCCCTCGACCTCCCCCTCCTGTACCCAATTGCCGTTAAGAATGTCGCCGCAGGGGGAAAACGTCTCGCAAATTTTATCGAGTGGCTTTATTACGATGGCAGCATAAATTTGGACAGGATTCATCTAGTGGGCATTTCCCTGGGGGCCCATCTTGTAGGGCGGGCGGGTGCTGAAATGCAATTAATCATGGGTGGAAGGAAGTTGCCCAGAATTACGGGTAGGTCAAATTTTTGCAATAAAATTCGCAAAAAATTTGCCATGCTGTGTTTTCATAGGGCTCGATCCGGCCGGCCCGCTATACTATCCGTCCCATCCGGATTGGAATATTGACAAGAGTGACGCCAGTTTCGTCGATATTTACCACTCGAATGCCGGTTTTTACGGGGAGAGCACATTGGGTGGACATGTCGATTTCATATGTTCGTTAAATTGATTGTACATAATTATTAATTTAGTTAAATGATGCCATATATTTATAAAAATCTTCTAGTGAACAACGGACATGCTCAGCCTGAGTGCAATGTTATCACTGATCTGCTAACTTGCAGCCATAGCTTTTCCGTATATCTGTTTGCTGACTCCTTTAAAAATGCTTATGTAGCGTGTCAATGTTCCAGTAGAGAGTTGGACCCTGGAAATTTTAAGCAATGTCAGGAACAGTGTCCGAACCCTGTTTTTGCAGGGGTTTACACACCACACACGTAATTGAGACAAATTTATATAATTACTTCTCTGGGGAATGTTTAGTTAACAAATATGCTTGCTATAATTAGATTTTCTGTATTTAGAACGCGTGGCGAATATCAAATCACGGCCGAACATCTTCACACTTTATTCGACATTTTGGGATGATAAATTAATTTGAATTTTTAACAAACCAGTTTAAAGTAGATTTATATATTTATTGTTTATCTGTGTAGTGGAATTCAAAATCAGTTTACTTACCGTCGAAAGCCGTCCGTGCATGTGAAATTTACTCAAGGTTGGATACTTGTAATACATGAAATTGAGCAATTAAAGAAGTCCATGAAAGCTAGTAATAAAATTTTGCATACCTGTGTTCCACTATAAGAAAGCTATAGATATAAACTGTAAACTCTAAATTTTTATAAAAGCGTTGATACTTAATGTGCAGTGGCTCCAATGAATGCACATACATATAATTTAACGTGGAATTCAAATTGCAGATTTTTTTAAGTACCTCTTATATTTTTCATAATACTTACTGGGCCCAAGCTAAGTGTTAGTAGCTAATAACTTTAAAACCGCTGGAGATAATGAAAATCTGATAAGTGCGTTGGATTCCTCGTGCGATTTTGCATATATATCATCAATCAGTTTTCAACTGATTCCAAAGCATATCGGCAGAGAAAATGTAGAAAGGACGCGGGCGACGATAATTTTCCACCAAAAAAAGGGGAAGAGAAATGACGAATTTGAAAAATGTGACAGGAATCGAACGTGCACTTTAATTTAGTTCAGCGGGCTAGAAAAACGTTCATGAGGACCCCATCGACTAAGAACAGTCGAAGAAAAATTTTTGGAAAACCTCCAAGGACCACGCCCATCGTGAAGGCGCTGAAGGATAGAATCCTAAGAAATCCACGAAATTCCTACGGAAAATAGCATCACAGCTGACATTGTTGACGCAGATTATCCAATGAGTACTCAAACTGAACCTTAGGGTTAAGGTTTTGAAATGTGGTACTTGCCACCTCTTGATGATACCCAGAAAGAAAGTCCCACTAAGGAAATGAAGTGCTTTCCTCAAGCGGTATGAGCCGAAAAAGTGAAGAAGATTCTGTTTACAGATGAGGAGATTTTCACATCCGAACAAGTTTTTATCACACAAAATGCCATAATCTACGTCAAATCTGTCAAAGATGTCCCCCAATACAGAAAAGAGGTCGAAAGTTCACATCATCCAGGTTTTGTGATGGTTTTGGCAGATTAGAGCTGATTGGGGCAATTTCTCTACATTTTATCCAAAGTAGGGGGAAGGTGAAGGAATAAAATTTCTCAAAATATATTTTTGAGTCCGTGGAACATCCCCTAAGGAGGGGAGCTTGCGAGGTTGATAATAACAGATCCTGATGCCCTTTGGATATGTGGTAGGGTCCCATGAGTGTACTAGAACCCTGAAGTGGTTTGACTCCATGGCCACATTTGCGCCCGCCACACCCACTCAAAAATGCCCAAAAAACGCTTTCACACCAGTTTTCACTCACTCAAATCCACGCCAAAAATCCAATTTTACTCAGATTTTGCAATTTCTTTCACCATTACACTCCCAGATAGTTGCTTTCTTCAATCCAATATCAAACTCAATATTTTCGAAATTTTTAGTATTTTTAAAATTTAAAATTCTGAATGAGCATTGTTGTAGTAATCAACAACGCAAATTATCCCTGCGAAATAATCATCAGCAAAATTGAGTTTGATATTGGATTGAAGAAAGCAACTATCTGGGAGTGTAATGGTGAAAGAAATTTCAAAATCCGAGTAAAATTGGATTTTTGGCGAGGTTTTGAGTGAGTGAAAACTGGAGTGAACGCGTTTTTTGGGTATTTTTGAGTGGGTGTGGCGGGCGCAAATGTGGCCATGGAGTTAAACCACTTCAGGGTTTTAGTACACTCATAGGACCCTACCACATATCCAAAGGGCATCAGGATCTGTTATTATCAACCTCGCAAGCTCCCCTCCTAAGTGAGATCCTATTCAATGAATTCGATAAGACCTCGCAGCATAAATCAGCACCAGTGCATAGTGAAAAAAATGCTGTACGCGTTGCTAAAAAACCAAATTCCAGACTTTATGTCAACTTTCAATGGTTATCCTCCCTGCTGGATTTAAATCCTCGGATTATGAAAAATGGTCAAAGTTAGTGGCAAAGGTGTGTTCTAAGCCTCCTAGAAGTCTGAAAGCTTCAAAAAATTCTTTGATCATGAAATGGAGCAATTTGTCCACGGATTCCGAGCGTGCTCCAATCGAGCGCTGTACGCAGCGTCTTCAGCTCTGCATTAATGTTGGGGAGGAAATTTCAGAAACCAAAAATTGTTTTTTACTTAAAAATTTACTGGCTTTCCATTAAAATGTACTAGAAATTTGTAGCACAAAAACTGCTTAAGCTACAGCGTTTCTATCTACTAACACTTTATTTGGGCCACCTAGTACTTACATGCATACACATACTGCATAAGTCTGTCCTACATATGCGGACAGACAAGAAGCATATTAATATTATGCATTATTACCGGCTTGAGGACAAGTTTATGTCCATCCTTACAAAGGCAAGGTATACGAATTTCTCCGTAATAAACCACAAAAAGTTTGGAGTACTTCGGAGAAGATGTTCCATATTGTGGTACAGGTGCAAACGTAAGATTTACTAGAATTTATACAGTACTTTTTAGTACAAGTACAAACTTACCCCAATCTTGACACGACAGATAAATAAGATTTTTTATTCATACTCGTTACGTGATGGGGAGAATATTCATAATTCGATGGTTGCTGCCAGTGGCCGCGGAAGGTGAGGTGGACGGTAGACCACGAACCTCATTTATTAAAAATATAATCCGCTAGTGTCTTTGACATTCGTGAATATATTTTCATGGTAAAATTTTTTAGGGAAAATGCAACATGCAAAAATATGATTGAAATTTTGAATGCGATACATAAAACATGTGTACATATCTTTGTGGGTGCAATAAAATTCAAAACTGAATGAAAATTTCATAAAACTTCACATACTTTTTATATTCATAGCAATCCTAAACCCGTCTTAAATGCATGTGTCTTATGACAATTGAATTTCATGTTTAACCATTATATTTATTCAAATAGATAGTAGCTGATTTTGGGCTTAAAATTATAATATTTTTTACATTATGTAAATAAGTTTAACATTTTATTGAATCGGTTCATTTTTACAATAAATTGGCATAAATTATGCCGCATGTGTAATTTTCCATGACTTCTTTTCAGATGGAGATACAAATCTGGCCTAAGCCACCCTGGCATTTGAACTTGCATTCGTCACTAACCCACTTGCAAGTGCCTCCATTAAAAATTGGCAATCCCAGAAAAGGTTGATTTGTGCCACACGTTACGCGATCATTCCAGCCGAGACAGCTAGTCGCCAAACAAGCGCAACCGAGGATAGCGTCTACCCGTCCAGGAAAAAAAGACCCGGTTAAAGTAAGAACGACAAGGAGACGAATAAATCGATGCATGATTGCCATTTTGAATCTGGAATTTTGAAAAAGTTTCAGGTTTATGAATGTAATTGTTTTTGCAGTTCGTGATTTACATATGTATGTAGCTTTTGACAAAATTAATTTTAGACTGATGTTTACATCCCAAAGTAATAAGAAAACCATTACGAGACCTTCAGTGATATAGAAATTTTTTTAAACTGAAAAACTAAGAAAAAAACTCAAAAAAGTCAGGTTTTAAAATAAAGTTTTCAGAAACTGACTACAATTTTAAAAGTTTAACCCGCACTTTATACTAATTCGAATTAACGAGTCGGTGTATTTAAATGCGTAAATTATCCTGTGTGTGACCAATTTACGGCATGCACATGGGTGGCTCAGAAATACGGTAGAAAGGAAACTAATTTTACCCAAAAATTCACTTGAAAATGTAGAAATAGATATTATTTGTCGCCTGGCATTTTAATAAATTTTTGGGAAAAATTAACTCTCCTGTTATCTAATTTATGAACCACCCTGTACTTATTTAAAATATATAAATTAAGTAACTTCACCTTCACCTTCTAAAATCCGAAAAATATACCACACTTTTTATGTTTCTGAATTAAAATTATTTGCAACCCAAGAGTGTGTAAGTTGTCTGCTGAACTCTGAGTGAATTTGGGACCAAAGTTAACTATTTAAAGGATATTCTGTCGTAATTGAAGCTAACAAACTTTCATGATTGATAGTTTATTTAATGGGCCATCCATAAATTATGTAGCTCACGAAGGCTTGTCCACGGCTTATCCAGTTTATAGCCTCCATTCTGTTCAGTAAAAAGTATATATATACCTATATAGTTAATTTATTAGTAAATTTTAAACCTCGCGGGGTGCACATAGTTATATATATGGGGCCACGCCGACATAATTAAGGGTACCGTTAACCTAGTTTATAGCCCGCATTTTCTTCAGTACAAAAACAAATAAGACTGGTCCAAGGTGTTTGATACCGCGTGGTTACAATTTGTCGCCAGCCGATTACAATTTTTCCGCGAGACTTGTATGCGCATGCATTCTTATTTTTCCAATATTTTTTACGGTGTACGTTATCAAGAAAACCATAATGCTTTAAGTAAGGTCACACAATTTATGAACGCCCCCTAGTAAGAAGCAGGCAGTGTTCTTTGATAACGTGTCTTACATTGTCTTATATCACAGATACTTACAATTGGGACGCAAACCATGTTTAGCCAAGTTTATTTTTTGGCTACCTTAGTTTGAAAGACGAACTCTTTCGAAAAAATATTTACATAGTTCGGCACGTGCGCAGATGCGAAAAATTAAGCAGTTATGGACACTGCAAGTTCGATAGAGAGAAATTTGACTTTTTAAAATTTGAATACTGGTTTTGTGCTCAGTATTGCATAAAAATGATGCGGCTTGTTTTCGCAAGTTCCGAACTAAATGTTGCCTCAAGAGTTAGTCTTTCAAACGAAGGTAGTAAAACAATAATTTGGGCTGAACATGGTTTGCGTCCACATTGTTAGTTACTGGACGGATGCCTGGACAAAGTTCAGGACAAGCTTGATAACAGATCTGAAATTTAAGTAAAAAAACCCAACACGTTCTGCTCTTCTTCACGGGCAAGGGTTATTGGCAACAGAGCAAGTAAACTGCTCATAAAATTTGACTTTAGACTTGTCCTTAAACCTAATAGTTCATCTATGCCGTACAAATTGGGCAATCTTAATCTTGTTAAGATTCCGCATTCATATACAACTTCTACTGATATACATTGTAATTATAGGCATCTAGAATGTTCAGAATTCCATGGTTGAGTCGCATCGCACATAACCTACGAAATGTTAAGAAAGTGTTGGTTGAACTTTTCAACTTCTGTAAGTACAGTGGCGAATTTAACTTGTCGCTGTACATAAATAAATTTGAGCAGCAACAGTTACTAACAATGAGGAGGTGTGAGGTGGTTATCGCCGATATCCACCGGACTAATTTTAAATTGTTCAGGTTCAAAAAAAAGTGGACCCGTATTTTTTCGTTTTCCTGAATGGGCATGTTTACGCCCTTGGCGGAATTTTCAAAAAAAATTTCAGCCAAAATTCGGATTTTTAAAAACGCTGTAACTTTTCGAATTTTAACCCGATTTCAAAAAATAAACCCAATTTGTGTTCAGAATTACATCCCTGAAAATATAAAAATTCATTTTTAAAAAATTTAAAAATTTGATATTTTCATGCTATTTCTGAGTTTTTAGAAGCCCAAAAAACGGTAATTTTTTGAAAAATAAAAGTTTTTTAAAAATGAATTTTTATATTTTCAGGGATGTAATTCTGAACACAAATTGGGTTTATTTTTTGAAATCGGGTTAAAATTCGAAAAGTTACAGCGTTTTTAAAAATCCGAATTTTGGCTGAAATTTTTTTTGAAAATTTCGCCAAGGGCGTAAATATGCTCATTCAGGAAAACGAAAAAATACGGGTCCACTTATTTTTGAACGTGAACAATTTAAAATTAGTCCGGTGGATATCGGCGATAACCACCTCACACCGTCGCATTGTAAGTAATTTGTGTGTGTGCAGCACAAACTAGATACGCAATTTGTACATATTTTTCAAGATTTATGTGCTCATGACTTTTACTCATGGCACTGAGGAGCATTCCTTGTGTGCTTGTTCCTTCCAGTATTTTGTTTCTTGCAAGTGCGCTTCATATCTTCAAAACACCTCAAAGCAAGAAATGCCAATAAATGCATGACATACGTATGTATGTGCTATCTAGATATATAGGTAGCACCCTATGCGGCAGAAAGATTTTTTGTATTTATTTCACGTCAAAATAAGTAACTGTACGAGACTATTTTCTTGCAGGTATTTACATAAGTTACTTAGACCCGAAACACTTGCCTGCAGTGACCGCAGAAGAAATCTACCATGGGGATGTTAGTCACGTTAGTACTTCGTTACATAGTAGTAATTTCTGAGTCCCATACAAAGATTCTGCAAATATTCCCAAAGAATGATTCCAAAATAAATTGCCCATGGAACTTTCAATTCGTAATGCATGAATCTTTATTGAACATACATATTTTTCACTCATGCGTATTTACGTAGAAGATCATTTTCAAATGCGCCTACAATATTTTTAACCTGATTTTAATACAAATTAGACTATGTAACTTGCAATCCTGAGTAGAATGAACATGTTTATATGCATAATACGTATTTATGTACATATGTACATCTCGATGCGTAGGTACATATGTACATATATACATAGTAAAGGTAAGGAGATAAGTACCACTCATACATATGCACATTATGTAGAAACTCATCCTTAATACTTACGACAAACTTCAAAATATAGTGTATAAGCTTTCACCTTGTGCTGTTATTTAAAATTTATTAACTTTGATAAATGATTTCAATAGCTAGTAGCTACCTTGTATGAAAAATTAATGCATGACTTTCATGCATAAAGAAAGTTTCGTGAAGTTTGTGTCATATGTACATATTCCTGCAAAAGGAATACCTGATATGCTATCGCATGCATTTTACGTGACTTATGTTGCATGTTACATAAGTTATGTATGACATTTCCCGTAGATTCTCTCCCGTCTATGTATGCCTTCCCTTATGTACATACAGCATAGCCGATTTCTGGAGAGAAGGGCACAGCCTACATACATACCTACATGCATATGTACTTTGCTTTACGCCAGCAATATCACCCCGTAGCAAATGTCTACATAAGTTTTGTGCATGCGTCATAAGGAGATAGGTTTTCCATCACCACAATGTTTTTTATCACTAGTTTGCTTATAATATACCGAGTTTTTGTACGCATAGTGCCTACCTAGTAAGTTATCTGTTTATACACAAGTCTAGTCTGACCATGCAGGCAGCATACATACTTTCCATCCATCCATTAGCGTAACATCCATCACGTAATCTGTCTCGCATTCGGCACCCAAGCTTTGCAAATGTACATGTCACTGTACATCCATCATGATGCATCAGAAGCTGGAGGATTTTTTTAGCCGTCCGTCCTTCACACTGAAATTTAGAACGTACAGCTCGTGTTAAACGAGTGTGTCCAGTCTGGTTTGATTGTCAGGTGAATTTGTTATGTAACAGCTGGCTGAGTGATTTAACTGCGTGTTAATTATAGGCGAGATAACTGAGTATGGGTAAATTTGCATTTGCGACAACCGTCCTCCCCGGCGTGTCGAAAGTGGGAGGTCGGATGGATAATAAAGTACAAAATGGGACTGGTGGTGAAGCAGCAATAATTTCTGTATTATGGAATAAAGAGGTAATTAAATTTTATGTATGTGAAGCATGGCACATAAACGCGTAAGCTGGACATGCAAAGTAACATGTGTGTAACTGTGTATAACGGTAACGGTGGTAATATGTTAAAAACAATGACAAAATTAACTCAGGTGTTTGCTACACGGTGAAAAATTTGTAAAATTGAAGAAATCACATCAGTTTATAGTAGCTTACATAATTACGCTGCTAGTTTACCGTGTAGCATAAAATCAGAAAATTCCGAAAAAATATTCCAAAAGTGTCGCTCAAAACCAATTCTTAAGTTACGCCGCACGAAATTTGCATTTTTTGCGCATCACAAACTAGAACGATTACGAATGACGAAGGAAAATCTGCTTTTGCATAAATAAAATTATTCTTTGGATGCAAGAATTTATACAAGTCAAGTTTTTTGATTTTATAAAATTTAATGACACGATTGGTTTAGTGAGTTACAAGTGTCCGAGTTAATTCCGTGATGATTCACGTAAAGGTCTCTGCCTTGCAATGTTTGATGATAATAAAACACAATAACAGGGGTAAATGTATGATAAAAACCTAATCTTGAATAAATATGAGTAAAATTATTTTACAGAGTATACATAGTTTACAAAATTGGTGTGAACATTTCGAATGTTGGTTTATAATGTACAAAACTTAAATACTTCAAAAATAACAAACAAGACTACCTCCTTCCAAAAAACATCTTACGAAACCTTATCATATGAAATCTGTATAATAATAAATCACTTTAAGTGCGCAATTATTTGTCTTTTTAGTTTTTGCACCGCGTCTTCTCTCATCTCGACCTCGCAGAAGACATCAAAGCATGCAGTTTGGTTACCAAAATCTGGGCTGAAGTTGGAGTTTCCGTCCTCCTAAAAAAATTTCCCCTCCGACTCTCAACAGATCTCAACACGCAAAAAGTTCTGACACATATGCACAAATTCCCAGCACAAGTGGAAATTCGCTGTGTCGGCTGCCCCCCAAATTACGCACATTTGGACCAACTTTTAGCCCCCCATGAAAACACGATGGATGTAAAAAGTCTCCACATTATCAACGATGGAATTCTGGGGGAAAGATTTGCTAAATTTTTGGCTCGATCTGGAAATTACTTTCTTAATTCGTTAACAACGGTAATTTTGGTTTATTTATCGTATTTAGTAGTGCCTGTGCAATGAGTTGTCATGGTAACCAACCAATGTCAAGTAAAATCATAAAAATGCAAAATTCAAAGAAGCTCAGAATTGATAATGCTAGAATGTATTTTTTAAGAGAAAAATTTGAAACTATTTTTCAAAAAATAAGAAATAAGTTGTAAGCCGTAACATATTTTTATTTCAACATTGTTGTAGAATTTTTCAAATGCATTATATTTATGGAACGGGTTTTAAATTCTATTTGGCTTCAATTCGTTGAGATTTTGCACAAAAATTTCTAATACTTAAAAATATGGAATCAAAACCTAGTTTTTCTTATTTTTTCTACAGCTTTCTCTGACGTTATCGAGCGGAAAAATGTTTTTGCCACCATGTCGCCCTGATCGACCCGTGTTCCCCACCGTGACCACTTTGTCCATCGACCAAGTCCAAAATCGCGTCCAAAAAGTATCCTGTTGTAGGTTACAAATGGATGATGACGAAAATGGAGAAAATTTCCTCCGTCTTTGTCCCAATCTTACGAACCTCACTGTCCATTCATCCGTTCTCCCCGTTGTTTATGGCGAATTGCTCCAGTTTCCCGAAAATTATCAAGGACTGCAAAGTTTCAAGATAATATGCAACTGTGAGCCGTGTACGAAATGCAATCGACTCTGTTACTCGCTGCTGCCTGAGGTGGACATTCCTCTGACGAAGTTGCACATTACAAATTTTTTCTTAGCGGATGCTGCAGGACCGGGAATACTTTCTAAAATTTTCCACAGATTCTCAGCTACCTTGGAAGAGTTGGAATTTAGCTGGATTCAGTTTACAGATACGTCCAGGGGAACTCTGGTTTGGCCGATAATGCCAAATTTAAAAAAGTATGAAATGCATAAGTTATAAATGAAATTTGTGATGCGATTGCAAAAATTTGCAAGTGTGTTAACCGATGTAGAATTAAATCGATGTAAATGTTCAATCGTTAATCATTTAGCTATAATTTTTTTACCAATTTTGAAAATCTCCATTTTATGTGTTAGTTTTGCTAGCGCATGCAGTTGATATTAATAACTGCATTGAAATCGATAAAATTCTTACAAATATTTCCATAACCTTAAATTTTACTAAAAATAGTAGTACTGAAAATTTTCTGTTTTTCCAGACTAACAATGCACATTGGGAACAGGACCGACCCGAAATTTAATCCTGAGCAGCCTCTCTCATGTGTCGAATTTTTGTACGAAACTGGCGACTTGGAGAGAGGCCTTGATCTCAATTACTCGACCCAATTTCCTAGCCTAGTACAACTCTCAATTATTTGCTGCAATGAAACCCAACACGACAAATTTCGTTACTCTTTCGAAATTTACAAAATGTTCTTTCCCCACGACACGCAAACCTGGGATAGTTTGACCACGCTGGACATCACGTTTCCACCGATTTGTCCAGAAGACGAGGATCCCAATACGAAGAGATGGTTTAATTGTTGGAGAGCTGGGAAATATTATGATTATAACAGGTTTTGCAGCAAAATTGCAAAAATACTGCCCAATTGGAAGACTCCGAGGTTGACGGATAATACTTAACAGATATTGAGTATCTTCATCCTTTCAGTATTTACATATTTTCAAAGATATGTGATTAAGTGATTCAAATTCAATTCAATGTTCAAATCAGTGTATACCTACATAAGTATATGCATAATAAATTCCTATTTCTGTTAACTTTACGTAAAACACAACCTGTCCTTATCCGTACAAGTAGATATGTAAATGTATCCAAAAATACAGTACGGATAAGAAACATTACGGTGATTGTAACCCTATATCCTTACATATGTACAATGTACACACAGTAAGTAGGCTATTTTTGCTGTGGGGTGATGTTGTTAGAGTACTATTTTTGTAAGTATATGTTCACTTACATGGGAATCAATTCTTTACAAAAGTCAGCAATATGTACATATCCAAGTATGTATGTAGATATACCTTAAATTGACGGGTATTGTCGGGATGGACAAAAGAGAATCTATTTGCGTGAAATGTCATGAGTGGATGTGCATATGTGCATAAATAATTAAGTGTTGAAATATGTATGTAGCTCGTACATTTGCAAGAATGCATGAATCAGCATGACATAAATCTTGCGTTTTTAAACTTATCTTGTGAAAGTCAACAATTTTGTTTATGCATAACTAAACTATGCAGTAAATATGATATCATTTGTCAAAGGTTCCCGAAGCAACACAAAGTGAAAGAGAGTAAGAAATGAAATTTTAAAAATATAGATATGCAAATCGTGAAAACTTAAGTGCAATATGATAAGTGAATCAACTTTGTGTACTCGATAATAAATTATTTAGCTATGGAATTATTTTGATAAATATGTGGTAAATTAGTTTTTTGTTTACTTTGATTCTGACAAGGGACACTCATGACCTGTCGTTTGAGTCCAGGGTGGCCACTATGTTTTTTAGAATCTGCTAGGACCCCAGATGAAGGATTCATTCATATTTCCGTGTAAAACTCATATTTGGCGTCATGCCGTGGCGCCAAATTCGCCAAATTTGAATGTTTTTATTTTTGAAACCGCCAGAACTTTTGAAATCCTGGACGGATTTTAAAAATTTTTGGCAAAAATCATGACAAGGAGTTAAACTTTCGTATTCCATGAAATTTTTTCCAAAATTATCGCTTTTAACTTTTCGAAAAATTTCGTAATTTTCTTAGAAATGGGGGTTCGTCGAAAAAATGCTAAAAATATCTCAAAAATTAGAAATTTTTTATTTTTATTTTTTTCTCAAAAATTTTGACTTTTGTGGTCATTTTAAGCATAAAATTTTGAAAATCCGACATAAACTACAAAAGTTATGAGGGGTTGAAATTGGTCGAAAATGCAAATTTCTAAGTTTGGCGCCACGCCATGGCGCCAAATATGAGTTTTACACGGAAATATGAATGAATCCTTCATCTGGGGTCCTAGTAGATTCAAAATAACATAGTGGGTACCCTGGACTCAAACGACAGGTCATGAGTGTCCCTTGTGAGTACAGGAAAGGTTTCCTATGTACATTTATTAGTGTACTCCGGTTTGAAGTTATCAAAAAATTATACTTTTAGCACTTTATTTTAGCTCAAATATAATTACTAGAACTAGTCAATAATCACTATTCCTTTAAACAAGATATATATTTACCATACATACATTCCTACCTAGTATGTAAAAACACTTTCATCCTAGGAGATTCAACACCGGTTTTTCAAAACCGGAAAAACCGGAGAAAAACCGGTTTTCGGTGAAACCGGAAACCGGTTTTGGTAATTCTAAAAACCGGTTTTTCGTCAAAATTTTAAATTTTTAAACGCTATTATTTTTCGAATTTTGACGCTATTTAAACAAAATTGATAACATTCAAGCCTAAAATTAAGGCCTGCAATTATTTTGAAAAACTATTTGATAATTTTTAACAGAATTTTGCTAGTTGTTTGGAATAACACAATTTAAAAAGTTGCAAAAACAATCAACAAAATTAATAGCAATGAATTTGAAAAACTACATAAATTATTAGCAGGTAGTCGTGGGTTCGTATCCAACTGCGATAATGGCGTTTTAAACCCTTTAAATTTTTAGGCGATTCCGTATTTCATTCATAAATTAATACTCGGAACTGCAAATTTCTATTTACATAAATTATATTTTCAAATAAACTTCGAACGTGGTTCTAACCTAGAAACACGTGCAAAAACCTGAAGTTATATCATTTTAACAGCTTTAAGTTTTGCCTGAAAATTGTATGAATGCGTATTTTGAAAAGTCATACATGTGTACGTATGACTTATGCATTTAAGAAAATGCTTATTTTGTCCAGGAATAGACACAAATTTCTCCGGTCAAAATCTAGTTCAAATGTTACAGTAAGGTTGTTCGTGCAAGCATTCGCGAAAAATGGGCAACCTTGCAAATGGATAAAATCTTAAAGATGACACACTAGTCTCTTTTTTATCTAATTTCCTACGAATGTAGTATTTTCTTCTGGATGACATATCGAAGTAGATAATGCTTTTCTATAATTTTTAGAATACAACTAGGCTTCGGTTACATATTTACAATTAATTAGCATCTTCATATTACTACAGATAATTAACAGATAATCTATTCCTAAGTTGCATACAGTCAAGAGCAAAACTTTACGACATATGGAAGAGACTTTTGGGACATGTTATTCAAATGGGGAATTAAAGGCCGTAAAGTTTTGCACCGCGTACCTTTCCGAATAATTTTTTTAACGCTGTGATATAATTTTTATTGAATAAAGCGTGCAAAAGTAGGGGGTGACGTGGTAAATTATTTTTGTCGCCGAATTTTTTTCAAAGAACTACAAGGAATTGAAAGAATTAATTTTGGAAGAGACTTTTGGGACAACACATTGTGCTTATGGCTGTCCCAAAAGTCTCTTCCAAAATTAATTCTTTCAATTCCTTGTAGTTCCTTGAAAAAAATTCGGCGACAAAAATAATTTACCACGTCACCCCCTACTTTTGCACGCTTTATTCAATAAAAATTATATCACAGCGTTAAAAAAATTATTCGGAAAGGTACGCGGTGCAAAACTTTACGGCCTTTAATTCCCCATTTGAATAACATGTCCCAAAAGTCTCTTCCATATGTCGTAAAGTTTTGCTCTTGACTGTATTTAGTTCCTCAAAGAATTAGAGAAGATATATTTTTTAATTAGTTTGACGTTTGTCGTGAATCTTTCCGTTTGAAACTCTCTTGACCTTCTCTTCCAAGACTTACGCCCTATTAATCCTCTGGACGTGACCTCTTTATGTCCCCGAATCCACCAACCAAACTTCCTCCCAATAGATGATAAGACGGATGCTGACCCAGATGCTGATGTGACCGATATGCTAAGGTGACCGTGATGACAATGCTGGAGGGGAAGTGGATTTCCAGAAATGAATCCGAGGACCAAGTCAAGATGTGCTTTCGACGGAGGCTTTATTCACTCTGATCTTAAAGACTCAAATACAATACAATTTATCTATGTGTGTGAGCACAACGTGTTCACTATAATGCGGATCGAGCACGTAGATCGGCCCACGTGCTGCAGAGGGTGCTGGTGGCCCCGTTACACGTTAGGCCATTGTGCATAAGGTCAGGCTTTTAAACCTACGATACCCACATACTTAATTTTTCTCCCCATCTAGTGCACAAAATATTATTTCGGGAAAACGGTGAAAAACCGGTTTTTCACCGGTTTTGGTGGGTGAAAAACCGAAAACCGGTTTTCAGAAAAGGGTCCGGTTTTGAATTCCCTATTTCATCCGTGCTCATAAACTTTATGCATTGTGTATGTACAAACAAGCATATGTTTGCAAGTTTTGGAACTTTGCAGAACTACTCAACTTCAAAGTTATTAAAAACATGAAAGAAAAATGATTATTTTGATTATATGTAAAATTAGTTAAAATTCATATCTGAACTGAAACTTATGTATGCTCGAAAATATAAATGCAAAAATTTCATGTCAGGTACTTACACATAGTTTCTATCACAGTTTAGTTTAAGTCTCATTTTAACTACATTTCCTTTTCTAAGTCCTGTTTATTCTGTCCATGCATAAATCCATTTCGATTTTTACGTCAATAATTCACCAAAATCAATGTGTTTAGTAACAGGTAATTTCTCATGCTTTTCCGTGTGATAAATTATTTATCTGACCAATTCTATTATTAAATTTTTCACTTGTAACGTTTCATGCTTTACTAATTTTTTTGGCAAGCGTAATAAATGCACGTTATTCATATTATTCGCTCATATTTATTATTTATGAACAATGCATTATAAATTTCTAATAATTACTAATGATAATTAGTACAGGAATAACTAAGAATTTTAATTAACAACAAAATAATTTTTGGTGGGAGATATGATCTAAAATACATACATATATACACACATAAATAAAATCCTTAAATAAGGTAAATAATACAGTTGACTGATTGTCAATCTTAATATAATTATGTAAATGCTTACATACAGAAATACATATATACTTATTAATATTCTTGTTTATGTTAAATTCTATTCCACATTAACCACCGAATAGTCTGTTGAAAGCTCTGATAATAACCTACACTCATTAATGCAACTGTTTAAAACTGTCTCAGCAGAGCTAGTGCTTGGAAAATAGTCTCCAAGTCCAACCACTCCTACCGCTGATTCCCCATTGTACGTAAAGAAGCCGAGGCCATAGGCGAATCCTATGAGAAGGAAGGACACCATATTATTAAAATTATGAAGAAATGATGTAAAGCTTCTGTGAATTTATGAATATCTTAAATTATGTGATGTAGACAAATTCAACACGTCTTTAACATAATTTTCGTCACCCCATATCTTCTAACGACAAATGTCCACACTGGACAGGAAAAAAATCGATGGACAGTGAACAAAATTTATTTGGGTGGAAAGTGGACAGTATTTTTTTTGGTGGACAGTGGATGCTGAAATTGGAAGCTAGATAGATGTCCCGTACCTACGAAGGTTCCCAAACTTGCAAAAATTTCTTGCATAATTTTTCTGCACGAACAAATGCCAATTTACGAAATTAAGTAGCACGTTTTTCGTTCATAAGCTTGTTTCGCATGTATTTTTCTATTTTCGTGAATTAAACTGTTCGAAAAGTATGAAATTAACATACCGACGTCCGAAGATATCGTTCCTGAATACCGTCATTATTTCTACCTCACTGAACAGTACATCACCTTTCGACATATCGCGCAAACCCTCATGTTTTTTTAACCAAAAGTAAAAACAAATTGCATAAATTGATCTGTTAAATTCTTACCTGTTGACGATTTATAGGGAACGTTAAGTCCAAATTTCATATTTTGTATTTCGCTCCCCGCCAGGAAACAGCGAGCCGGAGGTCCCACCATGTTGTTCAAAACGACAGGAAACAGTTTCCGAACCCTGTCGTTCCATGATCTTAAGAGCGGGATTGGTACAGAGCCATGTAGCAGGGCAATTAAGTGAATTGTACTTGGAAGGCTGGAGTGCAAGAATGTAACAACCCTTTTGGAAATAAGGTGAAGACGTCGAATCGGATCTGGTTCTCCAATTGGAAGAAGAACGAAACACATCGAACTGGAATGACATGTTTTATTTTAATTTAAATGTTAAATACTTCATTTGAATTTTTCCAGAAGAAAGACACAATGAAGACATTCATTGCGAGTTCGCAACATTGCAAAAAAACAAATCGCAAGTTCGCAAAAAATTGGCTTTAAAATTCATTTTCGAACTTCTTCATCTCCAAGGCTAGTATTTAGTTTGCAATTTTATTTCCAAAATTAAGTTGCATGCGAACATGCGAACTCGTAATGAATACCCCCAATAATTGTATGTAATAGATTCCATCATAAATTTGCATACCAATGGTTGCAGAGCTTATTCGGATGTCCAGGCAACGGGATGGGACACGCGACTTTGATCTCGTCGGGTACTTGGAGACCCTTGTTGATGAAGGCTTCTCGTATGGACCCTGACAATCCAGTCAATAAGAGGGACATGAAGTCCACCCCCAGTTTTGATCGGATAGCTTTCATCTCACTTAATGCTGGACCCTGAACCGCGGCAAAACACAAGCTTTCGGACGAGTTTTTGCTGATTGGAACTGTGGGCATAATGAGACATATTCTTTGACCCTGTTGAATATATGTATGCATATTTATTGTTATTGCATGCCTTCTTCTGGGATAAGTGTGGTGCTGGAGTTCAACGTTCTACTTAATTTGACCATTTCATACGGCGCCTTAATAAAGTTGGGCGAAATTAAGCAGCTTCTCCCTCTTGAAGCATTAGGAAGTGGAATAACGGACGCTAAGGGTACGCTATTTTCAGTAGTGAACATCCGTGCCGCCAGTTTAAAGAGGGACCATCCATCTGCGATGATGTGATGAATCCTGAACATGACGAGACTCTTGCCGTCTAATTTTTCCACCACGAGCCACTCCCAGAGAGGCTGGCCCTTCTTCCAACGTCTGTCACGAAGGAGGTGGTTCGATAAGGCGTTAAAGTCTTCGGGATCATCGATGCTTTTTAGGTTGGGAACATCTACAGGAGTATAGAATGAAAATTTAGCCCAATAAGTACAAATTATGTAATAATGGGCATGTTCGGTGTAATTTTTAACTATTTTTCATGGGGGGCTATGAAATTAAATGTAGAAATTAAATGTAAGCCGTTACAAATACATATTTACATTCATACATGTGTGTATGTCTAAACTTTTGGTATTTCGCTTCTTCACTCGAAATGTAGTTTTACCGTTTGGTTGCATAAATTTGTATACTATTATTCGTAAAGATTTGAAGATTTCGAATTTTAGCAACAAAAACTGGTTTGCATATCAAAACGCGATGGGTGACTCGCAAAAAATATTATTCATATTTACACCTCTGGTTAAGTAGACAATCTGTCTACAGTTTTAAAGGAACCACTTTTTAACCGTGTACAATGAGTGTTTACCTTACACCTTATAACTAACCACAATTTCAACCAGGATTGATGTTTTTCCAACCTCATGTACGCGAAGATGTACGGGTGGGGAAAACTAGTAATTTGTTCCCACTTTTCCCGATGAATTTCCCCTAGGGGAATTTCTTAGGAATTTCTTCCTTAGTTGAAACCTTGTTGAAAATAGGGCAGAATTGGTCTGCGTATATATGTATGTTCAGAGATTCTTATCGGATCAGAATTGCAACCTACATAATGCATAGAAATCAACTAATCAATATTGTTCCCCACCTAAATAACTGAAATGATCCTCAATCTTAAAAGAGGGACACGGTCGCCAAAAGTAGTAGCCAAATTTTTCCTCCAAACAAGACGTTAATTCCGGGTAGGCCAATTTCGACGAAGGATCAGTTTCGCATATTTTCGCAGATAAAATCGTTTTCTCAAAATCTGTCCGTAACTTTTGCAAATCAAATGTCTCCTGGTGAATTTCAAACGTAGTCGCAATCGTCCAGGAATGTGTGTCATAAACGTCCGTGGAAGCTGTACGATTTAGAAAACTAGTAAAAATTTACAAAATTCGGATTAAATCGCCCATTAATTTACACACCCATTCCAACCGAACTGGGGTCAACTATTCTCCATCCTTGTCCGCAGTGTCGAAAGTAAACCAGCGCTTTGATACAGCTCCTCCAAAACAGGATACCAATCGCGAAAAGGATCGTGCATGGAAGAAAAATTGTGTACGCGAGTATCGAAAGCAGCACAACTTTCAAAGTTTCGGACATGGTACGCATTTCAAAAATTATGCAATCACTAAAATGCGCACCTTAAGCTCGGGATGAAAGTAAGTCCGTTGGGAATGACGCGATTTTGGAAACTGGTTCCTTCATCGAAGTTAATCATTGGAACTGGTCCGATTACGAAGAAAGGGACAGTGATCGAGTTGATAAGTGTGCATACATAAATACATGGATAGATATAGATATAATAAGTATTTTATCGTAGACATGTGCAGGAATTATGTCCTGGTGGTAAAAACCAGTTGTGCTATGGATATTTTTAAGATGTGTGATACCTCAATGTATATTTATATGCTAATTTGTTCAAGGGCAAGTTCATCATAATCTAGAGACAAAGACAGAAGCGGCTTGGGATGTCGATGCGCGTGCGTAGGAAGAAAAGTTACGGAATTAGAAAAAAATTGCAGCATATTTACATATCTATTTAAGTAATTGTAATTGCTGGATTTTATTCTTAGGACAATTTTTGTTGCTTCCTAATCTTATCCTAATTATCCCATCCTAATTTTATCCCATTTTTCCTAATCTTTCTAATTTTATGTAAGTAGCAAGAATAACAAATTTCTCTTGTAAGATTTGTTGAAGACAAATACTTTTAAAATTAATGATTTCAGTTGGTTGCAAAACAAATGTTCCATGTGAAAAGGACTATTTTAAGGGTACTCGTATATTGCGAATAAATTGGATGGATGTACCTGTATCTGCATATGCAACTGCGGATTGAAGTTTTGATGCCCCCATACAGGTAAGTACATATGTAAAAATAGGTAATCTAAGTACTACAATGAATAAATAAGGAAAGGTAATTTATTTACTGATATTAGCAAAATGTTCAGGATATGCACATGCATGTTCAATTGTAAGCGTCCATAGTTATATCGGTAACAGGTTTATGCATTTATAATGCATAATTTTTCCTAAATGAGTTTGATTTATATGACTACGACTCACTTTATTTAGTTGCTCGACTACCTGTTTGTCTACAAAGTCAAGTGCATGTAGGAACAGGGAAGAATTGAGAACAAACAAGATCCTTACTTTTACCATGAACTTCCTCAAAAACTAGTTTATTGATGCTTATTGGCTAATAAAGATACATATGATTACTTGAATTTTTAGCAGACAAAAGTGGAATACTGAAGCTTGTATAGGTACACTGACAAATGACGATTTTATTTATCTTCCTAAGATATCGAATGGGGTGTGAAGATGTTCGGCTGTGATGTGATACTCGCCTCGCGCTCTAAATACGTAAAATGTAATTATTTAAAATATGACATATAAATTTGTATGCATTTTCCAGAGAAATAACTACGTAAATATGTGTCAATTACGTGTGTGGTGTGTAAACCCCAGCAAAAATAGGGTTCGGACATTGTTCCTGACATTGCTTAAAGTTTCCGGGGTCCAATTCTCTGCTGGAGCATTGACACGCTACGTAAGCTTTCTTAAAAGTGTCAAGATATAAAAACAGAGCAAAGTCATGACTGCAAGTCAAGAGATCAGTGATAAAATTGCACCCAGGCTGAGCGTGTCCGTTGTTTACTGGAATATTTTCATAAATATATTGCATCAATTAATTCTGACTGTTGATCGTAAAACGACTTGCCTGATCAGTATTTTTCGAAATTTTGACATAGAAACCGAATTTTTGCAAGAATTACGCTGTTTTTAGCTTGAGTAAAGGCTTATGTGCCCGTCACGTCCGTCTGTCTGTCTTGCGATAACTGTCGTAAAACCAATCCGATCGACTTAAAATTTTGCACATATATAGTATGGGTCAAATGAGGAGGTAAATTCGAAGATGGGCGAAATAATCGGTCAAGTGGTTGACCGGTGGGGGTCATACAGGTGGGTGGGGTATTATGTACCAAAATTTGAAAATTATCGTAAAAGGCTGAAATTTGGTACAGAGGTTGCTAATAGTTTCTAATGAAAGAATATAAAGTAAAATTGCAAAAATTTTCATCTGGAGGGACCCTAGGGGGTGACCCATACCGATCTTTAAAACTCATCCAATCGAGTTGACAATGTCAACTTGACATTTGGTAGACAAGTTGATAATGGCTCTTAATGGAACAATACGGATTAAAATAGGAAAGAATATTTATCTGGAGGACCTATTGGATGACCCATGCGTATTTTTTGAAATTTTAGTCTCAAGCTGAAATTTGTTAAATAGACTGCCAATTGTTATTAATGGAAGAATGTGAATTTAAATTGGAAAAAACCATTTACATTTTTAAAATTTTTTGAAATCCATTTACGAAAAAATTTCATACAAAAAAGTTGGGACCTGACTCGGGCTATATCAAGTCTGTTATGTAGGTTTTTTTTTACTGTAACCAGGAAACTTCACTAAAAATTTCGAAAAATACTGATCAGGCAAGTCGTTTTACGATCAACAGTCAGAATTATATTAGTATTTATTATGCAAATATGGACTGGTCACTGATTGAAAGTGTCAAGTTATTTTGACCTGCAAAAAATGAATGCATGAATTAAATCTAATGAAACTTTTGTGCAATACTAAGAATGACCAGACGGAAGTTTTTTAATCCTTCATTGGTCCAAATCCACCTTCCCTACCGGTGGAGAGAACGCTTCGTCGCACACCTCTCATGAGCGGTTTGCCACTCGTTTCACCAACTTCCATGATGAATTTATTCATAACCCATCGAAACTTTGAAATTTGTTGGTGTCCCTTTTTCTAAGTATATTGTTTCTCAATTAGTGCCCAAAAGTTTTCAATGGACCGACATTGAGGTATGTTTAGAGCGATGTCTTTTTTATCGACGAAATCAGTTTTTTTCCTTCCATGGTACGCTGTCATTATTTTGGCATTCTAGCACGTACCCATGTCAGACCAAAATAAAACGCGTTTGTTTTTAATAGAGGGGGTCAATCTTTTGATGATAAACTCTTTTAAATAAACTGCAGAGTTCGTATTCTTGGTGGAAGAGAATGGATTGGAGACCCTCCGATTTTTGTCACTCGTCAGCCATTTTATATATTTCATTGGAAATTTTCCTTGGTTTTGAAATTATATTTCGAACGAACGTCATTTTTACTTGTACATGAGCAGAACTTTACACGATTGACGCTTCGAGGTCAGCGGGGCAGTAGTTTTCATCATCCACGGCGAGAAACTTCTGGGAGACGATTTCAACATTTTCTCAACAAGTTTTCGATAAATTGTTTTAGCCCCGGATTTTTTATCTTCATTGTATTTTAGCGCGGTTATAAAGTTGCAAGTTTTGAAGCCCAACTTATTGGCTATGATCTTGCGAAGATAGGTTTTTGAAATTTATAGTTGTCTGGGTGCAACCCTCAGGGAGATGTTGGGGTTTTCGCCAAAACATTTTTTCCGTTTCGTGTCAGTATATTGGTCTCCTGACGGACGGTTTGATAAGGCAAAATTTTGTGTTTTACATTTTTACGATCGTTATAACTGTATAGTGTGTGATTAATTTTGCCCGGTGCATCCCTTGAAAAATGAGGTGGTCACGAGCCTTTTTCCGATCCGAGAAAATCACTTTTTCGCACGAGTGGCAAATTAATTTTTCCAGTTCCTCTAAATTTTGTGCTGTCATTTTTTAACGAAAAGAGATAATCAAATTCTGTTTTCAGTTTTAGAAAGCTTATCAAATTTGCAAATTTTTATGCTTTTTTACATATCCAAAATTAGTTTTTAAGTGTTTGAAAAAGTAGGGGGAACCTTGACACTTTCAATCAGTGACCAGTCCATACAATTAAATTAACGTACATATGAAATCAACATGTCCACCCAGCGTGCTCTCCCCGTAAAAACCGGCATTCGAGTGGTAAATATCGACAAAACTGGCGTCACTCTTGTCAATATTCCAATCAGGGTGGGACGGATAATACAGCGGGCCGGCTGGATCGAGCCCTATGAAAAATACAGCGTTGCAAATCGTTGCGAATTTTACTGCAAAAATTTGACCTACCCGTAATTCGTGGCAGTTTCCTTCCACCCATGCTTAATTGAATTTCAGTGCCCACCCGCCCGAGGAGATGGGCTCCGAGGGAAATGCCAACTAGATGAATCCTGTCCAAATTTATGCTGCCATCGTAATGAAGCCATTCTATAAAATTCGCGACCCGTTTTCCCGCAGTGGCGACATTCTTAACCGCAATTGGGTACAGGAGTGGCAGGTCGAGGGGGAAGATGACATTTCCCGATAAAGCTGACCAATCCACAAAAATGTAGTTGTCAATGAAGGGCGAATCCGTTGTGAAGGGGGAGACGATATTTCCTACAATGAATTTATTAATTTAAATTAAATTATTCTGGAGGATAATCATTTTTACAAGATAAGGTGCTAAAGCATACCCATTGTAACGTAAAAAATAGCGGGTGTTGCGAATCCATGTGTGAGAAAGACTGTTAATCCACCCGGTTTAAAAGAGGTTGATTGTAGGGATGCCTTATCCTGGTATTTAATCTCTTTGTAAACCCTAAGAACATTTTATCTAACTTCATATTTCACGTTACCATGTATTTACACAGCTAACTATCAACACTAGCGTCGTTGATGCATTCGGTGATATCACATTTGTTGGGCGTTATATTTATGTATCCCCCAACATGGTGCTCTGCACTATTAGAAATCCAGTATTAAAATAATACCAAGTGGTATTCATATACCTATTACTCTACCAAAGTGGTATTGATACGTATGTATGTAATACTGTGCAGAAATAGTTCAGTATTCAACTTTTACCATATCGGTAGCAAACTTTTAACGGGTATAATTTTAATAGTATGTAAGCGGTAGCAACTTTAATACCAAGAAATCTATACCTACTTCACTATACCAAATTTCTAACAGTGTTGGGACGAATTAAACGGTCAAAAATTGAGATAGCACACAATGCACCTTCAACGACGATATGTTTCTATCTGTAAACTAACCCCGGACCTTTTACCAGCAAGAATTTTATTTTGTTCGGATCGAAACCGATTTCAAACGGTAGTAACAATGTATTGGTGGAGAAGAGTAGATTGCAAGCAAAAATGAGCAAGATCAAGGGCAACTTTAAACTCATGATGGTGAAATGGTGACCGAGATTTCGAATGTGAGATGAGCATATAAATCTGGTTTATGTACATCATAAAATGCGTGGACACCTATAATGCATTGATATACTTGGATATAGCAATTCATTAAATAAATTGTAGTTTATGCAGGTGTGCAGTTTTAGCACGTTTGAATAGATAAGTATCCACACAAATAACTTGTCAAGCAAGTATTGTATATGCACATGGAAATAAGTATGTATCAAATAAATATTTAGGTAGATATTCGTTGGAACAACAGGTTTCCTGTGTGGGCTACATGTTCTGATTTTATGGCTATTTAGGTAGATTATCATTTTTATTATGCATTTATGATTTTATGTCGAATGACAAAAAATAATTTTTGGTTTCTGCTTTTTATAATTTGGGATGACATACATTATGTATCTATGTGGATTAATTAATTAAAAACTCCAAGATAACAAGAAATCATTTAGCGACAATGCGAAATAAATATTAACTGACGTAGATATAGATAAATTATTCGGAGATGTTTACATAAATTAGTTTGAGATAAATATTTTAATATATATGTGCACATTTTTTCGAACTTTGACCTGCATGAAATCTCTACATGCAACATAGAATAGAATGCTGATTAAGTTCTTGGTTACAAACAGTGACAAATTCGCGTCTCATCCTTAACCGCTTCAATGTAGTAAAAATTGTCATGATTGTTCACCAGCCCTTGACCGGGGTCGTTAATTTAATCCCGAAATTAGATACACACTATGCTCAACTGAATGCGGTTTGAAGTTTACCTGTAAAAACCTTTTTGTGCGCAGGGGCGTAAAAGAGAAATTTAGCATTTTAAATTTGTGAAAAATGAAAAAAAAATTCCAACTTTCGAAAAAGTACGGATCCCTTAGTATACACTTAATGGTGAGCAAGGTTAAAATCTGAACAAATTCCATCAAAAATATCTGCATGTGTAGTATGCAAAACGCACTTATGTATGTAAGTCTATGTACATAGATACTGTATCCACCCCTCTAATTCTGTAAGTACTAGACACTCGTATTTGTAATACAAGTAATTGTATGGGTATAAATACGTATGTACAAAAGCATGTACTTATTTATTACTTATCGTTAATTAAAGTAATTTGCCAGCTAAAATATCCCAGTGCTTTCCTGACTTCCATAAAATTTGTAAACTTAAATTATGCTCCAGATTCTGTCATCCGCTGGAACTCCTTAGTGCAGGAAAATCAACTTGGTACTCACCACGTGTCCTGATTGAATTAAGGCATCAGAATAAAGCACGTCCAATTTCAACTATGAGCATATATGTATGTAAGTATACACATAAATACGTTATGTACATACGTGTGTGGTACGTATACTCCCGCAAAAACTGGATTCGGACATTGTGCACGGCACGTCTGAAAATTTGCCGCATCCAACTCACGACTCGAACATTGGCATCCGATGTAAGCCTTTCGAAAAGTAGCGGCAAACCAATAATTAGCAAAAGTATGACTACAACCATCAAATTCCGAAATGATGTCACAGCCCGGTTGAAAGTGTCCGCCATTTACTGAAATACAAAAACTGATACATGAACCATGATGCCTGAAAGGTTTCCTTATTCAACTGATTTAACCAACGCATAAAGTCTGCATGTCCGTCCAACGAGCTATCACCGGCCAAACCGGCGTTTGTGTGATAAACGTCGACAAAGTAGGCGTCATTCTTGTCAATCTTCCATTCTGAAGGTGAATCATATAAAGGTCCGGCGGGATCTAGGCCTGAATGTGAAAAGGAGCGTTCCGAATTATTTGTGCAAAGTAACTAAGGTATTCACCTGCAAATCTAAGCTATGTACACATTTTAATATTTTGTTTGTAATGCAAAGTCTAAAAATACAGGCGGTATTCATTACGATTTCGCATGCTCGCATCGCAACATAATTGTAAAAAATTCGAACTAGCCTTGGAGATGAGTAAGTTGGTAAATGAATTTTTAAGCCAAACTACATATTTTTTTAGGAACTTTCGAGATTTGTTTTCAGCTAACATTGCGAATTCGTAATGAATACCCCCAGTATTTATCTACGCAGAAAACTTGCATGAAACTGTACCAAGTGCTACGTATACTACATATATTTACTCCACATGGAACTAAAAAAATGTGCTTATATAAGTTGATTCACCCGTAATTCGTGGTAACTTCCTGCCTCCCATGATCAATTGAATTTCAGTTCCAATCCGACCCGCAAGATGTGCTCCGAGTGAATGCCCGATGATGTGAATTCGATCCAAATTTAAATAATTATTGTATGTAAGCCACGCAATAAAATTGGTTATCCTATCCGCAGTCGTTTTGATGTTCTTTATGGCTGCTAAGTACTCGAGTGGAATGTCCGGAGGGAAGAGGACTTTTCCTGAAAGCTTACTCCAGTCGACGATAATAAAATTGTCGACAATCTTTGACTCCGTGATGGGAATAATCAACTCTGAACAAATTTAGAATGAATTTTGTCACAATTTTTAATTAGATTAACAATGCATTTAATGCATTGTTTTTCTTTTCATTACTCTCTGAAAAAATGTAGCTCATCGGACTAACGAATCCATGAAGATTAATAACAGTCAATCCTCCTGGTTTAAAGAAACTGTTGCGTAGCGATAGTTCATCCCCGTATTTAATTTCTTGTTTGAAACTGAAAATACATAGTAGCATAATTGTGACTGTTGTTTTAATAAAAAATAAAGAGGGTCTTCATGACGAGTTCGCATCGTTATAAAAAAAGTTCGCAAGCTCGCCAAAATATTTTAGTTGAAAATTAATTTCAGAACTTGCGAATCTGCAAGGCTGTATTTAAGTTATGCATAATAAAGCATAGTTCGGCTTATTTGTGCGTGTCACCTAATTTGCATACTTTGACTCATTCGCGAGACAGGGTTTATTCAACATGGAAAGCCCGTATCACCAAAAATGGAGATACTGAGATTTATGCAAATGAGGTAACACGCACGAATAATTCCACTGTGTGCCAGAATTTTACTGCTTACTTTACCTTATACTTTGTATTAGATAGAATTTTATGTCGTCTGGATTGAATCCGATTTCAAAGGGGAGAAGCACATTTGCACAGAGTGGAAGATTTGCAACAAAACTTAAAACTATTAATGAGTGGAGTGGCATGGTCACGATTATTTGATGCAAATGATGATGTGGTTATTCTTTGATGGAACATATAGCATCACATCCTTCTGATAATTTGGTTTAAACCTGTTATTTAAATGCTAATAGAACAAGTACTCAAGGGTCGATTTTCAGGTACGCGGAGTACGACGTGTTTTAATATTTACAGCCTGCTTTGGCACATATTTACATAATTTGGACCAGTTTTTTCATTTATATTCATGAGTGAAAGTGATTAAGGTACTAAAGTTAAATTGACGGATTGATCTTTAGATATTTAGTCAATATAGGTTTTTGTGTATGTACGGCTAATGAGATGTCGGCATTATGTAATGGTACCTAAATAAATCCAAGTTGTTTTTTTGAAGCATCATCTACATATGCAAGTACATATTTAATGTGATAAGCAAAATCCGGAAATGATTGCTTATGTAAAACAATAGAAAATGCGATTTAAATAATAAAGTAATATAGACAGACGGATCTATAAAAATGGCTAAAAGCTTTCAAAGCAGACCAATTATTCTGCTACCTTAATCAAATTTTTGTAGCTTTATATGTGTTGTTTTTCGTAGCATATGTTATATAAATACACAACCACGATATACATTTAAGCTGCATGTGGCAAAAATTGGAATATAATTTTTACGCTAATCAGACTCGATTTATCACTTGTTGACAAATCCTCAAACTTTAAAATGCTCTCAAAAGTCACCTCATAGATTTTTCTGCAGATTACATTACAGAAAGTAATAAATGTATTTATGTACGTTGCGAATTAATTTCAAGGTTGTTTTTACAACGATTTGAATATTAGTCATCTTTAAATAAATATAATAAATTATTATGGATTATTATTAATAATTCACACGTAAGCCCCAATTGTATTTTGTCTGTACTTCCGATGAACTTATGCAATTACGTAAAATAAAATTTGCAACTTCATGACAAAGCCCATTCACAAAAATATGCAATTTCCGATTATGTACAAATCAAGTTTATTTCAAGGTGAAACTGAATCCGTGTTATATTTAAATGTGACGCATTTATTTAATCACCTTAATTTTAAATAAACATGTGCAATGATTTGTAAAATCCACGTCTTGACATAATAAATACTACATGATTGACAATTTTTAACGCAAATTTTAGAACCGGATGTGCCTCATATCACGAGCTTGTTCAAACGTCTGCAATAAACGCTTGGTCACCAAATGATGTGTTATTATCGTGATTATTAATTTATTGAGGTGGGGAATTTTGACATCGAAAATTTGATATTTAACGAATTTGTCTCCTCCAAAAAGATTCACTTTAGTCAAACCTTCCAGGCACTAAAAGTAATATCTGGCCAGATTAATTACATAAATCCATCCGCAATGTATAAGTCGCTAGTTACTTTGACCGTGACCATTTTGGTCGTTGTTTCCACCGCGTCGGTAAAACTTGTAAAAATTTTATTATACAAATATTTATAGAAATTTAAATTATGTCCACTTTTTGTCCGCCAGGCTGACAAGGAGAAGAAAGGTGGTCATCCCATGCACAACATGACCTGCAAAGGGGAACCCATCAATATGAAGGCAATGATGACGGGTCACAAGGAATGTCACGATGAGGTCTTTGGAGTATCCGCCACAACCGTCAACCCCACCACCATGACTGCAGAAGCACGCAAGGAAATGATGAAAAAGTGGATGGAAAACTCAGTGGTATGTTTTTGAAAAATAATTTAAAGATCAGTCTTACACTTACAAATGAGAGTTAATACCATGAGATTTAATTAATTTCAGTGCATGAATGTCTGCACAATGAAGAAACATAAGCTGGTTAGTTAATCATGTACATAGATAACTACTTAAATTATTGATTTGCATCTGTATTATTAATGAAAATGCGTTCCTAATTCGCATTCTTAGCTCAACGCTGACGGAACTTATAATGCGGAAGAGGCTGACAAATGGGTGAAAGCAGTTTTTCCTAGTGGAGTTCAACCTGCTATAAAAAAAGCTTTTGATGAATGTGCTTCCACCCATGGTTAGTGCTAGGATATTCCTAATAAAATGTCGACTTCTGACTATTTATGTATGTACGTATTTCACTTTAGGCAAGGCATTTAATATGGACAATAAATGTGCTGGATATAAGGCTTTCAGAGATTGTAAACTCGCAAAGCTTATGGAGGTTTGTGATTCTGCATATGTCTTGTCGCCTTAATTACGTAAAATTTATGCGGAATTTGTTTTAGATTTGCGAATTCAAAAAGAGCGATGCCGGGCCATCATCGGAGGAAATATAAAAGTTAAATTTGTGATTTGTGATCTTGAATTATTGTGATGTTTCTTTCTAAATTACATTCAGTGGGATGTTTTAAATAAATTATTGGACTTTATAATTGGTCAACATGCATGTTCTGAGTCTGGCAATTTTCAGCGTACTTATGTACATGCGTTCATATTTATACGTATGGCGTATATGCATGTACTGAACTACACAAGGTTCAGCATGGATGGATGGCACAGAAATGGTTCTAATACATATGTAAGGACTTCAGAGTTTTAAAGATTTGTCTAAGCATTTAGACGGCAATTTAATGAATGCAATAATTTAACTGTATATGGACAATTTACATGCATACATTGTATGCTGAGTAAAAATGTATTCTCATTAATTATTTACATTCACATTTATTTACGTCCAATAAGTTTTCACTCGATAAAAGTTTACGCCTGACCAACTAATTTATACACAAGTGACACCCTCCCATCCATGACTTTCTTCCAGGTTTTTAATACCACAAGCAAAGTCTAATGTGGGACAATTTCCAAACCAGCAGCTGCAACTACATTATTTGGATTAAAAAAATATGAATGCAAATGATTAGTCATAATATATAATTATAGTTTGCTTCCAAAATGACAAAACCTTCAATTTGTTACCTGTCGCTCTTGTGTAGTCTGCAAACGGAGTGGCATCCGGTGAAAAAACTGCCTTCGACTTTCACCGAACGAGCAGTAAAGATCCAGCGAAATCTCCAAGGGAAATCCTCACATTTGGTACGAAACATGCCTATTTCGACATTTTTCGTGGCACAAGTCCCACTCAGGTCAATGCCTGAGCAAAATCTGACCCGAACGGAGACACATTGAGAGACTAATAATACTGCAGTTATTGCAAGAACGACAATTAATCGTCGTTGAGCCATAGCTTTACCAAAAATATGATGAATGCACAATAAGAAAAATGGTGAAGTATTTTTATTAATACTTGTGGACGAATAAAGCCTTCTAACCTTCTTTGTTGTATGAATATTTTCAAGTTCAAACTTTAACTGAATACGAGAAACAGCTAGCGTGACGGCATTATTAAATCGCATTAAAATGCACTAAAAATAGGTACAATTTCCATGCAAAGGTGTTAATTCATATAATTCGTAGTATCCTGTTGATCTGTCACTCGTTCTGTGCTGGGGTTATTTTTTGACGTTACTACCCCTTACCTGACGTATGTACGTATGTTGTATGTAATTAAAACTGTGGGTCTGGTCCTCTGCTTATTTACTTAAATATAATATCGTTACATAAACCATTGTGATGCAGATGCGTATCTAAAAGAGAAATGATTGCAAAAATGTTTTTAAAGTAAAATTTGCTAAATAAATGTGTACATGGGTGTAAACATGCTATATTGTGTAACATGTTTTTATTAAAGATAACAGTTTAATATCATAATTAAATAATTGGGTGTTAGCACTCTACATGGCTGCATTATTCTGGCAATTTTGCAATGCTTTCCGTTGGTTATGGCATAAAATTGCAAATCATAATGGCAATGTTGTCAAATTAATGTAATTTCATGCGAAGTAAAATAAAAATCAAACCGTATTGTTATACATATTTTCATAAATATCCTGCTCATCACAAATTATTCCTCGGCAAACCACCGATTATACCCATACATATGTTTATATTCTCGCCAATGCATTCGTTACTCGGACGCAATTAAAAAACTTATCGTGTAATTAGTCACCCTCTCCAAAAAGTTAAGAAAGTAGTCCATCCTGATCCCATGCTTTACAGTTTCCACCGAACTTACAAATTCCAAATTTATAAAGTTCGGTAGCAGAGATTGAATGATTTTTCTCTTGTACTTATCTGATCCATGAATATCCTCCAGTTTTCTGATAAATTCTTTCGAAGCGGACGACGCCTTCGCAATGAAGCATATTGCAAAATATTCAATCATTCCTGAAATAAACATTGTACTGCTACCAAGAATGGTGACAGTCATGGACACACCATATCCTGGCAGAAACTGCATTATCAAGCAAAATAACACGGACGTTGACAAGAGGACGAGATAAAAGTGGTGGAGACGCGATTGGACCAGAAAACGTGCCATGTCGCTCTGTTGCAGTGACATGATTCGTAGAGAATTGTGAATTCGGATTAATGCTTCGAACTGTAGCGAATTTTCAGCGACTTCCGAAGCTATGAACACTGACCACAAGAGGAGAGTCGCAATTCCGTAAAGTGTGATCAAAATGCAAATTCCGAAAATGGATAGCATTATCATTCCTGCGATTAAGACGATGCAACCGATGACCAATCGAAGCGACACGATTGTCAAAAAGCAAGCTTGCCGCAAATTCAACAAGGTTAGGACGAACTCGTAGAATGGGTTGAATTTGGAAAAGGCTAAACCAAGAATTCCAATTGGTGTGGCGTAATCGAAGCCGAAATACAGCAGCTTTGCAAAACGAGATAGAACAGATTTTGCCTTTTCACAGCGTTCCTGGGTATGTCTGGATCCTTGATGTGGGACAAATTCTGAAAATAGACATATTTTTATAACTTGTGTAATCTTAAGAGTTATTCCTTTCATTCATTCATACATATGTAGGAATGATTATGATGGTTGATATTTATGACTTTCCTTTCATTTGAATGAAAGTGGACGTAGGATTTTCTCTTTTCAGATGAATGACCGTGAATGAAAGGCTATTTGGCTTTTTTCATATTTTATCTTGTGGTTGACACATGGCGTGAAGCAAAAAATGAAGTCCAACTAAATAAATGAAATGAAATGAAAGAAAACGACCGAATATTAATATGAACCTTCATTCAGATCGGTAGGACTAAGTTTTGGTTTATTTTTTAACAGGTGTGCCTAAGACTCAATTTACTCCATGTTGTGTCAACATTAACAACTTTGGATGAATTTTACCCATCGAATTATACCAAAAATAAAGTAATTGTTTTAACATTTTCAACAATATAGCATTTACTCAAGCTAAAAGTTAGCTTATTCCATACCTGACAACCATTGTTCGAAATTCACCACGGATTCGTAGTACGCGACAAATGTGACCGGGCTGGAGGGCCTGGCGAGCACACAGGCGAACGGTAAGATCATCCAAACCCATATTGCGACTGGGTATGTGAAATATGCGATGACGACATAGTCTCCATCTGTCGCAGGGGGTGCTTTGCTCAGTTGATAGGATTTTATTACGAGGATTGGTTCGAAAATGAGAATGACTGAGAGAACGAAGAGTTGGTAGCGTTTGTAAGTCCAGGATTTCGGTGGGACAGGTTTTGGCCGTTGAGTTTTTCCATTCCACGTGAAACAGTAGGCGCAGTTTAGCGAGCTGCGCTGCGTGACCGCAATTGCGCGGTGGAGATGGTAGAGACCTTCGCGACGCCACATTACGAATAATTATGTCACTGAAAAATGTTAAACGTAGGACGAAACTGGTAAGAAGTGGCGTAGTTATTGAACCGTTCCAGGTATTTATGCAAAGGAGAACGTAGAATTTCTAACCGGTTTTAATTTATTTTATTAAATTAAAGTTTGATTGGACATCTTTTTTCTTAGGTGAGGTTGAGGTTGATCAACGGTCAAATTAGCATTGGTCTTCTACACTTGTCTTAACTTCAAAAATCGTGACTTACCAATAATTGAAGACCAAACATCAAGGCCAAGCTTTTGTTATGCTTTAAATACAGACATATATGAATTAGAAAATTTTGCAAGTAGTTAATACGTATATATTTGTCGTATAAAAAAACGGCATTGAATATTATCTAATAGTTTTTATTGTCTCACATTATGACGGCGACTTTTTTTTAGATTTTCCTATTTCAAAATGTATGTATAACGTAATCCGAGAGTGTTTACTGCGAATTATGTTTAAAACCAATGAAATCCACCGATTGATGCAAACCCATGCAGATATTTATTTGGTTAAACAATTTTTTGAAAAATAAACACACTTATTTAATAATCGAATAAAATATTTTGTGAGGACGAAGAAATTTACTTAAATAATAAAAACGCTTTGCGAAATAAGGTTATTCAATTCTTAAATTATGCAGATAGAAGTAATTCTATCTATATTTTGGAGAGATTTCGTTCAAGTAATTTAATTTGATATTTGCGATATATTCTACGAAAATTATGGTAGAAAGCGGGGAACGTTATTAGAAATATGTACGTTTGCGACTCTTATCCATTTCAGAGATACATAAACTGTGGTACCATATACGATATGTACACGATCTTAACTTACTCTTAAAGAACATGCATATGAGGCTACAATTTTATAAAATTGGGAATATGTAGTGCTGTCACATGTCACAATGCTGAAATTTAAAATGCTCCAAGCGGTACATAATTGATTTTTTTTAAACTACGTTGGTAAGTACACGTTCATATATGCTGTGCATGCCTATGTACATATGTACATGTATATATGTATATATGTAAAACGATTTCATGGATATGTGCAAAAATGCAATAAAGTATTCGGACATATGTATATGTACGTGTACACCAACTTAGGATTAGCACCACAATTGACAATCAACCGGACCATTCACGACGCATACTTACATATGTATTCATAGATATATCCGGTGCCATTTGATGAGGGGGATTCGTCAATTCATGATCAAACCATTCACAAGTTTTGACATTTGGTTGTCACGGCCAATGCCAGAAATATGACAACTTGCATACATAGGTTTGATAATTTACAACCAGAAAAATTACTACAATGTCATGCATTTATGATTTTTTAAAATGTAGAACCGGACCTGCTTCACGTCACGAATTTTATACAATTAATTTTGACATTTACCTAGGTAAGGGTTTGTGAACGATAATTGTCACAAATGGAACGTGATTACCGTCACTCGGTAGTGACATACATACGCAAAATTCTACTATTTAAGCAAACTTTTTTCAGCTACTAATCACTTCACTTGCTACTTTCTAACTAAACTATCCAAATTAGTCCTGATTGAAAACATCATCTCCAAAAATGTACAAGTTAGCTATCGTCTTGTCCGTCGCAGTTGTGGTGGCGCTTTTTGCAGGAGCCTCGGTAATAAGTTATTCAAATTTGTATTTATTATGTAAATGTGATTTCTAAATATTTTTAAATTTCAATTCCATAGGCTGGCAAGCTGGAAGGAAAGAAGATGAAGGACGGTCACCACAAGCACCACAACCTGACCTGCAAGGGGGAGGCAATCAACATGAAGGGCATGTTTGTGGGAAAGAAGGAATGCTACGACGAGATCTTTGGAACATCTGCAACCACCGTCAACCCGAAAACGATGACGGAGGAGGCTAAAAAAGAGAGGATTCAGAAATGGAAGGACAATGCATTGGTAAATTATTTTTATTTCCACAATCGGTCCAAAATCGGATCGGTTGGGTTCTGTAAATCGGTGAATGTTAGACAAAATTAGAGTTCAATCGGAAAATGAATTTTAAAGACCACTTTCCTTTTACTGCCAATTTACAATTATGTAATTTGCCTATATTTGCAGTGCATGGAAGTGTGCACAATGAAGAAGCAGAAAACTGTGAGTTCATTAAACGTACAGAATTGCATTTTATGGTTGCGATTTTTATTCAATTTCATGCTTTAGCTCAACGCTGACGGAACTTACAATGCACTTGAGGCTGAAAAATGGGTGAAAGCAATTTTCCCCAGTGCAGTTCAATCCGCATTGAAGAAGGCTTTTGACGACTGTGCATCCACAAATGGTCAGTTTGTCAATGTGCAAATACTATATTTATGCCGTTGGAGATTATGACGATAACACTGTTCCATTTTTAGGCAAATCCTTCAGTATGGACAACAAATGTGCTGGGTACAAAGCTTTCAGACAATGCAAAGTGAAGTCAGTTATGGAGGTTTGTAAACTTGTGTTTTTTTTTACTAACAATTGTTTTTGCGTTTAGTCACAATTTTACTAAATGCTTATTTCTCATCAGATTTGCGAATTCAAAAAGGGAGAAGTTCCAGAGGACAATTGAATCACAATCATCTCTGGCACAACATTTGGCTATTTACATATGTATAACTGGTAACGAAATTAATAGAACATGCTAAAATTAAAATACGTTCTCCTTCAACGCTAAATGAACTAAATCGAGTTAATAAAATCCCATTTATACCTATTTGCATAAACCTAAGTTACACATGAAATTCACAAGTCACGGGGATACAGTATAGTAGATATGTAGATACATAAATACATACATACATGAGTACATATTTCCATGCATATGTACATTAGGTATAGGTAAATATAAGTATGTTTAAAGAAAAATACGGATGTTTCTTATCAATCTATTAATCAGTTCATTTACAACCCTTCTTTCGACGCAATTAGGAAACTCATCGCATTACCCGTCACTCTCTCCAAAAAGTTGAGAAAGTAGTCCATCTTAATCCCATTCTTTAGAGTGTCTACTGAACTTACAAACTCCAAATTTATAAAATTCGGTAGCAAGGATCGGACAATTTTTCTTCTGTATTTATCCGATCCATGAATACCCACCAATTTTCTGATGAATTCCTTCGAAGTGCACGACGCCTTTGCAATGAAGCATATTGCGAAATATTCAGTCACTATTGTAATAAAAATTGTACTGGTACCGAGAACGGTGACACTCATGGACCCCTCATTTCCTGCGAGGAACTGCACTATTAAGTAATACAAGACTGACGTTGACAAGACGACGAGGTAGAAGTGGTGGAGACGCGATTGAACCAGAAAACGTGCCATATCGCTCTGTTGCAGTGACATGATTCTTAGAGAATTATGGATTCGGATTAGTGCTTCGAACTGTAGCGATTTTTCGGCTACTTCCGAAGCTATGAAGACCGACCACAAGAGGAGCGTTGCAATTCCGTAAAGTGTGATCAAAATGCAAATTCCGAAAATAGATAGCATTATCATTCCTGCGATTAAGATGATGCAACCGATGACCAATCGAAGAAATACGATTGTCAAGAAGCAAGGTTGCTGCAAATTCAACAGGCTCAGGACGAACTCGTAGAATGGGTTGAATTTTGAAAACGCTAAACCAAGAATTCCAATTGGTGAAGCGTAATCGAAGCCGAAGTAAAGCAGCTTTGCAAAAAGCGATAGAACAGATTTGGTCTTTTCACAGCGTTCCTGCGTATGTCTGGATCCTTGATGCGGGACAAATTCTGAGAAAACCAACAGATTTCGGTACATGATTTGTAAAAATTTAAGACTTATTCCCTGCCTCGTAGGTAAAAGTTACTCAACGTTGTGTTATATGAATATTCCTAACTTTGTCAAATTATATTATGGCATGTAGCTTTTGTGTCCAGAGCTGAACACAAGTTACGCTGATACTCGTGCGACACCATTAGTAAAATCTTAAAACAATCAGTCAATAAATTTCATCGATTCGATTGTGCCAAAAATAAAATAAATGTTTCACAAATTTTCAACATTGAGTACACTGTAAAATTGACGATTAATCGAGACTTACCTGTAAGATGAGAAATTGATCGTAATTTTACGATCACCAGAGCCCGAACGAGGTCACTGAGGAGGGATGATGGTTGACAAGTAGTATGTAAAGACAAAGTATGTAAAGTAGTGTGTAAATACGCCTTTCCCTGCCGGTGAACTTACATACTACTTGTCAACCATCATCCCTCCTCAGTGACCTGGGAGGGCGATGGTGTGACAAATTTGCTCAAGCTAAAATTTTGAGTGTTCCATACCCGATAACCATTTTTCAGAGTTCGCCACGGAATCATAATACGCGATAAATGTAACCGGGCTGGACGGCCGGGCGAGGACACAGGCAAATGGCAAGACCATCCAAACCCATATTGCGACTGGATAAGTGAAATACCCGGGAGATGCTTTGTTCAGTTGATAGCATTTAATTAAAAGGATCGGTTCGAATATGAGAATAACCCAGAGAACGAAGAGTTGGTAACGTTTGGAAGTCCAGGATTTTGGTGGGACAGGTTTTGGCCGTTGAGTTTTTTCATTCCACGTGAAACAGTAGGCGCATTTTAGCGAACTGTGCTGCATGACCGCAATTGCGCGGTGGAGATGATGGAGGCCTTCGCGACGCCACATTTTGATTATGTCGCAGGGAAATGCTCACTCAACTCTCGTGGGATCAAACTAATGAGAAATGCGTAGTAACGAATCAAATGTATGCAGGTTTATGTATTGATGCATTTATGTAAGGAATAATTTAAAATTTCTATCAGCTTCGAAATTATTTAATTTAATTAAGTTCGTTTCGTCACTTTTTTCTCAGGGTTAGGCGAGGTTGAAGGTGATGTCTAAACAACAACTAAATAAATTAATATTTGTCTGATACACCTGCATTAATTTCTAAAATCTTAGTTGCAGATGAGCCAAGGCCAAACTTGTATGCTTTAAATACGAATTAGAAAATATTCAATGTATATTTAATGTAAAATATCTCGTGAATAGTAATATGTATAATAATTTGTACTGCCTCACTTCATGTCAGAGACTTTTTTTAGATACTCCACTTTCAAAATATGTTACGTAATTCAACAATGTTTACTACTACATATGTTTAAAATCAATGAAGTCAAACGATTTATGCTAACTTATGGATATATACATTTTTATTTGGTTAAACCATTTTTGAAAAATAAACATACTTATGTAATAATTGAGTAAAATATTTTATGAGAATTGATAAATCTATTTAAATAAAAAAGCTTTGAGAAATTGGGTTACTCAATTCTTATAAATTATATATTGGGCGACATGATTCAAGTAAGTAATTTGATTTGATATTTGCGATATATTCTATTCTAGGAAAGCGAGCATTATATTTTCAAATACATTTGCGACTGTTATTCAGATCTGCAGGAATACAGGAATAATGATGTCACATAAAGGAAAATGTTTGCAAGTTCGAGCAAGTTCTAATAAAAGAATTCATAAATTCGTACTACTTATTCAGTATTATAATATTCGAGATGAACATTTCAGTATCACAATCACCAGTGCTAACACATAATGTAAGAAACTAAGAACTTATTTACACATTATGAGACCTTAAAGACGTACATACATATGCATGTATGAAGCTGTAATACAGAAATAGTCAAAATGTGTGGTTTGCTAAAATTTAAAATGGACCAGACGGCAGAGCTCGGCGGATATCGGGTGAAAACCTCCAAATATCCATATCCATATCCGGGCCAAAATCTGGCCCTCCAACCTCCAATATCCATGAAAAAATATCTCCCTCCAACCTCCAAGTATCCATATCCATGAAAAATTCTCGCCCTCCAACCTCCAAGTATCCATATCCATGAAAAATTCTCGCCCTCCAACCTCCAATATCCATGAAAAAATATCGCCCTCCAACCTCCAATATCCATGATATCCGCCGAGCTCTGCCACACGGTACATAACCGATTTGTCACAAATATGTACATATGTAAACGTTACCCACGTGCTTAGGTATTTAGGGTCAGTTTAGGATTAGCACCACAAGCAACTAGACAATCATTTACGTATATATGCATCCGGTTCCCATTGATGGTGCAATTCACAAATGTGTCAATTCATGATGAAATCGTTCACAAGTTTTGATAATTGGTTGCCATGGTCAATGGCAGAAATGTGTATAATAATATACATATACACTTACTTATACACATCCCCAAAAATTACTTTAGTGTCATGCATTTATGATTTTGAGGAAAACATAGGACCGGATCTGACTCACCTCACGAATTTCATACAACTAATTTTGATATGTATTTACCTAGGTAATTATTTATATGTGAGCAAAAATTGTGACAAATGAAACGTGATTATCGTCACTCGGTAGCAAAATAGATTATCCATGTAAAACTTTGCTATTTAAGCAAACTTTTTTCAAACATTAATCACTTTACTAACAACTTCCTCACTAAACTAATCTTCGCCCAGATTAAAAAAACAGCTTCAAAATGTACAAGTTAGCCATCGCTTTGTCCGTCGCACTTTTGGTTCTCGTTGCTGGAGCGTCCGTAAGTTAATCAAATTTTGTTGGAAACATTACACAAATAAATATGTATTTACTTAAATATTTACTTTCTGATTTTCAATTCCACATAGGCTGGAAAGCTGGAAGGAAAGAAGATGAAGGACGGTCACCACAAGCACCACAACTTGACCTGCAAGGGGGAGGCAATCAAGATGAAGGGCATGTTTGAAGGAAAGAAGGAATGTCACGACGAGATTTTTGGAACCTCTGCGACCACCGTCAGCCCAAAAACGATGACGGAGGAGGCTAAAAAAGAGATGATTCAGAAATGGAAGGACAATGCATTGGTAATTTATTTTGATTTAGGCATACGGTCCAGAGGGTATCCGTCCATAAGGGTGAGTGTGGACGTGTCCACAGGCCGGACAGTGGGACCGGCCGTACCAGGACCCGGTCACGATAGCACCGTGACCAGATAATACACGCTAAATAAAAATAATTAAAATTTACTCATGGGTGAGTAAAAAAGTGGATGACACAACCCATGAGCAAAATTCATTCAACAGTGTTCCAAATTTAGCTACCCGTAGGACATATTTTTTAACAAATTTTATGCAATTTTGAACTGACCTAAACAAGATTTGTCCTGTTTGGACAAATTTTACCTTTCGGTTGTGCCACTCTCATTTTTTCCCAACTTTAAGTAAATTGTACTTATTTTTATTTAGTGTTTTTAACAATACGTCATTAAAAAATACAAATTTGTATACCGAAATTGCCTAACCGCAAATACACCTAAATTTCAGCTTCAGAATTTCCATGGCAGAAGCGACTTTAGACTTGAAACCTATCCTAATTGGAGGACAATTGTGATGTTATATCGGTCGTCAAGTGGGATGCGTCTAGCGGGGTTGACATCGATAACATAAAATAAATAAATACGAGAGGAGCAAGTGCGAAATACGTGCTATGAGTTTAATGTCCAGTCCAGTTCTGATCATTCATACAGAGTTACAAGGAAATATGAATATACACTCTATGAATAATCTTACATTACACCACATCCCCCTTTCAAAGATCAATAAATTATTAATAACAAATTAATAAGTGAGACGTTGAGCAGGTTTAACCACACGTCCTGAGCGGGTGACGTAATTCCCGTGACGCTGAGGTTCTTGAGAGAGAGAGAGCTGAGGAGGAGGAGAGTTGATCTTTCTTGAAGTAGAGTTGACTTTTCTTGGAGGAGGGGTAAGAGGAGGTGGTTCGTCGACAGGTTCGATGACATCAGGTTCAACCATGTTGTCCATCAACGCTTCGACTTTCTTGGAGGAGCTGTATCCTTCGTGAGAGAGATCTTGTAGGGAATTTCAATTTTTCCGAACCCGTCGAAGGGTTCCGGAACTTCAGAGAGAGGAGAGACGCAAGAAATACCATCCCAGCAGTTGAGGCACTTTACCAAGTTGAGGTCTTCGCATGCTGCTAGGCCTAGTAGAGAACGGTCGAGATGAGAAACGACAAAAATTTCTTTCTTGATATCATTCTCCTTGAATGATAATCGTGAGCGAAACTTCCCTTGCAAGTTGAGATTTTGACCATCCGGTCCATTGAGAATTCTGGTGGAGGGTTGAAGCCAGAGTTGAGAGAACGTTTTGGAGGAGATTACTGTGACATCTGCTCCTGGATCTAGCTTGAATTCGATTTCTTGCTGGTCGACATTCACTTTTTCGATCCAACGGGATTGACGATGACCACCACTGCTTAACCGCATTTCCAGATCGACACTGCACTGGCGCTGAGTCTTCTTGCTGGTGTCAACGAATCCAATCACTTGAAGAGTCCCGATGAAAAATTGCTGCTTTTCCACTTCCACAGAGCGGACTTGAGATGATGAGGAAGAGGCTTGATTTGGGCATAACTTTGCGAAGTGGTTATTTTGCTTACATTTCTTGCATTCCTTTCCCCACGCACGACAACTTTCCTTCTTTCTTCGATGAAATGAGCCACAAAATTTGCACGATGCAACGAGATGAGTAGAACAGGAAGTCTGCTGAACTTGATTTTCAGTTTGACCTTCTTCTTGAGACTCTTGAGATATTTTGTGCTCCTGATGATTCTGTGACCCGACACGATCCACAGAATGAGTAGAGTTGCTCTCGCCCCAGAGTTCACGTTGTTGTTTCTTAACAGCTTCGTGTTGACGAGACATATTGATTGCTTTTTCTAGAGTGAGCTTATCGTCCAGTTGCATTTTCTGTGCCAACTGACGGTCACGGACACCAACGACGATACGATCTCGGATGAGCTCATCCTTCAACGCCGCGTAGTTGCAATGCTCCACCAAAGAGTAGAGAGAGGTGATAAAGTCGTCGACCGGCTCCCCATCGTCCTGTCGCCTGGAGTTGAACCTCGATCTTTCATAAATGACGTTACGCTTCACTATGAAATGGTCTTCAAACTTCTTGAGAACTGGGTCATATTTCTTCTGATCCGCAGCTGAGAGTCCAAACGAGAGGAGGATATCGTCTGCCGTGTCGCCCATAAAGTAGATGAGAGTGTTCACTTGTTCTTCTTCAGACTTGCTGGTAAGTCCGGAAGCAACACGAAAACGTTCGAATCGCCTTTTCCATTTCGGCCAATTCGAAGGAGATGAGAATGAGAACGGCTCTGGTCCTTGAACTTGGTAAGGATTTGAGGTTGAGTTATTGGACGCCATCTGTACTGCACTGTTTCACACACTGACACACGAGGAGAGAGAGATTAACTTTTCACTGAAAGTTTTTAACACTTTCGACAAGAGTTCGATAAGCCACTGACTATTTAGTGACTCCGCTGCCACCATGTGATGTTATATCGGTCGTCAAGTGGGATGCGTCTAGCGGGGTTGACATCGATAACATAAAATAAATAAATACGAGAGGAGCAAGTGCGAAATACGTGCTATGAGTTTAATGTCCAGTCCAGTTCTGATCATTCATACAGAGTTACAAGGAAATATGAATATACACTCTATGAATAATCTTACATTACACCACAACAATATAGTCCGTTTTCATCGAGTAATCGTATGCTGTCAAGTCATGTGATAGATAATTTCTTTAAACACAGTTCGCATTCAATTAGAAATATTAAAGTTAAAAAACTTGTTAAGTTTACATTAAGTTTTCTTGACGGCTTAAATTTCTTCAGAAAAATAACTCTAACAATGAAGAGGTATAGTGTGCTTATCGCCGATTTTGAAGGGACTAATTTTACGTTTTTCACGCACAGAAACAAGCGGACCCGTATTTTTGAGTTTTCAAGAATGCGCATTTTTTACCCGTGGCGGAGTTAAAAAAACTAATGCCTAAATCATAATTTCTTAAAAAGTTGTTACCTCTAATTTTAACCCAATATCATTAATTAAACAAAATTTTATTACAGAATTGCTTTTATAAAGTTATAAAAATTAATTTTTAAAATTCGGTTAAATTTCATAGTTTTTAGCTATTTTTGAATTTTTCAATTCAAAATGGGATAATTTTTTTAACATTAAAAGGTTTGAATTTTTATATGTAATTTCCAGGAAGAAAGTCTAAGCAAAGATTTTGTTTTGTTTTTGAAATCGGATTAAAATTCGAAAGGTGACAGCGTTTTGAAAAATGATGAATTGGTAATGTTTTAAATTCTGCAACCAGCGAAAACGAAAAATACGTGTCCGCTTATTTCTAGGAGTGAATAATTTACCGATTATAGGTAAAATTGCAGAGGTGGGCAAGATCATTATCTCAGATACCAGATCAAGATCAAAGATCAAGATAATATCTTGATCTTTGATCTTCGACTGGAGCTTTTGATCTTGATCTTGATCTTGATCTAGCTCGGTAAGATCTTCTATCTTGATCTTGATCTTCAAGTCCAAGATCAAAATCCCAAATATGAAAAGTAGCATTTTGAAACATATTGATAATTTTTGAAAAATAACGCATTGGTCCATTACTCAAAGCACATTCAAGGAAACGAAAAACACTCGTACGAGATTTAATTTTTTTCTTACTGATTAATGGAATCAGTTCTTGAAACGGCGATCTTGTCCCTACATTCGAGTATCCTTAACCCCTCAACGATTTGGGTCAGTTTGTGACGACCTGATACTTCAACTACTTAGAACATCACAGCAAACGTTTTGTTAAGTATTATATAACTATAAAGAATTTTAACAACGTTGATGCTGTCAGCTTTGAAGAACTAAAATTGGTTACACAACCAATTTTGGTTACTTATCTAGTATTTGTATCGTGCACAGTTGACAGTGTACGCTACGTACATTACACATAGTTGTATTTATCGTTTTATGTATAACAAATGTTTGCAACATAGCTGCAATTTATTTGATCTTGTGATCTTGATCTTGATCTGGGGTTTAATCTTGATCTTGATCTTCTATCTTTTAGTATTCGGCAGATTTATCTTGATCTTGATCTTTATCTTATGGGACGCAAAATTTGATCTTGATCTTTATCTTATGGGACGCAAAATTTGATCTTGATCTTTTATTTTGATCTTCGAAAACTTTGATCTTGCCCACCTCTGTAAAATTGACGATAACCACCTCACACCTCCTCATTGTAGATAAGTTATGACCTGCCCGTCACAATAAATATCTCCATTGGTCTGCACATAATGCATATATATTTAAATTTGTGCACGAAGTTTTAAAGTTCAAAAATTAGTGGATTACGTCGAAGTAAAAATTTCAACACACCGGCCGTACTTTTAGAAATTCCACAGGCCGTACCGATCCTAGGATACCCACTGATACGGTCCTTAATCGGATCTGTTATGTTCTGTATCCGTTAATATGATGACTTGAAAAAAATGGAATTCAGTTAGAATATGAATTTTAAAATACGCTAGCATGAACCTTTTTTTAGTGATAATTTACAATTATGCAATTTACATTTGCAGTGCATGGATGTGTGCTCAATGAAGAAGCAGAAAACGGTAAGTTTCAGTTAGTACAAATTCAGTATTTGGTGTGAGTGAAATGTAACTCAATTGCTTCGTTTAGCTCAACGCTGACGGAACTTACAATGCAGTTGAGGCTGAAAAATGGGTGAAAGAAATTTTCCCCAGTGCAGTTCAATCCGCATTGAAGAAGGCCTTTGATGATTGTGCATCTACTAATGGTCGGTTTAGCAATATTATTAAATATTAGGTCCTATTTATTTATTACGATTATGAGGATACAACGATGAAACTTTTCCATTTTCAGGTAAATCGTTCAGTTTGGACAACAAATGTGCTGGATACAAGGCGTTCAAAGAATGCACAATGAAATCTGTTATGGAGGTTTGTAGATTAATATTTTTTCCAATTTTTATCACGATTTTTACAAATGCTTATTTCCAATCAGATTTGCGAACTCAAAAAGGGAGATGTTCCGGAGGACGATTAAATCTATATCTGATACAATATAGATACATAAATATATATAATCGGTCCTGAAATTATTAAAACATGCTAATATTTAAATACGTTCTCCTTCACTAATAAATGAGGTTAAATTATATGGAGCTAAAAAATAAAATCTCTACTGTACATACCTAAATTACAGATGAATTTCACAAATCACCGTGATGCAACACACGTAGTAAATACATTAACATTATTCTTGTAGGTAAATAGGTAAATATGTAAAAGAATATACGGATTTTTATCATCAATTTATCAACCATCACTTATGTAAATTTGTATCACATATTTCATTGTAGTCCAAACAAATTCCAAAGTACGGGGTCCAGCGTTGCGGACAAATGTGTTTCCTTGCAAATTTTCTAATTAATTTTATGTTGTACACATTTAAAAAATGTGATGTATGTCTGTAGCTTTTGAGGCTATGAAAAATAGTTGTCAAAAGCTGTCGTACCCTGACAAAATATCATCGTAAAGTGTCATAGCAAAATATCGTGGCAAATTTCATGTAAAATAGTATTCTATCTGAATATCATAAGCTATTGAAAATAATGTTATAAATGTAGTGGTCTTATAATTTTAACTCACATCGTGCATGCGCATGTGAAATCAATGACTAAATCAATTAAAGCGTTATGTAGTCATACATATGCAAATTATATAAGTTGTTTGAAAACAAAAGGAGAACATGAATGGAGTAATTAATCCTGTCGCAAATATTAACATCAGGTGTGGAATAATTACAATCTCACTTTCTGCTAAAGATACATACGCGCATACATACGTGCATATATTTGTATAGGCATATGAATGTGTATAGATTTTTAAGTGCATATACAATGCAAGACAGAAAACCATGCACCAGTTATAGTATATATTTTTTTAATAAATCTTGAATCACCTTCATCAATATGTTCCCCAACATTGTAATAGATACTATTCAAAGCAACAATGCGAGCGATGGTCAGAAATTTACAAAATGTATTTAGTTACGACTTTTGATATAGATATGACGAATGATGAAATAAATGTGATCTCTACGCCGATAATCCATAATGCTTCAATTTTGTATGTGGTGATTGATTTGGGTTGAATCCCAACCGATAATGACGTAGAGATCCAATCAATCAATGCTGGGAATTACCTGTCCTCAATTAACACTTATTTTGCGTCATGTTTATTGATCGATTGATCAATTGGGATTCGGAGGACGAATAACTTTGTATAAAAAACTGTTGACTGGCAAATTAATTTACAATTTTTTCTGTTTAGGTTTTAGAGTTAGAACGCATATTTAGGACAAAGTAAAACTTGCCAAATAAGTATCGACGTAGCTCAGAAACTGACGAATGTGAGAAAAGCTGGCCAGAAATCGTCAAGAAATACATACATATAACACCGTGGTTTAATTTATATGCAAATTATGCTCGAGTGAAATGCAAATGTACGCCTTACATATGTAAATACGCATCACCTATCATTCAAATATTTATGTATATAAACAAGTACGTGAATAAGCACCAGAAAGGTGATCAGATCCATGCTTGACTTTTTTTGCTGACATTGACACCATTGACTTTACAACGCCTAAAAATCAATCCAGGGATTTCCCAGGTTGAGCTTATCGTTTAATATCATGATACATACAATCATCACCTACAACAAATATAAAACTCCTGGCTTGTACTTCATGACCCTCACGATTCTAGCCGCACCAAAATAAATAAATAAAATTCCAATTGCTTTTGGCAATTATTTCTTAAATCTTTATTCTTGTATGTTTATCTTGTTCAAAAAAATTTACAACACTGGCAAGATGTCGACGTTACAGAAGACACAGACATCAACACGACCTTCCGGAACGTGAGCTATATAGGCCCTCATCTCAACTGTTTGACCGGCGAGAATGTCGTTGGGAACAACTGAATATTTCGCCGTGTAGACGAATCCAGGCTGGACGGATGAGTTGGGAAGGTCAGCGTTGATAATTTGCATGCAGAATCCTCCATTGAAGCAGACTTCGACTTTCAAGTTGAGTCCGGGAGTGGCCGCACCTAAGGAAAACGAAGAAACATAATTAGTTAACTGATTCAAAATTATGAGATAGTTTAACCTCTTTCAATTTTATTTATCTCGATTAAAATTTCCGTTGTGTACGATATTGAATGTATAACTACATCTGGTAGCAACCAATTGAATTTACATGATTGTCTGTAAAAACTCAATATTTATTTCAGCCTGTTTCCAAGTTATGAGTTTTTTGGCGAAAATCACGAAAACTCCACTTTTTAACATTGGTCGGTATGGGGAAAATTCCAGAATTTCTGAAGAAAAATATCCAAAAAAGTGAACTTTTTACCATCTAGTTTTCCACAAATTACAACGAAACGCTCGTATTTTGGAAAATTTTGAGAAATCTGCATTTTTTAAACATACGTGATATGACGTATTTGGTCCTCAAGGGGTAGTCGTCATGATACGTCATATGACGAATTTGGTCTCTTAGGGACATGTTTTGAAATACGTCATATGACGTATTTAAGTGAAAAGAGGTTAAGTCGTCGAAATCTTACTTGGCATAAAGTCCTGCTCGCAATTGTAGATTTTTCCTGGCTGGAATCGGCAGTATCCGTCACAATCAGAAATCCTGGTTTGGACAGGAGTGCCCTTAAATATTGCATAAAAAATAAAAATTTTAGTATACAATTAATCCAGTAAATTTAGCTCTATTTCGAACTAACGAGTCCGTCACAACGTGACACGGTGACCACGCCGGCGGAGGCGATGGCAATGCAGCAGAGAGCGATGAGGATGACAGATTGCATCTTGAGTTTGGTTTGGCAAGTCAAATTTGCGGAATGACTGGGAAGAAGAGTTGGTTAATGAGTGGTGGATGCGAATCCGGGTCGCTTTTATATGGAAATGTTTCCCTGATCCGGATAATTGGTTGTCCATCAAGATCGTGTCGAGTTACAATGAAACACAATGGTTTTCATATCGTGCAACGTTATCAGAAAGGTACGAATTTTTGAATGCATACGTATTCAGGTGATATATATCCCAGAACAAAGTAATCCCCGGATTATGTAGGGACGTGTGTAGATAGTGCGAAATATAGGGTTCGCCATAAATGTGTAAAACTGGGGAACCTTTTGAGACAGCGATGCAAAAAACAATTGAATGTCCACAGTAAAAAAAATTAGAATTTTTGTGTAGTTTATTTTGTCTTCATATTATTTTTGCGCGTTGTTAATAAAATATGTTCAAAATTGTGCATTTCTTGATTAGAATAAATCTACAACACGTCGACGTTGCAGAAGATGCAAACGTCGACACGGGCGGTCGGCGTATGAAGGATGTAGGCTCTCATCTCAACGGTCGATCCGCTCAAAATATCGTTTGGTACGACGGAATATTTGGCAGTGTAGACGAATCCAGGCTGGACAGACGAGTTGGGGAGATCGGCTTGAAGAATTTGCATACAGAAGCCACCGTTCATGCAGACCTCGACTTTCAAAGTGAGCGATGGAGTAGCAGCGCCTGAGAAAGTTGCGAATTTGTAATAAAAGAATTGGCGAAAAATTTGCTTCAAAATTAAGAGATAATTTAAGTTGTCGAAAATTTACTTGGCATAAAGTCTTGCTCAGCATTGTAGATTTTTCCGGGTTGAAATCGGCAGTATCCGTCACAGTCAGAAATCCTGGTTTGGATTGGGGTGCCCTTAAATATGTTTATAAAAATAAAAATTAAGATTTCCTGAATTTGTAAAATTTAGCAATATTTCGAACTTACAAGTCCATCACAACGCGACACAGTTACCACGCCGGCCGAGGCGACGGCAATACAGCAGAGAGCGACGAGAATGGTGGATTGCATCTTGACCGTGGTTTTTGAAAATTGAGGTTAAAAGTTGCAAATTATGTTAATTAGCACAAGTAACCGGTTGTGACGGGTAGGTGAGGATGTGGGCTGCTTTTATATCAATTGTTACAATGACATGGGTAATTTGCGGGCTGTCAGACTTGACATTGTCACCGTTAAACACAATGGTTTTGACGTCGAGGTACGTTATCAGAGACGTTATGTTTGTTTGTTTGACGTAGAAAACACAATAATCCCGAAGATTGTGTGGACGTGAAGAGTTCCTCGTTGTGTAATTGATGACTTGTCCAGTGATACGTACATATGTAGGATGGATGAAGTGCTGTTTTTAATGAGGCAATAATTTTGCGAGATTGGTAAAGCACCGATTAATATACATAGGTATGTGTATACCTGTTAGCTGTTTATGTGGAACATAGATAATGACATGGTCAGTTTGAAACTGGAATTATTAGTCAGGTTTTACCATCAAGTTTAATTCGTAGGTATTACATAATCGGTGAGTGTTAGATAGGTGTGTAATAGATAAGTATATTTGTGTGCGTATTTATGATGGGAGAATGTGAGTGGTACAGATAAGAGTTAAAATATTAAGATAAGTAAGGGAGATTATTTCCGGGATTTTGACTACCTTCAGAAATTCCGGTCATCCATAACCCAAGATTTTGCTTTTGATAAGGGTTTTTATCTAGGATGACCATAAATGACCACTTATCAAAATCAGCGTGCGTGCCAAACTAAATGGTTCCAAAAAACACGGCCCGCAGTATTGTACAAAACATTACAACTTTTTTGTTTTTACTTTTTCTGCCTCACTCTAAGGAGTGGTCAAAGTTATTAGAAATTGTGTGATATCGCTTTGTGCAAAGCAACTAAAACAGTAAACGTACCTTTTTATTTCTTTTTCTGTGGAGAAAAGCGTGTTACGCTCGAAACCAGCATTTTCTGCGGGCCAATTATAATTTCAGAGTATCCTTGGTCATTGTGCATTGTGCTTCATTTCAGAACTGCCTGAAATTAAGAGAACATTTCAATTTCTGTTTTTTTTTTCTTTTCTTTCGAACCATATTTTCTATACTCTTACCTTGATTCATTATTTTAGCTTGATAGATATTAGCATCGAATATATCAGTATATGAATCGTACTTGCAACTATTGATTTACTAGTATTTAATACATACATGAAAAGGTATGTAGGTATATGTGTATTAAGAATAGTGAATAAATTAAGTACAGTATTTCTCCAAAACAATTTTTCCGTAATATTTCGTCTTGTTTTTAATATCACTTTTTTCCTCTAAAACCAAACACAATTTGAGACTAGATTAAATATTTTATTTTTACAAAATATCAACATCACAGAAGATGCAAACGTCGACACGGGCAGTCGGGGTATGTAATATATATGCGCGGAGCTCAACGGTCTGACCCTAAGTTATAGACGATTTTGTTAAATTATAGCCGATTGTGACACTTGAATAAAAGTTTTAATCAAATTAAATCTTACCGAAAGGATGTCGTTTGGTACAACGGAGTATTTTGCAGTGTAGACGAATCCAGGTTGGACGGAAGAGTTTGGCAGCTCAGCTTCCAAAATTTGCATGCAGAATCCTCCATTAAAGCAGACCTCGACCTTCAGGGTGAGAGATGGAGTGGCGGCACCTGATAAGTACATTTGCAAAAAAAAACATTAGTTTTCTCGAATTTTGATTCATTTAAATTGAAGTCTTACTTGGCATAAAATCTTGCTCTGCATTGTAGATTTTGCCTGGCTGGAATGTACAACGTCCTTCACAGTCGGAAATTCTGGTCTGAATTGGCGTTCCCATACCATCGCATCTAGAAATCGAATTAATGAAATTTATTAGCAAATTAATTTAAAAACTATTTGTGGTATTTAGTTAAAGCTAGTTTATACTACTCCTTCGTAACTTGCGCCAATGTTATAACTTAACTATGGCGCAAGTTACTAAGGAGTGAAGTACGGGTTCAATTCAAATTTCCACACACCTGTTAACAGTTACGACACCGGCGTATGAGACGGCGACGCAGGAGAGAAGGGCGACAACGGTGGCGAATTGCATGTTGAATGTGATTTTTGCGAATTACAATTTTTGCACTGTTTAACAAGAGATGAAAATCTGTATTGTGACATTTGTCCGAAATCGGGTTCCTTTTTATGCAAAGTTTTTACAAAGAATTAGCTACGTGCAGAGATTATCATAATTCGTGATTTTGTTGTTAACCTCTTCAGCCTGTCAGATCCAGATCAAGGATGAATTACAATGGGTGGGTGACGCAGGAAAAAATTATTCCACGAGAAATATATTCCTGAAAAAAATTCTTTGACGTGGGGAACATAATAATCTATGGAGATAACGGTACATGGATTCATTATGTAAATCTGCATGTAAAGCAGGCTGTAAATTGTGTTATGACATTGATATGGAGGGCATAGTACAAATTTATTAATTAACAATTAAGTAATGATTACGATTTACAATATCTGCATATTTATGCATATCAGTTGAGGGTTGGGCTCTCATGAAGCTACAGATTTCGACAGGTTGCAAATTCTTTGTACTTACATGACGAGGTAAGGATTTGTATGAAAATGTGATTGTTTGGTCTGGCGAAATTTTTCAGAGATGGACGAAGATTACGTAGTGATAGAATTCATGACGGATGGAATGAAGATTTTTACTTCCTGGGTTTTGTTAACTTTTCACAATTAAATATGTACGAAGATATTTGCTTTAAATTATTCGATATCTATGCATTCCAGAGTTTATTTCAGTAAGGAAACGACAGTGTCGTCTACGGAGGTCTCAATTTTTACAGTTACATTATCAAATCAAGGAAAATTCTACGCTCTGGTTCATATTTAACTTTCTCCTAAGTGATAATGAATCAATTGGCGCAGTTCTTAGCAATTTTGTCCGTAAATTCTGTAAAATAATTTTACAAACTTTACAAAATACGTAGAAAGACGCCCTTGACTTTAATTTTAGTTTTAAGGATAAACATCTGCTATGTGCGATTCCTGTTTAATCAAAGGTTTTGAGAGATATTTAATACTGGCGTATAAACCCGTCTCCCGCCGGGCGAGAGATGATTAGATTATCAAAATTTCACCAGTTAAATATTTTGTATATATTTATTTTTAAAAAACAATTTGACGCGAACGGAAGTGAAAGCAATTGGCAATGCAACGCAAGTTAAAGTGGACAATTAAATGTCATCCACTTGGCTCTGTCATCTCTGCCATCCCAGTCTGTCATATTTACCAGCCTAGTCTGCCATTGGCAATGACAGTGCCACTGACAGTTGTTGGATAAAATGATCTAACATTAGGTATTTAGGTTAGCTATTTCAAGTAGCCTTTTATAACGGATGTTTATGGCACCGACTTTATTGGACCTTTGTACAGTGTCAGCTCATTCTTAGCATTCCCATTCTTGGGAGAAGGATTTAGCACTTCCTTTCTATTTAGGTCAGACACTTTGGAAAGTGTCGTGAGGAACAGTTTCATACATTTATTAATACATATTCTATTACTCATGATGTCTATATAATACAGCCATACCCCGATAACCACCATGCAGCAGCCATACCCCGATAACCACTTTCAATCTTGTTTAGTGCAAACATGTGCACACTAAACACAAACAGTTCATGACATGAACGTTCGAATCGAATCTTGTTACCTGACTACCCCTCCTATCTGGGGGTACATAGCCACCCACCCCCAGATAACCCCAACCCCAGATAACCGCCCACCCCCAAATAACCTCCACCCTCAGATAACCGCCACCCCCAGATAAATACCCACCCTCAGATAACCGCCACCCCCAGATAAATACCCACCCCCAGATAACCCCACCCCCAGATAACCGCCATCCCTAGATAACCACCCACCCTCAAATAACCCCCACCCACACATAACCACCACCCCCAGATAACGACCCACCCCCAAATAACCCCCACCCCCAGATAACCGCCCACCCCCAAATAACCGCCATCCCTAGATAACCACCACCCCCAGATAACCACCCACACCCTGATAACCATCCACCCCCAGATAACCGCCATCCCTAGATAACCACCCACCCCCAGATAACCACCACCCCCTGATAACCATCCATCCCCAGATAACCACCACCCCCAAATAACCGCCATCCCTAGATAAACACCCACCCCCAGATAACCACCACTCCCTGATAACCATCCACCCCCAAGTAACCCCCACCCCCAGATAACCACCACCCCCAGATAACGACCCACCCCCAGATAACCACCCACCCCCAGATAACCACCACCCCCAGATAAATACGCCCACAAAGAGTACCACACGTTCTGGCATTTAATTTTTCGAATTTAATTTATTTTGAATTTTCGCGCCATTCGAAACTTAACTTTCTCCACTTTCACTTCCGTCACGGAAAATCACTTTCACTTCCGTTGCCAAGAGACATTTCCAGCTTATAATATAGATTTTAACTTTCAAAATAATAAAACAATTTAAATTTGGATACATTTCCGTGAACTACATATTTATTTAACCTGAATTAAGGTCATCGGAGAAATGAAGATATAACATGAATTATTTGCACTGCGTTGTATGTACATACGTATTTTCAATAATTACCAAAATGTATTTATTTACGATTGGAGTAATTTCCTTTAACTTTTTTTTTATTTCAATGGTGCAATATCAACATCACAATATATACAAACGTCGACACGGCGAGTATCGGTATGGGAGATTTGGGCCCTCATCTGGACCGTTTTGCCGGCCAAAATGTCATTTGGTACAACGGAGTATTTCGCCGTGTAGACGAATCCAGGCTGGACGACTGAACCGGGAAGCTCCACTTCGAAAATTTGCATACAGAATCCAGGACTCATGCAAATTTCAACCTTAAGGGTGAGCGATTGAGTGGCAGAACCTACACACATAAATTAAATGAAATTAATTTGAAATTATTGGCTAAAAAGATCATATGAAATTATTAATTAGAAATTATTGTGAATTATGATGCATGCGTTGTCTAATTTACTTGGCATAAAATCTTGCTCCGCATTATATACCGTCGTACTAATTCAGAAAAGACCTAAGTGCAGTGGATGCTTTATTCAGAAAAGACCTAAGTGCAGTCGGTGTTTAATTCAGAAACGACCGAAGTGCAGTCGATGCTCAATTCAGAAAAGACCTAAGTGCACAGAAAAAAAGCAAAAAAAGACCTATGTGCAAGTATGTATTTACTTATGGCTAAATCGCGCGATATATATGAAAAATCATTTTGGCAAGATTTAGCCATAAGTAAATACATACTTGCACATAGGTCTTTTTTTGCTTTTTTTCTGTGCACTTAGGTCTTTTCTGAATTGAGCATCGACTGCACTTCGGTCGTTTCTGAATTAAACACCGACTGCACTTAGGTCTTTTCTGAATAAAGCATCCACTGCACTTAGGTCTTTTCTGAATTAGTACGACGATACGCGGCCCGGAATGAATGTGCAGTACCCGTCACAGTCAGAAATTCTGGTCTCAATCGGTGTTCCAAAACCTAGTAAAATAATAATTTCTGTAAAATATTGACACCAGTATAATTGTTAAAAGATGGATTACTACCTTCACATCGAGACACATTTACTGGTCCGGCGGAAGTGAAGGTGAAAAGAGAAATGACGCCGATCAGGATGCTGGCGAAGTTCATTTTGATGATTTGCAAAGATTGGAAGGAATGGGTTCGTAAAATGGGAGAAGACTAGTTAATGTGCAACGAGATCAAGATGGGGTACTATTTATATGGAAATATTATCGTATCAAAAATTTGGGAAATACGAAAGATGTTCAATTGTTGCTGATTGATATGTTTAACTGACCATACGCATTTATATTCAATAAACGGTTAGATTTGTGGGTTATCCAAATTATTCTTTGAGATGCTTATCGTATCAAGGTACTCATCATATATTGGCATATAAATCAATGTTGCGAATCTTGCACAGAGATTTAGAGTTATGAACATAATTCTGGTTTATTGGGGCTGAATGTCTGGAAATTCCTGGAGATATGTAAGTGTGCCGTGACGAGATTAAAAATTTGATCGACAGGATTTGTACGGTTGGCGAACCCGTTGCAAATTACGATTATGGGATTTTACATGCGAAAGGAAAGTTTCAAGGCTTGGAAAGTTTGTGGCTGCTTTACTTTTTATATGTACTTATATAATTACGGAATTATGTATGTACGAATGAATAGGAAAAAAGATGATAATTTTCCATTTCAACTGGGAAACTTTGCATGCATATGATCGCCCATGAGATCATCAGTAGATAATTCAGGTGTGAAATTTGTTTGTTTGGCGTCCCCAGTAAATTTACTAATATTAATTTATGACCAGAAATTTTCAAACACTTTTACCTCCTTCATTAAACATATGTATGTGTGCATATTACATGCATGGTCTTAATTATTTGCATGCATACTAATTTAAATATTTAGGTACATACGCAACTATCCAATTGCTAACAGTGCAACGTTTCGAATACTTGAGCACACACGAATCTCTGTAAAAAGTATTTGGAGGCATGTGATGTGCGACCCTATTATAATCATCATAAATGACCACAACTATGTCAAATTATATAATTGAGGTCATGATTCTGAAAATAGCATATATCTCCTTTACACGAACTAACTTAATACAGTGGCCGGTCTAAATATTTATAGCTATGATAATTTCGCAATAAATATTTATGCATATGGGCAAGGTGAAGACAGATTAGTGGATACATTCATACTTTTTGTTACATTGAAATGTCAGGAATTGAATACATAAATACCAATTGGTATGCACATTTTGAACAAACTTTCTCTAACATTCAGTACTTCCTCAATTACACCACGTGCTTATACCTCACAATCTGGAGTCCAGAATCTGGACGTTTCTCGTTTTCTTAATTGCGAGCAGAAATTTCTGACCATCATCATCAATCTCATGAATACATTAACCTGAAGTCTTCATTATTACCAACAATTATTTATTTTCAATAAAATCTCATCATTTCACACTTAATTTTACCCCTCTAACTAAATTCCAGCAACTCTGCGAGCAAGTCAGCAATCGTCCTCTGCCACAATTCATACCCCAGTACAGACAAATGCACTCTGTCAGCATGGTACAGTTCTTCATGAATATTCTCATTTTCATCGGCAAATTGGGCCCGCATGTCAATGTAGCGGAGATCGTCGCCATTTTCCAACAGAGCTAGGGCGTCATTGACCAGTTTTCCTTCTTCGATGACCCAGTCGGGCACACCTCCCGCGGGGAGAAGCCCCATTAACAGGATCCTCCCGTGAGGTATTTTCTCCCGTATGTGGGCAATTATTCGGTTAATGTTGGTAATAATTGTGGGTGCTTGGATGCCATCTTGGAGATCATTTCCTCCAATCATTAGCATGGCGACTTTGGAGTTGAGGTCATTCAGGACACCGACTCGTTCTATGAGGTCAAGCGTGTTGTTCGTCTTGTGACCTATACGCAAGGCATAAATTAATGCATTGACAAGTTTGGTGAAATTATTATGACAATATGTCACCTGAGACGGCGACGTTGAGCGACTGGAGGGCCGCGTAATGCTGATTCCACACGGACATACCGGTCGATGACCATTGGGAAGAGAGAGAGTCGCCCAGCCAGACTAAAAAATTGGAGAGAGATTATTTTTTTTAAATGTACACATATTTGTATAAAAATTCTGGGTAAAAAATTTGAGGTACATAATAAAATTCAAGATAGGGTGGGAGTTGGAAGCTAAAAATCGAAAATTCAGTTTACAAGATCAAGTGAAACTGCAAAGTTCTTATAATGGTGATACATTCCACGTGAATGTTCTTTTAAAATTGTCCGGTTTAGGAAATGTTTCCAAGAATTGTGTACCACTTTTGCATATAAATGTTTCAGTAATTATGTTATGCAAAGTTTTAATTGCAATTTGTAAAATTTTTGTAACCCTAGGGTTACAATGAAAGGATAAAGCTTTATCCTTTCATTAAAATTCCACCGGTTCCCATTTTTCTCGACTCACCAGTTTTTGCGCTGTAAGACCCAGCCAAAATCTGTCCAAAGAGGGGTCCCATCGTCTCTGCCCATTTCACGTATCCGGCCGCCGTCAAGTGTAACCCGTCCGTGAAAAGTTCCGGAATTACGGTCCCCAATGCGGTGGAAAATTTGTCCTCCATATTCAAAAAGAACACATCGTTCCCATTTGCATACGAGGAAATTAGCGTGTTCACCGTCCTAATTCGTGTATGAATAGCTTCCCCAGTTCGTGGAAGGACGCCGAGAAGCAGAATCCTAACGCCGGGGTTTTTGCTCTTAATGAGACCAAGAATTGTGGCAATATTGTCCGCCACCGTTTGTTCTGGGACATTGCCAGAGAGATCATTTGTCCCGATTTTCAGGACGGCGAGGTAGGCGTGCAAGTCGTTGATGATGCCTTGATTGTTGATTCGGTCGATGATGGTGGTTGTCCGGTCACCAGAAACACCCGTGTTCACGGTACCAAGTGGCTCGTAGTACGTGGTGAAGGTTGGACGACCATTTCCGTTCCATCCCGCAGTGATGGAGTCACCAAGAAAGACTGAGGAAAAAATTTGGGGATTTAATTTAATGAAATTTTGCGAATGATTTTTGCACTCAAGACCATGTGCTCATATCTCGCAAAATCTTGCAACTGGACCACAAATATATGCCAAACATTTTTGCCAAATTGACAAGATATCTACTCAAATTTTGCTGCCAAATTTAGGAAAAAGTGACCATGTTTTTTATTTCGCAAACTATATTTGCAAAATTTTCAATGGGATTCGTGAGTACTGCCTTCGATTTTGAAAAATTGTATGCCATTTTTGAAGTCTTACCAACTTGTCCCCTCTTGTTCCACCTCGTCTCTACTATTTCCCTTATTCCACGAGGTTTACCATAAACTTGTAAAGAGACGGCAAACAAAAGGAAGAAGTACAGCGTGGAACGGACAAAGCTGGCCATTTTAAAGTGCAAGTTCAAGGCAACAAATAATTTGCACAACTAATTTATTCATTTTATTGTTCGGATTTATATACCTGGACAGATATGTGATCCCCACCCTCGTAATACAAATACATACATAAGCATGTACATTGTTTCATCTTAAGTATGTACGCTATGGGTTCGAACTTTGCATACACCGGATTAATTAGTAATCCATGAGATAAAGATTTTAATTCCATTGGTAAGTGAATAGTTGCCACACATCTGTATTTATTTTGCTCAATTGGAGGATAATTTTAGCCCAGAATTAACCCCAAGAAGCTTGACATTGACGATGACGCGGAAAGATGGTGGGTGCATATCGCAATAATGGAATTTAGCTGCATACGAACAGCAATCATGGGTTCCTGTTATGTACGCTGGTGGTCTGCGAGTCAAATTTTGAGATAATCCCATTATTTGTAGTTATTCATTAATCAATCAAATCCATCATAATGTTGGAGATGATCCACCGTGTGGATTAAAAACAACAAAATTATCATGATTTATAGTTAAATAAATCTGGATCAATCATGATTTAGATTGAATTTAAGTCATTGTTTTGCCCAGTGACGGGGAGCGATTGTGAATTAAATTTAATAATGTGAGTAAGCACCAAGTCTAAATTGCGTCAATTAAGGGGTAGCTAAAAAATAAAGCGTGTGTGTAAACACTAAAATGCATAACTACTCAAATATTTATTTTTGCAAAACATACTCCTACCCTGAATTTATGTTAATTTAGAAAACCAGCCACTTCCTAGATAAATCTGTGACACAAATTTATTCAAGAAGAATCAATCAATTTTACCAAAGATGAATCTAATGTAAAAGTCTTACTATATTATTATGATTTAGTAAAAATGAGACGATATGAAATAATACATAGTTTCACACTACTAATATTTATGTATGTATGTACATACTTAATATGTCTGTAATTGATACTTACATTGTAGATTATACATATTAGTAACTGCACACTAAATGTATAATTTGCATGGCTGGGTGTGCATGGTGTAAAATATTATGTTGAAGCAGGGGAAGCAGTAGTAAATAAGACTGCTCTGTGTGCTCGTCATGGGAAAAATGAGACAAGTTTATATGTAGCACTGAAATATTAACGTATAAGTGTAAATTGCGTCAGAGCTATTGTAAAAATTCTTATTTTTCTATTTTTTCCCATTTACTTGCATGACTCATGGAAGTATATGTGAAACATATAGTATGCAATCACTTAAGGGCAATGTTAATTTTGTTTGGTCGTATAGGCCGACTTTTTAAGCTAGATGGATGCGGTTAGTGGCATTCGAACAAGCTCAAAAATGTAGGCATAGGGTACGCGAACCGTTTTTGGAAATTTTGATTACTTTTTTATCTTTTCACCTTCAAGTGTAAATGGGCACTAGGGACACTAAATATTTTTTCAAATGGGCTGGGTGAATGAGAATGAAAATCTGATTGCGGGATATTGTCTACAGGGCCTAGGGCTACAACAAATGTTTGAAACATTTTTTATAATAGGGCCTCCTATACGCGCGAAAATTCAAAATGTTGAATTTTGGGTGGCTTCAGTCTGACAGGGGTACAGACTGGGGGGATTAATATTTTGAACTGGAAAGATGTTCATTGTGTTCCTGAGGGTCCCTAGGGGTGCCCTTAAAGGACCACTTTTTTCGAAATCGCACTTAGGTGAAAAGTTATGGCGGTGTGAAGATGTGAGAGGGTTAGTCATTGAGGAGGAGATCCTCCCTAATTGTCCATCTCACATTTCGATGTACTATGGATATATGGTAGTACACCATGAGTGTACAAAAATCTTTGTTTGACTCCATGGCCCCATTGGTGCCCCCATCCCCCCACACCCTCAATGGGGCAAAAAATGCCAAACTCACGTGTTCCAAACGTTTACATTCAGTTTTGTTCGGGTTTTGCAAATTCTGGCCATAATATTGTAGCCCAAATAGTTTTAGTATCCAATGAACTTCAATTAGATTTCATACTTACATATTATATTCAATTCCAAAGTTAACCTTTATCAATTTTTGATGTATAATATTTTCTATAATATTTATTAACATATATGCATATGTATGTAGTATTAATGATATTATAATATTTTCTCATCATGGGTGTCTTCGTTTGAATGTGTTGTGAGTCTCCCTTTACCCCATGAATTCGCGGTATAAGGAAAGTGGTGTGTTTACCTGCACGACTGTTGCTTCACATGTCATTGCGAAGAATATAATTGTTTTTATATTTATCGAAGTATTTAATTAAATTCAACATAATAAAAGCGATTAATTACACGTCAAGTTCACAATAAACACAAACGATGCCATCTAGACAAAGAAAGTTACGAAAGTACAAGCACGATATAGCAAACAAGTGCAAAATTCAGAAGGACACAAAAACCATACAAGAAGAAAGTATTGATGTCGAAAAGATGGAAATAGACCCCACTGAGGTTGAACTGGCCCTGTCACCTCACCAACAACTCTTCATCAGGAATATCAACCAAGTTGCAAACCGGACATGTTTCATTTGCAATCGTCTTTGGTACGATAAGGGCATCAGGTTAGCGTAAAAGAAAATATAATGAAACAAAGGAATCATGTTAATCGGCACCAAATTTATTTTTACTTTAAATTTTGCAGGGTTTTGTCAGTAACTGAAGGAATTCGAAGAGTCCTGGGGTCAGTGGCAAATAGGTACGACAGTAATACCTTGGAACATCTCGTTCCAACTACTGGAGACCAAATAGACCATCGCTGCCATCGTTGCCATGACAACCTGAACAAAGGAAAAGTTCCAGCAACCGCAATGGTCAACAACATGTATGTCCCAGAGTCACCCAACGTTATCAGTATTTTGACGGATGTGGAGGCAAGGATGGTCAGTCGTGCGAAGGCCTTTCTTAAAATCCACAAATTGAGTCGAGGACGAGGACAAGTTGCTCTTCAAGGGCAGGTCATCCACTTTGCCCAAAGCGTGGAGGAAGTTCAGGAGCAGTTATGCCTCGGGCCGAACACATCAAACGGCACAATAATTGTCACGGAATCAGTTGGAGACTTTCCACATTCCTCCATATTTGATATAAGGCCTCAAGGTAGAGCAATTTAAATCACTACTCAATTTTCTTAGTACATAATGTTAATTGTATTGGTTTTAGTACTTCGTGAAGCTCTAGAGTGGTTGCTCATAAATAATCCCGGATACTCAAAGGTGACAATGGAGGAGTTCAACCTGGACGGTATTCGGCTTGAAGATGCCGTTGTAGCACAGAACGAAGGTGATAGTTATCCAACACCAGATGTGACTGATAGGAAGGGAAGGCCACGCATCGAGGGTGGATATGTTCCAATTCCAAGAAAACCGTGGATGATGGCAATGCGGCTGAGCTTCTGTCAAACCTCCAAGCGATTTCTAAAAGCAGGAACTGGAGGAAAACAATGCACTGCAATGTCTGCTGCCGCTGTGGCGTATGCTGCAGTAAAATCTCCGGGTACTTGGACAATACAAGATGGAGACCGGATGTTGACGGCTGGTGACTACTACTACCAGAAATGTCGCAACAGGATTATAGGTATGTGGAATATTCGTGCTGAGATATTGTGATTGAGTGGTAAATTTCGTGTTTACATACAGAAAGGAACGCAACTAATGGTGAAGGCCGCGCACAGATTGTTGCATACGACTATTTAAACCCTGATGAGATCGAGGGACAAATTGCAAATGTTTTTGGAAAATCTGTTAGTATAAGCTTGGTGGACGGAGGTATTGTCTTCTACGCTGCGTTTGAAAGGTGGATGGCAGAAGTAGAAGACTATGCGAAGAGGGCGCTAGCCAGTGCCATTGAGGATTTCGTCTCGAGCAACTCAGACTACGCGTTAATTACTGGTGGTTCGTATAATCACAAATACTGCCAACATGTTTCCATTACAAAAATTTAAAATAATCCCATCCCGTAGGTCAATACACAATGGGCCTAAGCAAAAGCGATGGACATCTCTACTATTTTGACAGTCACGCTAGGACTCAACAAGGCATGATTTCAAATGCAGCAACTCAGCAGGCTTTAATTTTAAAGCTACGCCAATGTCAAGAAAGCTACCATCATCTTTGCAAAATAGTCAACAACAATTGTGTTCAAAGCCTAAATGCTGCTGTTCTTACCGTAACTCCTCTGAATATTACAATTCGTGAAGACATAAATAGCCCATCGGAAGTTGAAGAGATAGATAATCCCAATGACATGCATGCTGCATTTGGCGACGAGGCACAAGAAGATTGCCTCATCCACAATATTGACTTCCTTGAGCCTCGGTTGGACAGATTTGGGCAGAGTAGAGAAGAACAATTGCAAGAAGATGTGACCGATCTCGTTTGCACTAGCTCTTGCAACTTGCAAGAAAATGTGAATCTTCATAGGACGGCTGCTCCGCCAATTAACGTGCGTTACGAAATTCATTTGGAGGAGAAATGCTTCATTCAATGTTTCCCCCACGGACAATACGGTTTGGACGAAAATAGAGACCAAGATCACGCTGCTAAATTAACGCCTCACGCATACTTTGCGACCAGAGTGATGTCAGCCGATCGTCGATTTCGTCGTAATGACTATCTCTTCTATGCACTTTCAAGGTCGGAACAATCTATCATGGATTCCAAAATTGCCGTCTGCGCCAACATGAAATTTCAAGACCAGGAAAATGAGAATGCTCCGGTGGCAGAAAATATTCATTTGTACATGAGCGCCATCCGTGGTTCCAAGTCGTACTGGAAGAAATACACAGGAGATATCATGGCAATGGTGACAAGACTTGGTCCACCTACGTTCTTCCTTACAGTGTCTACTGATGATATTGGTTCCGCTGATATTCTCACTGCAATGTGGAGGGCATCGCGTGACGAACCTGTTCCAGCCAATATTCAGAATTTGCCGTATGACGAACGTCGGGAGCTATTAAACTCCAATCCCGTGGCAGCCGCACGTCATTTCAACCTTAGGACCCAGGAACTGATAAAGTTAC